AACACACTATCGACCTTGTCCGACTAAACTGCAATGAGTCCATAGTAGATAGGGCTCTTGACAGAGATACGCGACCAACCACATATACACAGTGGAAGGAAGCGATCATTGACATTGATTCCTCACGAAGGCAGTGGGAAGAAGAGAAGCGTCTGAAGAAGATCGGATATCGACCATACCGATCGAACCAGAACTATGGGCAGAAGTATCCTGCCTATCAGCAGCAGACCCAAGGATCGGGTCAGAACCAGAATCAGAGTCCGAAGAAGGACTATGGAGAAAAGAAAGATGGAACCGAAACAATGTTCACAGGGCGTGGACAGCCCATGGACTTGGACAGGAATTGCCTTAAGTGTAAGGCCAAGCAATCAGAGAAGGGCACTTGCAGAAGTGCATGGCATGTCCCCAATTGATCGGGACCATCCACGAACACTCAACGTGTTCGTAAAAATGAAACAAAGACAGAGTCAAAGATCGAGGAGATCCCCGACTCAGATAATGATGACGATGACAAGATGATCGCCATGGTTCAGCGATGGATGGAGAAGAACCCGGAGAAGGCGAAGAAGCTGAATTTTGGCTCGGGCAAGGCTTAAACACACAAAGTGACTTGCCGGATAAGATCAATGACTCGGATAAACCCCTGGAGGGTTCTATGAAAACATCTTCGACACATGCATGTAGTACTCAGACTGGACAGTCCCCTTTTGTAAATATTTCATCTAACGCAGAGGCATCTTCTACCAAGAAGTGTGGCAGGGCGGAACCTGTGCTTGATTCCTCTAAAAAAAATACAAAAAAATTTGAAAATAAACTGAGTGTGTCAGATAAAAGCATCACAGACATCGGACCACCACTACTCCGAGTTGTCAAAGGACTTGGAAGAGGGAAACAAATGGACCTACCAATCACCGTGATCATCCCAGAAACAGAAAGAATTCATGATACAATAGCATTAGTTGACACCGGAAGTACCGGATCATGCATAAATTATAATTTCGTAAAAAGGCATGGAATTGAAACCTCTAGATTTGATCAACCGATCCAAGTCTATAACACGGATAACAGCGAGAATTCTCAGGGACCGATCACAGAATATGTCTGACTCACACTTCGAATCGGCAATCACCAAGAGAACATCATGCTTCTAGTTACCGATCTGGGAAAGTCAGACATATTTCTCAGATATGAATAGATTGAATACCATAATCCATCAATAGACTTCAAATTGCAACTTGTTGACTTTAACCGATGCCCACATATGTGCGTCACTATAAGACAACAAGAGATCGAAGAAGGAGATACCGTATATTTACTCAATATCAATGCTTGGTATAAAGAAAGAGGAGAATATATTCAGCAAATGCATGTAACAGCCATGGATATAGCAATTGAACAAAGTAAACAAAAAAAGAAAAAGACCTTCGAAGAAATGGTTCCTGAACAGTATCGAGAATTCACAGACGTATTCACTGAGGATACTTTTGATGTCCTTCCAGAAAGGAAACCATGGGATCATGCAATAGAACTATTACCAGACTCATCACCATATGCAGGCAAGGTGTACTCCATGACCATTGAAGAACAAAAAATTCTAGATGGCTTTCTTGAAGAAAACCTAAAGACGGGTAGAATTCGACCATCAAAGTCTCCCTGGGGAGCACCTTTCTTCTTTGTCAAAAAGAAAGATGGCAAACTGAGACCGGTACAAGATTACCGAAAACTCAATGATATGACCAAGAAAAATAAATATCCATTACCATTAATCTCGGAGCTTATTGATAAGCTCAAAGGTGCTAAATATTTCATGAAACTGGATATTCACTGGGGATACAATAATATTCGCATGAAAGAAGGAGATGAAGAGAAAGCCGCATTTATCACAAATAGAGGACTATACGAACCAACTGTCATGTTCTTCGGATTGACAAATAGTCCTGCTACATTCCAGATGATGATGAATGACATTTTCCGTAATCTCATTCTCAAAGGAAAAGTAATCATATATCTTGATGATATACTCATATTTTCTGAATCCCTGGAGGAACATCGCCGTATTGTGAAAGAAGTCCTTAAAATATTATGAGAAAATAAGTTAACCTGCAAACCAGAAAAATGCGAGTTTGAAACTCAAGAAACAGAATATCTCGGACATATTATTTCGCAAGGAACTGTAAAGATGGATCCTGCCAAAGTCGATGGAGTTACGCAATGGCCAGTACCAAAAGCCAAAAAAGAATTACAATCATTTCTTGGATTCGCTAACTTCTATCGACGATTCATCAAAGACTTTTCCAAAATCACCATTGGGTATTCCGAACAATGAAGATCAGTTCAAAGTAGAATGCGACGCATCGAAATATGCTATTGGAGCAGAACTTGCACAGAAGCAAGATGGACAATGGCGAACTATCGCTTTCTTATCAAAAAGCCTTTCACCGGCTGAAAGAAACTATGAAATCTACGATCGAGAGATGCTAGCCATCATGATCTTATTAGAAGAATGGCATCACTTCTTGATGGGAGCTGCCCAGAAATTTGAAATTCATTCCGATCACAAGAACCTTGGCTATTTCAAAAAACCTCAGAAGTTGAATCATCGCCAGGCATGATGGATTCAAGAATTACAACAATATGATTTCAATTTGACTCACAAACCCGGAAACACAATGATGAAGGGAGACCCTTTATCGCGACAGACCCATCATGATATTGGAGATAGTCATAATGAAAACATTACGTTGTTAAAACCAGAATGGTTCCGAGCCAATGAAATCCTCAGATTATCAGCTTTACGGGAGAAAATCATAAAAAACACTGATAAATATGAAAACAATGTACGATTAAAACTATTGACAAAAGATGCCGACTTCAATGAGACCGAGGATGGTCTTATCTGGAGAAGGGGGAAAATTGTTATCCCTTTTGACAAGGAACTTAGAGGAGAAATCATTTATTCGCATCACGATTCGATTAGTGCCGGTCACCCTGGACAAGCAAAAACACAAGAACTAATCTATCGATCATACTGATGGCCCTCGATCAAAAAAGATGTAAAAACATATGTAAAAGACTGCGAGACTTGTCAAAAAACCAAGATTAACCATCAACCGAAGAATGCTCCATTGCACCCAAATGCAATTCCGGAACACAACTGGGAATATCAATCTGTAGACATGATTACACATTTACCAGAATCGCAAGGACATGATGCGATCATAGTAGTTGTGGACATGAAATCAAAAGACTACATTGAAATACCAAACACGAAGCAATTGACGTCAGAAGGATGGGCTAATCTCTATATCAAAAATGTATATCCATTGCATGGATTACCAAAAAAGATGACATCAGACTGTGGACCGCAATTTGTATCCAGCTTCATAAAAGACTTATATAAAAAACTAGGAATTCAGGGAAATCCTAGTACGGCATATCATCCACAGACAGATGGACAAACTGAACAAATCAATCAGGAAATTGAAAACTATTTACGAATATTCATCAATCATCGACAAACTGACTGGCCAGAATGGTTGCCACTGGCAACATTTGCATATCAAAATAGAGTCCACTCTGCGACTGGATTTTCACCATTCTACATGAATCACGGACGAGAAGCCTACACTGGTGTAGAAACCAAAAAGGAGATTTGTAATGAAACTGCTGAACAGTTTGTAGCACGAATGAAGAAAATCCAAGAAGAGGCATCAGCATTGTTGACACTAGCACAGGATGTTATGAAAAGACAATATGATAAACATAAAGGTGAAGCCATAAATTATAAAGATGGAGATTTAGTGTGGCTTGAAGCTACACATATATGAATGGACAGATCAAATCAAAAATTAGATGATAAAAGATATGGACCATTCCCGATTATCAAGAAAATTGGAGCTAGCGCATACAAGCTCAAATTACCAAAATCGTGGAAAGGTGTACATCCCGTATTCAATGAAACTTTATTGTTGCCATATCACGCACCAGAATTCCCTAATCAGAAAACACACAAAAACATTCCAATAATTATTGATATCTTAGAAGACAAAGCCGAATCCATATTAGACTCCAAGATGGCACGTGGGGGTCTTCAATATCTAATCAAGTGGGATGGAAAACCACGTTCTGAGAATACATAGAAACCTCGTCATAAAATTATTAAAAATATAGACAAAAAGATTATCAACAAATTCCATAAAGATCATCCCGATGCTCTGAAAGCACCCACAAGAATATTGCTAAAAGCACAGATCATGGAACAATCATTTCCTAGAGAAGCGTCACAAGAAGAATGGGATTATTGGGATCAGAAAGTACAGAGATGGGCAGAACGTAGAAAGAAAGAAAAAGCAATGATATCCGTAGACCCAGATTCAATTAAATTATTCAAAAATCGAAGAAAAGCACAAATCATATCTAATCAACACTACCCGAATGCTGGCGAGTTATGGATCATCAATGAACAGACACTCAAACTGACACACGTGGCAATCACATCCATGCCTACAAAAGTCAAACTTGAATGGCAATACCCCATTCTTTCCTTCTATCAACTCGTCGAACCAACATCAATCCCAAGTATGGATTCCCCTATCTTAGAACACTCATTCACTCAACCAATGAAAGCTCTTTGGTAGAAATGGACAAAGACGGAATCATCGTCCTTAGCATCTTTGGCGGCATAATCCTATGCACTGTTGGAGTGATACTCTGGGTTGTATGCCTACGAGAATGGGAGAGAGAAAACTCGGAAGAATGGATCATCATGGTATGATTGAACAATTCCATATCTATCATAAATTAATCGTGAGGACACGATTCTAGAGGAGGGGGTAATGTTACGATCACTTTCATTTTGGATCTACGAACACACCTTTCCCTCTCGTTATTCATTTGTAACCACTTATTAAAACCTGCCCAAACACATTCATTGATCCATGCTCGAACCTGACCGATACCATAAGTATATATGAACACATTGTTACCACATGTATTTAGATAATAGTTGTATATATACACCAGATGAACTTCATATTAACTCCAAGTTTTGAATGGTTTTACCTGCTCATTTCTAAATTGATTTGAGTCCTATCACCTGGGATTGATATGGAGCTGGCGGCTGATATCGACACAACTTTCACCTTCCATGGTCCCCTTACCGTGGCGGCAGAGCCCAATGCTTTGGGGACGTATAGTGATCCAGCTTTGGAAGGTCCGGAGGGTATGTCGCTGGATGCGTTGAGTGCCGCATGGGATGAATGGGAGAAAGAACGGGTTGAGGAAGCAGCTGCAGAGGATATGGACGGAGCTATTGATCCAGAGCTTCTCGATGCTGCTGCCGATGTCAACAAGGTGTACAATTTCAATTTGCTGGATGCTATTGACAATGGTATGGCTCCCCCCACTTTCGTAGAAGAATTAGTGGGTCATGATTCGACTGCTGAGCAACCAGAGTGGACAGTGGATGCTCTGATAGATGGCGTATAGGGCCTTTCACATAAGATTCTATTTGCTAGTGTGTATGTAATTACTGTACTTCTGCCCTTCGTGATTCTACTTGCACCGTGTTCAAAGATGCGAAAAAAACATTCGCCAATTTCGCCAAACCTGGCAATTGCCGTTTTGCCTGGCAAGCCGGCGAAACCTGACCGAAACGAGTTTTGCCCTGTACACTACATGATACCCCGCGACCCCGGGCCGCTGTGCTTCTTTAATCGTGAAGTTCGAATTCGTCCTTATGTTTCTCCATGCCGTAACAGAGAGGCCTATATAATGAAGGAACGACTGTCTTCCCAGAGTATCTAGAGGCTGGAAGCGAACCAAGCACAGAGGATTTGAAATGGTTGAGCGTATCGACAACGTACTTTTTTCTAAATTTTACTGCAAATTGGATTACTTTGAACAAAGCTCGATTTCAAGGACCACTGCACTATTAGACTCACATACCCAACTAGCATAGCTATTCGAGTGCACCATTCATCCGGACCCAGCGTTGCTGAGTCCTGAAGTCGGAGGCTGTTACTTATGATGACGATCCAGGATTGTGTATGGGAAGCTTAAGGACAGCGTGGATTCGCACGTTCAGGCATTTGAAGTGGCTGACGCCGTCAAGGCGGCGGAACAACAACGTAGTTATGTTTCTTCTGGTCTATGGCCCGCTGGCTAGATGAGCCCGCCCATCTTGCTACGTGAATGGGCTCGATACCGTCATTATATGCACTGTGCGTTGTGCTTGCATCCAGCCAAATCTTGAAGCTCTTTGGTATGGTTTGCGTACAACTTGTTTACATGCATAGTACAAAAATCCACCCTTCTAGTTCGGCTTTCAACGACAGCAAGCATAATCAGGCATGTTAGAAATTAGGCATTATCACCACGCATGATAAGCCAAGGATCGCATGAAACACGATGAAATAGCAAGGCAAGAGGATCAAGTTCACCCCACAAGGAACTGGCCTTGTATTACAAGTTCCAGGAGTCGTCGCCATGCTCCGGATTATGCCACGAAATCCTACGGTCGTATGATCGTTGGTCCGCATCCTCCGCCGTAAGTGTAATGAAGTCCGCTGCACTGCGTGAGATATGATACTCCGCTCTGGCCCAATTGCGCTGCATAAATGCAACGTACTCCAGGGTACGACAATACGTGGCGAAGAGCTTGACTGTGTTCTGCGAAGCCGCACCCATGTACACGTCCGACTCATCGTCATCTTCATCCGATTCATCCGTACCTCTGTCATCGCTGAATAAGAACGGAATGGCGGAAATGTAAGCATCTGGCCAGTATTCGAAACACTGATTCCACTTGAAATACTTCAAGCGAGTGAATCCCGACATCGCTCGAGCGTATTCTCGGTCAGTGCTTGGCCAATAAATGTCGCAGAAGTCGCGGACATTGCGGATGTAGAAGAGTGTGAGGGAATACAAGTTGGGGAACGCTGCGGCGATCCACTCCAGTAGTGATGCCTCAGCAAAGCCTACGCCATCCAAAATAAAGTATTCCATAGGCGCGCCACGGAGAGCGTTGAGGATTTCTGCCAATTCCACGGCATCAAACCGCCTGTCGCCTGGGTACGTGAGCTTTACATGCGTCAATCGAGAATGCTGGCCGGGGTTGGCTTCCCGAATCCAGCTACATAGTCGAAAGACGTCAACGTGGGAGAGGTTGACGTAGATCAGGCGCTCCACAGTCTTGAAAGGATTGGCGGCGTCTGATAAAGCGAAAGGTAGGGAGGAGGTCTGAGAGTCCATACAAGTATGAACATGGAGTACACGAATGTTCTTCATGCCGAAAAGGATACGCCAGGAGTCAAGATTGTCCTGCATAAAAATGACCAGATTGGTTGCAGACTGCGACGGAGTGAGAACATCACCAAACAACGGCTGGCAACCACTGAGATCAAGTGTCCGCAAATTGGGTAAAGAGGTGATGGTGTTTGCCACTTCCAGAGGTATTTTGAAGTTAGCCATATTTAGAGCACGAAGTTCGGCGGTCCTCGAGAGCACGGCACAGATACCCTCAAAGATAGGTTGATAGTAAAGTTGGCGAATAGTGTCATTCTGCATAACTTCAACCTGGAGCTGCGGCAAACGCCAGCAGCCAGAAATATGTAGGGTTCGTAGATTCTTCCAGACATAGGGATTATCGCAGATGAAACCCGCACGTGTCAGGAATGTCGTCTGCGCTTTGAGTACATACTCAGTGAGTAGTTCGGGAGGAGCATCCACGTCGCCGTCGCTAGTTACGAAGTCACCGACCCTCGGATCCAAAATCAGCCAATATTCCTAACGAATGGAACGTTGTGAGGATAAGCGGTGTCTCAAAAACAAATGAACTGACATCATAGATGTAGCGCAAAGATATAGACCGAAAGAAACGCGAAGTATAGCCAAGTCGACGGGCGTTAACTGGGTCCGAAAGTTCCATGATATGGTGGATCAGCTCCGGAGGTAGATCGTGCAAACATCGCCGTTGTAGCAACGGGGATGGATGTTTTGTGAGGAAATTCAAGAGCTCATCTGTAAATTTGTGGAGTTCGCTCAGGGTTGAGGAACCAGGTACTAATGTCTCTTAACGGACTTGCCTGTATCTTTCAGCAGTCCAGCAAGAGAAAAGAACCTCCGACCTGTATGCCATTTGCTTTGGAAGTTGAAAAGAATCTCGGACGATTTCATATTGATTTCTGCGGAGGATACTACTCCGTTTGCTTTCCTTGCGGCTCCACTTGAAATCGTATATTGACGAATTTGGTAAAGGTCTTGTAAAAACTTGATCCATCGCCCGAAAATAGATCTGTATCTCGGTTCATGCCTTCCAGTTAGATCAAGAGAGCCCTTGATGGTCAACGTCAGTGGTTGAGCACACACTCCGGCTGTGCAATATTTCCACTCACGGAATGAAACCCTCTGACGGTCTGAAAGAACCGCCGCAGACGAATTGGACCCGTAAAGTCATCGTCATTGTGGTCGCGATTGGAGAGTTGTCGTGTGAACCCAAGCTCGCACATCCTATCATAGATCGCTCGGTATCTAGTGGCTTTCTGCTCTCGTTGGAACGGCTTCAGCTCTGGACCATCAAATAGACTGTCTTGACGTTCAGCTACGTGAATAACTAGGTTCAACATGGAGAAGGAATTGAACAGATATGTCAACACAAACCCTCGCTCATTGGCAGTTGCACGGAGGCAACATTGAACTCTTGGATATCTCTTTCGTCGTCTGAATCCATATTGGCGAAACCTGAGGGCAAGGTCGCAGGTCAAGATGCATGTTCAAGCTCAAGCCCTATAGGCCTCGGGTGCCTTGGGCTGGGCTATTGAGAGGCCGAAGTTGTGATGAAGAAAGGACAAGAAAGGAAAGGTCTATGTTCCACCATCAAGCTGTCCTTGTTTTCTCCCCGACAGTTCGTGTGACCGTATTCCGTTATCCATATCTCTTGGCTTCGCTGCTTTCTTTTCGGCCTTTCGATCGGCGAAACATCATAAGCCATACCTTTATGCAATGGCGTTGGAGAAGTATGGAAATGCCGCAAGTTCGTCACATTTGAGTGGTAGAACCGAGTTTGAGATATTGAAATCGACCCACAGGTACGCTATCATTACTCTTCGCTTACTGGCAGGTTGGAACGCGGTAAATTGAGCCGGTTGTGAACAGATTTTTGCGCAATGACAATGGCAAAGAACCATTGACTTGGGAGGAGCAGCTTGCAAAGAAGTACTATGACAATCTATACCGCGAATATGCAGTCTGTGATCTCAAGCATTACAAGTCTGGAAACGTATGTGATCGATCCTGACGCTGCTTTGCTTCGCTCACTTCACGGATTCGTAGTTCTCTATACGATGGCGAACGGAAGATGAAGTACTATCTGGTGCTGGAGAGACAACCTGCGGCAATACTCGTTGTCATTTCCACTCCGCCCACAATGTGGAAGAAGCCCATCCCTCTCTGAAGACACTGGAGCTCCCCTTTTCATATGTGGAGAACGGGGAAAGCAAATTTGCACTTGTAAAGGTCGTATTATGCGACAAATGCTGCAAGAAGTTGATGTGGAAACGGAATAAGGAGAAGGAGAAGGAAGGAGAGAGAGCTTCGGCACAGGATCCGTCGGAGGAACTGCACGTCACTGATATTGCAGAATCTGCACTATCTGAAGAGCAAGCCGGTAGACGAGAAGCTCGTGCTCACCGCCATCGTGAATCAGACGATCCCGGGGCTCACAAAGCGCGTCGCAGAGACTCGCGCTCACGTTCTCCACCACGGGGCAGGGTACCTTCTAAGCGTTATCCATAGCGTGTTTGTGCTCTCATTTAGGATATGCTCGAGCAACGGGTCATTTTGCATTCACTTACGATTGGATCCACTCCACTGGATAGGGTGGTATCGAAGACACTCAGCTAGGCCAACGCAACTCGACAATCAAGAGATAATAATACATTTTGGAGACCCCGTCTACAGCTATAGATACAACAGTCTATGCCTGGAGACCCGCCACAATGCCATCGTAAGCAGGCTTCTTCGCAAGGTTCTGGAATGACAAAAACCATCAGGATAGGCTGTTTAATACGCGGAGACAGCAGACCCACCGCGTCCCAAGGGCACGCAGCACCTTGACCAGAGAACGTCTGAGGCACCCAGGAGTACTTATCGGTATAATCCCAGATCGTAACGCCAACACATCCCTCGACGTTCTTGCAAGCCGTGATGACAGTTTGATAATCCTTCTGTTGTTGGGCTAGGAGAGTAGGGGTGGAGGGAAGTGTCATCCTAATGTCCAGTTCCGTAATGGCGACCTCGACGCCCAGAGCAGTGAAAGCTTCGATGTTTTGTTGGATGTTACCAGGCAGTTCGCCAACGATAAAGTGACCTTGGAGACCGACGCCATCGATTGGGACATTGTCGGCCTTGAGCTGCTTAACGAGGTTTTGAAGGGCAGTTGACTTGGCACCGGGACCTTCAACGTTGTAGTCATTGATGTAGAGTTTGGCATCAGGGTCGGCAGCTCGAGCCGCTTGGAGAGCAATTGAAATGTAGTTGGTGTTGAGAGTGTTGTAGAAGACGTCTTGACGATAAGTTCCATCATCATTGAAGGGCTCTGGCAATCGATATAAGTATATGACTGGACATAGAGGCTTCACAAACGTACCGTTAACGACATCCCAACTGTCTGCAATGCGTAGAAAATCTAATCAGAATGTTGTTCACGATTGAAAGTGATGATATACATACAACTGTAAAACAGAGGTGTCAGCCTAAGTTGGCATTCAATAGGAACAAACCAATCACTCACATTTGACCCTTGTAGTGGCCAACCAAAGTACTGCAGTGAGTTTGAATGATGGATGTAAGAGTTGCGGCATCGAAGTTGCCAGACGAGACCCATGACGGGAGCTGGCTGTACCAGACACAGTTGTGACCTAGCAAAAGACATCTAGTAAAAGAACTGTACATGACCCCACAGGTAAGTTTCGAACATACCACGAAGAAGTTGCCCGTTCTGTTTAGCCAAGTTGGCGATGACGTCGCCTCCAGAGAAGGTGAACGTTCCACGAGATGGTTCAGTCGCATCCTAAATTGGTAACAAACATTCAGAATCACGTATTGAAGCTGGTGAGACCGGAAAAGCTACTCACCCATTTCATACTGTTACCTGGCGTGATCTGACCAAACATAGTGTTGTCATCCAAGATAGCAACGTAGGGTGTATCGCTAAGCTCAGGGTTGTCGGTAGCAGATCCAAAGTAAAGCTTTCCATTTGCTTTAGCAATGGTGTGAAGACCGCCAGTAGCAGTGGACGAAGGAGCTGACGAGGAACTGCTGCTGGTTGGTGGTGCAGTAGTAGCTGGGGGTGCAGTGGTTGCGGTCTGCAAAGAGAATTGAGCTCGTAAGTCGAAAATGATACGAGCAGACGAAAGGAGAAGTGAGATACCCCTGGAATGCACTGCGAGTAGTATTCGCTGTATTCCATGCAGAATGTACCAGTGACACAAGTAGTCGGACCAGTCCAACCCTGCAGCGAAAAGAGAATGAGTCGGAGACCCAAGCTACCATTCCACAAATTAGAACGTACAACACCGCCACCTGGAGATTCCAGATGTTTATTCAGAACCCATGTCTCGAAATTGACGGCGGTACAGACTTACATTGACCCCATTCTTGAGACTGAGCGGACGCCAAAGGAATAAGCGCAACGAGCGCAGCAAGAATAGCAGTGAGCTTCGCCATTGCTAGAAGGCGAGGTTTCGAAGAGCTGCGAGTCAAGGAGAGCTTTCAGATCAGTACTGAGGGAATCCGATGTCAGCAGTTGTAGTTCTTATACTGCCGTCAGACCTTATTGACAGCATGGCAGAAACGCGGCGGGACTTCGTCGCTGAAACATTGGGCCTCCTGGACATGTTCACATGAAGCTTCTGGACACTATCCTAGACACCTGGTTTGCGTTGCTGTCAAGAATGCACCGTTGCGACTGTGCGAGTAGCCGGAACGCCTATTATGGCAATGCGTATCATGGCGTGCAGAACAGCGGCCGAATGTCGGCGTGAAATATGACCATATGAAAGTGGAATATAAGGAAGAACGTCGGATTAGTGCGTGACATGAAGCGCATTGTCAGAGCGCACACCAACGAGCAGGCGGAGAAGACCTATTATTAGGATACCTTGGGAGGGATAGAAATAGCATCCGTTGGTAGAGAAGTTGTATATCGGTCATCTGAATGGTCGGGACATAGTGACATGGAAGGAAATGTGATCTTCGAGGTTCACCTGACGTACCTGATATCCTCGCTAATTCACCCTACAATAGGACTAAAGTTAGCACGATTAACCACCAGATCACTGCTCGGAACCGAGGATACCACAAGGAAGCTGTTCCAGGCGTGCAACGAGGGGGAAAAGTTCGTACAATATCAGATTCCCATCAAACGGAAACCAGCATTAGATTGTAACAAAGAGAGTCCAATCAAGGGGGTGAGGGAATGCAAGGCGAAGAAAGACAACAAACGAGCGAAAGGAAAAAAAAAGGAGTGTCCAGTGTCAGTGCAAAGTAGATATGTGTCCAAGTATACCACAGTCCGGTTGGAATACAGGTAAAGGTAGACGAGTAAAAGGAAGGCGGGTGAAAGTAGGGAAATGTCGAGGGGAATAGAGTACGGGTGCAAGGAGGTATCGCATGCGAACTATCCGAATGGTATCGAATTATTCACTTAGTCAATTAAACAATCAGGGATAGTGATGTCCTTCAGTGTTTTGCTAGAACAGAATATATGTCTAGTTGCGATAGGCAAAGAATGCGAAAACGAACTCACTCTTTGTTAAACAGGCCCCACCAGCCCTCTACACCGCCGAACTGATCGTCCTTCCACTGTTCATCGAAGTACTGCACACCATGAATTTAGCGTTTGCTCCAGCTGAAGTATTCATGCTTGTATACGTACCTCAAAGTAGAAGTACCCAGTGCCATTCTGATTTGCCTGGCAAACAAACGTATCCAAGAACTTCTGTAGGTTCTCTACAGATGCTGTCGAAGGCCCGTTGCTCGCATTTCCAGCATCGCTAGACTTTGTTGGCCAACCGGTCTCAGCGATGAACATTTGTGGCTTATTGGGAAGCGAGTTCGCCACGATGACATTGTTCTCTTGGAAGAATTGATTTGTCCAATCAGCCGCTTGGTCGATCGAGACATTGGCGAACCACGGGTGGACATTCGACATCTGAAACGCATATGAATAAGATAAGCCGAACATGAGAGAAAAAAATACGTACGCCGTAGTCAACTGCTGCCAGGACCTCGTTATTGAAGAAGCTTCCAGCATCGGCGGTTCCAACGGGAATGGTCTTGTCGAGACTGAGAGCAGTCAGCGCATTGCGGGTGTCCGTGATGTTGGGAATCAACAATTGTGCACCAGCGTTGCCAATGGCGCTATTCGGGTCTTCTGCGCCCTGGCCGGTCAGGAAACTGCAGGTTCGTGTAAGCCTCAAATTGCAAGGCAACACGTGTGAAATACGCACTTGAGCATGTACTCATTACCCACCGTGACACCAGCGACATGATCTGCGCCGTACGTCTTAATCGCGTCCATAATCGCGTCACGTTGTCGCTCGTAAGGTGCGCTGTCGGTGGGAATGTTGTAATTTCCCAGATACACGGTCATGTTGACCTTTGTCCTACTGATGGCATCCAACTAGTGGATTGTGAGCTTCAGGGGTACTACAACCATGTGATGCACGTACCACAAGGGCAGTTTGGTTGCAGTCAGCACCGTACAGACGAATCCGCTGGAAATGCACTGTCAGTCTCGCGCACATGTTGATAAAATAATGATAGATAAAAAAAGGCAATCATACCGAGGTGAGTTGAGAAAGAAGCTGAATGTCCTCGATAACGGCATCTGTTCCCCGAATCAGCTACAAGCATTCTAAGAAGACCTAAGAACATACCAAGAGAATTGCCGCAGGCGGGCATCTGGGACCCACTAGGAGTGTACGCAAGGCCGTAGAACGAGTGCTTGAGCTTGTCATTCTTAACAAACGTGCTCGGGTCAGAGGGATCAGTCGGTTTGACGGCACCACTCGTATCACTCGAAGACGAGGACGAGCTAGACTTATTCGAAGAGTTGTTCTTCGAGACAACCACGCCGACAGCGACACCAACGGCAATGAGCACAAGAACGGTGACAATAGATCCAATAACCTGAACGGCAATTTCAGACAGCAATTGGTAGAACAAGATCCAATGCGTACTATGAACTTGGACCTGCGGCTGGAGGACTGTTGCTTTTCCAGCCACTGGCTGCTGCTATACTCAGGATTCCGGTAGGGTGCATTGGTCTCCATGTTGGAGTAGCCTGAAGTGCTGAGAGGCATATTGTCCGTCGAATAATAACTTCCACGGGCAGCAGAGTCCGGTGTGCTACGGATCACGGAGCTGGAGACGTAGGGATCGTCAATGCCCGAAAGTCTATGAGGGGGCTGCGCAGCAGTTCAAAGTCAACGTTTGATTGTAATGTTGGTGGTTGAAAGGAGGGACAAGATTAGGAGAGTCGCCAGGACGATGGACGAGTTCAAGAAAGTCTGGTTGGAGCCAAGATGGCCGCGGACACGGTCGAGACGGCAAAACTCACTGGAATTCCGTTATCATAATAATCCTGCAAATCCGGTGTAGAGGCGCCCGCGGCTGTAGGCAAGTCATGGTAACTTTGCATATTTTGGCGTGTCAGTTTTTGCAGTCGTTATATATCAGTAAAGATCGTAACAAGCGTCGTTAGTAGAGTTGTAGAAGAAACAAACGCGTATGCAAGGTCAAAACGGGCAGGCACGGGCTGAGGCTCTCAGCCTGTCTGCCAGTGCCACAATACCCACGATAATTATCCATGCTTATTTATCTCCAAAGGTAACTACGTTGAATATTCGCCTCTGACCCTAAATATAGCACGACTATATTTAGATTGTTTATTCTCGATGTTCAGCTTCACATCCATTTGTTCGCAGAGCCTGCCTCATCATGCCGAATGGGTAGTCGAAACAAGTTTTTGTGGAGCTATGATTGATGGTGTGAAGTCCATACATGTAACAGGTTGACCTACTCTGTATGCTAGGAAGCAGGCCATGGATCGGAAGAAACAGAGCCATGTTCGGCCGCCACCTCAACAGCGACAGCCCAGTCCACCTCCTTGAACGCACAAACGCCACCTACAACATCGTTTCTGTACACAATCGGAGGGACTCCTCGACCAGGCAATAATGCAATCGTCTCCAACGTCGGGCAATGCGCATGAAGAAGTCGCGCAATCGAATCGCCATCTCGGAAGACATCCAGATGTTGAGACTGATACTTGTCCTTCCATTCACGCTTCGTTGGGAAACCGTTCTCGAAGAAGTGAAGCACATAGGTTGTCGATGCTCTGATTCCTATCCTGAAGTTCCATCCAAGGTAACGCAAATGGTTGAAATTGGCAAGACGGGGAGCATACTCCCATGACGCGTGAGGCCAATTTGCGAATCCCGACTTGTACTGGATAGGACTCTCCCGATACAAGAGAGACAATGAGATCAGATTGGGGAAAGCTTGAGCAATGCGGTCTAGGAGGTCAGGGTGTGCGTAACGCAAGCCGTCCAACACAAGATATTGTAACGGAGCACCGTGTAGTTGGCGCAGCAAGTCGAACAAGTCATCAGGCTCAATGCCACATTCCACCGCCAACTTGAAATGGGTCAGCTGAAGGGTGAATGGCAGAGGGGCCGTTTCCCGGATGACCTGAATCCACGATGCCAACGTCTGCACCTCCATAGATGACACCGTAGACATTGAAAACTTGCGTAATTGCTGCCAGGGATTCAGCGTTGGGCGGATCTCGAGCACAGGAACTGCGATTGGCTCGGTAGTGTTCCCCAGGAATCGTAACTCGTTGACCCCTCGAATAGACAAGTTTTCAACGAATGGAAGAAGAGAGAGAACCCGCCATGAGCCAAGGTGGCTCATAGTTGAGAGGGTGAAGGTGACACTGCGCACGCTCATGGAGAGCGGGAGGTCGTGGATTTGATCCTCGAATGTCAAGTCTGCAATGCAATGTGAAATAGTCAGGGTCTCAAGCTTGGAGACGGCAAGACATTTGCATAACGATGAGGTAATGATCCAAGGCGATAATACCACTTCGCTGATGTTGGGTGCACAAACGAGCAGATCGCCGATAGCGCGGATGATAGGCTCGTAGAATGTTGCCTTTCCGTCCACATCATCAATGAAGGTTGTTAGAGGAATGTAATCGGTCCATTCGTCTGAGAGCTTCAGCTTCCGAAGTCTGGACAGTATGTCCTCGCGCGAGATCAGGAACTTGACTTCCTCGAGGAACACTTTCCGCGCAGTCTTCATCAAGTTAGTACGGTAGCGTCGCCTTTGGTCCATTGGAAGGGCGAGAATGTTTGCTTCGTCGATGGGGCGCGCACACTGTAGTCGTAAATTCCGAGACTGGTGGAAAGAGTAAGAACTAAACCCAAAAACATAGCTTATGATGTAACATTGATTTACCTCAAAGACATATGAAATAGAGATATCATGGAAGAGGTGAGAAGTCGCTCCAAGTCTTCGAACATCATATATACTGGCATGCTTCATGATCGCGTGGAGCAGTTCGACCGGAAGATCTTGAAGGCAGAGCTTCTGAAACTTCGGCTGGGGATGCTTGAGAATGACGTCCCATGTTTCCTCTACAAAGGATTATTCTAGAGGTCTGTTCTTGAACAGGAGAATGGGCTACGCTCACCTGTCTCCTTGAACAGATCTACAAGAGAATACCTCTCATCAATTTTCCACTTCTTCCGGAATTCTTCCAAAAGCTCGGGCGGATCGATCGTCAAGTCTTGAATGTATACCGGCTGACCATTCTTGATAACAGGATGATTCTTCTCATCTCGCAAAGGGTATTGATAAGGTACGGCGTGCACAGAAAGCTTCCTGATGCCGAAATAAAAGGTTTTCCAGCGAATCCAGAGGGACCTGTACCTTTGCTCGTGACGGCCGCTGAGGTCCAGCTTTCCCTACATAACAGTAGATGACGGAGTAAACAGAAACAGTCATACAAGCATTCAGCATTGATGAAAACAAGCCTACCTTGTGGAAACCACGGAGAGTATGAAAGAATCGATGCAATCTAATGACAAACGCGGGATCTGGCTCAGCCGAATCCAATCCGTGCTTCGAACCTCTTAGTCTCTTTCTGACGAGCCTTCCCTCCTTGTTCTCATACAAACGAAATTCTACATCTGGATCGATGACTATCATGAATAGTGAGCCACTGATTCCGCAAGAAGGAATACTATTGGGAGAGTCCTTACGATGCAGGCCGGATATGCCGCCACGCTCATCTGCGTCTCGAAGTATGCGCTCGTCCTCAGAATCCATGGTGCAGGTGAAAAGTTGGGAAGATAGAGCAGTTAACTCGGCGTATACTGTGTGGCTTTATTTGCTTCGGAGCTGTTAGAATGAAATTTCCGGCGATCCCGTCACCAGTTTGTGGTTTCCGCCATTGGACTTGAAGGTGGATTGCGAATTACGCTGATAGACTAAAGTGCGACGAGACATCGTTGTTCCTACATTGTAGACTAATATCAATGCCCGTAGAGATGTAAATGTTGAATATTTCAAGACGAGTGAGTCGTCGTCGGCAACATTGTGGTCGACGGAAAAGGAAAGCTGGCAAGCGTTGAGTAGGAAATGTGACAGCATCACGGGGCAGTGTCATGAAAAGAGACTATTACGTAACACGTACCTCACTAAATGGGAAGGTGGGGACGACGCAGACGACGGCAGAGAGAAACTCCTGAACGTCCTGGACGCACCTCCCGTCGCCGCCATCCGTCGGTCACCGTCGCTGTTGCCGTCGATCACTGCGTCACGTTCTGCTAAGCACGGCCTGCACGCTACATCTCAGACCTATCCATTCCTCGGCCTGCTAAAACGGTCTGCCGGCGACCCGTAACCACCAACTGCGGACCAGGCTGTTCCGAATAAGCAGCTGTCTATCCAGCTACAACGGAACATATCTACCACTTCACCCTTTGCTTTACAACCTGTTTCATTGCCTAGGCGGGGGTGTATGTGGAAGGAACGGTTACAGCAGCTCGGCCAGCGTCGCAATCACAACAAACGAGGTAGTAATCACAGAGACCGCAACTCTCGTCTTCGTGCAAATACGACCCCCGCAGTCACTTCCGACGATCTTGCGTCGGCCCGCGAGTTTACTATCGTTTCTCGTCCTGCCCCGCCTGGCAGAGTTTCTACCATGGATTCGGCTGGTCTTCATCCTATACCTCCCTCCAAGGTCAATCTCAAGGCCTGGTGGAACCACTTCAACTTTGCACAGAAAGCAAAGAAGGAGGCCGAAGAGAAGAAAGGCTAGTGCAGAGAGGGTTGTCATGTTGTGGAAAGTCAAGTCTAACTATGTCGTATGACAGGCCAGAACGTGGTGTTTGGCAAACCCTTGAAGGAGAGCTTGAGGTATGCCAGTGTGCAGATTTCTACCGCGAACTCAAACGGCGACCTGTACGTGTGGGGCTACGTACCAGTAGTTGTTGCGAAATGGTACGCTGTGTTTCTACTCATGCTCAATGTGCGCATATTTACATGCGTCCTCAGTGGTTTGTACCTGAAGGAGAACGGTATGTTCCTAGCATTCAGAAAGTACACGATGCCATGTGCTCATACGCTGTGATCGCAGCGACTGAGGTACAAGGTACATTCCGGATAAGCGGTTCTGCCAAGCGCATGCGAGATCTGCAGGCAGAATTCGAAAAGCCACCAAGGGTGAGTAACTGCTCATATTTCACCCGATAAGGCTGACGGACATGTAGTATGGCAAGAACCTCGACTGGAAGAAGGAGCATTACACGGCTCATGACGTCGCAAGTGTGTTTAGACGATACCTGACGCAAATGCCTGTATGTACGTTTCGAGAATTACTATGTAAATACTCATGGTCCGCAGGAACCAGTAATTCCTTATGACATGTACCATAGCGTGCGTGAAATTTTCCTTCCTCTTTAAATAGTTCCTGACTTCTTATTAGTTTCGCGATGCTCTAGGTGTGTATATTTGATCATTCTATGCGTGCACGACAGTATCGACGTATCCAGCGCCCTAGCTAAGAAGCCGTATAATCAAGACGAGGTCATTGCTACCTACAAGCGGCTCATTCGCTCATTACCTCGAGCAAATCAGTACCTCTTGCTGTATGTCCTCGATCTGCTTCACGTCTTCTCACGTAAAGCGGACAAGAACCTCATGGATGCAAAGAGTCTGTCCAACATTACTTCCCCCAAATAATGACATTAATACGACTTGTAATCCTTTAGACTTGGCCGTCATCTTTCGGCCAGCATTGCTTTCCCACCCATCGCACGAACTGTCGCCCAGAGAACATCAGCTGAGCCAGGATGTATTGGAGTTCTTGATTCACCATCAAGATTGGTTTATGCTTGACATACCACCAGCTCCGGTGGCGGCTCAGAGTAGTACCGGAGCCCCATTGTCTTCGGGAATGGCTGAGGCGGTCGACTTCATGCCAAGTTCAGATGAAGATCAGCCAGGTGGATGGAAGTTGATCGATAAAGATACACTTGGGAGCCGGCGGATATCGAGAAGGAGAACGACAACGGAGCGCTCTGGCGGTATGTCCTGTCGCAGTATCGGGCTTCATCGATGTGTCTTCTTACCTGTTGCTACTTCTGTGACAGATTCGGCGGGCAAAGGCAGGGAAGGTCCAGATTTATCGCCAGTAATGGAGTCACCTCCGTCAAGATCTTCAAGTCTTCGAACAGCAACAACGATTTCACGCAGTCGGACATTGCCATCCTCGAAAACTCGTCTAGAAGGCACTGCTAGGGAGGAGGAGCGACACACAAAGCTACTCAAGAAACAAAAACGAGCTTCTATGCAGCAGCAACGAGCGCTTGCTGCGCTTGCGCCTGCTGGATAGCGTCGCTCCTCCTTACCACTCTAGATTTTTTCCCGCCTTCATACGGTCGACGTACGATTTGAAACGCTTTGCCATGTCTTTCGCTTTTGCCACCTCTTGTGTATAACCCCGTTCACACATTCCTATCCCCATTGTACTTCGCTGTTATACCCCAATCCCCCTCGCCATAGTGCTTATACTCAGTTGTTTTTATAGTTCGCAGTGGACTTTGTTATATTATAGATGAGGATGGCTACTGGATGTGTTGAGGGGTTCATTGCTACTCATACCTATTTTATGTGATACGTGCGGCGCGCTCGATCATGTTCGCTAACGGACTATAGTCGTACTCTAGTTAACATTGCTTTTACATGCCTTCTGTTTTAACGCTCTTTGATTTCGGTGTACGGTATACTTCGCTGGACGCGCGCATGCGCAAGTTTATGTAGATGTCTTGAAGCTCAATGCGTATGTGGTACCAATCTCGTTCGATCGCTCAGCTAAAAGCCAAAAGACCCATTTCATTCCCAGATAGATCCCTATTTGAAATACAACCGAGTCTCTGCAGTACATACAATGGTACGTTAACACTGTTAGCACATTAGTACAAGATTGAATTGCGTGAAGTGAGATTGCATGACTGTTTCTTTCGATAACCCAAATATGAAACAGATGCGAATATTGACCGCCTTATAACCCAAAAAAATGAATTGAATAGATCCCCAGAATTGCAGTCTAATCAAGGTCGTTCAAGCTCCTCTTGGGACGAGGACGAACATGAGCTTTGAAGGTGGGTGGTAGAGCATTACCGTTGACGTCGCGCAAGAAGAGGGGTGCTGCAGCCTCAGCGATCGGCGCAACTGTCTGAACAATGGGCGATACGGTGTCCCAAGCCTTCTTGAGTCCGTCAGTGATATCGTGGAAGCTTAATGCGCCAGAGTCATCGAGCCCCTGCTCTTGTCGTGCCCTAATGAGCTCAAAACGTAAGTCCTCAGATATGATAGGTCCAAGAAAGAAAGACTCACTCAATAATACCCCTCGCGACCAGCTCTCGACCCTGAGCATGGTTGAGCAAAGGAGCAGCAGTCTCAATAAGACCGCCGACTGCCTGAACAGCAGGAGTGACCGATTGAAGGGTATCAGTAAACCCGTCAACAAAGCCCTTCCCGAAATCCTTGACGTCTTGCCAACTCAGAGCACCACTTTCGTCAACATCTCGCAAGAAAAGCGGGGCAGCAGCTTCGACGATGGGTGCAACAGTCTTTACGATAGGGGCGACTGTATCGAAGACCTTCTTGATACCGTTGGTAATGTCGTCGAAGCTCAAAGCGCCGGATTCATCGAGGTAAGGAGAAGTTGAAGGGGGAGGTTGGCTGCTGACGTCCCGCAGAAGGAGGGGAGCGGCAGCTTCTGCGATAGGTGCCACGGTCTTCACGATGGGGGATACAGTATCCCAGGCCTTCTTGAGTCCATCAGTAATGTCATGGAAGCTCAAAGCACCAGATACGTCAAGACCCTGTTCATGTCTCGCTCTGTACGAAGAACATGATCAGCAGTGAGCAGAGTCATTGAAAAGATTTACTCACTGTATGATAGCCCGAGCGACTAACTCTCTACCTTGGTTGTGACTTAGGAGAGGCGCTGCGGTCTGGACGAGACCACCAACTGCCTGAACAGCGGGCGTAATTGATTCCACGGTGTTAGTGAAACCATCGACGAAGCCCTTGCCGAAGTCTTTGACGTCCTGCCAGCTCAAAACACCACTCTCATCTACGTCGCGCAAGAGGAGAGGAGCAGCCGCCTCAGCAATAGGTGCAACGGCCTTCACAATTGGCCCGACTGTGTCCCAGGCCTTCTTCAGACCGTTGGTAATGTCGTCAAAGCTCAAGGCGCCGCTCTCATCGAGACCTTGTTCTTGCCTGGCCCTGCATCACCAAAATGTCCATCGTTAGAATGTGATCAGAATGAGTGTAAATTAGGGATACATACTCGATAATAGCACGAGCAATTAACTCTCTGCCTTGGAAATGACTGAGCAGAGGTGCAGCCGTCTGAACAAGGCCACCGACCGCCTGGATAGCGGGAGTTACTTCCTCGACGGTATGAGTGAAACCGTCAACTACGCCCTTGCCGAAATCTTTGACATCTTGAAAGCTGAGGGCACCGCTCTCGTCGTCTTCACGGAGAAGGAGTCCAGCAAAAGGTGCAACCGCACTAAGTGTTTTGGTGAAACCATCAACGAAACCCTGGCCGAAGTCCTTGACGTCTTGGAAATTCAGCGCGCCACTCTCGTCCTGAGGTATGGCAGTAGTAGGGGCTGCGAATGCAGGGACGGCTGCTGAGGCGATGGCGATAGCGAGGACAGTAGAAGAACGCATGTCGATGCTGGATTAGAGTAGGGGACAGTAGAGTTGAAAATTCGAATTCGTGAGTCTGATGTAAATTCAAGTTCGTGAAGTCAAAAGAACGAGTGGGTTGTAAGGGATACGGTGTCGTGAAATGGAATGGGTGTAGTAAGAAAAAAGTCAGGCTGTTGAAGAGATGTTAAAGTGACATCGAAGGGAGAAGAGAACATTGGTACTCACCGACCGGCACCACGACTTAGGGAATTGGGATAATGAGACCGAATGGACTGAAGAACATTCTCCGGGAAAATTGAGCGGTTCTTAAGCAAATTCGAATGCCAAGACATTCGAGCCTGTACGCTTAAACGATTGAGAGCTAGGGGCACGTCATGTCGGTCATTTGATTGAAACTCGAAAACCACCTACGAATCGTCAAGGAGAGGTCCTCCATCAAGGACTAGCGGGTTAAGCAGGACCGCCGATAGTCCAGTCGCCGAAGAACGCTTCGAGGAACACACATCTGGCGTCGTTTCGGCTGTGGTATCAGCGATACGTTCACAGGATATAATGTGAAGGTGATGTAAATCTGCATGAGCTGTTGTAAAGGACGTGCGCTTGTAGGGATGCAACATCCCTCCTCGTTGATGTCCCTGTCAAGGAACATCAGGTGAGTTGCTCTCAAACGGCGAGCCCTTATTGCGGCGTGACTTACTGCTACTGTAAAGTGATTCTCATACACATAATTCCCTTCAAATAATCCTTACCGGTAATCACTCCCATATTCGTCGAGCATCTACAGAAGCAGATGCGAACACGACACGATACGAAAGAAGTCCGCCCTGCCCAAAGGACCCTGGATGGATTGAATGTGCAGCGATGGTGGTCACCATCCAGAGCACAGCATCGGTTACCAGAATTTCCACAACTGACAGTGACAGAATCTTGACAGAAAGTGTGGCAGTGGACGAGAGTTCTGTTCAACGTTGTCTGATAGCCGCCAAGCCCGATTAATGCTGGATGTCATATGCATGATCTTGCAATCATGCGGGAAGGAGTGTGAGCGTTGCCACCTTCTTCCTTTCTTCCGTGTATAGACCGTAGGTGATAGCAGAGGCGAAATGCGACCCATCATATGGACAAGGTGAACATGAAGCTTGGCAACGGGAAAGGGTGCAACATCATGAACAGAACGATGAAGGGATCGAAACAGCTGACCTCGCGACGCAGACGTTTTGTAGCAGCAGCGTGTGGTACCAATTCCAAAGCTATAGACTCTACTTTTGCCCAGATACTACCACGATGACATCTCACTTCGGTATTGATGTGATACGATGTAAGGAGTCCTGGGAAGGACAGGCAACCGACACGATTGAGCATAAAAGTTCAGTGAGAGGAGTCCTCGGAAATTCTAAGTAGTTTGAGACGAGACGAGAATTTGCAACGCAACCTGCATGCAGAAGTTCGCCGGCACCAGAGCGAAATGAAGCAGCAGACGATAGCTAAATCTTCATTCGAACGCCAACGTTCCTCCTCGCGCAGCCCAGAACGTTCATCAGACTTTCGTGATGGTTGAGACGAGCATATATGAGGGTATCGCAATCGCTAACCGTTAGCGATTGCAGAGTCTTAAAATCGTCTCGATAACTCTGAAGAAAAGGAAGAAGTCAGTCCGGCTCGGCCAAAAAAACCCTGAAGGTGAAGCGTAAGACACAAAATGGGACGCGCATGTATCTTGAACTCACTATGCATCGGCATAAGGTCACGGCACCTTCAGGTTGGATAAAAAGATCTAGCACATAAGTAGTGTAGTAGCTTGTAATCAATTGAGTTGACATAGTCGCCTCTCAATGGCTAGATTGGGTGCACTACTGCAAAATGGCGCAAGGCAAGGACTTTATATTCCGTTCAGAAAAGTGCAAGGATAAGAATATTGTAATGTGAGTCGGCAAGTTATGGCCACCGATAATTTCGTAGAACTTTGTGCAGGATAAGTATATTGCTGAGCGCTAATGCCACATGGTAGAAGTCTGGAAGTACTTGGAATGTTCGAACTCGAATATTTCACAATGTCACGGTCAAGTCCAATCTCAACTAGTCAGATTAAGGTCACCATACCTCGCCGAAGTTACACTCCGACTGGCAGAGTTGAAGTATGTTTCCAGCATGGACCTTTCAATTGTACAATTATACGCTAGGACTCCAAGCCAGTTCCTGAGCAGTTGTTGGGATACTAAGTCTCAGAGACTTCAAGATTTTACTAACCGTCTACAACCCAAGACAATACCCGCCTCCCGAATATCGAAGTTCGAGGTAGAATCATGATGGTGAACAGTACTAATACGCCGTACACCGGGCCCCGTGCCCCGTGCACCCTGATATTCTATCGGAACTCAGCAAGTCAAAGCAGTCGCATCCTGAGGAACAATAAAGCATGCAAGTTACCTTTCACCAAAGTGGTTAGTCGGATTTCAAAGTTTCCGAATTGTTGTGTACCATATACGATATACACTTACACATGTCTCACCATAGTAAAGTTCGCTCGCGGGTGTTTTTGTTTAGGTAAAGTCACAGTTTGAAATCGGTACAATGTCCAGTATGTACTAGTCTCCAGACTTATTGTTTCTATCTGCATATTAGGGGGCCGTGAACTTCGAATCCTACGGAAGACGGCGTCCTCAAGACTTCGGGCCGTATCTGAGTGCGGGACATGTTGTGGGCACTCAGTTGGAATGTTTCAGTAACCGGCATAATGTCAGTCCTTTCCCTCCCTCTTTTCCCGGCTAGGATTCTGTTTGACGTCCATCGGGCATCAAATTTAGAATAGGATCCGTTGCCCATCGACTCAGATCCTTTGGATGCCAGCGCCGAGCCGTTGAAGAGCTTCTGCGATTAAAAAAAATTATATCGAGAACTCTCACTCCGCGTTGTTTTCAAGTCGATGGTGTTCCCTTGCCACCGCAGGACATTGAGCAGATAATTTGTGCGAGTTTCTGCGGACTCGCTACTTTACAGGCGGGGTGAGGGTGCGCTAAACGGGACGCTGTGTGTGCTCGTCTACTTAGCCCCTTCATCGAGCATGACATAATTGTTGCAGACAATAGTGCCCGCTCGCTCACCGATTTTTCAGGCACGCAACCGGCTTTCATCTTCCTATCGAACAAGAAAACTGCGGCGTCACTAGCAGACGTGCCTGTCCCGAATAAAATCCAATTCTCTATTGTCAATGTCGGACCAATCGTGTTTATGGGTCTTGGACAGAGTCTAGAGTCAAAAGAAATATGCTCTCTGCTATATAAGTACTGGCTCTCACAGTCTCCAGGACCTCAGAAGTCGATCCAGTCTTCTTCGTTGAACCTACTTCTTCACATCCAACCTTCAACTTTGTCTTCGGACTTTCATCCTTATACGAGGACAAATGGATTCTTTCTTCTCCATCGCTGCTATCACTCCTGCAGAGGAGACTCAAGTCCCTACCAATTATGAGGGATCAGGGAGCAATGGCTCTCCCCAGTGCACTATCGCTTAAGCTTGCGAGGACCTGTATGTTTCCCGTCTGTTTTCTCTGTGATGTTAAACTGAATAGTCATTTCAGACAGCTCATTTATCATCTCCACCCTTTTCGACCTTCTCTGGGATGTCAAATTTCAAGTTCCTTTGTTTTTGTTCGCACATACGATACAATAAATGCACTATGCGCCTATGCGCTAACGGTCTATCTTAACTGTACTATTATTTGGGCACCCTAGTCTTACGGGTCAGTGTGGGAGGACATTGTAGAGGTGATGCATACGGCTGGGAGGGCTGGGATTGTTTTGGGTTGGATAGAGGGGGGAAAATGAATTTGATTACTTCGAACCATGATTTACAATGTTGATTGAACGCACGTTGGCATGCTCTTTCGCCGATGTGAATGGATACTTTACCATATTCGAAGTGAGACCATCTGATATGGCTACTGCTTTATATCCTAACATGTGCAAACAATCCTCCCAACTGCTCCAAAATGTTGAACGGTTTCCCTCCATTTCTATCGAAATAATTACAACATGTCCGCAATTGCTTGCAAAAAAATAACGCCTTTCACTCTGCCGCGAAATAGGTTTCCCCTTAGGCGGTGCTCGGACCGTCTATGTCAAGCGACTCATCGCGGCGCGACTCTCTCACTAGCAAATGACCCTTCCCGCCATCTTACATCTAAGAGCGGCATGACAGGCGATACATCATGTCTTAATGCCAAATCCCTCTACTCACAAAAGGTCCCCACCATCTCACGACAAAGCCGACGCCAATCGGCCCAACTAGAGTGCACAATAAGATCGCCCAAATGCAGACCAGGAACGCCTCTTCGCCGAGTAAAGCTCCTCCCGCGTTAGAACCTGCCTTGCTTCCATTCCGAGCTATCTGAGCTATAAGCAATCCGATTTCTCCTCGAGCTATCATAGCAGAGCCTATGAAGAACGCAGGTGCAAGGGATAACTTGAGTCGGGTAACGAAAGGTGGGCGTAGATGGACGGGAAGTGCCGGTGATAGAGTTTGCTGAGACACTCCGTCGTTGGAAACCGTCAAAGATACTGGCGAAGGCGAGGTAGGTAGCGGCCTAGTCGAAGTCAGACGGGGAAGCTCTATATCCTCGTGTCGGTTATGTGGGGTAGGGTGAACAGTCCGTTCTCGACTGAAACAGGCTAGAGTCCTATGAACGTGCGACGCCCAAAAGCCGCCAGAGTTCTCGCCAGGCTGAGTGATATTAGGATCTGGCGGCCATATAGTCGATGCAAGGATAGGTAAACCGACAGCGAGTTTACCGACAGCCATGAGAAGGGAATACAACATGCCTCTCCAAAAGACTTTCGGTCGCCAGAGTGAGATGAATGGCTGAAACAGATTAGATTAGGGTACCGTAATGCAGTACAGCGAGAAATGACATACTATTGCATAGCCAATGCTCGCGAAGAAGAGTGGTGCGAAGACATACTGTTGAATGGGACCTACTATCCGTATGAACGTCTCTTCAAAGGATAGTTGTTTGAGTCTGCGCTTTACAATGACCTCGATGTTGTCAGATCCTTGTGGTGATAAGTCTTCTATCTTGATATCCGAAGGACGAGAGATATAGCGCAGAACACACCCAGCGAGGTAAGCACCGAATAGCACGCTGCTACCCGTATCTATGAACCACAGTAAGCAGAGAAGACAGATTAAATAATCTCCATAACTTACAGTGAGCGATGGCGGAGAAGGCAGAGACAAATCCTACCATGAGGAACAGCTTGGCAGCGTCAGCATGAGCTTCTGTTCCCCACCCGCTGCTCCTGGGGTTCTCGGAGCTAATTCCAAAGAATATCCTTGCGCCCCAACGTTTTCCAGGACACACGGGAGCGCACCATTGTTCTCCAAATCCTCTGAACCAGAAGATGGGTCGAAGAAGGTATCGTGCTACCAGTGGTGTGACGACTGTGATAAGGAAGGAGAAGACTAGAGGATGTATGATCGTCCAGATGAGGTTTGAATGAGAGTCGCCATTATTTAAAGCGGATAATTCAGGTATCATTGCAGCTAGCACAAGACCAATGACGTCGTCAATCACTGCAGCACTGATCAAAATGGTGCCAATTCTTGTTTGCTGAAGAGGTACATTCATTGCGGCGCCTACATCGAGGCCTAAGTAAAACTTTGAAACTTGATTTGTATAAGAAAAAATACTGACCGGCAGAGCTAACAGAGACGGCGGAAGAGTCCTTATTCCTTGCCACGACACTTGTAGGAGGTAAAAGCACGCCGTCATTGGGTCCTTCGGATGAAATTAGCTGAGTGGGTGGGACCAGCGAGTTCGCTGATGTTTGGCTGACGTTTCTCAATGCCACTAAGGTTGTACCCAGGCTGGTAGATGAGAGTGCAGCACCTGCAGCAAATGCTTCCAGAGGCGAATAGCCATAACCCGCAGTGAGAAGTGCAAAGGACAATGCAACCGGTATTGTGATACCCACAACTGCACACAACAAGGAAAGCGGAAGGTTCGACAGAAGTAGAGGAAGGTTTGTCGATAGGCCTCCTAGAGATACGAAACTCGATGGAGAAATATTTGTTCAATGCTGGACAGTGTTACTTACCTTCGAAAACGATCCCTATCAAGCCTAGATATCCCAGCGCGGTGAACGTACCCTCCCAAACCTGGGGCAAAATCCCCGCTAACGGTGCGCCATATATCATTCCAAGACATATCATGGCCACGATTCCGGCATGGAGGAAGTAATCTGCCCCTACTCTGACAAGATTGAGGAGGTAGATGAAGGATAACAGGATCAGCAACTCCGTCAGTGGAGGTTGAGAGTATGGGAAGGCATCCGAGGTAGTAGTGAGAAATGAAGTATAGGAGAAATATGAGGACATTTCGACCATAATGAGGTGTAATGCGAGTTATAACGACGAATGAGTCTGAAAGTCCGCTACAAGAGTGCGAACTTTTCGATGTTGCTAAGGGTGGTTTATCGAGGAGTCGGTTCATTTGTTTTTATTTTCTATGCCATCAGTAACAGTTCTTTGAAAAGAATATAGACATGTCTCTGAAGACGGAGAAAGTTGAAAACCAGAAAAAGCAGAGTTGCCGTTGACAGATTATGTGGCTGTGCAAGCCAAGCACCCACCGTCACGGTACAACTTGACCGTACTGTTACGATCACATTCATTCCGGATCTACGGACACACCTTTTCCTCTCGTTATTCATTTGTAACCACTTATTAAAACCTACCCAAACACACTCATTGATCCATGCTCGAACCTGACCGATACCATAAGTATATATGAACACATTGTTACCGCATGTATTTAGATAATAGTTGTATATATACGCCAGACGAACTTCGGATTAACTCCAAGTTTCGAATGGTTTTACCTGCTCATTTCTAAATTGATTTGAGTCCTATCATAATTCGAAACTTGCCCCTTCGCACTCTCTCGACAGGCATTGCCTCGTCCTCCACCCACTCTTCACCTCACTCAAAGTCCGTTGTACTCGACGGCAACCACCTTGTTCCTCATCCCACTCTGCTTTAGTCTTACTCGCTCAAGACCTCATTCGGAGGGATCCGAATTCCACATTCCTAGTTACTTTTTCTATCGCACTCCATTCCTCCACCTGGGTAATCACGCGACTACACCTGTAGATTGCGACCCTTGTATTCCCTTTGTACATAAATCATTACTCTCACCTGGTAGTCCGCTCTTGAAGCAACCAGGAAGTAGGCGGTGCTGCAACCTTCTTGACAGAGGGGCCGTTGAAAAAATCCTACCAGAATTTACCCTGCTCAGACCTAAACGACTGAGTGTACGGCAGGAGGTTTTGAACCTCGCTGGTATTTCTTGATCCTCTCGCACGTCGAAAGACAACTACCGCAGAGATCAATTTCTCTTTTTGCGCCTTCAAAGGCCAAAACATTTTACGTAGCTACTACATATACCTACCTCATGTGTCCGGATCGGCTATTGGCCGGAACACTTTGAAGGAGTACCTTTACCTTGGATCTATACTCGTCTAAGTACCAGAACAGGGTCGTGCGCCTGGTACAAGACACTATTGTTCACACATCACGTCTTCATTTGAATTTCCTGACTCCGTACCCATCTACCAATTCTACGAACGCCGATCACAACCTCCTCTCTTACCTCCATCACACTCATCCTTCACACACTCCACACCACCATCACCATTGTCAGAAATGGGTTCCACCGAAGCCGGAACTGGTGATCTTGAACAAAATCCAAACCCACCCCGACAACCACCACCAGTCCCACCACAACCAAACACAAAGGCATCTGGAGCGAAACCTTCAGATTTTGACGGATCAAAAGACAAATTCCTTGCTTTCAAAAGGCAATTGATATTATGGTTCCGAACACCCAAGAATATCGGTCTTACTGATGAACAGAAAGTCGATATGACTCTTTCGTATATGAAGGGTCCAAAGATTGACAACTGGGTCAACAATTATTTTGACAATAATTTCGATATCGATGCAAACAGCTGGAGAATAACTTTTCGTCAACTGATACTCGATCTACACGAAGCGTTCCTCGATGTAAATCGAATCGAACAAGCAGTTATCCAGATGGATAACTTGACCCAAGGCAATGGGACGGCGCAAGAATATTTCCAGAAATTGGAAATGTACATCACGCAGGCAGGCAGACAACGGGAAGATAAACACACCATCGACCTTGTCCGACTGAACTGCAATGAGTCCATAGTAGATAGGGCTCTTGACAGAGACACGCGACCAACCACTTATGCACAGTGGAAGGAAGCGATCATTGATATTGATTCCTCGCGAAGGCAGCGGGAAGAAGAGAAGCGTCTGAAGAAGATCGGATATCGACCTTTCCGATCAAACCAGAACTATGGGCAGAAGTACCCTAGTTATCAGCAGCAGACCCAAGGATCGGGTCAGAACCAGAATCAGAGTCCAAAGAAGGACTACGGAGAAAAGAAAGATGGAACCGGGACAACGTTCACAGGGCGTGGACAGCCCATGGACTTGGACAGAAATTGCCTTAAGTGTAAGGCTAAGCAATCAGAGAAGGGCACTTGCGGAAGTGCATGGCATGTCCCCAATCGATCGGGACCTTCCACGAACACTCAACGTGTTCGAAAGAATGAAACCAAGACAGAGTCCAAGATCGAGGAGATCTCCGACTCAGATAATGACGATGATGACAAGATGATCGCCATGGTTCGGCGATGGATGGAGAAGAACCCGGAGAAGGCGAAGAAGCTGAATTTTGGCTCGGGCAAGGCTTAAACGCACAAAGTAACTTGCCGGATAAGAACAATGACTCGGATAAACCCCTGGAGGGTTCTATGAAAACATCCTCGACACATGCATATAGTACTCAGACTGGACAGTTCCCTTTTGTAAATATTTCATCTAACGCAGAGGCATCTTCTACCAAGAAGCGCGGCAGGGCGGAACCTGTGCTTGATTCCTCTAAACAAAATACAAAAAAATTTGAAAACAAACCGAGTGCGTCGGAAAAAAGTATCACAGATGTTGGACCACCACTACTCCGAGTTGTCAAAGGACTCGGAAGAGGGAAACAAATGGACCTACCGGTCACTGTGATCATCCCAGAAACAGAAAAAATCCATGATACAGTAGCATTAGTCGACACCGGTAGTACCGGATCATGCATAAATTATAATTTCATCAAAAGACACGGAATTGAAACCTCCAGATTTGATCAACCAATTCAAGTCTATAACACCGATAACAGCGAGAATTCTCAGGGACCGATCACAGAATATGTCCGACTTACACTTCGAATCGGCGATCACCAAGAGAAGATCATGCTTCTAGTTACCGATCTGGGGAAGTCAGACATATTCCTCGGATATGAATGGATTGAATACCATAATCCATCAATAGACTTCAAATTGCAACTTGTTGACTTTAACCGATGCCCACACATGTGCGTCACTATCAGACAACAAGAGATCGAAGAAGGAGATACCGTATATTTACTCAATACCAATGCTTGGTATAAAGAACGGGGAGAATATATTCAACGAATGCGCGTAACAGCCATGGACATAGCAATCGAACAAAGTAAACACAAAAAGAAAAAGACCTTTGAAGAAATGGTTCCCGAACAGTATCGTGAATTCACAGACGTATTCACTGAGGATACTTTCGATGTCCTTCCAGAAAGAAAACCATGGGACCATGCAATAGAATTGCTACCAGACTCATCGCCATATGCAGGCAAGGTGTATTCTATGACCGTTGAAGAACAAAAAATCCTAGATGGTTTTCTTGAAGAAAACCTAAAGACGGGAAGAATCCGACCATCAAAGTCTCCCTGGGGAGCACCCTTCTTCTTTGTCAAAAAGAAAGATGGCAAATTGCAACCGGTACAGGACTACCAAAAACTCAATGATATGACCAAGAAAAACAAATATCCTTTACCATTAATCTCGGAGCTTATTGATAAGCTCAAAGGTGCTAAATATTTCACGAAACTGGATATTCGCTGGGGATACAATAATATTCGCATGAAAGAAGGAGATGAAGAGAAAGCCGCATTCATCACAAATAGAGGATTATATGAACCAACTGTCATGTTCTTCGGATTGACAAATAGTCCTGCTACATTCCAGATGATGATGAATGACATTTTCCGTAATCTCATTCTCAAAGAAAAAGTAATCATATATCTTGACGATATACTCATATTTTCTGAATCCCTGGAGGAACATCGCCGTATTGTGAAAGAAGTCCTTAAAATATTACGAGAAAATAAGTTAACCTGCAAACCAGAAAAATGCGAGTTTGAAACTCAAGAAACAGAATATCTCGGACATATCATTTCGCAAGGAACTGTAAAGATGGATCCTGCCAAAGTCGATGGAGTTACGCAATGGCCAGCACCAAAAGCCAAAAAGGAATTACAGTCATTCCTTGGATTCGCTAATTTCTATCGACGATTCATCAAAGACTTTTCTAAAATTGCCACTCCTCTGAATAAATTAACCGGACAAGTAGAATGGACCTGGGGTCCAGAACAGCAGGAAGCTTTCGAACTTCTAAAGAAAACCATTACCACGGCACCGGTATTGGGTATTCCGAACAATGAAGATCAGTTCAAAGTCGAATGCGACGCATCGAAATATGCTATTGGAGCAGAACTTGCACAGAAGCAAGATGGACAATGGCGCACCATCGCCTTCTTATCGAAAAGCCTTTCACCGGCTGAAAGAAACTATGAGATCTACGATCGAGAGATGCTAGCCATCATGATCTCATTAGAAGAATGGCGTCACTTCTTGATGGGAGCTGCACAGAAATTTGAAATTCATTCCGATCACAAGAACCTTGGCTATTTCAAAAAACCCCAGAAGTTGAATCATCGCCAGGCGCGATGGATCCAAGAATTACAACAATATGATTTCAATTTGACCCACAAACCCGGAAACACAATGACGAAGGGAGACCCTTTATCACGACAGACCCATCATGATATTGGAGATAGCCATAATGAAAACATTACGTTGTTAAAACCAGAATGGTTCCGAGCCAATGAAATCCTCGGATCATCAGCTTTACGGGAGAAAATCATAAAAAACACTGATAAATATGAAAACAATGTACAATTAAAACTATTGACAAAAGATGCCGACTTCAATGAGACCGAGGACGGTCTTATCTGGAGAAGGGGGAAAATTGTTATCCCTTTCGACAAGGAACTTAGAGGAGAAATCATTCATTCACATCATGATTCGATTAGTGCTGGTCACCCTGGACAAGCAAAAACACAAGAACTAATCTATCGATCATACTGGTGGCCTTCGATCAAAAAAGATGTAAAAACATATGTAAAAGGCTGCGAGACTTGTCAAAAAACCAAGATTAACCATCAACCGAAGAATGCTCCATTGCACCCAAATGCAATTCCGGAACACAACTGGGAATATCAATCTGTAGACATGATTACACATTTACCAGAATCGCAAGGGCATGATGCGATCATAGTAGTTGTGGACATGAAATCAAAAGACTACATTGAAATACCAACCACAGAGCAATTGACGTCAGAAGGATGGGCTAACCTTTATATCAAAAATGTATATCCGCTGCACGGATTACCAAAAAGGATGACATCAGATCGAGGACCACAATTCGTATCCAGCTTCATAAAAGATTTATATAAGAAACTAGGAATTCAGGGAAATCCTAGTACGGCATATCATCCACAGACAGACGGACAAACAGAGCGAATCAATCAAGAAATTGAAAACTATCTACGAATATTCATCAATCATCGACAAACTGACTGGCCAGAATGGTTGCCACTGGCAACATTTGCATATCGAAATAGAGTCCACTCTGCGACTGGATTTTCACCATTCTACATGAATCACGGACGAGAAGCCTACACTGGTGTAGAAACCAAAAAGGAAATTCGTAATGAAACTGCAGAGCAGTTTGTAGCACGAATGAAGAAAATCCAAGAGGAAGCATCGGCATCATTAACACTTGCACAAGATGTTATGAAAAGACAATACGACAAACATAAAGGCGAAGCCATAAATTATAAAGACGGAGATTTAGTGTGGCTTGAAGCTACGCATATACGCACGGACAGATCAAATCGAAAATTAGATGATAAAAGATATGGACCATTCCCAATTATCAAGAAAATTGGAGCTAGCGCATATAAGCTCAAATTACCAAAATCATGGAAAGGCGTACATCCTGTATTCAATGAAACTTTATTATTGCCATATCACGCACCGGAATTTCCAAATCAGAAAACACACAAAAACATTCCAATAATTATTGATATCTTAGAAGACAAAGTTGAATCTGTACTAGACTCCAAGATGGCACGTGGAGGCCTTCAATACCTAATCAAGTGGGCTGGAAAACCACATTCTGAGAACACATGGGAACCTCGTCATAAAATTATTAAAAATATAGACAAAAAGATTATCGACAAATTCCATAAAGATCATTCCGATGCGCCGAAAGCACCCACAAGAATATTGCTAAAGGCACAAATTATGGAACAGTCATTTCCTAGAGAAGCGACACAAGAAGAATGGGATTATTGGGATCAGAAAGTACAGAGATGGGCAGAACGAAGAAAGAAAGAAAAAGCAATGATATCCGTAGACCCAGATTCAATTAAATTATTCGAAAATCGAAGAAAAGCACAAATCATATCTAATCAGCATTACCTGAATGCCGGCGAGTTATGGATCATCAATGAGCAGATGCTCAAACTGACACACGTGGCAATCACATCCGCGCCTACGAAAGTCAAACTCGAATGGCAATACCCCATTCTCTCCTTCTACCAACTCATCAAACCAATATCAATCCCAAGTATGGATTCTCCCATTCTAGAACAATCATTCACTCAACCAATGAAAGCCCTTTGGTAGAAATGCTCGACGACGCTGTCATCATATTCATCTCTGTAGGAAGCGCCTACTTGGTGATAATCACCATCTGTCTTTGCGTCTACCGAATGCGACTTCGAGAAGAAGAAAATTCAGAAGAATGGATCATCATGGTATGATTGAACAATTTCACACTCTATCATAATTAATCGTGAGGACACGATTCTAGAGGAGGGGGTAATGTTACGATCACATTCATTCCGGATCTACGGACACACCTTTTCCTCTCGTTATTCATTTGTAACCACTTATTAAAACCTACCCAAACACACTCATTGATCCATGCTCGAACCTGACCGATACCATAAGTATATATGAACACATTGTTACCGCATGTATTTAGATAATAGTTGTATATATACGCCAGACGAACTTCGGATTAACTCCAAGTTTCGAATGGTTTTACCTGCTCATTTCTAAATTGATTTGAGTCCTATCACGTACGCCATCATTTTCCCCGCCCCCGTTGTCCCTTCTTCATGGACTCAGACAACGAACGGGATATACTGCACTAATCTGCCACTGAGACTATATTTGGTGGCAATTTGCTTCATGGTACGTCCTTAGACTTCCTACACTTCGAGACGTTTCTCATTTTGGCACAGATAGGCAGGACAGAAACTGTTTCAGAAAGCAGAGAGAAGGGAAGGAGCTCTCTCTGCTCTTTTTAAAGTGTATAATTTTGATGACCTATTGAAACTCACTGACGATGACTATATGGGTAAGTTTCGTGTAGCACGATTCATCCAAACGATCAAATTTCCATGTTATAGGTGATGCATTTCGACCGTACTATTCAGTTGAAGCTACTGAGATATTGCTGCCATTGTAATAGGGTCGTCTCAACCTGACTGGAAGACACTAGCCTAGATATGAATCTCTCATGGCGAGATAAAATCCCTTTCTGCAAAGTGTGATTCGGGTTCGTGAACATCCTACGGTCGGAGAGGACGTATCAAAAGAGTTCCGGATGACATGGCTGACGGACCGTAGGTCCTTCACGATAGACGGAATGTTCAAAGGCACAGACAAGTCCGATTCATATATTTATTCGTCGTTAGTTTTGAACTACAAACTTTCGCGGACACGTTGTTTGATGTATTAGCATCGCATCCGACCCCGTTTTTCAGATACTCTTATTTCCAGGATTTGCCTCCGAAGTCAGCTCATCGTATCATGGAGCTCGCGGATGAGAAATCTACTCCCAATCTCGCGTTCACTTGTCGATTTTCAGAGAGAATTTCACTACCGTACGTTTATCAAGTTCGTCATTTTTTCATGTTTCCTAGTACACCAGCTACTGCAATCAAGACTTGCTCATTGATTTTAGATTGCAACTTATACCTTGAAAATCCCATTGCCTGCAGAAATCGCATGGCTACTGCAATTACCCATGCTCGGATAAGATTCCTTGACCAAGCAAATTATCTTTGCAACTGCCCAGGCATCCTTAGGCATTTGCAGAAACTTCGTATCTGCGGACCCTGGCATATGGACCGACTGAACGTCGACATTCTGCAGGACGGAACCAGTTGTTACCGTCATTTCGAGCCTCTTCTGGAGAGCATAGAACCCGGGAAGTTTATTCACTTACTGTGACCAATTTTCAACGTTTCACTCGAGGTTATGGAAACGATCATCTCATTGCCGAAACTTCATATACCTGACATTAGTCGATCTCGCCTTACTTTCATCGATGGCCAGCTTCCATCTCGATCAGTTTACAGTCTGACCCTGTCCTTAGGTGAAGATTCGCAATATGGTGCTTGGTCTCTGCTTTGACAGCCATACACACCCTCACCGTTCATGGACCAGGCAAGCTCAATTCCCTTCCTCCTCGAACCTTCACGGATGTGATCGATCCATTCAAGACGGTTGAACGATTGGCTTACACCAATATCTCTTACTATGAACTTTGCTGGTTGAATGCCTGGTTTCGGGCAGCTAATACTGGAAACCCTGTCGCCTGACCTATCTCAAACTTGAATGAGTAGGGCACACGGCTTCGGTGCGCTGCGGTTGAACGACATTATTGATACTCTTCATGGAGCGCCCATGGAGTGCTTCTTACTCGACTCAATGGAGTCGATTTCGTCGGACTGTTAACCTTGGCAGGCCTGGCTGAAGTGTTTCCTAACATTGTATCCTTGACTAACATTTACGTCAAGCTCAATCGAGGCCAGCCATCGCGGTCTTCTGTCGTTTGTCCAAACTGCATTTGGGGGCACACTGTAGCGTTGTCGGGATTCGGTCGGTTACGCATCTTCAGATAGAACATCGTATAGACATGGAGGATCCTCTTTCTGCAGTTCGACGGATACGCAAGCGCCGACGAGTCTTTCGAGTCAAACCCTACACCGTTGAATCGACCGTCCAACTTCTGGTCTAATCGAAGCCGTGGTCTTTTTAGAGTGTAATGTTCCATTTCTAGAGTACCGGATAGAAATGAGTCTGTCTGGTTACTATTTGTATGATCCTGGCATCCTTAGTCGAAAACCTTGACTCATGCTTTAACTTTCATTTCTCCCCGTTCCCATTAGCACCAGCGCCTATCTCTGGCCATTCGCTGTTTCTGCTCATGATCAACGTATCTCTTATTCGCGTAATCGCGGCACCCTCGCGTTATCATGCAGTTGCTGATAAAGGGGCGGCGTGTGAGCGTTCTAAAGGCTGCTCTTTCTGTTATTAAACGCTCGTCTGTAGAACTTCTCGACGCTCACTACTGACTACTTAGTATCAGTGCATTCTTATCCTTTTTGTCTATCTGGCCCACTAATTGGAGTTAGGTTGAAGCCAAGAGTTTCGGAACGATACACTATCTTCTTCTGCTGCATGAGGGAGTCATTTCACAGTCACGCCCTATCTCGTGCGACCTTCTTATCAATACAGTTTAGTGGCTATAAGTAGATAAACGGACACCCGCGCAACCCTGCAACTCCTCGTCGTCCTGATTATCGCGTCAAACGATGCAAGGATACCAGCTGTTGAAGGAAGCGGTTGGTGGCGAGGGTTTTCATCGCCCTCCTTTCAGCCGACGACTGGCATGGGCCGCGCTATTCTCGACTGTCTTTCTTACATCCTCGGTTCTTTATGCCTCCAGGTGGACGGATAGGACCAGCGAACTTCAAGGGTTTCACGCGAACGATGTCCCTCTCAAACAGTGCCCCTCTGGACTTCCGCCTCCGGCAAAGCCACCTGCTCAGGTGAACTTATGGACTGGCCTAACTGTGGACGAGACTGTTGCGATCACAGATTGGCTCAGTGCGCCGGAACGAGATCTCAACTTGACGTTGAGTGATCGTGCAGCCCTTGGTGATAATATTATCTATCATATTGAAGCCTATAGACCATCCAAGGCAGAGGCGCTTGCTTATTTGGAGTCGCCTTTGGACGAGAAGGTACCACAAAGATTTGCGAGAGTTACGATTCATCATGGATCAGTGAACGAGCCTTACATTATGGATTATCTCGTCGGACCCCTTCCAATCACCCACAAGACATCTATGAGAGAGCTGACCGAGATATATCATCGTAATCCGGTCCCTTTCAATGCCCGCGGATATACTGCTGTCGTGTTTGCTGAACTAAATCCGTTGATGTCTAAAATCATGGCACCTATCGAGGACATTGTTAAGGTCTGGATTTCCTGCTGCTGAGCGAAATAATTATAATTTATGTGCTTAACGTCGTAGGAACTCTTTGGCAATGTGACATTGGTTGCAGCTGCAAATGGACCTATGAGTTTTGATGGTTCGTTCCGTCGTTCGTGGATATCGTGGAGACGGAAGGTTTCCGGTCCGTGGTTACATCCTGTCGGATTCTTTCAGTATGTCGATATCAGTGGGCCCGACCCATCCAAATGGAGACTGCTCAAGGTGAGAACTACTTATTGCAGTTTTCGAGAGGACATTGCTCAGAATCCATAATCGCGTGCTAGATCGTCTACAATCACCAAGTCTTCACAGATATCGATTCCTTCATCGATGCTTTTCGTAACGGAACTTTAAAACGCATTCCTTCCCGGCCAGACCAAAAAGAAGATGTTTCTTGGAGCACTCGGAAGCGACCTGGTGCTCAACGAGATTTAGATCATCTCCCCGGTCCCCGTTCTGTGTCATTCGGTGGTTTGCGATTCAGAGTAGACCGTGCTTTGCAATATGTCAGCTGGATGGGTTGGGGTTTGTACCTTGGCTTCGATCGAGATATGGGTCTATCCCTCTGGGATATACGATTCAGGGATGAACGTTTGATCTATGAGGTTCGCCGGATGCAGAGATATTGCTCGAAGTCATGATGAATGCCTGACTTCTTTCCTCTAGCTATCTCCTCAGGAAGCAATCGCGCAATATGGTGCTCCGTATTAATTGTGATATTGTTCCTATCCGTCTAACACAACGTCACACAGCCGGAAATGACCCTATGCAAGCGACTACCGCTTGGCTTGATAGGTACTTCGGCATGGTACGTATGTAGTCATGGAACATACTCATCACGGCTTATATTAGCTCGCACTAGGGATCTGCTGTACGCGATATGCTTCCGGGATATGATTGTCCACATGAGGCGGTTTACCTTCCAGCTACTACATTCACACACATGGGAACCATCATCAGAGAAAGAGCGATATGCATTTTCGAGCAGGACACGGGTCGCCCCATTACTAGACATACGGGATATGACGAGGAGGAATTTGGTGCAGTTCGTGGTTACGTGCTGACAATTCGAAGCACTTCCACAGTTGGGAAGTAAGTCGTGCATACTTCGTATCTGAAGCTCTTCTAACTTAGTTTCGCTAAGCTATGACTACTGTGAGTTTGACATCTTCGAAGGGTGAACTCTACTAATGCAGGGCTCTCGGGATGATGGCAGTGGTAAGCAGTACCGACAATGAAAATGATAATGCTTCTTATACGGTTGCCCTAGTTTGACTATATGTTCCATATGGACGGTACCATCGAAGTGCGCCTGTCAGCATCCGGCTACCTTCAAGGTGGGTATTGGGAAAGTTCCCAAGAAGCGTACGGGACCGCGATTCGTGACACCTCGAGTACGTTCTTTACCTTCATTAGAAGACAGATTCGAAATTGATGGACGTTGCAGTGGGTTCTCTTCATGACCATGTCATCAACTTCAAGGTTCCTGAGTTTCAGTAATCGTCGATGAATGAAGCTAACAGTTTTGCAGGTCGATTTGGATGTCGCTGGGTCCGAGAACTCTTTGTTGTTCACGCATACTGTACAGGAGGAAGTTGAGCAACCATGGCTCGATGAGGACTGGGGAAGCAAAGCGATACAACAGAAGATCCTCCGTGACTATATCGAATCAGAGGACGATGCTCTCCTAAAGTACCCTCTCAATTTCCAAGGAGGATATTCAATTGTGAACCGAGAGAAGACTAACAGATGGAACACGCCTCGTGGATATGCTATTCACCCTGGCTACTCTCCAATTCACAACGTAGGTGTTCCGATTCTCAGTAAAGGCTGCAAAGCACAACAATTGGCTGATGTTCTTCGTAGACTGTTGTTGGCTCCAAGCGGTTGCTGAACAATGCTAACTGGGCGCGGTACAATCTAGCTGTATCACGTCGGAAGGATACCGAGCCAACCTCAAGCAGCATGTGGAACCTGAACTTACCTGGTGCTCCTATGGTCGACTTCCACAAGTTCTTCGATGGAGAGAATCTCACTCAGCAAGACCTAGTTGCGTGGGTTAATGTTGGCATGCATCATCTGGTAAGTTTCACAAACGTTTCAAAATGTCGCCTTTCTGACAGTTTGCCTAGCCTCAAGCAGAAGATTCTCCCAACACTCGCACCAATGTTGCAGCATCCAGGTTAGTACGATCGTTGGGACACCATTACCACGAAGCTAATTCACCCATGCCAGCTTCTTGCTGACACCACTTAACTACTTCGACTCTGATATCTCAATGGACTCCACCAATGCAATTTTGCTCACGCCTCCTCAAGTACCTGGTGACCCCTTCGGTTACAATGATTATGGTGTGAAAGCCGTAGAATGCATTCCCGACGCGGTCCCACCGTTCGAATACAAAGGGCTCAAAGCGTTTGGGCTGGACGGGAAGGAGGCACCACCAGCGAGTATCAAGCAGTTGAGGAACGAAGCTGAATTGTATCATCGTATTGAAGTGGAGTTGTAAAGCCAATTATACTACAGATAAACTTTGGAAACGAGCGTGTCTATTGTTATCGCATGACATGATCATAATACACATGAGGGGTTCAGGCGTCCGCAGATCTCGAATCTGCTCTGAAAATAAGGACAGGTATTTGTAAGGTACACTGACCAGGCGACATGTGAAGCATGAGGGTAATGTAAAGATCCGCATTATCGTTTATGGCTAAAAAGGTATTACGATAGCAGAATGATGGGGATCCAGAAAGCAGAGAAATATCAACCGAAAGAGGAGGTGACAGTGTACGTGGACGAAGGATCGACGATGAAAACAGAATCTACGGTTTGTTGGAAGGTGATGCCCATTTCTTATATGCAGGATCGTCAGGTTTCGTGTCAGGATGTATCTGAATTTTGCCTTCCCACAACGCGGCGGAGGACTTGGACGGGTCAAAATGTGCTGGATCCGACAATGCAGTTGGTGATTGTGGCTGTGGCGACCATCCCGCACCGATGGAGGAGGCCACCAACGATGGCACCATAGTCATAAGTGAAGGGCTGGATGGATAAATTAACGACTAGGAACAACAGACAAAAACTAGAAATACTTACATGGCAGCTTGAGACTTAGGAGCAATAGTAGGAACGGCCTTTCTACTCTTGCCCACATAAGACGATGCGCGCATGCGACCTCCCCTTACATGGGCAAAAGTGTTTAGGTTATCACGGACCATTTGAATGGCAGTATTCCATTCGGCTTCTGGACTAGCGGTGGGGAGGACTTCGGGGTTGGGTAACAATCGGATCTTGATGAAGAAACGTTCCACTGGACCATTGGGTATCATGCGAATGAGTGCGCCCAGGGGAATAGAGACGAGGCCGAGAGCAATGGAGATACCCCATTCACGTCCACCGATGCGAGTAACTTGGAAAGCGGCGCCTCCGACGAAGACGATCAGAATTTGGATACCAACCTCTATGGCGACGTTAGCGAAAAGAGACAAACATGAGATTGAGAAATTAACGAACCAATTAATGTAATGCCCATAAAGTAGTAATTACGCAGGACGCCTTCGAAAATATTCAGTTTATTATCCAGACGGCGAGAGTTGATGGAGTTGAAAATTTGAGCGAAGACAAAAATGTTGAACACGAGAGTTTGAACAGTATCATCATGCTGCTTCTGTAAATCAGAATCATTTTCGTGGTGGAAACCAAGGATCTTGGTGCCGAGGAAGTGGAAGACCAGAGTGATTACTGTCTGGTATAAAGACTGGCCAATAATCTGCTTGTACATATCGACAGAGAAGAGTGGCGCCGTTTTCTTCTCTGGTTTACGGTCTAAGAGTGCTGGCGACGCCGGGTCAGTAGCGAGAGCGAGAGCAGCAAACGTGTCCATGATAATGTTGACCCAAAGCAACTGAACTGCGGAGAGGACGGACTCCTCCTCATTTGAGGCCACAGCTGATACGAACGTGATGATAACGGCGGTGATATTCACGGAAATCTGGAACTGCAAAAATTTGCGGACAGCGTCGTTCACGCAACGTCCCCACATAATAGCCTTGACGATGGAAGCGAAATTGTCATCCATGAGAATGATATCGGAAGCCTCCTTGGCGACCTCAGTTCCGGCGATACCCATGGAGAATCCAACGTCGGCCGTTTTGAGAGCAGGGCCGTCATTTGTACCGTCACCAGTAACACCGACGATCTCGCCAAGAGACTTGAGCTTTTCGACGAGAATCTTCTTGTCTTCCGGTGACGAACGGGCCAGAACCTGGAGACGAGGTACAACCTCAAGCAGATCGGCGTCGTTCAGCTGCCGGAAGACGGGACCTTCCATAATGATACCGCCCTCGGTGTAGATACCGCACTGAAGAGCAATTGAACGAGCAGTGAGGACATTATCACCAGTGCACATCTTAACGGCGACGCCCGCCTTTCGGCAGTCAGCCACGGCCTGACGGACACTCTCACGCAGGGGGTCTTCGATACCAGTGATGGCGATGAGTGTCATGTCCTGAGCGAGGTCGTCGTATGATACCTGCCAAAAATCAGAATGATCGCTTGAGCCCTGTGTAAATAAACCTACCTCATCCTCCGATTCAAAGTGAGTTCCCGGCGGAGGCCAAGAATCAAAGTCGCGGTAGCATACACCGATTGTGCGAAGACTTTGGTTAGCGTAGAAAATGATCGTCCTTGACATGTTGTCGCTTGCGAGCTCGTCGATTTCCTTTGTCTCGATTTCGTCCTCACTAGGGTATTCCTTGACGCTGGGATAAACAACAATATGCTTCGTGCACTTCTTCGTGAGGATTTCGCTAGCACCCTTAAGGTACAGTCGATAACCACGACCGCGTCTGATGACGACACCCATGGCCTTCCGCTCACTCGAAAACGGAATCATCTGAATGATATCCGCAGACTCGCGAGTCTTTTTGTAATCTTCCCAACCGTTCTGCTTTGCGAACTTGAGCAAAGCGGTCTCGGTCTTGCTCCCTACGAAAACCAGTTCCTTTGTGATAGGATCATGATCCTCGAATGCGGTCGAATTGACAGCAATAGCCTCGTTGAACAAGTCGACTATAGCAGGGCTGAGAACCTCCCCAAGCTCGGTCTGATCAACGGAGAAGTCTTCAGCATGCCTGCGATGAAGCTCAGCTTTGACTCCAGCTTCCTCGCCTGCGTTCGTGCGAGCGAGGTTCTCCTTGAGATGATGAACGAATTTGCAGTTGATACCAATAGAACCAGCGACGACGGACATAACGTTCTGAGTTAACGTTCCAGTCTTGTCTGTACAGACGACGGAAGCGTTGGCCATAGTCTCGCAAGAACTGAGAACTCGAACCAGAAGGTTCTCCCCGGTCATGCGCTTCGTGGCAAAAGCCAGGGCAAGTGTTACAGCCAAGGGAAGACCTGCAATAGGGCTTGTCAACTATCATGTACCATACGAAATATGAGTACAACCAACCTTCAGGAACGGCGACGACGACGAGAGTAACCGAAATAATGAGAATTTGGACGAAGGCTATACCCTTCTGATTAGCGGTCCGAGGTGGGTCGTTGGTACCGATTTGTACGAAGAACCGAATCATGAGAGCTGTGAAGAGGATGATACCAGCCAAGCTTCCCAGCTTGGCAATGAGTTCAGCGAGGTTGTTGAGTTTCGACTGCAACGGCGTATTTTCCGCATCGCCTCGCAAGGCTAAATGGGGTACGTGTCAATGCAAGAACATGGAAAAATGAACGACGTACGAACCCATCATGATTCGACCATTGAAGCTCCTAGGTCCCACTGCGATGATGACATAACTACCATAGCCCTCGAGGACTTTACTACCACTGATCATGAAGCAATCGGTATGCTTCATCTCGTCCTCCAATCTAACTTCTGCCTTCTGGTGTGCATCGGAACTTCCCTCATTGTCACGAGCACTGAGAGCGCGCTTGTATACACGAAGACATTCCTCGTAAGAGACCTTCTTGATTGCATCCGATTCACCTGTCGCGCCAGACTCGTCGCATTTGACATTGTGCCCCGAAAGAAAGACACCATCGCACGGAATGATTTCGCCGGGCTCGAGAATCGCGATGTCACCCACGACGACTTGCTTCACGTCAATGACTTGCTCAGCACCGTCTCGAATTACCTTGACTCCACGCTCTTCCTTCTTCTCGTTCAGCGCTTGGAATTGACGTTCCTTCTGCCAGTCATTGAGAGAGCCGACCATCACCTGTCAAAGATATGATGAGAAATGAGGCGGGTGATTCAAGATGAAAGATCGAATACTCACAACGATCGCGATCGCAACCACGATGGCGACACCTTCGACCCAATCGACGGGCGGTTCGCCCTCCGGTCGAGGCGTGCCGAAGTCCTGAAAGAAACCCAGCGCGAGCGACACGACAGCGGCAATAGAAAGCAGTACCTATGGATTCATAGTAAGTCGTCTGAAGAAAATGAGAAAACAAATGACAGCTTTACCAAAACTTTGTCTTTAAGTGCGAGCCACATAAGTTGCAATAATGACTTTGTCTTCCTTGTTGGAAGGACATTCTCGCCGTATACTCGATGTCGTTCTTCCAGTGGGGCATCGTAAGCGCCGCCTTTACCTCCATGAGAATCATCACTAACGCCTTCTTCAGCGTCTTCTAACTCTTCGTCGCCTCCAGGCGTTGTGACCACAATCCCGGGCACCGATACCGCCTTTGAGTCTCCTCCGCCGCCTTTCGCTTCAGGACTGTGCCTGTGCGACGCACCATCACCAGCGCCAAGTATAGTTCCTGTTCCAGGTCTTCCATCACTTGCGTTAGAGGTATCAGGATGGGGCGTATGAGGATGACTAGGAGACATCCCAGCATCCGCTGCATGACCAAGAGCCTTCTTGCTGAGACCGAGTTTGGCATCGGTACCCAAACCGCGAAGTAAGCCTTTGATGCCGCCCATATTGCGCAACTCCTCGAAATTCTTAGGGTCAACAAGAGACGCGAGGTGATAGGGCTTGAAAGCAAATGGAGCTGGATCGATGTGCTCATCCTGGGCTAGATCAAGGGTGGGGCGAGCTTCTGGCTCGCCCTCGCCACTATCTTCACCGTCATTACCGTCGCCAGAATCCTTGCCTGGCTTGCCATCAGGCGAAGGCGAAGGTTCGCGGACGGTTGTACCACCTACAGAAGAGGTGTCGAATTGTGTGGCGGTAGGTGAAGGAGGCGCCAACGTACTCGGTTTAGGGCTCAAAGGAGTTAGAGCTATAGTATGCGAGTCAGGCTCGGTGCCTTCAATGCTGCTGTTATAGGAAGAAACAGAGCCCTTACGAGCGTGTTGGCTACTTGGGGATAAAAGTTGAAGAGAAGACATGCCAGACTTCTCTTCAGGCTTATTATCCCTGAGTTGAAGCGATGATGCAAAATGCACCATCGACGATCGTGTAGAAAGGGTAGGGGAGGGCGGCGGCAATGATGAACCATCGGAAGAGTGGCCGTCGCCTGAGTGTGCGGACACAGAAGGTGTTGTAGGCACTTCTAGAGAGAGTCTAGCGGGATTCGACCGCAAAATAGGTGCGGGTGACAGGTAAGACGGGTCGCTAGGAGACCTAACATGGGGAGATGAATAGGAACTAGTAAAAGGCGACTCCGGTGTAGCAGACCGAACAGAACGCTCATCGTCACCAAGCGCAGCGTCTGGAGTATCCTGCGAGGAAAAGTCGGTTGTAACTTGAATGGAGGGTAGATCTGGTGCGCTGGAATCAGGAGGTTTGATCACAGCCTCGTCATCGTTGGACATGCTATGGGAAAAGTGAGGAATGGAGAGGACAACGTGTTGAATAGCCACGGAGAGCAGGGGAGAAAAAGGACGAGCTGACCTGGAGTGAGCTCGTTATAAACTCAACGGGCTGTTCATGGAAGGATCCATGTAGAATCACAGCCTCAGGGAGTCCTAATTTGGTAGGCGCCAAGGCCCTCAGACTCTGGGCATAGCCGTCCTAGTATATTCCGTTTTCAATTCTCTGGCGTATTCCGCAACCGTACAAATGCAGCACATCCTCCCCTCAAAAGTCTGCCTTTACGGCTCGAGGAACGCCCCTTTTTGTCTCCTCCACAACCAGTTGTCATGAACATCAAGTTTGAATAACCATTTATAGCACTTAGTGATACAACTTGAAACACGTTGCTTTCGACTGTCACATTGCGCGTAGTAAGTTCGATTGCCTGCAGGATGATGCGTCGTCTTTCGATACGAGGGTATCATGTCGTGCGTGCTCTGTGCATGTCTTAGATGCCCCATTTCATTATGTACCGGGATTCAGGGCTACCTGAGCAGGCACGGTCAAAGAAACCCAAACACTAACGTTTCTTTTCTGACGACAAATCTGAAGGCGAAACCATCACCTTCAAGTTATCATCCCAGTTTTTCTTTTTCGAGATTCATTTCCGCAGAGCAGCAACAAAGCGTTCAATCGCTCCACCGACGATCGTCATGAGGAATCTAGTCTACTGCCTCCACCTCGGCCCGCCTCAGGCAGATCGGTCTACCTAGTCGGCGAGTTATCAAGTTCATCTACGTCCGTTACATGGCCGACGACGGCAGTCATCCATTCGTTGGACCTGATACTGTAGCTCCTAGGCCACGTTAGTCCTGACTATTTGGCTCTGGCCCGTTCTGATCGTCTTTTCGATATCAAAGAAGCCCAAGTATGCCATTCTATACTTGAAACCATGAGGTTTCCCGCGAAACTTATATCCTGACAGCTCTCTATTATACGTTGTAAGGGCCTCGCACGTTGCAACAGTGTTGTCTTCAGAATTATGAAAGAGTCGTTGGTGCTCTGCGTTGGCCTGACTACGCCTCGATTTCCTCTTTCATCATTTGTGGAAAGTCTTGTGGTTTACTGTTGAGTCGTGATTGTCCTTTCATTTCGTTGTCTACTCAATGTTAACTGGGTCCTGGGCGCTCACAGATGTCAACAGTTCTGTGATGCTTTATTCTGAGGTCCTTTCAATAGCCGACGACGCCTAGTTTGCGTTACTATTACGAGCCACCATTCTAGGACTTTGCATCGTTCACTGACATCATGTCGGTGCCGTTGAATCCTCCTATATGTCATTTTAAGCCTACGATCCATTTAATCCCCTGGCATTTGTATGTCAGGCGCTAAATGGATGTGAAGACCTTGTCCCGTTCTCAGACGCTAGGATCACACTACAAACGCCACAGTCAATTGATTCTATTATCGCCGCTGCTCGCCCAAAACTCTTCACAATAACCGATCACCGCGTTCCCTGCATAAATACGTTAGTCACAAACACAGGTCATGTCCGCGTATCTCAGACTTTAAGCTTCGGTTCAGTCGCTCTAATGATTCATCCCAGGATGGTGACATTGCCTTCGCACACTTCTGGAATTCTTGGCACCAATTCATCGAACAAAGCTCTCTCCGCTGTTCTCTAATCCGGTTCCCTATCTAACAGTTACACAGCTCCGCAGTGTATCGTAATCTTGGACGCTCGCATCTTGGTCAACATCCGTCAACGATAGCATACGAATTCATCTATTATGACGATATCCCTGGAAAATCTGCCAAATATCCCCTTCAAGGTTTCAGCCACGAATAACATTACCACTCTAAAGGCACATTGTTCCCTAGGCTACGCAACGTTCCTAGTTTCATGACGGTTGAGACGTTTTATCCTTCCCACCAGCTGATATATCCGTGGGCGAATTGCGTACTGAACCCCGATCGATCGCGGAAATGTCTACTTTGCAGTGCGACGTAGCGGCGGCCTGGCGCACATTCTGAAATAGGTGAACGCCGTTTCGACATCCAACGCTCGATTGTCATTCATGAATTTCAAGTCACATACCTCGGCGCCTCTAGATTTACCAACTTGTCTAGAGTGACTCTTCAACAGTCAGGATGACAGGGTCTCTCAAGTCTGAGAGCTTCCATTGCTCGGATCCCCGAATTGCGATGGAACACGAATTTGGGACAGATGGAAGCAGGGTGAGCATAGCGGTATACAGCTTTCGGTCATCTCCCAAAGCTGAAGCCGGGTACGGTCTCGCCTTAACCCGTGAGTGAATTCATGTCCTGGAATGTAGTATGTTGTACGAGCCTAACCTCAATAGAGATCGTGCGGTACTCTGTATCATTACAGAGCTTCTGCTGTATTAGGTTTGACAAATATATCCTCTTTTCAGTTGATGATCGCAAGATATGATCTATGTGTTCTCATGTCGATGCTTATTCAAGGTTGCCACACATATCGGTAGTACTCCTCCGAATCTAACAGATAGGAGACAGCTGCAGGTGACCGCGGAGGCACAGTCTGCGCAGTTTTCTGGATCCTGAAAATCATCGAGTGAATGTGACGCATACAGTACATGATTCCGACGTTCGTATCGACGTACAAGGTACATTCCTGGTTGATCCATGAAATTCTGCTCAAGAAATGATGCATTTTGTATCTTCCAAATACGCCCAGAATTCGTGCCAAGCAACCGTAACAGCCCCCTGCATTGTGGTAACAACCGATACACGTTGTGGCGTTCTTGGCTTGCGGTTTCCGCCGTCACAACCCTCCAAGTTTTTCAGTTGAGGCTGTGCAGGACCGCTAGGATTGCACAATTACGGAAGTTGTAGTGTTTGCATCACCCAGCTGGTACTTAGGAGAGCAACCGATTCAAGTTGATTGGTCAAACAGAAAGAAAAAGGGTCTCGGTCGTATCGGACGGTTGCAAGGGGTCTGCTTGAGCCCTGAAGCCTTGAGGCCTGAGGTCGAGGGCTTGAAATTTTGAACGTGGCGTTACTCCGTTGCTATGTAGACATGTCCCTCGTTGTCTAGTACAAAAACTGTCACTCTGATGACTTAATAATGGTCATCTCGCTAGCAGTTCAGGACAAATGGTTGTTAAAACGTTCAAAATGATACCAGGAAAGTTACCAATGCTGGGACCTTCAATTATCACTTTGGGAGGTCGATAATAGACCATTCAAAGCGTGCAGGGCTAACTTGATGGGCGTTAGATGTCCTTCGCGAAAGAAGTGACCATTTGCCCAGAATTGAAGATCAGCGAAATGGTGAAATTCGGCAAGACTACTGCGCGGATCGCCTTCCAGACTCATCGTACAGGTTCTAAGTGAGACGATACGCATAGATAACAGAGATAGAACCCACCTACTCTAACTTTGAGTCAGAGAAATGAGTCATTGTTTATCCATAACGAGAGCACAATAGGATTTGTACACGCAATCAGTGATGGATAGATGATTACAGTTTTCTCTCGACTTCCCAAGTATCACGGTAGAATGCAGGATACGCGCCCCGCTTTCCTGGGTGATAAATGAGAAGCTGTTCTCTACAGCATGAGAAAGCATGAGGATCCTTGGATGATGTCCTGCAGGCGGCAGATGAGATCCTGTAACAACAAAGCAAAGCAGTGAGATTCAAGGGAGTCAACGCATCTGCTGACTGACATGGCGAGGTAGACCGCGGTTCCGTATGTATGATGGCAAATTGCGAGAACAAATTTCAAGATAGCCCGTACCTCGCCGTCGAAACGCTCGAACAAGTACAAAGCAGCGCTCCATCCGTGGTATACCATACAAACTATCGAAGCTTTTGGGAAGCAGGGAAGGGCTCACCAGTGCCTGGGTGAGATTTTCAAAGCGGTACGCACGTCGCACGTCAATGAGGGTGTTCTACGGTTCTACCAGCCGCATCTCTGCATAAGCAGCATGTGCTTCTACCGAGAGTTCATGGCATTTAGAAGCCCGTATTATGTCAAATAGCTAACGGATTGACGGACAGCCAGTCTCCTGACTCTTTTCTTCACCAAAAAGTAAGCGGACCAACTCAACACCCGACTCCATTGAACTGAAGATCCTTGGGGCAGTTCAATGGCGTTCCTGCTGAGAAGGGCTTCCTCTAAAGCGACAAATGCAAATATAAGACGCATTACAGCCCCCAGGTCAGACTGGTGGAGCCAATTGGCGACTACCTACCAGAGCCACGTACACCTTTGGGCCGACTTTCGATCATGAACAGGACGCAGCAGAGAAGGCTGTCTGTGGCTCTTCGATCGGCGGCGTCGTCGGTGCCTAAGTTAACAGTGAGATGACTATTTGTTCGGCACATACGTGTTCCTCCAGGTGGGGCGGGCGGAGCCTAGTGGCACCACGACGCGTTGTGGGCAGTGCACGGAAATCTGCCTCCGCCTGAGGCTGCTCACGCAGTCATTGGGCGCATGCAATCCTACTGGGAACTTTGCTATTCTACGTAAGAGGCTAAGTAATGAGCAGTTTAGGAATAGAAAAGTAGTAACGACTTGAAGACACATCTATCTTAAATTTGCGCCTCATCAGATACACCGCCTTCGGCAATTGCCGAGAACCAACATCTTTACAAATCAAGTAATATTATTCATGGGAGTATGTATTCACAGACAAGAAGTCTCACTGTGCAAGAATGATATGTTGAACGCTGGTAAGAACATAACGCCAAGTGCCGTCACTTACAGTCCTGCAGAGAATAGCAGTTGAAGAGACGAGCCAAGCGCTTGTGAAAGAGAACCTTTTGAAGTGGAGCTTGTTTGTGGGTCCCCGATCGACATGCGACTGAGCGCTGATGGCTCGCCCGATCACTTCAGGGTCCATGGCGAAGTAAGAAGTCTGGCGAGAGTACACGAGGGTATGCGTAAAACAACGCGATTTCTGGGGTGGATTGAGAAATAATGTCTGTGTGTACCTCTTGGTAGACTAAAGAAGGTAAGGTGCATGACGATGCATCATTTCACAAGCTGCCACTCATACCCCAGAATAGCGTGATATCATTAGTGGATGAAGTTCGTATTCCTTGTTAGACACTATCGATACTGAGGAAAATCAATTAATTTCATTCGCGGAAGTAGCGGAATCGAGGTCAAGACTCACGATACTAATAATATAACAATCACAGGTCTTCAAGCGACCCAGACAAAGTTCCTTCAGTGGAATCGAGGTCCACAGGAGGGACCTTCTCAGACGACTCTTCTAGCGGGGGCTTCTCCACATCGAACGGTTGGACATCCGGCCTAGGAACAGAAGCAGGTAATGCCGTAGCTTTCCAGCCGCTTCTCCAGGACGCTAAGGCGGCCACAAGACCGAAGATTCCAACCCAAACCTATCGTGAAATTGAATTAGCTCTCCATGCACAACTGTCGAGGTTGAGGAGATGAGGTTGATAGGTGTGTTCGGGCGGAAATGAGAATGTGAAATATTGCAAAGGTGCGGCACCAGTAAGGATGCCGTACTTCGAATTTGGAACGCTCGCCGTATAAACATTGACCCACCTCATTCTCAAAGAGACCTCTCTCCAAAGACCTAAAAAAAGAGAGGGAATAGTACTTAGCAACTCATGTAGATATGACGAGACAGAAGATATGGAAAATGCTGCATCCCACCCGCTCAAGACGGTGAATTATAGTATACTCTCGGCAGCCACGTCAGCCATGTCGAACATGAGAAAAAATGTATCGCCTTCACGTCTGGGTACACGAGAGGCGACATACGGGTAAAATGCGGTCGCCGCATTTGCCCCATGCTATCTCACAGTGGACAAACATGGGAGTAAGAACGCTGCCTGCCTGGTCCACTGCTGGTTCCGCAGCAACCTGTCACCACCAGAAGTGGCCAATAGCCCATTCTTCGGAGACCAACTGCTACTGCTGCCCTGAGAAGAGGCGGCTCCGTCGACCAAGTGACCCTAAGGAAGGACTAGAAGGAACGGAGAGAACAGCCCCCAAGATGTGACCCTCATTGAATCCTGCCCATCACACGGAATCGAGGGACGAATTCCGTGCATCCCCTTAAAACTACTCTTGCGGGGAGAGTTCAAACTTCCTTCTATCACGTGGTCACACCGCCTCGTCATATTAGGCAGCAAAAAGAGTTCCATATGGAACGGAGGCAGAGCCTCTCGAGCTAAGTTGAGCAAATCGGCAGCTTTTGACGTGTTTTTGCATAGCCCACTACAAACGCTGAGCACAGGTATGGGGAAGAACAACGAGGATGTGGGCCTGCTGATACGCCGATCGGAGAGCATAATGCATGGAGCAAGCATCGAAGTGCTAACGTGAGCATGCAATGGCCAGGTAGGTTCGAGAGCCTGGCCAATGTGAACAGAAAGACTGGGAGAAAAGGGAGAAAAAACAATAGAACGCGGTTACGCACCAGTGTATGGTCAGCGGAACATTGCTGACATTAACAATGACCTCACTCCAGAGGGCGTCCCAGCGTTGACGCAACTCCTCTTTTTCTGCCTGAGCAGCAGGTGTCTAATGAGCTATCAGAGAGGATAAAAAACAACTTGACTAGTGGTGTCTCACCTTAGTCTTGCTGAGAGCGCGCTGCCTGATATTGAGTAAGCGACGGTCTTCACGTAAATGGGCGAGCTGAAGAAAGACGTAAAGGGCCCAAAGACGTGTAGAGGCACGCGACAAAACCCCGGCATCAAGATTGATTAGTTTCTCCTTGCCTTCAGTTCCCGCAAATGGCACCAACGAACTAGGCGAACGTATGGTGACTTGGGCGGGGATGACTGAATTGGAAACTAAATAATAGAGATGCTCGAGGGGGTAATATCCAAGCATGGCCCATCCTTGCAACCGCTCAATGGTAAGCAAGTTGCGGGTGGGTGGAGGATTGCGTTCCAAATTGATCAACCAGCGAATTATGGGAAGCAAACCTATTTAATTATAAGCAATTATTGAGAACAACATAGTGAATTATGGAGAGGAAAGGCTTCCAGGACCAGGGCTTCAGAGCTAAACTCACCCCATATATTGTTGAGCATTCTAGCATCACCAACGAGATTCCCCAGTTTCGCTAGATGAGGCGCTACAGCACTAATGGGCTCCTTTCGCAAGCCCGCTTGATGCTGAAGACGTGCACGTAGATGCAAGAAGGGCACGATAATTTTGAGGGAATATTGTATGATCTAGCATTCGGGCTTCATTATGGTTGCTTTACAGAAAGCGGTGAAAAACCTACCATGAAGAGCTTGCTGTAAGTCATAGGAGCGCATGATAAGCAAATGGGTGTCACGACAGGAAGTTATGACTGAACTCGCTACCACTCCATGTACTCAAATATCGCACAAGATGGTCGAGTGTTTCCGAGCTTGGCACATGCGAGAAGACACCGAGTATGGTGTCCTCCAACTGAGATAAGGTAGAATTTTTTTGCGAGCGAGACATGACGGTGGTATGGCCCTGTCCTAGAAACGTTTTCAAGAGATAGGCGAGTCGTCAACCGCGATGTGGTCGTCGTTGTCGTCGTCAATGTCGGCCGAGCTCATCGAGACTTATGATTGCTATGGTCCGTGCACCGGAGTACCTCACCGGTAGGCGTGACCGTGCGAAATATCCGGATTACTTTATAAGGCTGCTTGCAACGTTTTGAAAACTTTGAACAAATCCATGAGGACATAAAAGTTCGGGCTCGGTTGTTTTTCTTCTGTCTCCTTGTCCGCGTTCCAGTCCTCTAGATCTACATGGGTGTCTTTCAAGGAGGACATCCTTGCTCTATCTCTTTTTTTTTCAGGAAGATCCTCCGTTTTGACCGGTCATTCTACGTCCTGGAGGCATCGCTTCGGCTGGCGCTCATGAGTTGGCGAAGAGTTGTCGGAAGGAGGATGCATCTTGGTCGAGAGAAGAGCTACATATACTTACAACCATCTGTTCTTCCCTTTCGAATGATCATTCCGTTCTCGATCTTTCAAACTGTGTGAACATCACAGAATCTCGCTGCTTGCAACATACACTAGCATCATCCAATGTTCTTCCCAAGACTGACACTTGCAACATCAGAAACCTTTCCAACCATTGGCATCGGCCTCTTCGCGAAAACCATTTTTCTTTTCACCACCGCAACTATATCCCAGCTCGTGGGTGGTGTCTTGTCCTCACCATCGTCTGGTATGCAATCATCATTGGCTGATGAGCTTTCCAACGGTGGTGGCCGGTGTAGTATTGCAATCGGTTTTGGGAGGTTGACAAGCTTGCCCTCAAGTAAATGGTATCCTATGAGAAGAGTTGGTTTTTTCTGTGACATCGTCAAACAGCAGTTGGTTTGAGATCCTTTGAGATATAGTTATACTACGTACCGTCGTATTGTCCACGCTAAGCTTGCCAACTGTCTGACCCACGTTGTTCCCCTCCACCTCTAATGAGCCTTGTAGTTCTATTAGAACCATTTCATCCGAGCCAAATTGTGCGAGGGCAGGAGGGAAAGTCACGGTTGAGAATGATGTGGGTTCGATAGGCAGGTTGACCGGTATTATCATGTCGACAAAGATTCGGTAGGTGGCTAGTAGGTGCGGATTATCTCAAGGAGAAAGTGAAACAATTGAGGCTTAGAGGAGACTTGCGACGCGACGCGATCGAAACGCGTCTGTGGCTGGCATCGGCGCTTGCACAACTTCACCCGATACCACGACCAGCGACAATCACCTTCTCATATTGTAGGACAGTGCAGGCTTAAATCGAAAGACGATTATGACTATCCGTCCTTTCTCGCATGAACTTATTGAAATTAAGCCTTCCGGAGTTACTTTGGAAACTAGCCTCTCTTGCCCAGCTGATGATCATGCTGAGATACTAGCTCACCATGATGGCCAATTCGAGCCAAAGCGGAAAGTCGCAGTTTGTCTACATCCCTGGTCATGGTTAGGCGGAAGAATGGACGACCCGTAGGTTTATTTCCCAGTATATCTGCTGGAAGCTAAGCGTAGCCCAGAGTGCTTCATACTGTAGAAGACCAGCTCCTGAAATCCGGATATTATGTTTTGCGATACAATTCTCGTGGAGTTGGTCGATCATCTGGCTGGCCCTCATTTACTGGCACACGCGAAGCAGAGGACCTTCGCGAGCTGGTACATTGGGCCCTATCTCAGATACCTTCCATAGAGTCCGTACTAATTGTTGTAAGTGTAACTGTATAGACTGAGAGCTGGATGGGTTAGCTAATGATATCTATTGTTACTGTCCTACTGCCGTTAGGGGTATTCATACGGGTCTTTGATTGCCTCGTCGTTTCCCCTCCTTGACCAGATAAAGACCTCACATATCATTCTCTCCTACCCATTGGGTCCTCGATCATGGTTGACGGCCTTCAATGGGAAGTTATACACCGCGGCACTCAACTCTCTGCTCCATGAACCACGATCCAACGTTCTAATAATCTACGGTGACCAAGATGATTTCACTGGCGTGGGGAGCTATGACAGTTGGGCCGACGCTTTGCGCAAGGAAGTTCAAGGCGAGGGAAGAGGCACATTGGAGATTGCGAAAGTCAAGGGGGCAACACACTTCTGGCGTGACGATTCTTCGCGGAAACTCGTTAGGGTTATACAGAATTGGTTGCAATAGCTTTGGGGCGGCGGAAGCAACGATTCTTGGAAGTCTCTACCTTTACGGCAGAGCCGTAAGTCTGGGTGCGGTGACACCTATTACATCTAATCCCTCGTGTGGATGTATTAGTCTTCTTCACCGTATTCCTGTTTCGCTTCTTCCATCTGCACCTCTGTGACGCCCTTGTCTTCGACATAATGTGACGCCATGGAATGTGACCGGAAGACAGGAAAACCGAACGAGAAACGCTCCACTGTCAAATAGGTAACCCTCAAATGGTTGAGCGCATCGCCCTCTTCAAAGTCGCAATCTACAAGTCCACGCATTGCGCCTTCTTCTAAGGCAAGAATGAGACCCTCGCGGAGGAGTTCTCTTTCCTTGGTAGAGATAGCAACCAAACCGGAGCACCACTGTGTGTTGATATCATGAACATCATACCGGAGGCCCAAGAGGTTTCGTGTACGGAAGTAGCGTTCAAGGTCGCGAATCCAACTATCAAGCCATTCGCGGCCATGCCAAGAGTCGTGGCCCTCAAGGGAGGGAAGACGAAGTAGTAGGACGTTACTGGCGCGAACGAATGTATCATGATCGTTTCGAGAAAGAGCGTCTCTCGCAGTGAGGATAACATTTCCGATGCCTGTCTCCTGCTCATTAGCCTGGCTTCACGCTGAAAGGAGCCGCACATACCATCAGGACAATAATCCATGTTACAACCAAAGTGGGACATTTCCCAGAGAAGCCGTAATGAAGCTCTCTGAATATGATACGTTCCTCGTTCGTCAATGAGTAGAGCCAGGGTATCTAACACTTTCCTATGGGTCGCATTCTTGCACACGGCCCGTTCAGCTTCTGTGATAAGCTTCCGCAAGACATGCAGGATATCCAGGACGGTAATCTTCGAGCGCTCAGCGTCGTGCATCATCCTGGGTAGAACGTCGAGAAACATCCTAACGAGCCGATCAGACCCCCTTTCTCCTGCCCGCAAGATGAACTTGTTGAGGATCAATGTAGACGGACTGGTACGAACGGAATCGAGTAGAGTGGGGACAGTACATTCGCCTCTCCTTGCGATGATCTCGAATATCAATGTGGTCGCGTCTTCGGACTTCAGATCATTGATGCAGGGTGTGACGAGATCGAGGAAGTCTTCATCTAGGGAACTTTGGTATGTCCGAGCCAATGCCCGTCGATCAAGCCTGTCTGCTCGCAGACGAACCGATTCGACTTCACGATCCCTCCAACTTCCCGGTAAAGGTCCAATTGAATCATCGTCCATGGATGCTCCAAGGATGTCTCCAGCGCTCCATTTTGGTTTCAGACGTTTGAAGAGCCGTAATACTTTCCAGATACAAACCGAGATAGCCCATGATTGTGGTGACTTGAAGGGGCTACTGGATGAAAAGGCCGGAATGACAGCGGTGCTGAGGTAGAAAAGGAAGGTCATAGCGACGAACGCAGAGATGACGCCGGATATCGTGGAGTTGAGCTTGGCGAGGAGCTCAAGAAGACCATAAAGGAATAGCACTAGAGCAATTTCTAGCAGGATAGGGAGCGCACCAACGATTTCGGCAAGTCGCCATTTCACAAGACCGTCATGGCGATACTGACGTAGACGGACGTTTTCACGAGGAGATGAAGATAGCGTAGTTATGTATGCCCTTAACCATTGCTTGGCTACTAGACCGATGAGTGCTGAGAGAAGGCTAAAGACGAGAGCTGCGAACCAAGTCGTATTGATAGTGACATAGTCCGCATCAGGTGTGAAGACAGCGTCTGGCCCGGCATATGTCTGAACTGTGAAGTTCTGAATGGCATCCGTCCCCAGGAGCGATACTTGGGTGGAAATCTGTTGGAGAAGGAGCGCCGTCGCTTCCGCTGGGTCGTATTGAAGCTGTCGATAGAGTTCAACAATGAACGCGGTAAGAACGGCCGAGAAGAGACCAGCCTGTCCACAAATATAGACTCGGATTTGAAAGAATCTGACTTGAAACACTCACGAAAACAAGTACAGTGTCGATATCTTCCTTCCAATTCTTGATCATGCTTTCATCGTATTGTTTCAACGCTCGTGAACAGGCCGACCATCGCTCCGGCATAGTTGGTTCCTTGCTAACGCCAGTTTCATTATCAGAACCACCTCCCTGGAATGTAAGAGCTGAATCTGACATGCTCTATAAGGTTCATTGAGAAGTGCATACTATTAATGAATGGAAGTGGCTCGATGTATCGGATTCAGGGCGACGAGTCGTGTGTGAATGTTGTGACGTAGACGAGGACTACAACGATATGAGATGTTTAATTGGTAGTATATATACGGGCAGCACTTACGTAAATGGTTGTCGCAGACTTTTGCCTATGTAGACAAGGTTCCGATTGAGTGAATGGGCTACACATCGTCCAGGAAACGTGTATAAGCGAAGGATAAAAGACCTAACAGTGTGAGGGGAAGGCCGAGGGTCCTCTGACTATGGGTGGAGGGGGAGGGTGTTGAACTCATAAGAATCCATAGCATCGAACTGCGTGCATTGCCTTTGCATTTAGAGCTGACATCGGCAGTTATCCCTACGTGGGGCTAATTTGACGAGATGATACAAATGGAACTTTTCCATGCGTGAAACGGCGGCGGCTGTGTCATCCTTTTCCACGCTGCAGACGCTCGATGGGCTTTTCAAGTTCAGTATAGAATTGATTATGCTTCATGAGGTTATTCATGCAACAGGAACTGGCTGTTGACTTCGATTCCATTGAATTCTTGCTCTGAAGGATTCGGACGACCAACTCCGCAACCTCATGTTGACATACCACACATCCCTTTACGGGAAAAGCGGAGAATGCCGTATGCCATGTGGCTTTCATAGCCAACTTCAAGCTTGTGTTGAGGTTGAACTTTCCCTCCACACTTTGACGAGTTTTTGAATATTTTCACTGATTCTACGCTGTGAGCGGACTAGTGCATATCACGGACACGCATCGAAGGCAATGAATCCGGTCTTGCATGACAGTTAACGTTGACAGGGGCAGGTGCCTAGCCCGACGTTCCCCCTGGATGTGACTACTTCTTCAGTCCTTTCGCAATGATCACTTGCGGCCAGCGTTTTATCTAGCTTTCTCACAGATGGTATGCTCAATGCAAAGTTTCCTCCTGATCATTTGTGTGAACGAAGTTCACTGGGTACCATGCATCCTAAACTCGCAAACGCCGTTCACACGACCGTGCGCTTCAGGCCCATCAACTTTCAAACTTTGACACTCCTTGACAAGACAGCTTCTGAACAGCCTGACGCTGGGTACTTATCTTTCGCTCAGAGATAAGGGATGTTCGCACCTCTTCTGGATAGTGACCAAATATTCCCGTCCTTCCTCTCTTCGGTGTAGTTGCAGTCCCCTCGACAGAGATTGGCTGAGTTCAGTAAAATTACCTGCATGCTCTATTCTTCCTCCCGAAACGATTCACGGACATGGCTTCGTGAAGATCCAGAACCGTATGCCTCGACTGCCCAGCATTTGGATGCTCATGGAGATATCGGTGTAGATACTGTTTCACCATCTCCTCCTAACGCATTTTGGCCGCCACAGCTCGCACGAGATAATGAGGTAATGATTCCTTTTCATGCTGCGTCTGCACACTGTTGCTCAACATTGTTCTCGCACAGGCACCCTATATTTACCCAGGAAGTGGTGATCCCTCGCAGGATCTTCCACAGGATGTGCATGGTGTTATTGATGATGAGAATGATGCCTGGCTCTCTCCACAGGCAACCTTAAGTCCTCGAGTCGGTCAGACGAGTTCACCCATCTTCAATCTCGAGGGATCCCATTCACCCTTGTCGCCTCAAACCCCCGCTTCCGACTCGTGGGATCGACACATTACAGATGATGGTTTGTCTTGCTACTTCGTGGATAGGGCTAATGGCCGGGTCTCCTGGCTTAATGCAAGCGAAGAAGCACCACCACCTTATACCGATTCAGATCAGTCTCCCTTGAGTCCCCAGTCGGCAGGTCTGTCGCCGTTGAGTACCCTATCTCCTTTCCCACCGATCCCTCCTCAGCAGGTTACAAGAACACTTCTGTCTACGACGGAGTTCACGAGGTCGCAGAGTTATACAGCTTCCGGCTCTCCGAGTGTGGCTGGTCCTTCAGTGCAGCGTCATCGTTCTGCTTCAGCGTTACCCTCAAAGGTAACTGGGCCTCCTATCAGTTCTCCTCGTGTCGGACGCCCGCTGCCGGCTGTTCCAGAATACCGTGCACCCGCCCAAGGTTGCCAATTTAGGAACTCTACCTCTTCACCTTCCTCTCCCGCATCGTCTATGTTACCAGAGCATCGTGCTGTGGACAATCTCTACGACCCTGTACAACAGGCTTTACGGGCTTTTCTGGCATTCATGCAGGTCGCCGAGGCGGACGAGTTACCCAACACACGGGAGGTTGACGACTATGTATTGAATATCTTATCATCTACGAGGGCTTTGCTCTACGTCTTTGCTACACCGACAGACGGGATTCCCAGTCATCTGTATCCAGCAGGGCGTCGAGATCGACAATTTACTTCTCATACTTATCCCCTCCAAGCACACATGCAGCCATTGTACTGGAATGTAGTACAGGCTTTGTCGAACCTTGTATCAAGTTCCCTCACGATACAGTACGACGCTACATTGACTCTGCAGCATAGCCACCTAGAAGATGCAGCTGCGCAAGTCGATCGTACTGTATCAATATTCGTCGCAGAAGTGCGCGAATTCGAGGACCACGCGCTAGGAAACGGTGCAAGCGAGACCAGGCGGTTATATGGCACCTTCACTTCCTCAGCAGACAAGGGGAATACTGCAGGAGAGCCAAGTATCAAAACGCTACGAGCGTTGGATCAGGCCGCCCTCGCAGAAGTGAAGTGTGCAGCGACAGTTGTAGAGAGGAAATTGCTGTCTTTGATATCCTCTTCAAATAATGCATACCAAAAAGCGGGTGAGATGAATCCCTTTTGAGAGCGCTAATCGTATGTCTAATGCAATTATTCTTTATCAGTACGACTTCAAGTTGCTGGTCAAAGTATAATTGCCCGCCTATCGTCACTAGTTGGGTTCATAGATGGTATTGATATTATGCGAGACATTAAGCTATGCCAAGAAGATGAAGGATACGTTCGAACGAAAGCTAGATTGCTTTCGCGAACACTCTTGGATGCGGTGCAATCCCTCCGGGACGATAACGCTACGCTTTTTATCACCACCCAGATGTCCTCTCGCGCTGCTTCGGCAGATTCCGGGGAGTTCAATATAATTGCTCGAAATCTCGATATGCTTGCTACTGGCATTGTCGGTAATCTGAATCTGGTCCTGACAACGCTCGATGCTCTACACGCACTTGCGCCCATGCAGCACTCCTGGGCGCAGGAGGCGGCAGCACCTTTCATGAATCCATCTGCCAGGGATGCCTCGCCCGTTATCTCGGAACGGCCTAGGCCGTCTACTTCGTCCTCCACCGAGAGTCGTCAAGGAAGATCGTTTGTGTTCGATCCGTGGGGGAAACGTCCTTCCACTGCAAGCAGCAGCGGTTCTAGCAGACCTTCCACCTCAAGCGTAGGCGAGTTACGAAGGCCGTCTACCTGTCCTACGTTTCCATCTCCGTTGTCTAACTCATCAGGCATCCCGTCTGCAGAATCACAGGACGATGTTATTGACATGGCTTCCGCTCTTACGAGACCTTCTCTTGGTATCAGGACCTCTCTGGACTCAGATACCGAGGACCCCGTGTCCTCTCATTCAGCCCTATTCCCTTCATTGCCATCCTTGGATTACTCTGATTCCTTCAGTCCCGATCAGGAAGACCCCGTTGAGGTTGTTACTCCTGCCTCGGTATCTCTCACACAGCTCAATCAAGCTCGGGTACCAATATCGTCTACGAAGCATGTGCTATATTCTCCATTACATGCTGATAGATCTGTGTCTGCCCCCCCGTTCAATGTCCAAGAAAGTTGGTGTTTCTTTTCATCTCTGTTTCACAGTCTTCTCATATATGGTTGATCATCGTTAGTGAATACGTCACCTCCAAGGGGCTCAAAGCTGATCAAAATGCTCGGCAATGATGCACCCAAGTATTACCTGGACAAACTGAATGCTGACCTGAAGCCTTGGTTCCTACGTCCAGACTATAGTTCCGCAGATATTCTGGCTGATCCCGATGGTGCCATCCGGGCGGGGACAATGAAGGCTTTAGTACAAAGACTGACTTGTCATGAACATGGAGGGATGTGACTTTCTTTATGAATTTTCGCGTATCTAATGAAATCTATACTTGCAGATCCTGTCTTTGTCAAGCATTTCCTGATGACCTACAAGTCGTTCATGACATTAGACGAGCTATTCGATCACCTTGTCGAGCGATTTCACATCAAGCCGCCTGAAGGATTGACCCCCTTCGAGCTGGATCAATGGACAAAAATGAAGCAATATGTTGTCAGGATGCGGTATGCGTTATCTTGGCCATCACTTGCGACGTCCGGTTCACTAACGCTTGTGTCATATTCTAAAGCGTTCTAAATACTTTTAAGACGATGCTGACAGACGACAGCGTACTGGAGAAGGAGGATCTATACATTCTGGATCGCATCAAGTCGTTCCTGTCCGATCCTGAGGTCCTGTCTATGACAATCGCCAAGCAGCTGCTAAGTACAACGGAACACATGGTGAGGTTATAGACCCAAAGGCAAACACACTACATATTGTTCACATTTTACATTCCATGCAAATAGCTCAAGGGCGGAAAGTCTCCAGTCAAGAAGACTATGCCTGGCCTTATTTCGCCTCCTTCTCCGATCGTACCAAACTCACGGAAAAACCTCAAATTGCTGGATATAGACCCACTCGAGATGGCAAGACAGATAACGCTCATGGAATCGACACTGTACAGAAAGATTCGTCCCGCAGAGTGTATGGCCAGGACGCGCCAGCAAAAGTCTGATAAGGTGGACAACATCACAACTTTCATCCAATTCAGCAATCGGGTAAGTCATTATGTTGTACATCTATTGGAATTGTCCTGACTCTCGTAGACGATCAATTGGGTGATTGAATCCGTCCTGAGCAAATCCGATCCGAAGAAACGAGCAGCGGTCATAAAACATTTCATCAGTGTTGCAGAAGTAGGTTAAAGTTCCTCCCCTACGCCGCAGTTACTGATAGGTGACGGTAAAGCGATGTCGCTCCATGCAAAACTTTTCTTCCACGGTAGCCATCGTTTCTGCTCTGAATAACCCCGCTATCCGACGTCTGAAGCGCTCTTGGGAACTGGTCGGCTCCCGGGCATTCGCGCAGTTCACCAATTGCGAATCTATCCTTAATCCCGACAGGAACTTTCAGAATTATTGGTCTGCACTGAAGGATGCTTCCCCACCTGCCATTCCATTCTTCGGTAGGCGCATTCGCTGAGATGGCGATGATCAAAGGTTGACTGCCGTATCTTTCAATGTAGGACGTTACCTCTCCACTCTTACTTTCATCAACGACGGCGCCGAAGACAAACTGTCAGGACAGATGATCAACTTCCGGAAACGACAGAAGGCGGCTGAAGTAATCCAGGACATAAAACACTGGCAATCGCGGCTGTACAACTTCCATGCTGTTGCGATTGTTCTAGCTTTCATCGAGAGCGGCCTGAACAGATATATCAGTAGCGGAGATCTTAGTGATCAGTTCTGGCGTTTGAGTCACGAGCGAGAACCTCGGGAATGAACGAGCTTTCAGAGAGTATTCCACCCTTCATACCTTATTGCCATACACCGTTTTATGGACGCCGCCCAGCGCCTTCGGGTGAATAACGGTACTGCCGTTCTATGAGAACTCATTATACGTAGATTATTGGGAATCGAGTGTCAGCTTCGAGTATTCTGGACATCAGACGGCTTCTCCACTGCCCGCCAGAGTTTTCAGAAGATCGGAGACCCAATCCATGCTTTGGTCTAATTCTCACCCTGGTATAGTCCGGCAGACAATGTGTCAGAAGAATCGATTTCGTCCTGACTGCCGCCTTCATCGCCTGCAGCATTTGACATCCAGACAGATTCCTGTTCCAAAGGGGCGCCCAAGTTGCCCAACAGTCGAGGAGAAAAGCGAATGGTGGATGTGCCGCCTGAAATGGTGGTGTCGTTGATTGGTTCTGACACATAAACACCCCTGAGATCCAATAGGAATCGAGATATGAGGACCGTAGAAATTCTGGTGAAGTTTCTTCAGCCGAAGAGGGTAAGGAACATGCAGTTACTCACGCCTCGTTCACAAACACAAACTGTGTGGTCTTTGAATGAAGGCCATTAGTATGTTGTCTCGGTGTAGTTGCACTGTTGCAGACACTCACGTTGTCATTTCCGGCAAGGTCAATAATTAAAGTTACCACGTTTAGAGCCATGAGAAACCTGGGAACAGCTGGTCAATCATTCACGAAACCTTTGGAGGATCATCTCCTTACACAAAATACAGAGTTCCTACAAGTAATTGGGTCAATAAACTATGTGTATCATTTACCGCACGACCTACCATCTCGCAGAAACATCGTAATGAGGCGAGGTCTGACATTCACTCCATGAGCTTGTTTCAGAAGACTGGCCGTCTTAACCCATGTCATGGCAAGGACCAGGGCATCTGCCACTATTGCAATGATACGCGTGGCAACTGGTACTACAAAGGTCTCAGACTTATGGTTGTCGTAGTGAGATGCAATCATGCTCACAACTATATGAAATGAATATTAGCCATGCTACATAGGAGGAATGCGATATCGTACGCTTTCGGGTCAGGCTTTCCGCGCATCCAGATACCACAGCCGCCGCCAAGTAGAGGCGGAAGTGCAGGTGTCACAGTAACGGTAATCAGCGAGCTGTAGTGATACTTCATAGTTGTATTCAGTAGGGATTCCGAACGGATGAGAACTTGAGGCCCACCAAGTTTACACATGGGACAACTAAGCTCACAAGTAGAACCAAGGAGAATGGTAACCATCTCCTGCCCCATATGGCCCAAACTCGGAATGCAGAGAAAACTGAAGAACAATACATTAGTAAAATGCTCGAGATTGGAGGAATGTAACGCACGAGCGACTAGGAAAAAGCCCAATATTTCAAATACGGTCGTTGTTCGATACATTACCGCGCAGCTAAACTCAAGAGTTGAGACCTCATGCTAGAGACATAGACTTCCTGATATTACCTCTGAATATAGTTGGCAAGGGTGACATAGAGACGAATTGGTTTTAGGACTCACCAAGACTGTTCGCGGCACCCAAAGTATCTGCAGCACATTGAGTATTCCCCTACCGACGGCTATATACCGGTTGAATACAAAGAGCACAGTGACCACCGAGAATCGCCGCTTCCATATATAGTCAACTTCGCGAGAAAAGGTGAGCAAAATATCGTAACTAGGGATGACTGTAAATCTCGTAAATACCGTATATACACAAGATTAAACTTAGGGGCGATACCTGCTGCTACCATCACGTAGGAGGTAGAGATAAATCTACGATCGTAAGCAAAAGTAACATTTGTTGTTACCAGTGGAAACTCACAGGGACTCATAATCATCCCAAGTTACTTCAATAGTCTGGGACATCTCACAAGACTCTTCTAGAGACAGCCAAAGGAAGATTCAAAGGAGAAGCAATGAATGGCACGAGATCCGCAACTAACCTTCCACCTTATATATCGCATTGAACACGCATTCCCCCTAAATGGAGCAACGCTGGTCGATATGAGAGAGATCAAGTGGAGAACATCAGTGACAGCTGCGTCACGTTTTGAACGGAACGAACTCACCATCACAAGATAGAGTTTAAAAAAATGATGTAGGCCATAGGTCGGCTCCGAAAGGGCACGGTACAACTATCAGATGATAAGAAGTATGCTGAGTCACTCTTCACAGGAATGCGAAAGGCTCAGCATATGTAGATGATACGGAGTCTAGCAAGTTTGAAGCTGATCTGAAGCGCTATGAAATCTTCACATGCTGAGCTACATCGATAGAGCTCCACATGATATAGCGGTCCTTTGGAGGGTATGGAGTCTTTCACATTGACTGCAAAAAAAACTTTCAAATTGCCGGATGCACTTAGGACACCACTAGCTGTGAGCAACAGAAGTGATGAATAGTTTCTGAGGAGATCAAGACTTTCGCCCAGACTTATCCAACGTACAGCAGGTGGTCTTCCAGCATAGCAGAAGTATCACGCTACGAATGACAAGCGTATTCGAGTCTATCCTGTATCGGACCGAGTATTATCGAGAAGGTTCCTCTTCTGATTCTGCGCTCCGATTGACCAGGACAATAGGGTTGGCCGGTCGGAGTATTGATGGCCTACTGTCCGCATCCTTACGACCAGACGGACATGTCGTCATCACCTGCCGCTCCAAATCAGATTGATTCCTATTTGAGAGCAGCACAACAGTTGCTTAGAGAATTAGGTTGAGTCTTAGATATTTTCTTGCTCACTAATTTTCATAGTCGCCGAAGTAACCTCGATTGCGGTTGAAGAACATAGCAATCTTAAGCGACCGCGTTTAACGAGCCGAGCACGATCGGGAGAGTCAACAACGCTCAGCAAGGAACGGATCCACCCTCATATGAGATGAAAGAAGCTGTGGGTAAATCTGGTGAGAAAGAATAAATTGGAAAGTATTAATCAAACATTCGGTAGTAGAAGGGGACAAAGAGACAAACATGTTTCTCGGCCTTTTTGCGTGCGGAGGCATCGTCTCTATTATCTCCGGACGACGCAATGGAACTGCGCTTCTTCAAAACTTAAGCCTCGTCTCGTCGCATTACAGATCGCCGACGTATTTTCGCGCGCCACGACAGGATGTGTACTGCATTTGCTGTCCATGACAGTCCCAAGACTCTTCGGCACCTGAGGAAATCGGAAGTTTGATCAGGGGGACTGTATACCTGACCCCAGTCAAAGGAAGTTCTCTGATAAAGAGACACGTTCCGTGATGCTGTGAATCAATGCGGAACAGAAAGAGATACAGACAAAGCCATTTTCCTGGGCCACGACCTCGTAACGACAAAGAGGCGGGTGATAGCATTTCTGCGGATAAATAGCCCAGAGAAACCCCGAGCAACAAAACATGGATGATAAGCGTCCTTGAAATAGGTATGAACTGTCCTCAAGCAAAAATATCTAAATGTTCGTTTGCTTCGAAGTACCTTATGAATGAATGGTCTCCAACTTGAATTCGGGTGACTCATATACGCGTCACCGACATACACACTTTTTGCGGTAGCCATGACAAACAAAGTGCGAATGAGGATTTGTGAAGAAGAGGAGCTTTAGTGGAAGTTGATACATAGCTAAAACGGGGAAAGCGGCCTAGCGGGATAAATGATAACCATAACCACCCGAATAGGAACCGTCCGCCCATGTTGCGCTTGACAGTGATCTTCCACCTTCTCTCCCTCCTCCTCATCGTCCTATCTGCAGAACAACAGTTCCCTCTTAGTACTGATGATGGATCAAGGGAACCAATAACCCCTCTTCGCTTCGAGCTGCGCCATTATCATGGCGTCGGACCTGATGCTCAAGTCCTCTTTCATGACGCACACGATCACTCCGACCAGTCATTGGCTTCCGAAACCTTCAACAACCCACCATACGTCTTGCAAACTAGACGTATTAAATCTAGTAGACCGTCTTCGATAGATGGATATCTACTAGCTCGCTCACGATCTAGCCAAGGCGAAGGCAATGAAGCATTCAAGTGGGAGGAGGATGATATCGATGGACCAGATACGGAAAGCCGCGAGACTCTCTTGGAGCTTGCTAAGATGACGAACAATGCCTACCTCGAGCCAGGAGAGTCGGGTTGGTATGATTTGGGTGGCAAGTGGAATGTCGTACGTGCAGTACTCTCTAGCAATTGTTGACCTTGACTATTACTAATCCCTACTGCTAGTCATATCCTTTCGGATGGGAAGAAGACCAAGATGGGTTCCGGGGCCACATCTTTGCGACTCCAGACAACTCTACTGTCGTCTTGTCTATTAAAGGCACATCTGCATCTTTCATCGGTGGTGGTGGCCCCACGTCCAAGAGGGACAAGTTCAATGACAACCTGCTCTTCAGCTGCTGTTGCGCGAGGATTGATTGGTCATGGACCACAGTGTGTGATTGCTATCGAGGTGGATGGAAATGTGACCAGGCCTGTTTGGAGAAAGCTTTGATCGATGATAGTTTATTTTACCCTCTTGGAATGGTGAGTACATATATTTTATATTCGTGGTTGCGTTCACTCATTCCGATCGGTTCTTGTGCTACTAGAATTTGTACAATAATGTGACATATATGTACCCAGACTCTAACATCTGGGTAATCGGTCATTCGCTCGGCGGAACACTTGCCTCATTAATGGGTGTCACCTTCGGCGCACCTGCCGTAGCCTTCGAATCTCCCGGTGAGAGGTTGGCTGCCAGTCGACTTCACGTTTTATTACCAGTAAGGGTCTGCCTTAATGTTTCCTCCGTTCTGAAGTTTATGTAACTTCTATTGCAGCCGTCCCTTCAACATGTAACGCACGTCTATCACACTGCCGACCCGATTGCCATGGGTACTTGCAATGGCGTGTTGTCTTCTTGTGCCCTCGGCGGGTATGCACTGGAAACTCGGTACGATGGTCTTGCAGTATACTCTCAACATTTTACTTACTATGGTACCTATTTAGATGCCATCTAGGCAAGTCGATAATTTACGACACGGTGTCTAACCTCTCCTGGGCGGTAGACATCCGCACTCACACTATATCGACCATTATTGAGAAGTTACTTGGTGAACCTTGGGCAGTGAGTGAGGAAGAGGGTAAGGAAGTACCCGAGTTCGTAACGGAGGATGACTGTGTGGTATGTCGCTGTTTTCCCCTTCATTATTTAGAGCACGTTCGCCTGACTGTCGATCCTTATCCAGGAGTGTTATAGTTGGGAGTTTGGTGACCTCCCACCAGACAAGAAGTTCATTTCTAGTAACAGAACTTCACCGGGCTATTGTGGACTCCGGACTTGGACTTGATGGCAACCTCTTCGGACCTTCTTGTGTATTTGTATATTGTTCGTTTAGACACCTGACGAATGTTCTTCTCATTTTGATGTCAGTTCGCAAGATGTATCTATAAAGCTTGATATCGGGGTAGGAAGGTTAACTCTTAGAGTACCCCCAACTTTCTCTCCAGACAATGTCTGGAGATAAACTCGGCAACAGCCGAGGTCTCAGTCAGGAATGCGACATACCCGATTTGGCATAATTGTTGCCTTTTGAGGTATATTCGCATGACTGGCGAGAGGACGTCAATAAAATAAGGTAAAAAAGCATAAGGCAACGAGTGACCGGCTAACACTGGCTCAGAATAGAATAACGGTAGCCTGCACTACACACAGGTTCTAGGATCACGCTGGTGCACTGTAAGTTTTGAACATCTCGATCCTTTGCGGAAGGAGAGTGGACTTATCGCATGTCCATTCGAAGATACAGTTTCACAGACCAAAGGAGAACGTAATGAATGTCAATCACTCACTTCGGAAAACGGCAATATAATCATGTTGGGTATACAGGTTATACAACGTAGAAGGCCAACAAAGTCATGTGTAGTTTAGTAGGGCACTCGCTGGTGTCAGTTTCTTCCGTCCGGGGTTTACGATAGCGTACAATAGAATTTCGCCTTCGATTCACAGATATCTCAGAGCTTCGCGAGCCGAGCCTTGTTAGCCTTTAGTGCAGCATCCACAATTTCCGTCATCGCAATAACGGCTTCCTCTTCTTGAGTTCGTCCAACAAGTTGCAACCCAACGGGTGCGTTAGCAAAGACCTTCGGGTCATCTACAGAACGAGGTCAAAAGAGTCGGAAAGATAACACCAATGACATGATCGACGTACACATTTCATAGTTCGCTTTATCTCTATCCGATAAGAATGCATGAGCAGGTTTCTTGACGTCGGTCGACGGGTCGACTTTAGTCACAGGGAAAACACATGCAACATAATCCAAGGCGTTCCAAACGGTAGTATATGACGCGTCTCTGGGGTATAAGGTTAGAAATTTATCGCCAAAGCCTTAGATCCTAGCGTACCTATTCTTTCCATGAGGAGGGGCTGTGTAAGGCGCCCCGGGCGAAATAATGGCATCAACAGGCCTTCCCGTACCAGTAATCTTGGCTGTCGCTTCCCAATGGGCAAGGTACTCCTGGCGTAATTTCGTCTTCAATTTCTGTTGCTGCCAAAGTTGATAAGCCGATACAGTGACATTGTCGCCAGATGGTCGGAAGCCGGCGTCAACGACGGTACCTTCTCCGGCTAATTCCATTGTAGAGATGACAGGCTCGCCTGAGATAGCTGCGACTGTCTTGAAGTCTTCGGTCGCACCTGCGGACCAAATGTACGACTGTAGTCCATATTCAGAGGCTCGACCAATGGTTGACTGATAGTGCTCTACTTACCACCGTACCGCATAATTCAACATGCTTATAAGGCTTCCAAACAATCACTAGGAATTCTTGGTGAATGTAAGTTCGAGCTATATGGGGGGTATATACCTGTATGACCAGCGGCAAGTAAGGCAGCCTTCGTGATCTCTAACGCTCGAATTACGGGGGTATGAGGTACGGTCTCTCCGTCGTTCCACAATAGACCGAAGCAAAGCTTCTGGCCACCGCCATGCTCCACAAGTGCATACGCCTCGTCATCCCACTTCTTACGGATAGCAAGTGGGTCTTTGAGCCAAGGTTTTGCGGATATGACGGCTTGCATGAACAGTTTGATGCCACTAAGGCTGTTTGATAGAGGACCGAGCACAGAAGGTATGGAATCTTGACCTTCCATTGAGTTCACAACTCCAGCGTATGGAACTCGGTTGTAAGAAGGACGGAGACCGTATAGACCATTGAAAAGCGAGGGTATCCGGATAGATCTACAATAGCTTAGTCAGAATGTCCGTCATAAAAAGCGATAGAGCTTACCCTCCGATGTCGGAGCCCACACCAAGTGGACTGCCCTTCAGTGCGATAAGGGTGCCTTCACCTCCAGATGAACCGCCAGAAGTCAGATTACGATTGTACGGGTTCACCGTACGACCGAAGATGGAGTTATAGGTCTCAGCCCACTAGTGTTAATCACATAGTGAGCAACAGGAACAGTTAAACCGGGAGGATTCTAACCTACCATCAATGTTTGCGGTACGTTGGTTTGCACAAATGGCACAGCGCCGCATTCCTGGAGAATCTCGACTAGTGCAGCGTCTTTGTCTGCGTAATCGCCGATCCAAGAGACATATCCTAATACATTGCTTGAACAAAACGCGGAATCATGGGGAATACAATTCACTGACCCATAGTCGTCTCTAGACCTTTGATACGGATTTGGTCCTTTAAAGAAATAGGCAGGCCATGAAGGGGTCCAATAACCTTTCCAGTCTTCTTTAAGTATTCGTCCAGCTCTTTTGCGCGTGCTAGTGCACGATCTACGAATATTTCGGTCAAGCAGTTGACCTGGATAGGTTAGCAATGAGGGGAGTGTTTCTATTAGTTCAAGTTACGCGTTGATGCGAGGAGAGAAAAACACTGACGAGCTGGTGTGCAATGATGGCACGCTTGTAGAATGCGGTGGTGACTCGACAGCAGACCATTCTGCAGTAGCTAATTTATGCAGCAGGACGGCTGCATCGATGGTGTTCGTTATCTCAAGTTCCCTGGATGTTAACAGCCCGCATTGCTCAGGGATCTGAGTAACGTCGAGCTGTGAAGTCGGCGGCGGGTCAATTAACCATTCCTTAGGAATGGCTTCCGCTTGACGTCGTCTCTTGTCAGCGACAAGGTCCTTCCAAATACTCGTAACGCGGGACATGGGATGTGAGATTTAAGAAGTCAAGATAGCTCCAAGCTATCCATGCCTGTTATCTCAGGCATTTCAGTGCCTTGAGGATCATGTGAAGAATATTACGGAGGTGGCGGATACATTTTCCACCCGTCCTACACCCACGTCAGACTGTGGGTACAGGGTTCATGAATTCGTTGGGCAAGCCAAATACCGTTCGAGTCGCCAACATGGATGAGTGTTTGAAGCACAACAAAATTGCATTGCTGGACAGAAGCTCAACGTGAGCAATGATAATGAAGAATTCCCACGCATAGCTCTGTAGTTCTATAATACCAACTTGCCTTTTGCCTACGTTCACCATCGCAACTGATCCGTGACATACGTTTCCTGTGTTGTTCTTTGCTGTCATTTCGCATCGTTCAATTAGGTCTCATCCGTCAACGTCCACGTCAAACCCTCTCGCAGGCGAGAGCTCTCTCTGAAACCAAGATAACCTATAAACACTCGTACCAATCTACCCTAATCTCATGTGAGTTACCTAACCTTCAGCTGTATGAATTATTACTCAATGTAGAAACGTACTATCGCAGGCCGTTACCGGACGAACGACCCCGACAAAGCGTCGCGAATCTGATCGGACGGTTCGAGCAACAGACCAAACGTCAGTCGCTTACGCCCCCAAATGGACTGAATATTCCGATAGTCCCAAGGGCCCCAAGTGCGCTGTCGCATCATATAGGAGATGCGGGGAAGGAGAATAGCAAGGAGAAGACAGAATTGCAACCCAAAGCGAAAGTCGCATCGGCGGATGTACCCGAGCCGGTCAAGGACGTAGAGGATGTAAAGCCAACCTCCCCGGTCGATGCGCCAGTATCCCATCCAACCTCGTCTGAACCTATCATAAAGGCGGACGATGTTGTCCCTGGTGAAATTATACCAGATGAAAAGGATGTAGCACCATCGGCACCAGAGCCACAACCCCAAGCCACGTCTGATCCTCCCTCGCCAGAGCGCACTCAGGCCTCTGCTAAGACCACTATTCGTGCACCATCTACGCCTTCAAAATCCAGGCCCATTCCAACGAAGGCGGCTCCCAAATTCAGTCGAACACCTGCCAAGTCGCCTCCATCTTCCTATCATACTGCACTTCCAGCATCTACGTCCGCGCCGTCTGCGCCATCACTCAGGGCGTCGGTCTCAAGCCCGCCTTCCAAGGCAGCTGCTCGGCCACGTCCGTCCTCGAGTGCTTCAAATCGACCTTCGGTGACGCCTGCTCGTGCGAAGACACCGTCCAGTTCACGCCCCAAGACTCCATCTTCGTCCACCCCAGCACGTGCCAAAAGCCCCGCTTCTACAACCAAAACACCTTCTTCGGGTTTGTTTGCGCCTACGGCTGCCTCTTTGGCGCGTGCGCGAAATGCACCAGAACAGCCTGCGGTGCCTATTCGTAAGCAGACGACAAGCACGACGGTTTCCGATAGACTCAGTAAACCCACGGCCGCGAGCCTTTCCAAGGCCAGGACGCCGACCTTACTGCCTCAGCAGAAGGTATCTACAGCTACGAATAAGACCCTAGCTAGAAGTTCTACGCCTGCTCGTGGGACACTTGCCACAAGAGGAAGAGGCGCCGCTCCTAAGACTCGCGGAGGAGCACCCGGTGCGAAGGCGAAGGATGCTAAAGCCACTGTTCCTACAAAGAAACCAGCAGCTTCTCCGCAAGAACCCGTGTATCCTGCTTTAACGGACGATCATCCACATGTTGCGGACGAAGAAGAACATCAGGAAGTCGAAGTGGTCCATGATCAGGAGGGCTCGGCTACTACTACTGCTACGTTGGTGGAGCACCATGATGCTGCTGGATCTGCCGCCGAGATTACTCAAGAGCCCGAGCATGATGAGCTTGTCCTCGAGAAGGCTGAGGAGCACGTTATTCACGACGAGCCACATCATGACGCTGACCTCGAGTTCCATGAGCACGAGGCGGACGAAGTTGTTGTTGCAGAACCTGAGCCAGTCGAGGCTGAGGCCGTAGTCGAGGCTGAGCCATCGACTGCAGAAGGAGGTGACGAGACGGACGACACCCACGTCGCCGATCCTGTACCCTATGTCAAACCCGCCGATAACTTGGACGACATCGTGAACATGCTCGAGTCAAAGCCTCTGTTCTCTTCGGTTCATGTTGAGAAGAATGTGAAGGCTGCTGAAGACATTGACGTTGCGGGCGAGATACCTGACGAAGAATGAAGGTATTACTAAATGCGAAGTTATCTCAATTGTACAAAGGTCTGTATCTAATCGGTTCGGTGTTTTCTTTTCTTTTCGCTAATGGCTTTTCCTGATAGCGTTCTCTGACTTGATGAAGAACTCCTGATATCTCTTACACGCTGTCTTCGCTCTTTTGCATTTTCCAAGTTGACGTATACCCTCCCATATGTTATTGCCTCGATTGAAGTCTGTCCTTCCTCTGTGTCCGTTTTGGTTCCCTCTTACTATGCTTGCAATTTCGCTGCTTCTGGTTTTGAATCTCGACCCTATTTGTTACCCTACATCTTGAGTCGTTCATTATCTTCTGTCGTAGAAACAGGCTGATAGCATCTTGTCAACCTGTTCTCATCGCCGCTAGTGCCCTACACTTAAATAGACCTGGTGTTGATGTGCGCTTCTGAAATCCAATTTATTATCAGCTTGACAGTAGAATTTTTGACGCCCAGCCTCTGTTCTTTCATGCCCACTACCATCATCCATTCATTAAGACGAGTTGTCCCTTTTCAAACTTCTTTGAAAATACCAGCGCAACGATTTCGACCGGCATTGAATGTGAGTTTGGCATTTCATGCATGCTCGATTTACGCTGCATGCCAATGGCTGAGTCTCACTCACTTTCGCAGTAATTGTCCCTCTCAGTGGGCCTCTGTCTTTCATAGTCCTTGGTCATCACGAACGCTTCTTCCTTTGTGAGAAATTAACACTTCCTAAACTACCATGACAAGTGTCATCCCTAGGTGAGCTCTACCAAACGTCATTTCTCACTTGTGGCAAGGAATACGACGACGATATCTTTATGGTTGTTAGGAGAATGATCTCCGGTCGGTTTGACTCTTTGCAACTTCCGTTCGACGTCCTGGCTCTTGTAATAACATTCCATGCCGATGTTTGTTCTTTGCTAGGCATGATGCAGACTTGTCGCGATCTATACCAAGTAGGGATCCGCCACCTGGCAACCAAAGCCAATGATCTCGTTTTCTTCACGACACCTGAACAGATCGCTTCATTCTGCCTGTTTATGCACGGAAACGTTGAATATCGCAGCTCATTCCTGCGCCGCCTCTCTATTGAGTTCAATATCTACAAGGATTGGTCAAAATCTTCTGAAGACTTCAAATTGTTCGCAACAATTCTGAGGCACGCAACCCGCTTGGAATGCCTGGGCTTCTGGAACTTGGAAGATTTCCTCATTGACGTACCAGAAATGGTGACAGCAATCGCTTCTCTAACCTCTATCACCTCGATGGATATTGAGAGCCAAGATACGTACACTTCAGACAACGCGTATCGTATGGTGCAGAAGATGCAGTCGCCCGTTACGAACCTCACGCTAGGAGAAATCTCATCTGAAAATTATTCACCTTTGCCATTTATCGAAGCATTCCAAAACAGCCTTCGCGAATTGTCTATTCATGATGCCAGTGACATCTGCATGGAGCTCTGGTCTTCCAATATCGTCGTACCTCGACTCGACCTCCTGGTACTACATGGTTTATGGCCTCACAACGCCGACATCGAATCTTTGATTTTAGCGTTTCCAAACATTTCACGTTTATATGCCTATACCTTAACTGACGATGAAACGGATGAAGATAGGGCATTTCAACGGTCTGCCAATCTCGATGCACAGAAGTCTGTCTCTTGGCCATCGCTCGAGATCCTCTGCGGTGACGTCACGACGCTGTGGACATTGGGTCTCACATGTCGCGTCCGATGCTTGAAATTCTGGGAATCTGTTTATTGTGAAGATCTTCCTTTATTCAAGGATATAATTCAATGCTGCAAGCCCAATTGGTTATATGTTATTCTAAAAGGACGTGAGGAAGACTCGCCGGAGGGTCCAAATCGACCTGTGCTGACGCTCCCACCGGTAGACAGGATTCAGGGAATGATCGCTCATGATTTGCTTCAGCTTGATCTTCGTATCTACCTTAATGGTAACTTCACGGTCAAGAGTTTCAATCTACTTTTGGTGAGTACTGATGGAACGTGTTCGTCTTTTTCTTTTGATCGTAGACTAAATAAACAATTTTTAGGACCAAATTAGAGATCTGGGCAGCCTGACATCGCTTCGGATTTTGGGCTTGAGCATATATGTTCACTGCGCTGGATCTGAATTAATAGCGTTTCACTAGTCGACGAAGCATGACACGATTCTCGAAATGTTGTCATCCGGTTTCAAGTCTTCTTGTCGAATTGACCTGGAAACTGGGGGGAACATGGGATTGCGTAAAGTCCAGTCTTCTTGGGAAATCACACCTGCAGCCTCCGACGAGCCTGTCTTGAAGGAAATTCCATACACACAGGATGTCTTCGACGACTCAGGTACGCCATAGGATCTATGTAAGATCATCAAACTGATGATTGCACTATGAAACCTCTCCACAGCTCCCTGATGTATCATCACCGCCATGTCAGGCTCGTCAAGGGAGTGAAGCTGGAATCAAGTCTTGCGTTCGTTCGTATTGTTGCCACGTACCAAGGCGTGATGTACATTCATAGGTTCTTTCGTATGAACTATGGGCCTGTCAATTGTGAATGTGATAGCCATTGTCGGTTGTTCATAACCGGATGGCAATGACTCGTAAGCATAACATACAAGACTACATCGCCTGATTTCCACTCCATTTATTTTCCCGAATTGACAAAGGATCCGGAAGTCGCGAATGACCTGGACATACTTGAGACACTAGTTTTGTAGTTCAACCGAATCACGTCATTTGCTCTGAAATTATTAAACGATGTTGCAGATCGTTCGACATGATGTTACATACATACTGCTCTAGAACACAACATGAGCCCACTCGTATAATCCAGATTGCCAAGACATCTAAACATCGAAGTCCATTCTTGTCAACAGTCTTTTAAGCTTGAGGTGAGGATAGGACGCACACGGACGTCGACGAACGCGAATACTTGTATGAAGCCATCCCACACCTCCCCACAGGTTTCGTCCAACGTGAAAGAAGTCCACCTCAAGCCAACATCAGAGAAACGAAATTCTTAGCGACTCACCGCAGAGAGGGCTACTGGAAAACCAGCAGACAAACAGTTGGGGGCAGGGGGGTAGCGGACGTGGGGACTGCGCGGCCAGAAGCCTCCAGAAGCCGCGAAGCGAAGCACAGGTACACCCAATATAAGTATCACTGTTACCTGTATGTACAGTGTAAAGAGTCCGAAAGCACGGATACAAAGCTGAGAGTGCACCCTCGGCCATGAGCCTTAGGGCCCAAACCGAATGCCCAAGCTGGGATGTGCGAACCTTCCAGGTCAATGAGTCACACAGGTGGTGGAGAGATACCCAACGCTTCGGATACGAAGCTAAAAGAGGGGAGTCTTGATATATAAGTGCTCCCTAATCCCACCCCCACCGAGTCATCTTGTGATAAGAAACGACTGAACGGAGTGTTGTAATGAATAGAAAAAGGACTGCGTGACCTGTGAACAAACAAACCGATGTGAATGAAGCTCAGATTAGAGAGATCCATGCGAGAGGGGGTTTCTGATGTGAGCCTAATACATCAGGTCAGTGTCGTCAGCAAGGGATCTGCGTTAGCTGAATACAGTTAAGCCTAGAATGAAGGTAGGCCGGCAGTCAAGCAAGCGTTAGAGGCGTGGAATGGGGAAGGATGACTGCGCACGCAGTAGCATATAAGTGGCGAGCGGTGTTTTTGATGGAAGTGGGGCTGGTGCATCATACAAACGACTAGAAAGTCAGAAGTGGTACTCGGTGGAGGAGGTACAAAGGTCAGGCGGAAAGATTGCGGAAAGATTATGGAGAGTGGCCTACTAGGAGCGGGGGAGACCAACTTTAAGGTTAACGTTGAGCTGGAGCAGAGTTTGATGGCAAAATGGAGGAAGAATGTGGGATATGGAAAGTGATCTGCGCGACCCCGTTCTGGCCATCGAAGAATTGACGAGAGCTTCTTGTGTGTGACTCGAACTGCATATTTCAGGCGTGTGCGAGATAAGCAGTTGCATGAGGCTCGAAGCACATTCGTGAGGGTCGACATAAGCGATTAGGTTCAACGGTGCTAATGCTCCGGACGTAAATATGACGTTCAAACCACTCAGCGTAATGTGCGCCGCCCAGGTTGTAACAGCCGATTGGCGAATGAAAGAGTGGGAACATATGCATACGTTGCCCAGCGCTGAGCTTTCTATGAGTAGGAAACGATCTAGAACGCAGAAGCTATGACATACAACCCTTGCATTCCTCAGGCCGTTGCATTGCAGGCTCGAATCGGTATCGGTACCCCTTCTCATGGCAGACTTCCTCGAACTTCTAAGACCTGCCGTCTCCGTGAAAATCCAGAACTCCGCCGAACCTGTGACGCAAGTCCGTGGGAGTTGTGCTTTGGTCATAGCAGACCATTTTCCCCAAAGACTGAAACTTCCTGTGTAGCTCATGCAGTATATCCGTGCGACGCCGTTCTGGACGCAAGAACCGCAATACCAAGGTAGATAGCGACAGAGACGTACATGCCTCAAGGCTAAGTGCTCTGAATGTCAAAGTGAAGAAATAGGTAGAACTCGTGAGCAGAGATATATTCCCAGAGTTGCCTTGTGATGATGGGATGGTTCGTCAGCATGCAGCGCAAACGCTCACAATACAATACAGTCATGATCACCAGATATATCTTACGATTAAAGAGTACAGAACTCGGTCTGTGAAGAGAGCGTGCGCGTTCAGTTGCGGCTAGCATGCTATAGGCTTCAGACTTGGAACCTGATCGGCGGTGTGGCGTCAGCATTTGGAGCTTGAACTACTATGGCTAGAACATCTCAGATAGGCGATATAGGGGTGAACCATTTGGGGCACGAGATATAAATAAGGCACTCGCCTGAACCAGTTGATCACAAAGTCAACAGCGTCGAAACATGGCATGGTTTGCATGCGAGGCACAGTCGTAGGATTCTGCCAGCTCTATGCTCATATGCTAGAGCGGTCTGGTCTGGTGAGGATGAGAAGGGCGGTACGGTTGCGACGCAGTAATGATGGCAAGAAAGTGGAAAATGGATACACATATCACCGTCGGTGTTCGGCGGAGGGGATACGTACTCCATGGTGTCACGATCTATGCAAGGCTGATGTTTGCTGAGAGATATGAAAGTCCAAAGCATGCTGGTGTGCGGAAAGGCCATAGACAATTAGAAGGTTACCAATGGATCTGTTCTGGTCCTCATCAAAGTGAAAGCAACGGGATATTGTCGGCGGTGACAACGACAACAAAGAACAGAAAAGACGTGATCGGTAGTAGAGCATGAACTGATTGGAATGAGATAGATGATCTAGGGATAACCCTTTGAGAGAAGAGAGACAATTAAGGTACTCACCTGCACCAGTTGGCCGTAAAGTCAACAACGTCCGAAAGGTGACATTACGGTATGGCACTCGAGACTGTAGTTAGAGAGACGTTCTTTGCTAGCCTTGTTGGAGCCAGCCTGGTCTGGCGAGGACGAGACGATAGCTGGGTGGTGCGGTTGCGATGTTGAATAGGAAATAGCTAACAAGCGAGGGTATGTGACTATCAGAAGCAGTAGTGTGCTGTCGGCGTTGAGCGAGAGGACGTACGTGAGGATGGAAGATTCTGTAGCAAGGATGAGGTGACGTAGGCTTGGTATACAGAGGGTTGCTTGCAATGTTGCTCAGGTAGAGTTCAGGGAAGCGCCTCAAGGCATCGGCTGACCAGGGTTAGAGGACCCGCAAAGTGGCGGAGCCATTCAGTCGGGAAGGGTAATCCAAAAACGGATGGTGATCGAACGGCAACTCACTCGGCTTAAGAAGCATCGCCAGGGCACGTGTTTGGCAAAGAAATGCGGGGTAAAGGGGCGAGTGTGCTGCCATGGATGCCCTGCTCGAGTCAGGCCGCGTACAATACTCTAGACGGCGAGTGCATACACGTTACAGAGGCATATTATTATTGCAGCAACCAGCATGTGTTTGACGCGACATTCCGGAGGACAGAGGGAGATCTGGAAGAGATCTAGGCTGCAGTGATTGAATTTGGAGGCGACTCCCAGAAGAGAAGACCGTGTTTTGGGCGGAGCTTGGACATGGCTTCATAAAGCATCTATCCTAGTCTCCTCCTCCCATCGCCGCTCTCTTTCTTTCACCCACATACTCTCTGCAACCATGGCTTTTCCCATTATTGACAACCGCACCGACAACAAGGCCACTCCCAAAGTCGAGCACTCTCAGCCCATCCCCATTGCTACCGGTCCAGCCCGCCGTCGTGCGGGCTCCATGTACGATGACTCCTCGCCGACATCTTCCACTTCCTCTGATTCTTCTTTGAATTCCCCCACGTCTCCCGTTTCCACCGACCCCGTCAACCAACCTCGCGTCGGCGCACCCCTTTCGCCCTCCACCTCCCCCATCCTCTCCTACTTTCTCAGCAGCACCTCGCCCAAATCAACAAATGCCTCGACGTTCCCCTTCCGTCGAACCTTTGGCCCAGTTGTCGTAGAGGGTAAGCACCTCAGTTCAAAGCTGCTGAGCCCAGCTCTAAACTGTTGTGTATCCGTTATTTACTATTCAGATGATACAGAATCCGATACCATTCCTCCCCCTGTGAAGCACGCCCGAAGCGTGAGCATTGCTGGGGCATGGCCAGAACGTCTCGTCTCTCCTCCACAACAGGAAACCCAAACAACGACTTCTGGAGCTCCTATCACTGGCTCTCAGCAAGGTCGTGCTGCAGGTCTTCTCAGGAGACTCTCTTTAGGTGCAGCGCTCAGGGTACGTCGTGCCACTACTAACCTTTCCATACCTGTTCTGACTTGTCGTACGATTTTAGCCTCCAGTCCCCCAACCAAACCCAAACGCCAATCCCCCCACGCGAACCCGAGGAAGCTCACCGCCTCCGAATTCGCCTGAAGCAGATCGTAGGATCCCATCACCTCCTACCACCGCCCCTGGCATTCGTAATGTCAACGGAAGCCCACGAAAGGCTCGTCGTGCGAATACGATGGCTTCTGGAACCCAAAGACCTCCGAGGGCACCATCCCCAATGGGTGAGCGCATTCTCAAGGGGCACTTTGATGGGTTCAACTAGTTCGCTCGATGAGCGAACGGCTTGGGGGAAGGATGCTATCCTTGCGAATATGGAGAAGACCTATTGAGGTCGGATCACACGTCGGACAGCATGTATCACACATCGTTCTGATTGGCTTCGTCCTTCTTGCTCACTTCGCCACTCGACATCCAGCATATTTGGCCTTGTCTATTCGCCTGCTCTTTCGTGCATTCCCACCCATCGTCACAGGCACCGTTCCATATACAATCGTCTCCTCAATCGCCATTAAAACGCCTCAAGCATGTTTCAAACCTAATGTACCACCAGCATAACAGCGGATTCGGTTCCGATGCTCGCAATTTGTATAATCTTGTATTCTTATCCACCTCGTCTCGCCTGCAGGTTCTACTCCCGCAGGTTTCGGACCCGCTTATCGTCTCGGCTGGGAGGGTTGATACGCCTACCTCCAAACGCGTTCACATTCTACCCCTGTCCAATATCCAATAGTCGTCAAACTTCCGGTGTCACCACGGAATCGTATTTTCTAATTCCAGTCACAGCCAACATCGGCTGCGCAGTTCGGATGCGGCGGCTTGGCGGACATTGGCTTAACTTTCCTGGACGACAATGGACGTGGTCGGGATATCATATCTGCGTCCCCCTTCTCATTCGCTTTCGCTCTCTGTTCCAACCAGACGGTGGACCTGCGGATTCAAGTTGTAACCAAGGCGACCTTTCTTTCCATACGCTCTTGAGAAGACAAGCAGAGGTTCGAGCGGGGTCAGATGAGGACTTGGGACGTCGGGAGTGCTCGTTTTCGTGTATAGAGCTTGTGACGATCCCCCGTTCAGTTTCTCGACAGGTTCGGCTGGGCTTATCTTGTGCTTAGTTCGTTAAACGCTACGTTGGTTCGGAAGTTGTGTATTTGTTCGGCCTTGGTTTATTGGCTAGGTTACTCTCATTCTCATTTCATGCTTTCCGTTTTCTTGGTCTCTTCAAGGTCCTTTATCTTTGTCTCGGTGTATATCAGTGAGATTCGGACTGTACTATGTAGTGTTACGCTGTAACTTGCTAGTATAGCGCTGGAATGCATTCATTCGCACATTTCGTTGGCCTTGTGAGTCAAAACATGTAGTGAGTGAGTATCGTGTCCGTGGCGGTATTCAAGTTCGCGATCGGACATGAACGTTGAACAGGAAATCCTATTTAAGTGACGATCGGATTGTTACAACAGCGAGCAAAATAACATCGTCAGCTATACATAATGAGAAGCGGCAGCAGGAGGGAGCGCAGGCATACTTTCTCTGTTATTTGAACTCCAGGTATTCCGAAGGGAAATGGTTGAGACTTCGTGTCTGCGGAGAAATCTTCATGAATTCGTTATCCCGTTTCATCCTGCAGACGCTGTTCTAGCTCTTCAGGCATGTTTTGGGTCCCATTTCCTTTCCTCTCAATTGTTTGCTATAGGACTTTGTAGACAGATTCTTTAGACTAGTAATATACATGTCTGATAATTCCTGGGAAGCTCAAATGAAATGTGGCAGGCAGAATATTCAAAATTGCAACACTTGATCATCAATGGTACTGAGTATATAGATGAGTTACAGCATAGCCAACAATGAATAGCCAATGCTTCTAATTGGAGTACTTCCCATTGTCTTTATAGTATGTTATATCTCATCTGCCAAGTACATTGAGACAAACAGTGAGGTCATAGTATTTCTGATTGTAAAGTTGGTTTAAATTTCACTATATTCATCTATAGTACACATCTTATAACACTTATTTCCAACATACAATTTGTTTTTATCTGCTAGCCTCGGAAATAGCTGAAACCAGTTGACATCTTTATCTGTCCAAGACAGGCCAACAAGATTGAGGCTAGCTGCACTTATAGCCAATAAGCTTGATTCAAGTTGTTGGCAGTCTTCTTTATCACTAGATGGCATTCTAAGATTTACAGTGATTGGCATCTTTGAATGCACAGATGAAAGTGATGCTAAAACAAATGGAAGCCTTTCTTTGTCTGCTCTTAAACTTAGATATTGCAAGCATAAATTATACTGAAAATCAATAGCTACAGTATCAAAGTAAGTCAGACTAAAAATCAGAAAATGAAGATGTAATACAGTTCTCACCTTCAGCATTTATGGGTAAGTCAATGTGGCATTTTGACAATGATGATCCAGAGCTTGACAAAATTTGATTGATTGCTGGTACATGCTCAGATCTGAATTTATCTTCACTACTTAACCAGATATGAAGAAGTTCAAGGCTAGAGATATAGCCACTGTCAAATATCCACTGTAATAGTGATGGACTTGATATATCTAGTTGCAGTGATTTTAAGTCAGGTCTGAGCCATTCTCCATGTGCATTAATTGTGCCAATATCTAAAATTGTGAAAGATATATGGATTTCCCAAAGTCTCAGATGTTGCAGTCTAGAACATGAATGTAACACTCTTTGAAACTGCTTAATTGAAAATGTGGCATCCAATAGACTCAGAGTATATATTGGCAGAAGAGCCAGGCCTCTGAAGAAGTCCACATAAATCCAGGCAAGATCAAGATTCCATATAGCAAGATGGGTGATATTATTAAATCTGATAGGAAAGAGTGGCATAGACCAGCCCTTTTTATCCATTCCAATCTGCCATTTTGCTGGAAAATAAATGGCAAGGCTCTTCAAATATGCAGAGTATGACCTATGATAATGTGCATATATTTTCCATAGCTGACTAGCATGTTGAGCTACCTTGGCATCCAGCCTTATATGCCTATAGAGAAAGGGCAATGCATGTGAATACCAGGCATGGCAAGTGAGACAACATGCAGCTAAAATGCTCTGCTATATAATTAAGCACAAAGCATATCAAATCTTTGTATTGTCAATGTCACAGATACATATTCAATCCACTCTTTGTTCCAAAGCCCCAGAAGTAACACCAAGTACATGGACCCAGTATATGACTTTGAATTGTATCTCCAAGGGCAGCAGTGGAAGATGCCATCTTTGTCTGCTCATCAATGACATGATCACAGTTTCACATAAAGTAGTTCAAAATGATGAGGTGAGCTGGTTGAGAAGAGAATATCCGCGCAGGCAATTGACCCCACCCCTCTATATATACCTTATCAACAATCTTTGGACGCTCGCGATACATGCACCTCACACGCACCGGCACAGCCTCCCAGCCACTCTGTATACATCTCGGCATAAGTAGGTTACCAGGACACGTAGTCCCTACAAAAGAACCTACAGATGATCATCATGCATTGATGCGTCAGACAACAGGACTGACGAGAACGAAACTTGATTCCGACTCCAGTTCCCTAACGGGACTGACATGACGGTGATAAGACGTCAGGGAGTTTTAGATGGCCAGGCGTCCATGTCAAAACAACCAGTAAGGTTGAAACACAGACCCTATGGCGCACCTGAGTCGTTGAAGAAGACATCCCGTGTGTACAGAGTTTCCTTCAAGACTGGCTCATCGGAGGCTGCAGGTCGATTTCCCACAAAGATGAGACTCTACGCAATTCTTTGTTCCCCTCAATTCGCAGGTCGATCTGACATTCGGTCTACGATCAAAGAGAAAACATGGTCTATTAGTACCCACCAAAAGCAAATCGAAACTCTCGATCGTGAAGTTGCCATTGAGGTGGATACAAGATCAAGCTGAAGCAGACCATGAGCGATTATTCCCTGAATCGTACCTACCGGTGGGAGCGTCACCAGAGGTCGATTCGGACCCTCTGGCGAGGAACAAAGGAAGATCTTCACAAGCAACAGATTCCCAGAATTTCATGCACCGGACGCGACATGTGAGACCCAATATCCACAGCGTCGTGATGTCACGGCGGAGAAGCTCTAGCGATGGCCAAGAGAGAGAGACCTCTGTACATGGAGGTTGGCAGACCGTGTAAAGGCTGGCGGAAAAGAGGGCGTAAGAGCTGAGAATGTTCAGCGAACGCATTGGCTGAACATCTCATGGAAAATCTCGGGAAACGCGACTTTGTCTGCGGATATTCCCGCGGATTGTCTGGAGTGCCCCTGTAATGATTAGCAGAAGAAGCTTGTAAGTCATATCGTTGGAATGTGATATGTTCCGTGTATTCAATCCTACGTCTGTTTATATGTACCCAAACACCATTGCACCTATACGTCAAGCAGCCATTTATTCTCTTTAGAGCCATTCCACGGTCTTTGATTCGGGATGAATAAGTACGGTGATTCTGTCGATAGTAAAAGAATGGGACTTACAGCAGGAGGCTTGGAAGAGATATCATATGTGACTCGGTTGATACCCTCAACCTCGTTTGTGATTCGAGAAGAGATGCGGCGTAGGACTTCTGGAGGGAAGACATACCTAGAGATTCGTGACGAATTCCGTGTCAACGCCCGTCCACACATACATATCAAATCGACCTAAAAGCCGAAAAAAGGACTCACCAATCAGCAGTCATGAAATCCTCAGACTGGACCGCCCTCAATGCAATAACCTGTTCATAGGTTCTCTTATCCCCCATCACGCCCACAGCTTTCACAGGTAACAATACTGCGAACGCTTGACTGATCTCATTATACAATCCCGCTTTTCGGATTTCTTCAATGTAGATGTTATCCGCTATTTGGAGGATCTTGACTTGTGAACGGGTGACGGGGCCCAGGATTCGGATGGCGAGTCCGGGCCCGGGGAAGGGATGGCGTTGGACTAGGTGCGATGGGATGTTGAGGAGACGGCCTAGCGCTCGGACTTCGTCTGATGGTGGGGAAGGAGGTGGGTGGACAAAGCATGAAACATGGGTAGATGTGGGAAAGACGGGAGAGAAAACGCACCTTTGAAGAGTTCCCGGAGGGGCTCGATCAACTTGAGCTTCATATCCTTCAAGAGACCTCCAACGTTATGATGAGTCTTGATCGTCGCACTCGGGCCCTTGAAACTGATACTTTCAATCACGTCAGGGTATAAAGTTCCCTGCAACAGCCATTCCACTCTTCCCTTGGCCTCCGCTCCGGTCAATTTCTCCTCTTCCTCAGCAGTACCTTCGATCTTCGCAGCCTCGGTTTCAAACACGTTAATGAACGTGTTCCCAATGATTTTTCGTTTCTGTTCTGGGTCTTCAATGTCTTTGAGACGAGAAAGGAATAGATCGGAGGAGTCCACTACGGTGAGGTTCACACCGAGGTCTTTGTTGAGCATTTCGTGGACTTGATTGGCCTCGTTTAGACGTAGGACACCATTGTCGACCATGATGGCGTGGAAACGGTCTCCGATGGCTTCGTGCATTAGCTTGGCAGCGACGGTGCTGTCCACTCCACCACTAACTGCACCGATGACTCGACCCTTGGGACCACAGATAGCACGAATACGGGCAATCTCTTTACCAATGAACTCCTCCTGTATGTTATAGTCGTCCATCAGGAGTCAAGCATTCCATGTATATTTATGGAATCATCGTACCATGGTCCAACTTGGCTTGCAGCCACAGATGTTGAGTACGAAACGACCGATGACTTCTCGACCGCGAGGCGAGTGTGTGACTTCGGGATGGAATTGAATGCCGTAGAATGGTTTTGAGTTGTGTGCGATGGCGGCGAAGGGGGCGGTATCCGTTTGGCCAATGATATGGAAGTCTTCGGGAATAGCAGAGAGCTGGTCGCCATGCGACATCCAGACCTAGCCCATCGAGTCAGTTTCGCGAAAAGAGAGTTTTAGCAACTTAAAACATGGTAGTCTAACACGTTACCTGCATCTCTTCACCGAGACCCTCAAACAAAGCATCTACAGAGCTGTTCCCAGAGCCAATTTTCGAGATTAGGAGTTGTGCGAATCCGTATTCGCGGTGATCACATTTGGTGACTTCGCCTCCCAAGTTCCAAGCCATTTCCTACTTTGATTCACGGTCAACAAGTGACATAAGTTGGTCATTGTGGAAACCGCACCTGAAGCCCATAGCATATACCAAGGACAGGGACATCGAGGCTGAACACTTCAGGGTCGACGCGAGGTGCATCCTGGTCGTACACAGAGTATGGCGAGCCGGAAAGGATGATACCTAGAGGCAATGATGAATTGACACATCGTTATAAATAACCCGACGCACCCTTTGGCTTAAAGCTAACATCCTTGATCTTCTGAGTACACGGCTGAAGCTCAGCATAGACGTTCAATTCACGACATCTCCTCGTGATAAGGTGACTATACTGCAGATAGCATGAAATATTTGAGCCACGTCTCGTAAATTGCGTAAAACTTCACTTTTAGAACATACTTGGGAGCCAAAGTCGAGAATGAGGATGGTGTCGAACTGGTCGTGGATTTCAGCCATTCTGCTGAGGCTTGGGTGGCAAGTTTGCTTGCAGGTTCCTCAAGAAATGAAAACGATATCATTGCAAGGAGATTTTCGATCGCGAGCGGCACCGGCCGGCCCGGTACGCCCTCGCTATGCTTTGAGTATCTTGCAGCCATTTCATCACAACATACTACATCTCGCATTGTTGTGTTTGAAGGAGCTAGTTACAGTTGTGATGAATTGAGAGTTAAAGCTTATGAGAGGATATGTAGGCCAACCTCACCTTTGTCATTTGAATTCTTGACTTATAAGCAGGTCAAGCAATGCCATCCCATTTTCATGCCTCAATTTTGACATTATCTTCATGATAGTGTCTACACTGTCCATGGTAGGAAATGGATAAATAGCAGATACATCAGATTAAGCATAGATTGAGAACTGTGATAGAAAACAGATTGCCCAGTTATAGGAAGCAGCCAAATAAAGAAGAATACAGATAAAGAGCAGAAAATATCTAGGCCATATTCTGAAGCTCAATATGACCAGCAGCCATCAAGGCAGCAACAGGTGCATTGTTTGAAGTGAAAGTGATATCTTGATGATTATAAGTGTTAGAAAGCCTGAAAGAAAGATTCAGAATATTGCAGAGACAAAATAAATAGGATATAGAATAGAATCTTACTCAGCCTCTATATTCTCTTGATGATTATTCTGGCTAGTTACAATATCAAGCAATTCAGTGGCAAATGAGTTGTCAGAATAGGTGACAGATTGAGCTTCTTCTATATTTCTATCTGTATCTTCTTCAGCTATCTAAGGTGTATTCAGTGTGGCACCCATATTGCCAAGAATTGAGTAGGTAAAGTGAACACTGGAATCTTTCTGTTTTGAGCTAGAGTTATTGTTGCATGACTGAGTGATAGAGCGCAAGTCCAGAAGAAAGCGAGAGAGAAGAATTGAGGTTATGCTAAATTGAGTTAGTAAGTAGCTAGTTAACATATTCAAAAAAACCTGCCTATCATTGATTACAATAAAGACAGATGTGATGCTAGAGTCCTTTATTGAAATGTGTAGAGGTAAGTTCTATGAAAAGTGATATAATAAAAACACTTACATTCAATGAAGTTGCAACTGACAGTGTATCCAATATCACTGGGATAGTATTTAGTATCAAAAAGACACTATAATAAAAAAACTTTAGATATCTCAATTTAATTATAAATTAGAAGAACAAACAGAAAGTGAAGTGCCCCTGAGATATGTTTGAAATTAGTTAAGAATAAAATTATGCAATGCAAACTAGTAGATAACATACCATTATATACTAGCATAGTAGTTAGTCCTGTTTTGATGTGTAGAGCTTGACTTGTTTTGAAGACATCAATAGTCTCAAAAAGAGTGAATGCAAGTACTGTTAGATCTGTTCCTACAGATATGGCTCTAGTTATAAGAGGCACTTTGAATAGAGATGTCAGTAGAAATTAAGCAATAATATGCTAAGTACAAACAGCTAAAGATCAAATAAGTAATTAGATAGCAGATAAAAATACAAATACTTACTATTGGTATTCTTCCATATTGAATAAATCCCAATAACCCATCAATGGTCCAGAAGAAACAGTGATCCAGGCTTGTGGCCTAGAAAAATTGTACTGTAAAAACAATAGAATAAGTATATTTTCAAAGATGAGAAGAAAGAAATATACTGCACTATATTTACACATGGAACAAACATACTGAGCAGAAACACAATCACAACTGGCAACCATCTTTGCTTGCAGATGGCCCAAATGCGCAGACAGTTGAAGGCTAGATCAGTAAAATTTCAGTATAAACTTGTTGCATATTATATTCAGAAACAGATACTTACCTGCAGCTGCAAACAAGCACACAACACTTATTATATAGTCCAAAATAGCCAGAGTTTCACAGCTAGTAGATATATTGATTATCACTAGTGTGAGTCATTATAAGAAAATTATAATACCCCTATAAAATAGTGAGAATTTGCTTGCAAGAATTTATATGCATAACTCACAGAAATAGTCATGGAAATCCAAAAATCACCAAGGATTTGAAGAGACATATTCAGAATAGTGCCATATCTGATGAGTACATAGAGAAGAGTGACTGCAGAGAACTTTCTCTTCCAGATGCACTTCCATTCTTGAGGCCATGCCAAGACAGCATCATAGACAATCAGAGCTAAGATATAATCAATTTGCAATGTAATAGATAGTGAGATTAATTGAAACAGACCTAGTGCTGCAAAGGTGATATAGTTCTGAAGGTAATTCTGTGAACTAAATTGGGATAATTAGCAATGAATGTGTTATCTATTTCAGCAAGGATAACATACATTAGTGAGATAATTTCATCTGATGTGAGGTTCAGTTCTGACATGATATAGTGAAGTATGGATTATCCGAAGATGAGAGATAAGAGAAAAGTTTGAAGATGCTGGGTGCTCACTATCCAAGCATAGTGCATGTAATATATAAGACCACTTCTGATGGGACCTGAGTGAAGACGGTAAGTCAAGAAACTTCCTACTCAACTTAGCAGCTGGGAGCCACACTGAGAGTTCAAGATCGGCACCACCATCTTCACAACTGATCCACAGGTCCCACCATCTTAACAGTGATATTGATTGGGTGGTGTCGGTGTCATTGTTGCGGGAGTAAACAGGAAGCCTTGCCTCTCAATAAGCAAATATCGTTCAAAACTCCCGGTACCTGTTCGAATCGACAAACTCACCGACAACTTCGCGGTCCCTCGACATGAGGACACAGCCATTCATGATATAGATGATATAGGCAGCGAAGCCTACGGGAGGACAGCTTTATTCGGGACATAGAGCAACTTTGGTACACAGAAGTGAAGGGAGAAGGAGCCGAGCCGAAGTAGTGAGTATGAGGTAAGAAACGCGTGACAGGCATCACGTTTGTGTGTGCGAGTTGTTGAAACCCCTGGGCCTGAATGTTAAGTTTCAAAGGGCCGTCGACGCGCGTCCCGAGTTTAGCAAACCACATCCTAGAGCGATCCCCCTTCAGATTGATCGACAGCGGAGTCATTCGACCACATGGACTGTACTTCAAACACGACGTAGTCAAAGCCCCAGTGTGTTGAGTTCCAAGTCTCATATCGTCCGAGAGACCGGCCAAAAGATCAACGTAGACAAGTGAAGTCACACGTGACAGACACAACACTAGAACCACTCAAGCCGTCAAGTCTGCAAGGTAAGAACATATGACTTGATTGATAGAAAACCCGTCGCAAACATCGCGGGACCCTGAGAACACACAGATAGCAGCCGACTGATCCAGGGGTAAGAGCATAATTGAACGTTTCCCGCCTTGTCCGATCTCATCAAGCTTAGGGAAGTACACAGCGAGACTGCCAGCCGCTATATGATGCGTCGACGAGGTGCGTTGACAGTGAGCATTTGACAAGGACAAGAATGCATGTCGAGGGGTATGCTGTGATATGGTAAACGGTTTGAAAGTGCGGCGAGGAAATAGAAAGTGTGAATCGCGTGACATAGAGTGGCGATGTCCGAGATGGAAGGCCATATGCAATGCTTGACCGGCAACAGCGTTGCCAGTACCACGAAGAGGTCTGTAGGCGAAAGGAAAGGCAAAGCGAAGGGCAGACGTGCGGGGGATACTGTTAATCGAGAATGTGGCTTTCCATGTCAAAATAATATGGCGAGGATCGGCCGGTGAGGATGTCAACAGTTTCGACAGATCAGAGAGGGTTCGTGTGAACCGTGAAAGGTACGCGATCGATGCAAGTTGTGAGAATGGATCGTGCGGGAAACTGAGCAACAAGGCTCCGTCGGTAAGTCAGCTTAGGCCTGTGGTAATTGAGCGAACCGATCAACACGATTGTTGTCACCAGGGAAGGCAGGTACGAGCAATGAGGGATGCGTTAAAATGGAGGCGGAGACGAAAAGTGGCGGGAGACAAGCCCCACATGAAGTACCTGTGGTCAGGTGAAGCGAGAAAGCCTTGGATGAGAATAGAAATCAACAAGCAGACAGGAACGTGAGTACATACTGGGCTTATCATGTGCATCCAATCCGCCGCTACTGATGTCAGGAGAAGGCACACCATTGTAACCGGCCTGAAACCACTGCAAAGAATGTTCTATAGAGGATGTGGACCTAATAAGCACGCAATGCTTCATGGTGAACATGAAGCTCTTGCCGATGACATCGTCATATGCTCTGCAGGAAACAGAGCAGGAAAAATGTAATCTTCTTTACGTGATCCACGAGCCCTGAGCTTCGAACGAATGCAGGTAATTGCATCGCACAACGCAATGTATCTTCGTATAGGAACGGCACGAAAACGAAGTACCAATACCTACATACCAATGACAAAGCTTTCTTCATCCTCAATGATTGCAACCATGCTGATTGAGAGACTGGGCCACATGTGAGTGAGGAGTCGAGAAACTCGGCAGGTCGGGAGATGGCGTCGAATATCTGCCAAAGCGCGATGGGATGAATGCGAACAGCGATAGGTGGCAGATTCAGAAGGAAGATGAACATCAATATGAGATGTTAGCCCACTGTGAATCAGCTCATATCGATACCAAAAGCCACCTCGTCACTAGATTGCGCAAGGGATCAGCCTGGCGCACAGTAGTGACACTTGTGTTCTAGTCCATTTCTTTCGAATGAGCTGCGTGCAAGTGAGCGCTTAGGAATAAGAATGTAGTAAGAATGTTAGCGGCTTTCCAGTGTGCTACGGGGATGCGTGCTGCGAGGTGCGTCCAACTTTGAATCCTCCTAATGTCACGAGTAAATACAATGAACTCCGCAGGCAAAGCCTTCTAAGGTGCTCTTTCACTTTAAGCAACCAACATCATGGTCCGAGATATCGATTAGGGGCAAGTAATACATAGTGATACATTTGCTACAACATTCAGTCCTGCCAATAAGTATTACAAACGCGAATCGATAGCAATCGAAAGCAATGGGTAAGATGACAACGAGAGGCAGAAGTAAGCCGGGCCTCGTAGAGCATTTTTACGTTGGTACTGGCGGTGCAAATCCTCCTCGGCCTCGACCGCGACCTCTTGGAGGGAAACCACCTCTAGGGAAACCCCGACCTCGATCGAAAGCCGGGGCGTGACCACGATTGGATGGCCCGAATCCTGGTGCAGTACCTCGCGGAGGGAATGTAGCACCATTTGAGCCACCTCTGCCTCTTGGAACGAAAGCACCACGAGGTCCCCTGGAATTGCCTCTCTGAGATACGTCATTCGCATGAGTGTGAACACCATTGGCTTGAACAGCCACGGGAGGTACACCATTCGGACTGGAATACTGAGCAGCGATTCCGCCTCGACCATTTATATATCCACCGCGGCCACGGTTCGGGTTCGACATGATATGAACGGGGGCGCCATTTCTGAAACCGAATGACAAATTGAGAACTGGTTGACGATACGAAAACAAAACGCTTACGGTTGCGGTGCAGGACGGAATCCAGATGCTGCAGTTTGGCCTCTAGCTGGTTGAATTACTGGATGAGGCCCAAACCTTGGTTTGAATGGAGACGTAGGCTTCTGCTGTGTCGGAGACTTAGGATTGGTTGACGCAATGAATTGGGGGTCCGATAAGTTGAGGCAAGAAGTGAATTCCACGGTAGATCCACGATACTGTGAGCACCTTCAAGCACAAGCATGTCAGTAGATGTCACCATTGAACCAGAACAGAACTCACCTGTCGCCCAAGGTAGTACCAGACATGAAGGGAACATCCCAGACAACGTCCATCGATTTGGCATTCATACCGATGACAACACCTTTCACGGACAATGGGACGCCGCCGGAATCCTGAACCATCGTCACACGATCTCCCAGTTCGAAATGCTGGTTTTGAAGACGATAGGTAGCATGCGCAGGTTTGAGTACTGCTTGTCGAGGAATTCCCTTCACAATCGCCTTCTTGATCGCGTCCCGAGACTTAGATGCCGTGAATTTATCTGCAAGCTCTTCTATCTCTTTCACCGTTTCCTTCATAACAGTTGTGAGCCAATGAAAGAATTCAAAAGGCTTATGCACAAACCTTCTTGAGCTGATCACAGAACAAGGAGACCGGCTCCAAAGAACGGATGCCCTTCGATGTGAGCCAATGTTTGACTTCTTTGATTTTGGCATCTGCATCTCCATCAGGGAAGATATCGGTCGCCCTTGCCATGGCTAGATTCGATGTAAGCAGACGTATTCAAGACCCATGATAACATCGTCTTACCGTCACCCCTTTGGTTGAGAGATTGCATGACCTCCGGATACTTCTCTTTGTACTCACGAAGGAGTTCGACCGCCTTGTCGCTGAATTCCCAATGTCTGCCGTCTTTACGAGAGTAGTCGATGACTTTGAGACCACGTGCGTCGAACTTAAGACGCAAACCCAAGTCGTTCTTCTGCCCGTCAGAAGTAATAACCATGAATCCGGATGTGATCTTGGCAACGGCCATGCCAGACAAGCCGAGCATTTCTGCGACTTTGAAAGATGGATAATAACGAATCGATCTTCGTGTCGCTACTATGCTCTTGAATGTGTCATTTTCGGTCTTTTCGGAAGGGAAGAACTGAGAACAGCATGAGAATTCAATGAAATGTTTATACGGAAAGTAAACACACTCACTGCAAGAACAACAGACAGTGTATCATTCGTTGTAGCAGAGACCTGAGCAGCAACACCGTAAGCGTGCTCGCCGAGGAAGAACACTTTGCTATCAACAGGGAATTCTTCGGACAACGGAGGTGGTTCCTTCTCCATGTATCGAGGATCTTCTGAGGCAACTTCCGTGACTACCATCTGAACGGCCTGCTCGGTCTCTTTGTCCGGACCTTCATAATCTTTGACAAGTGCGCCAGTGTCCAATCGTTTGAGACCTGAGATTTCTAGATGAGCTACTGAAGCGCGGCGAAGAGAAAACACTGCATGTACGCACCTTTCAGGGGCCGTATGTGAACCAACACTTCGATTTCACCAGTAACAACACCGCATCGCTTGGAGTAGTACTGCTCAATCCTCTCTGCTCTCCCCTTCCAATGGGACAATGCTGCAGGCACATGAGGATTGGAAACAACACGAGGAGGCGCGCCTGGCGTGACATTTATTTTCTCATATTTGAATAACGAGTCTGAGACGGAGGACACCATTCCTTCCTGAAGGAACGGCCACCCAATGAACGTCCGCTGACCAATCATCTCAGTGGCTATATCTTGCACCTTCCTGTTTTCGTGCTGATTCTGTATGTGTACAACCATTGACTTGTTCCGTGATTCAGAACCATGAACATTGACGCCATGGTGTCCCAGTGCAGCGGTGTGCGGAAGGGTCTGTAGCGAAGGGAAACCAGCCAGGGCCTCGGCGCCGGTCAATACTCCATCGCAAAGACCAGCAACCAAATGCAATCCATCCATGGTCGGCAGTTCATACGGTTCCATACGACATGTGCATCGATGCAACGCCGGGAAGAACCCAGGGAGCGACGACGGATACACCGTTGGTTCACCAGGGTTGTAAGTGAACTGCGTGGATGCCCCGAACGAATTGCGTTGACGTTCTTCTTCAGTGAGTCGGTGTTCTCGAGCTGAGATTATTTGTCACAACACTGCAATAACATAATGAACACGCTCTACTCACAACCCATGGCCTTCAACAGCCGTTTCTCGTCGATAAAAGGGATCTTTACGACAGCCTCCCATTCTTGCTTCTTCCCGTTTAGATCCTGTTCGAACTCCGCGGGATAGAAATCTAAGATGGGCGAGTTGGGGTCGTACATGAGGTCCTACGAACTTTGGTCAGATGAAATTGGGGAGAAAACATTGGATGATGCATACCCGATATGGTTGAGGAATCAACTCCATACTGGCAGCAGGCAAGACACCCATGAGCTGCTCAAACGGTCGGAAAGGTCGACCGAGCTCAAAACTGAATGTCATCTGGTCAACCCCCTTGAGATCTGTACAATATTGGAATTAGCGTAGGTTAGGATAAACAAAGTAGTTATTCAGCTCACCGGATATACGTGGCGCGTAATGGTAGTTATAGAACCAGCTCCATGAGGCGACACCACTGTAATAGTAATGCATGACCCACTGCATACCCTCGACGTATCGGTAGACGAGATCAAACATTTCCTGAGGATCATCGTAGGCAATTTCGAGCTTGCCCTGAAAAAGAATGAGCTTACCGAAGCAACGAAAGGTATTAAGGAAAACTTGCCTTGTAGTATCCACGCTTCCATTCATCCATCTTCTCCTTCATAGATACTTCATATCGCGCGTCGAAGTCTCCCTCCTTGTCATCCTCCATAACCCTTGCCTTCTCATATTTCCCTAAAACGCGATCGACGGCTGCCTTACTCTCCTCGTCTTCCTCGTCTTCCCATGCATCATCATCCTCTTCAACCTCTGCCTCGCCATTTGGACTCGCGGTGTCACCATTCGCCGGTAAAGGCTCATCCAGTTCTCCAGGGAACCGCCAAACAACCAAATTCTGGTCATTCTCATCATACTCGTCCCAAGCGACATGAAGATGAAGGTCATCGCCAAGATCGTTAATAAATTTCCGATCTCCGGCAGAGAAGGTGTTTGGCATAGGTAATCGGCACATGCGTTGATGGGCTATGGAAGCAGTGTTTCGGTGGTCAAGGACAAATGCTTTGACTTGCTCGAATATCTGTCTCTGGGAAGTTGTCAAAACTATAGTGGGGCATCAGCATCGTGCCGAAGAAAAGATAATGAAGCAACACACCAAGCTTGTTGCGCTTCCGCGCTGCCTCCATTTCTTTCACGTGTTTTGCCTGTTTCCCCTTGTACCAGTTTACATCGGCGTATTCCTTCTCAAATATCTCCTTCTCCCATTCAGCCATTTCGTCCAGAATGACTTGAAGACGCTTCGTGTTGATGACTCCATTTTCGTTAAGGTAACCGTCTGTGCAAAACAATCTGTGAGCACGACGAAAAGGGAGAGAACCTTATAAGCTCACCCAATGAAGGCAAAGCCTTTTTGTATATGTCGAACAGTCGCTCCAGGCCGTTCTCGTGGATATGTAAATCCGGCAAGTTGGGCAGGAAATCATTACCGACGAAAACCGCGAGAAGGATGAAGTCATCAATGACATGCTCTAGACTATATGGGAAGGGCAGCATTGGTTCGATGTCGCGGAACTCTAGGTCGAGGTATTCTCTCATAAGTGTTAGATGAAGAAGATAGAAATTGATAGATTCCAGGCTGCAAAATACCGGTCAATCATTCGAAATTTTCTACAGAGAAATTAAAAGAGCCAACCTCTTGTTTCCCTTACTGTTCCGCGACGGCCCAAACTTCACTTCTTCTCGCAGTAAACAGAAGTGAGGATCATGACTCAGGAGACCCAACATGATCAGGTCAGCGTCGAGACCGTACAAACAATGACGGACGTTGGGGTCATAGTCCAGCTGCGCCCTGGACTTGCGAATGTATTCCATGATCTTGTGTTCACCTTCGCCCGGCACTTCGTGGCCCGACAGAACAACCGTAACTTCCCGCCAGTTCGAGTCTTCAGTAATCTTCTTGTTGACGAAATATCGTAATTGTTCCGAGAGTCTCGCCATAAACGGCGTTCCTGTGAACCTGTGTCAGTCTCCTGTGTGGAGGACGTGAATTGGAAGTACGTACCCGGAGTGATACAATTGCTATCGAACGCTTTCTCATCAGGCAACTTCTCTCCTTTTCTCTCTGCCTTCTCTCTCACTTCCTTTGCTTCCTTCGCTGTGCGGAACCGTCGACTTCGTTGCTGATTCATCTTCGCTCTTGGAGCAACACCATCCACAGCCATGAAGAATAGCTTCTTGGGTTTGATCTTCCCGAAAAGGTGGTCTACATATGCAAATATAGCAGTAAATATCTGTTCCTCCGATAGTCGAAAGTGTGCGTCGTCATCATTAGGATGAGAGCCTGGCAGAAGTAACATTCAGTATACGGCAAAGCGACACGACGACAGAGAGTTCATACAGTTGTGAATAATTCCATTGAAGTCGATATAGAGATTGTCTGTGAAAGGGGTGAGACGGTGTCGGTAAAGCGTAGCATGAGGGAGCTGACCAAACTCTGGGATCTTGTTCTCTTGAATTAATTGGGATGTGAGGGGATACCGCTCTCTGTTGAATAAATTAGTTGAGAAAGCATGTACAACGAATGGCCTGAACTCACGATATATAACGAAAGAACTAAGATTCCGCATGGTGTTCAGCATGTCGCAAGCACCATTTTGTAAGGACAACTTTACCTTGGGGATCCCTGCATTAGATCAATGAAATGAGTACATTCATCTGAGTAGAAAAGCAAAATAGTGCATACCCATATTGGCACCGACCTCTGTACAACGGTCTTGAAAGTCGAATGGATGAAAGTAACGAAGCACCAGTGGTCGACCCGCTTGCAGTTGTGTGGATCAGGAAACCCTAACCCTAACACTCCATTTCGAAAGAGTCAACCTGAATATCTATATAAGGAAACTCTTCCGATTCCAGACATCACTTCGCTCAATAACTTGAGTACTACATATGTTTGAATCAGCATTTGTATGTGTTTTTTAATGTTCCCGTTACTCTACATGAACAGCACAGTTTTGTTGTACAAGAAATACTTCAGGGCACGTTGAGCTAATCCAAGAGTCCAGGTATAGTCGAGTGCAATGCGGTTACAGCGGCTTGTCTTTGCAAGGGATAAATAAGAGCAAGTAGAGTCGGAGAGTCGACGGAGACAATCAGCCGGGATACAGATTGGAGAATCTTGGCTGAAGCCAAGTAAAACTTGCAACATTGGGATCTGAGAGTCCAACAATTTGTCTCAGATCTCCCCCTTACCACGCATCTTGGTTTTGAAGCACAGGCAGCCCAGTCTCACCGCAATGGCAATACGAGTTGAAAAACAAGGTGGCATAAAGATGTTCCCTGAGCAAGGCGGGAAACTCATGAAGACTCTCGACAAAGAGGCAGCTCAGCAGAGGGGGTGGCGGAACAATTCATCAGATTGGATGAGAATCTTTTTTCAGCCTTGCTCCTCCCTGCTCGCATCCGACGCGGCTTCGCGTTTACACCTTCGTCCGATAACCTACGGCCATTCGACCCTCATCCCGTTGGGCTTTATCTCTCCGTTTCTCAAATCTGAAGCAAAATTGGGATCGGTCAGTCCAGATTGATATGTTCTCGGCTCTCAGATGGAGCATAGAATACTTATACGTACATATGTTTCTTTAAGAACTTTTGACCCACGAATCGTACTGCTTTCGTCAAGCCATACGTAGTTACTTCAAATGAATGACAGGCGCGTGTACTAACCGATACACTAGCAGAGAGTTACACTAGGTTTCTGCCACTTTGCACGAGTGGAAGGAGTCTGTGAAAGAAGCTCCTTTACCTGTCTAAATGCACGAAGACAAATCAGTCAAACTCACCTCAGATAAGACTTGCATAAACACATGGAGTTCCTGTAGGCTCCCCCTACAATTTTATGAAATTTCCGGGATCGCATCGTCGAATAATGACCAACTTACTGAGTACCAGAGTTTCTCGCTTTCTAAGATCCGTTAGAACGAGTTCGTATAAGCTAAGCAGCCCTACAAACTTCTCGCTATAAGTCAACAATGAGGAAAAACAGGGAATTGACTGGATAAAAGAGAGCGTATCAGGGAATCACTTCCAAGTTCCAAGGGTCAGCGAGACGCGTCCTCTCACGTTCGATCGCCTCTCGGCAGGTGCCGGCGAACCAACATTGATCGGGAGATATGACTGTCACCTCGCACACTCAACAGTACTCAGCTAGTGACTTGGCAGGTGCCAACGTTTTTACTAGGATGTGGCTACAAGTCCATGTTGGACGAGTCCCAGGGAACCATATTGATTTTTTTTCACCGGCAAACTAGAGGCATCCGGAGGTTCTTGTCATACCACGACAAAGTTCTGGGGAATCTCGCAATGCACAATACTTCCACCTGGATCGAGTCTGGCCAACACTCATGATTTCCTTAGAGTTCGAGGAGGTCTTTATGTCCTCTAGCTGTCCTCAATACCTTGTACGTTGTGCATTCATAGACGGTGTGGTAGACAATGTTCTATATTGCCCCATACCTATGACAAATTCCAGGCTTCTTCTCAGTACCTTCCATCCAACAGGACCATCTTCGCATTGGGCAATATGTCCATACTAATAGACATGCGAAATCCATATTCAATTAATTCTAGAGCTAATCTAGAAACTCGGACATTACAAATAGTCCCTCGGTGCAAAGAAAGTGTTTCTAGCCAGACTCAAGTTCACGTTCATCTCACGAGCTATCCATAACTTCAAGGTCTCTTGGCGTAGAAGAAGCGAGACCCTTCTACTCATTTGCGCGCAAGTCAATATTTCGACTTTATGACTATGCGGCTGACTTGCGTGATTACTTACAGGCACGCATCAGTTCTTCACCATCGTTGCGCTATCAGCATGTTTCTAGACGCTGCTATTCGCGATAACGAAAGATCACCATGATCTATCGTTGTCGTGACTCTCGATACGGAGGACCGAACGCCTTTCATAGTGCTTGTCACGTGAGGTGTCGCCATAGGACCTTCTCTTTGCGTCACTTGGCGAAAAGGTGCAGTCATTCACTCTCAAGCTCAATGATTCAAATGAAATATAAGTAGCCACCCTGCCCGAAAATACACCCATCATCCTTCGACTCGCCATGGCTCCCGTCGCAGTCTCCGACCAATCCACAGCAACTGAAACAAAGACCACGGTGCAGAAGCCGGCCGCGACGGCCAAGGCACTGATCAACCCCTTTTACTCCCCTCCTACAGGGGATGATGGCGATGAATCTTATGTGCACGCTAACTACAAGGTGAGTCGATGATCGTCGCTTGACTGCTTGTTGTTTGCATCATGTTTGCTCACCGATCAACCTTAGCCTTACTTTCCGGACGTGAAGTGGGCGCCTCTGGGGCCAATAGCTGTAACTGAACGTGCTCAATTCGCCGATTCCGAGAAGAAGGCTCTGTTTTCCGCGGTGCAAACGGTCAAGCACCTTACCCCCGCCATTGGCACCGAGATCACTGGCATCGACTTGCGTCAACTTACCGACCAACAAAAGGATGAACTGTAAGTTGGTACTCTGCTTAAGCGCGGCTTCTTTGCTAACGACTGTCTCATATAGTGGACTTCTCATCTCTGAGCGAGGCGTAGTGTGTGAGTTATATTATCGCCGCTCCAGTGGCGCAAGCAAACTTAATTGCGATTCCGATAGTCTTCCGCGATCAGGAGATCAGCATCCATGAACAATTGGAGCTCGCGCGGCACTTCGGTCCTCTTCATAAGCACGCAACGACCCCCATTCCTCGCGAGCCTGGTCTGGAAGAAGTCCATGGTGAGTACCATTAACATGTTACGCGGACGTTACTCTTACCATGCTATCGCTCTGCAGTTGTTTACAATGACAGGACTCGTCGACCAGATCCAAGTGCCTTCTCGAAGATCGAGCTGTGGCATTCCGATGTATCATATGAGGCTCAGCCCCCATCTATCACTTCCTTGAAGGTTATCGCCGGACCCGAGTATGGCGGTGACACTCTGTGGAGCTCAGGGTAGGCCCTCGGTTATTTTGGTCTCTCACCAAGTAGGTTGCTGACTATGTCGGTGCAGTTACGCGCTCTATTCGTCATTCAGCCCTGGCTTCCAGAAGTATTTGGAAGGACTCTACGCCGTGCACAGTGCTGTAGCGCAAGCTGACGGTAACCGTGCTGCAGGTCTTCCTGTTCGCCGTGAGCCCGTGGAGAGTGTTCATCCAATCGTTCGGGTCAATCCCGCAACCGGCTGGAAGGCCATCTACGTGAACCCTGGTCAGTTTTGATTGTACATGTACCTTGCTCTTTTTACTGATCCGCGAGACTAGGCTTCACTCGTCGCATCGTTGGTCTACCCAAGGCAGAATCTGATGCTATCCTCCAGCTCCTCTTCCATCAAATCGCAGATAACCCTGACTTCCAAGTGCGCTTCCACTGGGAGCCCAAGTCGATCGCCATCTGGGACAACAGAGTACGTCATCCATTTCGTTCGCAGCTAGGGCGTCGCTTGAGCTTATCTGACTGATCGTATCGCCAACGTGTAGGTCGCGACGCACTCGGCCACGTTTGACTTCTGGCCTCACACTCGCCACGCTCTTCGTGCAACGCCTCATGGCGAGAAGCCGATCTCCGTCGAGGAGTACGAGCGTGATGGTAAGGCTGCGAAGGACAGACAGGTTGAAATTTTCAAGCAATTGGGGGTTGAAGTTCCATCAGCTAGCAATGGTACCAGTAAGGCTCGAGGATACAATGATTGAGCTGAGCTTCTAAAATATTGTCTATACCTCGTATGTATGTACTTATAATCAAAAGCATTCCTTCGTTTGGTTTGTTGGATGTATGTGTATCAGTTGTTCTGTTTCGAGAATGAAGTCCCGTGTAGAAAACAGCGTGTGACGAGTTCCGCAACTAGATACTGGGGAACCACCAGAACGAATTTGCTAGTACCGTGATGTTAGGACTTTGTAGGATCGGTGACAGCGCAGCTTCGTAGTCCTTCCTATTGACAGCTCGGTGAGTCCTATGGATAAGACCAATCCTGAGTATGGACGATTCCTCAAGAAGGTCTCAGACTCAAGTAGAGCGAGGCTCATGATGATGAATAAATATTTGGGCGCACCCCACTGAATGAGCATCTTCAACTATTTTCTCCGCCGCTACCACTGGTATGCTGGACATCGCGATTGAAATCTGTACGTATTTGAGCGTACATAAACAAAGCCATGTGCCAAGAAGCATTGCGAGCGATCTGCTGAGTAGATCGATCTTCGATTTGACAATTCCATGTGATTTATCTCAACTGCCAGATCTGAAATCGAGATACGCCGTCGACAGTCAACGTCAATCGACAACTTCAATCGTAAAGGAACCTGGGGGCGGACGTCAAATTCAAAGCGAATGAATCGTACCATAAGAATAAGATCGTTATTTACAGGTATAAATCGTTCGAGCATTACTAATGTTCCGGATAAAGAATAAAACGAAACGCATAGGACGAGGACCATAATCATAACACCACAAGATGTAGCAACCTAGGTATTCCTAGGGTGAAGTATTAGGGAAAGCAAGAACTAGAACGAAATGAATTAAAGCATAACGTAGCATTACCGGCGAAGCTGATACCTATACAAGTCAGTGGGGAGAAGAGCGTGCATGGGACGCAGGGTTAGAAGGTCTCATATATGATTGGTCGTATCCTCCGCGTCCAGACGGGGACAACCAAGGACGGGCAGCGACATTAGGCCCAGACTCAGCATGACCAGTCGGTGGCGGAGGGGGAGGCATCATATGATGGTGAGGATGCTGTCCAGAAAGTGGAGGAGCCGGAGGAGGCGGCATGAGGTGATATGAACCAGGTTGGGGTTGCGGATGAGGGTGCTGTGAAGCATGATGGGATGGATGCATGGGGGGAGGAAGTTGCTTCATGGGCGCGTGCTCAGGGTAGGGCGACTGAGGCGGGGGACCCTGTGTTGGATGTGACGGAGGGGGAGGCATGTGGTGATGGGATGAGGGTGCTTGTGAAGGAGCTTCCCCATGTTCAGCGCCCCTCGCAGACGCGGTGGATGCACGGAGTGATTCTATTGTGATATTCGCAGGCTTCCCATCTGGTCCTAAACCTGCCTTGTCGCGTTTACGCATTAGCTTTGCATAGTCTGTTACGTCACATAGCGTCAGAGGCAATTGACAAATGAGCAAGTGGAAAGAGGATAAGACTCACGGAGACCACAAGCGTTGCAAAGGGTGCGAGCACCATCCGGACCTCGCCTCCACTCCGGTGTTTCTCGGATATTGCACGAATGACATTTCCCTGGAGGGGTGGCCCGCTGCCCAGCCGCCTAATTGTATCAGCCTCGACGTTTTGAAACGATCATATGTAAAAACGACTCACGCTACGCTTTCTATATTTGCTCTTGGGCTGGCCGGGTACATTGGCAGCCGAGCTGGTCGCACGCTTACTGCGAATGATCTCCATGTCCGCCTCAGCTGTGGACTGTGCCTTCTCATCGACATGCTGTTGAGAAAAGGTCATAACATAACTCGACACGGTCACAGAATAAGGTGGGACTTACGTCAGGTCTGTAGTTACTGACGGGAGGCGTGGCTTCATCGTCTCTGGACATATCTTCCCATGGCCGTTTCGGGGGTCGATGTTCATCAGATATGCCATTGTGCGAAGACTCCTCCTTTGGCGGCTGATCAGCGGGGAGATCAAGTCGACGGAGATCCTCTAACAAGCGGACCACAGTAGAAGCGCGTTGGGCCATCTCGTGCAGCTCAGAAGGAGAAGGCTGCATATTGGGCGAGTTGGCTTTCGGAGGCCGGGTACTCAGTTTCCAAATATACAAAAGGAGTTAAGTAATCAACTTACCATATCGACTTGCGAAACTGTATAATGCATTACAATGCTCGACAATCTGGGAATCGATGGTCAGATAACTGATTACTTTTACTGGTCAAGCACATTCAGTACCTTGGAGATCGTGCCCTGGCGAGACGCTAACTTGTCTGGGTCGATAGAAGCAGCCACATTGCGAGGATCAACAAGGGTTGCTATCGGAGGCACGTTCCTTGAAAGACTTTCATATGTCTGGTGTGGCAGCGGTGCCTGAGGTTGAGCCGGTGTAAGCGGTTGGTGATGCGACCAGTGCTCAGGCTGTGGTGGATACGAACTATGGGAAGGCTGCACGGCCTGCGTAGGTGCTACAGACTGATGTGAAGGCTGATGAGAAGGCGGGGAGTGATGAGGAGGCTGGGAATGATGAGGCTGCTGAGAATGATGTGCAGCCAAAGGCTGATGATGAGCAGTTGGACGGCCAGCAGGAGGTGGATGATTGGTAGGCGCAGGAGCCTGATGAACAGGCGATTGCTGTTGGTAACTGGCGGAAGGATGATGGGGAGGCGGAAGTTGATGCATCGAAGGCGACTGGTGTGCTGACTGGTGCGTCGGTTGGTGAGTTGTGGGGGACTGATGCGACCGTACGGGCGGCAGTGGTTGTGGATGATATGGTCTCTGAGACATCTGTTGAGGTGGCTGGTACTGTGAATATCCAACTGGTGGTTGAGAGTAAGCAGATGGGTGGTGCATGCTCTCCGGAGGAGGAGCGACTGTTGGATGATATGGAGGTGACTGAACAGCGTATTGAGCATGTGGCGGGTAGGCGGTCTACAAGACGCGTCAAAACACACAATAATGAAAAAGGAATTCCCAATAATTATGGTCAATATCACATCAGATGGAATGTTGGTTTACCCTTACCTGAGGAGAGCGCCCTGGCGTCTCGCTCACACTCGAACTAGAATGGGTGCGCTTCGGCGCACTCTGTGGCGCAACCTCCCCGCGACCATTACTTGTGTGTTGAGCACCGGAGCTCGCAGTACGTGACTGAGTCGATAATGATGTCGGTGGAGGGTGAGGACTGGCATAAGAATTGGACGGGTGGCTCGAATAGTGAGGCTTTTGAAGCTCTGGAGGGCGAGTTGCAACAGGTGTTGGCTGTTGGAAGACAGGCACAGACGGAGACGATGTAGGCCGCGTCCACGACGTAGCCTCCTCACGAGTCAAATGCGCAGGCGGTGGGGCGTATTCTGTGGGACCAGTCAACGTCGGTTGGGTCGGACCTGAACCAGGGTAGAAGTCTAAGTGTCTCAAAGACGGTAGCCGTTGGCTACTCTGGTTGTGAGCCACAGGGTATCCCGATGCTTGTGGATGGTGTGCGGAGGTCATAGATGATGAACGTTGGGCGACCCGCTAGCAACTAGTTGGAACTGCGAGTTTTTGAACTCCTGTATATTTCGTGAACCTGAAATCGTGAGCAACGCGAAAGTAATTGCGGAGTTCAGTACAATGCTTGAGCAAAGCACTAAATGTCGCGCACAACAGGTGAGGATCGCAGCCAGCACGATCTATATGAACAGGCAATGCTTTGGATACACCTGTGGTTCTTGACGACGTAGGAAATGCAAGTCGTTCGCTGCTGCCTGGTGGTGACGAGACCGACAGAGGAAAGAGGCAGCTAGAAAGGAGGATACACGAAAATCCTAAACGGATCTGGGCGTCTTGTCGGAGTGCGAAATTCTGTCGCCGCACACCTTTCTACTTTGGGTCCTGTGCGCGTTCCCGGGAAACGAACACTGCTGATGACTGCTGGGGATTGACTTTTGATGCTTGCGTATCCTCCCGCGTTGCTTTCTTTGTATATCTTATGGGGAGAAGGGACGTTTTCTCACTTCATGATGCAAGCAGCCCACTTGAACCATCTCCGTTGGCAGATGGACCGCAAACTGAGATTCATCACGAATCTTAGGAACCGGGTTCCGGGAATCTGTCTCCCGATGTTATTGAGATCCCTTCTTCGGGTTCTGCCTGAGCTAATTTGTACGTAAATCTCGGCACGGGGTAACCACGGAATCGTATCTTTCTGCTCGCGAGCAATTATCAAAACAAATGCACATGCTACCGAACTTCTCAACCATGAAGGCAGACCACAGACTACGATATTTGTGCAGCTTGGATGAATTACTCTAGGCAGACACCAGTCAGGAGTCATGCACCGGAGTATCAGGCCCCAACGTTCATTTTGGGTTATTCCAAACTAACGGCGCCGGTGCCTGACCAACCAGATCCTATCGCAGCATCTGATCTCCAACGTGAGATTAGTGTGAGATCACTCTCAGCATGAGACAATCGGTATCGGGCTTTGTAGCCGGAGCAAACACTGTTCTCCGGCTGCTTTGCGGATAACGAGGAGAAGAACATCAAAGCAAACAATGCTAGCCTCGTCGAGTCCTTAAGAGCACCATAGTGCCCTCACCACCAGGCGAAAGGACGGACTGCCCCTGAGCAGTCTGACGTAGCCAAGGACGTAGCATACCCATGGAAGTGTAAGTAGGCATACTGGACCGTGGACGCAGGCTGCGCAGTATGTTGTAAACGTATCACAAATGTCCTCCGTCATGCCTCGGGAAGTAACACGCACTGTTCACATGTTGCCAGAGATAGTAATATTCCACCACACCTTAGTCCTGTGGATTCTGAATTGACTGATCGTCCACGCCAATCATGGCAGCCGTCCTCCTGGCATGCACGAGGATCCGATTCCGGATCGTCCATCTGAGCGCGGATCCATCTCAAAAGTCACAGTACATGATATAGCTTCAAATCGGTGGGTTTGGATTCCAAGCCACATCCCCCAAAACGGACTCTAACTGGGGAAAATTAAAATCAGCCGTGCACCTCGGAAGAAAAATATCCATTCTACTTGCTGTTGGTGAACAAAATAAAACTTCTTCGAATGAGGAATGGAGAGCTCAGCGCACGGCATTGGCGTGCCGCAGTAGTGCGTCTCGTTGGGAAGCAATGGACCCCAACGCATGAGAACCATGCTCCAGATGTCTACCACCTTGTCTACCAAAGCGCTTGTCACTGCTTGGCACAGAATGTGTACGAGATATTCACATTCTACTCTAGCTTAGCCCCGAACGTCACTCCGAGAACGAGATGCGACGAACATCTGGGACACTAATATGAGAAGGCAAACCAACGGGTTTAACTGAGAAAGATCCACACTAACCATGACGAATACTCACTCACGAGATAAACTTCGCCAGAACTGCGGGAATATCGTAGGAAGTCCACGGCACAATCCAAAAAGTTCATCTATAAAAGGCGCGGATACGTCCGTCGGCGGAGATCGTCCTTGAGCTAGAAGTACAGAAGAACTGCTTTGCATAGCACACAGCGTTTACCCGTTGAGACTCTTAAACCATTTTGGGACCGCACGTCCCACCGCGGCCCCTGATATCAAAGATGGAAGAAGAGCGTACGATCACAATTTGTCGCCGGCCAACTAAGGCCAACTATCACAGAAGACATTGCCAGACGTACCGCGCTGAACATGTATATGATTGGCGAAACCATAGCTCCTATTCACGGCTTAGCTCGAACGGAGGAGAGCACAAACACCGCAGAATCAGCGCAATGACTAAACAATACGGAGGGCCTCAGAAAGGTGATCAACAGAGCATAACAGGGTGTAAGCTCTATGTACACCTTGGAGAACCAGGAACCTATGAAAGGAAATGAATAAGACCATGTGTACATCTCAGATGAAAAGCATCTGATGAACGACATCGTGTGTCGGTCACCCACTTACCAAAAAGCGTTCCCGCGAACGAGCTGTAAGGACAAGCTGACATCTACGATCTGTCCTGCGTGATCTAGGTCGCTGCTGCGCATCTTGCCTCTAACTACGTCTTCGTGCCTGTGGCTTCAAGTTAGAACGTTGACACTGACAGATCGGCGTTCTTGTGTATGCGCGATGAGATGTTGATAACCGTCGGGGATCGGAGAATCCAAGATATGGGTTTCAGCGTTTCAAGGATGGCCGTAGGGGCGGCGCGATCCATGGCGTGTGTCATGGAAAGACTGTAGAAGCCTCAGAAGGATCTTGGTCGCCAAAGTTGAGTTCACTTCGCTATATTATTGGATACCGCATGCTTTACTGTACGGCCCAGAAGGTTATGACGGAGACCATATCGTCATTACTATCTGGATTCGCCTCTTCTTGAATCGCGTATCTGGAAGTTCAGATATTTCGCTGGAGATAGTGGTTGAAGTGAACAGGTTGTTTTACAACGCCCAACGGCGATTATGTCTTCAAAGCGCCGAGATATCACTGCAAACATGCTATATTTGGGATTGAATTCACTTTTTAAGGATGGTTACTTCCAAATGCGGAACATCGTTCGCTTGAATCAAACCTCGCGGCAATACGGCACCTCGATCTGCGTGCAACATGCCACAACATAAATATGTCGTATACAGTCTTCGTATACTCGTTACACTGACTGACTAATAGTAGCAGCTACACTTGACTCTTGATAATAGGACTCCAACATTCAATCTTCTTCTATACCAAGGATTCGTTTCACAGCCGCCTCCTCTCTCTCCCGTACCTGATATCTCTTCTCCGTCAATCTATCTAACCCGGCCTTGATGCTCTTCATATGCACCTCCACCGGGATACGATCTCCGACAATTTCCGGAGCTGCAACTCTCTCTCGCAGATCCTCCATATCCTCGCTCATCCCCTGCAGAGTCTGTAGGGCAGCTGCGACGTGAGCTAATGCCCGAGTGCGGTATTGGCCAATGTTACGAAGCAGGAATAGATGTTGGTCTAAGCCTCGCATTTTACGTTTATTGCCACCGAGCATAGTCCAAAGTTCAGCGAGTAATTCGGAACGTTCCGCTGAGATGTCAGCGTTCTCGCGGTGAAGTTGTTCGTGGAGGGTGATAAGTCGCTGCTCGAGTCGGTCAAGATTCGTGAGGGAAACTTCCGCTTCCAAGATAACGCGTTCCATTTGAGTAGAGAGAACATTCATGGCGTCTGTGAATGTCCTGGTAATGACTTCTGTCGTGGTAGCACCAGAAGAAAGTGGCCATAGAACGCTCAAAACGGACTTAGACTTCCCAAGATGTGCTTCTATAGTGTGTAGAGCGTGGTCGTTCACTGCGACAATGCTGTAGAGACGAAGTCAGTCTCGTCAAGGTGATTGGACGGTGAAAAGATACACACCTATCGACAGCACCGCCAATTTTAGAACTGAGTTTCTGAAGCCCTCTCCCGGTCTTCTTCGCATCAGAGACGAATTCTTCTAGACTAAGCGCAAGTAGGTCTCGGCTCTTCAGATCGCTGACTCTAACAAGGGTAACCAAGTCGCTCGTCGCCATCTCCGCCTTCTTGACCTCGAGACTAAGTCCTTGACCTCCAACGGACTCATCCAAGAGTTGTTCGAACGTAGAACTCTGAACATCCACTAACTTTGGATAATCTGCCCACTGTGGTACTTTCATATCACCAACATAGCAGAGTGGAGAGCTCGAGAACCCCGGGATATAGCACAAAGGATATAACACAGTACGGAATGTGTGCGTGAGACGAGTGACAATGAATGCTAGTATCCAAAGCCCGAGTAAAATGGCGAAGGGAAATCGAAGTAATCCCATTGCACGGCTGAAGACGTCTAATGAGTAGTTGACGGAACTAGATGCGCCGGTGGTTAATGCATGTTTGACCTGCTCTCGGTCTATATCAACAAGAGGGGCAACAGTTTCTTTGATGTTGCGAGAACTTCTGCCAAATGCTTTCTTTGGCATAGTCGTGGGCCTCGCTATGAATTGGGTCTTCACCCGGCGTTTGCGTACACCCTCTCGTGAAGGTGCAGGGCTCGCGGATGGCGAGGTGTGTTCATTTGAGCGAGCCCGATTAACATATGTGACGTCCTCCCATGAATTTTCGTCATCCATCTTTGGAGGTTGTCCACTCGTACCATTGATGTCGGCAAAACTTTGGGAATTATCGACCGCGACATCGTCGTGATCTTTGTGTTTGCTATTGCCGTTGACCGGCTCGTTGGAAATATGCATGATGGCGCAAGAAGATGGGATGTTATCGTACTGCCTTTAGAGGGATTAGTGGGTGCAGGAGACAAAGAGACACGAGCATAGTGGTATCCGCGTTTGACGCAATGTGGAGAAGGCAAGCCTGTATTTGGTCTTTGTTTGTAGGCGCTAACTCCTGAGCCAAATTAGGACCTCCGCATATCCTCACACAGCGTAAGGAAATACCGTGTGCGGACGGTTTTGGTCAAAAGATCTAGGTTCGATAACAATGATTCTCGGCTTACAAGTCGAACGTCAACATGTTCCTCTTGCAGTCGACAAGGTCAAACGTATACGGAGGCATGAATGTCGACGTACGCCAATATCTATTCCCGTAACTGTCTGCACGCGTTTTCGGCTGATAACCACCTTGGCTACGAAGAGGTACCGTTGGATGAATTAGGAATGACCTTGGTTGATTACCAGTATCACACCAAATGAAGACTGAACAAAGTGCCAGTGGCTCCCGAGATATACTGGAATTGTTATTGGGACCTTGTTCTACAGGCGTATCTTATCAATCTCACTTCCATAATACGAACTGATCATCTATATACGAAGGAAAAAATGTTTTCCGAGAGTGTACTTACTACGCTTGGTACTGGAAATGAGCCTAGCCACTTTACGAACTGTCCTAGTATAGAAATCTTAAACGAAGCCCTCACATAACAGGACCAAATACATCTCGGTTCCGATCCGAACAACCATTCACTGCCCAATGATGCTGCTTCAAGACCTCCTTCTCAAATGCGTACTTTCTTATTGCCTCTAGCTTCCCGAAATTATGTAGGCTTGATGGGATTCCCACCCAACCATGCAGGGATACTATTGCGGAACTGCTTATCGGGCACAACATGACTCTGATTCACACACATGCCATGACGTCCTCGCTACCAGTTGATACCAGTCAGTAATGGGCCACCCGCTGCCGCCCGTTATACCCGTTTAGGTCAGCAAAGCACGGGTTTTGTGGCTAATACTACCTTCCCTGACAGAATCCGGATTCTCTTATCCGTTCATGGGAGTTGATACCGCCGGCAAAGGGACGGCTTCGTTGGTCACAGTCCATGAAGGGTTCTTCAATGTAATTCACGTTTTAGACTCGCACGTTCGGTGTACAAATGCCGAATTCTAGACGTGTGGAATTCCCTCGAGGTTCTTTAGGTGAGAATCCGTGTTTCCGAGATGTAGGCTCATAGGCGTTGCAGAGGGGCGTACTTTGCGAAGATTGTTACTTTCTCGCGGTTGTGTGAAGAAGCCTTCGGTTTTATGATATGCTGCGTATAGACGTGGCATCACCCTGTATTGTGAGTAACAGTGCTCACTTTCAGATTATAGTTTCCTCGGAATGGTTTCCCTGACGATTCTTCTTAGAGGTATGATAAGGCCGTTGCTATGTCACTCAAGATCTTAGGTGCGATTAAGTCGATCATTTCAGTAACAGGGCACATATGCCGCTTGTACATATGTCGCTATCGTGATGTGTGCGTTTTCAATGCAAAGTGAATACCGCCCATCTTCCTGCATCAGGCAGCGCAGGGCAGTTTCGCACCGATCAGATCCGCAAAGGGGAGCAGATGGTACGTCCGATACCTCAGAGAATCTCTTCCAAGCTCTTCCAGTGCCTGTCTTAATGAATCCACATTGCATCCATACATATGTCGAGAATATCACAAGGATATGATGTCCACATGATCTGTGTGATCCTGGCATATTCCTGGAAAAGCGGTTCTTTTGTGCGAGTACATTGCTCGGACGAATTTGTGCACCAGGACGGTGAGATTCAAGGGAACACCAGGAAGAGGTATTCAGGAATGTGTAATTACACTTGAAGTGAAGCCTACCCCGCTACATAGATGGAGAGCGCGATCGGGTCAGAGGTCTAGGGTTTCGCCGCGTGATATATGATCGGTCGCATCAATCTCAGGTTGCGCGCTTCCAAGATGGGTTACCAGTTCCGGAGGAAAGACAATAAGCAGTGCCACATGTTCTCTTGCAGGGTCAAATCTGCGCCCGACTGCCTCTTCTCCTCTATTTTACACCCCCAGCAGCATCATAGACATATACGCTTGCTTCTTGTGCAAGTTTCTAATTTTTAGCTGCGGTGGAAGAGGTATGTATATGTTCTCAAGTCGACGATTCCACGGATACTCACCGGGAGCATTAATAGACTTCTTCCTGTGACGTTCCCTCGTCAAAATATAATCCCATTACATTTACAGATCCCATGCAGCTGCAGAGCTGCTACCTTAAAGTGCGTTACATCCTTCTCGTTGTCGCTTGCAATCGCTAATAACGATTCCAGTTCTGTTTACCGCTCACGGACATACGCCCGACACGTTTCAAACTCTATCATCCTCTTAGCATCGTGTTGCTAGCCGATCAATCATGTACAACCCATCTTCATCCTATCCTGCCATGGGGGAAGGAGATGTGAGTTTCCTTTAGTCGCTCACTTAGACTTCTAGCTCATGGATGCTCAGGGCCTTCCCGCTACGGGCGCAATAGGTGGGGCGCCAATGCAACATGTAAGTCTTATCCTGTACGCTCCCAACCTTGACAGTGCTGATTCATTCAACCCAGAACATCAAGAGAGCTGTCGTAAAACCTCCACCAAGAGCGTTCACAGTCAAGGTTCTAGATCCTGTAAGACATGGTAACTATGCTTCTAAGTCTCTACTACTCAGCGGTCAACTGATGCATGCAATCCAGGAGGTGCTTTTAGCTATGGAATTCGAGTATGCCCGGTGATAAGAGACTTCGAGGATGGTCAATCTTCGAGGTCCTCGAGGTCATCTGGGTCTTCTGGCTCGATGAAGGAGTACGAAGTGTGGCGTCGTTGGGAGGACTGTCTATGGTTCCAAGAACTGCTGGAAGACGAGTACTCTCACATGGCCAGATTAAAGCGTCAACGATTGGCTGCTGGGAAGGGAGTTAAGAAAGACGGCATGTACAAACATCCCGACCAGGCGGCGTCCTTCGATTCGTTACCTCCAGGCCCCGAAGTCAACAGCGTTGCAAAGGACGTTCATAGTATCATCCCGAAGCTATCAAGAAAGGGGACGTTGTTTCGCCCGAGTCAGGCCACTGTTGACCAGAGGGGAAGAGAATTCAGGGCAATGATTGAAGCCCTGTTCGAGGAAGACGTGCCTACTCTTATCAAAGAACTTCGGGACTCGAGAGTCATTCGCGACTTCTTCGCGTACTGGAGACGAGATAAGGATCGCGAAAAGAAGATGAACGAGAAATCCACTACGGGAGCGTCGACGCGAAACAGTCGAGCCTCTATTGCGAGCAGCGCGTTCTCAATGTACTTCTCTTCCTCAAACATTTCCCTTCAGCTCCCAAATGCGTATTCAGATCTACCTCCTAGTCCCACATCCGCACGTCAACCAAGCAGAACTAATGTTGGCGTGGACATTGGGCCCACTCCTTTGTCATCCCGCGTGAATTCTATGCATTCCCCAACTGCCCCTGCCTCCGCACCCGCTGCTATGACATTCACCGTAAACAAACACGGCTCCCTTGCTTCGGCAGCGTTAGACGATTTCGGCACAAACACTGTTGCAGAATCACAATCCCGTGTACACTCGAGTCACACTACAGGGCGTCGCCCTCGTGCCATGAGCTTGGATACTCACTTACAGGATGTACCAGTGGAGACTGACGAGTTCGTGGACGAGCTCCCCATAATTTTCTCACCAGAAGATCAAGACTGGTCCCAGTCTCTCGCTCCAGAACGTCCCAGTACTCTCGAAGTACTTCCCGAAGAGGATGAAATGGCATCAGGCATGTCAGGAATGACACTGTTGACAGAAGATCTGCCACCTCCAACGCCTCGTCGCCTGAGAAACGACTCATTTCCCGAGCGCGGAAGTCACAGGAATGCCATGGTATTCGCTTCATCGGCACATGAACCTACAGTCGTCGATCCCGATGGGGTCCTCACTGTTGAGGGCATGCATCCTCACGATGAAGTACAGTCTATCGCAGATACCGTGGACACCGTGATGGCGCCCAAATACCCTCACACGAACTCCAGTGCATCGACTTATTCTTCAACGAGTTTCAGCAATATGTCGGACAGTTCGTCTTGGAGAGCTTCGATCGCATCATTTACGAGTTTCGCCCCAAGTGCCTCTACGGATTGCTTTGAAGATGCTATGGCGGAGGTTGAACAAGCTCTGGCTGACAGCGAAAGACGTCCAAGGCACGCGCCGCGAGCAAGTGTGGCGACTATGAATTCGATATTGTCAGATTCGTCCGTGGATGCCGTCATTCCGAAGCGCTTCATGCAGTCTACACCTACAGGATTGCGGAGATCGTTATCCGCAGGAAGCCAGCGCCGTGCGGTACCGACGCTTACGATCCCCACGGAGGAAGTGTGGTATGAGCAGCAGGAGGAATTGATCGATGCATACTTTTACGGTGCGTACCGATGATATCAATCTTTTGAGATTGAAATTCATTAACAGACGTCATAGACCCTACTCTGCGCTCGTCAGCAGAAAATCGTGAAGAAGCCCTGGAAGGAGTCCCAGTAGAGGTCCCAGAAGAGATTCCTGAAGAGCCCCCACATACACCAGGAAGAGAACGCATATCTCAATCAGTCACTCAAAGCATATCTACCCCCGAGCGATACCCCAGACCATTCCAAAACCGACCACCGGGACAATTCCATCTACCTTGGAGCCCGGAAGCGACCTCTCCAACACCCACATCAGCCTCGAGTCTTCGAAGTGCCTCCAATGCTGATACATTCACCATCAAAGTGGCCCAAGGGGAGACAGCGGTCCTCCTTCGAGCTGCGTACACTATGTCGCTCGATCAAGTACGGGAGAGGATCAAGGACAAATTTGCTTCACAGGAAGGAATCAGTCTCTCACCGAACTTCGTCGTGGCGATCGCGACTTCCGCCACCATGAAGGCACCTAGAGGCCGTCCGCGCTCCCATTCTACCTCAGCCGTTGGCCTCGTCAACACTAGCGGTTTGCGATACATCACCACCGAGTTCGAATGGCAAGAACTCATATCTACTTGCTCTAGCAAGCTAACCCTTCGCATTATTCATTAGACACTTTCGTCTTCGTCTTCCCTCCTTCAATTCCTTGACGATCTTCATGACTTCTGCTCCCATCTCTTTGTAATACTAGTTCTTCGTGTTCTCGAGTCATCATGTTGTATTTCTTCGCTTTCACCTGGCGTCCATCTTGTGATCCTTGTTTTGCGTTCCCTCGTGTGAATGCTGGACTGTTTTGTCCATAATTTAATGTTACAAAAGTAGTGGGATATATCATTAGACATTTCTATGTGTACAATACTCTTGAGTTGCAGGTGTGCGAGATGAAATGTGTAGAACAATACAGAATCGAATCATGCTCCGACCGTTGTCTGAGGGGAAGCTGGTGCGATGGCTGGCTGAGAACGAATGACTGCCGGCGGTGCTCCAACTGGCAGTGGTGTCCTGGTCCAATCTGGGAGAAGGTTATACGTCGTGTGCGCGTTGGGGTCCATGGGTTGCTCCATGCTCTCGTCTGGATTCGTATGCGCCTCGGCTTCGTCCCACTTTTCTCGGGTAATCTCCACGCCACCAGACTTGAGTGCACTGAGAACGATAAGGTTAAACGTCACTCGCTTTCGTAACGAAGGAAACGCTAAGTGCACGTACCCTGCCAGAGACCCGCCTACCCAGGCCAACGCAGCAGGCGAGAAAGCGGGTGCCTTTCCCGCAGAGGCTGCCGCTCTCGGCGTAGCAGGAGGTGGAGGAGACGGATGATTCAGAATCGCGAAATACGGCACCAACGAACGTAATGCAGAATATCGTTCATACGACATCGGTCTCGATGCTCGTCTATTAGGTGACCACGATGATGACGGGTTGTTCGGATTCGGAGAAACAGCGCGCAAGAGCTCCGTTTGTAAACGGGGAATGAAGCCTGGAAGCATTGGAGTGCCTCCTGTTACCAGTATACTGGAAGCCAGGGTTTTCCGGAGATCTACCGGTGCCTGTCGTGCGTCAGTCAGAGTGTCATCGAGAGGAGGGGAGAAAATACCTTGAGCAGAGATTCTAGAACAACCTCCGCGACGCTACTTTCATCAACATCACCGCCTTCGAATAGTACCTCCGCGGCCCTTTCTCGAATCCACCCAGGAACTATTAACGTCCCGCGCCCAGTGCCTACTTGCTGTGACGCCGGTGGTTCAACTCGTATTCTGAGGTCTGTGGCAGTAGAATGTCGCATGTACAACTTAGCTAGCGCCTGAAGATGAGTTTCGCCAGGTTGCGGGCGGTCCAAGTTGGATATGGCTTGGGAATGCGAAACAACTGAGTAATCCGATTCGGGTGCTTGCTGAGAAGACATGTTACTCTGCAGATCGGCGGATACGCGAGAAAAGTCGGATTCGGACATCGCAAAGTCCGATGGAGGCGCATCCATTTCCATGGAATCGTCAGCAGGTGGTGATTGCATGTTAGAGTCGGACATGTCCAGTGCCTCGCCGACGAAGCAGATACGTGTTTTGAGCTCTTCAATGACCGCTTCTGTCAGAACTTCTTCAGGAACACGAGTGGAGCGCGTGGCGACTGGTATATTTGCTGCGGCGCTCAGGGATGTTGGCGGTGGAAGATAGGTGCCGAAAAGCAGTAGGAGAGCACGTAGATGGGAAGAGAATCTCGCGCCGGCTAGAGGGGTGGTTTGCAATTGAGGATATAGAGGCCGTGCGGCATAGATCTAAATATGGAGTCACGCCAGAAGTTCAGTTGGCAGGACTGACGGGGAGCTTACAGGTAGAACGGTGGTCTCTAGATGACCACAGTCAAGCACAAGGCCAGTAATACGGCCAGCTGCCAGTAATGATAGAAGGTGACTAGACGCAAATGATATTGAAGGCACCTGAAATTTCGTTAGTCGCTAAAGAGCGTCGATATGAGGCCCACTACCTGAAGGTTATTGAACAATATCTTCGCCATCATCTCCTTGATATGTAAAGGTAGAAGAGGGTGTTCAATGATAATCACTTTACGAGACTTGGGATCAGTCAAAAGCGAGCTTGCTTCATTAGGACAGACATTTGACGGAGAAAGAATAGGACTTACTCGTGGAAAACGGATCTCAGGCATATCTGCAGCCTAGCTTCAAGTAGCCTGTCCTCTTCCTCCCTCTCTTCAGTGGTGGTTGCACGATTTAGTGACCAAAGAGTTCCGCTTTCCTTGCGCCTAGATAAAAAGACATCTCTGGGCTTCCCTTCACCACTAAACCCCACTTTCCAGACGCGTGAACCAGGATCAATAATTATTCGATCCTCAGTTCCGTAGAGTGAATGTCGTCTAGTGGTCGTGTAGTGGGGGGATGATTGGAGAATTGAGGAAGTAAGTCGTGTCGTCTGAGGTGTAGCCGAAGGTGTTGGAGCGTCGATTGTGGCATGCCTTCGCGGTGTGGAAGGAACAGACATTATGGTAGCTCGTGTTGAAGCTAGCCTGTCGTTAGATGTCACACTATATTGTGAATTCGGCCTCAGTTATCAGTATCCAGCTTAAATATGGTTTAAAAGGGTGAGTACACAAGCAGAGAAGCGTGAGTTCGAGTACAACGTTGAAGACAACGAGTAATGAGCGCCAAACATCTGAAGAGGAGAGCAGGCGCCCCGCCCTCGTCCTAAATTAGTGTGCGTCGGGATTGGGAACCGAGGATCATCTTGGCAACTTGGCGGGCAACTAGTGCCAGATAGGCCGCCTATCGCTCATTGTTCACCGTCTCATCCTCAGTGCTTCATTGTAGTGTTCCATCCAGTCTTTACCGTCTCACTCTTTTTGAGAATTCGACATGTTAGTTTCCGCTGTAGTTTTTGCTGGATTATTGGGTTTAGTCCAAGCAGCTACCTATACCGTAATGAAGTGCCATTGGTTCATTAAGAGGATACTCGAGCTGACTACATATTTCTCCCTAACCGCAAACGACAGGTCACTGTTGGCATAGATGAGACCGATGGTCAACCTGGCCTTGGCTTCGACCCGACTACTATAAGGCCAGCAGGTACGCACATTCATACATTCCCCTCATGTCTACCCCTAACGATGACCATACGTAGTTGGAGATACAATCACTTTCACTTTCCAACTCCCTGGATACATTAAGAATCCCTCTGTGTCTCAACATAGTGCAACACGTACGTCGTATTCACGGCCATTGATGCCGTGCCGGAGAATTTGACATTTCGTAGAATCCACGTTCGATAATCCGTGCACACCCAAGGAAGGCGGCTTTGACACCGGTGTTCAAAGCACAGGGTCTGCTAACTCGAACACGGGCAGCTCTTTTGACCTTCTCGTATGTATTTTCCGCACGTGGACTTTACCTCGTCATTAACTGCTTTCGACAAGGTAAATGATACTGAACCACTATGGTTCTTCTCCGCCGCCAACCAGGATTGCAAGTCTGGAATGGTTCTTTCTGTTAACCCCCCAATCACTGGTGAACAAACCGCTGCGGCGTTCGTTGACAAGGCCAAGGCGAGCACTGGCACGCCATCATCTCCCCCTCCCTCCTCGTCTGCTTCTGGCACTAGTGGCAGTGGTGCTTCACAGACTAGTGACAGCAGTGCCCCTCCGCCTTCGCCCACTGCTACGGAGCCTTCGAGCACCAATGACACAAGTGCGGCTGTATCGGGCATGGCGAAAATGGAGGTGGTATTCGCTGGCGTCGTTGCGTTCATGGGTTTATCCTTGGCAGCCTAACTATGTTGAGATAACAGTGACTCGCTTTTTGTCATTTTCGAGACTATAGGACTCTCTGCTTAATGTTATTATCATGGCCGATAGCTGACTTGATACTCCAACCTAAACCAGATCTACAGCCCAGTGGCCGTATGTGTTCAGGCAACGCTTGCACGATAACGATATATACATGATATTCATCAAAGAGGGTAGGCGCATTTGCTTACCGTTTATCTCGATAATAGCCAGGTTTACGTACAATATCTCGTTGACCATTCAATCGGTGCTGATACACGCCTTCGGACGAGAGACCGACGAACACGCAGACATGTCGGATGGCGTTTTACGCAAGGGCGATGCATGCATCTCTCACTCCTTGAAGGGGCACATTCCGCCACTTCTTGTTGGGCGATTTCTTTAATTCGCATACAGGCTAGGTGTAAGCGAAGTGTTTTGCAGCATGCAGCGCCCGTGACAAATATTTCACTTTGGTTCATGCAGTTGATGCTTCCAGAGTCACCTAATGTTATGAACGTATCATAACCCTCGCTATTGGCGTACCGCGTTCATGCGGTGAACTGCAATCCCTTTTATGTAAGTTGACGCTCATTATGTTTATCGTTGTTCTCAGTGCCTACATGTTGATATTGATCACAGCCGTGGAATGATAGGTCGAACTTATGAAACAGTCCATGGTGAGAGGAGCGCATATAGCGCTATCAGCGATGTCCTGGAATAGGCTGGAATCCTCCCAGTACTTAAATTTAGTCGAGCAAATGTCCTTGTCAGACTTCGGGTACCTTGCTATGGATTTATTTCGTGTCGGGCTGTTGTGCTCTATGCCGAGCCGTTCACAAGATTCAGTTTAGATTCAGTTCCGAGGAGGAAGGATCATCAATCCTGCGTGAAAACACAGTTTGATCCTATGAGAGATCGTAAGGTTGTCCTGCCTTGTTTAGAGAGCTGTACCATCGGTACCGTGAGCAAGCCCTGAAACTGCTCACTTACGCAGAGAGTCAGAAGAGTTCGGTATTAGTAGAAAATATCCCTCGCCACAATGTGAGCGAGCAGCACTGAAGGCATGATTATGCCCGTAAAAGAGCGGACATTAGCAAGGATCGATGATCGTTGGCTACTCAGTGCAGCACTTCAGTACTCTCAACGTTCATAAGTATTTTGTACGACTTATTGCGGTCCGCACAACGTGAGTCGCAAACATATGCAGCTTCACCATCCATTAGGGCAACTCCCTGTTACTTCACTCATTATTTAGTTCACAACCCATTAGCTGTACTTGAAGGAACACGGGCTCTAAACACCAAATGAGAGTTCTGCACTCTCCTTGACTCCGGGGCCCACAATGACCAGCCAGCACCACACTGTTCACACCATCTGATTGAAAGTATTCTGTAATTTATTATCAACCTTCGACTCTCTTCCGAGCGAGGGTGAATCTTGTACTTGTGTAGGTGAAGGTAACTACGGGTATCGAAGTCCAGTCGAGAACAGGACAGAAACACAAAAAGTATACATAAAAAATACCACCCCAGCGGTGAAAGAGACTTGAAGTCTACGTGGTGGTGAGTGTCATCTGAGCATGAATAGCAGGGCGTGGTATCTCCGGCACATCGAACCAAAAATCGTCCTGTCCGGGACGCTTCAAGCAGCAGCTCACGCCATGAGGTATACTAAACCGCTCCGCATCGGACTCTAACTCCTCCTCAGGGATACGGAATACCTGTTCCCATGGGATGAGTGGTTCAGTCCAAGAAGGGTACCAGTGCGTGGAGCGGTATGGAGTTGGTAATGCCTGACATTCACCGGTACGCGAGTGAGAGTGTTGATGAAATCGGGATGGTAAAGACCCTGTGAGAGGAGGCCGCCGTCTCCTAAGCGAACTGAAAAGGGACTGTCTGGGATTTCGATGGCGTAAATCTGGTCACCTTTCATGGGTTTGAGCTACATACAAGGGCAGAGAAGGGTCAGAGAACGGATTGAACACACAACCAGAACAGGGGTAGACAATGATGAAGAGAAACATACCCCGATAACATCGATGGTGTCTCGGTTTGTTCTTTGAAGAGGTGGTTGCACCTGTCATGGTACCACTGACGAAGTGCGGGCAGTTCTTCTTCCGGGTAACCGTCGGGACGGAACTCCTCGTCGATTTCTTCGTCGGTGGGGAACATACGATCGGGGACAACACCTGGAGGTAACTTGAGTAGGGCCCTCTCCAGAGCGTTCCTAGCTTCTCGCGGCCGAGTTTGAGTACCTTGCTGCATAGTGTTAGATTGTACGTCAGTCGGCTTGTTCAGGCTCTGATGCGTAGACATCCTCTGTTGGCGCAGAACGAGACCCAGTAAACACAACACTCAAAGCATAGAAGCAAAGCTTACCATGTAGTGCCTTCGGCGAGAAGATTAAGGGAGAAGGCAGAGGCGAACATGATATTTCTATTTAACGTGTATATGGACAATTTATACTCCGATCAGGCTCCGCACGACGCGTCGGGGAATATTTGCATGCACGTGAGCGTGTACTTTGTACCCAAACGATCGCCTTCGCAACTCGCTTTGTGAAATCCTATTATTTGTTTCCAACTTTGGGATCATCTTGTATAGCTCGCCGCTAGCAAGAATTTACGAGAGAATCGGAGCGTTGAGTTCGATGGCGTTTCAAACAGGGTATGAGGCGTGGTATCTGTACATTGATCGCGAAACTAAAAGTCTTACAGTTCCTCGGTCTTTGGTACAAAGCCAGCTACAGGCTCTATCTTTGGGCAGAGTAGTACTACCGCTCCCCAGCAGGGGTCACTGTTTGGCAGTACGCAACAGAACACTAACACCAGTGCCTTTGGCACCCAATCACAGTCACAACCTGCACAGGGCACATCATTATTCGGGAGTACGTTTGGGCAACCCGCTCAGCAGCAGCAGCAACAGCAACAACAGCCGGCACAAGGTAGCTCGTTGTTCGGTGGATTCGGCCAAAAACCAACCCAGCCTGCCACGGGCGGTATATTTGGACAATCGGGATCTCAGCCACAAGCTCAGCAGCAACAAGGCGCGTTTGGTTCTTCGCTGTTTGGAGGATCTGCAGGACAACCCAGTGCACAACAACAACAGCAACCGCAGCAGCAGCAGCAGCAGTCTAACCTTTTTGGTAACCTGGGGGCGAGTACCGGTCCTCAACAACAGTCGACTTTCGGCGGTTTTGGGACTCAATCGACACTTGGAGGAGGTTTTGGCGCAGGTGGGTCAACGCTATTTGGCACCAGACAAGCGTCTCAACAACCGTGAGTGCTCTTCGTCATACGGGAACTCGTTTGCGTGTGCCTCGGCAGTTGTTGACGTACAGATCAGATCCCTGTCAATGACTCAAACAGCCAGCGGCGCACCACCTTTTACGAAATCAACGAAATTCAATGATCTTCCTGACGACGTCAAGAGAGTCTTCGAGCAGATTGAGTAAGTTCAGTTGCCTTGCAAGGCGATTCATACTCAGCTTGAGCAGTGCACATATTCAGGGTCGGATACAAATCAGCAATGACCTAAAGCAGCGGAAACTGGGCGATGAGGCGACGAAAGGTCAAGAACTGATATACAGCGTCCATCAGGTACGTTCATTGGACTTCAACATCGGTGTTCGCATTAGACTCACGGGCTGCATAGGACCTGCTGAATACGATAACCGTCATCCATTCTGACGTGCATCTGACACGAGACCTTAAGTCCAAAGTGGATCAGACTGTGCAAGATACCATCATTGCGACACGAATAATAGATGGCTTCCGAAACCCTCAACAGCATGGACAGCATCTGAGAAACCACTCGGAATTCCCGTTAGAGTATGTCGTTTCCTGTCATTTCTTTTTTTCCGGTGTCATAATGGGGCCTACCGTGACAGGTTTTTCAACCGTGTGACGGAGGAGATGAAGGAACGTTTGCGCTGGTGTAGAATCACAATAGAGGTACACACCTTCCTGATTGGTATTTACCCGTTTCTCACTCATCTGGCAGGCGATCGAACGCAAGCTTTCGTCGGCTATCTCGCAGACTCAATATACGCCACAAGGTGAGTCTGCAGTCGTTCTAAACAGGAATTGACCCTAACACGTTTTCCAGTAATTTCATCGACCCTGGAAGCACAGTACAAAACGTTCATTGCTCTGGCGAGCAAGACGGCGGTCTTGGATGCCGAGTTGCAGAAGATCAAATCCGTCTATACACAAATGTGGCGTGCTAAGACAGGTAGTATGCGCGATCCGTTCAACGAGCTGGACCGCAGGACTGGAGGAGAATTTGGTTTGGAAAGTTTAAGTGGGAAATGAGGTTAGTCCTGGTGTATGATTGCTTCCGCTCACGTCTCTGTATTTGTCTATATTTCACTTTGATACCATAATGACCCATCGTCCCTCGACGTCATGATACTCCAGTACACGACGAACACAAAACTTTGCTGTCAGAGGTGGCCCTTGATTCCGTTCAGTCACTTTCAGTTCGCGATATTCACGCTGCCACATCGTGGCGCACAGCCTTGCTTGGAGACGCGTCGGTGACACAGGCGCACACTGGAACCTATCCATAGGATCATTTCGACCTTTCCAAGCTCGAATAAATAAACTCTTCAAGACCCACCTATTCCCGAGATTCGGCCGATACTTCGCACTTCAAGCAGCGTTTCTCACCATTCAGTATGTAGGATGTACAATATTGCGCTCGCCAACATTCCTTCTAGGGAGTTGTATCGTGCGAACGATCACGGCCGACGTGCCTTAACGCGAATTTCATCCAATCCTGGTCTTGTCTAGATGCTTATTCACCGTTCGCGCAGTGCTGGTCTGGAACAACCTTACCAAATATCCTCTCTCCCCGGAACGACCTAGCGAAAGAAAAGAAAAAGAATAGCTCAGAACGGTAGCGGCCGTGGTACGTGCCAGCGTTCCTCGCTCCGTTGCTACTGTTTTTCCTCGCGACCGTCCTTCGCTGTCGATACTTGCTAAAACTGTGCGTTTCAACCCTCGTTTCCAGGAACTTGCCGTGAACTAACGGAACGCCATGGTCGTCCTTGAATGTACTACGATGATGTCGCACCTCGTTGTTATTCTTCTACGTCAACTGAATCCTTGGGTATGTCCTTGGTATGTCATGGAACGGCTGCCATTGATAGACTATCGCAGGAATACCTCTTCCGCCGCCGATGAAACTCAATCGAGTAGTCGATTAACATGCCTAAGTCCTAGCAGCCGCTGATGGCGTAACAGTTGGAGAACACTCCGCATCTCAAAAACAGCAAATCGCGACGCTCAAACATGACCTAGCCTATTTGAGTCAATAGCGCCCAGTCGTTAGTTTTCCACGTGCTTCCGATCTTTTACGCGACGATTTCTTGGGCAACCTCATATCGCTCCCGCGAACGTCCAAACTTTAACCTTCGATTGCCAATCACACTGTCACGCCAATTACACGTTCTTCGAAGTTTCTAGGGCTCGTTTTCGATCATTCTCGCCCAATTCCACAAACAGCGAGTTTCGCTGACGCGTTCGTAAACTTTAGTTGACTCATTATGACCGTGCCATCCCGCGTTCCTTTTCTTTTTCGCTAGTCTGACCTAATCCTTCCAGTGCAGACCTGTGTAGCGTCGCTGGGCAAAACGGTGGTAGATTCTCCGGTCGCTCAGACGTATCATCCCGTCGGGCTTTCTAGTGATCCTATACATTTACTTCCGCGGCATCGCTGCAGTTGTTTCCAATCATCGCCAAACCCGGATGTCGCGTAAGTAGAGGCGCGGCGCCACAAAATAAGGTAAAAGTTGGTAAAACCCGCGTTGCTCTTACGACGTCCGGAAAAGCCATTCGGCCAACAGGTCTCGACCTCTGGATCCACGGCGGCCAAATGCAAATCGCGTTTCATGTGCGAGGAATCTCGTCTCCTTTTACGGCGTCTGGCGTCTCTTGGAGATGAAACGTCAAACCCCTGGCTTCCTTCTCACTGAGAGCAGTCCCGACGCGGTGTCGTCATATCCGGATGTAGTCGCCCTCGATTAGGCTGGCATATTTTCAAATCCGCGGATTACGCGTATGCAAATTGTGCAAGATATGCGGTGGCAGTGGCAGAAGTTTGAATCGTTATAAAGATGCGATGAGGCCAACTTTTCTACAATCCGGCCTTTCGCCATTTCTGCTCTCGAGCCTTGCTCTTCACGTTCTTTTCCTGCTCAACATCTATTACAATGAGTTCTCCGCAGGCATGTGATAACAAGTCTCCTCGTCCAAAACGTTCTAACTTTCCATCTCCGCTATATAGAGCCCATCTCGCGACTCTCGTCGTGGCAATGAGTCCGACGACGACTACTATGTCCCTAGAACCCCCCGACGGACGCCTATGGCGTGTATTTTCTGCAGAGGTGCGTCGTACTTGTTCGGTCCTTTGAAACAGTGGCTCACGAAGTGGCTTATAGGTCGCAAACTAAAGTGCGATGGCCGAACCACATGTGCTAACTGTCAAAAACGGAACCTTGCATGTACTTATGTGCCAGTGTAAGTGTCTTCATCGTATGTACTCTTTCATATCGGACGCGAACTAATACACTTGCTAGTTCTGCACAGCCTTAATTCTGACAGTGGTGTCTGAGAAGATCTAATCTCTGCTTCTATTCTATGGACCCAGTGCCTAATATCTCCGGGATTGATCCCCTTAATCGCTCACTTCCTGTGACATATCATCGCTACTCCCTGCTCTGTTTGCTTTCTTGTTGTATCAATCACATCTCCTGTTGTTCTATCGTCCCGCTATCCACTTAGATTATCTTAATACCTTCGTCGTACCATAGTCCGTTCGTACATTGCAGACCGTACCTTACAAATATACATTATATTATCGCCAAGAGGCTTGGTCGGTCTAAGCTATTCTATTTGTTTGCAAGCTGACTCGATTCGATCTTTCGGTGTTTACTGCAATGCTAACGTCGTTTCGTTATAACATGTGCGGTGAGTTCTCGATATTCTAACACTCTGCATGATCGTTCTCACGGGAGTCATGCTGCCTGAGAGCATAGCATTCCCTCATATAGGTTGGTTTCCTCATGAACCGTGTATATCTTGATCAAATGGACGTCTGTCGGGTAGCCTTCATTCTACATTCTAACCAGTGATGCAGTAGGCATAGCCCAAACCTTGAAGGACTCCAACGTGGTCATGCAACCGAACGATTCGGAGCTTCCTGGCTATACATCATATAGGGCAAATCGCGTGGAATTCTCCGATCAAACATGTCAGCTAGAGGACGGCAAAGGTCGACCGTGGATTTGGCTCACGATACGGAGTCGGACACGGGATCGAGCACGGCTCCCGCTGTTTTGTGAGGGGGACAAGATTGAAGGTTCGGTGGAAGTTGACTTTGATAAAACCAGCGGTGCTAAAGGCGTCTCAGTTGCTGTACGTACTTGCATGTGGTCCGGATAGCCTGACAGTGGTTTACCTTGAGTTCAGGTAACGGGAAGTGTGACTGAGGTCGGGCAGGAAGAGTTCAAATTCTTGCAACTGCACGAAGCGTTGTGGACAAGGGAAGCTTCGACAGCCCCCAAGGACAAACACCGATGGCCGTTCTCCATACCGCTCCCTGATAAGGTCCCCGTGCAGAATGAATCATATGCTTTGCCACCCAGTTTCTCTGAAAGAGGAAGTCCCGTGTATGTGGACTACAGAGTAACGGTCGCTGTCCGTCGCGGCGGTCTCAGAGTCAATCACACGTACGTAGCTGGTCGAAACGTCAAGATCCATCGGTTGAGATGCGATTTCGAATAGATTGGCATCAGTTCTTGTCTATATGTCTACTTCGTATGCCCCCATGCCTTCTCAACTTCGTCAACTCGCGTACAGCGAGGGTGCAATGATAATTGGACCAGAGGGCGATCCGGAAGGATGGAAAACCCTCCAGCCGCTTCGAATATCGGGGACGCTGTTCAATACAAAACCTGTAACGGTGGAATGCACAGTGAGTGAGGCGATAACGCATCCAAAGTTGATCCGGGGCTCATCTTCGAGGCTATAGCTTGCTATTTCAAGTCCGGCGAGTGCTACATGCCCACAATCTGGTGTTTGTGCCTGGATTGACCGTTCGCTTTCACAGGTCGCTTTTGCGGCGGGTTCACCAATACCTCTCTTTATGACCTTCTCATCAGTTGACGAACAGGCCCTGGATTTACTTTCGACACCTTCATCTATAAAGATACACCTTATTCGAGAACGCCTCGTCGGCTCATCAGCCAACAAAGGAAAAGGACAGACCGATCGTACCTTCCGAGAACCAATCAGCGCTGCTTTCTTCTGGTCACCCTCCGAAGCTTCTCCCGAGAAAGGAAAACGTGTGCTACAAGGTGAACTTGAAGTGAAGAAGGGTACTACGCCTTCGTTCACGTTCCACGGTTTTCTCTGAACGTGAGTTGTGCATTTTTGATTGAGACGTACGAAGGTGGTAACTTTGGAGATTACAGTATACTATATGCCTGTTTCCATTCGAAGTCCCCGGTTTCCAGCCAGATTCTTCTGATTCGATTCCGTTGATGAAGGAAAGTGTGACGATCCACACCGCCAACCAGGCTGGCGTCACACCTCGCTCTTTCGCTCCACCCGGGTACGAAAGACCAAAGCAAGCAGATTACAATAACGCTGTCGGGTATCTGGAGAATGGAAATCAAAGGTGAGCCATCAGTCTACGTGGATTTTCCATCAAACAAGCTAATCTCCAGACAGATTCTACCATCACGCAGCCTTTGGGTAAGATGTCGGGTTCGTGGTCCATGTTCAAGTTGTGTTCGACTATTCCCGTATGTCATCCGCCTACATTCAGCAACAAAAGGCTCTCAAATGTGTCGTCCGATTTCCTCGCTGAAGTTCCCCATGCACCAACACCTCCTAATAGATCCTCATCATTCTCCGGAATCTTCCAACTAGCCGATTGTGGGCGTCGATGACCGACGAATACGAACGTAGGGCTGTCGTCGTCTACTTCAGCACCGTAAATGTGCCAATCTTCTAATCCTTCTCTGGCACCTTCCGATCGATCAACGATGTCTGGCGCATTTGCGTGATCTGATGTTCTCGAAGGTTTTTGTTTGACAAGGACAGGTTCGAATGAGAACCATAGACCGAACGCCGACCAGAAGGGCGTCTCTTTGGATAAACTGCGAACCTTGTAAGATATGATGAGCCGTGGACTACGAATGGGATCACCGGAATCAACGAAAGGTGATGATGTTAGGTGTATTAAGGAGCGTAGGAGAGGTGCGAGCAAGTCCGGGAAGTACACCTTGCGGATGTAGCTCAGGAACGAACGTCAATGATGGCCTCATCACGGGACTTACCAGGTCGCTGCAAACGATATGAGTTAACTGAGTATTAGTTCCGAGGTGTCCGTGGAGGTTGAACACTTTCTGATGAAGATCTCGCGTGTGCTTGATGTCTCCCCAGGCCAGAGGATGTACAAAAACTGAAGGCGTAAGGAAGGTGTCGTTGTCGTTTGCTGGTAGAAGGTTCTTCTCCAAAAGAGGGCATACTTCAGGTAGGTCTGTAGCCACTATAATGTCCTGCCTTCCGGCAAGATGTTGTGCGATTTCGGATGCAATGATTCCAGTGCCAGATCCTAGCTCCAATAAAAGAAGCCGACTGTCGAAGTCATCTGCTGAGAAGAACGGAGGATCAAAGATATATTGATCATCTCCGTGAATATATCTCTTCAATACATAAGCAGCTTCCCTGAGTCAAATTAGAAGATGGGAATAAGCAGATCTGTTGGGAAATCGATCAATGTTGTATTACCAAACTCGTCCAGCTATGCCATAAGTACGTATTGCATTGGCTTGAGCATGAGTGCCAAAAACGAACTTTGCGATACCCTCAGACAAAATGGAGGGTCTGATGTCGAGATTTGGAGGAAAGTTTGGATTGCCCATATGGCAGTCAATGGTCAAAATCAAGATGGGTGTTTGTGGTTGTTAGATTCTAAAGGTCCTGACTACCAAACCAGGATGCTTGCGTCCAAAAGCGGTAATTTCGCTGATGCTCGTGAAATCCCTCCGGACCGCAAGATGGGATCCCTGTTCCTTACGGCCGTTCCACTTACCCGGTCGCAAGATTTGAAGCTTTCGGTCGGACATCCGACGCAAGTCGCTGACTGGCTGGTTCCTACTGACGACGTCCTGTTCGGTGCGCCGAAGCGGTGTTATATCGCTCGTGACAGGCAGTGACCCCACCGTCCCCACCGCTCGATTCTTACTTGCTGCATCTCTCTTCTGCCAGTCATGTCTAGCTCGAAGCCAACCCAGTTGACACCGTTTGGTGCAGCCCTCGCTGGGGCCTTGGGAGGATGCTTCAGTAATGCGTGAGTGCCGATCAGTACTGCGTGCGGGCTGGCTGGTTGACGCTTCGCAGCGTCGTTTACCCATTAGATGTGTAAGTATCAAGATTTAGGTTCCTGTCATGATGCTCAGTTTTCGTAGTGCAAAGACACGTATACAGGCTACTACTGATGTGAAGGCGAACAAGGATAAGCTCAGCATGTTCCCCGTTATGTACCGAATATTCAAGGAGGAAGGCATCGCTGGATTGTACAGGGGTTTCGGGGCCACTATGCTGAATACATTCTCAATGCGTAAGTACCAGGTCTTCTGATCAAGATCGTTGATAATGACATGACCTGTTCCCTTAGAATATGCCTATTTCTTCTTCTATTCATTCGTCCGCACATCTTATATCAAGCGGTTAACTTCGAAACTTCCAAAAGGGTCGAAAGCTCCTCAATTATCCACCGCGGCCGAGTTACTCCTCGGAGCCTTTGCAGGAGCCCTGGCTCAGATATTCACGATCCCCGTAGCCGTTATTGCTACGCGTCAGCAAATTGGGAAGCCGCAGGGTCAAAAGAGCATACTCGCGGCGTCAAAGGACGCCGAGAAAGCTGAGAAGCCTGAAAACAATGAGAAAGAGGATAAGGTTGACTCCACTTCCACCTACACCGAGGAAGCAGTAGAGGAAGTACCTTATGATGACTCGTTCATCGGAGTCGCGAAGGAGATCGTCGAGGAGGAAGGCGTTACTGGTCTCTGGCTGGGTATAAAGCCTGGATTGGTTCTTACTGTGAATCCCGCCATCACTTATGGCCTGTATGAACGTGTCAAAGGTATCATGGTTCTTGCCAACCAACGTGCAACGGGGAGCGTTGTTGGTGAGAACGATAAACTCAGCGCTTGGATGACTTTCTTCATCGGCGCTATGAGCAAGACCTTAGCCACGGTTGTAAGTTAGCATAGTGTCTTCTCAACCTTCCCTTCTGATCTGGAATCTTGTCTCTTTAGGTCACATACCCGTATATCATGGCCAAGATTCGTATTCAAGCACGAAGCGCAGATGAAGAGGAGGCTATCGCCGAGCACGTCCCTATACCCAAGCCTCATGGATACCATCACGATAAATTCAAGCACGTCGGTGCTCTTGAGATCCTTGCTCGAGTCTGGAGGAAGCAAGGCCCATTAGGCTGGTATCAAGTACGTTATCCACCACTCGATTCCAGCTTGTACAGTTCATATATTGATATTATGGATATAGGGGATGAGTGCTCAAATCACAAAGGCCGTTATTTCCCAAGCATTATTGTTCTTGTCGAAAGAGCAGTTTGAACAGTGGGCATTGGCTATCATGGTATTGTTCTACAGGTTACAGCGTGGAGCACCAGTTTCGGCGTAACGATTTCTTTGTAACGACGTATCTAACAGAAGACGTATACTCTGTCATCATAGTTCGTATGGCTAGACATCATGATAATCCACCTTGTAGTAGCTGTAGCTGTGGATAAAAAAGATTTATATCCAGGTTTAAAGGTCCGTTTGGAATCGAGCAGTTACTACATGAATACGATGTATTGGCGCCCAATAAGTTGTCTATTCCATCATGATTGCGCCGCGTACTTGCATATTCGTGATTCCCGGATACCTGGATACCATTTGAATTTACTCGACGAACCCAGGCAGTTGAGATAGAAGATTACACACATTCCATGAACCCACAAACGGTTTACACCCTTCTGTGGCTCGGTTTCCGCAGCGATTCACATACGGTATAGCAAGAAATTTAAAGTCCACACAGAGAACATGGCGAGTGGTGGCTAAATGGTCTCAGGATGAATCCTCATCCTACCACCTACTATGCACACTGATTCCCGTGCTTTTATGCTAGGCTACCTCCCTCCAAAGCATGGCTATAAACTACGATATTCTCGTATATATCATGACTTTCCTCAGAATTGTGAAGAGGGGAAGTTTATTTGCCCTGATGAAGACGTGTCGTATTCTGTACACCGCCGGTGCCCCATATCTCCTTGCGGGCCAGGTCAATTTCGATGGAAAACCCGATCAGATGGAGTCTTTCAATTGCTTCATGCATCAAAACCTTGCCCTGCGCGGTTCTTTTATTCGGAGGATACACCTTAATGTCCCCGACCTCTGGGAAGATAACATCTACGAAGACTCATACGACTACCAAACGGATATCTTGCAAAGATCCAGCGAGGTGCTCAAGCATTGCTCTCGTTTGCAACATTTGGAGATCCTAGGTTCTGAGGACTGGTTGTCTATGGGACGCCGACTAGGCCCTGCGCTCGCATCTCTTGTAGATGTTGAGTATGTCATGTTTGGCGGGAAAGGAGATCGAACGGACGGATTGCTCAGGATAACGAATTGGCCACTCAAGGCTATGTGCATCTCTTTTGCGTATGACGATGCCAGTGACGGCGACTACAAGGGAGATCCTAGAACCCTTCTTAGACATGTTTATGATCTGAAGGAAGTCCACGTCGAGTGGTTGGATTTCGGACCCGAAGGCGAAGGCGAAACATTTCCTCACCTGGAGACCTTCAGCGTCGAATTCTGGGGGGACATCGGAATGAGACCATTGTTGGAATCATTCCCAAAACTTCGCAACCTCCGCATTTACGCGGCTGTGAGCGAGTTGCAGGCTATGGACGAGATACGTCTCGTAGCTATTCGCCATCGGAACATTCAGGCTCAAGTGTCCCATCGCTGGAGTCACCTCGACTATGTCGAAGGTGAACTAGTTGCGGTATATCTCTTGGCACCACAATGTCACATCGCCCACCTGAACATCCCCCTGCCTTCTGACGATGATGCACAGCGGTATTGGTTCGCCGTCATCGGTGATGCCAGGCCCATTCGTTTGACATTTTACGTTTCCTTCAAGAATTACCAGCCAATAATTCTTCAGAAACTCACTCCACCATCGTTTCCGATACCAACTACTCACCTTGACTTGACCCTCTCCATGAGCTTCTCACCCGCCTCCATGGAAGATGTAGAGGTGAGCAATTTGGATTTGTCCACGTGAGTAACACTTAACTTTGTAATGTAGACAAACATCCTCGATTTCCTTGGGTCCTTGAGCTTGACTTTTCTGCAAGTTACTCTAGAATGGACCCCTACACCCGATAGTATGAGATACTTTCCGCGAGACATCGCTGAAGACCGTTTTGCGGAGTATTTCGACAAGCTAGAACCTGCTGCGTTTGCTAGCCGGCTGGTCCGGTATACGAGGACTCTCCAGTACATCATCCTCGGTCTTCCGCGTTGCAAGGATCTCCTGTATTGGCGTGTCGAACAGGGTGGCTCTGGACCTACTCTGGTGCCGATGTCTAAAGCTGAGGGCCAGTTGATGCGAGAACGGCAGATGCCAAAACAGAAGAGTGAACTGGATAGATTTGATATATTTGACGTGCAGCCGAATTAATTGACGTCGGTAAGTTCTTCAATTGCATCTCTTCGTCATCATAGTCAAGCCAATATGACAAGTGTCTGCTTGTTTTAGCTGTGACATCGTAGATAGCAAGATTGTGCACCGTGCGCTCACGATGGGCCTTGGGTTTGGGGTGCAACCCGAGTCCCCGTACCATTTCTGCCCTATTACTTACGATCGGAAGGGGGGTTGGTCGACCCCTCAATCTGATGTTAGGTTTGCATGGATTGCTGCCTCTGATTAGATACTGTGTTTCTTTGCCCTTTTCCATGGGAGAACATTCGCCATCGTGCAGTGAACATTTTTCTCTCGTACCGTTGGGTCGCCATCAGGCAAGTTCTTCGATTGTTACGTGTACGGGCTTACTTGATATTGACGCTTTGAACATAGGATGTAATGCTGAAACTAGGAAACTGTCCTCTCTCAGAAAACATTGCCTTCGTCGACGGAAGATTCAAAGGGTCAGACACCGATATCCTGAGGCACGAAGATTGAACCTCTTTCTACTCTGCCTTAGGGAGACTGGTTCAAACGGCGGTATCACATCAGCCGCCTGTTCCAGTGTCATGTCTTCCATTTACTTGAGATACCTTCCAAGGAGTGTACATTCTGCGCCGCAGTTGACAAGATGGTGTCTCAGCTATCTCGCGGCAGCAAGTAGAAACGAAGTCAAACCCCCAAAGTTGAAAGTGCTGGACTTCCGCTTCAGGTTTGTTCATATGGGCGTCCTTGAGCTCCAATGAGGAGTGCGAACGTTAATTTAGGGGATGACTCTATGGCGAGGATGACATCGCTTTATTAACACGATCGGCAGTGTCATCTAGTCTCCTTGAGACAGTATAGCCAGAGGCGCAACCTTCGTGCCTCAGGATATTTCTGTCTGACGTGCCCGCCCGTTTCGCCGTCTTATACCCGACAATTTTTTTGAGTCAGCATTGTCGACCCTATATATGAAGGAACGATTGTCTTCCGAGAGTATTTAGTGGCTAGAAGCGTGAGACTCGAGAGGACTCAAGCAGACTCAAGCGCTTTAAATGGAGCCGAGTTTATTAGTCTACCGCTGGTACCAAACTACCAACGGCGTTCTAACTTCAACACATTCTTCACCTGACTGGTAGCAAAGTAGTATGCCAGACCCGGACCCACCTTCGCGAAAACGCCACCGAACTGCTAAACCTCCAAGTCACAATCTCATTAAGAGTTCCAAGTTCTGGTTCCCAGATGGAAACATTGACCTTATCGCGCAAAAGACCTCTTTTCGAGTGCATAGCAGTATCCTCTCGATTCACTCAAACGTGTTTCGAGATATGCTCTCAATTCCCCAACCCAACGACACCGAACAACTGGACGGATGCAAGATGGTACATTTATCAGACACGTCTGAAGAATTGACGGTCCTTTTGTCGGCGTTATATGAGGGTGCATCGATGTGAGTTCATCGTCACTTGAGACTTAGAAACGCACTGAGAAAGTTCACTCTTCAGTTTCGGAGATCATAATGTCCTTCCGTTCTCCTCGGTTCAGACCTTGGTTCGCCTGGGAATGAAGTACCAAGTTGCGGCCGCAAGTCAGGAAGGCATTCGACGTCTTCGCGAGCTGTACTCGCCTGATGATACCATGAGATCGATGAAATATCTCATAGAAGGCAAACAAGACCCTGATTTCGCTTTCTCCATCGCAATATCCCCAGAAGACTCTATATCTGTGCTGCACTTGGCGGGAACGTTCGACATACGTTCAGTCATGCCTATGGCCATGTACGCTTGTTGTCAATTGGATATCGATGTATGTGTCGCCGCCGTTTCATCGGAAAAATGGTCTCTGGAAGACTTTCGAAGCTGTCTCAAGGTCAAGGAAGTTCTGCGGAAGAGGGAATCCTCTATACGTCAGAAACTTTACAAATCCCGGCGAGGGGAGGATGATTGCGATCTAAATTCGTGCCACGACGCATGGCGGCGGCCATTTAGCCGTCGTAATACGCAACACGATGACAAGTTATGGACGACGGGGACCCATCCATTGTCTTGGCATCCGTGGCTTTTGGCAAAAACCCGCGAGCGCGAATGGAATTGTTGTCGCTCGTGTCTTTCCAAACTCGAAGGTCATCTGGAGGAATCCGATCTTGTTACTTGGACTGTTGTGGAGGAATTTTTCAAAGATAATAAATTAGAAGATGATGCGGACGTTTAGGTATGCTTATATTTGTTCAGAATTCACACGTTCCCTGACGTTTCTTTGCAGCCGTCGAGGATGATTAGAGAAATTTGACATTCAGGCATACGAAAGAGATAGATATTTGTGCAACTCGATTGAAACATCTGCGCTGAATGTACATGTCAATAAATGCATTCCTATCGCAACCACGATGATGTCGTTGCTGGATATTCAACTTGAATGACGTGTGGCTGAAGTGAGCCTTCTTTCGCGTTCTATTAAGCATTCGCAATGAGCGCACTGCACCGTTATAGGACCGGAACATCATAGCATAATTCTATGGTACATTAGCGTCGTCAAAAGCCTTCCGTCTCGCTTCGGCTGCAACAAACTCTTCGCACTCAATACGACTTTTCTTGACATCGACAAAGTACAGGAATATGGTGCTGAGACTTCCCCTGTAATGTGATCCGGTTTCAAATATGAGTAATCTGCACTAGTGGGACTGAGATACGAGGGCTTACAAGCCGAAAAGGAACGCGAAGGGCATGTTATCGTTATTTCCGGAAGCAGTGATGATTGCCGACGAAACAAGTGGTCCTATGAAGGCAGACGTCTTGCCAACCTGTTCAAGAATTTGTTAAATTATCTGAAGTCACAATCCGGTGAAACAAAGGCGAGAAAAGTACTCACCACCGAGAACAAAGCAAAGAACAAGAACCTAATCATGTTTTGTAAGCAGAATCTGCATTCTGAATAGCAACATGACGTACATCTGAGGAAGCGGAGACACCTCGCTGATCATGGTCTGACTATAAGCGTACCACGGGCATACCATCAAACCGTAGAACGCTTGATACAACCTACCGCGTCATTGCTACTCATGAGTAAACCGACATGGTTGTAGAAGTATCGCCTCACCAAATCTCCCATACGTGTTTGAATCCAAACTTATCCGTGTGCACTCCGATAAGGCCCCAAATGGTCAGAATCTGCGTAACACGGTAAAGATCAACAAACCTCATTATCGGAGTTGCTTTGAATGGGAACGAACTAAAATCCAGAAGACGTTGAAACATAGCATCTGAGCTTATGTTGTCAGTGAAGTATTCCAAGCAGGGTATAGGTCGGCTGACTGACTGCCTTGGTTGAAATTTGGAACCTTTTCTGAACGAGCCAGAAGAGACTATGGCAGAGCTGAGCACCGTGGCCTTAATGAATCGCAGCGATTAGGTCTTACTAGATGCCAAGTCCTTGAGTTACAATCCCGACGATTAGCAGCAGGGTTAATTGCAGTGTCGAATATGAGACCACGCTATATGGTAGGTGGTCTGTAATCAGCAGAGAGGTTAACAAATTTTGTCGAAGACGAACCTATTTTGCAGAGTGCCAACAACTGTACTGTATGACCGTCGCATGAATTCCTGGCTTTACATTTCATTCCTGATGTCAGAACTTACACGGTAGTATTCAAGACATCACCCCTGTAAAGTCGAACAAAGTAAGATTGGGACTAGAGGGACCTTGGAAATAGAAGTCGAGAGACATACATGAGGAAGTAAAAGATGAGATAGAGAAACGTCTGTTTCAACCTCACACATTCTCGGAATGCGACGTAAGTTTGCTTGAATCCGATCGTAAGCAACGACATGCCAGGAGGTAACGACAAACCAGGCCTGCGTTTTTCCAAGAAGAACCATGGCAATGCGCAGAGTACTATCCCAAATCTCAGTGTTCATCGATTCGGGAAATATGTGAAGAGGGCAACACTTACACCAAACTCCACCAGAGAACGCAATCAGGATGCTAAACGCCTTCGTGTTGTTCTCCACACTTTCGTCGCTTTTCACACCCTTTAGTATACCTACCATGATGGCGAGGATAATGATCTCGCCAGCGGAGCATACTGCAAAAGAGACGTTGGAAATGCGGTTTCGTTCAAGCGATTCCATCTGCTCGTGATCTTCCAGCCTGTATAAAATATCTGAGTCAGTACGCAGCGCTCTTATGACGGGGGGAAGCGAGTTAGGACACTCACAGCTTCTTGCCATCAACGACGTCGGCGAATGATTGTTTGATCTCCGGAAGGTCCCGAGCCAGACCAGGGAAGGCAGCAGTCCAGAAGGTCAGGGCACACTGGGAAAGTACCAAAGTCAGCTGAAACTTGAATAATGCTAAGGGTAAAGTTACCTGGTATGCGATCACTGTTGATACACGTTGGTGAGTTACTCTATGCATATTCATCTACACTTACAGCCCAGAATATACAGTGCAACGCCAGCCTGCCACTTCGAAGGGTCTTTGACACCCAACCATGCAAATGATACTGCTACGGCGACTATCGTGAAGACAATGGTGATGTTTGGTCTGTAACGCAGTCAGTGTGGGATACATAGTATGGGTAAGAGGCTATTATACCTCCATCGTCCATAGTCGGCCCATGCGCCTATCGTAAGAAGCACGAACGCTTGCAACGCGAAGCTCATACCATTTGTGAGCAGCACGATTGAATTCACTGGTGGGTCGGCGGAGTTAGTTAGTTCAAGGCATGAGTCAGCCATGACTCAAATTTACCGTCGCGTATACGACCAAGGTATGGAAGTACGCAATCCGTGTCAGCCCCGCAGGGCGCCGTGAATGGCGGTTGACTTGGGTCATATCCTGCTAAGAACAAGAGATTCTGAAACTGTGAAGGACCAAAGTTGAATCCAGACAAGCCATTATTCCCCTAGATGTTGTATTGAGTCCAGATATATCACCGGTTCATCCTATGGGCACTCACAATATAAAAGACATAGAATGCCCATAGTTCGAGACGAGTGGTAGTCCAGATGGTGCTTTTATCTTCTAAGTTTGGCAAATCAAGATCGGTCGCATCATTTTGGGCAACCGCTTCCTGGATCTCTGTTTTCTCTGTAAGCTTGGACATGGTACGGGGTCGTCTGCTCCTGGTTGAACGTAGGAAACAAGTAGGAACCGAAAATTCAAGGTGGATCTGTGCGCCTCCATCATTCACACAAGGATGAAGTGACAGCGCCAGAGGCCCACAGCGGCTACTAAAAGTAGACAACGCCCCATGTATAAAATGAGTGTGTCGGGGGAAAGCTCTTTGCCAGTGTTAATATCGGTATGCGATGGTCTGTGTTTATGAGAGTCAGAACAAACGTCTACGAGATTTTGGAGCTGGAAACTTCGAAAATATTCTAATTTACCATGTTATGGTATATTACAGTAGTATAACGTAGTAGGCTACGTTAACTTTACCTACTACTCCCTAAATTTTACATTTTGGCTATTATTTAGATCGGGTATTTTAGGGCGACATAACTCAAAACTATGGTAAATGACGCGGTTTTACGGTCTTCCGCACACTGCACGCTTGCTTCAGGTTTGTTTGTCGAACTCTCCGTTCTTCAAACTCTTTGAATGTTGCGTGCTCTGCCTGCTGCTGGGGCGGTCAGAGCACCCACTCAAAGGGGTGCTTTGCGAGTGACACGTAGGGTAAGTGACCATCTCGCTCAACAACTCCGGAAACTTACGGACAATCATGCAGTATGCTACGGAGTCGTCTGCGTCACCTATAGCCCCCAAGAAGAAAAGGCACCCTATTCGGAGGCTTATTATCTACAGTACTGCCGCTACTGCAACTTTCTACGTCGGAAGCGCGTTCATTGCACTCAAGAACCCGAAATACTATGACGTTTTTGTCGAGAACGTGCCGTTGGGTGGTTCGCTCATTCAATATGCTGAAGACCACAATTGGGACACCCTGACGTTGCAGAAGATCATCGACTACAGCAAGGACCGAGCTCTTGCGCTTCAGGAGCTGCTCAAAGGAGAGAAGGTTGAGTCTGCAGTGGAGAAGACCAAGCGTGTTGCAGAACAAACACTGGAGAAGTCCAAGGAGCGGATACAGTCCCTTACGCACAGTCTGATGACAAGAGTGGAGAAGAGCCCGGACAAAATCTACGACAAGGGTTCTAAGGCCGTTGCTATTGCGAAACATCGTTCCGTCGAATTCTCGGAAGGCGTGGAGGAGCTTGTGCGTAAAGCGGAAGCGGCGATCGCTGGAAAGCATGTCAAGGACCAACCGGCTAGCGTAACTTCTGAAGTGGTCGACACCTCGATTACTCCTGCTGTTGTGGAACCGCTACCTGAGCAACCAGTGGAGGTTCAAACACAACCTGACACCACCGGTAAAGTCTACGATGCACCTCTTCCTGTCGGCTTCGAACCACCACCAGGTTACGCGCGTCCCAAACCAGCTAAAGTCCCTGAACACGAACCTGTCAAGGCCGCCCCCACTCCAGAGCCTCTGCCTCTTGTCGCACCTGCGGTGCAGGAATTCAGCGCAACGGAGCCGGTGATATCGCAACTGGCCTCTGTCATTGACAACCTCGCTTCGTTCCTTCAGAGCAGTCCGACCGCGGCCGAGAAGGCACGCGACATCCTGGACACCGCCAAGGTCGACTTGACTCAACTGGCTTCACGGTTTGACCAAGTCAAGGCGGAGGAAAGGTCTAAGTTGGAGGCACAACTGGATGAGCAAACTCGGGAATACACGCTGAAGCTTCTGGAGCTGGAAATGGAGGGTCAGGACAAGTTGGACAGCCAGGAGGAAGGTTTCAGGAAGTTCTTCGAAGACGAGAAGGCCAAGTTCATTCAAGCGTACCGCGAAAAGTTGAACCGTGAACTCCAGACTCAGAGCGAGATTATCAACGAGCGGTGAGTATCCTGAGATTTCTCTCTTTCGTTCTGTTCTGAACACCTCGTACAGTCTGAAGGAGGAAGTCATCGCACAAGGTATCGAACTTCAACGGCGTTGGATCCGTGACATCAAGGTGCGCGTCGAACAAGAACGTGGTGGTCGTCTCGCGAAGCTGGACGAGCTTGCAACAGAACTGAAACGTCTCGAACGCGTCGCTCTCGATAACTCGGCCTTCCTCGATGAGAACCTGCGGATACATGCGTTCTGGTCTGCCCTCCGTGCGCTCACACACGCCGTAGATGGGACTGAAAGGAAACCATTCCGCGACGAACTGCGCGTCTTGAGGCATATTTCTGCTGCACGTGAAGACCCCGTCGTCACTTCCGTTCTGGATACCCTCCAGTCCTCCGAGGTTCCAGATATCGGTGTCGAGCCGTTCGCTGATCTTTCCTTGTGGTTTACCACCTCTGTCGCTCCTCGTGTTTCCCGTGTCGCTCTCGTGCCTGATCAGAACGCTGGCGTCCTCTCGCATTTGGCCTCGCATGTCCTTACGTCCTTCACATTCCAACCACATGGGAATGTTCAGGGCTCGGATGTGTTGAGCACATTGGCGAGGGCAGAGTTCTATATCAATGAGAAGGATCTGGATAGTGCTGCAAGGGAACTCAACCAGCTTAGTGGTACTGCCAAGGTTCTGTTGTCGGATTGGTTAGATGCTGCTAGGAAACGGTTAGAAGTCATGCAGGCCCTCGAGGTATGTTCCAAAGTCTCTGAAATTCTCTGTCGGTATCTGATATATGGGTATATTACGCAGGTCATGCAAACACAAGCGACACTTGCTTCTCTACTGATCGCTAAAGATTAGAGTACATATATTCCCTAACCATTCCTTATCCAAAAAATGAGTCACAGGACTTTCCTAGATGGTACAACATATACACAAGCGAGTACACACTCCATTTTCCAAAGGCACAGGTAAGGTTGCAGAATCCAAGAAAGCCCACGCTCAGTTTTGAATGCCGGCAGCGATGCCCAGCGCACATTCGCAGACTACCTGTGCTCTGCGGACGACGGTCTGAACATGTTCTCCATGTTGACCGTTAACGCCCATGGGCCCACGAGTGACCTTGACAAGCCCAGGGAACACTGTCGTCCCGACGCGATCAGGTTCACCTCTTTCGCTCTTTACGCATCTCTTCACTAGCTCGATTTGCCTCGGATATAACGTACTTGCGAGCTCTGGTACGAACGCACGATAGAACGCGTCCACAGTTCCACCTGAGCTTGAAGGTGCTCCATGAAGCATACGAGAGAATTCGTAGCCATGCTCCAGTACAGTGAACGCTGAGAAAACATCATCTTTCTCATTGCCTCGGTTGAGAAGAGCGCTGACGGCGGGCATGTGTTCAGATATGAAGAATCGGGACATATCCGCTGAGCAGGATTCGACTGCTGCTGTGAATGTCTGTCTACGCCAGACAGCTGCTACGGTCGGGTCTCCTGTTCAATACGTCAGCAAGACAGATCCCCCGAACCACAAGTGAGAACTCACGAGTGAATATGTGTTCGTGAATACGAGTAAGTTGGATGTTCGCCTCCGGGGAATCCGTGACAATTAGGCAATTGGTGATGCCCTCCGAAATCGTCTGAGACATCGCATGTCGTAACAAATTTTGGACCTGCATGCCAGTAGCCTCGTACGGATACGGCGAAGGTTCTGGTGGGTAGCCGTCAAAGATATCTGAGAGAGCGGCTTGTCGGATTTCATTGAGCGAAGCAGGTAAGGCCCGAACAACGTCTGCGGCCCATCGGTTGATCTGTTTGTCCAACTTGGACGCGGCATTCTAGTACCGTATATTCAACATGGATCCCAGAGTACGAGGACTGAATCTGCAGACCTTGATGGAGAAATCGTCAACGGAGTTCCCACCTTGTCTCGACTCATGGCTCGTTCCCTCGAGTAATGCAATCCGCTCACGAAGCAATGCAATTTGCTTCTCTTGCTCTTGCAGTTGAACTCGTTGTTCTTCTACTTTTTCGTGAGCAATACGCTACATGTGCTTGGTCACTATTTGCCTCATTCTTGGCATTCCAACACGTCAAGACTCACAAAATTTGTCAACGCATATCGATATTGCTCTCCAGACACAACATCATATTGTTGTGGACTGGCCATCCTGGTATACAGATGAGAACAGATGGTTTGGGTAAGGTGTAGTGCGGGGTTGCTGGACAATGCATGGCTGTTATAGTCAGGGCAACATATACGCTGATCCACAGCCACACATGCCAATCAGCCTCAATGAGTTCGGCAACCTTCCCGAGGATCTTGACGAAACTCCAGGCAATGCAGCAACAGGCAACAATCTATCATGTCATCAGCTTCACTATATATACTTAGTGATCATGTTATATATGTTACTGTATAGAGTGAGAAAGACATAAGCACAGAAAAGCAATGTTGGAAATCTAAACGATACTTCGAATCACAGCAAGCGTAAGAATACACGCAAGAATGCCCAAAGGATGAAACAATATATCTATGATGGAATTTGTATGAGGTCCGAATCTTGGGGAAGTCTTGAGACTGATTCGCTCGACAAGAGAGATCGTCTTAGTCGCGATCGTCCATGAACTCCTGCAGGCTCGACCAATCGGCGCTAGCTCTGCACATGTCCCTGAATGTCCCCCCGCGCTTCCTCAGAAGGGCTTTTGGGGTGTCGAATTCGAGGATTTCTCCACCTCCGAGGACGAGAATCCTGTCGTAATCCAACACGGTCTTCAAACGATGCGCGATCGTTACAACAATTGCACCGCTGAACTCCTCACGGATGGTTCGTTGAATCTGTAAAAGACGACGTTAAGGAAATGCAGAAAGCTGTCTTGAGGGAACCGAGAGCCAACCTGATCATCTAACGCAATATCAATCTGTGAGGTGGCCTCATCCATAATGACGACATTGCTTCGTCGCAGGAGAGCTCGAGCCATCGCCACCAACTGACGTTCGCCAGCACTGAGCGAACCGCTTTGGCTTATAGGCATGTCCAAAGAAACTTGAGCGTCCTTGTTAGTTGCATGGCTGAGGATGGAGATGAGGTGACAGCGCTCAAGAGCTTCCCAGCATTCTTCGTCCGTATGTTCATTGAACGGATCGAGATTACTCCTTAATGTACCGGTAAATAACGAGACATCTTGGCTAATGATGGTCTGCAGACAAGCATTCGTTAGTAAATCATCACAGTCAAAAACAAAACAACCTACCACTCGTGTTCGAAGGTCATCTAATCCAAGAGTACTGATATCGATACCGTCTATTCTATTGACAGTGTCATGAGCGAAGGACTCAAGGAACTCGGACAAGGATTCTCACAAAATTTTGCCTTCACTTGGCTCAATAATTCGTAAGATCGACAGCGCTAAGGTGGATTTCCCTGACCCAGTCCTTCCGACCTGTTGTTACATAGCAAATGATTCCATTTTGTAGTCCTGCAGATGAAGCATGGAATCTCACTTACCACTCCAACCTTTTCAGTTGGTTTAATGGTGAAAGTAATACCATGGAGCACTGGAGGTAAATCGGGGGCATATTTGACCACAAGATTCTCTACCGATAGTTCTCCGTTACTCGAAGGCCAATATGCGGGTGGCCTATTGGAAGGAACGACGGCGGGCGCTTCTTGGGTGACATGCAGATATTCGACCACCCTCTCTACGCTGACAAGGGAACAGTACATCAAGAAAAGTCCCATAAAGCACAAACAAGTTGCACATACCTATTTGCATCCAACTCGAGCTGAGCAAGAACCCTGAGAGAACATGAGATGACTGGACACTGACTAAGTCGGAACATTGACCTACCTGACAAGCTGCCGAGACGCTTCTGCAAACACGCCAGCCTGAATGATTACGAGGGCCGCAAGGCCATCGTTCACGCCGGTCCACAACGCGAATACAGTGCTCATGAAAACGATTACAGAACCAAGACCTGGCGAGAACCATCAAGATTGCTTTCCAGCGAAGTGAGAATGTGACACATACAATCATATCTCCACATCAGCCAGTTCGCAACGAGCCACTGCAATGCATCTCAGAGTCGCACCAAGCAGTTAAGATGTGGTGGACGTACATATACATGATCAAAAGACTGGAACTTGTCCACTCGTTGATAGAACCTACCCTGATACCGAGTTTCCATACCAAATGCGCGAACGTGCGGAAGACCACGTAGCAATTCATCGAATCCGGCAAAGGCTGGCGACAGCGAGATCGACTCCAATCGCCTTAAGTCTCGAGCAGCTTGCACATACGAAGGTGCCAAACGAATGTAGAGCCACGCTATGACAACGGCGAATGGGGCAAATGACGGGACAACCAAGATGATGACCGTTATTGACGCGACGAAGTTCAAGACTCCAGAGAGCGCTGCGCGGACGGAGTTGAGTAGAGCGCCGTCGATACAATTGATATCAGTAGTAAAACGATTGAGTATCCTGCCAATGGGGGTAATGTCGTAGAAACGAGTAGGAGCACCAACGAGACTTGTAAGCATGGAGACGAACAGCGATCGCGATGCTTGTAGACTGGCATAATAACCGATGGCGATGTATGCGAAGACAGAGAAGGCGCCGGCGAGTGAGATATAGAGATAGATGAGCAGCCAAGGGCCAACATCCACGTTCGGCGAAGGAAGACGTTCCCAAAACCACCGTGAGGTGGTTATTACGATGAAGAAATAAGACTCGGATTTGTCTCGTTCATATGCTTCTCCCCATTTTGCGAGATAAAACTATATACAACGTTCAAGATTACTCCCCGATAGAACAGACTAGAGCACATACCTGGTTGCCGATGGTGAGAAGCCGAATAAAGACCATCAGAACTAGCATGATGATCCAAGACAACACTCCAGCAGTTTTGATATAAGCGACATACGTGCTGAGCGCAACTCGACCCTCAGCACGAGCTTCTGTTTCGATTAGTTTTCCGTCAGATAGCTTCTTTGATTCAGACACTAAAACTTCTGTCCCGTTTGCTCCACTGTCCTGTTCTTGTATGGGTTCCTTGACATCCATCTCGTCTTCGGGAATATTTTCGGTAGCGACGAACTCTTCTAGTTGACCTCGAGACTCAAGATCACGAACAGAGCCTTGACGAAGGACGCGGCCATTGGATAGCTCAACGAGATAGGTAGCGTAAGGCAAACACAGACTGATGTGATGCGTAACGAGGACGATTGTACGTCCTTCAGCGAGTGGGCCTGATAGAGCATTTTTGATGAGATGCTGAGCGGTATGCATGTCAACTGCCGCAAGACTATACAGCACGATCAGCATTCGCTAAAGTTAGAGGTGCGACCTGAAAAAGCTTACGGATCATCCAAGAGAATACACTAACTCCAAGTGAGTACTCATCGAAGATATTCTAGAAAACATACTCACAGTTGCTTGTGAATACAATGCGCGTGCCAGAGCGATCCGAGCACGTTGACCTCCAGATAATGTGATGCCCTTCTCTCCGATTTCTGGTATGAAGCAGTGAGTAATGGTTGTCTACGAAATACGCTCCAACTATACCAGTAAAATCTCCCGCTTCGAAAATTTCTAAATCACGAGTAAGGGCACAAGCCTCTATCACGGAGTTGTACCTGGCTTCGTCGAATCCGAAACCTGCGCCAAAAATGATATTGTCTCGGATTGTCGCATGCTCTAGCCCTGTCGCTGTTGAGACCAAGAAGGAAACAACGAGAGAAACAGACTCACAAGGGTTCTGAGCACAGTACGCAACCTGATGACCTGATTTGTTGAGCATGACATGACCAGAGATGCAATGCATCTCTGTGAAGATAGCGGTGAACATCACTTCACGTCCAGCAATGTATGGGTATACCTCCGAGTATCGCAGCCAGGAGGGCACTCTTGCCAGACCCCGTAGCGCCACTGACCAATGTCATCTTGCCCTCCGGAAACTCCATATCGAGAGGTCCGAGTCTAAATCGAGAGGGCTCCGCACGAGGAGCCACGTCCCATTCAAAAGTCGCGTTTACGAAACCAATCTTCTCATCTTTGGGATGTCGAGCGGTCGATGTGTCCGACGATTTGAGCGAGGATGCCCAATCTGGAACCTCTGGCTCGTTGAGAAATGCTTCGATACGTTGCATACTGACGTAGGCTGGCAACACAAATTGTCAGTAATGAATCGAATTAGTCTACAAAATGTCTACTTGCCATGCAACAGTGCGAAGAATTGAGCTGGGAGTGCTGTCATTGGTTCTTGCAACTGGGAGAACAACGCAACCGAAGTGAATGCCTTAGAGACTGTCAACTGTTCTCGAGCAATCATAGTGTAACAAAGGAATGACGACAGCGCTGTTGCGGAGGGTATCCATGTCCTAGTTGATCAATGTCTAATGCAACTGAGAACCGGGTACAGATGGTAAAGGGCTTACCAAATGAAAGATATCAAAGTATTTACAATGTTCTCCTTTACCCGCCAACGGAGCTCATTTTCACGCGACTCTCGCACTTTGTTCGTCCAGCCGGTTTCTGTAAACATATTCAACAACATGCCACCTGAAAGGCATCAGAGCATACCCCATCCGTAGAACTTCAAGAATCGGATATTCTGGAATAGCTCATTGACTAGGTTCATTCGTCGATCGCGAGCTTTCCACGAATTTCGAGTAATCTGGGCAAATGATCAAATGAATGACATGAATAAGTGAACAAGTGCAATGCACTTACGTAGACGTTGTATTTGGCTAAAGGGTAATTGACGATGTATGCAAGTAGAACGACCACAACGCCTGCTAATGAACTCCAACCAAGGATTCTAATTTCCCCAGATGAGCACTCCGACCCAATCTGATAGCAAGTCTCGACATACTGGTATAAGAATGTCATTGCAATAGCAAGACGGATGGGTGCTGCAAAGATACCGGAAAACTCCCAGAACCGCTGGGCAACAGCGTACGCATCACCCCTAAGAATTGGATCAATATGTCGCGCATCTCAACAGGTAACCTGCATATACTTACTGCATGAGGTTCACGATCTTACCAAGATCGGCACCTCCCTGATCATCTCCTTCTCTATCACCATGAGAAGTCTTCCCGCTGACGTCACGTCTCTTCAACGCCTTGTAGTGCAAAGCACAGAACAGTTGTCCGCGAGTACGCTCGTAACATCGACGAGTGAACCATCGCTGATTCACATCAACCTGAGCGAATGACAGGTTCGCAAGGAACATCAAGAAAGTAAATATGTATGCAGTGGTTCGGGCTTCTGGAGCTGGATCTGCTAGGGCTGACAATATACGTTTTAACGCATATGGTGGAACGAATCCAACGACTGCTCCCCACAACTCTAAAGAAACGTCAAGGATTAGGTCTAACGAATTCGATGCGAGAAGGAACCAAAGTAATGAATGATTGGGGTGCCTGTAAAATATCAAATTCACAAGTCATTAATACGATGACCGGCAAGTATTAGGGGGAAAGCACACACATCTCGCAATATTCAAGGTACTTATTGAACAGGTTCTTATGTGTGAAATATGGTGATAACCACCACACATCCGACTCATGAAGTGTCCTCGTCGATGCAACTCTGAGTATGGGCTCGACGAAATTGAACGTCGACCAGGACCATAGATTGACGTTGTCCTCCGGCATCGAAAGAGTACTTGACGGAGCCTACGAATGACAGATTATCGTCACCATACAAGCGCCAGGTGGTCTACACTTACATCCGACCGCTGTGCGACATTTTGTGATGGAAGGATAGGCTCGAGAGGGAGCGAGCCGGCGAGCCATGCCAGAAAGAGAGGTATGGCAAGTCGTATAACATGAAGCACAATGATACCCGGGCTTCGCGTTTCCTCGTGTAACATCGCCGCGACGTCAACCACGACTGCCAGTACCTCGAACATAAAGAATAAGATGAGAAGATATGATGGGGTCTGCATAGGTCTAAAGGTATTTCTCAAGAAAACGAAAGACTGTCAACGAAAACTTTAAAGCAGTTGGATCATTCTGGATTTGATATACGCACCCAGATAACGGAGCTTACAATTGCCTGTACGCTGCGTGCATCTGTTGGCCCATAGACGAACTCTGAGAATGCGGCAAATGCCACCCAACCAACAGACACAAGGGCAGATAGAGTAGCAAGAAGGCGCGTTTTCCATAGCGGAACCACTACACAGCGTCCATGCGGTCCTTCGAGGTCGTCGAGCGAAAGGAAGTTAGTGAAAGGTGCCTTGACTGAGCGAAGAAAAGCACGGAGCGGTTTGTGATTATGTACCGAGGTGAATACGTCATAACAAAGCATAAGCATGGCAAGGAATCCAGGGAAAATGGTACCCAGCAATGTTGAACGCAGAAAAGGTGACGTCCAAAACCCTTCACGAGAATCCGGGCTCCCCATTATGTTCAGTACCATGAGAGCGTTCGAGTGTAGGATATTCGTTGCATGGTGATCGAGTGTTCCGCTAGCAGACTGCATATCCCCTCCGGAGACTGATCAGACCATGAGCAAGCTGGATACTTACACAGGTGCGAGCGTAAGACAGCTACAAGACAGCTGCAAACATCCTGAAAACATTTATCCGTTAAGCGCTTGCCGGCCTCACGCTGTAGATACAAAAGACGAAACTGTTGCAAAGTACAGTCGTCGTATATATGTTAAGCAGGTGGATCTCTTGCAAAAAAGTTATTGGCTAGAAGAAGTTATATGTATACTGCTAAAGTATAAAGATTCGAGGGAGGAGGTCACAGACGACCAATCTTCCGTAAGTCATATTGTAAAATTCTGTTATATAGCGCTGTCACGGTTTGTTGTTGGGATGACTCTATCTTCTTTTAGATCCGAGTCGTCAGCCTTCCTTTTTGGATTCTAATTTCAAACCGGGACATGCATGGTATATTCATTATAAAGCATACAATAGTTGGGACTGAGCAAAGTTGTTAATCTAGAGGAATATATAGATAATTGAACGCAACGACAACAAACGAAGGAGTGGACGCAATATATCAATCTTCAAGGTACCAAACGTAGGCCGAGTCGTGCAGGTGGGCCGAGAGCACGCCATCGCTCAGTGGATGAGGAATTCTTGAACGTTTGCTCTTCCGCACATGACCTTCCGCAGGGACTTCGCCGTCCGCCTTTCGCTTCAGATCAGTGGGAGGTCGCGGAAGTCGAACCTGACCTGCAGGGGAATCAGATGCGACTCTACGTGATATGCCAGGTTCTAAAGCGATATCCGTATCCCCCATACTGATAATATGTTCAAGAATCAACCTACGGAAGGCTTCATGAAGGTGATCAGGATGTGGCCGGGGATCCAATAAGGCATACTCGGGCCTGACATGATCTCCAAGATTGAACATAAGGGGTGCGAGAGAGGCAAGATCCGGGTGCAAGACCTTCTTCCATCGACTGATATCATTATCGAGGAGTGCCGTTCGATCATCGTCATAGTCTGTTGCTGCGATGGAATGGTCTTGGATGCGTTTCCATGCTTGTACAAATAACGGTGTAGGCTCGTCCGATTTTCCTAAGGGTTTCGCAAGGATAAAGACAGCGGATAAAAGCCAGAACACAGATTCAACGTCATGGTCGGGACGATGGATGAACGGAATGTCCTCAGGATCCCAAGACGAGGCAACTCCGCCATGACATCTCTCGCTTGTATCCTCGTAGCTGTCGTAGGTGTCTTGGCCGTAGGCACGGACGTACATCTCTTTTGCTTCGTCTTTGAGACTAGGCATAGGTTTGAAATCCTTGGTACTTCTAGTGCCGGAGAGAAGTCGGCCGGAAGCAACAGAGCGTGCTATATATCGAGGAGTGCCCTATACAGCTGTTAGTACCACGACACGTACATAATGAAGGTCTGCGCACAGTTCTCAAAGCCAGCTCCTTGTGTATGTCTTCAGTCGTTGCTATGTTGGCCATTAGCTCGGATTTCAACGACGCACTATTGTCAGCGTCGATTAGGAGAGCGCGGCACCTGTCGTCATAGTCACTGAAGAGAGTGTTCAGGAACGAAGTAGAGATAAGTATTGGTAACCTACTTTGATTCGCCTAGGATCTCGTCGATGAACTCTGGTGGGTCGGAAATGAATTCTTTGCCTTCGGTTGTGCGTTTCGAATGCTCCGGATATATTAGAACGTTATGCATGCTAAGATCGCGATGAAGAAAGCGGCGGCGTTTTAGCAATGCTCGATGAACTGGGAAAAGATTGGTCAGTGGCAAATACGGAACCAATACCGATACGCCAACTATACCTTCTAGCACGTCGTAGACCGCTTTCAGGATATCCTTCACAGACTTCGCCTCGTAGAGTTTGGAGCCTCTGCTGCCCATGATGAGCCTCTTTTTGGTTCGGTGGATGACATTATTGTCCAAATCTGCCGGTCGAGCCGTCACGATCGCCGAATCGTCCTTTGCGTTAACGTTTCCCGAGTCCAGAAGCCGGACAACGCCAGGAAATATCCCATTCGAGTGAATATCCTTTATCAACGTGGCCTCCTCGAACCGCCGAGCGTCGTCTCGATAAGCGTCCTTGATAACAGCGAAGTCATGATCGTCGCCTTCATACATGAAGACCGTCGTCCTCCTCCCCCACGCATGCGGTATAAAGAATGGGTTGCAGTCATTGTATTCCTCCCCATTGTAAGTGATCGTCCAGTGTGCCTTCGAACCTTTCCCCATGGCATCAGGAAGGATGACAGGCGACGAGATAGTTGGGTCCCAAAGATGGTGATTGTTGGGAGGAATATAGATCGATCTGATGTAACCTTCCAGCAAGGCTAACTGATCCCAATCCACAAACGGCGACTTCACGACGCCAGATGCATCAAACCAGATAATCCGGTACCCTTCAACGTTGGCGAAGAGTGCGTAGACACCAGGCATGTCCAACCTAGAAGTAGCATGTTGACATGCATAGCTTACAGCCTGACCAGCGCGTTCATTCTCTTCCGGTTTGAATTCCCCTGTAGTGATAATGCAGTGGTATGGTACGCCCGTGTATGAGATGGTCTTTTTGTTGAAAAAGCCCGCCATGGATTTTTTGATACCAAATACGCCCACAATGTCTGGCTTATCTCGCAAATGAAGGCCAGGAGCTACGGGCGGGCCAGTATGATGGTCAAGAAATAAGACGGGGTCAGCATGATCCAAAGCATTGCCAGCCTTGGTGTAAGTATCTAGTCGAACTGAGTCAGAAACAAAAATGAGGGATGGTGAATGGTCGACGTACAGTAAATTCGTTTGCTGACCTTGTTCAGCAATGCACAGGCGGGAGCGTACAGCAGCGCCTCAGTCTTCGCACTCTTAATCTTCTGAATATCGCGCCTGTATTGACTATGGGGAACCACGTGATTTTTACCTGCAGGGCGAGGGGTAAGATGTTCCCTCATGAAACTGGCCACATCTACGTCTTCAGGCTTCTGAGCCATGTGAGAGTTTTCGATACCTTTGCGGTTACGGATGAGAATGTTTTGTTTCATGGGAGAAGGAATGAGATTCCAATCACCTTCTGCACCATCTTTGTGAAAAGATTTAGCATCAGGGACTGGACTGGGTGTGCGGGGTTGTTGACTTTCGGTCATGGTGAGGTAGGTGCACCCAGTCCAGCCTGATGGAAGGGGGTGTTTATACTTTGTGAAGAGGGTCATTGCGGCACTGTGGTCCAGGCGGAGGTTGAATTGTCGACTAGGGAGACAAAGGAATCGCAATAAGCGAGAAACTTGCGTGTGGTTGTGGCCAGTGAGTCAAGCCTACGCCTTTGAACTCGCCAACAAACGCGTCGTGGGAAATACACACACGTGATCGCGACGTGTTGTGGACCTTTGTGGACGCTGACATGACAAAGGGCACCCCGCTTTCGAAAGTTCGAAACCCTCTACTGGCAATTCAACTATCGACTCAACTGTGTTATCGACTCACGTATTGTATCGGCTCTGCCGGAGCGAGCTTTACCCAGCTATTCCCCTCGTGAACTCAGAAGTTTATCAAGCAGAGCAGAGCAGATTAGGATCATCTAAGGCTCGGAGCCACGGCACGCAAGAAACCTTCTTTGGTTGATACAGATGCGATGCAGAGTGAAGAACATCTTGGCAACATGTCTTATTATTTGGGCAGACTTTTGATGGATGCTTACGTTTCTGAGCGCTGATTGGTCAAATCACCCTGCAGAGTTTATATCTGCCGCAGGACAGATACTTACACTGACATGTTGCCAGAATGTCATGCAGTCTGCACGGACTCTGCCTAGACGGCAGACACACCCATGTTTGCCATGAGCAGACTTTGAATCGTATAGTCTGCTGCAGACTCCTAGATATATTTCTACCAAGCCTTCGGACGTGTCATTCTGACAATGAAAAGTGAACAATAAAGTTGGATGATCCAGTCAACAACTACATGGTAAGTTGTAACAACATGATTAGTGCGCATTTCGCACCCGGAGGAATAATGATGACTCATTATAATGCACCACAAATCTAGGAAGAGTGACCGCGGCGTAAGCTATGATAATGAATGCTTCGACGAATGATAGAGACAACTGAATGGTCGGAGAGTGTGGAGGGCATTAGAATTGGCGAGAGGTGTCATTTCGAAAGGGAATACGAATTGTGGTGTCGAGTTGACCGATTGCCTTTCGAGTGTTTGATCTTTTTCCGGTTGTCTTGATCCGGATCCTCATCCGCCTTCCGTTTTCCATGTGTGGGAGGTTCTGTTTCACGTTCGATACCAACTTCAAGATCGATATCGGTATCGCCCATCCCGACAATGTGCTCGAGAATAAGCCTACGAAATGCTTCATGAAGATGATCCTCTGGCGGAGCAGGATCCATCATGGCATACTCGGGCTGAACTTGTAGGGCAAGACTGTCCAGTAAAGGCGCTAGACAGGAAAGGCCCGGATGTAATGCCGCTTGCCAACTCTCGACATTGTACTGCGAGAGCAAAATCTCTCTAGTATCACTATGACCTGGTGCAGCTATGGTATGGCGTTGCATCGCTCCCCAAGCATCATAAAGCTTCGCTGTAGAATAGTCTGGCTCTCCCAACGGCTTTGCAAGGAGAAAGACTGCGACGAGAAGCCAGAACATAGACTCAACATCGTGATCGGGACGGTGGATGAATGTCACGTCCGTGGCTTTTCGTGATGATGCTCTTCCCCCATGAAACGTGCCTGCAGAATCTTCGTATCTGTCATACGATTCCTGGCCATAGACGCGTTGATAGATCTCTTTCGCTCTGCCTTCAAGACTCGGCATTGACGAAAAGGTCCTTGACAATTTGTTGTGAACGACTTCGCCAGATGCTACAGCGCGAGCGATATAGCGCGGCGTGCCCTGGTCGACCATTAGCATGTAATAAAGCGTACGCAAATGATAGACGTACAGTTCTCATGGTGAGCTCCTCGCGCAATGCATTAGCCAAGGCCGGATCGGTCATCAGCTCAGACTTCAATGACGCACTGTTATCAGCATCAATTAGGAGTGCACGACACTTATCATCATTGTCGCTAAAAGAGGTGTTCAGACCCGAAACAGTATTCATAGATAGCAGAAACTCACTTTGATTCACCCAGAATCTCGTCGATGAACTTCGGCGGGTCGGAAATGAATTGCTTGCCTTCCATCGTCTTCTTCGAATGCTCAGGATACATCAGAACATTAGGCATGCTAAGATCTCGATGAAGAAACCGGCGGCGTTTGAACAATGCACGATGAACTGGCGAAAGAATCCAGTCAGACTTGAACAAACATGGATAGCGAGGAAACCAAAATACCTTCTATAGCGTCATAGGTCGCTTTCAGTACGTCTTTCACAGTCTTTGCCAAGTGGAATTGAGAACCTCGACTGCCCATAACAAGTCTCTTCTTCGTGCAGTGCACCACCTTCTTGTCCCGATCTGCTGGTAGAGCAGTCACAATCGCTGTACCATCTTCGCCATTAACGTTCCCAGAGTCCAGTAGTCTGACCATGCCAGGGAATATCCCTTCGGCATGAATGTCATTGATCAGTGTGGCCTCTTCGAATCGTCGAGCGTCGTCCCGATAGGCATCCTTGATAACAGCGAAGTCATTGCCGCCGCCTTCATACATGAACACCGTCGTCCGCCGACCCCAACTGCGCGGCAAGACGAATGGGTTGCAGTCGCTGTACGTATTCCCATTGTAAGCGATCGTCCAGTGCGCCTTTGATCCTTCGCCCATCGCATCCGGCAGAACCACGGGAGACGAAATCGTGGGATCCCAGAGGTGGTGATTCTTTGGAGGAAAGTAGAGGGATCGGATGTAGCCTTCCAGTAAGTCCAGCTCAGTCCAGTCCACGAACGGTGACTTCACGACTTCGGAAGCATCGGACCAGAGTATTCGGTAACCTCTAACATTGGCAAAAAGTGCATAGGTACCAGGCATATCCAGACGTGCGCGGGCATGTTGACAAGTGTAGCTTACAGCCTGACCAGCGCCTTCGTCAGCTTCAGGTTTGCACTCACCCGTGGTGATGATTCGGTGATATGGTACGCCCGTGTATGAACTAGTTTTCTTGTTGAAAAAGTCCTTCATGGATTTCTTGGTGCCAAATACGCCTACAATATCTGGCTTAGCTTTGATACGAAGGCCAGGAGCTTCGGGTGGGCCAGTATGGTGGTCGAGAAATAAGACACGGTCGGTATGATCCAATGCAACCCCGGCCTCGATGTAAGTATCTAACCGAACTGAGTCAGAAACTGAAATATGGGATGGCGAATGATCGACGTACCGTAAATTCGTTTGCTGATCTTGTTCAGCAATGCACAGACACGTGCATATATTGCCGCCTTGACCTTCGCGCCACTGATCTTCTCAACATCGCCTATGTATTGGTTGTCGGGGACCATGTAACCTTCACCTGCAGGTCGAGGGGTAAGATGTTCCCTCATGAACGTGGCTACATCTACGTCTTCGGACTTCCGAGCCATGTGAGAGTTTTCGATATCTTTGTGGTTAGAGATGAGAATGTTTTGTTTTACGGGAGAAGGAATGAGATTCCAATCACCTTTTGCACCATCATTGTGAAAAGATTTAGCACCAGGGACTGGACTGGGTGTGCGGGGTCGTGGACTTTTGGTCATGCCGAGGCACGCAGTCCAGCCTGATGCAAGCGGATGTTTATACCTTCTGAGAGGGGTCATTGAGGCACTGTGATCCAGTCGGAAGTTGAATTGTTCGACTAGGGAGACAAAAGGTTTGCAATAAGTGAGAATCTCGAGTGTGGTTGTGGCCAGTGGTCAACCGCCTCGCCTCTGAACTCGCCAAACGCATCGTGCAAATACGCACACGTGATCGCGACGCGTTGTGGACCTTTGTGGGTGTGAACATGACCCGGCCCAAAAAAAAGCTCTCTGATGATTACTTCTGTCGCTCACTATCCTCCAAGAAAGGACCTCTTGTCTAACATAGAAATGGTCTAGCGTATTCTAGTATAAGTAGCACAAAAACAATATGGTGTATAGATAAGCCCTATTCTAGAGTATGGGTATCATGACATCCAGGAGGAATGAAGTGTATTTCGAAAAGAGGCAGCAGCCCTGGTAGTCTCGTCAAGAGTCCGGGACCAGGAAACCAACTAGGCACTCATCAAGCATGTAGTCTATGTTAACCCAGCCATGAGTTAAAGCTATGATAGAAACGCAGTCAGCGAAAACACCGGCGACTTGCAATGATAATGGCGTACCAAAGAGCTTCGATCCATCCCTACCCGCCACTCGCATTAGCTCTTTCTCGCCGCCAGGGTGATAGGGCAAGTATGGAGTAATATTGTAGACTTTGCCGTTGAAAGCGGACCACGCATCATCCCGCTTATTATGCTGCTTTAGAACAGACATCGGTATTCGGGACAAAGTGTCAACACCCTATCATGAACGGATGATGAACCAGCTACATATAATGCATTACAAGAACTTCACTCACCCTAAGATCCTTCCCGGACTTCTTCAGATTCGCCCAATCAAGGGGCCCATGTCCGGGTGCTAAGGCTACCTTCTTCGTCGCCTTCTTATTCGGAGGTTTCAGCGTACTCAGAGGAACGGTCAGAGATGAAGTACCGGAGGGAACAAGAAGAAATGATGAAGACGCAGACGACACCGACGAGGTTCCTGGTCGTCGACTTGCAAGTCCAGGTAACGGCGGAGGAGGCATGAGCTCTGAATCAGTCAAGATCCGTGGAATCGTAGAGCTGGTAGTCTCTTTGCTCGAGCCTGCACGCTGAGCACCGTTCAGACTTGGAAAAGCAGGTGGTAAATCATCAATATGGACATCTTCATCATCCCCCCGCAAAGTAGCTGCATCATCCTCGTCATCCTCTTCCGTTGCTGGCACTTCAATGATATTCGGCGCAGGCTGTGCCCCAGGTAACGAAGATGTTAAGCCTAATGAGGGAACCGACGAGGTCCAGCTGCGCAGATACCCGAAGAGATCGCGATTACAAGTAAATGTGAATACGTCGAGTAACAACACATGAGAGTGCAAGTCAAAGAGCATGGAATTGACCGTGAAACGTTGGCTGATTAATATTGCATACAGTTCCATTAAAGGCACAACACTGATCGTTAGGTAAGACGTCTATATTAAGGAGGCGAGTACTTTCGTCCTAGCGGCGTTGGTCTCCGATACACAGACGACATTCGCTCCCAACCACCGCAATAACGTCTAGCATACTTGCAATGGAAGGCGCTCCCTATATTTTGGCTTGTGTCACCGTCCGTCTGCACCCTGCCACCTGCAACAATGATTGAACCGAACAAGAACAACAGGCATTCGCGGGCGACGATTTATATGAGGACCTATGCCTACTACTGTGGCATACTTCCTCTTCCCCCTCTCCTTCATCCTTCCCTTGCGCGAGACAGTGCCTATCTTTCTCAAGCTGGACCTTTCGTTAGTTCTCCTTCACTGCACTGACCAGGTTCCTCGTTCTCTTCAGCTCTCATTTTCATTTGAATTCCTCGAGACACCCTTCTCAACATGCTGCTTGGGTTCACCTTCTCTTTCCTAATACTCGCAGCTATTTTGCTTGCTTTTTTACCTACTTCCGAAGCCGCATCTGTGAAACGTGCAGGCATTGTTGATGAAAATCAACCAGCAGGGAGCCCGGAGGATGAACAATAAAGTATGTTTGGCTTAAGACAGGTAACGGTAGTCTTGTTGCAAACGCATAAAGAAAACAAGTACAGTGTAGATCGGCTCCTTGTCCCACCACTTTGAGATTCACGCACAGAGCTCAGATGGGATGGGTTATTTTCAAAAAAAGTTTATGGACATATAGTACATACTCTGAAGACTTATGTACAACAAAATTTAGAACCACCCATGCGCTGTCCGCTGAGCAGTGATTGAAATTCTGTGTGTCCCAGATTCCTTGCGAAACCCGCTCCATGTCCCGTGTGACATAGCGGTGACAACTTCCCATTTTGGTAGGTGGCATCACAGTTACAGCGCTTTGCATTTCACTTTAGCGCTCAATTCTGATCGCTCAATGTCACGCCTATGTCCCATTCAACATATGTTGAATACCATGCAAGGAGAAATGAATATATAAATGTATGGTATTGATGTATATACACTACAGATGCTATTCTACCTTATTACAGGAGTACAGCACAATAAACACAGTGGTTACCATAACATGTAAGAAACAAAAGTTGACAGTGCCAGATTTGGACATATTCTGCATGTTTTTTTCAACTTGTAAGTCAAGATGATCAGCTCATGTCATAAAACTCATGATATACAATATATAGCCTGTTATCTCAGACTATGCAAAGTTGGAGGAGGAACGGACATGAACTGCATGCTCTATTTGTTGTTGGGACAAGGATAGGGGGTGGGACAAGGAGCCTATCTACACTGTATGCTACGGATTCGTGTACGCTACGATCTACGTAAGGTTCATGCTCCGACCGCTAATCTCCATGAGTCGCCGAAGCGCCCAATTTACAACAATTGTCACCCTTCCTTTGAAACCATACATCAAGCCCGCAATGAGCTGCATCCCGTTATAGTATGTCCATTTTTTTCGTTCAACATTTGTTCCTTTATGTTGATTGTCTTTCTTGTCTACTAGTTGCTGCAGCAGCACATTAATCGTGGTCTCAAGCGCTATGCACATATGACCGGACGCGAGGCCCCTAGCAATCTCGAACTGAGAGCCAACATTCATAAACGCATGCATATTTCGTCAACTTCACCGGGATCCAGAAAACACGCGGTTAACAAACGTTACAATCGGTACGCTGTCGGTCGTATCATTGAGCCTGTGACGACTCCGGTCAACAACGCCGCTACGAAGGGTCGTAAGGGCAAAATTTCGAACAAGAATGCTGCTGCGTGTTTGACATCTCTTTTGCAACCTGTCTCGATGCTGATGGAAAGTACAGAGGTACAGATGCGGCCAATGGTACCACATCCAACGGCAGTGCTGGCTTTTCTGAGGTTGATTCGGAGGCCGCTCTGAAGGGGAGTTTGACTCCCGCCGGAAAACCCACTGCCGACAATTCCCTTGGACTCGATATCGAGTAAGATAATTCTTTAACACTTGATTCATTCGCATGACTGATTACAGCGATGGCATCAGGGCTAATGATGTTGGTTACATTGCAACTGTGCAAATAGGAACTCCGCCTAGGGATTTCAAGCTTCTTGTGGATTTGAGTTCGGCTGATCTCTGGGTTGGCGGAGAGGACTGTCATTCTGAAGGCGGAGGCTGTGTAAGTAGATGCGAGATCTCCATGAATGTTGGTTGTAGTGTCTAATTTAATGACGCTTCTAGGGCAACCACGTCTTCCTCGGTGCTGGCAGTTCATCCAGCTTTGTTGACACGAAGCAGCAGTTCCAGGTAACCTATGGTTCCGGAGCCGTGGCAGGAGATATTATCACAGACGATATCAATGTTGCTGGTCTTGACCTGAAGGCACACACGTTTGGTGTCGCAGCTGTTGAGAGTGTAGACTTCTCCAGCGATCAAACTCGTGAGTCTTTGTTTCATTATCTATGAGTGAGGCAAATGTTCACTGGTTGGACTAGCATTCGATGGTTTGATGGGACTTGCCCAATCTGTAAGCAATCCCTATGCCGATGGGTGTGAATTCCCGCTGATTTTGTCTCAGACACTGTCCCAGCAACAGGCCCTCACCCTCGTGGAAGCACTCGCAAAGAGCGGCCTCATCGAGGATGCCATCACGTCGTACAAGATCTCTCGACTAGCAGATGGTAAGAACGATGGTGAAATCACTTTCGGCGGTCTCGATGAGACCAAGTTCGATGCCAACACGCTCATTACCTTCGACAATGTGAATAGGGACGGATTCTGGGAAGGTGGTATGACGGTTTCGGTTAATGGTCAGGATCTCGAGCTCCAAGATCGCACCGCCATTTTCGACACTGGAAGCACTCTCATCATCGCACCCGATGCCGACGCTACTGCCGTTCATCAAGCCATTCCAGGCGCCAAGTCAGACGGACAAGGCGGATTCACCATTCCCTGCAGTACAGCTGCATCCGTTGCGCTTACGTTTGGTGGTCAAACGTTCGCCATCAACCCTCAGGATCTTGCCTTCGTTCCTGTGGATCCTGATGATCCCACAGGTGACTGTTTGTCCGGTATCGCGTCTGGTGAAATCGGTGACGCTAAAGAGTGGCTGGTGTGTATCTTGGAATCTCGATTGATCTACCAGTTCGTATTGACCTGTTTTGCTTTTTCCAGGTTGGCGATGTCTTCTTAAAGAACGCCTACTTCTCCACGGATGTGACCAAGAACCAAGTCTCGCTTGCCAAGCTTGTTTAAGGTCTCGCCCCTCTCACTGCATCTTGGAGAGGCAAATAGAGGAATACCTGAACTTGACCTGAACCCCCTGGTGCCGTAACCACACGCACGCCAAAAACAGCGGAATAATTTTTAGTAGTTCTTTGCATCCATGTTATTACCAAGTCAAAGATGTTCGTACGCCGGAGGTTCATCTTTCAGTCATACCGCAAGATGAAGAAATGTGCGACGATCTCGTCCACCGAAGCTTATCATCCGAACGTTAATGATGGGACATTGGACTTTGTCCAGGATGGATATTCAATTCCCTCCCGCGTTGTGGAATTGGACAACCTCGAATTCACGGTGGAAAATATAGAAGATTCCTCGGACATGACTGGAGGCCGATCTGCACTAAGAATGGATGAGAGTGACTGGAAGTTGCCATGACGATGGAGGGTAGCATGAGTGAATGTCTGAGTGGAAGGCGTATGAGAACGACGAAGAAAGGCTTGGGGGTCTGTCCGCTATCTCTCTGCTCACGACTCGGCGGCTCCTCTTATGGTAAGATCACTTGCTGACTCACCGGTTTGCAACAATCTACAACTCCGTCAACTCTCGATGATACGGTTTAGCAAATCTTGCAGACTCAATGCAATGCATCTGTTTGAAGTCCGCTTTGCATCTAAAATTCGCCATAAATGCTACGGGAAGGCATCCAGTGCTTTTAAGATGGCTGCAGACCTCTATAGCCAGATTTGTTTCTACCGAAATCTCTGGACGCGTTGCGATTGAACATCTCAAATCGTGCTGACAATGAGAATAATGAACGAGTATTTTTGGGACGATCCAACCAAAAGCTGCGAAGGAGGCTATGATTACGTGCACAGTTGACACCGAGAAGAATAATCTACACGTATCATAAATATAAAGTGAATCAGCCTAACTTGAACCTATCTAGGAAGAGTGATCGTAAACTACGATAATGAAAGGTTCGACGAATGACAGGGATAACCGAGTGGCTAGAGAGCATGGAAGGGTGTAGAATTGGCCAGATGTGTCATATCGAAAGGTAATACGGATCGTGATGCTGAGTTGACCGATGGCTCTTCGAACGTTTGCTGTTTTGACGGTTACCTCGGTCTGGATCGTCGTCTGCCTTCCGCTTCCCATCGTTCCCATCCGCGGGAGGTTTTGTCTCACGTGCGACGCCAACTTCTAGATCGATATCCGTATCTCCCATGCCGACGATATGCTCGAGGATAAGTCTACGAAAAACTTCATGAAGATGATCTTCGGGAGGAGCAGGGTCCATCAGGGCATATTCTGGAAAGACTTGCACCCCAAGTTTGACCATCAGAGGTGCGAGAGATGAAAGACCCGGGTGTAATATTGCTTCCCATCCGTCCGCATCGTATAGGAAAAAAGGTTGTCGAGTATCATCACGGCCTGGTGCACCGATGGTATGGCGTTCGATGTAGTCCCAGGCACCGTATAACTCCTCTGTACAGTCGTCAGGCATTCCCTGTGGCTTCGCAAGGAGAAAAACGACAACGAGAAGCCAGAACATGGATTCAACGTCATGGTCGGGACGATGGATGAATGGCGTGTCCTTGGCTTTGCGCGATGATGCGCCTCCCCCATGACGTTCGCCCGCAGCATCTTCATATTCCTCATATGTTTCGTTACCATAGGTGCGAATATAAATATCTTTCGCCGTGTCCTCCAGACCCGGCATTGCTTTGAAGTTCGTAGCGAATACATGACCGAGGACTCTTCCACAGGCTGCGGAGCGGGCGATATATCGAGGTGTGCCCTAGCCAATCATCAGCATGCAACGTGAGCACATAACGAAAATGTATACACACAGTTCTCATGGCCAGCTCCTCACGCAATTCCTTAGCCAATGCTGGATCACTCATCAGCTCGGACTTCAATGACGCGCTGTTATCTGCATCAATGAGAAGTGCACGACACTTATCGTCACAGTCGCTAGAAAACATGCTCAGACCCGAGACAATACAAGATGAAACAAATATACTTTGATTGGCCCAGAATCTCATCAATAAACTTCGGTGGGTCGGAAATGAATTCTTTGTCTTCCGTTGACTGTTTCGAATGCTCCGGATAAATCAGAACGTTATATATGCTAAGATCGCGATGAAGGAATCGGCGGCGTTTGAGCAGTGCACGATGAACTGGGAAAGGTCCTTAGTCAGTTGTGGAACAGAACACGAATACTGGTACAACGCAACGTACCTTCTAGCGCATCGTAGGCTGCTTTTAAAATATCCTTCACGGTCTTTGCATCACAGAATTGAGAGCCTCTGCTACCCATGATAAGTCTCTTCTTCGTGCGGTGGACCACCTTCTTGTCCCGATCTGCTGGCCGAGCAGTCACAATCGCTGTACCATCTTCGCCATTAACGTCCCCAGATTCCAGAACTCTGACAACTCCAGGAAATATCCCTTCACCATGAATGTCGTTAATCAATGTGGCCTCGTCGAATCGTTGAGCGTCGTCTCGGTAGGCATCCTTGATAACAGCAAAGTCATCGCCGCCGCCGCCTTCATACATGAACACCGTCGTCCGCCGACCCCGACTGAGCGGCAAGAAGAATGGGTTGCAGTCGCTGTACGTGCTCCCATTGTAAGTGATTGTCCAGTGCACCTTCGATCCTGAGCCCATAGCATCCGGCAGAACCACAGGAGACGAAATTGTTGGGTCCCAGAGGTGGTGATTCTTCGGAGGAAAGTAAAGAGATCGGATATAGCCTTCCAGTAAACCCAGCTCAGTCCAGTCCACGAACGGCGACTTCACAACTTCGGAAGCATCGGACCAGAGAATTCGGTAACCTCTAGCGTTGGCGAAGAGTGCATAGGTACCAGGCATATCCAGACGTGCGCGAGCATGTTGACAGATATAGCTCACAGCCTGACCAGCGCCTTCCTCAGCTTCAGGTTTGCATTCACCCGTAGTGATGATTCGGTGATATGGTACGCCCATGTATGATTTGGTTTTCTCGTTGCAAAAGTTCTTCATGGATTTCTTGGTGCCAAATACACCTACAATCTCTGGCATGTTTTTCATATCCAGGTCAGCAGCTTTGGGTGGGCCAGTATGGTGGTCGAGAAATAAGACAGGGTTGGCACGATCCAATGCAAGCCCGGCCTCGATGTAAGTATCTAACCGAACTGAGTCAGAAATGAAAAAAAAATGGGATGGTGAATGATCGACGTACCGTAAATTCGTTTGCTGATCTTGTTCAGTAGTGCACAGACGGGTGCATATATTGCCGCCTTAACCTTCGCGCCACTGATCTTCTCAACATCGCCTTTGTATTGACTATCGGGAACCACGTAACCTTCACCTGCAGGTCGAGGGGTAAGATGTTCCCTCATGAACGTAGCCACATCTACGTCTTCGGGCTTCCGAGCCATGTGAGAGTTTTCGATACCTTGGCGGTTAGAGATGAGAATGTTTTGTTTTACGGGAGAGGTAATGAGATTCCAATCACCTTCTGCACCATGTTTATGCAAAAATTTAGCATCAGAGACTGGACTGGGTGTGCAGGGTTGTGGACTTTCGGTCATGGTGAGATAGGTGCACCCAATCCAGCCTGATGCAAGCGGATGTTTATACTTTGTGAACAGGGTCGTCACGGCACTGTGGTCCAGTCTAAAGTTAAATTGTCCGACTAGGGAGACAAAAGGTTCGCAATAAGCAAGAAACTTGAGCGTAGTTGCAGGCACTGGTCAACCGCCTCGCCTCTGAATTCGCCAAACGCGTCGTAGAAATACGCACACGTGATCGCGACGCGTTGTAGACCTTTGTGAGTGTAAAACGTGACCCGGCCAGAAAAATGCTACTTGATAGTCGCTTGCTGTCCTCCAAGAAGGCACCTTGTGTCTAACATAGAAATGGTAGTGTATTGTAGTGTGAATGGCACAAAAAAACACAATATGTAGATAGGCTCTATTCTAGAGTATGCGTATCATTGGATCCAGGAATGCAGTGGACGTCGAAGAGGCAGCAGCTCTGGTAGTCTCGTCAAGAGTCCGAGACCAGGAAACCAACTAGACACTCATCAAGCATGTAGTCTATGTTAACCCAGCCATGAGTTAAGGCTACAATTCAATACAGTCAGTCACAACACCGGCAAATTGCAATGATAATGACATACCAAAGAGCTTCGATCCATCTCTACCCGCCAGTCGCATTAGCTCTTTCTCGCCGCCAGGGTGATATGGCAAGTAAGGAGTAATATTGTAGACTTTGCCGTTGAAAGAGGACCACGCATCATCCCGCTTATTATGCTGCCTGAGAACAGACATGGGTATTCGGGACAAAGTGTCAACACCCTATCATGAACGGATGATGAACCAACTACACATAGTGCGTTACAAGGACTTCACTTGTCCGGGTGCTAAGGCTACCTTCTTCGTCGCCCTCTTATTCGGAGGTTTCAGCGTACAACGGTCAGAAATGAAGTACCGGAGGGAACAAGAAGAGACGATGAAGACGCAGATGACACCGAGGAGGTTCCTGGTCGTCGACTTGCAAGTCCAGGTAACGGCGGAGGAGGCATGAGCTCTGAATCAGTCAGGATCCGCGGAATCGCAGGGCTGGTAATCTCTTTGCTCGAGCCTGCACGTTGAGCACTATCCAGACTTGGGAAGGCGGAAGGTGAGTCATCAACATGGCCATCTTCTTCATCCCCCCGCAAAGTAGCTGCTTCGTCCTCATCATCCTCTTCCGTTGGTGGCACTTCAATGATGTTCGGAGCAGGCTGTGCCCCAGGTAGCGAAGATGTTACGCCTAATGAGGGGACCGACGAGATCCAGCTGCGTAGATATGAAGTCATCTAAAGAAATCGCGATTACAAGCAAAAAATAAATGCGTTGAGCAACAACAGATGAGAGCATAAGTCATTGAAGAGCGTTGAGGAACGTTGGCTGATTGGATACCTCAGGATTAGCGCTCAACACTGATCGTTCCGTTAGACGTCCATATTGGGGACGCAAGTATCAACTTATCATTTTAGCCTTGTGATGGCGTTAGAGAAAAGAAAAATGTTGGAATAAAGCTCTGGACACTTAATATTAATCATTTTAAATGGTTCACTGGCCCAATAAAGGTAGAACACAAAGGCAAAGAGCATACTCGCGAATCCCGCTATCTTGGCACTGCGGGGTACTAGTAGCGTAGAAGACAGAATACGGAAAAATGGACGTCAGACTTCAAAACACTCAAGGGGGAAATGATTGTGGTGAATATAAAGAAGAAAATAAAAATAGTATCAAGAAAAAAGTGAAAGTGTCCAACAAAAGATCGAATGCTAGTTTCCATTTGGCATGCTTGAGGCCAGGTCCGCCATGACAAGGACCATGATATCCTGAAGGACGATCTGTGAGGGAAGGCGTTGGGACTGATGTATTTTCGCTTCGCATTGTGCTTTATGATGCTTCCAACCTGTTGACTGGCACTCCGTGCTGCAATAGAATATCTGAAACGGTACACGTGAGGTCGAGATACTTGGAAACGAAAGTCAGGAGTTCGTGCTCACCCTCTTGCAACGACTGCAGCACTTCATCTTCTCTACACCCGGACCTTCGAGGCGCGAACATGCTGCATTCTCGCAGTGTTTGTGCAGAGGACCAGCGTCCATCCCGATCTTGGCGGCTACTTCGATATCATACCGACTCCTTAAATCTTTTCCTAACGCGATATAGTCGTCAATAACGGCATTCCAACCCTGCATCCCGGTCTTAGATTCTCCCTTGCTATATCTCGCTTCCCACGGCCTATAGCGAAGCAATGTCGGTAAGATGTTAGCATAGCGAAGGCTCAAGGCTCAGTGGAAAATCCTTTATCACTCCCATGGCGAACGCGAAGGCTGGATCGATGTCAGGGTTATCTTTCTGTATCATGGTGAAGCCCGATCTCAGTCGGCGGACAATGTCCATATCTATGTCCATATCGTGTTCCTTCGCGTCGTTTACGAAGCTGGCGATGATATTTGCAGTTTCCAATGGAATAGATGAAATCCGGTGCACCTCGACCTTGCCTGTAGCAATGCGCTGGTGTTTCTCGTCCCACTTCTCGATGTATTCAAAATCTCTCCCGATGCAGCATTTGCGGTAAGATTTGGGTTTCTCGCAAGGACATAAGAATTCGGCAGGATATGGCTGCTCCTTATGCGCATGGCACTCGGCGAGCATCGCGCCAGACCAGCAAGGGCAGGGACGTGGTGGGCGAAACAAAACGTCCCGAGACTTGATGATGCGCATGAGACTAGCTCTATGAGCGCGCAAGGGAAACTTGCCTGACGAGAGGAAAGACTCCGGAAGCCGAGCACCGTGCTCCAGGAGAAGCATGACGAGAGGAATGTTTGGAATAGATGCAGCAATCGTCAAGGGTGTCTCCCCATCTACGTTGAGATTGACGTCGGCATGTTGCTCAATGAGGAGCCGCGCAACACGGAAGATACGCTCAATATTGCTTTCGGGGCTCCCGCCGCTAGGGATGCGCACTCTTCCCTGGTGCAGGAGTCGCAACCACATGCATGCGAAAAACAGCGGAGTCATCCCGTAGTAGTCCTTTGCATCTATGTTAATACCAAGTCGAAGAGATTCGTACGCCAGGGGTACATCTCTCAGTCTCACGGCAAGATGAAGGAATGTGCGTCGATCTCGTTCGCTGAAGCCTATTATCCGAGCGGTGACAGTGGGGAACTCGTCTTGTTCTATTACACTTCTTCGAAACCCTCCCGGATTAAAAAATGGTCTGAGCGGATAGGCTCGAATTCGCTCTGGAAAATATAAGAAGTCTCCTCGGACGTGACTGGGTCTGTTTTTAACTTCTCGAGCAACGAGTTGGGCAAGAACGGATGAGAGCGACGGGAAGTGGCCATGGTGACGGAGGGCAGTGTGAATGAGTGTTTGGGTAAGGGGCATATGAAAGCGACGAAGAAGCTTCGAGTCTATATATGCGGACGGCGAAACATCTGTCCCAAAACTCAATAGCTCTCAATAGCTGTCATTTCAGTTTCAACATGGGATTCCACCTCTAACGGGGTAATTGCAGGTCGTTTGTCGGAACGCTATGATATAATAGTTAGTTCTTGGATCGTCTGGTGTACGCTATTTCCAAAATGCTCGAAGCTCTCCAATGGAAGTCCTGTGAGCGATCAGCAGGTGTCAGTCATGCGCATTTCAACGGACAGGACAAGAGATCGTGATAGGAACGCGAACATCTGAGTTTCACAGCCCGTACTTACTGGTAGTCTCTTCCGAATGATCTTCAAGGATCCTTTATTGAACTTCGAGATTTCTCTTTTACACGCCAGTCTTTGTCATCTATTAGTCGACATAGCTGGCTACAGTATAAGATCTACATAGCACGAGTCAGTCAGTACAATGCAGAGAGGTTCAAGTTCAAGCTGACCCTACTAGCACTGTACATCCAGGCGAATGAATGAAAGGAGAAATTATGTCTTAGAGCCTCGATCCGTCGTCGCTAACGGTCTTGGGCGCAGAGTCATTTCCATTTCCTGGCGTCCCAGAGTTGTAACTTCAATACATAGCAGTCATAAAGAAGACAAGAGAAAGTTAGGATTATTGAGTTTAGGCCTAAATTTTACTACGCGCCAAAACACGTGGGCAACCGCTCGAGCTCAAGACGCGAAAGAGGAGTGATACACTGGAGTTGGGATATGCATTCTAATTATACAATATGTGAGTGCGAGTACGACAGATGCATCTAAGTACTTTATAAGACGACAGACGACAATGTGAGAGAGAGAATTACAAATGTGGACTAAATGTACGACATTGCAAGTAAGTTAGTAGACAATGTCCCTCTGACCGTAGAAGCCTCATGGTGAGAGGGTATCCTTCCATCGTTCTGCCACGGGCTCCCCACGGAACACCTCATGTAAGACCTCTCGAACGTCCTCCACATAGACGAAACGGATGCCAGTCTTCACGCTCTCGGGAACGTTCTCCTCGATATCGGGTCGATTCGCCTCAGGAGCAATGATAGTCTTGATACCCGCCCTATGCGCCGCCAGGATTTTCTCCTTCAACCCACCGACTGGCAATATCTGTCCGACAAGTGAGATTTCACCCGTCATAGCTGTCCAAAAGATTACTCCGTGCTACCAAGAATGAAGAACTAAGAGACTTACCGATGTCGGGATTGATCTTGGTTTTTGTGAAAAGAGAAACATATGCCGACAGTATCGCCGTACCAGCACTAGGACCTTCCTTCCCAATGCTACCCTCAGGCATATGAACATGGATATCGCGATCAGTCAGGAACTGTTCATCAGGCGATTTCGTGATTCCAAGTTCATAAGCGTGGCTCTTTACCCAGCTCAGAGCGATCTGAGCACTCTCTCGAATGACTTCACCGAGCTTGCCGGTAAGCTGAAGACCACCTTTACCGGGCATCGACTACATAACAAAAAAAGACACTTAGTACTCAGACGGAAGAGGTCATACCGCAACAGACTCACCGTAGCTTCAATGGGCATAACCGCACCTGAACCATTACCGAGATATCCAAGACCAGAGCTGACACCTGCAGGTGGCGCGGTGACATATAGCCTATCCTTATGATATACCGGAGGACCAACATAGTCTTTCAGATTTTCTGGAGTGATATGAACGTGGACGGTGTCGGGTACTCGCAGAGGCTTGCGCTCTACGGTCGTGACGATGCGCTCCGTTAACGAGTCCGATGACGGAGTAGTCTCCGTCTCAGCACCAGCAGTGGAGATCTCTGGAGTGGGTTCTCTGGGAGGTGGTCCGTCCTGCTTCTCAACGGTCTTGTTCTCAGACTTCTCCTTCTGTGCTGCTGCCGAGGCTCCATCTGGTTCCGGGAAGACATCTTCACCGAGATCTTGAACGAGTTTCAGTGCCGCTTTGCGGTAGATCTGGACAGAAGCAACGTTAGGTTATCATAAAGTAAGGGTCATTACAACATACCTTCTCAATGTGCTTCTTCAAGTTACGAACACCACTTTCACGGCAGTAGTACTTGATCAGCACGTCGATAGCAGATGGCATTACTTGTACGTCGGCATCTTTAAGTCCCGACGCTTCCTTGGCTTGGGGACCGAGGTACTTGTCGGCAATGACGGCCTTTTCCTCTGAAACGTAACCGCTAACTTCCAAGACCTCCATTCGATCAAGTAGAGGTGGGGGAATGGTATCCAAAACATTCGCTACAAGGGTCCGTCAGATTCCTTCATAAGCCGGACAGAAAACTCTACCATACCTGTGCAAACGAAGAGAACTCGGGACAAATCTACGGGAACGTCCATGCTGAAAAGCAATTTGTTACTGTGGTGTCGATCATAACATGTCAATCTTACTCACTAATGGTCCAGGAACCCTGTGTTCTGCTCAGGATCGAGCATCTCGAGCAAGGCACTCGAAGGATCGCCATTGTGTCCACGACCAATCTTGTCCACTTCGTCAATCAAGACAAGTGGATTCTCGGTACCGACACGCTTCAGAGCCTGAATGATCTTGCCGGGCAACGCGCTAAGTAGAACGTAATGAGCTGGAAAGAACGGCAAGCAATGAGGCGTTGCAGACTTACCCGACGTAAGTTCGTCTGTGACCCTTGATCTCCGCCACATCCGTCAGACCACCAACTGAGAACCGGAAGAACTGCCTATTGAGTGCCCGTGCGATCGACTTGCCAATCGACGTTTTCCCAACACCAGGGGGGCCAACGAGACAGATAATCTTGCCTTGAACGGTACCACGAAGTTTGCCCACTGCCAGGAATTCAAGAATGCGGTCCTTGACATCCTGCAAGCCGTAGTGATCTTCGTCCAGGACTTTGGTGGCATGAGCGATCGAATAGTTCTCACGAGAATGTTGACCCCAGGGGATCTGCATAAGTTAACTGATGAGTCAGGCAAACAATGGAAAAGCAATACTACGTACCTGAGTCAACCATTCAAGGTAGTTCCGGGTAACATTCGCTTCAGACGCGGCAGGTTCAAGGTGTTGCAACTTGTTGAGCTCCTCGTCGAACACCTTCTTGACATGCTCAGGCATCTTCAGCGATGCTGCCCGCTCCTTGAACTTCTCGATCATCTTGTCCTTCCCATCCGACTCCATGCCCAGTTCCTTCTTGATACCCTTGAGCTGTTCCATCAAATAGTACTCCCGCTGGCGTTTGGCAATCTTGCTATCGACATCACGGGAAAGCTTGCTCTGAAGTTGCGCATTGATAAGTTCCTTCTTGAGTACGAGCAATGCTTTCCGGAGCCTATCCTCTACGACCAAACTCTCTAGCACGTCCTGCAATTCGCCAACTTCGCCTGTGGACACCGCAGCAGCGAAATCTGCAAGCTTGTCTGGCTCATCGAAGACGTTCGAAGCGACCTGGTTGATCGAGAAGTTGGTGATCTGGTCTCGGAAGAGCGGGTTTAGCTGAGCGATGTCCTTGAACACGGAAACGATTTCTGACATGAACGCTCGGATATATTGATCATCTTTGTTGTATGGCTGGGTGACAAGGTTTTCTACGCGGACGATCGAGACGTTGTGCTGGTGCAAGAAAGACGTCTGCATAAATGTTGGCGACACCAACTCTTCCTTGGGTGTAGGAGGTGGAGTCGGTAGCGATTCTTCAGCAGAAGGTTCCGGCTTTTCTGGTACAGGTTCCTTGACGGCCTCAATAGAAGCAGTCGCGGCAGTACCTCCAGTCTTCACAAGGTCCGTGATCTTGATGCGTCGATGAGGGTAGAGAACAGCTGTCAAACCTTCCTCTTTCTCATCGTTGTTTCCGGTAGGTCCAGTATTCGCAGCAAACACGCTAGTTATCTGCGCAAAAACACCAACAGAATGAACCTGGTTAAGATCCGTAATCACGTCGCTATCGGCATGTTCGTCTTTGAGCAGGAATGCGCCGAGGTAGGGTTGTCCACGACGCATCATCTCCTTGATAGCAGCAACAACAGCAGGATTCCGAATGACGACAGCCTTGTAAAAACCGGGGAATAAAGGACGACGAGCAATAGGGAGCGCAAGGACTTCTGGGTAGTTTTCCGGTACAGATTGTTTGGATATCGACGTCTGGTTTTGCGTAGGAGGATCTGGAGGTGGTGAAGGCGGTGGATCCGATCCTGAGCTGTCTGACCCATCGCCGGAAGAGGACGATGAAGAAGACGGAGGTGCGGACGACTGTGGGGGTGCTTGACTGTCTTCAGAACTGTCTAAGCGTACCTCGGTGGAAGCCTGCGACTCAGGACTTTCTCCTGACGTCGCACTGCTGTCAGACGACTCTGCCAACTTGGGTGGTGCGCTCTGCTTCGTGTTGTTGACCCATCTCGGGAAGCGCAGTGGTTGTGTGGGTGGAAAGTCTGTGACAGTAGACGTGTTGAAACATCTCTGTTCTCGGTGCAAGCTCCTTGCGGTAAGGACCAGACGTGACGGTCCAGCTTCTGAGAGCATTCGGCGACTACATGACCGTACAGATGAAGCCGCCGAGACTCTGAGACTGCCGAGGATGTTCATGAACAGCTCGCACGAGCAGAGAGAGAAAGGAAAGAGGTGAGGCTCAGCTTGCAAAGACGCAGTTGCCCGACTTCTACTCAGTTGCGTAATGAAATTGATTACAAAGCCTCATTACGAATATCGCAACATATATAACTGATAAATAACATCATAGCAGCTTACAAGCTTCTTGTAAGCTGGTAAAATAACTATTGTAAGCTATGATTTATCTAGTCCAGCAAGCAGTAGCAACATTACCGCAGTCCACCCTCTTTGTTTTCCTTCCACTGGCTTTTCAATCACATCGTCCCCCCTCCATCAATAAACTAATCGTTGGTTTGTTCTTTCCGGTCGTAACCTTACGCTGACTACCGTCTGTAGTATCCACTCATTCCTGAACTGCTCCGGTCCAACGTGGCAATGGAACAACCACCTATTCTTCCTGTCGTACTATAGCCACATTCCGAGTTCAAGCCACAGTCGCGCGTTATTCTCGTTCCCTGTCATCCGGTGATGGGCATTCACAACGCTCTCTCTGCATCCAATCATGCTTTCCTTGTCTGCGAGAGAAAGCCCACCTACGCTAGTGACATTGGGGGCTGACAGTCCACGCTAGCTTCCTTGCTGTAGGGAAAACGTCTTTGATCCTGTTATCCCTGTGGGAAGATGCCACGCCTCGTCATCTGGGCCGCGTTTTGTTGCTTCATGGCAGCAAAGACCCGTGAATCGTTCGGCGAGCGCTCGTGCTTGGTACTCAGATCTGTCCGGGGCCTGTATCTTCGTTCGTCAACATACGAGAAGTCAATATCAAGTCTTTTGAACTTCGGAAATGATATCCAGACGTTTTCTGTCATGCTATCATGCACACAGTCTCTGCTTGATTAAGCTTTATATCACATTGTCTGCGCTGAACCCCTGTCGAACTTGCATGCATCTGGGTGCGACGATCACTTTTGAAGCTCATGCACACCGCCCGATAAGGTACACCTTTGCTTAGAAGCTTCACCACGGCACAACGTCATTTCACGTTACTTGGGGATCTTTTGAAGGCATATCAAGAGGGAGGATTGAATTGTCCTACTTCGACCTGGACGTCTCCAGGCCTTCATACCGTCTCATAAGCACGCTGGCTCCTTCGCATTGTCGTATCTTTCTTCCAAAGGCAATCCTCGATAGCTCCAAATCAGATGAAATTCTCTCAAAATACCCCAGTGAGATCTATGGTCGACACTTCAAAAGGATTCGCTTGCAAAGTCTTCGCGGAGCGACAGTCACATTTTCACAGCAGTTCTCGGCCTTGTTCTTCACTTTCGCTTTGAAAAACTCGACGCATCTCAGGAAGGGCACAAGCGTACCTATCTTCATCTAGCATCTCGCAATGGCGATGTACCACTCGCGTAGGAATGCATCAGGATGGTCATGAAATTGGACGAGAAGGACGGTTTCGGCACGACTGTGCTTTTGCTCGCTTGGGAGACTTTGAGCGTCGTCAGGTTGTCAAGCAATCTCGCTAAGAAATGTGACAATTCTGGCGAGTCAAATCCCAATTTCTCGCCTCTGACCAATCAGGAGTACCTGGAAGACTACGAGATACGTGTTGCATGCATCATACACCTCCTCGTCGAACACCACGGCGACGTCAACATCGAAAACGACGGCAGATGTCCGCTCTTAATTACGTCGGGCTCGGCTTTTAGTGACATCCTGAGCTTACTGTTGCAACACGGTGCTCGTGTACCTGCGTCTATGACGGCAGCGGAGAAGCATAAGCGATCGCCTGCCCCTGCGGAAGGGACGACACTTATGGGGACTGCTGCATGAAGGAGGACTTCGTCACGGAGGAAATATGGGACGCGAAGCATGGCGTTATCAAGACTTCGTCTGCGAAGTTGCTGCTGTTTCAGACAGCAATTGTTCGAGTCTACCTGCATTCGACGCGGCCTCTGTGGTCGATCCATCGGTTGTTCGAACCTTTCCGCCGACGAAGGAAATACTAGTTCCTATTCACTCGATCCCGCCTTCCAATGTGCTGCGAAGACATAGTCCGTGAATCACTATGTTCCAACTTTCTTCAAAATTCTCTGTATTGGCACGTGGTTTAGTGTCCGGTATGAATGGAAACTCTACAGCGATGTCGAATGTCAAGCAAGGTTGGACGGATGGAATGCTCTTGTCGACGAGTATATCGCCTCGGGTGTGGACATGAGAAGCGAATTCGACATCCCGAGATAGGGACAGGTCCTTTGTATAAAGTTTCTGAGAACGATGGCTGTTGCGCAGTGGAAGGACGCGACGTCGACAAGATGAAATGGTGCAGCACCTGCAAGCTGGTAGGTGGTCTCCAAACTTTTCACTTAGCCCGTTCGTTGACAATTGTTGGAAACTTACAGACCTTCTACTGCAGTCCTGCTTGTCCATCCGCTGATTGGAAGTGCCATAAGACTTTGTGCAAGGACAGGGAAAGCCAGGCGCAACTCCTGCCGTCTCAGAGGGTTGTAGGGGATTACCTGCGTAAGATTATGATGTCTGGTAGTCGCTGCGGCCAATCTAGCTTGCTTGAGCTGCTGGTTATGATGTTACGTTTTCTGCTCAAGGTCTTTTCGTGAAAGAGATGCGAATGGACTCCACAATTTCATGAGATTGTCTATTCCTTTGCGAGCCTGTCAGGTCTGAGCTTTATTATGTTCTGCCTTAACTGTGTCTGGAATCTGATCCCCAATTATTCGATGCATACCTGCTCGATTGAGATTAGTATTAAGCGACGTTGTGTGGCCATGTTTATTTGCATTCAAGTGCCTACGTAAATCTTACGTTTCATGACCTTGACTCTTTCCTTGCCTTGTCATACAGTAATCTTTGGAGTTTTTGAGATTTGCTGCAAACCTAGTGTACCAATTCGCCGAGGTACACGTTTTCATATTCTAGTCTTGCCTGCCGAAGGTCACGTTCTCATCACTTTCGAGCGCGACATTACGGATCCTCACGTTCTTGTAGACTATTTATATAATACAGTCACACTGTGAAGGTGCGGTTCCCCTCTCCCGTACTCTGTGAAAGAAGAAGCTGAGCTCCCTATCCTCCACTAACATTGCAGCCGAAGTCGGACCTCCGTGCCGAACCATCAACACATGGTGGTACGCAGTCATTAACATTCTTGACCATCTCTTTGCCCTGAAGTATCACACGTTTCTCCATACATCTACACTCAAGTTCTGAAGCACCTCCAACATAATTTGGTCAAATAAAAAAAACTACTGTCTCCAAGCTGTCGATTTGCCTTTACTCGCATGACGAAGCTCCATCCATTTCTTCCAGAGGCATTAATCGATAGCCTAAAGGCGGATCCAGTCACATCCCGCTGTTTTCCCTCATCCGATGTTTTTACTGAAAGCCATGAAGGCAGACGCATCGACTTCATCATTGACCCAACCGTTGCTCATGTCGAATGTATCTCTCCCAGGGATCAACCCGCAGGAATCGAAACGATCAATCGGTTTGAACCCGGAGACGGGCGTAATAGATCTCACCTCGCTGCGCGCAATGGAGATGTGCCCCTTGCATACGAATGCATCAGAATGGGAGTTAACCTAGACGTCACTGATAACATTGGAATGACGCCTTTGTATCTGGCTTGCGAGGTGATTCGCGCCATGACATGGGAACTCGATGAAGCAAAACGATGTCGATTGGTGCATCCAAAAGTGAACGATGTTGCACTTCAAAAAGAAGGCGTTATTCGTATCGCGAAGCTCTTCGTCGAGCAGCACGCCGATGTGAACGTTGAGCTCGATGGCCAGACGCCTTTGACTCTCACTGCTCAGGCTTCATGTTGGCCAATCGTCGAATTATTACTCCAACATGGTGCTCGGGTACCTCCGTCCTTCCCGTCCTCTAACTCATTCAAGACCTCCATTCAACGTTCGCGGTTTCTCCTGATTGTTAGAAAAACTCGGCCTTTGTCGCCAAGACCACCTCGACCATGTCCTTGCTGGTCTGGAAAGCTACTCTCTGAGTGTCATGACGCCGAGGAACACGCATATCCCGCCAGTTTCCTGTGCATATGCGGTTCTCGGAAGTCGTTTGCGAGGTGTTGTGGTACGAAGAAGTTCAGAGTTGTAGAGAGGTGGAATTCAGAGGCGCAGCGCATTGTGTGGCGTGTGATCTCAGAACCAACCGTAGGCCTTCCACCTGGGATTCCAGAGTCTGTTTTGAATCATATACGATCAAATCACGAAATACCCAGCCGCTTGAACGAGCTTGGTTACAAACTTGTAGAACGGATATGCAGTGATAGAAACATCGACCCTGCGTTCGCGTATGCGCTTCGGAGTCTGCTGTATAACCCTCGGTGAGTCTGTCACCCATACCATCTCTTCCGTCGGCTAAATGACCAGAAGACCATGGGCAGGCCAAGTCAGCAGGGTTCAAGCAAAGCGGCGGATGAACGCTTGGAACCAGCTCGTTGACGATTACATTGCTTCGCGACGTGACCCAAGACGGAAACTTGATGTTGAGATAGCTGCCAAGATTGGTATCAATGGAGGACCACTCTATAAGCATTGCGAGGCTACTGGCTGCAACAAACATGAGAAACGCGACGTTGAAAAGCTGAAGGGCTGCAGTGGGTGCAAGGCGGTCAGTACATATAAATTTCTTGCTCTTCCTATCTGTGTGATAAATGTGTATTTCATTCAGATCTTCTATTGCTCTCAGGCGTGCCAAACAATGGACTGGAAACGACACAAAGCGGAATGTAGAGACGCTACCCATGGAGCACAGCGTCTTCCGTCGCAAGTAGTTACGGATCAACTAGTTGTGGAATTTGGGGAGCTTGCCAACATCGGGCTCTCTCTTGATGACCTGTCGAATCAACTGTTGGAGTGTTCTCTGACTGGGGCCTGAGTCTTATAATCATGCTGCTCGTTTATGTTTCCGTTATTGATACAATCTTTCAAAACTGTGCAAATCTGAGATTAAAATCTCCTGCCCATATTCACGATATTCGAGTGCACATTATTGAAATATACGTCGCGCGGGAGGAAAGCGAGTCGGTGACGTTTGACCTCGTTGAGCTCTGAGGCAAACGGATAAGGTACGTACAAAGATAAATACCTACTTATATACGAAATACTGCCAAGCATGCGGGACTCCATCCCGCTCCTCTCATTCTTGCGCATAGCGACGCTCGCCGCTTCATCCATATTCCAACACACGTTTCCCCTCTTGCTCCATTCTATGTCGGATTCTTTGCCACTGGCCAATGTGTGGGGGTTAAAAGTCAGTCGTCGAATACTACGCATACCAAATCCAGACATTACGTAATGGATTGATCGTGTCAGAAATGTCGCTGCCTGCTGCGTGCTTGCGGCGTTGATCAAGGCTTCAGAAGTTCAGATCTCTCAAGACCGATACCGGCATCTCTTATTGAGCAACTTTTCGAAAGAACTGTTACGTCTCTCAGTGGTATCCTGCATTCAACTCCCTAAGTCTCACCCCATGAGTAATGATTAATGTCAAGCGAAGCCATTACGAAAAACGAGAAGCTCCTTCGTATTCTTCGCGAGCACCTTTCCCAAGGTGAACATTTCGACGTGTACAAGCAGGCAACAGAGAAACTTGTTACATGGCTGGGCAACCGCAAAGCGTACTACGCAGATGTTAGGCCCAAGGTGTGTGTTTCCACGTACAGCGTAGTGGCGATGATGCTCACAGTAGCGTTGGTAGATTGTAGATCTCATTCAAGTATGTCCCTCAGTTTCAATAGACATGCTCACGGTGATTCGAAAGCTATGATTAGGTCGCACAGTTGACCCTTCGTCGCATGTGCGGGATCGACAATTCACGAACCTTCCACATCTCTCAATGTCCTGCTACGTTGCAGGGGTTCGTCAACTGCTACGTAGCTTTAGTTTGTGCGATCGCTCCTTTTGTGGATTTGTTTCCGGAACCACCTTTGAGAAGTATGATTCCGACTTGTCCTATGTATTCGTGGGTTTTCATTCGGATTTGAACAGCACGGCTCCAAGCGCTGCTCAAAACAATTGAAAACAAAGCTCCACCCGCCGTCATACAGTCCGATGTTGATCTTAGCACGTACGTGTCGTTGTGTCATTCCAAGTGCTTCGTATTCGAATCATTCTCAAACACAATCCAGTGCAGCCGGAGTGGATGATCGCGTGGCGCTCACAAACTCAAGCATACCTCAGATGACTCAGTCATTGTTGCGCAGACCTAGCTCCAGTGGTTCCTTAGTCGGTCCTGTGTCGCGCTCGGAATCTCCAGATATACCTTTGGCTCAGCATAGCGGTGCATCCATCGCGAACATACCCCATCAGACCTCATTACAACGTCCATTGTCGGCTGGTGGCAAACCTTCAAATCGGAGATTTGAGTCACCCTCTGTCGCATCGTCAACCCCAACAGGACCTTCTACGTCTCGGTTGGATGGAGTGTCGCACGTCACCAGCGAGAGCATATCGCAAACTAACACATGGCGAAAACGTCCGTTACCGCCATCACCTATTGTTGTTCCCTCCACATATTCTCCCGCTGTACCGTCACCATCGAATTTGCTGCATGAAGGCCCGTATCCTACGCCCGTTACTGCAACAAGCATTCCACCCAACTTCATACCGATGCCGATGATCAATCCGCTTCCGATTGGATTGCCTTCTCCTTTGACCCCCACTGTTGCATCCCCAACATTATCTGCTTCACCCGTGGCATCGACATCGGCCGCTCAAACGACAGAGATGTCTATCTCTGCACCACCGAATGTTGGTGCCGTGCCTTCCAAGAAGCGAAAGGTCACTTCTAGGAAGACATCATTCTTAGACCTGGATATACAAGATTGGCTCAAGAAACGAGAGACACAGAAGCAAGATAGTCATCCTGAACGGGACAAGGTGGACGACGGCGTTTCGGCGACACGCGAAGCTACTGTACCGGTTAAGACCGAAGGAGCTGCGGGTGCCGAGGGCTCTACGATAGCTGTTCCATCGATTCCGAAGGAAGTTACAGATGTTCCCACAGAGCCGAATCTATGTGCACGGAGTGTTACTTCTCAAATTACACACGATGAAGCTCCCGCTCGGGATTCATCAAATGCTGCAGTACACCGTACGAGCGCCGTAGATGCATCCATGGCTGATACTAGTTTTGATGAAGACGAGGTGGATGCATTCTTGCAAAACGAACTTTCACCCTCACCTCGATCGCAGAAACTCGACCTACCATCGACCACTGACTCGCGTGACCGTTCGGCGGCCACCTCAACTAATGTTACCCCCGCGCCCGTGTCCAGACCAACTCTTCCACAATTACAAACACCATCAGAAAGTCCAGCTGATTCCGACGTCGATATGCTTGATTCTGAGAGTACCGAAGTCAGATCACCTTCTCTTATCGTGAAGGAACTTCCGACTGTGCTGCCTGGTTGTGACTCTACCAATGACGATGCTGCTATATTTGTTCGGGAGGGCGTCACTCCGGGGCCACACATTCAGAATGACGCTGATACTTCCAAGGATACCGAGACATCCAAGCTCGAACCATCCGCCTCCGAAAGAAAGAAGTCGGACGTGACTGTTGATGCTTCAGGGTCCTCGTCGGATTTGCCAGCTACACCTGGGGTTAACGTAGCATCGTCAAGTCAGAGTTCGTCCTCAGGCGAACTCCTCATTGGTCATACAGAAAGTACTGTGCAGGACAAGGCTGCTGTGTCTGTCAGAAACGCGGACGTCGCAGAGACAAGCGACGATCTAGGCACCTTAAATACTACGTCGGATCCAACGCCGGAAGACGCTTCTCTGGTCCAATTAGATCAGGATCGTACAGAGATCGGCAGTTTTTCTCAAGGGCCTCAGCCAGTCCCAGTCGTTCCTGAGGCTGAGAGAATGTCTGTGCGTAGGACCTTTGAACACACTGGCTTGTCTGAGGATCGAGGTCATACATCGTTACAAGCAGATGAGATGAATTCCCATGCAGCTTTTATCGCGGAAGGGGCATCTACACGTGCTGTCAGCGAGCCAGACGCTCCATCTAGACACGTTACACCCATCATAGCAAAGCCTATGACACCAGTGTCACTTAGGCCTACAGCACCAAGTGGTGTTCCTTCATTGCCTACACCTTCTTCTCTGCCGCTTGAGAATTCGCCTCATGCTCAGCCGAACGAGAAATCTGCTGCTCCCTTTAACCTGCCCCTCTCAGAGGAAGGCGAACTTGCCCCCCCTTCGAACCGCATACCAGTAGAAGGCCCTGAAGAAGGAGAAATACAGGCATCGCCTTCGCATCCCTCCGTCGATCTCAATGTTCTCCCTTCGACTGTTACTTCTCTTCCGGAAAAGCCTGTCACTGTCTCCCTGCACCTACCAAGTCAACCTCCGAAGAGCAGTTTGGGCTCGCACGACGGGAATATACCCCAAGCGACTACCACGACCACGAAGACTTGTTTCATGTCTGTTTTAGGACTGATGGCGGGATCGGGTATACCTCAAAGACACTCACTGGAATTCACTCTTACCGAAGAGCAGTTAGACGCTTTGAAACGATGGAATGAGAGATACACCGCCTCTGAGTAAGTTTCCAGGTCACTTTTTCGTCATCGTTTATGTTGACGTGGATCTGTCAGTGATATGTCCTCTAGCTTATGCCTGTCTTTAGCCACGTACTCTTTCCCTCGATGCTTGACGACGTTGCATGAGGATTCTACAGCCCCTTATGGCACTGTCCTGAAAGGTGATCCTCTTCCTTGGCAGACCAGATACCAGGTTCAAGCGAGGATCAACGAAGAACCGTGGTTGGGCTTGTATCCACCTTTCTGTGTAAGCATGCCACTCTTTCGACGTCTTCATATTTATCATAAAAGTTGCAGGAGACGAAGGATCATCTCGTGGATTACTCAAAGAAAGTTGCGTCGGGAAAGAACAGCTTTGAGCTCTACTTTTCCGGCGATTTTGAGGATCGGGTCTTCGTCCTTCATCTTCATACGCCGAGTGCCGCGCAGCTTGCCGAACTGCAGGAACGACGTGAGAAGGATGTGCAATGGCAACAGTTCTTGAAGAGTGTAACTCGCTTCCAGATGCCACCCTTGCTGTGGCCTGATGATGTAGCTAATACTACCACCTCCCATGCACAGTAATTCTTGGTTATTCTCGCTACTTGTTTCTTTTCTTGTCGCAGTTGTTTTGCATGCTCTCTTCGCTATGTTCGCTTTGCCCATCATATGATAGATATGCGCATTTGTGTCGAATAATTACAGTGTACATTATAGCCTACGCCGATCTCTGACACTACGTTTGCAATTCAACGAGTGATCCACCGTTGAATACAATATAGTTAAGAACTGGAGCCAAAAGTGACTGCGCCCGGGATCGAACCGGGAACCTTCAGCGACTTCATGTCAGAGCTCTGATGTGAAGCAGACGTCATAACCATTAGACCACGCAGCCATACAAAATATATCCACCATTTTTTATAGTGCAGATTTTCCATTCACCACTTTGCTTCTTGACTAAATTGCCCAACGGCAACTTGCAAATATGGTGGCTACCACCAAACAAGCCCCTTCATAAGTCTTCTACCAGTCCTAACCACCTTTGCGCTGAGTACCTCTCCGTCCGTACTGATCTCAGCACCTACATCAACCAGCCCGCCAGGATGCTTAATCGTAATCAAAGGATTGCCCGCACGCGACTCGGAGTCGCCTCTTCGCGATTTGCGCACGATGTACCAAGCATTCGTATGTGCTAGGTTGCAAGCGACTCCTAGGCATAGACCAACGGTCATAGGCACAGCTTTATGAGGAACGCCCATAGACAAAGCGCGGACGACGATATCCACTCCGTCAGCGATTTCTCCTTCAGACGGGGCACTGAGAGCAGCAAACTTCGGCTGCGCTTGTGCGGTGGGATCCAAACCCATCATAATAGCACCGCCTTTCCTGATTTCCTCCATGGTTTCGAGAACTTCTGAATCAGTGAAATCAATTGATGCAGACTTCTGGAGACCCAATACATCACAAAGGTCTTCCGATGTCACGAAGACAGTGGGGTTTGTGGCGTCTACCAGAGACACGGGAACTGTTTTTGGCACGCCCCCCAAAGTAAGAGACACGTTGGTAATAGGATCTCCAGATGGCAGTAGTTTACCCGTTCGAGCACCCCCTGGCTTCACGAAATCGAGGATGATCTGCGAGGCTTTGCCGGGAACTCCAGCGATGGAGCTTTGGGGTAAATCAAGCAGAGCCGTCACAGATCCTTCCGTGTCTGACACGGGGAACGTAGTGTCTATGATTTTGTTCGTATTCGTATTGAATGATCGGATGGTTGTGGTAAGAGGTTGTGCGTCATCATTGATACGAGGGACACATAGTCCCTCATCCAATGCGAAGACGCCAATCATACTGGAAAGGTTTCCGCAGTTGCCGGAGTAGTCAACGACACTGTCGCGAATACCGATCTGCGCGAATGTATATGTGACGTCGATTCCTCGAGACTTCTGTTCATCAGACGGACGTCCTACGACACAGATCTTGGACAGACTAGAAACTCCACCTCCCATCCCATTCAATTGTCGACCGTATTCTGCATCAGGAGAACCCATAATCCCAAGAAATACGGGAGTCCATTGTGCATGATCACGAGGAAGATCCGCCTGATTCAAGAATACACCTTTGGATGTTCCTCCTCGTAAAAATGAAGCCGGCAGGGGGTTGGAAGCCGAGTGGATACGTGAAGAAAACCTTTTGCATGTTTTTAGAAGTGTCTGAGGTGTAAACCCCGTGCCAACTCGAGGAAAGACCAGCATCGAGTTCGCTGCAATGACGGTGAAGGCAAGCGCTTCGCCTCCGGGCACGGAACGGTATCTTTCCCGTGTCCAGAATTGGAAGGTTAGTAAGTTCGCCTTGTCGCTAATTGAGACGTTTCGAGCACTGCCATTTCCAACATCCGAAGTTCTTCCTATTCGCTGTCGTTAATGTACTCGAGTACACCACCGTTGTTGGCAGTAACCTTTTATGATGTCCTCCCCTGTTTACGCAACCCTAGCATTCAAAGCTACCAGAATCGAGCTGCAAGGTTCTGTCGCAGTAGTGACGCTAGTGCGACCAAAAGAGTGTGTCGAAGATATAGAAACAATTACTAGCATTAGTACTGATCAATGTGTTGTTGCAGGCGAAACACCTTCAATAATGATATGATAACTGAACTAGTGCATGTCTTCGGCCTGTTTGACAAAGACGATCGTGTTCGCGTTGTCATATTGACAGCTGAGCCGAACGCCCCAGCATACTGTGCAGGGGTACGTGTTCTCCAGATTGAACCCTTATATATCAGCTCTGCAACTGTTTGCTCATCGTCTCGACAGGCTGACATCTCGGGTGGATGGGGCTCCCTCTGGGATGAGGAAAGTGAGAAAGAGGGTGAACATGGTACGTCTCATTCATCTAGCTCTTCTCCCGTCGCTCTGAAATTTCATCGCAATTCTACAGCTCATAGGGATTCAGGGGGTGTTGTGGCTATGGCTATCTTTCGCTGCCGGAAGATCACTATCGCTGCGGTGAACGGACATGCGGTAAGCTCAAATTGCTCACTGCGTACGTATATACCTACCATGCATGAATTGATCTGCAGGCTGGTGTCGGCGTTACCGCCCTACAACTTCCATTTGACTTTCGTTTTGTCTGGTCTGGAGCTAAATTTGCCCTTCCTTTCGTTAGAAGAGGTATTGCACCTGAAGGTGAGCATAAAGCTTTCTGAATGTCTGGTTTGTGCTTCTTATACAAGTATTTAAGCTGTCTCTTCGTATTTATTGCCAAAGCTACTTGGAAACTCTCGTGCCTTAGCATTATTCCTGTCCGGAGCCACTCTATCGGCCGATTCTCCATTATTGCAGGGATTTTACCATACATTGCTGCCAACCCGAGAAGAAGTCTTCCCAGCTGCCTATACTTTTGCACAAGAACTCGCTCAGAATACCTCGCAAACAGCCATTGCGATCACTAAGGCCCTCATCTGGCATGGTGCTGATAACATCGAGGAGCAGCACCTCTTGGATTCCAGAGCAATTCGAACGCTTGGCGCTGCCAATGACGCAGCCGAAGGAGCCCGAGCGTTCAAGGAAAAGAGACCCATCAAGTTTACCGACACGTTGTCGAAGAACATGCCAACTTGGATTCCTTGGGTACGTTCCGGCCGTGTCTGGCTTTGATATTGACTCACGAAATGTTCTTCCAGTGGCGAGAGATCGATACGAAGCATCGCAAAGCTAAGCTATGATATGCGTTGGAAGAGGGGACTTTCACGTTTCATCTAAGTAACTCATTTAGGTCTGCTAGGCTCGCTTATAGGTCAACCAGCTTCAGGAAGATTTTCCAATGATGATGTTTTTGCGGAATAACGATTCTTTTGGATAAATAACGGAGGCTTCTATGCTCACTCTAAATAATAAACGGGAAAATCGAAGAACTAATCGTTCATGTATGAATCGCGGTCGTGTAACAGCCATGATGGAAGTCCTTGGTCTAGAACATTGCACATCCTGCGAGAACGTTTGCTCCCTCGACAAGAACCTTCTTCTACCTTTTCTTTACCAGCCTTCCGCTTCGAACCAGTAGGAACTCTGGGGTCACGCCCTTGACCCGCAGGTGCAGGAAGTGCAACTGTCCGCGATCGACCAGGCGTAAGGAGTATGGGGTCATCCATGCACATAATTCGCTCGAGCAAGATTCTCCGGAATGCTTCATGCAAATGCTCTTGTGGAGGTGGTGGGTCCAGTAGAGCGTATTCCGGTTGGACATGGTCCCCCAGCTTGGTGAGCATACCTGCGAGCGATGCTAGTTTCGGGTGAAGGACGTTCTCCCAATCGCTTTCCTCGTGGTCCAGGAATTCTCCGCGTCGATCATTCCGGGAGTTTGCACTGATAGTATGATTTTCTATATAGTCTCAGGCATCCACAAATTGTTGCGTAGGAGCGTCAGGTTCGTTCAGAGGTTTCGCTAGTATTAAGCAAGCAACTAGAAGCCAGAAAAGAGACTCGACGTCGTGGTCCGGTCTGTGCAAGAATGCAGGGGGTGCAGAAGTGCGGATTTTGCCTCCATGGAATGTATCGTCGTCTAGATAATACTCATATGTGGCTTGGCCAAACGCTGCTATGTACAGCCCTTTAGCTTCAGTGGAGAGAGTAGGCATTTTTGTGAAGTTCCTGGACGATTTGCCTGTAAGCAGCTTGCCAGATGCAACCGCGCGAGCTATGTAACGGGGGGTACCCTGTAATATAGTGACCACGAAACAGTATTATTAGACCAAGATTGTTGTTGCGAATGCGTTGACGTACAGTTCTACAAGCAAGCTCTTCACGAAGCGCTGCATCTGCATCGGAGTCGAATAACAGTTCAGGCTTCAGAGATGCGCTATTGTCAGCATCGATTAGGAGTGCGCGACACTTATCGTCGTACTCGCTATAGGGGGCCCATCATTCAAATGCTATGTAGGTACAATGGTGTCAAGAACATACCTCAGCTGGCCAAGGATCTCGTCGATAAACTTTGGAGGATTCACGATGAATTTCTTCCCCTGTATACTATCTTCTGCATGCTCTGGATATAGCAGCACATTATACATACTGAGATCACGATGCAGGAACTGACGACGTGCGATGAGAGCACGATGTACTTGTGAATGATTTAGGACTGCAAACTAAGGGTTGAAGAGAACATGTAAGACTCACCTTCCAACGCGTCGAAGATAGCCATTAACAAATCCTTTACGCTTTTAGCGGCGTAGAACTTGCTACCTCGGCTTCCCATAATCAGTCGCTTCTTGGTGCGGTGGTGTATCTTGCCTCTGACTGCCGACCGAGCGGTTCCAATTGCCTCACCATCAGCTGTATGAACCTCACCTGAAGCGATAACTCGGACAACTCCTGGGAATATACCTTCGCTGTGGATGTCTTGAAGTAATGTCACCTCGTTAAAACGTCGGCCGTCGTCTCGGTACGCATCTTTAATCACAGCAAACACGCCTTTGTTTTCCTGAAACATGAACACGGCAGTTCGTCTTCCCCAGGTGGATCTGCTGACATACAGCGGAATACAGTTCTCGTACTTCTTGTTATTGTACTTGATTGTCCAGTGAACCTTTCGAGAGTCGATACTAGCTTGTGGATCTGGATCTGGAAGAAGGATTGGTGCAGAGATGGATGGGTCCCATAGATGATGTTTCTTCGGGGGAAAATACAAAGAACGGATGTATCCCTCGAGAAGTTTTTGATTATTCCAGGACATGAACGGTGAGCTTACCACCCCAGAGGCGTCCGACCAGATGATCTTGTAACCCTTAGCATTGGCGAAGATAGCGTAGACACCAGGCATATCTGGTCGAGCTTCAAGATGTTGGCAAGTGTAACTTATAGCTTGCGGTGTCCCTTCCTCAGCTTCCGGCTTGCATTCTCCAGTGGTAACAATCATGTGATATGGCACGTTAGTATAGCTATTACGGCCTGTCTTGAAATCCGTCATCGATTTTGATGTTGCAAAGACCCCAATTATATCAGGTTTGTCGTCGAAGGGACCGCCGTGGTACATAGGCGGAGCTGTGTGATGATCAAGGAAGAAGACGGGAGCATCGTGCGGAAGATATATCCTAGCATTCTGATAAGTGTCTAAGAAAAAAACAGAATAAGAAGACCATTAGAAGGGTGAGCGATGTTATATTGGCTCACCGTATATACGTTTACTGATTTTATTCAACAAAGTGCAGACGGGGTTGTAAAGGTTGGATTCGGCACCTTTAACGGAGACGACCTGGTTGACAGCTTTCTTGTACTGGCTGTGACGGACAGTAAACAGCTTTCCTTTTGGCCTAGAGGTAAGGTGATCACGTAAGAAGATCACTTCTGGGGCAAGGTCGGAATCCTGGGCAACAGTAGAGTTTTCGATGCCTTGACGGTTGGTCAGTCGTATTCTATCTTTAACAGGAGAGTCAGGAAGATGCCAATTACCTGATGCTGCACCCGCTCTAGCAGGGCCAACATCAGGAACTGGATTGGGTGGTGGAGTTTGTGGACGATCTGTCATAGTGTAGCGTGTGCACCCAATCCAGCCTGACGCGAGCGGATGTTTATACTTTTTGTGAAGGGCCATGACGAGAGTTTGGTCAGTTCGGAGGTTGAAAATCAGCACAAAGAGCAGGTCAAAGAAGCGGAAAAGCCAGAGAATGAGTGTGGCCTCAGAAACAGTCGCCTCGACACGTGGGTGCCTGCACGTGATCGCGTAGTTCCATCGTCCTTTTCAGTAGGAAGGTTAGAAGGGAGTATCTAGAGGCTGGAAGCGAGCCTCTACGAATATATGGTTAATTATATTTCCACATGAGGCTATAAGGTTACTGGGTGCACAGAAGAAGCGTATTAGACCCGGAATAAGGCATACAATGTACTTACTTCATGAGTTTTGCACAACTTTCCTCCAAATCATGCATTCTGGTAAGACCATGAGAGCTGAAGAGATGTGAAAGTCCCATGCAAAGTCATGCGGCTTTTGCCTGTAGTCCTGGAGCTGTGGAAGAGATACGTAGTCTCAACCATCCCCTCCAAAGGAATGTCTTCCTGTCACAAACTCGAGGATAGGGTTGATTCCAACAAGGTAGAGGTCTCGCTGCACATGACTTCCCAACCAAAATTTTTGCAAAGAGAAGTAGCGCACCGAAGGCGAATCTGCATGGTCTACGCGAAGGAGCTCTCTGATGTTGTTCAGAAAGGTTGCCGCGCCGCGATTATACAGAGTACAGTAGGTCACATACCACGTTGCGGAAGAGCTCGTGGTAATCAAAATCCATAACGGAGTCAAGAAATGCGAGCCAAATCATACCCGTGAGAAATGTGTCGACCGAGTACAGGATTGGCGAATACTCACTGCTATTACGGGAACATGGCCCATTATTAGGCTGGACCGTAACGTAACATTCTGTTCGCAAGACCAGGACTTGTCCGAGAAGCCCACAATCGTAATGACGGCCGGGTGGGGGGAATGACTAACGAATACGACACTCGTCAGCATGCTTCGCGCGTATTCCCGTATAAAGGTGGGGAACTTTAAGTAGAACTGGCAGGATTGCGAACCATTCCCCGATTACTGTTGTAATTGAACGGCTAAACGTATATGCAAAGGTTCACATCCAATATTCAAGGCAACGAAGGAGGAACCTTAAGAACTTGATAGTGGCTGACAACCTGTTCCGCAGGACAGGCACAGGGTCAAACAGGTACTGCTACCAGACGTAGGGTCGGACGCCTCGTTTCAAGGCGCAATACAACAGCCATCCATCACCGCTGTCAATAGCAAGGTTAGTAAACGCCGTCAAGACTAACAGACAATCCTGAGAGAAGATATGCGTCTAGTAGCTTTTGCAAGCCCGGGCGTCGTGGGTGTAAACAATCAAGTTATGGAGTTGACATTCCACGTACCGCAATCAGTCAAGCTACAAGCCGTCAAGAGACCACTGTCGAGCTGACACAAGATCCGTTTCTGACACGACCATTCATGTGTCCAAGCGCAGATTCACAGCAGCAAAGTACCGAAAGACCGATGCAGGCAGCAAGAGACCGAAATCCGAGAGACGCTAGGACTTGGTTGGGGATATAAAAGTGGCCTCCATCAATCACATTCTTTTTCTTCTCTTCTCTCCTCCGCCCCAAGCCTAGCGTCACCGTTAGAGGGTCACATTCTGAAAAGAGGTTGTGGTACAAGGTGTAGTTTTGCTTTGAAATAGAGTATCGGCTAGTCGGTCCGGTGTCCCGCGCGAGTCGACTCCCCGCACTCTAACTTTGTGCCAGCCATAACGGTTGTCTTTCATCACCGTCATCTCTTCATTCCCCATTCATCTACCACTAATCAGCAAGAGACCGTTCATTGCTCTCAGTTTCTTTCTTCTTCTCTTTTCCATACCGTAGAGCAATCATGGCACCTGCCTTGAATCATCCGTCCGCCGTTGCCTTCCTCGACGAGCATCATCGGCCAGTTCATGGTGAACCTGCCGACTATTACGGCGGTAAGGAGCATTTCAGCCGCTCGAGAACGTACAGTGCCGTATGTACCTTTGTCTATGCGATAACTTTAGCTTATACCATTCGCTAGTCATTCTCGCATGGATACAATCCGAAACGTTTACCTGCCTTCGAAGACGAGTGGCATACTCGCGCCCGGCGTATGTCTCACGACGAGAAGAGCATGACGCACCCTCGTCGGTTTCTCATCGACGTTGAAGAGACTATTCGTGTCGTGCTGGAGCAGGAAGACACCGATGGTGACTTCCAGATTAGTGTTACCGACGCCGGTCCTAAGATTATGGTTCTCGGTACTGCTACCAGTAACGGTTTTAAGACGTTTGACATCAGGGTATGTTACTCATCCTCCCGGGAGAACTTCTGCTGATAAACGACTTGTAGGGCACATACATGCTTTCCAATCTTCTCCAGGAGCTTGCCCTAGCTCGCGACCACGGGAGAAAGCGTATTGTCTTGGACGAAGCCCGTCTGACAGAGAACCCCGTCGATCGCCTTTCTCGTATGATCAAAAACTCTTTCTGGCACTCGCTCACTCGTCGGATCGATGGCGACGGCCTAGAGATCATTTGCGCCGATCCGAAGAACCGTACTGGACGTATCAACCCTCGTATCTATGTTCCTCATGGTGAGCCTGCGATGGCAGAGTACTACAGGAAAGTCGCCAGAGATAAGCCACACCTCAATCTGGATGTGCAAGTCCTTCCTCCGAAGCCGGATGACCCGCACTTTGTCAAGAGCTTGAACAATAAGCCTGGCATACTTGCTCTTGCTATGAACGAGGTTGATGATGTACACGGTGGTAAGACCTTGAAGGGCATTCCGTTCATCGTTCCTGGCGCCCGTTTCAACGAGGTATGAGCGTCATTCCGTCGGTTCCCCCCAATATTGACATAGCCTCTAGCTCTACAACTGGGACTCGTATTTCATTTCGCTTGGCTTACTTGTCGACGGGCAAGTCAATATGGCCAAGGGCATGGTTGACCACTTTATCTTCGAGATACAGCACTACGGCAAGATCTTGAACGGCAGCCGAAGCTACTACCTGTGTCGAACCCAGCCTCCCTTCCTCACTGATATGGCTCTACAAATATACAATCAGCTCGACCGCTCAGATGTTGACTCCAATCGTGTGTGGTTGAAACGTGCTATCCAAGCGGCCATCAAGGAATATCACACCATCTGGGTTGCAGAACCTCGGATAGACCCTAAGACTGGGCTTTCGCGCTATCGTCCCGATGGTCTTGGTATTCCTCCAGAGACTGAAGCCACCCATTTCACCCACATCCTTGAACCCTATGCTGCCAAGCATGGCCTCTCCGTTCTTGAATTCAGCGAACGTTACAACGACGGAACCCTCAAGGAGCCAGCCCTCGACGAGTATTTCCTCCATGACAGGGCGGTCCGTGAGTCGGGACATGACACGACATACCGATTCGAAAAGCGCTGTGCGAACCTCGGCACTATTGACTTGCAAGCGCTGCTGTACAAGTACGAGGTAGACATCGGAACTGCTATTCGGGAGGTGTTTGATGATGAGCTTGACATGGAAGAGGAATTCAACCTCGCCCCTTTTCCACCTTCCCCTGAAACTTACGTCAATCCGTACCGGGAGAAGTCGACTTCACGTCCACAGAACAGCCAAGAATGGTTCAAACGTGCCGAGTTCCGTAAGAAAATGATCGACCAGTATTGCTGGAACGAGAGCAAAGGCTTGTATTTCGATTACGACACTGTGCAAGAGAAACAGATCTTGTATGAGAGTGTAACAGCATTTTGGGCGTTGTGGGCAGGGTGCGCGAGCGAGGAGCAGTGCTGGAAGTTGCTGTGAGTATCCTCACGTTGTTTTTATTACTGCGGGGGCATGCGGATCGCTAACGGTTGATGTCGGGTTGTGTTGTGAAGGTCACAATCGCTGAAGAAGTTTGAAGTTCTCGGTGGTCTTGTCTCTGGAACGGAAGAGTCGAGAGGAAAGATCTCCTTGGATCGACCTAACCGTCAATGGGACTATCCGTGAGCATTCGTCTTGTTCTATTTCTTTTGACACCTTGCTGAGTACTCTCCTCTTCAAGATATGCATGGTAAGCGCAGTTCAATCTATGAATCGCTTCTGGATCGGTTCTCACGCCTTGTCGATATAAATAGGCCACCTCATCAAATTATGGCGTGGGTGGGACTTGAAAGATATGGTTACCTCGAGGAAGCTCAACGACTTGCGTATCGATTCCTTTACATGTAAGCTGAGGTGGCTTCCCTCGAGGGATCTAACTGACCGCCTTTTTGCAGGATGACAACAGCTTTCGTTGACTTCAACGGTGTGGTTCCTGAGAAAGTAAGCGTACCTTTGAATCGCAAAGAGACTGTTTCCTGATGGCTCGATTCCTCTAGTTTGATGCCGTCAGGTTGTCCCATCTTGTAGACGCCGAATACGGTAATCAAGGCATCGACTTCAAGATGGTACCTCGTGAAGGTTTTGGTTGGATGAACGGTAAGTCAAACAGTTCCTACCTGCTACTAGCTACAATGTGATGTCATCTAACTAATTTTTTTTCTAGCTGCCTATCAAGTTGGTCTCACCTTCCTGTCGACGGGCATGCGGCGAGCGGTTGCAGCCTGCACAAGTCCTGAAGTCTACTTTGGTCCTGCATTAGTCAACCCACAACCTACAGCTGCTCAGCAATATATCGTTGGCACCATTACCGATCCTCTTGGTTTAGCTATGGATAACCTGCATCTCTCCTCGCCTATATCCCCGACGTATTGAATCCTTGATTCCAGGAGATGCTTCTGAACGCGTCATAACTCTCCTTGATCTTTTGTCCACGTATCATAAATTACGCGCATGCGTGTAGTTTCTCCCAGTCATGCCTATCACGCAATTCTTTCTTTTATTCTCTTCATCTTCACGGACATTCTCACTTTTCTTTTTGGACTGTCGACTGTCTGAAACTCTGCATGATCGTTCTCTGTCTCTCTGTCTTCTTCCTATTTTCTTTTCCCCAGTACGTAGAGTCATCGTGTAGAATCACCTTAAACGCAAGCTAGTTCCTGACCCCTTTGCTCGAACATCTGGCCAAACACCTAGCGCTCGCTAGCTCGACAACGTGCTGGGTGACTGTTGCGTTTGTAGCGCATAGAATAGGTTAGGATTGTGCGTGTCCTGGGTGTCTCTCCCAAATTTCGTAGACGCTTCGCACAGTGGCTGGACTCATCCTGCATCCCATAGTAGGTTCATTTAGGAATATCGAACTACCACTGGTACTTGCTACTATTGAAATAAACGATCGTGCGGGAAGAAAACGAGCCCAACGTCTGACCTCGTTGAGCTCTGAGACAAACGGATGAGGTACGTACAACGATAAGTGCATACTTATGCATGAAAGTTAACCGAGCGTGCGGGACCCCGTTCCGCTCCTCTCATCATTCATCCGACTTCAGTGGTGACTCACGTATAGTGACACTCGCCACTGATCGCTTCAACCAAATTCCAACACCTAGTGAGTCAAAAAATCTGTCAATGGCAGCAATTCAAGAGTATCAATCAATACAGCATCCTCTCATTAATATTCTTAGCTCACTCTCTGACTTTTGCTGGTCGCAATACTTTATTTGCACCCACGAAGATCCACAACGCGTCGCGATCACGTGTGTGTATTTCCACGACCCGTTTAGCGAGTTCAGAGGCGTAGGCGCTTAGCCACTCAACCACAACACTCAAGTTTCTCGCTTAGGTATCGCGATCCCTTTGTCTCGCAGTGTCTCAGTCGAACAATTCAACTTCCGAATAGACCAAAGTGCCGCAATGACCCTGTTCACAAAGTATAAACATCCGCTTGCATCAGGCTGGATTGGGTGCACCTACCTCACCATGACCGAAAGTTCACAACCGCGCACACCCAGTCCAGTCCCTGATGCTAAGTCTTTTCACAAAGATGGTGCAGAAGGTGATTGGAATCTCATTACCTCTCCCGTTAAACAAAACATTCTCATCCGTAATCGCAAAGATATCGAGAATTCTCACATGGCTCAGAAACCCGAAGACGTAGATGTGGCCACGTTCAAGAGGGAACATCTTACCGCTCGACCTGCAGGTCGAGGTTACGAGGTTCGCCATAGTCAATACAAAGGCGATGTCGAGAAGATCAGTGGCGCGAAGGTCGAGGCGGCAATATATGCACCTGTCTGTGCACTACTGAATAAGATCAGCAAACGAATTTATAGTGCGTTGACCATTCACCATCCCATATTTCAGTTCCTGACTTAGTATGGATAGATACTTACATTAAGGCCAAAATTGCATTGGATCACGCCGACCGTGTCTTATTTCTCGACCACCATACTGGCCCACCCAAAGCTCCCGGCCTTGATATCAAAGATAAGCCAGACATTGTAGGCGTATTTGATACCGAGGAATCCATGAAGAACTTTTTCAACGAGGAGACCAACTCATACACTGCCGTACCGTATCACAGCATTATCACCACGGTTGAGTGCAAACCTGAAGCTGAGGAAGGCGCTGGTCAAGCTGTGAGCTATACATGTCAACATGCTCGCGCACGTCTAGATATGCCTGGTACCTATGCACTCTTCGCCAACACTAAAGGTTACCGAATTCTCTGGTCCGATGCTTCCGAAGTCGTGAAGTCACCATTCGTGGGGTGGGATAAATTAGCTTTGCTGGAAGGTTACATCAGATCGCTCTATATTCCTCCGAAGCATCACCATCTCTGGGATCCGACCATCTCGTCTCCTGTGGTTCTGCCGGATGCTAAGGGTTCAGGATCGAAGGCACACTGGACGATCACCTACAATGGGAAGACGTATAGCGACTGCAACCCCTTCTTCTTGCCACTCGCGTGGGGTCGGCGGACGACGGTCTTCATGTATGAAGGCGGCGACGATGATTTTGCTGTCATCAAGGATGCCTATCGAGATGATGCTCGGCGATTCGAGGAGGCCACACTGATCAAAGACATTCATGCCGAAGGGATATTCCCTGGCATGGTCAGACTACTGGACTCGGGGAGCGTTAATGGCAAAGATGGATCGACGATTGTGACTGCTCGACCAGCAGATCGGGACAAGAAGCTGGTGCACCGCACGAAGAAGAGACTTGTTATGGGCAGTCGAGGCTCTCAATTCCACCTGGCAAAGACTGTGAAGGACGTACTGAAGGCGACTTATGACGTGATAGAAGGTATATTTGGTTTCGTCGCTATTCATGTTTGTTCAAGTGTGACTGAATCTTTTCGCCAGTTCATCGTGCATTGCTCAAACGCCGCCGGTTTCTTCATCGAGATCTTAGCATGCCTAATGTTCTGATGTATCCTGAGCATTCGAAGAAGACGACGGAAGGCAAGCAATTCATTTCCGACCCGCCGAAGTTCATCGACGAGATTCTGGGTGAATCAAAGTGAGTTTGTTCTATCTGGAGTCGTTTCGAGTCTGAACATCTCTTTTAGCAACAATGATGATAAGTGCCGTGCACTCCTGATCGATGCTGATAACAGCGCGTCGTTGAAGTCTGAGCTGATGGCCGATCCGGCCTTGGCTAATGCATTGCGCGAGGAGCTCACCATGCGAACTGTACGTTTATCCTTTGCGCGCTTTGTTATATGCTAATGATCGACTAGGGCACGCCGCGCTATATCGCTCGCGCTGTAGCATCTGGAACAGTCGTTAACACCAAATGGTCCAGGACCTTTTCGTCAATGCCGAGTCTTGAAGGCAGAGCGAAAGAGATCTATCAACGCGTCTATGGCCAGGAGGCCTATGACATATACGAAGATTCTGCAGGCACGTTTCATGGGGGAAGAACATCATCACGAAAAGCCACGGACGTAACATTCATCCACCGTCCCGACCACGACGTTGAGTCTATATTCTGGCTTCTCGTCGCAGTCTTTCTCCTTGCAAAACCGTTGGGAGAGCCAGACTATTCTACAGCGAACCTTTATGATGCTTGGGGAGCGATGCAACGCCATACCATAGCTGCACCAGGTCATAGTGATACTAGAGAGATTTTGCTCTCTCAGTACAATGTCGAGAGTTGGCAAGCGGCATTACATCCGGGCCTTTCCTCTCTAGCGCCTTTACTGGACAGTCTTGCCACACAAGTTCAGCCCGAGTATGCCATGATGGATCCTGCTCCACCAGAGGATCATCTCCATGAAGTGTTTCGTAGGCTTATCCTCGAGCACATCGTCAGGATGGGCGATACCGATATCGATCTTGAAATTGGTATCACACGTGAAGCAGAACCTCCCACACACGGAAAACGGAAGGCGGATGAGGATCCAGATAAAGACAGCCGGAAAGACAGCAAACGGTCGAAGGGCAATCAGTCAACTCGACACCACAATTCGTATTACCTTTCGAAATGACACCTCGCCGATTCCAATGCCTTCCACACTCTCCAACCACCTAGTTGTCTCTATTCTTTGTCGAACCTTCCGGTATCACAGCTTACCATGTAGCCAGTTTTCCTAGACTCGTGGTGTTCTACTTTTATCTATAAATGAACATTATTCCTTCGCGTGCGAAATGCACACTAATCATGTTGTTACAACTTACCTGGCAGTTGTTGACTGGATTATCTAACATGTTAGTTTATTGTTCACTTTTTATCGTGAGATGGCCGACCGCAACACGTTAAAGATTCATATGTTATATGACTAGTATACTTTGCAAGACCTGTTCGCTGCTTAGCCGTAGCTTAGTGACATGAGACCGGCGAGCGCTTGACGGATGAATGTTTTCGGGGTGTTAACGCTCTTCAAGCTTCAATACCAATAGCCCCTCCGGGCAGACCTGGACACGCCTTGGCCTCTGCCTTACAGTCCCGAATGCCTGAATGCCTGAAAGTACTCAACAAAAGTGCCTCTTCAGACTTGCACCCACTATACAAGGTATGCAGGTCCCACACTTACATATGTGTTCCCATGGCTTTATTCCCCAGCCCCTCTACCCTTTACCGTAAACTAGTATTACCTACATGCAGACTACCTTGATAAGTAGCAGAACACTGTGTACATCAGGTTCTCACATAAATTTGCTGAGAATATACCATTTGAGCCTACGCTCAACAACCGGCACATCACAACCGAACCAATCTACTTGTCTTAAATAATAATGGCCACACACGATTCTTCAAATGAAAATTGTAACTGGATGACCGGGAAGACTGAATATAATCACCTAAAGTGGGAGAACGAGACACTGTCACGCAGAAAACAAATGTAAATGTACTGTAAACCCCGCGCCTTATCTTCGAATACTCAGTATTACTCATACATACTTTGCCTCCAAAACCTCCAACAAACACCGCAACCTCTGCCTCCAATCCCCGGGAACCTCCGCCTCACCTCGCTTGCAAGCACGGAAAACGCCGAAAGTTGTGGGTAATACCGAGAACATTAGCCGAGAATTAGACCCCCAGGAGACCTGTACCCTCTCGTGTCCAGGAATGACTTATGCTCTCGAGTCTCATCTGTTGTTCCTCAACGCATTCATTTTTTGCTTGTGATCACGATTTTTGGGGATGACTTCGTATCTACGCACCTGGATTTCGTCGGTCCCCTCGTTAAGCTTAGCATCTTCGCTACCTGGGGCACAGCCTGCGCCGAACGTCATTGAAGTGCCTCCACCAGAAGAGCATGACGGGGATCATGCAGCTAGTTTGCGGGGGGATGATGAAGATGTCCATGTTGATGATTTTCCACCCACTTTTCCAAGTCTGAACAGTGCTCAGCGTGCAGGCTCGAGCAAAGAGACTACCAGACCTGCGATTCCGCGGATCTTGACTGATTCAGAGCTCATGCCTCCTCCGCCGTTACCTGGACTTGCAAGTCGACGACCAGGAACTTCCTCGGTGTCGTCTGCGTCTTCATCGTCTCTTCTTTTCCCCTCCGGTACTTCATCTCTAGCAGTTCCTCCGAGTACACTGAAACCTCCGAATAAGAAGGCGACGAAGAAGGTAGCCTTAGCACCCGGACATGGACCCCTTGATTGGGCGACTCTTTGGGCGAATCTGAAAAAGTCTGGGAAGGATCTTAGGGTGAGCGAAGTTCTTATAATGCACTATGTGTAGCTCGTTTATCATCCGTTCGTGATAGGGTGTTGACGCTTTGTCCCGAATGTCTGTTCTCAAGCAGCATAATAAGCGGGATGACGCGTGGTCCGCTTTCAACGGCAAAGTCTACAATATTACTCCATACTTGCCCTATCACGCTGGCGGCGAGAAAGAGCTAATGCGAGTGGCGAGTAGGGACGGATCGAAGCTCTTTGGTATGCCGTTATCATTGCAAGTTGCCGGTGTTTTCGCTGACTGCGTTTCTATCATAGCTTTAACTCATGGCTGGGTTAACATAGACTACATACTTGACGAGTGTCTAGTTGGTTTCCTGGTCCCGGATTCTTGACGAGACTACCAGAGCTGCTGCCTCTTTATGAAGTCCACTTCATTCCTCCAGGATGTCATGATACCCATCCTGTAGAACAGAGCCTATCTATACACCATGTTGTTTTTGTGCTACTTATACTAGAATACACTAGACCATTTCTATGTTAGACACAAGGTCCTTTCTTGGAGGACAGTGAGCGACAGAAGCAATCACCAGAGAGCATTTTCCGGCTGGGTTATGTTCGCACCCACAAAGGTCCACAACGCGTCGCGATCACGTGTGCGTATTTGCACGACGCATTTGGCGAGTTCAGAGGCGAGGCGGTTGACCACTGGCCACAACTACACTCAATTTTCTTGCTTATTGCGAACCTTTTGTCTCCCTAGTCGAACAGTTCAACTTCAGACTGGACCACAGTGCCGTAACGACCCTGTTCACAAAGTATAAACATCCGCTTGCATCAGGCTGGATTGGGTGCACCTATCTCACCATGACCGAAAGTCCACAACCCTGCACACACAGTCCAGTCCCTGATGCTAAATCTTTGCATAAACATGGTGCAGAAAGTGATTGGAATATCACACCCTCTCCCGTAAAACAAAACATTCCCATCTCTACCCGCGAAGATATCGAAAACTCTCACATGGCTCAGAAACCCGAAGACGTAGATGTGGCCACGTTCATGAAGGAACATCTTACCGCTCGCCCTGCAGGTAAAGGTTACGTAGTTCCCCGCAAACCCAATGTCGAGAAGATCATCAACGCGAAGGGCGAGGCGAAAATATATGCACCTGTTTGTGCATTGCTGAACAAGATCAGCAAACAAATCTATGGTACGTCGACCGTTCACCATCTCGTATTTTCATTTCTGACTCAGTTCGGTTAGATACTTACATCGAGGCTGGGATTGCATTGCATCATGCCGACCGTGTCTTATTTCTCGACCACCATACTGGCCCACCCGAAGCTCCTGGTTTTCATATCAAAGATAAGCCAGATATTGTAGGCGTGTTTGGCACCAAGAAATCCATGAAACATTTTTTCAACAAGAAAACCAAATCATACACGGGCGTACCATATCACCGAATCATCACCACGGGTGAGTGTGAACCGGAAGCTGAGGAAGGCGCTGGTCAGGCTGTAAGCTATACATGTCAACATGCTCGCGCACGTCTGGATATGCCTGGTACCTATGCACTCTTCGCCAACACTAGAGGTTACCGAATACTCTGGTCCGATGCTTCCGAAGTTGTGAAGTCACCATTCGTGGACTGGACTGAGCTGGGTTTACTGGAAGGTTATATCCGATCTCTTCACTCTCCTCCGAAGAATCACCACCTCTGGGACCCAACCATTTCATCTCCTGTGGTTCTGCGGGATGCTATGGGCTCAGGATCGAAGGCGCACTGGACGATCACTTACACTGGGAAGACGTACAACGACTGCAACCCATTCTTCTTGCCGCTCAGTTGGGGTCGGCGGACTACGGTGTTCATGTATGAAGGCGGCGATGATGATTTTGCTGTTATCAAGGATGCCTATCGAGACGACGCTCAACGATTCGAGGAGGCCACATTGATTAACGACATTCATGCCGAAGGGATATTCCCTGGCATGGTCAGACTACTGGACTCGGGGAACGTTAATGGCAAAGATGGTTCGGTAATTGTGACTGCTGTACCAGCAGATCGGGACAAGAATGTGGTACACCGAACAAAGAAGAGACTTGTTATGGGCAGTCGAGGCTCTCAATTCCACCTGGCAAAGACTGTGAAGGACGTACTGAAAGCGACTTATGACGTGATAGAAGGTATATTTGGTTTCGTCGCTATTCATGTTTGTTCAAGTGTGACTGAATCTTTTCGCCAGTTCATCGTGCATTGCTCAAACGCCGCCGGTTTCTTCATCGAGATCTTAGCATGCCTAATGTCCTGATGTATCCTGAGCATTCGAAGAAGACGACGGAAGGCAAGCAATTCATTTCCGACCCGCCGAAGTTCATCGACGAGATTCTGGGTGACTCGAAGTAAGTTTCTGCCATCTATAGTGTTCGGGTCTGAACATCTCTTTTAGCAACAATGACGATAAGTGCCGTGCACTCCTGATCGATGCTGATAACAGTGCGTCGTTGAAGTCTGAGCTGATGGCCGATCCGGCCTTGGCTAATGCATTGCGCGAGGAGCTCACCATGCGAACTGTACGTTTATCCTTTGCGCGCTTTGTTATATGCTAATGATCGACTAGGGCACGCCGCGCTATATCGCTCGCGCTGTAGCATCTGGAACAGTCGTTAACACCAAATGGTCAAGGATCTTTGCGCCAATGCCGAGCCTTGAAGACAGAACGAAAGAGATCTATCAACGTGTCTATGGCCAGGAGGCCTATGACAGATACGAAGACACTGCAGACACTTTTCATAGCGGAAGAGCATCATCGCGGAAAGCCAAGGATGTAGCATTCGTCCATCGCCCCGACCATGATGTTGAGTCGCTATTCTGGCTTCTCGTCGCAGTGTTTCTCCTGGCAAAACCATTGGGTGAACCTGACAAGCCCACCCAACGGTTCTACTCCGCCTGGAAGCACATCGAACGTCATATGGTCGCTGGAGCTGGTTGTGATGACACTCGAGAGCCTTTTCTCTCTTACAGTGTTGCACATTGGGAGGCGGCATTGCATCCGGGCCTCTCCTCTCTCGCGCCTTTACTGGAGAATCTTGCCACACAGGTTCAGCCCGAGTATGCCCTGATGGATCCTGCTCCACCGGAGGATCATCTCCACGAAGCCTTTCGTAGGCTTATCCTCGAGCATATCGTTGGGATGGGCGATGCGGATATCGATCTTGAAGCCGGTATCACACGTGAGACAGCATTCCCCACGGATGGGAAGCGGAAGGCAGACAAAGATCCAGACCAAGGTAACCGTCAAAACAGCAAACGTTCGAAGAGCCATTGGTCAGCTCAGCATCACAATCCGTATTACCTTTCGAAATGACATATCTCGCCAATTCTTAACTCTCTAGCCACTCAGTTATCTCCGTCATTCGCCGAACCTTTCATCATCGTAGTTTACGACGCAGTCACTCTTCCTAGACAAGTTAGGCTGATTCACTTTATATTTATAATAAATGTAGATTATTCTTCCCGGTGTAAACTGTGCACGTAATTGTAGATTCCCTTGCAGCTTTCGGTTGGATCGTCCAACAGTGCATCATTCATTATTTTCATTGTCAGCACAATTTGAGATGTTTGATTTGGGATTAGCCGACGTATCGTAGCCTCGGGCCTTTAGCGCCGCGCAGTTCCTCATATAACCTGTATGAACTTGTCCATCCACAACTTAGCATTGCAGAGATCACTCTTTTGCAGTTACCTGGACCGGAAATTTGCAATCATACAATCACGGTGACTGGCGAATAAGTGCAACAAATAAGCAGCGCCTATGTGTATCTTTCGCATAGAACAAGTCACATTTGGCACACTATAACTCAGGAGGCTTTCTGCCAGCCATGCATGCCTTTCTCCCCTCTCAGTTGCTCCAACAGTTCAAAGATGACCCCGTATTATCGACCTACCCTTCCCACATCTATACAGACACTTTCGAAAAATTTCGGTTCAAGACGGTCTCTGTGAAGAACCACGTCTTCATACATGACGAGGTTTCTTTACGCATCAAGATCCCGCATTCACCCGTAATGTCACTTGAAAAAGACGATCAACGAACTTACCTTCATATGGCCGCCCTCCTCGGAGATGTCCCTCTTGCGTACGAAATGATCAGGATGGGTCTAGATCTGGACCTGCGAGACAAATGGGGCATGACGCCTCTCTTCCTCGCGTGTACAGTGCTACGAGAGATGGACGTCGTCAAGAAGACATACTTCCCGATCATGTTCGCTACGGCAAGTGACGTCAACCATTCTGATATTCTTCCCGAATGGTTCAATGAGCAGAGTGCCGCTAGTTTGGAGGATCGCGTTATTCGTGTGGCCAAGCTTTTGGTTGGGCAACATGCAGATGTCAATACCGAAGTTGGGAACCAGACACCCCTGATATCTCTGGTACGAGCATCCTGTTGGCCTTTGGTAGAGCTTTTGCTTGAACACGGAGTCCGGGCGCCCTCTTCACTGACTGCCCTTTCTGACGTCTTCCACTTCGAAGCCGACAAGGAGAAGTTCAAGTCTCTCGTTGATACAATTAAGCCCGGCTCCTCCCGTCCCTCTCAACCATGTCCGTGTTGGTCGGGCAAGAAACTCTCTGATTGTCACGGAGTCGGCAAGCACCTTTACCCCGCAGCATTTCCCTGTCGTTGTGGACAGCGAAAGGCCTATGGCTCGTGTTGCGCCAAGAAGCAATTTGACATATTCGAGGCATGGGATCCCAAGCGTCGATCGATTCAGAATATCGCTCAGAAGAGACTAGCGATTCCTATGGGTATAACTGATGAAATGTTCCTGGAGGGGAACCGATACATGAGGGAACTTCAAGCTCTTGGTCCTGATATGGTACAACGAAAGTGGAATCGGCCTCGGATTCTTTCGCAAATGCTTGCTTTCGAACCTGACATGGACCGTGCATTCTTGTATACTACTGTGCACGGGACGTTCCATCCTCGGTAAATATCCCTTGATCCGATGTATCATTTTCCTCGTATCTGACGTCGCTTTTATAGGCCTTGGGACGGTCAGTTGAGCAAGGCGGAGAGTAAAACCTGTATGGAGAAATGGAATGCTTTGGTCGACACCTACATTGCCTCAGGTGTTGATAGTCGGTCGCGATTTGACATTGAGCTGGCTGCCAAGATTTCTATGAGTGGTGGTCCGCTCTACAAGCATTGTGATGCTACAAATTGTAGGCATGTAGAAAAGCGAGATGTCCCTGCTATGAAGACCTGCGGTCGATGCCAAAAGGTGATCTTTACCTATGGTTTATTCATTGCGCTAGCTAATGGCGCTATCATACAGGCATTCTACTGCAGCCAGGATTGTCAGAAATCTGACTGGGCAATCCATAAACGTCAGTGCGGAAATATTTTGCAACAGGAGCAACGACTTATGTCCCAGATTGCGGTGGAAAATGCGATGAATCGAGCGATCCCCGCGACATTCAGGTCTACATCCACAACAGAGTTCTCGCCATATCAGTTGACTATCTTGGATTGTGAGCCTTGAGTTGAACTCCTTGTCTCGCTTGTTTATTTATTTTTGGCCCAGGGGTATCTCAATGGCAGAATGATGGTCCTAGTCCCTGGTCGTACACATCTCCTACAATAATGTGAAATTCTGACCCTCAATATTTATCAATAGCGCACCAAATGTCTTTAGTTCTCTTCTGTATGACATACTACGGCATTTGTATGTGCTATAGCCCTCTTGATTTTACATATATTACAATTCCGTCGTCAATTGCACTATTAAGGTATCATTTATATTATTTGCAGTGCACTCTGTGATTCGCTGTGCTCATCCTGAACTCCATGCCGTATTATCTGGTTTTACCCTGCCAACGTCTTTTCAACGAGCTTCTAGGTAGGATTAGAATGACTTAGCATGGCCTATCGCAACATGTCGGAGGACAGTGTCACAGCATACGATCGTCGACCACTCCGTTCGCCCTACTCTAGTTCTCGTGTGTCTAACTCATACGAACCCTTTGAAAATAATGAAGAGAACGCCTACCAGCAGAGTTATGACCGCGGCAGGGTCTCGCGGTCTCCTTCGTATTCACCTCATGGCAGACACAGCCGGCGAACTTCTTCTGCCCACGCATGGATGTACTCTTCCACGCGCTATTCTCCTCACACAATTCCAGGTCAGTCACTCTTGAATCGGATTGCTCCGTCTGAAAGCTCGCTGTTGGCATGCATAAGTGGAGGGATGTTGACACCTGACGTGGAGGACAGACGGGAGAGTCCAAAAGAAGGAGAGGTTGAGTTAGGGTCGGTGGAAATGGACGAGGCCAAAGCGTTTGCGGATAACCTAATTCGAGCATCTGAACAAGATATGTTGGAAAGGAGGGTCCAGCGGGAGAAAAACGACCCAGCAGTTCCAGAGTCCTCGAATGATACTCAGGTATGTTAGCTGCCGTTTTCGCCTCCGAACATACAAGGCTAAGGTTTTTCCGCAAACAGCTTGGTGTGAAGATGGATACATGTGCGGATGGATATGCATCCCCCATGACTATCTTACCTACGTTACAAAAAGAAGATTCACAACAGTCCACATCCGCATCACCGTCTGCTGCTGCAGCACCAAGACCGTTGTTGAGCATTCTTGAGGAAGCCAAACATCTCATGGCACCTATCATCCTACAAAATGCTCGAAGGCGCGATTCCAAGGCAGACGAGGGTCTCATCAGACGCAAGGTGGAAGCTTTGCTTACCGAAGAGCACTGTCTGGAATTTGTACGTCTCGCCAAGGAAGCCCAAGCACAAATGACCACCAGGGAGGTCACTCCTGCCCCAGAATTGCTCAACGGCAGAACGAGCGTGAAGCGCTCGCGTGATTCCTTAACGACGACAGATGAAAGTCCTATGAGGCCATTAAAGGCCTCTCGCAGCATGTCGCCTTCGTCCTTGACTACCACTTCGCCTTCCAAGCACTCTCGTCGGCTCTGCGACGATTTGCCCATTGCACCACAGAGACGTTTTGATGATCTCCCAGCTTCAACCCCTAAAATGCCGCGGGCGATGTTGAAGTCGCTGTCTCCAGCGAAAGTCCCCGCTCAGCGAGATGCGAGGACTGACGATCTTCATGTCCCCTCCTTGACAGGAATACATACTCCACCAAAATCTGCTGTCAAAGTAATGGAGATCGATTCTACTTCATCTAATACAGACAACTCCCCGCCGAGCGATTTCCCCCAGGAACCGAGACCGGCAGTTGAGCCTCCAAGCATACGCGAAGAATCGGACTTAGAAGCTAAACTAGACACTGAACCTACGGAATTGACCCCCCAGATAAGTCCCGACCTTCACCCACCATCGCAAGTTCTTGACGTGCAGGAATTGAGGGATTTTACCCTTCCTGTCGTTGAGGCACCCCAGGAGGGTGCTGTCGATGACCACGCATCTGATGAAATCGAAACTGGGAAAGTGCTCGGAGACGACCAGCAACGTACCCCCGAAATCGACGCTCGGAGTCCGACCGACTTTACATCCTCAGTCAATGCTCCGATATCAATGAACGTAGACCGTTATCAGTCGAATCGCGAACGGTTCAACGATACGGAAGCAAAACCAAATGAAGATCACGCCGTCTTAACTTCGAGGGAGGGGAGTTCAGGTAGTGCTGAAGATTCTGTCCAGGATACTCAGGGAGAGGCACCCACGCACATTCAGACCGACTCCGTTGATCAAGCTATTCTTCTAGAAAGATCCCAATTATCTAACGATCGGCAACTCTCGGAGAATGCTCAGAAGCTCAACGTCGATACCAGATGTTCACCATCCTCGGAGGGTCAGCGTGAATCGACGGAGGAGCATGAGTCCGAACTTGCAATTGTTCCCGGGACTGAACTAAATGTATCTGCCGTTATTGAGAACGCTGTGGACTCAGCTCAAGATATGCCTGTTCTACGCTCTACATCTGGAGATGATAACTCAGAAGATAGTGGGATGCCGGAATCCAACAACGCAGAACGCAAATCTGGTTCTCCGTCTCCAGATGCTGTTAATCGTCGTTCAGAGCCTTTAGGGCCACTTGCTGAACGTTCAACACTCTCCGAGCAACAAGCATCAGAGTCCCATGTAGTTTCGATGGACGATTCAGGAAGGACTCACCTCAAGTCTCCCCCTCGAATTCCTCAGGCTGGCGAGGACTCATCTTCCGACTTGACCAAATCTTCTGGATCTCTCATCTCTGCCCAACATGCGGAAATTCTGGACCATAACATGTTATTGTCAACTGCTCCGGACATTTCCTTGCCCATTGTGCAGACGGGACGCGATACCATTGCAGAACCTACTCACCAATCTCATGATGAGCCGGGCGTTGACGCTGAAACCGACATGCAGAATAGATCAGTGGTACAAATGGTATGTTTCTTATTGTTTTGGTCTTCTAGCAGAACTTTTCGACTTCATAATGACCTTATAGCATCAACCCGTTGGTCTGTTGACAGACGAAGCACGGGTTTCTCGTACCGCTGGCCACATATCCCCCTCGCTCGAATCACAAGCGGAATCTCAGGCTATGCACATTGATACGGACCGTACTTCATTGACACAGCCGAGGTCTGACTTTGCTCCTGTTCTGCCGCCTCGTTGTTCTGTTCCCGGACTTTGGTTCGTGATTCCCGGCAAGTCGAGTGCAGACATCCTTTCTTTCAGCTTTCCTGTTGAGGATCACGTCGCTACTGCTGCGAACCGATGGGCCAATCGTCACATGTCATTCGAGTGCGTTCAACTTCGTACGTTGTGTACTGATCCTGTACTGACGCCGAGTAGTGCGTCTTCACCTCATGTTAAAGCTCAGGTATCGTGTTTGTCATTGTCAAAGGTCACGGAGATGCAGCATCTTTTGGACCCTGTCACGCCTTTACAGGACGTGCTGGAGGGACTGTGGAAGATACATGCGGAATGGCCACAGCCTGGTCATCTCATTATCGAGCTTAATTCTGAATCGGGGGATCAACGGATATGGCTACCGGCCGAATTCGTAAGTATCTACGGTATAGGCCTAGTTATGTCTCTCATTCATCCATTTACAGGGCGACGGTCCACTGGATGTTTCCGCTCATATCCGCCCTGGCCTGAATACTGCTCGCTTCATACAACTGTCTGATATGTCTGACAAGCTCTTTATCCTGACTGCGTCTGCTCCATCTGCGGAGGAGACGGAGCGATGTACTACACGTTCCAGGGATATCGCATTATGGAACAACTTCGTCGAGAGGACTATGGCTCAGACGTTAGCTTCAGGAATTAACGTTGTAGCAAGATCGATTGTTCTTGTATAGTGCTTCTTGGTTTTCTTCGTCCGATGGTCCTGCTGTGCGTGACCATAGCACCCCGCTGTCACTCTTTCTAACGTATATTCAGGAATACAACAATATATACAGCTAAACTGCACCTTTTGCAGTAAAGCAGACCCTGCAAGTGATCGAATTGTTTCGGTGTCAAGCTGGTCGAATCTGATGACGCTCAGAATACGGTACGGTGGCCGTAGGCTGTACCTCAGCGATAGGTGTCTCCAATTGCTCAGGCTCCTCCGTCAAATGTGACGCCATCCTTTGGGTGGGGTTTTCTACGCCGAAGATATAAAGTCGTTCGGGTGTGACATAATCATCAGCAAAACCGTCTGGAGGCGCTCACTCAAAACTTCCGTTACTTCCGAGGGATAGGCCAGTGTGCATTGCATATGCAATGGAAGTAGGTAGTACACAATGGAAGTGGAGTCGTGGATTCTCGATCCAAAGACCCTCTCCCTCATGGTCAGGGTTATGGGACAGGGTTGCAACACGAGGTCAATCTTCTGCAAGCCCAGATGAACGTGTCCAAGAACGCGGTGCTGTCCAAATGAACTCAAAGAGGTGGTTGACAGCCTCGCAAAATGAACCCCCTGAGGAGCCAAAGTCTCCGTTACTTGTATCATTATGGTACGCCAAGCACAAGCTTCAGTAGGGCATACGGACGTCAATGAGTACTCTAACATGGGTATCCTGCCATCTGGAATGTTTCGTCTCACCTGTAACTTTGTTCTAAATACTGTCCTGAATGAACATTTTCTCTGAGACCGCACGTAAGTCTAGAACATATGGCATCGTACGTAACACGTTAAAGAAAGCAGTCACTTCTGTAATGTAACTTGATCATATTGAGTACTATCAAGCATCCTACTATTCATAATATCATAGCAATCCCAAGGATGGAAATAAATATGCAATATTGGGGATATTGTGACCTAGGGCCCACTAAATACTCAGCTCGAAGTGCTCTTAGGGGCGGGGTTGTACATATTATCGTCATGTAAACTTATGTCCAACCACTTGCATACGTCCTTGAGAAGTTTACTTGTGTCGGTGTTGAGATAGGGAGATTTTGATGGTGGCTGCGTAGGTGGTGTACCATCACTGACGTTCGCCTTGGGAAACATTTTGCCGACGAAATACGAAAACTGGTCCTTTGTCTTTTCTCTAATGTAGCGATTCAATGTTGTGTCAGCCTTGACCGTAGCTTCTACGTGTACAGACTGATCTTCGGGCTTGGGATTTATCCACGGATCCAAAGCAATGAATACAACTTCAGAGACCAGCTCGACTTCAGAATTGGACATTGCATGTCCGCCAGGCATCGTCATGAAGTCAATGAATTGATTGAGGGCTGCCAGAGAAGCATCGTACACCATCATCTTCGCCGGGAAGTCTTCCTTGTTGTGATTTTTGTGGTCATTGACTGATTCCTCAATTGAACTGCCCTTTAAATCGAAATGAGAATGAGTGGTATTTTCGCCCCCAGCCCCTGAATTGTGATTGAGCAGCAAGAGACGGAGAACTCTGAATGCACCTGGTTTCCATTCAACTGGAGCCTTTTGTTGCTTATTGTTGGATGGATTGCTTCCGCTGATGTGGAGATCTTGGATAGTGCGGCAAGCGATGGCAGTCGATGCGCTTTGTGCTAGCAATGCAACGTCGAAGTCTGCATCGTGTTTGAGCTTGTTTAAACTTTGTAGAAGGCCATCGTCGCACATATCCAATCAAACAATGGTGCGAGGTTGGCATTCAGAGTCCTCCAATCTCTGGTTGTGGGTACTTTGACTGGCAGTCATACAGAGGAAAGATGCTGCGGACTCGACATATTCTTTCCGTGACCTATCCTTTGGCGAATGTGTGACGTAATCGAGGAGCTGCGCTATTACACCCGGTTGACATCCATCGCATCTGGAAGGACGACGGCTAACCTTTAACATCGTTTCGACGCGATTTAGATGGTAAAGATTAGGGTAGTCCGGATATGCAATGATGTCCCGAATGATATTGGCGAATCTGGAAGACTACTCCGGTGTGTCGAAGTACTTCATTAGCCATCTCATGGCATTGCGGAAGCGGCGTGCAGAGTACTTTGGTGGAGGACCTCTGCGTAGCGATGTCGAAATGGGCTGCGCGAATATGCGATCAATACGCCTGCATATTTGTTCTTTCCAGAATGCCCATTCCTGACTTGTTAGCAATTGGATCCACGGTTTGCCAGGGTACGATGGGAGCTAGTTGGAGCATATCGAGAGAAACACTACCAAGGACCATCGGATAACATATGTGAATGGGGTGGTGTATGGAACATTCCGAATGAATAGTAATATCACCGTGAAAAAGACATACAATATACCACATATTGTTACCCATGCCTCGACGGCATGCGCAACTGCCATGTTAATGTTCCTGAAGAAAAGAAGAAGTCCTGCGAGGAAGAGGAAGACCGATATGTGCATAAACGCAGATAGCACGAATCTGGCAAAGAACTCCAGGCATGACAGATCCAAACCCTCTCGCAGATAGGTCCGGATACTTGCTCGGTGTTGAGCACTCCCACCAGGTTCACCGGATACCAAATGTTTATATCGTCGGGTCCAATACTGGACAAGCATGACTGCAAGGGCACAGCCTAAACTGATGATCAGACTGCTGACCCATAATTTATTCAACAATATATCGTTTGGTTCCGGTTCAAAAGGAGGAGGGCGCTTGATCGCGGAGGATGTCTCCAGACCGCCGGACAAGTTCGCAAGTTGGAGAGAGAAAGATGCTGAAGGTATGCATTTGTGACGTCACCGGAGCCCTGCTTCAGCGAGCTATAGCTCTCGACGATGAAAGTAGTCACTATGGCTGAGAAGAGTCCAGCCTAGAAGTCCATCAGCAGGATTCAAGTCGGCGTACAGACCAAGTAACATGCAAAGGTGACCAGTGAATCCAAGTCTCGGATATGTACCCAACCCAGAACTCGTGATATTTGGCCTGGTCGTTATACAGTATAGCCAGTTGCTCGATAGGACTTTCATATTGGGCTGTGTCCCCTGGATGCCACGGTGTTAGGACATTCTGTTGACAGAAAATCATATGGCACTCACGCGACGGTTCGGACGTTTGAGTATCTTCAATGTCCGAAAAAGTCTCTTTACACGTCGATTTAGAGCCAACGAACAAGACTAGGTTGCACCGAGAAAGCATACCGTTCTCACTCAATAAATGCGAAGTGCTTGACGTGCCATATCTTCAGGGTCATACTGCTGCCGCATATCGAATGGAGGCTGTGTGCTAATGAATTTGGAGTTTAACCCACGTAGGGGCAGACGGCAGAGTGGTCAAGTTGAAGACAACACTATGCGGCTCCTAGTATATATTTATGTATATGAAGACACTCAACTAGATCAGATGACACTGGGGGTAGGCCAACTATACAAGGCTTTGAGAATAAAGTTGTGGAGCGAGTGAGCAGACGAGGCATTGATCGACTTCCTTGGACATGCGGAAAACTCGCCATGGACACACCAGTGACGAAGTCACAGCAGCATACGCAACCTCGTCCGTAAGCGGGTTCTAATGTTCATCCTTTGTTGTGCAGAGAAAGCGGATATGGAAACTTTGGGGTAAGCCGGAAAGATCGAACGCGACAACATGTCCCAAACGAGGTAGAGATTAAGAAGCTCATGCCAAACATGTCCAAATAGTCTCTATTTGATTCTTGCCGTCCTTGAATGGTGCTATTGGGAAGCGTCAGTTGTTGACTCGGAAACGTTGCAACCTCGCTGGAGCTTCAAGCTTCAAGCTTCAAGGGCCGATTCTGGATGGGACGGAGAAAGGAAAGGACCGGAATCCTTGCTTATTTATTCTATGGCGACATTGGGTTGCTAAAACGCACTGTAGTTTCAGTGGTATCCAGCTCATGCCTGAAGCAGAAGAATCTACAGATCCTTTCGCAACACGTATTGGAGAGCAAAAGCGGAGCATATAAGTTAAGTGCATATGCATGGGGTACGGGCGTGGTGCTGCTAGAGAAAGGCCTTACTCAAATGACGAAGCTGTCGTTACTCTTTCAAAGTGTGGAAAACGAGGACCCGGAGAGCGCCCGTTTACCTTTCATTCTGCTTTGTGATGCTTGGAATTCCTTCCAACGTTCCAACATATCGGCGCCTTGTCGAACACACTCCTCATTAAGGTGTTGCGAAATGCGATGAAGGTCCGTGACGGCCACCTCATTGAGCCATAGGGATGTAGTGGGTGTCACCGCGGGGGCATCCTTCTCTTCCATTGTACCAGAAGCCCGGGAGAGGAACATCCTCTTTAATATGGAAGCGAAGTGGCGCTGACTAGGTTCCGTTACGCAAGCCTTCATGTCAGCGTGATGTGGGACAGTATCCCAAGCTTTTGTGACAATAGAAATGACACTGGAGACCAGTTCAATTGCCAAAGGAATGGGAGGCTGCGGCAGAACGAATTGTAAGAAATCGACCAGAGCGATCAACAGCGATTCGTAGAGCAACATTTCCGCTGTAAGTGGTTGATCTCCGGATCCGATTTTGACTCGAATCTTTCGCCCATGGGAGGTAGGCACGGGTGGGTCGAAGACTACATATGGACTCTCGCCATCCTCGTCCGCATCGCGATACGAGGGAAGAAAATGAAGTATCACGAGGAATTCTCGAAGCTCCGATCTCAGCTCCGGCATTCGGTTTGGGTCCCCCAGAAGCGAGATGGTTGATTGGGAATCCCAAGCCGGAGGTGCGTCAATTGTAACGTCATTGCTGGTGATCCTAGTTGAGATGTCTTTAATCGTGCAACTGGCAATGGCCGTTGAGGCACAGTACGCGTACAGTGCAACCTCAAAACTCGTGTCCGCCTTCAACGCACTCAATCTCTCCAGTAGCACCTCGTCGCAAATATCCATCCAGACAGTTGTATGCTCAGTGTGCCTCGACAGCGTCAGACGCTGATCTGTGGTACTGTGGCGAGCGAGGCTGCATAAGAAGGCAGCGCCAGACTTGGCGTACTTCCCGCGTTTGCCATCTTCCGGGTAGTACACAACATAGTCCAGGACTTGGTCAATGATGTCGACGCCCTCGAAGTAAAGCATGTCACTACTCAAGGTCATAACTGTGTCAACCACTTGTGGGGAGATCTCTGGCACTATGAGGATATCATGAGCGACGTCTAGGAACCGAGATGCTTCCTTCGGGGCATCGAACTGCTGCATCAGCCATTTCATAGCCTTCCGCAAGCGTCGGTATGTGAACTCCGGGCGGGGTTCACCCCGAAGCCAGCTCCAGACGAAGTCCCAGTTAACCAACTCCACCATCCTCTTTGCAATATGTGTGTCCTTTTCCTGGATGGCGTCCTTCAGTCGACTGCCGACTTCCCATATGTAGACGGCAGCAATGAAGGGGAAGACCAACAACATACGGATGACAGGTGTGAGTGGCGTGACATACGGTGAGTTGTTGTTCACGAAAGGGGCGAGAGTGAATGCAAGATACAAGGCGCTCCAAATACACACGAGGGTTATGATCGTATGTTCGAGGCCTGGAGACGCTTCGAGACCTCGGATGAAAAGGATGAGCCCGGCAAAGAAGAGGAATAACGAGACGTGCATGAAAGCGGGGAGTACGACAGTGAGAGCTTCGAGACCGGACCGGCCAATACCATCTCGAAGGTATGCACGCAACATTGCCTTCCTTTGAGTACTGCCACCTTGCGCGCTCAAGACATGCCGTTTATACCGTTTTGTCCAGGACTGCGCTAAGAGCGCCCCAAGAGCACATGCAAGACTGATCACCAAACTGCTGATCCACAATTTATTGATTAGGATGTCTGTAGCGTCGGGCGTGAATGGAGCAGGTTGGATAGCGGAAGCACCCGATCCCGAAGCGATCTGCTGTGAAAGTTGCAGAAGATATGTGTTTGTAACCTCAGCGGGATCGGGCTGCAATGTTTTGTAGCTGTCGATGATGAATGCCGTCACGGCAGCAGAGAAGAGACCCGCCTGGAATAGATTCAGTAGGTGAATCTACTAGTTACATGTCATCTGTGAGACGTACAAATGTCACTAGCGCATCCAGATCGCTGGAGAGATAGTCAACTAGACTGGTGTCGTGTGTAACTGCTTCGCGATTGTAAATCGTGCCGAGCCTTTCTAATGGACTTTCGTAGCGATTAACTTCCTCTGTACGTTTGGCAGGTGGTGCAGTGATGTTCGATATCAAATCTGGACCGTAAACATAGATTAGAAAATGTGGTAAAGGATGGTGGAGATAAGGAAGATACCGGGAGACCGACGACCAGGCGGGCTGGGGTCGGCATTGATCAATACATCGATATCCTTCTCTGAACTGGGGCGTGCAACATCCTTTTCTGAGTTGGGACTCTCGACATCCTCAACTTTTGACTTCCCACCAAAGATGCTAGCCATTCGAGATGTAGCCGCCATGTATGAATGAGAGATGGGATGAAGGGGTCAAGGATCTACGAGTCCTCACCCTTCGTGATTGCGGCTGCATGCGTATTTAATGTCGAGTCTCGGCACATGGACCAGAACAATCGGCTTCAACGAGCGGCTGGCCGTTACTATTAGTGGGCCATTTGACACAATGAATGATTCCGTTTGTCGTGAAGAGATGATCCATTCCATGCATTGGGTGGCGCGCGTCTGTAAGAAGTGTGCGTGGCAACGATATTGAATGCTGTTGAGCGACTATTCTTCCCTTCCTCGAAAGCACATCTGATTTGTGCCTTGACAGCAAGCAGGGAATATGTCTCATTGGAGAAACCAGCGGTCGACAGTAACATTCTGTCGCAGTGTTCCAGAGGCACAGCTGATTGAATTTGAAAATAGTCGTAGTTTGTTGTCACGAGACAGGGAGGAGGGCGTCTGCAAGATCTAAGGACATGACGCCTAAAGTCAAATGTAGCCGCTGAGAAGAGACGAAGATAGTTTCATCCAGCCTGGGAATGGCAGGATCCGAAGCACTGGCAAGTAAGACTGTTGTGAAAGCAGAGATATGGCGTTAGTGTGGTACTTCAGTTTCAGCCTTAGCGATACGGAAACGATCTAGTGCAGTCCTGCCCTCCTGCGCAAAGTCCTGATCCAATGTGTCGAAGAGATTGTCGAGGAGATTTTCCATGTCACTCAGCCATCCAAAAATCTCCGACGCGGCCACTGTATCGTTTGTGTCATAAAAAGACTGTCGATTGAATATTTTCTGGAGGTTTGCGATGAACGACTGCTGTGTCTTTCTGTCCGCGCCGGGTGTCAAGAGAGAACCTATGGGAGCTGCAGAGACGCTGATTATGGGGGAAATGGAACCCGATAAGGAGTTTTGAGGATGCCCATGGTCCACACGCCTCTCATCAACTTCCGACTGATAATCTGAATCCCAAGCTTCTAATGCAACACGAAGAGTCTCGCGCAAGCGCGTATTCACCATTGTGTGGCGCGAAGCGATGTCCTCTAGGAATCGGTTCAAAGCTTCCAAAGAGCATTCGTAAAGTAGGCGTTTCCCTGTGAGCGGCATCTGCCCATTTTCAATTATAGCTTCAATTCGACGACCAGCCGTCGGGTTGGGGTTGCTGTACGTGATGTGGGCTTTGCTGATGCTGTCAAGGTCTTCTTTATTGGGCTGTGGGAACAACTGGAATATCACCGAGAATTCTGCGAGCTCTTCGACTAAGTTCACTGTAGCATCACTCTCTTGACGATCCATGCCTAGCGCTGCGATAACTTGCCAGAATGTCCAATCAGGTGGTGCGAAGACAGTAACGTCTTGGCTGCTGACCCGATGGAAGAGATCTTGGATCGTTCGGCATACCAGCATGATGCCAGTACTCCTTGCAGCTAGAGCGACAGCAGGATTGTGGTCCTTTCCAAGTTTGCCTAAAGCACCAAGCAGTCGTGATTGACACAGCTCCAACCAGACCGTGCTTCTTGGTCTAGTATCGGCGTGCTTAAGGCGCTCAACCCTGTTGCTGTGCATGGCCAAAACACACACTAATGATGTGCTGGATAGGACATATTGTTCTTTACGGGAAGTTTCCTCGAGATCGGCCGAGTAGTGAAGAAGGTGAGCAATATGGGATCCAATGCCGTGACCGAAGATGTGTGAGTGGTTGCTAAGACAAAAAATGGCATCGAAAGTCATCGTTTGCTGAGAGGCGTCGACGGTTGTTGCTAGATTAGCCAAGATGTCGAAGAGGCGGCAGAAGCCGTCATAGTGGACTATATGCTTCATGAGCCATCGTATGGCACGATATCTTCTCTCGGGTGTGAAGTGATTCTTGTCGAAGACATCGCCATCGATAAACTTTCGGTATCGGCCTAGCGTTGCGCTTATTCTAAGCCATTCGGTTTCCGTCATATTGGTGAATTTATCCATATGAAGCATGCGTGGGACGGCGTTTAAGGTTGATATCAGGATACGCATGATGGATACGCCGGCGAAGATGGGAAAAATGAGTATTAATCGAATGACGGGCGTCACCGGAGTGATGAAAGGCGCATTGTGAATCTTGAACACAATCAGCGTGAAGACCAAGTAGGCAGCCGCCCAAACCGCAACAAGCCCCGCTGTCACATGAGCAACTTGGGCGTTGATTGGCAGGAAAAATTCTATGAGGCCTGCGAAGAACAAGAACAACGCAACGTGCATGAATGCGGGGAGGCCAACTGTAAGAGGGCCAAGGCCGCATCGTGCAATGCCTTCACGAAGGAAAGCATGGACATGCGCCCTCGCATCGGCGCCGCCCTTTGCGCTTGTCACCAGGTCTGTATAACGTCTTGTCCATGATTGAACTAGCAGTGCACCAAGAGCACAAGCTAGACTGATAACCAAACTGCTAACCCAAAGCCTATTCACCAGTACAGCGGAATGACTGGGCGCAAACGGAGGTGGATCGAGAGGCGGGAGACTCGTTACTGAAGCGTTGGTCATTGCGGCAAGTTGAAGCGAAATACGTCTCAAATAAAGATTGGTGACATCGCCGGAGTCCTGATCCAACGCCTTGTAGCTCTCTATAATGAACGCGGTAACAGCGGCGGAGAACAGACCAGCCTACAAGCGACGCATTAGTAACGAACACGGGCTTAGGGGTTGAGAGCCATACAAATGTGACCAAAGCATTCATATCGCCGGCCAGGTATTCTACCAGAGATTTGTCATATGCAGCTGCTTCTTCATTGTACATCGACCACAACTTTTCGTTTGGAGAGGTGTATGCGTTTGAGTCCTCTGAAGAAGCCCCGCCTCAAAACTAAGGAATAGAAACAATTCATTTCGTTGGGAACGTACCGTGGGGGTCTCCAGAGGCATCTGTGCTGAAATGAGACCGATTTGGGCCAATTATAAAATCCTTGACATCCTCTGTAATGCAAAGTGCGTTTGTTAACATTACACTGTGAGATTGGCGAGATGCTCAGATCGCTCATCTGCTTTGGCTACCCAGTATTCCACTGAGGTTTTGCGAATTCCATTGACCTTAACCTCGTCTATACTATCAATCGTCAGTGCTCATATACTGGTCATGTAGCCACCACGTTACGCTTTACCCGACTGCCCGGATACGTGACCAGATTCAACGTTGGTAGCCTCCACATCATGTGGGGTACGATCTTGTTTCGGATACATTGCGCAGAAGTTGTGAGCACACGGATGAAAAGTGCTAAGTGCTATGCACTAGGTCTCCCCAGCCTATGGCGTTGTCACTATGGTCGCATCTACCACGGCCAAGGACAACACCGTAGCGCTAGAGGTGTCAGCTGGGCGACATCGTATCAAAGCATACGGAAATCAGCGGTTGTTTGGGTTTTCCAAGCCTGGATATAAGGTAGTGAGTATCATTCAAAATTTGTCAGGAATCTCACAAGCAGTCGTCGTGATTCATGAAAGATCGAGTCAACCACATTGTGGCAAAATTCGGCAAGTGCCTCGAAGGTTTTGCACAACAGTCATAAACACGGTAATTCTCTTATCTCGGCAATTGCCACCCAATCTCGGCAAAGTTGAAGAGAGGCTCGCAGACCATTGCATGCCACTCTCAGCGGCCCTAGCAATGCACAGAGGTCCTAGGGAATTACGTATTTGGGGTGCTTCGTAATTATTTTAAGTACTTAGGCATTTCCAGGAAGACAAAAGTCATGTCGCGTGACTAATATTAGACTAAAGATCATCATCATGACGGTGGGTTTTATAAATCCGGCCAATCCACGTCGCGCACCCCTCCGTGGTAATTCCTCGACAATGGCTTACAGACGAATGAAGTGACTGTAAGTTTCCCGGCCCTCACCGATCACCTGGGGTACGCTCGGAAGGGTCACTTCCACTGACCTCTCAATCAGCCTGCTTGAACACGTGCTCCTCACCACCGCTGATAGTGTGGACCGCTAGGAAGGACGTCTCGTCACGAGTGTCTCGCAATATTGGATGTTTCGAACAGTTAGTAGCAGCAGGGGGCGCAATTCAGACCAGCCCAGATCGAAATAACTGCAAGAAATCGAGGTCTCAAAGTGGTAGGAAGCTAAAAAAAAGTAGAGTTAGAGGGCAGGACACTCGTCACCAGTTTAGCTGGTAGCAAGCACATGCGAAGATCAGAGCTTGAGCTTATAGCCTTAGCCGATTGGTTTTTCAAATTCGACCATGAGCGCCATATCACACCATGAGAGCATTTGGGGCGGCCATAGAATATTGGGTAAAGGAAGAGCCAGCGATGTCTTCCTAAAAGGTATCACAGTAGACAGGGTTAAAGCAGACAAAGACATTCTACGTTTGCTAGTATGTGTAGATGATGCGAGATGAGCGTCGACCACCACTAGCGCTCCACAGCATGCCGCATACTGCATTGAGAGCGACAAGAAGGAGAATGACTGTAGCCGCAAGTGACATCCAAATCTGAGAAGTCGTACAGTGAGGATAGATGCCAAAGAATTTAATTGGGTGGTATAATGGCGTACCAGAGGCCCAAACGAGGCCTGAAATCCGTCACGATGGAAGCGGTCGAGCGCAATGGTCCAAGTTGCAATTGACACGGCGAATCCAGCCAACGAAGAGACAAACGCCAGAAAGGAGAGGACGGCAAAAAGCGTGAAGGGGTAAAGTTCCCGATATCGTGAGCATACAACTGGAATCAGATTTAATGAAGCTAGAAGGGCGAAGCCAGCAGCTACAGCATCAAACGGTTAATGAAGTCAAGCAATCAGGTCTAGGATATCCCCGAAACATACCTATAGGGAAAAGAACATGTAGCTTGATCAGGATAGGAACCAATTCAGGGTCTTCGTGATACCCGAACCTACACACAAGGTTGTAACAGAAAGTGTCACTTGCCATTGCAGTTGTGTGAGAAGCTACTGACTGTTTCGGTGAACATGAATCATCAACATCTAAACACCAACCCCAGATACCATATTTTATACCCCCAGCAACCGACGAGTGCAAAAAGTAAAATGAGGAAATAAACGGGACGGAAAACGTGACGAGTGTCCTGTGTAAGAGCATAAAATCAGGATAGAAGTAAATCGGACATGACTTCATAACACTCACAAGAGTACGAAAGCACTGCATATCAGAAAGAAAATCGGAAATGCCGGGTTGAGCATCGTGATAGAGGACACAGTTATAACCAATGCTACATCTATAAGTAGAGATAAAATAAGCCGTAGTATGAGCGTGCCCCAAGTCCGTTATGTAGAGCTAAGCTGATCCTCCACAAAGTCTGAATTGATGGGAAATCACAAGTGGGACACTCGTATCATCGGAAATTTAGTACGGACCTAGACAACAAAATGTCAGTACTCACACTATGATAGAGAACTCAGAGGACGTTCATATGCGTGGTCAACAGTCAACACGAATACACGGTAGGCGCAGTCTGATCGTTCGATCTGTTTGAACTGTGGTCTAACCAAACAACGCGTAAACAACGCGTCGATATCCAATACCAGAAAATCGACTCGCGACGTTTTCCTGTAAATCAAAGCATTAACACAGTGCCACAGCTTGATGTCAGCACGAGGAGACACACGATAGAAGGAAACCATTGACTGTTTGCCATATATTAGTACAACACTGGTGTGTAGGAAAGAAACGAGCTCGCCGTAAAGGTCATGATGAATGGTTAAGAGTAAGAGTAGGAGAGATCATGAAAGCGACGACAAAAGACGTTAGAGCATTACCCGCTACATCACCAAAACAGCGAAAACTACGAAAGTATATACAAGATCGAAGCAACGAACGCATATATGCCACCAAAAATGCCAGAAAGGAATGAGAAGAAAACAAATACGAGGCCGGCTACACTGAATGAAAACCGTCCAAGCGTCTTGGGCCAATACAACTGATCCAATAAATAAGCATTGAACTGATACGAGTGAGTGTTAGGGTTTAACGTGATCCAAAGTCGCGAGACAAAGGGACACGGGAAGGGAGTGAGGGATGATGCGGAGCGTATACGTGGAATCAGAAGGGGTCGGATAAATAACTGGGGGCCCTAAAGTGCGAGACAGTTGACGATCAGCTTGTGCTACATCTGGGGAATATGCGTTGGCGTCGTACATCTTGAGTAAAATTCTTCCGGGCTTTCATAGTGAGAGAAGACGAAACCAAGAATATCCGGGGGTAGCGATGCCATACTGATGGAGACTAACAGGAATCCGACGGCGAGGTCTCAGCTCTTGACCAAATCAATGCCTGCGCCTAAAGGTGAACTGTGACCTGCCATTCCATCCCGAGAGTTTCCAGGCACCGCAGAATGCTCTTCAAATAAACGTCTTCCTATCTCTGAGTTTCGTCCTGTCAGGCGTGATGCGGACCCTAATGCCACAGCAGGGGAGGGAGATACGTTCAAGAAATCATGATAACTGAAGCCTGGCGTTGGAGGAGCGGGCATCGAGAGTCTCTGGTCTGCGGAAGATGCAACTTGTGTCGAAGACGAAGGATCTATTTGCACGGTGTTAATTTCGGCACTCGTTGACGTAGGTGGAGGTGCCGGCATATGCTGGGGAGGCTGATCAGTCGGAGTAGGTGGCGTGATGGTAGGCATCTGAGGAATGTCCAAATGCATTGGTTCGTCATGCTGCTGACCTGGCGGTTTGCTAGGAGGGGAAGGGGAACGCATGATGCTGTCTTCGCTGGTTCCAGCGTGGTATCCCGCCTCGCTCGTAGGCTCAGTAGCTACCGTCAGGGTAGAACTAAAGCTCCCCGTGTAATCACGTCGGAGAGGTCTGGGACCAGGACCTTGTCGGTCATCTCCTCCGGAAAACAATACGCGTCCTTGCAACGCGTTGTTCCCGCTGAGACTACGGAAGGACCCCATATTCTTTGCCTCCTTGTCTCTAGCGGTCGAAAGCCGTGCAGGCGACGGAGAAGTCGCCAAAAATAACATCAGATCAGCGGCCTCGGTATCACTGGGTGCTTGAGGCGTCGAGGGCTCTCCGGGACGTCTTTGAGGACGACCCTGAGGTTTAGGTGTACTGTTCCCATGAAACCGCATATCGCTATCCCGAACGTGACTTTGCATCTGCGACATAGGAGGCGGGGTCGAGCGCCCATAGGGCATAGTGAATGAGTGCTCATTCGATGATAAACCCGATGCAGGGGCGGTGGTTGTCCTAGCCGAGCTCTGCGCATAATGGGGAAAGGAATGTAATGATCCTGGATCAGAGGTAGCAGATATACTCGACCGTGGCGATGAAGTCGCGGCTGACATTGATGGACGAGATCGCAGTAAGGATGTGAGCGCGGTAGCAGCTTTTATGTCCATCTCTTCATCTACCATTACGTTCTGAGAACTTGTGGAAGGAACACGATTAATCGCGCGGCCTCCGGATTCCTTGCGTTTACCCTTGTCATCCTTTCGAGTCTTGGGCTTTTGCTGGGCGTTTGCAGCAGCGCCCTTTCCCTTTGGAGTTTTCTTAGGTGGCGAAGCTGGCTTTGGTTTTGCAGGAGGGGGAACAGGGGGATCTTGAGGATTGTGAATAGTCCGCGCCCGTTTGGCAGGTGGCGGTGCGAGTATGGAGGCAAACAAGCTTTGGGTAGCGGATGCGGTAACAGGGGGAGGTGGCGCCATGGTACCCTTCCGAGGAGTAGTTCTGGATGTGGAAGCTGGAATCATGGCGCTGTTTCCCTGAGTAGCGGGGTTATTGTAGTAATTATTGTTCCTTCCGGATGGCGTACGATAAAGCGTTGGTTGATTCTCAGTCTTTGCTTCGAGGTCGTGAAGCGTGGTGTGTGCCAGATTATGCGTCGCTTTATAGGTGGCGTACGTTAGTCGCGTTCGTAGACCACGGGTAAGCTACAGAGCAGAAGCAATTAGTCACAGGTTCACCCCTTTCCGAAATGACGGGTAAAAAATAGGAAAACTGCTGAGAAAACGTAAAACAGACCAGACAGAGAACATCTTTGCCAATTAAAGCGCGACAAGGACGCAGGAAAGTATTTTGCAAGAGCGATCGTGCTGACGCGTGAGAAGCACTGAACTGGAGCGTACCTTCGATAGCTCAGCCCTCGCCAAGAACTTCTGTACTGCCCTTTCCCTATCCTCTCTGTCGCTTGTCTCTATGCCATTCGTTGCGACTGTCTGGGGCGGGATCGCCGCGCCAGACTGCATGTACCGCAGCTGCGGCGATGGAGTTGTTGTCGACGACGATGGGGTCGTCATGGTTAGTTCTTTCGCGTCTTCCGGAAAAAGAGTTATCCCCCAGCAAAATTCGAGGAGATGGTGGTGGTTGAAGGCAGGAAGGGAAGAGAAATGCGCGCCCCGATGTAAGCGACGTGTGCGGAGGGGAAGACGCGGCGGTGGGCGGGTGAGCGCGTCGCGCGTATTGTCTTACGTAAGATTTCCAGCCAGCGCTTTTTCTGTTCTTTGACACCGCGATTTGCTTCCGCGTTTTTCCGCTCTCCTCTATCGGTAGCAAAGCAAGGTTAAGATTAGAGGTATGTCTTTCTAACGCTATGTTCTTGTTATTCTAAGGTATAGTGAACAGCCACACTACATAGTACATCATATCGGCCCTGCAAGCCGAGTGGATTCTCTCGGGGGTATCGTGAGCAATACCAGCGATAGCAATGATACCATCAGTCCCGAATCACCACTGAGCTCTTCTATTTTCATCTGGGCTGCCTGCAACTCACCATTTACCCCTGGCCGATGCTCTGTACTATTCCGTCGAGTACTGCGTAGCCAGCTGCGACTGTGCCCTGCTCATTGTAGAACAGTTGGGTAGTGCGATTTCTCATCAGCAATCTTCCGTTCAGGAAATACACCTCTAGTCAGCCTTTATGGGAAAGACGCGAGGCAGGTCACGCGGTACACGACAACTCCTGAGGCCATCGGTGACGGAGTTGTTTGCTGACAATGCCAGACTCTGATCACGTTCTCTCCATATTCGCTGAGATCTGGAACCTCTGGCGTGATGCGTAGGTGGGTCATGTTCGAACCCAAAGTCCTTCTGGCCTATTCTGCTTACTGACATCATAAATAAGCACTCGGCTTTGCATTGCCGGGATCTGCAGATAATATGACCGCACTTCTAATCTGAGTACGGAACCTCTCATTGTACGTGGGTTCTTAACTATCTATGGATCACCTTCAGGACTGTAAAGATTTTGATCACAGCAGACGGCTTGTATGATCGCCTTGGTTGTTTCTCCCGGTCTGAATTTAGATGGGCAACGCAGTGAAGCACCTGCGTGTTGTTGACGCGTTGTTTGTCTCTTGTTGACCGATCGAATGATCGCATTGTTCATCCAACTCCGTAGCGACGCATATTGAGCTAGGGCAAAGTATTCGAGGTGTCCGGCGATACGCCCCCGTTTTCAACGCTCCGCTTTCGGCACTTTCATGGTTCTCAAGAGATTCGGCTTCACTAGGTTGTAACACACTACAATTCATGACCCAAAGAGGTTTTATTGTACTCTCGATGGAGTCCATGTAGGGCTTGACCCTGGAGCGACTACAAACAAAAACCCACAAGACGAGAATATCCTGATGCCGTTCACATCAGACAGAGTATCACCTTCCCCTTTCTATCTATCGGCCACTATGTTCTCACATTCGAACGCTACCTTCTCCTCCAAGACTTCCCTCTGCCTTCCCCGCGATCCGGCAAAAAGCCACTGCAGCTCCTTCCTCTGTCGTTCGTCTTCATAGCACTGCTCCATGAATGCGTCTAATTCATATTGCATCTGTCGAATATCCTCCTCATGCTTCCGTTTTACAGTCAGAAGTGAGCCGTAAAGCATTTGGCCGACCGCCGTATCCGCCAAATTCATGTGTTCATCAATTAACTCCCGCTGAATCTTCAACGGAGCAGGATTGTTACCCAAAAGATGCCGGATTATGTCTTGTGCAGAAGAAAGCGAGCTGTTGTGTTGCCAGACGTAGGCGCTGCTCTCTATTGGCAACAGGAACCTCTCGTCTTCACGTGAATCACGGATCGCGACCCTGTCCGTTTTGTCGTCGATCGACGCCCTCCGGTTGGTCACAATGGCGCAGTTGGAAAGGCCTTCCGTTCCGCACATTGCTTGGAATAGCTGGAAGTCACGACGCGCCCTTCCCCTCATTCTATCATCCGCGATGGAATGCATCCAAATCACACCTTGCAGCACATTACCCCTCTGATATCTCTCGTAACATTCAATAAGTGTCATGTGGAACCCTTAAAAAATCCAACTTACCGAGAAGATAAGTATTCTGCTATCATGTGAAGAACGTCTATGTCCGACCTTGCCGTGTCGTCGAATCCAGGGGTGTCTATAAGCTTCACAGGGCGCCCGTTGACTTCAAATATGCCAGATTCTTGCACTCCGTCTGTACTCGAATCCAAGCCATGACTGACCGCAAGCTTGGATCCACTGACAAGATTGATGAACTCAACTTGATTTTAGTACAATATCACTTAGAGGGACCTAGCGACTCACCGACGTCTTCCCGGATCCTGTTGCTCCCATAACACTGCAGGCAAGTGCAAAGGTTGAGCGTTATTCATAAAGGCGAAGCGATCCTGCTCACGCTATCAAACAACAGTCCTTTTCGCCATTGTTACACCTATCCTCCACATTAAGAGGGCAGGCGGTATTGAGTCTGGGCTCAAGCTCTTGGGTGGGGAGAACAGGAGGCATTTTGCGCAAAGTCGTGGAGAGGAAGATATGCAGGGCTACAATGGGCAAGGAGTACAAGTATTTGTGAATCTCTTGCTAGAACCTAATATGCATCGCCCCGGTGATTCGAATAACAGGACCTGTGTTCATCTTAGAAGCTCGAGTTCTAGCTGAATAGCAGCTGAACACAGCGTTTGACAGGAGCCTAACATCACTGCCATGGCTTCTATTAGCATACTTTAACCTACGGAGATTGGGTCATATAACTTCGTCCTACCCTCACGTCTACTCAATCAGGTCTCCCTTCGCCCCTCTCTAGCAATGACGAGTCGCTGCCACAGGGACATATTGTGCGTTTTGTCCATACTTGTGTCAGCGCAATGATCACATAACTTCTCAAATTCCTAGAGTTTTTGGAGGTTTAAAAGACGGCCATTCGAGCGTATGTTGTTTTTACATATACGCACTCGCCCTTATGCTCACTGTGTCTAAGATAATCGGCAGGATCAATGCGCCTATCCTTACGTCTATTCACGACGTAGACGGCATAAATGGGGAAGTATTCGAATTCGAACAAGGCATCGTGACGATGTTCGAAGTGTCGACCTTCATGGAGAACATCGAAGATCAACGAGGAGCCTTCGAACAGCTTTCTTCCTTCCTGGCGACGAGGTGAGTGCGGTCGGAAAATGCATGACAAAGAACTGAATCTTCACCTGCAAAAGATTTGCCGCAGGGCATGATTTTGCAGGGATAATATGGCAGCAGAATATCTCCCATACCCGAGTTAATGGCCCTGAAAGAGAACATATCGCATTACTGAGGTACCTGTGTGGCGATCATGCACTCAAGAACCTCGTCGTTGCTACAAGGACGTGTGAGGACATTCCCCAAGAGGTTGCCGATGCTCGAGAGGAAGAGTTGTCTCTCGGCGATCGCATTTGGAAGCCAGCATTAGAGCAGGGGGCTAGGCTTATGCGCGATTATGGTGCTACCAAGTCTGCACATGACATCGTCTCTGCACTGATGGAGCTGTCTCCGAATACGTTGCTCATTCAGAAACAGATGGTCGAAGTCGGTTTGACATTCCCGAATACGACTTTAGGGTTGGCACTCGATTCCAAAGTGAATGATGCTGCCGATCGTTATCACAAAGACCTTCATACCGTGAAGTACAGGATGGTGGACCGCATGGTGCCAAAGCTAACGAATGAGGAAATGCAGGAGCTCGCGAAGAGGTATGCTGAAACAATGGGCTCGGAAATTCGTGAGGACAGAGTTGGTGACGTTGAAGGCCCATTGAGGACGAACGACGGCAAGTTACATGCGATGGTGACCCACGAGAAACCGGAACAACTCGAAAGCATGTTTGATGTACGGTTCGGACGTTTGCAAACACAGCATGAAGAGTTGCGCGGGATTGTGACGGGACTGAAGGAAAGACTACAAGCCTTCGAGGCCGTTCGCGACAATAGGGCCGAACGAGAGCTCTTGAGAATCAAGTGGGAAGAGGAGAGGAAAGCGTTCAAAGCAAAGTTTCGAAAAATGGTTATGGACCACGATGCAGAGAGACAAAAGTGGACCCGGGAGCTTGACGGGAAAATCAGGGACCTGCAACGCCAAATGCAGGAATTGAGAGCCCAGAGTGGATCAGTTCATAACAGCCATAACCGACGGAGCCGTTGTTGATTGTAGATAATCCAGTAGCCACTGATCATAGTTACCCGCTATACACTGCTCAAATCCGTCTGTACGTCCTAAGTTGGACGTCTAAATTCCAGCATAAATCAGTAATGACATGTAATCGATTCAGAGCCGTTCCTCCAAACTCAGCTTGAATAAATACAAACAGGGGTCACTTACACCACAGTGCTGTCCCATAATGCCCTACTAACAGCAATATCGCTGCATCAACAACTATCACCAGCCTCACAACATCACCAATCCTAAGATTAGACAATATCATGATCTTCCTTGCGAGTAGGATTCCGAATGCAGCACCAGAAAGGCCGAAAGAACAGACGAAGAAAATGAAAGAAACTGTTACTCTTCGTCTGCCTTTTGGCCGTCGATGTCGCATTGAGGATTCTTTCTCGTTCCTGCTCCAGTCGATGCTGTGTCTCCAGCAATTCCTGCTTCGCCTCTTCGATCTCACGCTGCGTTTCCTCATCATGTTGTTCCATAACCTCTGCCATCTCCACCTCCAGCCTTTGAAGTTCCTCTTGATGTTTCTTCTCCAGTGCGGCAATCTCCCCTAATAGTGTGTTTCCTGCGCTTGTCTCAAAGACACGCTTCCCTTCGTCAACCAATTCACGTTGAATAGCTAGCGCAATGGGAGCCTTGTGAATCAGAGGTCGGATTATTTGATGAGTGGATTCAATAGTATTGTCGTGTCGAAAAAGAGTTGCACCACTATCAAGGATGGGCTTGAAGAAATTCTCCTTCGACTTGAGCTCTTCTTCCCTCTCCGCTCCGACTTGCGGGGATACCGAATCCCACATGCTTGTTACAACCGCACAATTCGTAAGAGCATCGTCTCCACACAACTGCCGAAAGAATCGGAGGTTGCGCATGGCGCTCCCAGCCATCCTGTTGTCTGAAATCCTATGCAGATATATCACTCCATGAAGTCTGCGACCATGGTGGTATCTATTGCAAATTAATTATCAACCGTTCTGACTATTCATTGAACGAATGTATGAGCTTACTCTGAGGAGAGGAAGTCGCAGACGATGTTGAGGATCTCAGCATCACTCTTGGAAGTGTCGTCAAATCCAGGCGTGTCGACCAAGGTGACTTCCATGTCATCGAGAATGAATGTCTTGGACATCTGGATAGCATCGGTGCACGACTCCAAACCAACACCGACACGAAGGTCTGAGTTGCTAGCTAGGTTGATGAACTATGTTTGCCGCAACTAAGTTAATTATCGCGCATTGAACGATGCCATACGGACTGTTGTCTTTCCGGCGCCCGTGCACCCCATGACTCTACCCAAGACAGACAAGTATCAGTATATCTTCACGTCATACGAAAGAAACATAACATACGCCACATGTGCAGGAAGACTTTTCGCTACGTCCTTGCTTGTTCCAAACATAGTTGTTGACGGTCGAATGATAGAGTGCATTCCTCGCTGAGGACCTTGACAGACGGTTCTGAAGTATTTACATCTGGTGAACATGCAGGACCCTGCGCCATGTGGTAAACACGGTATGATCTTTGATGTGGAAAGGCTTCTGCGTGTACTCTCGAAAATCGCTTTCGAAGGCTATTTGCCTCGTCTGAGCTGAACACTCCACATGAGGATTGAATGGGCGTCAGCGAAAGTAATCTTCTTTACGCTGGCCTCGAAGCAACCTGCGAGGCTAAACAATGCAGCACGCGAGAGCATGGCTTTGCAATGCCTGCGACGTATTCCAAGCAGCTATTTCTAGCAGAGCATTACGGCATACCTTCACCCTTATATATTCATTCATCCATCTAACAAGAAGTCAAATGAGTTCCTCTAGCCTAAGTGGACATGAAACCATTGCATACGACGTAGGTCATTGCGATGAAACACAATGCGTCTCACTTCGAAGTCATCTCAGCATTACGGATGCTATAGGTTCCGGGAAGACGTCGATGAGTGGTAGGAAACCTCACTGCAACCCATGTAGAACTCACCAAAGTTTTCAGTTCATCAAGGCAAGGTCGGGTACGGTCTAAAGTCGTGCACAGAAGTCGAAGCTGCTACTCCTCTTCGTTCTGGATGGCAGGACAGTGACTCTGATAGATATCCCATATTTCGATGATGCAATGAGGAAGGATGCTGAAGTATTGGGGCCCACTCATCGTTTCCTAGCAGCATCACCTGATAATTCCAGGGTCGAGAGGCGTCGTAAGTGTGATTTACCTTCATCGGATTTCAGATCATCGAATGGGTGGGTCAATCCGCTGCTACTGTCCACAAAGGAGATAAAGGCGCTGTGAAACCAGCTAGCTGAGAGAGGGAAGCAAAACGGAGTGGAAGGTAGATTGCTCTTCAAAAGACGTCGGAATGAACTCTAACGGATGAAGTCATAGTGCGAACTGGCGGAAATGCCAGACCAGCAGGAGAGACTTCCAAATTGCTCCGCCAGACTACTTTCTCCGATGCCCTCTTACAAAGAGATTCCTAGGAATGATAACATCCTACGTTTAATCATCTTGCCTGGTCTCGTTTTGCACACGAATTTTGGCAAGACTTTGGATACGCCTTGGATGTGTTGCTGTGAACGAGATATTGGAGGTCAGCGGCTTGCTGCCTACTCGACTTAGACGTGGAACTGACCATACTCTACAGACTGACACATACATGCAACTGGATCAAGATGCCCCGTTGAGGAGTGAGGCGTATTGGAGATAATGTTTCGCATACCTGATATTACTTTTGACTGGTTGCAATGAATCGGATATGCTCCTGCAGGATTAAATCTGCCATCCGGGTGGCAAGGTGCTTGTCTTCTCCGGGGACGCATTGGGCCCCGCTGAACGTGCGTTCACAGAAGGGTGCAACTCAGACGATCGACGCTCAGCGCTACGGATGTCGTCAAAATACCACTGTGGCAAAAATCCAACTCGATCTTCGCCATTCACAACTTCGTCTAGGCCCGGTTTGTCCAATGGGGAAATAGTGACACCTGAGCGAGGTGTGAACTTGACTCTCCAAACTGGTAGTGGATCGCCCAAAGTGCTCGGACGTGAGACAATCGTAGACTTGAGGAGCTCGATGAACCGCTTTCCCCAGTCCAGACATACAAGCGGATCCCAGGCTCCGGGCTTGTTACGGACAAGTCGGGGAATTTCCATCGTTCTAAATGACTGCACCTTTGACAGTCGTCCTGCGGCGGTCCGGAAGCCAACCACAATCTCCTACAACAAGAACGTAGGCCTACGCGTTTAGAACCGGACAAATGATTACATACCGGGACACCTAGCAAGAACGATTGGAAGTAGAATTTTAGCAATTTCCTGGGCAACGTCAGTAGAGTTCGCATTGGTCTTTGACTATCAAACTTACTTTTCAAAGTGAGCTTCATCCTGAGCTCCCCGAATAATGAGAGATGTCTTCAGTTCCACAAAACTGTCCGTATTCCCCGTAAAATGACCTATAAATTTATCAGCACTGATCCAAGGGTGAATTGTAGAGACTCACCTCGCACACAATCTACTTCGCCGCCAATGACAATTCTGGTATCACCTAACTTCGTTTTTACAACGCTGCACCATTGGACATTGGTGTTTACATCACCACCCCAAGTGCCCGCTGCCGTACCTTTCGAAGGTGCTGGGGTAGATGAAGTGCAATAAGACTCAAAGGCGTAACCATAGTACATTTGCATCCGGTGGTGAGGTGCAACGTTGTTCCTGCCAAACTTTTCAGCGGAAATAACATAAAATGTAACATGTGCTTACTTTTCTGCAAGTTTGTTCTCAGTGAGATGCTCCTCAAAGTACAAGGTCCCATCAACCATCATGACATTCAACTCCCATGAGTCTCGTTCTTCGTACGGTGCTGTCATTATCCTCACTCACAACAGAACACAAAGTGTTATTGAAGTAAATCTCGGGTTATCAGTGAGGACGACTCACTTCGTCATGACGCCTCGCCACGAAACGATCCCAATGTCTCGAAGCCAACCAGCCCCGTTTAGGTCCTGGGCATCCATGTTGGTGCGAACTCTGATGACCGCTCGAAGTAGATTGTCGATCCTTCCTCGCTCTTCCGGCCGACGTATCCAGCGGTCATAACCATGCCGTAAATCCGCATTCCTTGGCGGATGAACATAGTATCTCAGCGCGGAATCTGTGAACTCCAGTTCGTGTGACGGCGAGTAGGAAAATGTTAACAAAGACGAGGGCTGCTGGAATGCGACAGGTGATATAGGTCCTGCCATTCGCAAGACGGTTGAGTATGCAAGCTTCACTGCGGTTTGTGGCATCGCCTGTGAAGCATTATCGGCATCAATAGAACACAAACGAGGTTTCGTCCGTCTGCTTTCTGACTCGGCAGAGGTTGATCTCTTTCTGGATAACATACTGGCTTCTAGCAGAGTGTCAGTATCTTCCCCAAAAGGAATAAACGTACATACGTATGTAGCAGTTTAAGTTTATTTCAGCAGCTGTATGTATATGCCGACACAAGGAGGGCGTGCGGTAACAAGAAACAGCTAAATAGCTACTAAGTACTCACAGAGAGTGCTGCTGAGGGAGTACCTACAGTAGTTTACCTACAGCGTGCTCCACTCGGAGTCAGAGGCGCCTGAACGGTCACTTGTCACTGAGGATGTCACGTCACGCGATTTTGCCGCTGCTGACTGGCCTCTGGCGTACTGTAAGTGACTGTTTCTGCAATACTGTATTACTATCTCATTGCACTGTCAGCATTCTATACTCGCAGCATGGACTTCAGCAGCTATACAGGCCGTAGTCAGCAAATACTTGCATCTTTACCTTCGATTGACATTGGTCTACGTCCAAGGTCCTTTGGCTCATGATGCTTTGACCTTGTCTCATTTAAATGGCCACATCATTCGGAAACTGCATGCCACAAACATCTCGCTTTCGAAGTGAAGGCGTCGAGCCCCGAACCGTCATTATGGGAGTCGGTGAGTCTTTGCTGAATATTAAGTGTCAATCGTCAACTGAGAATTGTCTCCGGAGTTTTCTCAAAGCTTCCAAGGGAATGGCCATCTCCATACTATAACAAATGCAGCAATCGCAAATGCAAGCATCCGAATAGCCCCCAGGTCGCATCTGGCACATACACCTGTCTGGGAATCGTCAATGGACGTCCATGTCGTGGTACTTATGAGGTAACACTCGCTAGGGCTCGCAAGGCCAAAGGCATGTACGATCACCTATGGGCCGAGATGAGACGGGAGGAACTTTTACGACGAATGCGTCAACGTAAAGATTTAGCCTGTCTGAGACAATATCAAGACGAACGAAACTACTGCTGGAAGGTCGTCAATGCTGCGGCGACTGGGGATATTGTTATCGTCAAGGAGTACATTTCAAATCATGGCCTAGCTGATCTGCTATCAGACAAAAGGCAATTTATGGCTCACGTCGAAGATTTGAAGTTGGAGATTGAGGAGCTTAACCGACGAATTGGCGAAATATTACGGGCTCTCCAGCATTATCCAGACTTGGACGAATAGGATGGATCGCATTCATATGCTGCCAAGAAACTTTCCCCTGCCTACTAAGTTTGAGCATGTAGCGTCTTTCCGTTTGATTAACAGGACTTTGGCTCAGAATGAGCAGTGTTCGTATTGAGTCAGTGTGCACTTCGTGGCCCAGCTGTCATCACATCAGCCTCGTTTTTGATCCAGTGGAAATATTTCACAGTACCATCAGGTAAGTGGCATATTGTTCTCCGCAGCTTTTCATCTGGAAGGCACGCAAGGCTGAGATGAGATCCAGGTGGCGATGGTTTCCTAACATGAGGACAGCCATCGCTATCTCTATTCTCCTGACTTCTGACTTCTGAAGTTCTCGGTAGTAATCGATAGGACTGCGCTGGAAGCAGACTTGGTACGATAAAGAAAATATAAGAATGCGCTGCTGGTATGTGACTCAGTATACCTTGGTGCCACTTTCCCCTACATCTGCACTGAACAGCATACGAGATGGATGGCCAGCAGCGTAGCAAAGCTCACTCAAATCGCTCCAACGCCAACGGGCGTACGAAGTCTAAAAACCCTCAAGAGATCATCCTCATTGCGTAGGTCCCGGTTTCTCCATTAAGGCGTAAAGGCTCAAGTTGAGGTTATAGCGTGATGGGTGCGACTGGTACTGGGAAGTCGACTGTAAGCGAGTTGACCCCGAGACAACTAGATATTGACTCCGTGTTGGACCAATCGGTGTAGTTCATCAACTTAGCCAGTGGTGCGAATCTTGCCGTTGGAGACGGTCTCAAATCTTGCACATCGGAAGTTTTGTACTCTCATGAGTTTATCCTCGACGGTCGCCGCGTGTTGCTGATTGATACACCTGGCTTTGACGACACGACCGTCTCTGACACTGACATCCTCAAAATGATTGCACTCCACCTTCAGACAACGTAAGCCATGCATCTGTTCCATGGTTCGGGTTTTTAATGCTGATGGTTATGATTAAGCTACGAGCAAGGAGTTACTTTGAGCGGAATCTTGTATCTTCATCGCATTTCTGACCCTAGAATGGGAGGCGTCTCACGAAGGAACTTCACTATGTTCCGAAAACTCTGTGGAGATGAGACCCTGGACAACGTCCTTCTTGTCACCACCATGTGGGGAAACGTTGACCCTGAACGAGGTGCTTCGCGAGAGAGGGAGCTCGAGAGCGATGATATTCTCTTCAAGCCTGTCCTCGAGATGGGTGCTCGTATGGTCAGACATGACAACACTCCTGAACGTGCCCATGATATTCTTCGCATGATCATGAAGAATCGTCGTCAAGCCCTGCGTATTCAGCGCGAGCTTGTTGATGAACACAAGGATATCAGCGAGACTGGGGCTGGGGCCGAGCTCGGACGCGAGCTCGCAGAGCTAGCAAAGAAACACAGGGAAGAATTAAAGGAAATCCAAGAAGATATGGAGGCGGCTCTTGAGGCGAAGGACATGGCGACCAAGAGGGAGCTCGAGGAGTATCATAAGAAGCTGCAGGATGAGATGGAGAAGGCGGAGCGGGATCGCGAACGATTGTCGCGAGAATACGCTGAGGAGAAGAAGCAATCCGACGAGCAGATGGAAAGATTCAGGAAAGACCTCGAAGCGGAGCGGCAGGCTAGGGCTGAACGACAGAAAGAACTCGAGCGACTCCAACAAGAATTTGCCAATAACATGAAGCTGTCTGCCGAGGCTCAACAGGAATTAAAATCCCAAATCCATGCCCTCCAGAATCGTCGCAAGGGTTTCTTTGAGAACCTTGGAGACGCATTTAATTCTCTGTTCTCCGGCCACTTCTAGCTGCTCGCCGCGAGATTTCAAGGTGTAACACATGTATGTCACAATAGCATAGTGCTCGAGTATTGCAAGACGTTTTGTGCCGTTGAACGTTAGGCATTGAAACTTTGTTCGTCGAGTTAAAATCCATTACTGCACATGCCGCACCCTCCGAATCTGGTTTTCTTCTGAGCTCTTCTATCTTCTCTTCATTTCCGCCATTCGAACGGTTGCATGTAATCTCCCCTCCCCGTCGTACTTGGTGCGCAGTGATCGCAGCCTTGATTCTATTTCATCTTGAAGTCGACCACGATGCAGGCCACCTGTCTTCGCAGGAGAGAAGCACTTAAAATGGATGGAAATGCGAGGTAGTACATAACTTATCAGATTATCGATACTGGGGGAAGTATAATGAACAGATGAACGGTGTCCGTTATTGAGTTCAGTCAAGGGCCAGATTAAGGCCTCATGCATATTAGGTTCTACTGCGGCGACCGTCCTCGTTGATACCCTCAAACGGTAGAGTGCTAATAATCGATGGTTTGCAGTGATTAATTAGAATATACCTTAGAGGAAGAAGTGCAGATGGATTTAATTTGGCTCAAAGGGACTAGCATATACAACCACTCACGCACTATCCATTCAGACTTTCGGTGATACCCCAACGCAGCGTAGACTACAGCGATGTCTACCTCTGCCACATATTCGCGATCCTCACGTGAGTCCGCAAGTCTCATAGGACAACGTCGCGACATGCCACCAGCTTATACTGAAGTTCATAGCAACTCAACGGACCAGATTCTCATCGCGTACGTAGAAATTAGACGTGGATGTTTTCCCCAACTGACAGGTCACTACAGAGTGATGGGTGCTACCGGCGCTGGGAAATCTTCAGTGAGAGCTCAACGTGTACCAACCTAGACTGTTACTCACGCAGGACAGTTCATCAACTTAGTTTCAGGATCCGACCTAGAGGTCGGGACAGGCTTGAGATCGTGCACCCGAGGTGTAGATATTTCGTCTCCTTTCACCATAGGCGGTCGCACAGCAACCTTGATCGACACTCCCGGATTCGATGATACCAACCTCTCGGATACCGAGGTTTTGACCATCATCTCTCTCTTTCTGTCCACGATGTCAGTATTTAGTCGATATACTCCTCACATGCGCTGAGTATTCATAAAGATATGAGCAAGGCGGCGTCCTCAATGGTGTCCTCTTCTTTCATCGGATCTCCGACGTCAGGATGGGAGGCATCTCACGTCGAAACTTCAACATGTTCAGACATTTGTGCGGAGACGAAGGTCTTCGCAATGTCGTCATTGTGACCAACATGTGGGACGAGGTGTCGGAGGAACAAGGACTCGCGAGAGTGCAACAGCTGGCGAACGAAGATATGTTCTTCAAGCCCGCTCTGCAACTTGGCGCGATAATGCTCCCTCATGATCGTACGATAGGGTCGGCCCAGGAAATTGTGCGGCAAGCCTGCCGAAATACTCCTGTTGTCCTCCGCTTGCAGAGGGAGCTTGTCATCGAGAATAAGAGCCTAGCGGAGACGGCAGCAGGTATGGCCTTGGACGAAGAGCTTGCTGCGCAGACCAGAAAGTACACGGAAGAATTGCAGGAGTTGCAGGCAGAGTTGGACAGCGTGATCGAGAGCCACGACGAACAGGCAGCAAATGAGCTGGCCAAAGCAAAGCTAGACATGGAAGCAAATGTCAAGAGGATCAACGGAGAGCGACAGAAGCTTGGTAATAGCTATGCGAAGGAAAAGGGGGCAATGACTAATGAACTAGAATTATTGAGGCAGGATTTGCAGCAGGAGCGAGCAGCTACGGCTAGGACAAGTGCCAATATTGCCCGACTTCGCAGAAGAAGCGAACAACAATTCCGATACGACCAAGAGCAAATGGCTAGGCTGGCACAATCCGCCACCGATATCGAGATTCAGCAGAGGCAGAGGGCGCGACAGAGGGACGGAATATTGAACATGGTAATACCAGCAGTCCTGAGGCTTTTCCACTATGCACAATTACATGTCTTGAGGCGTTAGCTTGGCTATTCGAATTCCTTCTTATGTTCAAGGTCGAATGTCAGGAAAAAAAAACACGACCTACAATTGATAAATGCATACCTTTCTAGCCGGGGAAGTCTACAATGTGACATTTGGAGAAATCTCGCGTAGCTCAGTGTTAGCAAACTTTGGACGTTGCGAAGATATCGTTCCCATTGCCCAGGATGACCAAAGAGGCGGCTTTACGCGTGACATGCGAGAAAGATCGTAGGCTCAGCTAGCTTATCAGTTCAGCTACTAGTAGGGATTCAACGTTGTTCAACCGTTTCGGTTGCCTTCACCTCCCAACGCCAAAAGAAGTCAAGTTCAAAAGATGAAATTGACGTGACAGTTTCCTTATGTGATGGTTGTGACAATACAGTTTGCACTAGTCTGCTCGCTTCCAGCCTCTAGATACTTTCGGAAGATAATCGTTCCTTCGTATGGTTCGTACCGGTCGAGGTCAATTTCGGATGTATGTTACTATGCCCTACCAACTTGCAAGTTGTCCTCTTTCGAACGCGAGCTATTTGCATGATGTCTGCGATGACTCCAAGTGGCCGCGTTAGCCGAATCCTCCTCGGCGAAATATCCTGAGATACTATCAGGATGTAAGGTCATGTACTATAGTAAGTTCAGGTGAGTTCTGACCCTGTAATTGTGCTATTGGTAGACCGAATGACCGTGACCGGGCTCGCATCTCCCGCGAATGGAAAGAGAGTAGGGGACCTTCAAGTTACTACCTACCAGAAAGACGGCATACTAAATTGCTTCAACAAAAACCAAATGACTCGTCTTTGGGACTTTAGCCATCTCTCCAGCGGATCACGATCCTCAGGACGTATAAGACGCAAGACTCGACAGAGACGATGACTCTGTGTGTAGTACCCCAATATTTCGCCACGCAATCGCATGGCATCGAATCAGAACAAACGACCCTTAAGTTTGGCATCCTCAACCTTTTCCGGTCCAGCTGATCAACTCATCTCCGGGAAATTGACAATGTCGACCATCTGCCAGTGTTGTCTCATCACGTTCACAGACCGTTCTAGGTTCGCCTCCAGACGGAGAACTTTCTTGACAAAATCCAGTGTGCTTCCGCCAATGTCAGCTGAGTGTCCTATCATTTTAGGTGTATTCATTTGAAACTGCAGATCCTAGGTTTCTCGAACACTTGTATGAACTACAGGTGGTGGGGATTCTCAAACATGAGGAAACCTTATACATTGCATTCTCTGACTTCGACTCCGAGGTTCTCGGCGGTAATCGATGCAACTATGCTGGAGGAATGCTGAATCCACCGACGAGCATACTTAAAATTGCGTTGGTACTATCCGGGTACCCTGTTTTCCCCGTTCCCATCGTCGTCACGCTCACAGGATTTCACACAACATGACTGCTCAAGATACCATCCTCATAGCGTATGTATATCATCAGTTTGCACGACATGCACCTAATTTACCCTCGGTGTTAGCGTAATGGGCGCAACTGGCACTGGAAAATCGACGGTACGTGATCAATAGCAGTTCATGATCTTACGATGTCTGACCTTCGGCATAGTTCATTAACAAAGCCAGTGGCATGAGCCTTATTGTCGGAGATGGGCTCAAGTCTTGCACGTCAGAGGTCGCATACTCTAACGAGTTTGTCCTCGATGGTCGTCGTATCATTCTCGTTGATACACCCGGGTTCGACGACACGACCGTCTCCGATACGGACATACTCAAGTTGATTGCTCTCCACCTTCAAACGACGTAAATTATTTCATCTCATAGTGGTGGGTTCCCAATACTGATACATATGGTGTAGCTACGAGCAAGGCGTCACCTTGAGCGGAATCTTGTACCTGCATCGCATCTCTGACTTCAGAGTGGGTGGCATTTCACGAAGAAACTTTAGCATGTTCCGCAAGCTCTGTGGAGATGAGACGCTTAAAAACGTTCTCATCGTTACAACCATGTGGGGCCTCGTCGATCCAGAAAGAGGTACAGCGCGCGAGAGGGAGCTCGCGAGCGACGACATCCTATTCAAACCTGTCATCGAGAAGGGCGCTCAAATGGTTAGACACGACAACACTCCTGAACGTGCCAAAGATATACTCCGCAGGATCATAAAGAATCGTCCTCAAGTTCTACGCATTCAGCGCGAGCTTGTCGATGAAAAGAAGGATATCAGCGAGACCGGTGCTGGTGCTGAGCTCGGACGTGAGCTTGCTGAGTTAGCAAGAAAGCACAGAGACGAGTTGAAAGTGATTCAAACGGAGATGCAGGCGGCTCTGGCGGCGAAGGACATGGAGACTAAGAAGGAGCTCGAGGAGTACCATAAGAAGCTGCAGGATGAGATGGAGAAGGCGGAGAGAGATCGCGAACGGCTATCGCGAGATTATGCTTTGGAGAAGTCGTTGTCCGACCAACGCCTTGAATTGTTCAAAAAGGAACTCGAGATGGAGAAGGAAGCAGGGGCCGAACGACAAAGGGAACTGCAGCGACTCCAGGAGGAGCTCGTTAGGAACACTCAATTATCTGCCGAAGCTCAGCAGGAGCTGAAGAGTCAAATCAGTGCACTCCAAAGCCGTGGCCGTCGTGGGGGCTTCTGTTCCATCCAATGATCTTCCGCGTGGGTCACGATCTGAGGTGAAGTTGCTGTCTCTGTGTACGACTAAGTAGTTAGCTTGAACAGAATCGAAACAGCAAACATGATAATGATGTATGAAACAAGTGTTCGATAGATAGATAAGCAAGGATCCAGTGCGGCGGCGATCTTGGCGGCGATATATGTACATCAGGCTCGATGACCTTCAGACAAATATATTCAGAACTGAGCGTGATAAACTAATGAATCCTACGCATGTGCTAGCCTTGCTTCCGGTTTCGAGATGTGGAAGAGAGTTTGATGTGCTTCTACGGCATAGAATTGTGAAAGTGCAGGCCAATGAATCTCAAACGGCTTCCGGCGATGAAAGATGTCTGTTATTAGGTTCAATTATGCATCAGCACACAAAGCGTTTCTATTGCAGGATCGTTAGCATCAACAGTCGTACCTTGCGTAAAGTACGATATCTCAAAAATTATCCTCTCGTTTTGAGGACTCAGGTCGTTCGATCGGTATGTTATTTGTTCAACTGTCCGTCCGAGTCATTCTTCCACACCTTCCTATCAGCATGGTTTTCGGCTTCAGGAGAAAAAATAGACAGTGAATGTTCCCACCGATGTATCATAGAAGAAGAACAAGGAAATGAACTTACGGGTACACCAAGGTACACCGTGTAAGATTGAGTGAGTCATCTACGCGAGAATGATATTTCACTGAGCGTGGGAGTTGCATCGGTTCGACTCAAATAACTGCTAGGTCTCTAGTCCTCGATCTCAAGCTCTTCTCGTCCTCTCCGCGATCTCGAAACTTACTGACAATTACTTGTTCGTATCTACTATTTGTGTATACTGAAGGCATATACAGACTCGACCTTGAGGCCTCTCAACCATGTCTTTCCCGTCTTTTGTTGATCCAAACACCAGTGGTGTTCAAAGGCATCCTCCCTCCTCGCCACTTCAATCGCGTACGGGAAATATCATCGGTGCATCTGCGCCGTTTCGAGCACCAGCACACAAACACGCACATCATTTACACTCAATACCTCCTCGGGAGAAATCGACTCGGACCCTGATCATTGACCACTTGCTCTGGGTACATGCGCGCACCAGGTTTGCGCAAGCTCGTGCTGAACTCGGCATGACAGACCGCACCGGTGGTCCTCCATCCAACAACTTTGCTCACAGAGAGCGCCCGGAGAACTACGAAGAGGATGAAGAGGTATACAGCGATGGAGAGGATATCACAACGCTCGTCGCACGCGCGGGGGGACCTGGACATACTCATGCAGAAGACGAGGACGAGAGGTTGGACATGCAGGATCTACCGCTCGCACGAAATCTCAGACAGCGTGCAGAAAGTGTAGAGAAAGTGATTGTAGCCATGTTGGACCAACCGCCAGAAGTCCCTCCTCTGCACCCAGACGATCTGCTTGAGCCCAATACCTCACCACAGCTTCAGCCGACATCAGTTCCTCAGCATCAACATATTCTTCCTAATGGTGTCCGTCTTCGTCTCGCCCTAGGGACCGTCATTAACGACTTATTTGCGCGCAGAGCACCTAAACCGCCTCAGCGAGCCTATCAGGGGAATAAGACGGGCCCTTCTCCTTCCCTTCCTTCTGCTCTTATACCTCTCTCCACAGTCTCTCTGTCTGGTAGTGGCTCTCCCACACCACATCAACGACCAATACCGAGTGATTACATTCGATCTTTGTACGCTATAGGTGCAGATCCGGATGCTCAGAACTCTCCGCCTTCGCTTCGCTGCCCCAGACACCTTCACATGGGCTGCGAAATTTGTGTCGAAGCGAAGGTTCCGCCACGTCTTACGCCCAAGGCTCGCAGCTCCTCTTCCCGACCTGGCTCCACACCAACCGGTAGCCCTAGAGATAGTCACACCATACCCAGCGGAAGCAACGTCTTCGGACTCGGCGGAGGTGTTACAGGATGGCAGGAAGGTAGTGGAATTGGCAGTGGGTTGGCGAGACCTGGCCAGAGGGGTACTGTTTTGCGAAGATCGTCGGACGCATACAGGCAAACTACAGTCAATAATGGGGAAGGCAGTCGCTCGTCAAACCAAGAATCCACAAATGCTGCTATGTTGAACACGAAACTGGCAGAGTTCATTATCAGATTTTTGCGGCTTAGCGCTCTAGTTGCTTCCGAGCTTGGTCGGGAAGCTGCAGAGGATCGACTCTCTCTAGATGGCGGACGAGAGTATGACCCTTCGAGCTCCTCCGGTCAAACCAGACCACCTTCATCTCCACAAATGCCGTTCAGACAACCTCCACAACGACATGTATCCGACATCAATGTGTATGGACATGCCCTTCGACCATCGCGAGAGTGGTATTTCCTGCTTGCCGGTCTATTGACAAGAACGGTCCTTGAGGGATTTATAACTGGTGGATGGCTCGGAGTGGAACCTCTAGAGGTCCTTCTCACTGTAGGTTTAGGGATCACTCCCCGGTCGACACCTGAACCCTCCGCAACTGGTTCAAGTGCCGCTTCAGGGTCGATTCCAAAGTCTAGACTGGACGAATTTGCCGAGTTCGACCCAGATGATCTACCAGACTTGGAAGAGTCTGTTAGAATGTTATTCCCTTCATTACGAGACCCAGGGTATAACAAGGGCGGGATGTTGCCAAGGAGGGAAGGTCCAGAGGCAGAATACGAGATTGAAATGACTCAACGCCTTGCAAGGGTATGTTATATGTTCATCTGATGTCTAGGCTTATATTGATTAATATTGTGCCGTTCAGTTCTATGATGTACCGCAATCGACACCAGACGTCGCAACCCACATGGAAGACTTGGCCTGGCAATTTCCTGCCGAAGCAGTTGAACGTGCTTCATGCCGTTTTTGCGAAGCAGTGGCTCGCTGGCGGGGCAAACCTGAATTAGAAACTGTGAGTCTGCTCTATCCTTCTGCACTGACCGTTGCTCACAACTTTTTAATTCACAGTACAAGAAAGCATCGTGGATAACCCTAAACCAGGGCAATCGAAGTTCAGGAAGCAATGCTCCAATGTCGATTGACTCACTGCTGCATTCAAACCCGACGAGTCCGACGGTCATGCATGCAACCCCCGTATCGAGCAGATCGCAAGCCCTGGCTCAGTCACGAAGACCATCTATCGAGAAGTATTTCATTATGCCGGAGTCGTTGATAATTGGCAAAAGACGGAGAAGATCAGATCTGGGATCTAGACCAATGTGATGATAACGAATAAATATAATGTTGTACAGTATCGATATTCGTGAGTCCCCTATGCCAGCCGTACCCCTACATACTGATAAAAACGTGGAACAAACCGACAGTATTTCATGTGCTAGTAGAGCGGTATCTGTTGTATATAGCAAGCGAGTCGCCTTCGGAGAATCCTACCTCTAATTTCGGTGCAACCAACTGCGGCGCACGTTCCGTCGATTGTATAACCGATGGCTCGTCCGTGACATCATGCCCAGCACCGCCGGTGCAACCGAACCAACTACGAGACACGTCAACGAGTATGGAATACCAGTGGGGGTGGTAGAACGTACCTGCTGAGCTTGCCGGGCTTCTTGCGTTTCGACGTACTGAGCTGCATACTCGATGCTCGAGGACGTCTTCGACCGTTGGGCTGTTCTTCTCGCGCGGTACGTCCCTCTGTCTTCATTCGCTTAGAGCCCGATGGAATTCTCAACTTACTCCTCTTCGAGTCCAGGGACGCGTGTTTGCTATGACCTCCTTTTGCGTCCTCTTCACCCTGCTCCCTGTTGCTAGATCCTGAAGCCAGCTGCTCCTCCCTCAAGTCTACGTGCGCTTTGATGTCTGCAAGTTGCTGGCTTGTTGCTTTCTTGATGTTCATGCGCACGTCCGCCAGTTCTTTCTTGGTCAAATCGCCAGGCACTTCCTTGCGTTTTGAGGAGTGCTTGCGATCGAGTATTTGAGGGGTGGGTGGGAGTCTTTTCTCGTCGATCTGAACTCGTGACGCCCTCGACGCTGTCCTGCTTCCCAACTTCGGCGATTGCGCTACTATCTTGTGCAGCTGATCCGCTTCTCGACGTTTTTCTTCAGCGTAAACCTGTGATGCGTTCTGTCGGCTCTTCTCCAATTGCTGTATTCTTTCTTTGACCAATTCTGTGTCGCTTTTGAGCTCTCCGTGTGTTTCAAGATCTCCTTCTTTGAGTGCTGCAGCCATACGCTCCTTGAGTTCGTCAAGCTCTTTTCGATACTTCTGCCTCTCCAGGGCAACCTCTCTATCTATCTCCTGCGCCGCGGACGTGTCTGTCATGTCCTTCCTGACTTCCACGAGTTCCCTTTGTATGAGCAGGGGCCTAGGCGAAGTGTTTCTCACAAGGAAGTCAATGATCTTCATAGCTGATTCTCGAGTCCCGAAGTGGCGAAGCATTTGGGCTCCTTTTGCGAGTAATGGCTGGAACATCATGCTATCTGACTTCAGCTCTTCCTCCCGCGTAGCGCCTACAATAGGATCGACGACGTTCCACATATTGGTAGTAATGCAAACGTTGACCAGCGCATCGTATCCGCAAATCTCCCGGAAGATGTTCATGTTTTTCCGTGAGGTTCCAGTCATCTTGCGGTCCGTGATGCGGTGCATGTAGATGATTCCATGGAGCTTTCGTCCTTCACGATAGCTGGGTCATATTTCTTTGGTGAGTTAGAATGTTTTAACATTAGAGGCTACTGACATTCTCTCCAGATATGCCCCAATCCTAGCGAGAATGACCATATCTGACGTCATTGTATCGTCAAAACCAGGCGTATCCACAAGGACCACGGAACCTCCGTTGTATTGAATTGGTGGGGATACTGCAACGTCTGTCGTACAAGACTTCAAGCCTTCGCCGACCTCAAATCCGGAGTCCGTGGCAACATTGATGAACTGTGCAGCGTTCATTAGAGATGGCTTATGAATAGGTTTCTTAGCAAACCTGAGACTTTCCGGTGCCCGTTGCGCCCATGACTCTGAATAGAACTGTTTGGTCAATGGTGCAGTTCAAGCTGTAGTGTTGAGTGTCCACTCACACTATAATCCCGGGAAACGAGCTATTGGACATCTTGGACCTCGATTAAACAAGAATACCACAGTGCAAGAAGACGCAGCAGCGCAGGCACTTGAAGGCGCAGTCTTGGGAAATGTCGGCGTGATTGTCGACATGTGTGTGCAGGCGTCCAAGCAATGAGGGATTCTCATGTAGGCGTCTTTGATTGTGCTGCCTTGCGTGCCGACCATGAATAGTTAACGTTCTGTCGCATGTCCAACTGGACCCGCGCTCGGCGCCAAGGTGTAACTTCTTCGGCGTCTTCGAGAATGTAGTTTGCAGTTCAATGGTATGTATTGTTTGCAGTCACATTCAGTTCACAATCTCTCATATTTAGATATAGCTCGTCATTATCAGTGCCGCACCCAGTGCAAAAGGCCCTCTTGACCCCAAAGTCCACGCATCGGGTGTTTTGGAGGACTGCATTCCATGCTTGCTGACTTGACAGCAGTGGTATCTGATAGGATATCATTTTTGGTGTGAATCTACGGCCTTGACCATTCATCATTTTGACATAGAACGCCCGGCTAACGCCAGGGTATCCCTACATGTGAATGAATGTCGTTTTTCCGGGAACGAAGTCTCGGACATATCTATTGTCCCGACTTGCATTTCAAAGGCTAGCTTCCAAACTTGTTTTGGACGGTCGTTGACGCGGTACCATTAGGCGTATCCTGGTGGGAGTCTACGCTATCCGTTATCTTTTGATCCCCCAACTTCTGCCCACATCCAACATCAAGTGTGCTCCATCCCCAGTTCGTTTCTTCACCCATCCATCCATCCATCCAGAGGAACGATGAGTGGGCCTCCACAGTCAATCAATATACCAACCAATGGTATTACAATCGCGTACGTAGATGTTTCATCATCATCGATTCAGACCTTGCCGACTATTCTTCGTAGACTCATGGGTGCGACTGGCACCGGGAAGTCCACCGTAGGTTCAACGGATACAATATACGGCCCAGCACTCATGTTCTATTAGTTTGCTAATTTGGCCTGCGGATGGGATGATCTAGCGGTTGCAAGCAACTTGAAGTCATGTACGACGGAAGTTGCGCATACAAGAACTTTCTTTGTTGACGACTTCCCTGTCACGATGATCGACACACCGGGATTCGACGACTCCAAAGTGCCGGATAGCGACATATTGAAGTCAATAGCCTCATATCTTGCCGCTTCGTAAGTGTATGAAGCTCGTTGTAAGCTTGAAAACATTCTGACGCCAAACGAAGGTTCGAGAAGGGATTTAAATTAAGTGGGATCATCTACATGCATCGCATCTCCGACTTCAAGATGGGTGGGATCTCCCTTCGGAATTTCAGCATGTTCAGGAAGCTATGCGGTGACCCGAATCTGAAGAATGTCGTGATCGTAACGAACATGTGGTCTGAGGTCTCTCTAGCCATCGGAGAGGCTCGCGAACGAGAACTCAAAACCGATGATCAGCTTTTCAAGCCCGCATACGACAAGGGTGCGAAGTTCATGCGTCACGACAATACTGTGGAATCTGCGCATAGTATCATCCGCAGTATCATTAAGAACCACCCAGAGGCCTTTCGAATTCAACAGGAGCTCGTTGAGGAGAGGAAGGACATCATTGATGTGGACGCTTTCGTCGTGCTAGACACAGAAATGGAAAAGATGCGACTCCAGCACAAGAAAGAATTACAGGACCTAAAGCATGATCTCGAGCGTGCATTGGAGAATAAAGACAAGGAGACTCAGGCAGAACTTCGCAAGGTCCAATCGGAAACGCTCAGTAAATTAGCTGCGATGGATACGAAGCATCAGTCCCTATCTCGCGAATACAAAGAGGAGAAGAGGAAAGCCGATGAACGAATTCAAGAGCTGATGACCGTTATTCATGAAGAGCGCAAGAGAGCCGAAGAGAATCACCGGCGGATGGAAGAAATGGAGGCGGAGAGGAAGAGAGAGAATCAACAGATGCTTCATACGCTTCAGATTGTGCAGGACCGGCTGACACAGCAGGCCGCCCAAGAGAAGCTGGAACGAGAGCATCGACAAGAGTTAGAGAGCCGCGAAAGAGAGCACCATCTAGAGTTGGAAAGAATCCGACTAGAAAACGAGAGGCTGAAACAGGAACAAATCCAGGCTCATCAGCAGCGCATGGAGAGGCAGCTGCGAGAGCTGACGGACAAACCTCAAGGGAGTGGAAAGCGGGTAGCTGCAGGTTCTGGAGACGACAAACAGAGGCGGAATCGGTTGTCTATTAGGCATGGACTTCTGAAGAAATTCTTCAATTAAAGCCACCTTTTTCAAAGATAATTTGCAGACGGTCGAGCAACGCGTCGGTTTGCTGGAAATACCAGATATTGATACGTGTATATAGTACTCTCAGTATGCGGATCCCGTTACATGAACCTCTGATTTACTACCACAGGTTGTCATTAACACTTCTACCACAGCACATCGAACTGTCCTCTGCGTTTATGAGGCAGAAGCAAAATGTGAGGCTCCATCATGGTTGATTTGAACTTTCTCGGTGAGGGATGCGTTGTATACCCGTATGAAGGTCATCGAGTCTGATGTACATGTATCGTCGCCGCTCTAATTGGCTGGCCATCTATCTATCTTTCGAACATCTGTTTCACAGATCGCTTTCACACTTGCCATGTCGATTCCTTTCAAGCCAGCCGCCTGTCCATAGACAGAGGCAGCAACTTCAATCCACGTGGAAGATCATTGGATGGAACAAAAGCCACCACGACTGCGACGCTGATCGTGGAGTGCTCTCAGATGACGCACCAGCAGTTGTTCAGGACTCTCAGCGGGTGGTGGGGTGTTCCTGACGAGCTGTGCCTGGAGCTGTCGGAGCTCCTTCTGCCTGTCAACACCTGCCGCCTTCTCAGCGTCGAGTTCCTGTCTCAACAGCTCAAGTCGTTCGTTGGTCTGCTTCTTCTCCTGAGCATACATTTGCGACAAGTGTTCATGAGCCGTTTTGGCCTTCTCCATCTCTGTTTGCAGTTGCTTGCGACACTCCTCGAGTTCCTTCCTCGTCTGCGTGTCTGCTCTGTGAGCTGCCTCCAACTCTGCTCGAATCGCCTCCAACTCCTCCCTGTGTTTCTTTGCTAGCTCTGCAAACTCACGTCCAAGTTCAGCACCAGCACCAGTCTGGCTGATATCCTTCTGTTCATCGACCAACTCCCGCTGAATACGCAGAACTTGAGGACGGTTCTTCATGATCATGCGAAGTATATCTTGGGCACATTTAGGAGTGTTGTCATGTCTAATCATATGAGCGCCACTCTCGAGGACAGGCTTGAAGAGGATGCCATCGCTCCTGAGTTGTCTCTCGCGCGCTGCGCCTCTCTCCGGATCGACAAGACCCCACATGGTGGTGATAATAAGGACATTGTTCAGAGTTTCATCTCCACAGAGCTTTCGAAACATAGTGAAGTTCCTTCGTGTGATACCTCCCATCCGAGGGTCAGAAATGCGATGCAGGTACAAGATTCCGCTCAAGATGACGCCGTGCTCATAGCTTCATCAGAGCGATTAGCATTCAAAACCTAATTATGGAACGGACGCTGGACTTACGTTGTATGAAGGTGAAGAGATATCATTCTAAGGATATCGGTATCGGAGACGGTCGTGTCGTCGAAACCAGGTGTATCCATGAGAATGACACGACGTCCATCAAGGATGAACTCATGGGAGTATGTGACCTCTGATGTGCAAGACATGAGATCATCTCCGACTGCAAGGTTCATCCCACTGGCGAGGTTGATGAACTACACTGAAAGTCAGATGTACTATCACGAGCGACTAATTGATCACGCACAGTTGACTTTCCAGTACCAGTCGCCCCCATAACGCTATTGTTCAGGATATATTGAGCTTATGTCTTAGATAGTAAAGAGAAACTACCTACGCAATGAGGATGACATCTTCAACAGACCGTGTTTGCCTAAGCTCATCGGCGTTGGCGTGATTCATGGAACCATTGGTATCCTGTTGACTGTTCATGTCGACAAAAAGTGAGGGTAGTGGGACGATAGTACGGGGAAAGCAGGGTGCTGGTCTATGTCCAGCGATAGGTACTTATGTCAATCGTTGTTGTTCTCGCGCAGTCGCGAGGATAACCGCCGAGAAGTTCGGAAGGAAGTCAGAAGGACGTAATGTCTAAGGTTTCCTCGTGTTATAGAACCGTTACCACCTGTAAGTCATATAGGTGCGCGAGAGTGGTAAGATGTGCGATGTGACTTCGAAGAGCTGTGTCTGCTACGAAAATGAACAATGCACCATTCACCTGACATGGGCGAAGGCATGGAGCACTTTACGCAGCTACCGATCTGTATGAAAGCCTGGAGAGCATGAGTACCACAGGTTGACCACACAGGATAACGTTGGTGGCATGCGCCCTCTAACAGGTGGAACCTGTCAACTTTCCAGAAATGGGTTTATGAATATCGTACCGAACAATGACTGATGCCGATGACAGAACCATGTATCCACCATTAAAGACAAACTCCAGCGCACCTTGTTCGAGGTCAGCACTCGAAGGCCATGTCGCCAAATGGAGGGGAAATGCTTCAATCTATGGAAAGCAATCAAGTACGTTACTGGGCATCCCTTATTACGCCACTCTGGTTTATGGCTGAGTTTCTCGATTACCTTTCGAGGTTCCACTTGTGGATATTATCCGATAAAACATTGTGATACTGAATATTCAGCGCTCACGCTGTGCCGCGGAGTGATGAGAAGAGTGGTTTTTGTGCAACACGCAAGCAAGACAAGAGACACGATTTTCAAATTCCTCTAAAAATTATTCCCACGCTCTGCATTGCGTCGGCGGATTGCTGCCACTGCAGAGGAAGACGGTCGTTACCTGGCGAGTGCGAAGCCACTTTATGTTCGCGACTTGGAATGCTGGAGCAAACTATGTATCGGCACATGGTATATGATGCAATATGAGGTAAGGGTTGCTCAAGGGAGTTGAGTAGCGGTGTAAGCGTTCTTGAGACTTCGAATTCGGTTGCTGCTGAATCTACCTAGGCCTCATTCTTTTCGTTTATTTTGCATCATAGTACGCCAAGCAATTCTCAGGCGTTTTTAGGAATGACGCGCATCGCGCCGACCCTTGATGGTGTATTGGTATCTCGTATCCACGCATGATCTTGGCGTCCCCTCTGAGCTCTTTATAAACGTACACAGGCTTTCGCAATTTGCGCTGTTGTTGTCTGTGCATTTCCAACGTACGTTGCAAACATTCGTTTGTATAACGCTACTACACGCTCATCGTGCTTCTGGTACTCAGGTTTTGAACCTGAGAGGAAGACGAAGCACTAATATGCTCGGATCAGATCAGTATGGTGTATCCGATTTTGGCACTTGAATCTCAGCTCACAGTTCATCTTTTGCTAGGAGCATAGCTAGCTTTAAACGACCTCAATGCAACCTCGACATCCTGTGCAACGTCATGCGCTTCTTACGGTGGAAGAAGGACTTGCTGGCCATGATGCAGACTTGTCAAAGTCTTTATCGAGCAGGAGTTCCACAACTACTTCGCATGATTGAGGTGTATCTTCTGGAAAGGACTACAAAAGGTCCTCCCAATCTCATGATTTCGTTTTGTCTCTTTATCACACCCGACCTCCATCTTCGCGGTTCGTTAGTTCACCAGCTCAAGCTACCAGAGCCTTGGGATCCCGAACGATATGCAGACATCATCAAGACCTTTGCCAGTGTCGTACGGCATTTATCCAATCTCAAGTTGTTCGAGATTGATGGCTGTGAAAGCTGGCTTCATCTGGATGACAGTCTCTTACCTGCGTTGTCCTCGCTTCAAAACCTCAAAGAGGTTCGTATCACATCGCGCGCAAAGCAGTATCCCAACTCGTATAACATGGTTCAATTTCTGCAAGAAAACTATTCACCAGTTGAATTCCTAAACGTCAGCCTATCGTACGATGGTGATCGCCGCAATCCGTTCCAACTGTTTCGCAACTTCTCCTCAACCCTACAGATCCTCGATTTCAATACAGCTACCTTCTCCGTTGTTGATGTCGTGTACCCTCGTCTGAAAACGTTCCTCCTGCACCTCTTAACCATTGACGAAATAGTGATCGAGCCTTTCCTGGTGTCTTTGCCCAACCTCACTTCCTTGTCTTTGGGCTCCATCCTTGGCTCAGCTAATGGACAGGACATCAACGAGCTGCGACGAGATAATATCCATGCCCAGCGAGCTCGAAAATGGTCTCAGTTGGATATCATATGCGGAGAGGTGATGGCCTTGTATGTTCTCGGTTTACAGTGCCATGTACACCACCTTATGGAGCGAGGATCTCCATTACGTGAATCGTCGCTGTGGATGTGGGAGACGGTTGTTGAAGACACTCAACCCAAGGCAATAACCCTTCGCGTTGGATTCTGTAACTTTGACGTGGATGATGTCCCGCTTGTCGTGCCACCACGGGCAAGAGCCAATGTTACTCATCTCCAGCTCAACCTTGACTTCAATTATGCTGAAGTGGACATTGACGAAGCTATGGTAAGTGCGACCGCTTGGCCTGATCGAAAAGTAGTATCACTGACGTGCTAGTTTGATATCGAATTAGGAGAGTACCTTCGTACTCCTTCGTTCTCTACCTCTTGTCTTTCTAAGGCTTGGTTTGGAATGGACAGATTTTGATAGACAGGATGAGGTCGACACTGATCCCGTGCCAATTTACATCAACAAAATCGATGCAAATCCGGAAGCCTTCGTTCACCGTATTGCAGACTGTGTCTCTTCACTTAAGACTTTCTTATTAACTACCTTTGTGTTGGACAGCTCAGGCACGTCGGTATGGGAGGTCAGTTCGGTAGATGGGAAAGTTAAAGTGGAAGGACCTCGACGGAATCACTGGCAGGTCATGAGGAGCGAAGGCATGATACCTCTTAATTGGTTCGACTGTAAGCACAACCCCTCGTCTTCCTGGTGAATATTTACTGACTCTCGATAGTACAACGTGAATAGCAGTTCTGAGATCATTCATAGTGTTTGGATGCGATATCCGGACATATAGAATGCTAAGAAACATTTTCTCCAAGTTACGAAATATAGCTCATGAATTCGTTTCATTGCTTCCTGTTTCCAAAGGTTGAACAATAATCGTGCAGGGAATATCGATACTACTGTTTGCGACATAAGCTCACAATAAATGTGCACATGTGAGATCGGCGAATATGCTGGTTCGCTTTTACCAGCGTTGACCGGACGTGGGCAGTCGCAGGCCTGATGAATGATAGAAAAAAAATGACTTGATTTTTTAGAAGGCCCCACAATTCATACAATCTACGCCGCATTGCATACACGAGTGGCACCAGTGGCCACGTTCTCATAAATTGCACCCAAGTGGCCTAGCGCTCTCTCATCGTTACACCTCTTTACACCTGTCTGAATCTCCCCCAGCTCCACGCAATGTCTGCAATAACTCAAAACATGCATAGCAACCTTGTTTGGCTTGAACAGGGCGACGTTGTCTTCAGAGCCCAGGTTGCGAACAAGCCCTTTTCCCGTGCCCAGCTGTTCAAGGTCCCAAAAGATGTCATCTCGAAAGAATCACTCGGACTCAAGAAGATCTTGAATGAGAGCAGAAAACAGAGACTTCAGGTATACGCTGACTGCCCCGTGATTCTCGTAGATGAAGATCCAGACAACTTGGAGCTCGTGCTGGCTGTTATCTGTTATGGCATAGGGAAGAACTCGTGAGTGGCAAACCATTTCGTTACCGTCAAAGTCATCTTACTACTGACCATCGCATCCCACCATTTAATTCATATTTCGCAGTGTGGTAGATTACGACACATGCCTGCCTTTCTCCACTGTCGTCACGATGCTGCACATGGGCGTAAAATATCGAGTGGATCTCCTTCGTAACGAGGCAGGTCGACGATTGAGCAAATGCTTCCCAAGCATCCTCGAAGAGTACAATCCTCGCCTATTTTCGGATCCCTCCCGCAACATACGGGGCAAATTGGTCGACGTCTCTAGAACCGATGCATTCGAAGTTATTCGTCTGGCCCATCAATACAGATTGCACTTCCTGCTGCCTGCGGCGTACTATGTTGCTGCACAGTTACCTATGCGAGAATTGTTCTTGGCATTAGAAACAAATCAAATTCCAATGATCGACTTCAAGAGGATCGTCTGTGCGTACACGTCTCTACAGCGGCTTAGCGTCCACGTCGTCGAGGAAGTCCTCTGGCAAGGGCCGGCCAAAACCTGCATTACACACGAGATGTGCAGGTCTAAACTTAACAGTCTTGTCAGTTTGGCTATACGTGATTCCTATGAGATTTCACCCGGACCGAAGAAGGGCTGCCTCGACAGAAGAGACGTTCTCGAGAGTCTCATGCTCCAAGTCTACGATTGCGCCGACTGTCGAGCTCACGTTATGGCCCAACATGATACTGGAAGATCTGCAACGTGGGATCAACTCAAGACCATTTTCGGTTTAGAAGACTCGAGGACAGCTGAAGGAGATATGGAAAAACATGTCTCGGAACGGGAAAAGGCTTGTATGAACTACGTTTGAACTTAATGGACATTGGACATACCTGTAAAACGACTTTGTATACATCTTGAGTTGCACACAGTGCAGGTTCCAAAGCAGAATATACATATACAGAGCGGTATATAGCTATGTATAGCACAGGGGATTCACGTACAGGTTGCAACAAGGCACCCACCAAAACAGGGTGCACAAGAACTAAGGTAACAGATGTACAGACGATATCTTTGGTACTATACCTAGCTAATATATAACAAGGCACAGGAATCAGGACGAGAAGACAGTGGAGAGCTGAGGAGACAGAGAGAAAGAGGTCAAAGGGAACCCGATCCATAGAGAAGAATACGAGACAGAACAGGACAGGAAAAAAAAGACGAGAGAAGACGTGCGTCATGTATGGTACAACAAAAGTGAGAAATGAAACGATGTATATTTTACAGTGCAGGACCGAAAAAAGAGATGGAGAACGAAAAGTAACAAATAAAGTGGTCGATATACATTCTTGATACAAATGCTGATTATTGCGGGGGTTCCTTGAGCTTGATGAATGAACAAGTGGCGATTGCCATAACTTGTCGAAAAGAAGGTTTGAGGACGACAATTCGTGAGGGAATTAATGCAGGTATTTCTCGTTCAACGCGTGAACCTCCTTCGCAAGATACGGCCAGTTCAAGCAACGCGACAACTCATGACGGAGTTTCTCTTTGCTATCACCAGCACGTTCCTGGGCAAGCTTGACCTCCCACCCAAGCAAATTATACAATAACCGCATATTGGGCTGGATCAAGACCGAAAGACGACGGGAACGGACGATGAGGTAGGCGTCAACCAGAGGGAGGTTGAGGTGTTTCATAACATACGCAATCTGAACATGAATTAGAAAAAAAACATTTAGTACGCAGTCTTAGGTGTAGGGAAAGTGATGTAGTAGAACACGTACAGTGACAGTAGCACTCCTCGAAACACCCACACGGCAATGCACGAGTACCTTCCCACCCTCCGCCCTCGCACGATCGATCCAATCGCATATAGGCGCAAGTTGCGGTTCAAGAGTGTCGATGCCATCATCACATACACCCTTGATATCCAACACCTTGATCCGCCCTTCACGTTCCTCGATCCACAGCGACCCATGTCCACCGGGCCCTTTTCCAGGAACGAATTGGCATGCAGAAGGATAAGTGTGTGAGTGTTCTGCGGATGATGTTGGGGCGTGTGAGGGTGGAGGGACGAGAGCGCATTCGCCTACAGAGACGACGTGCGTGATGCCGAGAGCGTGGAGCATGTAAACGTTCGATGCGTGGTTCCTAAGAAGGAAGAAGATAACACATTGTCAGCGACCATGAGATCAAAAATATGGACGCGAGAAGAGGGGGGGGTGGACTTACAAGTTTCCGAGGTACAAGAACGGTAAAACCCTACTCGGGAAACTCCCATCGAACCTCGGGTCATTAAACCAAGCCTGATGGTCCGTGAACGACGGCAAGACACTCATCGTACTCGCCCTCTGCCTTCTCGTCGCAATACCCATCATACTCTTCACGGAACTCTCAGTCGGAATCGAACTGCTCAACTGATGGTGGCCCGCGACAACTTGAGTCTCGTTCATATGCATCGTGCGGGAAGCCGAGGTGTGTCCGGAGGAACAGGAGGAACCGAAGAAGGATGAAGGCGGGGAAGCAAATGAGACACTCTGCGCTGGTGGCCTTCCTCCACCATTAAAGGCCACAGTCGAAGTCCAACCTCCCCCAGACGTCCTTCCCCAACTCCCGCCATACCCATACCCATACCCATAACCAGTCTGCTGTCGTTCCTTCTCCAACCTCCCCTCGACCCTCTTCATTGCGCCCACCTCATTCTGATACACGAAAAAACTCCTCTTCTTCTCTATCTGAAGCTCAAGATACGCCTCAGGTAGAGTCAGTTTCCGCAGAGCCATGAGGAGACAAAGGGCAAGAGAGGACGACTCGGTATACCCATCTGCGGAGTAAATGAGGATCTTGAGCGGGCGTGTACGAAAATGTTGAGGCGGAGGGGTAGGTTGTCGTTGATGGTGTGGGTGATGAGAGTATGCTTGGGATGGGACTCGAGACGAGGGGGAAACAGGTGAGAATCGTGAAGACGATGATGTCGATGAGACAGAGGTCGATGTAGGGTTGGGGTACGTAGCCGAAGTGGACCTAACACGCTGATAAAGCGAACTTCCCGACGAATGCGAAGAAGGCAAGAAGGTATTCTGGAAAGCAGTGGGCGGAGGGAGGGAACTAGGACTAAACCCGTTCTGTGCACCGTTACCCGCAGAGGAACCTCGACGGAACGGCGGTTTAGCCCTTTCTCTTTCTCCTTCCCTATCCTTGTCCTTGTCCATTCGAGGCGACTCGGGTTCGCGGACGATATCGAATACCAAGGGTTCACCGACCGGTTTGACGAGCATTTCCAACCAGTTTATGAACGGGATCAAGTTTGGAGTGTACGACACCGACGAAGGGAAAGAGAGGTGAACGACGGCATTGGCGTTCGGCGGAGGTCTAGGTGGGATAGTCACCCTGTCAACTTGATCCCCTCCTCCAGCGGTGTCCTCAACACCATCCATAGGTACATCCGCAGACGAACCCCTCGTTTCATTCGAAGAGGTAGAAGGACCTTGGACATGGACATGCTCCCTCTCAAACCTCCTCAAAGACCTCTCCGCCCAAACGCGCTCCAACATCCCCACATGTTCCTCGACAGCTCTCATCTGAGCAGAACTAGGGAACGGCGCCATATCATCGCACTCGATGCACAAATCAAAGCCCATTCCCTGCGCAGGGTCATTTGTTCTAAAATCGAACACCTCTTCCTCTTCCTCTGACAAGTCTTGGTCCTCATCCTCGTCCATACGGTCATCATGGTGGTGATGGGACCGATGATGGGCGTTGAACCGCTTGGCCCTCTTTAACCGTTTCCTCTCTCGTTCGTACCGAGTATCGTCATCGTCTGGTAACGGCACATCACTCGCGTTACCCAGGAAGATCTGACCCAGACTCGGGTCCCACAAGTTTGTAGTCGTACTGCCACTGATCTCCTGGATCCTCTCTTCACTTGACGTACGGGGCGACGACGACGACGGAGGACTGTGAGGATTCGGCGATCGAGCCGCAGGAGAGTGTTCAGGATGTCTCGGTGTCCGAGAACAAGGGTCAAGAGGATGATCAGGCGGGAACGCAGTATACAACTCCGAAGCCCTCGTCAAATCTCTCATCTCCTCCTTCTCCCTTTGAGCAAAGTTGATCGTGTTCGCCCTTAGGACCTTCTTCTTCCTCCTCTTCTCCTTCTCCGCCTTCATTTTTTCCACGCCCATAGCAACGTCTGCATCCATAGACCCTTCCGAGGACGAAGCAGACGACGGGGTACCGGGGTCTCCAATCGTATGGGCGTCCGTACCATCTGTATGAGCATGTGGAACACTGACGTCCTCCACTCTCGTCACCAAGTGCTCGAGTTTCTCGTAGATCTCTTCGGGGGTGGCGTCGAGCACAAAGACGTTGTACTTGATGAGACGATCTGCCTCTTCTTGTTCTTCCGGCATCAGGTCAGATAGCGAGGTAGATGCGGGTCGACGAGCTGCAGAAGACAGCATCAATGATCAAATACATAAGTCGTTTCACATGTAGACTTACCATTCCGCGGTCTGGGCGTTGCACTCTCACCTGCCCCATCATCGCCCTCAGTGTCCCCACGTAGTTGAGCTCGAATCCTAGCCAGTCGATCCTCGTACTTTTTCTCTATAGCTTCCTTGAACCTCTGAGCGAGCGTGACTGCAGATTGAGTGTCCCCCGTTGGGGAATAGACGACGATATCCGACAACGTCACAAAGATAGGCTATTGATATTGGTATTAATGAGTTATGAAAAGGCCACGCGAAAGCGAAACTCACCACTTGAATCCCAAAGTTCCTCAAACTAATCCCCTCGGGGACTTTCAGATCCACAAACTCGCTTCCACCCTCTCTTTCACCACCACTCCCGCAATCAGAAACAGGACCAGCACCCCCAACGATCCTCGCAGCCTCCTTCAACCCCTTCACCTCAACCTCATTTCTCCGTCCATCCTTCGTATACCCCCACGGATGTCTCTCTTTCCTCTGGGCGGGATGTGGGGGCGGAACAGGCTTGAGCAACTCGTGAGGCTTAAAAGTCGACGTAAGCAGCGGTGGAGGAAGTGGCGATTTCGACGATATCGATCCAGCTTGACGTGCAGAGGGAATAGATGTATTGATCTTGCCAGGTTGCGATGAATGGGGGATAGGTATTGGAGCTACGGATGGAGGCGTCTGTAGTACAGGTGATGCTGGCGGCGAGAAGGGTGAGTTTGATAATGATGGAGGTGTGAGTGGCGGCGAGGTGGGTGAGGAAGGAGATTCGTGGGTGGTAGGCGATGAACTTGAAGCGGAGGTCGGTGATGGGCACTCATCCGTTGTGGACGAGTATGCAGTTAAAGTCGTGCATGTGGAAGTCGTTGAGGCGCGGCGATCTCTAGATTCGTGGATGTGGGTCCGTTCTGTGTACATGAAAGAGGTTAATACACTCTTGGATTTCGTAACGAAATGTAAGTGAGGCGTACCGAGAACTGGATGCATATGATTCTCTTCCTTGGAATTCAAGGGTGGGACTTTGACCACAGGTCCCTTCAACGCCGGATCGGCCGACATCTCGACCTCAATCTCCCTCTCCAACTCACCCACACCATCCATATCCATATCCATATCAATTTCCATAGCCACACCAGTAGACGACATACTCGCGATATTGTTTATCGTACCAATAGAGCGCATACCATTCATAGCAGTGTAGTCATCGCAGACCTCCAGTTCGTCCTCGCTATCGTCCTCAGACGAGGTAGACGAAGAGTCACTATAGTCCTCAGAGTGGTATCCATTCTGCGAGGCAGAGGTGGGTGATATGGGAGAAGTAGAGGGAGCAGGATGGTTCGCAGCAACCCAAACGAGACCTCTGAACCTTGGGATCTCGGGGTAAATACGCCCTTTGTTGCCCCGTCCTTCCGCACCGTCTTCACACTCGACCTTGGGGGTGTCTTTCCAGGGAGCACTGCTCGCGTTCGCAAAGAACGCGTTCTGGGCTTCGTTGTTCCCTTCTAGTCCGTGTAGGAACGGAAAGATGACACTATCGGGGGCGTGTGAGGTCAAGTACTCCAAGTGAATGTCACGAAATTGCGAGGCGGAGAGCACGCGAATGGGTTCGTGGGGTGGCGGTCGTTGAGTGAGTATTGGGAGGGAGGGGAGGAGTGATGGAGGGTATGTTAAGCCATGAACGGGCGAATCTGGAGACGAGGAGTGGGAGGACGATGGGTGCGAGCTTGACGTTGGGGCGAGCGAGATGGAGAGCGAGGATGCGGTGGGTTTGTCTATGTCTCCGGACGCCATTCTGCAAATATGTTAAGTTGTGCAAGAAAGACGTGGAAGAGGAAGTATATGAAGGTAAGAGGAGAACAATGGACGAGCGATGCAAGCGAGAGAGCGGGCAGAAGAGGGCTTCCTAGTTGGAAGCGCGAGGTCTATTCTGTCTCGTGTGCTCTCACCAGGCACGCGAATCGTTCGCTTCTCGATGTTCTCGTCGTCGCCCTGTGTATCAGCGGGGCGTGCAGAGGGACTCTAGTCTCGACGTCGTGAAAGATGTTGTCGGCGAGCGTAGAAACATGAATGAACACAACTAATGAACCGCGCGCCTACCCACGGCGCTCTGTCCCAATCAGGCTAGGCGGACCCGAAGATCGCTGACATAAGCCCTCAACTGACCTATCCCTTATCGCTCTTGGGTTCTCCAATCCATCCTTCCGCTCCCCGCAGTCCTCCAGCGCTGTTAGCTTCAAACTAGGGCTGCGTACATGCATTCATGTTTCGCGTTCGAGCTGGTAGCGTACTGCCCTGGTTCTCACTGGCGTCGCATCTTGCTCTCACGACCCCTCTCCCATGATCAACCAACGCGTCCAGGTTCTGTTCACTCGTTCATACTCGCTGCCCCTCACGACCACGATCTAGATCCAGCTATCAGCGGACCTATTAGCTCCCTAGTGCGGCTCCTCTTCCTTGGGCCGTCCTTTCCCAGTCTAGCGCTCTCCTGATCCACCTCCGCTCATGTCTCTTTGAAGCTTGTAACCCACCTTGGCCAATCAGCGACGCCCGACAGTGGACATGTGCCTACCCCGAGGATGCCTTCGCGATGGTGGCGTTTGCGTTACACCGCATGATATCTTTAAGAAGAATATTCATGGCCAATTGCGAGATTCACACTTCTCCGCCGGCAAGGTCCTTCTTGCCCAATGATGACTGTTCTATAGATGCAATTCCACCGCTACCCTCTCAATACCGTATGCTCTACCGTGGTCTAGTGCTCTTCTAGCTGCTTGCCATAGCGTCCGTTTCGCCAACAGTTGCTTCTTCGACATTCTTCAACTTCCAGACCGCATGTTGAATATTTCATTTCTCGGGGTTCTATCCATCCGTGCTGCGCCTATGATGCAGTGTATTTCAAACTCACGGTCTCGACTCTTCACAGTGTATCAGTGCATCCTTCCATACCTCCCACGGCTGGAAAGGTTCAATATTGAATGCTGACCATTGGTCGTTCAAGGTTTCGCAACCTGTACCAACCTGTACCCCCTTTTTCCGTTTGCTCTTTGGTGACAATCATGCCTTCATAAGCAATCACTACACCATAGTCACCCACGGCCCAATTTTATCTACTCAACCCCGTAGGTTTCCGACCGACACTCCAACCAACACCATCCTTGGGCTCGTTTCAAGGTTCAAAACGAGGCCGCTCACAGCCACATACATCTGACGTTGAGAGCCTATCCCTCTATTAGTACGTACCACAGCGATTTGAATTCCCGTACGTCAGTCTATTAGCCAATTTGCGCGATTGAATTGACTTCGGGTGCGAGACGAACGATGACGCAAAAACCCTTAAAATACTTACACACCTCCCAGCAACCCAAAACTCCCGCCTCTTGTCTTGTCTTTTGATGTCTTTCTCCCGGCTCCGGTTTCAACACCCTGCAGTCCTCGATTCTCGACTCGGCGAGTAGTATGTATTGGAGGATACTCGATACTCCCGCGGCGGTCAGACCTCGAACCCCCTATCTCGCACCTGTTATCTCGTATCTCGACAACCGTTCCTCCACGCAATCTCGTAATCTCGTAATGCACGTTCTATCTTTACCCTCGTCTTCTTCGTCTTTGGGGCCACGAGTCACGACATTTACTCCCCTCGAATGGATCCCTGCCAGTGTGCCTTTACGCCCCCATATCTCGTTCTCCGCTGCATTTTCTGAGGTCTGAGGTCCGAAGCGTCGAGATTCCTCGAGTTCTTGGGTTCTTGGCTTTTTTTGTAGATAAGTATGGCCGGCTGGTCTGGGCTCACGGACTTGGTTTCGAAATCCGGTGCGAGTTTTTTGTTCATTGTCGGATCGCGGACGGCGGCGGGGCTTGGTTTGGTTGTTTATCGCTATGTGTGTTATCAATGGCGTTCGTGCAGGGGGTTATGTTGAACCCTTGTTAAATTCTCGCTTTCGATGTCGATTTCGGGACTTCTTCAATGCGTTCCGGACTGGGACGGCTTGGGTATCGTTTTTCGACCCTGGAGCTCTTCATCTCAATATTCTGTGCCGTGGTCACTGGTTAGCTGCTTCTAATACACCCCTGAACCTAATTGCGCTGGTAAAGAAAGAAAACCGACAAGGACCTCTTCATCTGCCCTCTTTGGTATACTGCATATAGACCAGCTTTTGCCCTCCCTTCTCCTGATGTCTGAGCGCAACCTTCGAAACCACAATCTCCAAGTCCAATTTTCACTCCTCGATCAGCTTACAGCCATACAACGCCGCGGGTACAGGACATGAGCATGAACCCGTACTTCTTCCGTGCCGAGTCATATTCTCCATATTCCAATCACATAACGCGCCCCAGAATAAATAACATTGCTCAGCTTACCCCTGTTTGAAGCGAGCCGGCCTGTCTCGCATTTTACAGGGGCCCACGCGAATTTGGTTTCTCAGGTCTTTCTAGCTCAGAATAAACGTCAAGAAATTTGGATTCACTGATCGTAGTCAGTCACTCCGAGGCTTGTACCCTGGATCCTGGAGATACATCCGACGTGGTCGTCTCGCGTTTCACGAAATGTCCATGGGCGGCGAGTAACAGTAAGTCCCCGGCGAGACTCGAGACTCTTGCGACAGTTTGAACGTACTCGCAGTATTTATACCGTCCTGTGTAGACATGTCCCTCTTCATATATCATACCGGGAACTATGTCCATTCCATCCGAACAGAAAGCTCTTATACTCAAGACCGAACGAGGCGACTTCACCATTGGGCCTTATGCCATTGATGAACCTGGACCAGGCGAAGTCCTCGTTCGAATCGAAGCCACTGCTCTTAACCCTATTGATTGGAAGGTCAAAGCGACGGCATACTTGGATATAATCAAGGAGCATCCCGCTATCCTAGGAACTGTCGCTGCAGGTGTTGTTGTAGCTCTCGGTGTGGGCGTGACTAAATTCGCCGTTGGCGACAAGATGTAGGTTCTCAATTTCTCACTCGTGTTCCATGACGCATACGGTATCATGGCGGTTTGTTCATCTTGATGCTTATATCCGGTTTTCACCAAGGGTTCTTTACGAATCGCTTGGGCACATTTAAGCAATACACACTTATCGCAGCTGAGATCGCAGCCAAGGTCCGTTTTTTCCTAAGGTGCCTGCTTCATGCGCGACTGCCAACATTCAGCTCATCTTCAAGTTCATAGATCCCAGATAACGTCACTTTCGACCAGGCCGCTACAGTCCCTCTCGGTATTTTTACGAGTGTCGTTGGGCTTTACGCTCATGGATGGGAATGTGGTGGCGTTGGACTCACACCTCCCTGGAAACCTGGTGGCAGGGGAAAGTATGTTGGGCAGCCGGTTGTGATATTCGGAGGCTCGTCGTCTGTCGGGCAATACAGTAAGTAATCGTGGATAATCAAACACGCTCTAGAATTGATTTTTGACTCTGAGGCTGTTATTCAATTTCAGCAATCCAGCTCGCTAGATTATCTGGTTTCTCACCTATCATCACAACCGCTTCCCCACACAACAACGACCGCGTCAAGGCTCTAGGCGCAACACACACAATTGATCGCCATCACCCCCCTTCCGAGATCATCGCAGAAGTCAAGAAAATCACGTCAGGGCCTATTCAAATTGTCTACGATGCTACCTCGCTCGAGTCAACTCAAAAGACTGCCTATGAGATCGTAGCACCCGGAGGCACGCTCATCCTTGTCCTCCCCAGCTTAATCCCCAAGGAGAAAACGTCCCCAGATAAGAAGATCATATTCACGTACGGAACGGTGCATGCGCCTGAGAATAGGGCACTTGGAATCAGTTTGTATCAGAATATCACGCGGCTGCTTGCGTCGGGCGATATCAAGGTACGTGACATGCTTGAGCTTATTCTCGAGATCTTATTATTTTGAGGATCTGACAGTGAGTTGCGTTATACTGCAGCCGGACCCTGTTGAGGTTTTGCCTGGCGGGCTTGCTGCTATTCCTGAAGGGCTGGAGAGGATGAAGAGAGACCTGGTCAGCGGGAAGAAGCTCGTTGTTCACCCTCAGGAGACCTAGCATGGTACTTTGCGCAATGTGAGAGTAAGTCTCTCCCCGAGTGATACATATAGATGGTTAGGACGTCGTTCAATGGACAATGCAGCGCTAGCTTAGAATGTTCTATTCCCCACTAGCCATGACTTTGCGTGTAAGTACATAATGTTTTCCCTTATCGCTGCAGTTCACTTTGCTATGTAAGTTGCGCAACTGCCAGTGCCTCTGCGGTCCTCAGGCTGGTGGCGTCTCTGAATGCCCACTACAGGCGCTTTCTATGTAGAACTTCCTACAGCTGCGGTTCATATTTACGACGACTGTCTTCCCCTTCGTATAGATGCTGAAACTGAGCCTAACCATGTCCTATATTTTCTACTCTTCGCGCAGATTTCTGATGAATGCTTCTGTAGCTGGATGATTCGTCAACCGACCCTGCAGATTAATTATTCGCACAAACTCGTTGACATTGCTAAGATGTCGCCCCGTCTGCATTGGCTCTATCTCGAAGGCAAACACGTTCATGTTTACTGTGAGCACGTCATGGCACCACCTGCATTCTTTCGTTTGCCTAGGTCGAAATTCCACCCGTTGATGATTAATCTGATTTAGTCGTAAATTTCCGTGGGGTCAATGACCAAGTCTATTCTCTTTGCTGAGTAATGTTTTCTGCATTCTGATTACATAGCACTCTAAAGAATATAGGAAGGTTTTCCTCCTTGTTGAGTTTCAATCCCGGTTTGTAGCAAGCCTCACTATGTACTTGTGAAGCAGGGTTCTGGCCGGATTTCTAGCTCAGAACGAAAGTCAAGGACATTGGGTTGACCGTCGATTCTTTCCGCTTAACCACGATTAACAGTGAAGATGGTATTCCGCGGGTACACTTAGCTTTGTCATCTCTCGACCCACGAAGCATCCACGGTGGCGGCCATGGATTAGTAAGTGCACTAGCGACTTAGAGACTCGCATCAGTTATGGTTTATTCGCAGTATATATACAGCGCGTGGACGTTTCCCGGGGCCCTATTCATACCGAGAAATATGCCCATTCCAAACGAACAGAAGGTTCTTCTGCTCAAGACTGAGCGAGGCGACTTCACCATTGAGCCATATGGCGTTGATAAACCTGGACCAGGTGAAGTCCTTGTCCGAATCGAATCCACTGCTCTCAATCCTGTTGATTGGAAGATCAAAGCATGGGGATACCTACACACAGTCAAGGAGTACCCCGCTATCGTGGGGACTGACGCTGCCGGTGTAGTTGTAGCTCTCGGTGAGGGCGTAACCAAATTCGCGGTCGGCGATAAGATGTAGGTTTTCAATCGTGTCTTTTGGTGCGACGTATAAGGGTTTTATTCATTTTTAAACTTATCTTCAGCTTCCACCAAGGTTATTTCGCGAATCGCCTCGCGACTTTCAAGCAATATACAATCATTTCAGCTGAGATTGCAGCCAAGGTCCGCTTCCTTCTAGTATGTCTGTTTTATGTGACTGCATTCAGCTCATCTTCACAGATACCAGATAACATCACTTTTGACCAAGCCGCTACGATCCCTCTCGGCATTGCTACTGGTGTCACTGGGCTCTACGCTCAGGCACGGGAGGGCGGTGGCGCAGAGCTTACTCCCCTTTGGAAACCTGGCGGAAGAGGAAAGTACGCCGGTCAGCCTATCGTGATATTCGGAGGGTCTTCGTCTGTCGGACAATACAGTAAGTCTCTTGGAGCGATATATTCGAATTAGAGTGAATTCTGACTATCGTTTCGATTACAGCAATCCAACTCGCTAGATTATCTGGTTTCTCACCTATTATCACGACCGTTTCGCCCCACAACAACGATTTCGTCAAGACTCTAGGTGCTACACATACAATCGATCGTCGTCTCTCGTCTTCCGAGATCATTGCCGAAGTCAAGAAGATTACGTCAGAACCTATTAAGATTGTCTATGATGCTATCTCACTCGGGTCCACCCAAGAGATTGCGTATGAGATCACAGCTTCTGGGGGCACACTCGTTCTTACTCTTCCGAGCGAGGTTCCTGACGAGAAGCTAACTCCGTATAAGAAAATAGTTTTCACACTCGGATCGGTGCAGGTTCCTGAGCATAGGGCACTTGGAATTGAATTATACCAGAATCTCACGCAGCTCGTTGCCTCGGGCGAAATCAAGGTTCGTGACACCTTGTACATATTCTTGCTGTTTTGAAGATCTAATATCACTTTTGTTACAGCCAAACCCGGTTGAAATACTGCCTGACGGGCTTGCCGGCATTCCTGATGGACTGGAGAGGATGAAGAAGGATTTAATCAGCGGAAAGAAGCTCGTTGCTCATCCTCAGGAGACTTAAGACCGTATCCTGCTCAACCTGAAAGTGTCTACCTTTCGCCACACATTTCTAGAACATTCTATTTTCAGACCATGATCCTGGCTATCCATTTCTCGCTATGGACTACTATGATACGTAGTGTCCGTTGTACATCATTTAGAGCCGCATACAGCATCAGGAAGCATCCATGGACAGGGTTCCTTCAATTTTGGAATCAATAGGAGCATCTATGCCTGCGCTACCGCTCTGTGTGGACGTACCAGTATCCGATAATGAGCTTCTAGCGGCGAATTGTATGCTTAGATGTAGCTCGGTGTCAGACAACGGGAGTGATGGGGGCTGCTCATAGATTGCTCCACGTCTTAGAAGCCGGAAGACACGACAAGCCATTGCGTTTTGTATCGCAATACCAGGTATCGTCATAGTTCCCCGAATTACAGATGGAATCGAGGGAACAAAAAGAATGACCACAGAGAAGATCGTGACGCCAACGGAGGCCCTGAGGATCACAATAAGCACTGGTATGATTGAACGTAGAGTGCTGTACTGACAGATAATATAACTGACCCGTTTGTAATAGAGCTCTAGATATATGACCTAGACCTTTCCCGCTGATGAAAGACTTCATTTGACCTTGCCAGGAGTCCGCCCATCCAATATAGGTAACCACTCGGACAGATATCGCCACAAAAACGACGGTATCGAAGACGACCACGGCAACGAATGCAAACGCACTAAGGCTTTGAACGTCAAGAAGGCAATGTGGGCTGTGGTCATTGATGGCCTTGATAGTAAAGGGTCCAGCTAGAGATCCCAGTGTGAAAAGCCACAGAACACAAAACATTGCAAATATTTTGTGTGACTGATAAAATACGCCTCTGACCCGGAGGAGAAACAGGAGTGAGTTGCATGGGAGGGCTAGTGCCCCAAACCAATCAGCGATTTTCGTTAGTACGTAGCAGTCAAAATGCGTCACTACCACAATGAATGAGATTTCCCTTTCAGTTGGATTACGGGCATACGCCCACCTGCTAGAATGAGCATGGCTGTTAAGTATCCGCCAGTTGTCACGCTGCACGAGCCGTTGAGGCGAAATAAATGGTATATAGTCCAAAAACACTTACCGTGCTATAACGTATACAACATCTGGAAGGGCCGGAAACCGGTGTTTTCTGAGCATGCATATTTCGCTAGTGATTGATAGCAGCGCGTCCCATATCCATACCTGGAGTTCTTCTTAGAATGCAGTCCAACAAGATGTAAAGACGACCCTTACACCTACGAATCCGACTATCACGTAGCTTGCGATGGTCCCCGCTTTAGCATCACGCTGAGGAGACTCAGTGTTTACAGCGGCAGAAGAGACTGATGCAGATGAATTCGCTTGGATTTGGTCCATCTTCAAAGTGCCATGGATTATTGAGCCAGTTAACTTTGGGTGGCATCGGTTTTGTTCATGGGAAGCGAAACGTGCTTTGAAATGGAGCTGCACTACGTCAGTGAAAGAAAACTGGACGCTGTGTAATAAGATTCCGTAAACAACACATCTCCGGATGTCTGACGCCGACGGTATGCTCGACTTGTCGATCTATCTCGAGACTGAAATCTACAACATGTTGGTCAACAAACTCGAAGGTCATTTAGAGACTGACATGTCGAATTTTAGATTCTAGCCAACGTTGTTCAGTTAAATGTCAATCTCCGCAGAAAATCAAAACCACGCTGTACGTCAGAGGACCTGATGGCCTGCACGATATGAACATGCCATCGGAATATTTAATGTCAGAACCAAAGATCCGACTGTGGAGGTATAGGGTAACACGAGTTCAGTATGCACCGATCTAGGGCGGAGATGACATGCATGGGAGGAATCACAATTGACTTCATTGCAAATGGCGTGGGTTGTATTAGGTGCAACGTTGAAAAAGGTGGCATCCGAATGCAAGCACATGTGAGAATCCCACCCCATCACTTGCGCTGAAATCGAAAGTACATGGTCAAGAAGCGTAAACTGAACAATGTCGACAGGTTGATCACATAGAAATGAACGTTGTAAAGAGACGGTAGGCGCTTGCAAATAACTTAACTAGGTTTATCGCTTGAGAAAAGATAGTATATATTGACCGATACAAAGTAATGCGATCTAAGGATAATAGTATCCCGTTCTATTGACGATAACAACGCTCAGGGATATCCAAATTATCAGAGTTTCCTGGATGGTGATAAATGGGTACTGTGCTGCTACGATGAGTCGGATTCGAGACGCTATTAAGCTTGATATGTTGAGCTCCGCAATAATTGTAAGGGGAATTGGGAAGAGTAGAGTGGGTTCAGGACATTTCATCCTACATCCATCTTGACGACTTGCAGCTGCACTTGCCAAGTACTAGTAGAAGCCATCCTACCATGTTACTTTCCGACATAGCCGATCGTCCACATATGATCTAAAACGAGATCATGCACATGGGAACACTCGTCCAATACCCAGCCCTACGCATCCTTTGAGAACAGCCTTCGGTCGCCTCTTCAGCCTGCCAGGGACCGGTGACGTCGTGAGAGGTATGGTATGTACGGCTCTTTAAACGATCAGACGATTCGGTCCCGAAGTTCTACACACTAGTGGCGTTTCCGTTTGTACTGCCTTCGCCTGGGGACTCGTTGCAGATGAACCGTGGAACTGGAGTTTGAAGCACAGTACAACGTGACGGAAGCGATGAAGGCCGCTCATAAATTGCCCCTTGTCATAGATTCCACAAGACGCGACAAGCCATTGCGTTCTGGATTGCAAGGCTGGGAATCGCCATGGATGCTCGGATGATAGATGGGACGGAGGGAAGGAGAAGGACGACCATGGCAGCCATCGTCACGCCAACAGAGGCCCTTTAAAGACGACGAGCAATAATTCGATCGAGATCAAGTCATGTCGTGCACTGACAGATAGTATAATTGGCCCGTTTGTAGCACAGCTCCGAACACATGGCCGAGACTCTTTCCACTGATGAAGGATCTCATTCGGCCTTGCTAGTTCTCATCCCATTCCGCATATGTGACCACCTGAATAGAGATCGCTAGGAAGACAATGATGTCGAAGACGGCAACAGCCAGAAACCCAAATGCGCTGAGGCGTTGAACATCAAGGACGCAATGTAGCCCATCGATATTGACGGCATCGATAGTGAAAGGTCCTGTAAACGAACCCAAGGTGGAGAGCCAGAGGACGCAGAATGCTCCAGAGATCCAGCGCGACTCATGGAATGCAGCCTTAACACGGAGGAGAAACAGCAGTGAGTTACACGGAAGTGCCAACGCTCCAAACCAATCAGCGGTCTTCGTCAGAGTGTAGCAGCTGAAAGGTGCTACTGTTACAACGATGAGACTCTTCCTAACACGACTGAAGAGATACACTTGCCTGCTAGAAGGGGCATGGCAATGAGGTATCCGGCCGTTGTAATACTGTTCGAAGCGACGTTATAGACCGTTCTGAATGTCGCGTATACCGAACGACTTACCATGCTAAGAGACACACAACATCCGGTAGGGTTGGAAACTCATGCTTCCAGAACATGCGGATTTCGCTGGCGAATGATAACAATACATCCCAGGTCCACGCCTGAAGAATGTTTCTTAGACAGCAAGAGGTCAAGAAAGGCCTCGAGAGACCTACACTCGCAACTCCAATCATGATATAGCTAGTAATGATCGAAAACGTAGCGCTGTGCTGAAGGAAGCTAGAGGGAGAGCCAGAGCCAGTTAAATTTGCAGGTTATCGATCCATTGTCAGGGTGTCACCGATCATTAGACAACATGTCAAGAATGCCGTTGTTTTTATCGTTTGTGGCAACACCTGGTTTGAAATGGGGCTGCACATTCAACGCTAACCAGTGTCACACAATTAACTATCCCCGGATGACGCTGATGGTGCGGTCGATCACAAGTCCGTTCAAAGACTCGACGTGCTGCTGCAGCGCACTGAGTAATGGAACCCGAAGTTGAAGGTAAGTTCGTTGTTCAATCCTAGGCCAATACTGCGTTCGAGTAAGTTTCACCAAGAACGAGAGAAGGCTTTCATTGTCGCAGAAAGATCCAAGAGCAGGTGTCTGATAGGTTCTTTGAAGAGGTTGCCATTTACAATATATCCAGCGCGTGTGCCGGTACTGGTCCTATGTGAGAACACTCCAGGCGGGTACTATAATGTGTAAATTGGCCGCGATTGTGAGCCACCGACCGGCGCCACACCGGGCAAGCACGATGTCGCTTTGCTGTTTTGTTACGTGAGCTTTATTGGCAACAACTGATAAGTAAGGCAAACTAGTTGGGTCTATGGGTAGACGTCCGCTCGCAATCTCTAGGAATGTTGAATATAGCCAGTCCGAGATGATTCAGACACCGAATTGATCCAGACAACGGAGCTTTGACTCGGCGAGCGCAAGAAGAAAGGGAAATGCAAACGAGGTGTCACATTACACAATGATCGAGCGTTGGCGTGTGGTGAAAGAGCACTTAACCAGTGAGAGAACTCGGGCCAGCAAGTACTTACGAGAGTAAAGAAGAGGCCCTGAATATTTTACTCACGTTCCAATTTTGATCGATCGGTAGTTACCAGTGCCGCACCGCCTTCCGACCTGTTCCTACAACCTCAGCAAAACCTCTCTGAATCCTTTGCAATTTGTGAATCAACCTTAATAGTGCAAAGTGCTGTCGTTGTATGGTAGCTGACGGGTTAGTAAGGCTAGTTAATTCCTTTCTTTTTTGTACGACGCGCTGAGTGTTTGTTTGATCTTCATAGTCCATTTAGACTGCCTCTTAAATTTATCGAGGGCGTGGGTCACAGCTTTGTTGAGAGGTAACCCCACGGCAACCCCATTCAAGCAGCGCTTCTTCACCCACCGATGTGAGTTGGAACTGTCGGTGAACACCGGATCTTTTCAGTCAGACCGGACGATTGCTGGACGACGAGGAAATAGGAACCGCGCGTGGTCGAGGACGTTCACACCATTAGGAGGGAAAACGATCAGGCTCTTTGTCATCGACGCTGATCGAGAAACCGAGATAGCATCCTTGAAGTTTGTCTGGCTATTCTGAGCTTTGTAATCTCACGACCCACAAAGAGTCCATGGGTAATGAGTAGGTTGATGGATTGGTAAGTAAGCTTCCGAGAGTCTTGCATCACCTATGGTTTAACCCGCAGTATTTAGCTGTAGACCGTGTGGCTTGCGAAGCTGTTCCCCACTCAACGCATTTCTATCATACCAGAAATCATGTCAATTCCAACTGAACAGAAAGCTCTCTTCCTCAAGGAGAAACAAGGCGACTATACTATCGGGCCTTATGTTGTTGACCAACCAGGACCAGGAGAAGTTCTTGTCCGAGTCGAGTCCACTGCTCTCAATCCTGTAGACTGGAAGATCCAAGCCACAGGATACTTCGTCAACCAGTATCCAGCTATCCTCGGCTCTGACGCTGCTGGTGTAGTTGTAGCTCTTGGTGAGGGGGTGACCAAATTCGCTGTCGGCGACAAGATGTAGGTTCCTAACCATGTTGCGAGCTGGTCTATGAGGGTTTCGTTGATCTTAACATTTATCTTCAGCTTCCACCAGGGTTTTTTCACGAATCGCCTGGGCACGTTTAAGCAGTACACTGTCATTCCAGCTGAGATTGCGGCAAAGGTTCGCTCTTCTGTTGAGAGTTCACCATAATACTTATACTCAAGTCCTCTTCATAGATACCAGATAATCTCACTATTGATCAAGCCGCTACCATCCCTCTCGGTATTGCTACAGGTGCCATTGGGCTCTATGCTCATGGATGGGAACGTGGTGGTGCTGAACTCACTCCTCCATGGCAAACTGGTGGCAGCGGAAAATACACTGGTCAACCAATCGTAATCTTCGGAGGGTCTTCGTCCGTTGGACAGTACAGTAAGTCTTAAACTTTGTAACGTATAGACTTTGTTGTGACTCTTGGTTTGCATTCAGCAATCCAACTCGCCAGGTTGTCGGGTTTCTCACCTATCATCACGACGGTTTCGCCCCATAACAATGATCTTGTCAAGGCTTTGGGCGCAACACACACAATTGATCGTCGTCTTTCGCCTTCCGAGATTGTTGCAGAAGTCAAGAAGATCACGACAGCGCCTCTCCAGGTCGTCTATGATGCCATCTCGCTCGGCCCAACTCAAGAGGCCGCATATGAGATCGTAGCTCCCGGAGGCACGCTCATTCTTGTCCTGCCTAGCTTAATCCCGAAGGAGAAAGCGACTCCTGATAAAAAGGTCATCACTACGTATGGAACAGTGCATGCTCCTGAGCATAAGGCACTTGGTGTTAGTTTATATCAGAATCTCACACAGCTTTTTGCCTCGGGCGATATCAAGGCAAGTTGTAGTCATTTTCTTGCCATTTCGGAGACCTCATCTTGATTTTGTTATAGCCGAATCCTGTTGAGATTTTACCTGACGGGCTTGCCAGTATTCCTGAGGGATTAGAGAGGATGAAGAAGGACCTGGTTAGCGGGAAAAAGCTTGTTGCTCATTCTCAAGAGACTGCTTAAAGTGATCATATTATATTGTGCCTAGGACGCAAGTATATGTGCGGCGAAAAATCCACAAACATCGCGGAACGGACAATATAATCATTGAAGATCCTAAATATTTTACGAGTCTGTGGTGTCTCCTTTGCGCTGCAATCCGCCGTTTCAGAGGGGGCTGGTTAAGAACCAACGCGCGTTGCAGGACTTGAAGCCGATTTATTCCTGGACATGCTGAGAGGGTCCGGGTTTCTCTCGACAACCTGAAGGCTCGAACTAGATATAATGGGCGCTTGCAGCGGGTACTTCTCCGGAAGGTTGGAAATCAGTCAGCGACAAACTTGACATGCTTGACAGTCGAGACGTTATGCACCAGGCCAAATTCTCACGTAATACGTGCTAGATCCTTGAATGAGAGTAGTAGCTCGGTGAGTGCTACCCGAGCCCGCTTGCGTCATTGAGAACCCATATATAAAGTCGCGCTATTCTAGCCACCGCTTAAAGACCACACTTTATGAACGTTTACAGCTCGTACATACTGTAGATACTCATCGACATCCCTCGACCCTATTTCATCATGACACTACCTACTAAGCACAAGGCACTTGTCCTCAAAGCCCAGAATGATCTAAGTATTGAAACCTTCGATGTATATCATCCCGAAGCGGGAGAACTCCTCGTTCGTGTCGAAGCCGTTGCTCTCAACCCAGCAGATTGGAAGCTCCGAGATCGGGGATTCCAGAGATATCCTACCGTACTCGGGCTTGATGCCGCAGGCGTTGTTGTTGCAGTTGGCGATGGCGTCAAATCAACTGCTGTCGGCGACAAGATGTGTGCATCCACCTTTCTTTACCTTCCTGCTGAATCGCATGTAAACCAACTTATGTTCTGCTTAGATTCTACGCTGGGTACCTCAGCGATCTCAGCCTTGGCACATTCCAGCAGTATAACAAAACGCGACCAGAATTTGCCTCTAAGGTCGGTACCCGTGTATAGCTTGTTGGGATCACCTGGTTGATCGCATTTAGATTCCTCCCAATCTTACTTTTGAGCAGGCCGCAACGATTCCACTTGCATTGACTACCGCTGCAACCGGGCTATATGGCAAGGTGCAGCCAAGTGGTGGTGCAGGCCTGACACCTTCTTGGACGCCCGAAGGAAGAGGGAAGTATGCAGGTCAACCCCTTGTTGTCTTTGGTGGATCCTCCTCAGTTGGGCAATATGGTATCTCTCTTGAATTCTACGTATTTCTGCTTGGTTTTAATAATCATGCATAACAGCCATTCAGTTGGCGAAGCTTTCTGGATTCTCGCCAATCATCACCACTGTGTCCTCATACAATGTGGAACTTGTCAAGTCTTTGGGCGCGACGCATACTATCGACCGGCACCTCTCCTCCAGGGAGATTGCCAACGAGGTCAAAAAAATTACTTCGGAGCCCGTCAAGGTTATATACGATGCAATATCATTATCCGAGACGCAGGATGCTGCATACGACGTTCTTGCATCCGGAGGTATCCTCATCATTGTCCTAGGTGCCAAGGTCGATAAGGACAAAATTACACCAGACAAGAAGATTATCGGCACCCATGGATCATGCTACAGCCCTGTAAACAGAGAGCTTGGGATCAGCTTGTGTAGCCACCTTACGGAGCTTGTCGCTTCGGGTGACATCAAGGTAGACTTGATTTTGTCATATGAGTCGTAACACCTCATACTTAGAGCTCATTCCTTCATTATAGCCTAACGCTTCGGAGGTCGTGCCTGGAGGTCTTACCAGTATATCGAAGGCGTTAGACAGGTTGGCGAACAATGCGATCAGTGGAAAGAAACTTGTGGTTCATCCTTCCGAGACAGTCTGAGTTATTGGCCTTCAGATATACCTATTCACGATGCATGTGCAATACAATAGCCATGGGGTTAAGACACATTTACTCGCTATCATGACTGCTGGTAAACTGTACGAGACTCGAATGAGTAGTCGCGCGTTCAAGTCACGCGAAACGCACGTGGCCCTAGAAGCCTTTAGTTCGAAGCTGCTAAGCTTTCGAGAACAACTTAGCTTGCACTTAACCACCATTGACCTCCGCTTGAAACTAACTAACTTGGCATAAGTATCGTTCAGGAATCTGGGCACTGTTAGTACATTCGTACGCTATTGTACTCCAGTCATATTACTTTCTAGTGGCGAAAGTACTCACGGAACGCTTAGTACTGCGGCATTGAAAGCAACCCTCGCCATATGGCCAATGAATTGACTCGTTACAATGAATTTTGGTTCGACGATGGAAGCATAATTGTACTGGCTGCAGATGTAGCGTTCCGCCTGCACAAAGGTATACTCTCCCGCCATTCAACTGTCTTCCGGGATATGTTCTCTGTGGCGCAACCCGTCGACAGCGGAGCCACACTTGACTGCTCGTTGGACGGAGTACCTCTCGTACACGTCTCTGATACTAGGGAGGACTTTGAAAGCATAGTATCAATATTGTATGATGGTGGTGTTAATCTCAGAGAGTCAGTACAAAGTCAGACGTATTCATTATAAGTGGACGCTAATTTTGCGTCATTGGCAGATTCTACAGCAATGGACTGTGGCCCCTTCCCTTTTCTGTCGTTTCAGCCTTCCTCCGTCTGGGATCCAACTACCAGATTGATCATCTTCGCGCAGAAGCAATACACCGTCTACGCATCTGCTTCCCTACACGACTCTCCCAGTACAAGGCAGAGGCATTCAGTAATCTCACATCGCAAGAGGCCCAGAAACACTCCATACCCATTATGATGTCGTTTTCGGATGCCATCGAAGTCATCCAGCTTGCGCAATCGTTCGATCTAGCCGACATTTTGCCGAGTGCTTTCTATACTTGCGCTCAACTCCCGACAAGTCAGCTATTCGATGCTGTATCTGCTGGTCGGTTGTCTCTCAGAGACCTTCAAAGGATCATCGAAGCTTTCCCCCGATTGACAAGGGTGAACAAATTCAAGCTTTCCCGTCTGATAAGGCGGGCCACTAGTCCAACGTGCCATCACCGCAATCTGTGCAGGTCTCTCATGCACGAAATCATAGAGGGCCTCTTCGATGCAGGCCCAGTATTCGATGATGGTGTTAGAGAATGTTTCTGCTACGACAGGACGTGGCTCACTACGATCCAAGCGAGTGGGTTGTGTGCTTCACGGAACGTATTGCAGAGACTGGGGAACAGAAAGGAGAACTGTGGAACAACTTGGCTTCTGTGTTCGGCCTAACCGATGTTGAATGGCCCGTTCCCTATGCAGGCTCCGATAACTAAATGCGATTTCGATCTCCCCCCATTTTTTGCTTCCGGCATGAATGGTCTCGAGCACAGGAAATGGAATGCAGTTGACACTTGGCATGACATTCCAGCTTCCATGGCCTCCTGAACGACGAACTTGGACTCTAAGATTCCTAGGAACGCTAGGAGATCCCAGGCTCTGGTTTATTTTTGTTCATGCTAACGACTCTCAGTCTCTCACATGCAGGATGCATATGACCTGGCTAGCCATATATTGAACTCAGATTGCCTCTTGCGCCGAACCGTGTACGTGCTCTTCCAGCGTGGTTTACGTCCCACACTGCCCTGAATATCGAAGTAACGCGAGGAAGCGTATTCTAGAACGGAGTGTGGCACTTGGTGGGCGTTTCCCCAACCGGCGGAGCTCCTGGACTATGGGATCCTGTCGGGCGAACAACGTTAAGAATCGAAGTATACCGGCACTGGTATACCACCGGTGCACGTTTATAGCAAGGACTTTATGTATAAAAACAATGTATGTGATTTCGTCTGAATAGCAGGACCTGTATCATTGGTGTGTACGCCTTTCTTTACACTATGCCAGACTCATTTACATGACATTATAATAGAATTCTTATCACGCAATCTCCGCTTTCATAACTCCAACCGGCTTTCAGCCATATTTGTGACCAGTACGTGTATCCTCTCGTTACCTCATATAGTCTCTCAGCGTAGATTTACAGTGGCGAACAACGGCAAACTCACCTTCGCATTATCACTCAGCGAGGCTAAGAAACAAGAAGTTTGGACGTTCCTTACTACCACCGTCAGCCAGGGAGAGGAAATACGATGGGCACTCCAGAATACCATCAAGGAACATCACGTTGTGCTCATCGAATACTGGCACAAGTCCAAGGATCCGCAGGAACATCTCACTGCGTCTATCATGCACGATATCTACGCCGAGGACATCGTTCACGTTTATCGCGATGGGAAGGTGAAAGTGATCGACGAAGGTCGAGGCATCTACTATACTACCGAAGAGGGAGACGAAGTAGGTCCTGGTGGAAAGACGAAGAAGAAGAAGGTGTGGAGATTCAAGGATGGAGGGAGGCCCGTCAATGAGGACACGTTTACTTTGGAAGTCTTCAAGGATATCTTCGGTTAAGTGACAGTTCGTGTATCTCTTGCCTCGACTCGGAAGAGTTAGCGAACCTGTAGGAATGTCAACTTGTACGAACGGAGCTTGGAACACGTATCTCGGCACATTGACAGCCCATCGAAATACATGCATTCATTGTATTAGCAGTTGCTGGCTGCTCGTCCTCGCGTTCAAACCAGTGATGGGACTCCAAGTAGAAGCTTCCCGAAACGAACATCGGTGAGGTTTGCGTGTACCGATCGAATCCGCGCTTGACAGTAACCCTATGTTCTTCAAATTTGTTCCTTCACAGTCACTAGTGAGCTTCTCAAGCCCTTTCTCCTGGCTGACAGCTCATATCTTCGGCTCAGATTCTATCTTGCAGGCCCTATACATTGGACGAGCATAAACCCAAGAGTTATAGTTTCATATTATACGCTCGTTCTAACAATGGCCCGTCGAATGCAAGGGCCATCAAGATTTGCTCTCAGACTTTGCACGCCCTTCATCCATGGTCAGCGAGATGCCCCGGACCTAGGCTCGCTTCCAGCCTCTAGATACTTTCGGAAGACAATCGTTCCTTCGTCCCCGGACCTGCTCTTTGAAGAGAGAGCCTGATGACACGTATTGTGAAAACTCATGGACTCGAAAAGAAAGATCACAATCATAGATCATTTGGGCAAGGCACATTTGATTACATTTAAGGCCCAACTTGTTGATTCGCTGATTGTGGTGTCACTTGCAGGATATCGGACGTGCGGTACCTTTTGCCTATCTTTCCAGTCAAACCCTTATCCGTATAGTGGAACTCGTCATAGTGATCAAACTTTCAACCGCATGTGGAGTGACTGCGCAACCGTGTGTGCATGTTATAAGGAATGTAGGATTGCTGATAGGTATAAAGAGGCTCATTTTTCTCTCACAGTCCAGCAATACGTTAGTGTTCGTACAGTCTCGAAGTGTGTTTTTCCTCTTCGTTCGCTGGTTCGCCTTGTACTCAGCTCACAATAGATCTCGTATACCCATCGCCCTTGCCTGTTCCCCCACAGACAAGTAAGCTTATCTTTTCTTTCCCGCAGAATCTCATACATGGACACTTAGTTCGGATTCACAGTGAATAGTAGCCGCTACGGCAAGCTTACCTTCGCATTGACAATCGAAGATGAGAAGAAGCAAGAAGTTTTCACCTTTCTGAACACTAGCGTCAGTGAACAAGCCCTACGCTGGACGCTCTCAAATCCGTATCCAGACCACTACGTCGTGCTCACAGAATACTGGCACGAATCTAAGGATGCGCATGTACACCTCACGGTGGCGATCATGCGTGGTGTTTTCCTAGAGGACATGTACCACGTTTATCGCGACGGGGCGATAAAGTTAATCGAAGATGGGAAGGGCATTTATCACAATACTGAAGAGGGAGGCAGCGTGGAATATAAGGGAAAGGCGAAGGAGAAAAGAGTGTGGAGGCTGGTTGGCGGTGGCATGCCTGTCACTTCGGAGACGTTCAAGGAAAAAAATGCAGATTTCAGGAATGTCTTTGACTAAGTGATCATCTAACTATTTCTACCACATTCGCTTGTTTTATAACAACGTTGAAGCTGAGCTCATAGCATTTCACCAGATTTCACCCCGTGCAATCCACGTGATCGTGTCTGGCCAGTGGCAACTTGCTAGTGGCCCGCTGCATATGCTAGTATTCTTTCAGCCTAACAGCATCATACTCATCAACTATCACTAGTAAACTGACCCTGCAAACGAAACGTCTGTTGTGCTCAATATGGATGCCTACATCCGTCATCATGACTTCTGGTTCGATGATGGCAACATCGTCATTCTAGCAGAAGACACCGTATTTCGACTTCACAGAGGTGTTCTGGCCCGACATTCTGAAGTCTTTCGTGACATGTTTGGCCTGGCGCAACCTCTGAATGAACATCTAATAGATGAACTGCCCGTGGTTGAGGTTCTCGATACGTCAGAGGACTTCACCATCCTTCTGTCGGTATTGTACGATGGTGATCTGAGGAGGTAAATGTGACTTCGCTCTTTATTACTCACATGCTTTGTAACTGAAGGACCTCTCGTTCGACAGAATTCTAGGCGCTCGCGAACCACTTCCACACAGCGGGGATCATTCCTTGCAACCTCCGGATGCAAGGAAATAACATCGAGAAAACATGGAAGTACCTACCATATATGGTAATTGCACGTGACCTCTTTCGATGTTTTTCCTATGTTTTTACCTTGCATCCGGAGGTTGCAAGGAATAATTCCTGCTGTGCCATTCCCCACTGTCTCCGCTTTTCTTCGTCTAGGCTTCAAGTATCATATCGCCGTCATACGTGAAGAGGCGATATATCGCTTAGGGCTCTGTTTTCCGACAACGCTAGAAGACTATGATCCGGATATCTTTATGCAACGCGAAATGCCAGATGTGCGAAGAATCAAACGAGGCTGGCTGCCTATCGCTCTGAAACGATCGGATGCTATCGAGGTTGTCAATCTTGCGCATTCGTTCGACCTTGACAATCTCCTTCCTTCCGCTTACTACGTTTGTGCGCAACTGCCAACCTTTAAGTTATGCTACGCAGTAGAGGAAAACCGATTGGATACCTTGGACCTTATCCGCATCTTCGATGGCCACAAGGAACTGACCATGCTCGAATTTCAAAAGACCTCAGTACTTTTTCAACAGAGGACCAGTGAACAATGCAAGACCGTAGAGTTTTGTCAAACAATCATGGGAGATATCGCTTTAGAGTATCATCCTGACAAAGAAACACTAACCTTCCAAGAATGTTTCAAAGCACCTAAGGATGACGGTTCATGGTGGAAATCACTCGCAGACGATGGTCTATGCCAAGGGTGTCTGGAACATGTGTCGCAGGAGTATGCAGAGGAGATAAACTGGATATGGAGCAATCTCGCTGAGATTTTCGCGCTTGACATACCATGGCCTCCCTCTGGTAGTTGACCGTCTGGATTAGTACTACCAGAACTTTGCGGTCGATAAGATGGGATAATACCAGACGGAGCTATAATACAGTTTCCTTGATCATTTATCATGCGTTGTCAGAACGTATCTTTAACATGCTCTCTACAATTTGTTCCGCACTCGGCCTTCTAGCAGGATCATGCGCCCAACACGAACATGCTAGTAACCAGAGCGCTTCAGACATCCCAGGGCTATCATCGGTTTCCAGAGGTCGAGAGGGTCGGACTTGATCTCGTGGCACGCGGATGAGCACTTGCATATCTGAAAATCCATCGAAAGGTACTTTTCCAGTGAATAACTACCGAAAATGAAGTGTGAACATCTGGTCTTCTGGCGGGCGTTCCAGACATACTTCGATCATAACACAAGCGAAAGAATACATATCACTTGCGAAGCTTGGTTGAGGATCATCATCTGTGTCGATCAGCTCAGGAGCTGTCCAGCGGACGGCGCTACAACCTTGCTGGTTGAACGTCGAGTCTGCTCCCTTGATTTCTGCCATGCCAAAGTCGGCCAGACGAACACCCCAGTCGGAATCCACGAGTATATTGGGCTGTAACACACGTCAGTGACGGTATTTTCCCGCCAAGGAGGTCCACCTACACCGCGTAAATCTGCATGAATGATATTCTCTTGGTGCAAATAGGCTAATCCTTGACCAATTTCCAATAGCTACATTATAAGTTAGCAACGCAAAGAACTCGAAATAGGTGGGTGTCGACACACCCATCTATGTAGTTGCAGTTCCAAGGTATGGATAGTGACGCTCTTCGTTTCTTTCAGCGTATCAATCATATGGCGGATATTTCCGTACCGCATCCATGGTAGAATCATACACAGACTCGGCTTGAAAGTATGATCGTCGATCCCGAGAAATGGCAGAATGTAAGGATGACACAGGTTTCGCCACAACAATGCTTCATGCATGAAAGCCTGGAATCCATAGATATGACCGCAGGCCTAGCTAGCAATGAAATTCACTCACTGCCTTCAGCTCATCTTTTCTTGACTCATCTGAGCTGGAGAATACCCGGAGGCGTTTGAGGGCAACTTTTTGAGAATCGTAGACACCTCTGTAAATGTCTCCAAAGCTTCCAACTGCAACACAGTCCGTCGACGAACAAATAACACCAGTGAGGTGAAGCGAAGCCGGTATTAAGTTGCACTGCAGAGTGAGATCATATATCCTGCGTGCAAGCTCGCTCCGAACTTGCGAGTGAATGGGATTTGCCTGGTTACTTGAAGGCCAGAGGTCCATGTCATCTAATATCTGCGAAACCGAAAGTGAGTCTATAAAATGTCGAGTATTACAGTGAGACGATTACGTCTTGCATCACGTCAAGAAGTTCCGGACTTCCTAGATCACTTGGCGTCCAGTGCAGAGAGTGGTCTGAAATCTCAGGATAGAATACGGTCTGCAAGATGCGAACGCGCTTCTCTCGCTCAGATCGTGGTATTTCGTTGCTCAAGCGAACGAGGTTAACAATCCTGGTGAGAATCTGAGATCGACTCCCTTCCTAACAAAATTTTGATCAAGTAGATCGTGCCCAGCGGAAAGGGTTTGTGGCTTACTGTCTTCCAGGGCGTGTCACGAGGGATTGAAGTTGGGATTGTGGCATCGGGTGAGACATCCAACGCGGAGGGAGAAGAATCCAGTACTTGAGGATGAGCGTGCAGTGATGTACGCATAACAGGATCTGTCAAGCGTGAGCTTCTAGTTTGAGGGATTCCGACTGCGTCACAGCCGTTGTCGATTTTCTCTTTGGGAAGGATCGACTTAGAACTCCTTGTAGGTACAATGATAAAAGCGGGCCTGATACAATCCAAAGAAGATATGACGATCTCTTCGCATTTGAGGTCCCTTCCAGGTAAACCGATGATTGAGTCATAGCCTTGCGGCGGTCCACGCAATTGTGGCATAGCGCGATGAGTCTTAAAAGACTTTCCTAAGAGAACCTTGCTGACAAGAATGATGTCCTGCTCGGCTTTGCGCCCCGAAACATGACCTTCAAGAGAAGGGGTTAGGTAGATCCCGGAACCGAGCCTAAACAGAACCATCAACGAGATCCGCACTATCAGAGCAAACAGACTAACGGGCCATGCTTAATCCTTATCACTAGATTTCAAGGTGAGTTTGGATCCAGGTTCTGCCGCCGGATGTCACATACAAGGGGAAGAGAGTTTCTGCGGTGTGCGTATGTTGAAACAGAATCTACATCCAGCTAAAGTGCAGAATTTGAGGCGATCGGCGGAGAACGAACATGCGTTTGAAACCGAATGAAAGAGGAGCGTCTCCTCTATCGATGTTGCTAGTTTCGCTCTGTGTGCACAGTAAGATATGTCTGAAGCTGTGAAGGCCAATACTCACTGACATGACCGATACGGGACATAAACCGTCTCAGGGTAGCAAATTTCATATATCTCCACTGGGTTTGCGGAAATCCTCAACCAGTCTTGAGAGACCGTAGTAAATGTGATGAGCTTTGCAGAGGTCATAATCACAGGGCGCCGAGTGAAGAGACTGACTGACCATCAAAAGCGTCCGTCCGGGTGGGATCAGACCACCTTAGATCAGGATATATACCCTGGCCGTCCATGTCATAGTCACCTAAGTCGTTGATTGGATGGCTTCACTACGCTACCAACGTGACTCGGACACTGAAATACTTACCAACAACTGCACTACAGATAGATGAACGTTAAACGTTTACTAAACCTCCGTAAGCTGGGAAAGGATACAACCCCCAGTTGTGAACCTTACAAGCGTTTCCAGAGATAGATTCAATCACGGAGAAAAGTCACAGTTGAAAGTCCCAATCCATGGAAGTATTGGCATTGCCAATGATAGTACGGTTAGAACCACATAGACGCTTCATCAGGCTTCGCCATAATTAGAGGCCGTGGGAACATCACAGTTGCAGTGAGTTGGTATTCGACTGGCCAAGCTTGAATCTATGGATCTCCAGCTTCTATCTAAGTTATGCAGAATGGATTCATGGGTCCGGAAACACAACTGCAATTTTACTCTACTATAATTGACTGACAGAGATAGGCCAGATTCACATCCTCTACCCTAGATATTGATAACCACAGTCCTAAACATTCGAGGCGTTGACGATAAATGCCTTTCAACTCACTCTGTCCTCGAATCACCCATGTTCTGTGCATTTTAGGCTTTACTTCCACGAAGACCGCTTGACAGCTCGCCTGATGTATTCAATTACCCGGCTCAGAACGCCGCAAAGGTATTTTTTCGATGCATACCCTCACATTACGTCCCGATCAGCCACTGGCAGGGCGTCGCCACAGGACAAATTACGCACCCGATGAGGTGTATACACGACAAGTTATATAAATGGGTCTTTATATAAACCTCATTCACATAGAGATGGCATGCTGGTTCGTCAGCCTTAATACGCTGTAAGCCGTGTTGATTTTTTGTCGATTGTTTTGATATTGGGAATTCTGAGTGTCTATTCATAATTCAGATCACCGTCATCTCGAAGATAAGTACGAGAGATGATTATCTTTTCGTAAGAAGACACCATCCCATAGTAATCTTAAAGTGCTTATTAATGCCGTGCCGGAAGGTGAGCGTAGATTTATTACATATACTATCAGTGTCTGGCCAGTTGTTGAGCGTGATTAATGATATTGGTATTCATAGTTACAGACGCGTTAAACTTGCTGACACGAATACGCAACACTGTCGCAAGAAATAAACGCGTTTCGCTGCTTATGCAGCCATTAGTAAGTGAGTTCGGCTTGTTCGCGCTCCTAACTCATGTTGTAGAAGTATATGAACTGGCGGTAACAGTCGAGTAGAAAGTACGTTCGCTGAAACCGCCATTCGTGAACCATGACTATTCCCACCGAACAGAAAGCTCTCATCCTTCCTGAGAAGCAGGGACAGTTTGTCGTTGCTACTTGGCCTGTAGACAAGCCCGAAACTGGCGAAGTTCTCGTTCGTATTGAAGCGACCGCTCTCAACCCTGCCGACTGGAAAGTTCAAGCATACGGTGGCTTGGTGAATGAGTACCCTGCCATCCTCGGATTTGACTCCGCTGGTGTCGTCGTTGCGGTTGGCGAAGACGTTGCTTCTCCACTTGTCGGAGACAAGATGTGGGTCACGATGCTCCGGCATTCAGACATGTCTCTAGGCACTGATGTCGATCCCAGTCTCTTTCAGTCAACGCTGACACCTCGGCTCGCTGGCTTCAAGCAATACACCATTGCCAAGGCTAACGCTACTGCACAGGTATGTTGATATCATTAAGCGGGATTATTTGCAAATTAATAGATGTTGCATTGCAGATACCTGACAATATTAACTTTGACCAAGCCGCTACGGTCCCGATTGGTCTTGGTACAGCAGCCGTTGGGCTGTATGCCAGATCTTGGGCTCGCGGCGGTGCGGATCTTATTCCAGGATGGGAAGCGGCCGGCCGTGCCAAGTACACTAACCAGCCTATCGTCGTCTTTGGGGGATCTTCCTCCGTCGGACAATATGGTCAGTTCATTGCCATCTCAACTTGCAACCAGTTAACTGAATATTTCGTCCTCTAGCCATCCAACTCGCCAGGTTGAATGGCTTCTCGCCCATTATCGCTACCGTATCTACGCACAACAATGACCTCGTTAGGTCCGTTGGTGCGACCCATACTATCGACCGCCGCCTCTCTACATCCGCGATTGTCAGTAAGGTCAAGGAAGTTACTTCCGAACCAGTCGAAGTCATATTCGACGCCATCTCCATTGCTTCAACCCAGGAAACAGCCTATGAGATTTTGGCTTCTGGAGGCAAGCTGGTTCTTGTTCACCCTTCTTCCATTCCCCAGGATAAGGTTAAAGCGGACAAGACGGTCATCAATACTGGTGTCCTCGCTCCTGACAATAAGCCAGTCATAGAGAACCTCTACAAACGTCTCACACAGCACTTGGCTTCCGGTGATATCAAGGTAAGCACCATCTGGGCTGCATATGTCCTCCGATATCTAAATGGACATTGTGCAATAGCCAAACGCTGTCGAGCTTTTGCCAGGAGGACTTGCAGGTATCGCTAAAGGTCTGGAGAAGATGAAGAATGACGCGATTAGCGGGAAGAAACTCGTTGCCCATCCTCAACAGACTGTTTAGGCGTCGTGATCATTTTGTTCATGTATTAACAAATTGAATGATTCTTTTCGTATGCATGCGACCAATTGCGAATGCTGTCTATATTCCGGCGCACATGTAAATCTGATGAGTTTGTTAGTGAAGATACTGAGATGCAGCTTGAATCGTATGGCAAGGGAACTGAATTACGGCTACAGGGAAAGGTATTGATACATCTTCCCGTGTTTGAATACAAGTTACAACTTAGGAAGCCCGCCCTGCAATGGGAACCTTCCGTATGTTGGCTATCGCACGGAAGACAAGAATCAGAATTGAATGTGTAAGACATGCGGGCATAGCAGGTACTCACATCAGGTGCAGGTTTGTTCCCGAGGATAACCTCAATCTTCTCCAAAACCTCTGGAGTCAACTTCGGGATGACTTCCAAAGCCTTCAAGTTCTCAACGACTTGTTCGGGCTTTGAAGCACCCAAGATGACTGTAGATGTATTCGGATTGACAGCGATCCAAGCGAGTGCGAGACTGGATACGGAAGCGTTGAGTTCTACACAAAAAGGCGGTATCGGATTAACAATTTTTTACGTTGATGGAGAAACGAGCTTCGTACCCTTCTCTGCGAATTCGGACAATTGTTTGATCTTATTGATCTGATCTTTGCCCTCATCAGAATCAAGCCATTTCTTCAAGCCCTCGAATAGTGGGCCTTTCTCGATAGCTAGACGAGAGTCAGGCGGAACCCCGTTATTATACTGTTGACAGTTTTAGTATTTAATCAATGGGTACTTTGGAATTAGAATGACTTTGCCGGTGAGAATGCCTTGAGCAAGAGCAGAGAACACAGTTGTCCCCAAGTTGTATTTGCGGTACAAGGGTCTATAAATTTATTAGTCAGGGAACAAACAAAAAAAGCTTATAATGAAATAGGCGCACTCGTATTCCTTCTCGGGTCGTTCGCGATGGAACATGCTACGGATACCAATATAAGCTCCTTGTCTGGCTTGTACTGGAGTTGAACGACCTACTGGTGTTTGCATTGCTCAGCGATGGGTGCAATTAAGCCCAGTTTCGTGGAAACATCTGTTTGGTGCAATGTCATTTCAGCATCACATGTGCTGATTCAAAACCACATACGGTGAGCCTCAGCAATTTCGTACGCGGACCATTCCGAAGTAGCCCAGTAGAACGCCTGAATGCTAGATCAATGATCCATAAGTGTAATGAGTTTTGATGTCATACCCAGCCCTTTTCTATGACGAAGTTGAAAGCCCGCACAACCTCCTCCATGGGTACTGAGGACGAGATCAGGAAAATGTACACCCGGCTTGTGACACCAAAACAAAAACTTACTAGTGGGATCAGGACGATGGGCGAAGATTACATCTACGTAGTCTAGTTGAAGCCGCTCAAGAGACTCCTTGGTGCCTTCTATGATACTGGTGACGGTTTTCAGAATAGTCAATGTGTGATGTGTTTGCTGAAACAAGAAACACCTACTGCTTCCTGGATAATCCTCCGTCATTGGGGCCATCACGTACACCCCAAAAGAGCTTAGTTGTAACAATCAAATCCGAGCGACGAAATCCAAGCTCTTTGATAACACGCCCACTAGGGGGGCCGATGAGTTATTGATTACTTCAATGCGATGTTCCCGAAACACGTACATCTCGACCTCCGATTGCCCCTTTGCGTACGCCTCCGCGGTATCGAACATATTGATGCCATTGTCGAAAGCAGTCTTGATGATCTCCTGCATGTGACAGAGATCGTTTGTTCATGCCCGACATCACTGCCCTCAGATACGAAAATACGAACCTTCACAGGATCACCCTTTACCGAACCACCAAGAGTCAACCCTACCAGGCAGGTCAATTAACAACTGAACGAGAATAGTTCGCTGGAAATATCGAGAACTGGCACTTACAACCACCCAAAGAAAAGAGAGGGACTCGAAGACCACTCGAACCGAGCCTTCGAAAGGGCATGTTTCCAGCCTTGAATTCAAGTGCCATGTTTGGTTGTTAATATTCTTGCTGGTTATTGCAGGGCACAGGCAAAGAAACCGAATGATAGCGACCCTCCAGAGTGTTCAGTCAGGGCAGTCACGTCAAGAAGGATGGCATTTATAGCTTCCCCCGGACAATTCTCGGTAGAAAATACTTTGCGTTTGAATTTCGTCAATATTGATCAGCAAAGCCTACTCCGTACTTTGAGGGTAATTCCATTCTGCACAAGTCTTGCAGCCAGTGATAAGTCAAAGAGTGAATTATTGCGCCAAGTTCATTGAAATGGCGTCAAGCTGGGCATGATAACGATGACCGGAGTTACGGCCCGGTGACTGCCCTTCAACGCTCGTGTGGCCACCGTTCGGACTTCATCTTATACGATCTCTTTCACAACATACAAGTTACTGCTCTTGTCAAGAAATAATATCCAAAGGCGACCGGTCAATTTTCTACTATGCCTCCCTTTCAAATCATACCGAAACGTCGCAGACGAGGTCTAGGATCCAGCCTTCGAAACCAAATGCACTTTCCTGTTATCAACATGTGTCCAACCGAGGAGAACATCGGAAAATCCTTCTATGCCATGCAAGATGGCACTCGACTGCGACACTGGTGTCTTCTTGCCGAAATCATAGATGGTTTCAAAGAGGATGGAATTCTCATGCTCGAAGTCAGGGATGCTGCCAGGGAGAAGTGCTTTGTCGCGTTCCGCGATAAGAACGATCAATATGGGGGACACCAGTTCGTGGACCCTGATATTACTAGCGAGAGCAGGAAGATGAAAGGTCGCAAGACCATCGCTATTTTGTACCCAATCCTTCGGTATGACTTGCCGGGGAACAGGAAAGGATTTATAATTGACGATATTAGCAACTTTACTGTAAGCCTTAGTCCAACAATATTCTATCTGGCAAATTCTCACCCGTGTGTTCTTTAGCCCATTCCTCATAGTATAGTGGAGCTGTATGATGCAAATGACAGGCTTCGGGAAGTTGCAACCGAATGCTGCTTGAGTGGTTGCTCACAAAAGGAGAATCTCAAGGCTTGCTCCGTATGTTATGTCGTTAAATACTGTGGCAGGGTGCGGAATGTTCATTCTTTTCTGTAATTCGTTCCTAACGAAGACCCGTTCAGGACCATCAAACAAAACACTGGAAAGTGCACAAACCTGAATGCAAAGCTAACGAAGCTCTTCGGTGGTTTACTCAGAGGGATTGGACTCATTACGATTCAAAGTTCTCGTTTCCATGATGTTTGGGTCCGGTAAGTTGATTTGTCTGCTCGGGCGAAAGAGCCAGGGCTAGCTAGCTGGTGTTGACGGTGCTTTGCAAGTTTGCTTTCTTGCAGTGGTTGACCATGTTTTCGCCGTTCTGTTCATGCTATTCGTTCATTTCTCGTCCCCATTACCTTGACCCATCGGACTATGTGCCCCCAACCGTGGCTTTAGAAACCTCAATCAACTCTGGTTTGTTCTCGTGTTCCAGTCGTTGTCGTAAGAATACTTCTTGCAAAGGCCGTATCATGATCGTCAATGTACCGCAAGATCTACCGCTAGGATACTCAATTTCGGTGCTGATCTCTGCACATCGTCGCCGATCAGATCATGTGAGTCCTCCGTCTGAAGCACCCATAAGAGACTGCGGCGATTTCGCCCTTGAAACTCAAATTGAACCAGTGACTCAATGTGGATCCACAAGTGAGATGAGTCTTTCGTCGCTGACGCGTACGTATATCACGGATAATGTTCTTGGCTACTTTTATCTGTTATTTCAAAAGAAAAAAAAAACCAGATACTTACCGTGCACTGAGGTGTAGACCCGCAAAGCATAATTCATCGCGTTATGATTCCTGTCAGATGCGCAAAATTGGTCGTTCATACCAAGCTTTGTGGCAGTGTTGAATAAGCTGCCTTGTAACTCCTGGAGAGGGCGACTGAATGACTTCAGCGGAAATCGGACTGCCCAGGTATCGGGGGCTCTTTTGACAGCAGGGCAGCTGTACTATATGGGAGTGATCGTCATAGAAATTGTCATCATAACTTCGGTGCGAGCCATTTTGGGCTTATAGATAGATCTTAGAACCGTCATAACAGTAAATCTGTTCACCTTGGTTATACTCATCACATGCCTACCAATCCATGCGTCCAATCTCAGAAATTGCGTTGCAAAATGCGATGACATGACGTGTCTTTCGACTCCTCTTCTTTACGACTACTTTGCGATTTCGCTAGCAGAACGAGCACGAATTATACAATTTTCTCCATCCGCAGAGACGGCGAGAAGCACAACTGCGAATCCTACGAGGAGGGCCGGAGAGGGCAGTATCTACTCGGATCAATCCACCTCCGCTGGAAATGTTCAATGCGCCATCGAGATGAAGGTTTGGAGGTGAGGACATGTCGTGTAGCTACCCATCGTATATTAATTCAATGTCCAGCATCTCTCGATATTCCTCGTTCTTACTTGCCAATCTCGGCCAAATATGAATATCGGTTATCAAAGCGTCGATTCGCACGTGGCATGTATGCATTGATAACCCCCCTAGCCACGGAACTATCTGGTAGAATAGTGAAAATAAGTGTCTAAACATGGATGATGGTACCACCCCTGGTTCGGGGTCGACCCATCTCACTTGGGCGAACGTTGGATTGGCCTTCTCGTTCATTCTCTTCGACACTGTTATATCGCACACATTTGGGCTAGGAGTCGGCAGCTCGCTCCTAACAGCGGCATTGCGATGCGTGTTCCAACTCAGTCTCGTGGCTTTGGTGCTGCAAAAAGTCTTCGAAGCTAATAATCTTTGGGCTGTTGCTGGAATTGCCTGTACGTCCCCTTTATACTCAGAATAATCGAACTTGCTCATCTCGTACTCGAAACTCTCAGTCTTACTAAATCTAATGGGCACCACAGAGACAGGTAAGTTACGATCGAAAGATACCAGGTAGTCATGTGCAGCTCACAGAACAACCTTAGTGGTTAACAAATCCAAGAAAAGATATATGCATATGGTACCATGAGTCTTATCGAAGGCGTGAGTTATGATTGACCATGCAATCCAGTTCCCCTCGGTACTTTTTGGGATGCTGGGCTCGACCATCCCGGTGTCCATCATCGGCATACGGTTTGCAATGTCCGTTGAACCATTCTGGAAACCAGAACAATACAGTATGTTCACAAATTGCTTGAGCCCTTAACGTCCACGAGCAAACTCCATATTTAGTTCCTGTAGTGGGTATGCTCTGCGGAAGCACGATATCTGGAATCGTGGTCTCCGTTTCTTATGTGCTGAAAGAACTCTAGTGAGCTTGCTCATATCCCTTCAGTCTGCTGAAATGACACGACTTGTCTCATATAGCGACAATAGAGACAAGGTAGAAATGTATCTTGCCTTTGGTGCGTCTCGTTTCGAGGCATCCAAACCTATCGCAAAAGAAGCACTTCGTTTCGCACTTACACCGAACATTAATCAAATGAGGTAAGATTGGTTCGATAAAGCTAGAGAAGAAACTAGGTTTGACAGGAACTTGTTTCATACAGTGTCATTGGGATCATCGCTATTCCTGGTATGATGACAGGTGCTATCCTCGGAGGATCCTCAGTTGAACAGGCAGCACGCCTCCAAATGGTCATCATGTTCATGATATCCTCATGTACGGCCCTTTCGTCTTTCGTAACTACCGTCCTTGCACTCGGGGTTGTGGTCGACTCGGAACATCGTGTAAGGATCGATAGGATAGACAGCCGTGAACATGCTGTTTGGAGGGCGAGGAATTGGGTCGTTAGCAAGATTGTTGAGGGAGCCAAGAGTGCCGGAAGGAAAGCCGCAGGCATGCTAAGGTTCGGAAGAAAAGCGGAGGAAGGACAAGACGGCGAGCAAGAACGTTTGTTAGGATAAGAGAATGGCATAATCGAGATCGGCCAAGGGTAAAGGGTACAATATTGCATAGACAAGGGATACAGGTATGAGATCGAGTAGTATACATTGCATCTGAGTGTTAAAGTTAGAAAAAAAGGGCACACTGAACATGAGTTGCACGATAAATACCATGAATCGTCAACACGTTCATCATCGTTCGAACGTGAGCACAACGTAGGGCGTGGGACAAGTGCGGGAGGGGTACTGGAGGGCTTCACCATCTGAAGGTATTACGGGGGCAGACAGGCGGGCGGACTCGAGGTACGTTTATAACGAAGTGGCCATCTCTTAGGGAAGTGCGGATAGTGCCTATGTCCACATCGCCAGGCGCAAACAGGATTTCCCATTCGAAGTGAGCTATACCATGTAACAATGGAAGATCAGAGAAATGTATGAATGAAATGACTGAATTACTTACCGTCCTCTTCCTTGTGCCATATATCGGCGACAACTTCCACTCTGTCTCCCTTCTTGCTGCTTACAGTGATCATTTCTTTCTTGATATCCTCCGGCAACAATACGTGGAAGACATACTTATCATACGTCCTAGTCAAGTCCATTGGAGGGAACTCCGAGATAAGTGGCGAACGTGGATCCTGGATAGAAACAGTCTCGGCTTCTGAGAAGGTAACTGATGATGATCCAGAAGAACTTGAAGGACTAGTTCCAGGAGACAACTGGAGGAACCGAGATCGAGGCATAATGAAAGGCGTAGTCGGTTCCTCCATCTGAGGTGGCGTATTTGTGTCACCTTCGGCTACAATAGACCAAGTAGGTGTGGGAGGTCGGACCATTATACTGAGTAAAAGGTGTGAAGGGGATTCGATGATAAAAGTGTTATGAGATAGTGGGTATGAAAGTGAAGACGGAGAGAAACAGACGTCCTGATATACCCAAAGAGGAGCCCAGGAGTGGCCAAAGAGACAAAGGATACCGAGTCACGACCTTGTCCACCACTATGTCCACCTACGCAAGCCGGTGGCGTTTGACAAAAGAAGCGGGATAGTGTATCTCGATCTTAGGCAAGGTAAACGTCTTCCGCAGTCGACCCGCTTCATTGCCTGTCCATGAGGAAATGCTGCGAGTTCACATTGATTATCGTTCACCGCCTCAGTCTACTGCACAGCACAACTGCGATACAACTGAGCATGCACAAGTAAATCCCGGTGCCTTCGACCGCTTTGAAGTGACGTATGGGACACAGTCAAAGACACAGAGGATCTGAGTATCGCGGAGATCAAATTTCTGGTTGCCACGCAACATGAATGTTCCTCAGTCCAGGAGGCACGTACGATGCCGTCGCAGAAAAGAACGACTACTGAAGTACTGAAGTCCAGACTCCAGGACAGGAGTGGGGACAATGTACAAACAGGAAAACAATGTTGCCGATGCAATCTCCGTGTAGGGCACTGTGACAGAAAATGTCACCGGGTTGGCGGCCCGCCTGACGAGTCATTCAACAATTAACCGAAGAGTCAGAAAGCCAATGAGCCAAACCAGGCTTGTGAGTTGTCCGGGCTGAGCTTCAGCCAGACATAATACCACGAAGAAAGAAGTAAGTAGCAAGCTACTTACAAGTAGGTGCTTGCGTGGAAGCCGAAACAGATGCGACGATCTGACCTCCGATTTGAACCTAGATTGATCAACTAAAATGGCAGTCCAAAGTTTACCTGCGGACTTCTACACTTCTTTCTTGTCCAAGGAGGCAAAAGAGAGAAGACCTAGCCCTAGTATGTATGGGAAAACCGTTTCTTGGCGTTTTGTCTAATCAGGAATATGTCTTACAGTTCGAAGTCTTTTCCCATTGGAAGCTACACCGGGCTTAATATCTCTCCTTGTGGGAAAACCAAACGCGTCGACCTTCCCGTTTACTTCCCTCCAGTTCACTGCTCGTTCGCCAACTGATCCAAGTAAGGAGACTTCACAGACGCTTACTGGCGATGAGCTGGCGGAAGGTCTGCAGTACGGACCAACGGCTGGTATTCCCTCTTTGATCGAATGGGTTCATGGACTACAAGAAAAGGTACACGGACGCAAGAAAGGCGAAGGTTGGAGGGTAAGTATTGGCTCTGGATCTCAAGATATCATCTACAAGGTAGGCTGGCACATCAACATTTGTGAAGTTAGCTCACCTATATTCGGTAGGCCGTGCATGCTATGGTCAACCCTGGTGACGCCGTTCTCGTGGAATCACCTGTCTATGCGTTAGTCCGGACTTGATGTTTTCTGTCGAGTTTGGTGCTGACGCAGGGCCGGGACAGTGGCGTGATTCCGATATTCCATACTTTGAATAACGAGATGGTCGGTGAGTAGTGGTATAAGGCCAGTCATATGCATTGACTTTAATTAAATATGAACAGAGGTTGCCACTGACGCCAACGGAATCGTGTCAAGTTCTCTTCGATCGATTCTGGAAAACTGGCCTGTAGAAAAGCCTAAGCCGAAGGTCCTGTATACTGTACCTGTACGTGTGGATGGAAATGACCACGCTCTCTTGCTCATCACTCCATCTTCATAGTATGGGTGTAATCCTACTGGAATGACTGCTACAGTCGAGCGCCGAAGGGAAGTTCTGGCATTAGCTCGAGAGCACAATTTCTTGATCCTAGAAGGCGTGTGTTCGCTCTGCTTTCCTGACGCATATGTCGCCTTACCAGTCATCATCCAGATGATCCTTACTTCTATTTGTACTATGGCCCCAATCCCAGACCACCTTCCTACTTTGCACTCGAACTGGAAGAACCAGAGGTTGGACGTGTTCTGCGCTTCGACAGTCTTTCAAAGATCCTGTCGTCTGGTATCCGAATTGGCTTCACAAGTGGACCCGCGCCAATTGTGAATGCTCTTGATGGACATGTACGTATGCTTTGTCAACGTTCTCTAGCCTTTTCAGTCTGACATCCCTTACACAGACTGCAACTGCGAACCTGCAAACACCGTCATTGACCCAGACGATTGTCTTCGCGCTCCTGGACTCGTGGGGTTACGACAACTTCCTCACACATACCGAGAACGTTTCAAAATTCTACAAAGAAAAGAGAGACGTATTCGAAGCAGCTATGCAGAAACATCTCGGAGGACTTGCCGAGTGGACTCCTCCAGAGTCAGGGATGTTCTACTGGTATGTGTTCACCTGATCCTTACCACGCTGACGCTATGTTTGACTCTCTTTTGATCAGGTTCAAGCTTCTGCTGCCAAGTACTTCCGACTCTGATTCGGAAGGTGACTCTGAGGCTCTTATTACTACTAAGGCGTTCGAAAACGGCGTTCTCGCGCTACCTGGGACGGCATTCTTGCCCAATGGTAGGAAGACTGCCTATGTTCGGGCTTCATTTTCTCTGCTTTCTGAGTCGCAGGTCGATGAGGCTTTGAGGAGGTTGCGCGAAGTCATCCTAGAAGCTCGTAAGTAAACGGTATGTGCCCGAGAGGCTAATTAAAGTCGATCTAGAGAATTTATCTCTGATATATAACGTATTCCACGAGCTGCGCTGGTTTCCCCGCGTTGCATGCTTTTACTTTGGTGAGTCTGCTGAAGAATCTGCCCCAACGTTCCGAACTTGGAGTGTTCCCTTTACGGACTCAGAATAATGATTGCGGAAGGCAGAATGCAATCGAGCGCATGTTGGAAATTGAACTTCCTGCGAGCTTGACCGCAACTGCGTTGAAGCGTTATTATCGTTGCCCTCCGCATACCCCTTTGTGAGCACTAGTATCATTTTCCATGTGATTTATTCTGACTATTCATCAAGCTTCACGATGTCAACATCCAAGGGAAGGGTAAAGCCGAAGCGTAGCTCAAACTTGAGAAACGAATTGCACTTTCCTGTCTGCAACGAGTGTCCAAGTTATGACGATCTTGATTTACGCTACTATCCCGATTATGGTCCCTTTTCTTCCCTACACTGGCGTTTCCTTGGTGAAATTATAGACGCGACCTGCTTCGCAAGGCTTGTTATCGACGTTCTTGACATCGAAGGCACCACGTGTCGCGTGGTTCTACGACGAGGACGACGAGCTCAATGGCAGACAATTCTTGGATAAGAGTATCATATCAGAGACTGAAAAGTGCAAAGTGGAATACACCGTTGCGATTCTCTACCCCTTTACACATAATTTCTTGGATGGTTCTAAAGGACTTCGTCTAGAAGACGTTTCGTTATTTACGGTGAGCGTGTGATACTCGACAAAACTGTACTAATTGTCTGATGTCACGTTACGCTCTCAGATAATTCCTTGTTCATCAAAAGATCTTTTTGTGGCCAATGACAAGCTTCACAAACCAGAATCACCACATTGCGGGGAGCCAGAATGCAGCATCAAAGAACCCCTCTCTACGTGCTCCAAGTGTCATATCGCGCAGTATTGTGGCCGGTAAGGTTCACAGCGTCGTTTCATAATGATGATTGACATTCCCGTTGAAGATCATCAAGTCAAGCACTGGAAGACTCATAAAAGCGAATGCAAGGCATTCGAAGCTCTAGACTGGGGTGTACGGAGAGATTGGACCAGATACTCGAGCTCATAAGGGAATTGGGCCTTCTCTTAATAGCTCTTTCCCTTGATCACCGCGGTTATGGCCCAACGTCATTAGTTCTTATAACATTGCACAGCGGCTTGGCAATTGACTCGTATGATCTTGCGTGGTTTCCCGTTATACAATCCAATTCTCGTTACAGAGCGATACATTCCTAGGATTTCGTTCACATACAGGGTCTAATTGTCTTCGATAAATACCCTCGGGGCCCAACTTGAACAGTTGCCATTTGGAGACACCGTTGACGGTGATCGCATGACAACACTGGCCAACCGATGTGCTTCACACTTTGCAGGTTCACGTGAAGGTCTGGTATTCGATGATGCTAATACAAGGTACAAGGCGAGTCTTCACGTCCACTACACGTTCACTAATCACACAGTCTCATTCGGGTTGACCACCAACTTCCTGGCGCTAACTTCGCCATTCCTGAGTCTTTCGAGACCTTTGGGGATCGCCTCAAGACCCCCAGGGACGAGCTCGAATTGATTGGGCTATTTCAAGATTCGCAAATCAGTGTCATGTTTTGCACGCCAAAGTATAGATACGTACCTTGATATCCCCAGAAGCAAGATACTCAGTCAAATGACTGAAGAACCCAACTCCAAGGGCGTGATTATGCTCAATGTGGACATTACCAAGCGTATGTATGATGCTCTTGTCTTTGCCGATCTTCTCCTGTGCAACGTTCTGTGCGAGGGTGATTACGACGGTGCCGCCAGGCGCGAGGATATCATAGGCGGTGTTCTGGGTATCTTCTTCCGAGATGGCATCGTAGACGATTTGGACGGGCTCAGACGTGATCTTCTTGACTTCCGCGACAATGTCAGAAGGCGAGAGGGAGCGATTGATGGTATGCGTGGCACCAAGTGATTTGACATGGTCGTAATTGCGTGGAGACGCCGTGGTGATGATAGGTGAGAAGCCGGAGAGTTTGGCGAATTGAATAGCTATTGGAGACGTTCAGCACCAGACTCAGGCTTCACTTTGCGAAACGTCGTGATTCACCATATTGGCCGACAGAGGACGAGCCACCGAAAATGACGATGGGTTGGCCGGTATAGTTGCCACGACCGCCTTCAATCCAAGAAGGAGTAAGATTCGCACCGCCTTCCTTCTGCTTGATGCCGTACAGTCCAACGTAAGCGGCAGCTGCACCAACAGGGATAGTTGCTGCTTGCTCAAAGCTCACGCTTGGTGGAATCTGTTGTCAGGGTCAGAATGATTAAATGATCGGGCTAGGTACTCAGCACCTGCGCTACGAACCTTAGCCACTCTGTCGACCTTTGCAATGGTGTACTGCTGGAAGGAAGCAAGGCGATTGGCGAACCAGCCCTGCCACACACTAGTTGTGTTTGGATTAACACCGATATAAAACCAACGTATGCAAGACTCGGAGGTGCGTGTAGACGTACATCTTATCACCAACAGCAACGTTCGTGACGCCTTCCCCAAGTTCAACGACGGTTCCAGTAATGTCGGTACCAACAACAGCGGGGTACTCGTCTACGAGAAAGTTCCATGCCTGGATCTTCCAATCGACTGGGTTAAGGGCGGTCGCTTCGACACGAACGAGCACCTCTCCAGCTTCCGGTTTGTATACATCGACAGTGCGTACAACGAAAGGAGCGTGAGGCTCTGGAAGAAGTAGAGCTTTCTGCTGAGTGGGAATAGTCATGTTAACCAGATGATTGAGGAGATAAATTGCAAACCCGATGAAGATGGGGGTGAAGAGCTGCGACCTGACCTTATATACACTTTGAAAGTCGTAACATGCATAGTCATCCTCAGAAGGCTACAGTGTCGCTGAGAACAGAGGGCGCCCCAGTTCACTTAAGTGACAGCCTCAGTGATGAATAAGCAACATCGCTGAGTGAGTAATGTTGAGACACCAGTGAGAGCTCATCTACATCGCGCACACTCTATCGAACTTGCTGACAAACGTTTACCCAGGTATGGACCTCCAATGTTGGCTGTATTTGACCGTGTAAGGTCGCAACTAATCCCATCAGAGATCCGATATGGAAGTTGGAAGGCGTGCTGCGCTGGCCTAATCAACATGTGTAAGTGTTCCATTACGGTTGGTCTGTATATAGTACTTACTCCTGTGAGAGCTTGATTCCCTGCGGAAGGATTTTTGAATGTCGATCCTTGACCACTGCTGGCAGCGCGGGCGGGCCGGAAGACGTTGTAGCCAGACGTTGATGCTCGAATACGTTTGGCGGGAGATTCTTCGTCTTGGTTGGCGGACATAGTCGTGCAGTGATAATGGAGATCAAGGATAGGGGAGCAACGACCGGAGGAGATGAGACGAGATAGGTGAGCACATATTTAATCACCTGCGACATTCACTGACATGCCCCTGAAGATTAGGACAGTCCGTCGAGGGGGATATCAATGTTCTCTTGGAGACGGCGCAAAGTGAACTTACACTGTATTGTTGAAGTTGATTCATTGCTTCGGTGATGACATATCCATGCTGCTGTCCTTCTGTACTCAGTATTCCCCAAGACCTTTAATACACATGGATATATCTGATACAACTAAATAAGCACTGTATGAATGAGTAGAATAGCAGAGCGTACGGGGGTGGATTGAGGGCAAGAATGGAACAAGGGAAGATAAATGGTGGAAGATCCGGCTGCTTCCACGTCTTTTCCCCAGATATTCCCACAGTTAGATTTATGTATTGAGAAATTGTGAGAAATTTAGCTGTCTGAGCCGTTTTCCGGCGGTTTTCCACGCGAAGAATCTTGCTCAAAGTGCATTGCATGATCACCTTTCAAAAAGGAGAAATCGGACATGGTGGTGCGCCTCACACTGATGGATCTGCCCGGCGAGAATGTTTTGACGTTCATGTCTTCGTTGTACTCCTATGCAAGGTCATATACGTTAACGACCTCGTAACGCGTAAGCGAAGATTCTCTCGCTCATTCCACGCTAGTGTGCACTCTACCACAGTGTCAGTTCCCAGAAGAATAATTAGCGAACTGTGCTAGCCGTGAGCAGCAAACATTGGGTTTTACATTGATAAGTACGTTACCCGGTACCTCTCACAAAAAATTGATATTTGTGCCTCTCTGCGTGCTTCAAATCTGCCACCGCTGAACGCAACGCCCGATCCATCTTACTTCTCCTCTGCAATGCTCTTAGTCTCCTGAACGCTTCATATCCTGCGTATGAAATACGAGGTTCTAGTTTGCACCGGTTTAGATCCAGCTACGCTTTCTCTCCAGTTCTAAATTTATTACTTTGTTCAGAGATCCGGTGTTCGGTTGCTGATACTAATACAGGATACACGACGATTCTGTTTCAACCTTTCCAATCATGCAGTCTCAGTCGGGCGGACGACTAGCTTCTTGGCGTGGACTGCGCCGCTCTTGAGCCTTTCGAGCCCTTTTGGGATCGCCTCAAGACCTCCCGGCAGAAGCTCGACGTCATTCGGCTGTTAGAATTGTTTTGACGGTCAGCGTCATTTGTAACACGTCAACGTTCTACACATACCTTAAGCGCACCGGACGCAAGATACTCAGTCAAATGACCGTAGAACCCAATTGCAAGAGCGTGGTTGTGCTCAACATGGGCGTTACCAAGGGTGTCAATGATGGTTTTATCTTTGCTGATCTTTCCCTTTGCTATTTTTGGTGCAAGGGTAAGCACTAGTGTGCCGCCAGGTGCGAGAATATCGTATGCGGTGTTTTGAGTGTCTTCTTCTGCGATGGGATCATACACTATTTGAACAGGCTTAGATGTGATCTTCTTGACTTCCGCAACGATATCCGAGGAAGAGAGGGTGCGATCAATGGTGTGCGTAGCACCGAGTGATTTGGCATGGTCGGACTTGCGGAGAGACACAGTGGTGATGATGGGAGAGAATCCAGAGAGTTTGGCAAGTTGTATAACTAGGAAGTGGATTCAGTAACTGATTTCATAGCACTCTGAAAAGTGCCATGGTTTACCGTATTGGCCCACGGAAGACGAGCCACCAAAGATGACGATGGGCTGGTCGGCATATTTGCCACGACCACCCTCGACCCAGGGAGGAGTAAGGTTAGCACCACCTGACTCCTGCTTGGGACCATACAACCCAACGAAAGCGGCACCGGCGGCAACAGGAATAGTTGCTGCTTGCTCAAAGCTCGTGTTTGGTGGGATCTGTTATGAGGGTGTACATCACTAATTTAGGGGGTATCCCTAGTGCTTGCACAAACCTTAGCGACTATGTCTGTCTTCGCAATCGTGTACTGCTGGAAAGAAGTAAGACGATTATCGAAGAAACCCTGGAACACGCTAGTTATGATCGCATTAGCACCCCTATCGAGTTATTATGTCACAGGTGCAAGTCAACGTGCATTTTATCGCCAACAGCAACATTCGTGACGCCTTCCCCAAGTTGAACTACGGTTCCAGCGATATCAGTACCGATGACAGCAGGGTACTCCTTTATGAAGAAGTTCCACTTCTGGATCTTCCAGTCGAGCGGGTTGAGCGCAGTCGCTTCGACACGAACAAGTGCTTCCCCTGCCCCCGGTTTGTATACTTCGACAGTACGGAGGGCGAACGGCGCATGGGGCTCAGGGAGAACCAGAGCTTTCTGTTGAGTGGGGATGGACATGTTGTATAGACGATTGAAGAAGAGATAAACACCAAAGGAGATCGCGATGGGAAGGACGAGCTGACGCATTTTTCTCAATCTGACGTGTTATGTACCCCTGCAAGGTGGAGATTGTATCTAGACCACGCTCAGGAGATCACATTGACGTTGGCGGTACTCAGCAGTGCAATTCAAAGCGCTGAATCATGCAACATCATTGAGTAATGGCGAGCACGTATGTCACCAATTCGCAGGGTTCACGTCAGACAGGCGAACAGACGCGTCCCTTGCCATCGACCAAAGCGTGGAAGGATTATACAGTAAATCGTCAAACTTGAACACAGGGGTATCGCGGCTGAATCAGCTTGCGGTTGAATCAGCTTGCGGTTGACCAACTTAAACATTCCACTTCAATCTCATATGCGTCGCCGAGTCGCATCCAATTCGTTATCCGACGCGGACTCTCGTGTCAACGCACGCATTATCCAGAGGCTAAGAATGAAGGCTATTGGATTTTTTTTTCTCACCTGTTCCCACAGGCTGTAGCCTATACACCTTCCAAAAGGAGAATTCGAGGACGATTATGAGGAACCAATAGCAACCAACGAGTCAGTCTTACGTGTTTGGGTGAAAGCGTAGCGTTGACTGCGTAATCATGAGGAGATGAAGATTCCCTGAATAACTCTACAATGTGTGTTCCCGTATATCAAGGTTCATCTTTGTACATTACGACGAGAATTCCTAGAAGTTGGAAATTTGATTAGCGAATAGTGCAAAATGTGACTAGCAAAATGATGGTATCAGATATAAAAGCCGCGTCGAAGAATCGAAGCGGCTGAGAAAACCGGACGTAAATCAAGCCGCTTCCTGAGAGTCCTAGCAGAACGCATCCTCGTGAAAGGAGGCGACAGGTTGAACTACACCGAAGGGTCATATGGCCCCGGCATCTTTCATCACATAATAAAAGGTGAGCGAAAACTAGAATGAGGACTCACAATATTACATCGTACTCCAAAGCAATGCCATGACCGACCACAATCCTACCAAAGAAACACAACCCAGGGAAACAGATAGGCACAACTGTCGATAATGCAATGGGATCTATGAGACAACCCACAGTTAGTCATCGTCATCGTCGGTAAGCTCTTCTCCCTCGCGTACACCGTGGTGACGCTCGAGACCCTTTTTCCGAGCCCATGATCGACCGTCGGTATATGGTTCTGCCCGGAGAGGAAGGGCGAGGGTGTACAATGGGCTACACAGGTCAGCTTAATCGTACAAGCAAAATCTGGTTGCTTGCTTACTATCCGTCCATTCCAACATTGAAGAACAACTCGAGATTTTTCATTTTGCTGTTTACTCGTAAGTCAATTGCGCAAGGTCGATCGCTGAAAGACACTTTACTTACCCTAGGTCGTACGAATTTACAAAGTCCTAGTATGGAGATAACGCGTCCATAAGCAAGTACCATCAAGTGATTATTGTAAACTCACGTCTCCACGGCGTTTGGCCATTCTCCGATAGTGATCGTGGTCATGAGCCTCGACAGATGTTTCACCGGACGCAATGCTCCAGAGATGCCATCCTGTCATAATAGTGACAGCAAAGCACAGAACGGCTGCTAGAATGTAAGTTAGCAGAAACATGATTTGAGGTGATCGATAAGGCCAAGGATCCTGTGGGAGAATGTCAGTCACAATTTAATATATAAAACTGAATGACTAACGTCGTGCCATCCAAGAGCTGCCATGACATGCGGCCATCCTAAGGCTGAGAAACAGAATGTCGCAATTACAAGATAGACACTACCAGAGAGATAAGAGATCGGTCATAGTGAATGAATTATTGGGAAAACTCACAGGAATAGTACGAAATATCGTTCATTGTAAAGTCCGACACATTGGTTCACCCCTACAGAGGATTATAGACTCCGAGAACATTCACATATCGATAAAAATCGACCTACACTTCAAGTCTGATCAGCTACTGTATTCGCTATAGAATATCCGAACATACGGGACAGTGGTGATCGTATTTCAATACACAACGGTTGCATATCCGGCAATGATGGGCTCTCTCCGGAGATGTCAGCAACAAAGCTTCGCAAGCCAAGGCCGAGACATTGTGCTCACTTCAGGCCTCATTTCTGCACACCTTCTACACTTTGTTACCGAGGCTTTCGTTACAGACACGTCATCAGACCATCGAACGCCGGTTAACTGTCGAATACGAGCCGTCTTCCGTTTCTTCGCCCATAGCAGTCCAGTTCCAGGAGTATGTGGTCCGTCGGCTACAAAGCCTGGTGAAATCGTGCACACGTAGTAGTAGTGCGCGAACATGTTCGTTGCTATCAAAAGACATGCCGGTATTGACAGCCAAGGCCACGGTAAACTTGGTGCTATGACATCAACTGCATGAATCAACTTCAGCAGACTATATCGGGACTAAATAGACCAAGAATGCGCCTACAAAAGGAAATTGTTCCCGTCGAAAGTAAGACAATCGCGAGAGATACGAAGACTGGTCCAGCAGCTCCAGTAAGTCGGTCTCCTAGTCGTTCAAGCCATTTGCACAGTCGAAAAACACGTTGAGCGCAGTACATGTGGCAAGACTGCTATCGTAAAGCCCAGAAGACAGATATTTCGGAGAGTATAAAAGGTAGAAGGCATGGACTGCGCGAGAGGAAGAGGCAGAAATGGGCGTTCTGGTAAAGCCGCTTACTTACATCGCCATGATTTCAAATTCCAGCGCGCATTTATTACGGCGACTCTCTCACTCTTTCAACCATCTTCATGACCTCCATGATGCAGGCACCTCAGCTATCGTATATCATGATTCATAGTCGATAAAATTCGCAACGTACACAGTCACTTGCTGAATGGAAATTTTGTGCTAACTTATCAAGTGACCCAAATGAATTATCGTGAGCTTTTTAACTGGAGTTGCCTTCGAATAACATCTGGGGATAGCTTGATGAAACTGTACGCCGTTTATGTTTAGACCATGCTCTAGGTATGCACCCCCTCGAGAAGTCCAGGAGAATATTCGAGCTCGCTGCTGATAATCGACATAGAGACTAGGGTCCAGATTTAAACTTACACTTTCGTACTTATTCCGAAAGTAAGTTGCCAGGTAATTATGCTTGCTGGACCACCTGCATCGTCGGGGTCTTTCGTCCCTCTGCGAACAAAGGTCGACTCTCAGTTGAGGTCGTTGACGTGCCCACTCCAGGACGTGGTGAAAACATAGTACAGTATGCTTCCAGGCGGTATCAACCCGATAATAAGAAAGATCATGACGACCATCTTCGTTATGGAGGACTTTCCAGGAGTCAAGCGGCGCAGCTGTCATCGTAATTCAGCTCGGCGTAGGTATCAATGCGGTTAAACTGGGCAGCAAGGTGTCCGTAACATCCTATTTTATATGACCCGTTGATCACATTGTTGCTAGGTAACTCAAGTGCCGTTCAGTTGAGGCAAGGTGCATCGAAAGCTTGCGTGACCCCATCAATTTTCGGTGTATTTGTTTTGCGTGTCTGAGTTGGAAGCATAACAGAGACGTTCACTTTCTCCCGAAAATGAATATTTTGTTTTCTTCCTTAGTTCATTTGTAGGGGCATCTTTGCCTTAAAACTACTCAAAATTGAGGTCGAACAATAGAGCGAGTTATCAGTGCGGGTAAAATAAACTGCAGAGTAGCAACAACTGAGTTCAACACACTAGAGGAAGTCAGTCAACACTCAAAAGCTATTCACAAACCATGGTCTTTGAGACCACCAATGCGACGCGTACGCGTAAACACGCGGTAGTTACGGCACGTGAGCGTGAGTCTTAGACCCAACGGCACGAAGTGGGTGATCAAACTTGAACTGCACGCCGCAAACTTGAAACTTGTGAGGAAATAGTATCCCATTCTAAGTTAGCTGGTTGTCCTTAAAGCCTCTCTGAAGTAGGCTAGCCATACTATCAATAGTACCTTTGCATCCAACTCATCTGCGTTACAGGTGGTGGCCACGAAAGAGGTGTTCCTTTGCCATACACGTACCTCGAGAGGCCAAAGACATATTCAGGCCACAGTAAAGGCCATTGAACTGATCACCTGCTCACTGGGCCAAGCGTTGCCACACCTATAAAACGATATAAATTGTCTTTTCTATGTACGTTCTCTCCATTCATACTCTCCAAAATGACCGAAACTAATAGACCACCCATCTCCCGCGTCCAGAAGAGCCTGCGGGGATTTCTACCAAACTCTAGCATCCTTCTTCAAGCTAAAGAATTTCACAACGCTGTCGCTACCGAAATGCACGGTACCGCCATCGGCCCAATGCCTCGGAAAACATTTATGGACAAGTACCTGCCCGTCGATGAACGATTTAAACTCTCGTTATCGAAGAAGTTCTTCAAGACCGCCTTACCCGATAATCCTTCTCGAGAAAGCGAGGTCTATGAACCATTTGTATGCCAATTTTCTTTCTCCCTTTCCTCGTCCGGCAGTGTACTCATCGCCCCATTCCACGATAGGTTAACCTCATGAATGCCACGGCGAAGGTTTGTCCGGGATTCACGTTCTGCGACACAGCCGACAAGACGGATCCCAGTTCAACATCAAAATTTCGTCCTGACGTGGGCCTTTACGAAGGAGAAAGACCTCCATCAACCCTTGTCTTTGCCGTGTTAGAGCTCTTCATCGAGTGGAAACTGGAAGAAATTGCTGATGGCTACAACAAAAACTTCAAGGATACAACTGTGTACATCGAAAATGGTGCTAGCGTGAAGGCGAAAGCTACTAGAGGCCAGCTTTACTCCTATGCATCTCTTCTGATGTCTCACCAACATCGTCTGTTTGGATTCGCTGTCGGTGTCTACGGATCTATTGCTCGACTCTACCGATTCGACCGCTCTAGCGTCGTTGTGAGCGAACCCATCTACTACCTCGAGAACCCACTCCATCTTGTTGAATTCTTCTGGAGATTTGCTCGGCTGTCACCCACTGAGCGCGGATACGACCCATCTGTCTCTCCTGCATCATCTGAAGAATGTGCTCTATTTGACCGTGCGGTTACTGCATATCTTCGTCGTGTCAAGGAGGAGAACCTGCGCACCTTACCCGGACTCGAGAAGATGACTGACGGGGACTACATGACGTCCAGAGTTCAGGTCAATAATCACGATGGTGCCATATCGTATTATATCATTCGCAAGCCTATCACTCCTCCTGTCATCCCGACGCCTTGCGGGCGCGCAACTCGTGGATACGTTGCCATCCGAGTACCCGACACAGCTACTGGATGGGACGGACTCCAAGTCGACTTGGAATTTCTGAAGGACTCGTGGCGAGTAGATGGCTACGATTCAGAGGCTGATATCTATGCTGAGCTCAGGAACGGACATGTTTCTCATCTTCCAACCATTTCATGTGCAGGCGATGTGATGATTGACGATAATGTCCAAAGGACAACAAATCAAGACCTATTGGAGGATCAAGATGCAAGACCATGGCGGCGCCCTACAGGTGTTATTCGAACTCACGTTCATCACAGAGTGGTGCAGGGACTTCTGTACCCACTGAGCACCGTCAAGAGCGCTAGGGAACTTATACGGGCCTCTCAGGATGCACTTGAGAGTGGGTCAATTTGATTCTTTTCGTCGGAATATTGTACTCATTTGTTCTGTAGGTGTTATCGAAGCCTACACAAAATGCAACCGCCTTCATCGCGACGTGAGCAATGGGAACATCATGCTGAAAGAAAACTTTACGGATGGTCGAGAGCAATCGGGCATACTAAATGATTGGGATCATAGTCGGAAGGACGACGCTCAGGCCCAGAGACATAATTATCGGACAGTAAGTGAATGGAACAAATTTGACACAAACCGGGAATATTGACAGGTTGTGTGTTCTACAGGGCACTTGGCAGTTCATGTCAATTCTCCTCCTGCGTGATACAGAGAAAAGGCACGACATTTTCGACGACTTTGAATCTATCCTTTGGGTGATCCTTTTCGTGGCTGTCCATTTCTTCACGCATGAAGGCGAATTTAGCTTAGCGGTCTTCAACCAGTTCGAGGACCGTGCCGAAGGGGTGACAGGTCGCAAGCCAATCGGAGGCCACAGGAAGCGCGCATTCTTATCCGAAAGAGACGTGAAATTCGATTGCCCCGCACTTCAATCATTCATCGTCGATCTTGCGAAGTTTCACAAAGTCTACATTGACCTCGCAACAGAAGCAAGAGAATCAGGTGGTAATCAGCTCACGGACTATCAAGCGACGCTCAAGAACGATTTGCGACAACTCTTAACACGCTTCAAGACCCTTCTCAATGACGAATCTGCGGACTGGAGCCATGGACTCGCCGTCGAAGATATATATCCGCCTCAAGGCCAGAGAGAATTAGATCAAGCTATTGCTCTCAACCAACAGGTACAAAGCGGCGCAGGAGATTGGAGTGGTGCTGGACCTGCCCTACCGACCAAGAAAGCCAAACGGAAGACCAAGTCGCGACCTAAGACGAAACGATCGGCCGACGCGAAGGGGAAGGGGAAAGGAAAGGAGAAAGCTCTTGGCAGGGCTCCTTCATCATCATCTGTCGTTGCTGTGGCTTCAAGTTCACGAAGTCGTTCTCGCGGGACAAAGAGGCCTAGAGAAGATGTCGAATCTGAGGATGAAGACGAAGCAACGGGGGCGCAGGAAGATGCCAATGTAGAAGGCCTGATTCAGGATGCAAGCGGACGGAAACGCAGCAGCCGCTTAGTAAGTATAAAGAAAGTGACGAAAAAATTCAAAACTATGTTTAATTAGATAATTTGCACCCAGTTGTATCTGTACAATGTATGCGCATCTGCGTTCTGGCCTGTGGTTGGCATGTTTTCTAGATCGTTCATAACCTGGAAAGGTCGTGAGTTCATTGATCACTTCGAAGAATTTCAGATCTATCGCGAAGTCCCCAATGATGTCATCTGCTGTTGTTAGTGGTGAGTCTGTTCCGAATATACTGTACCAGAATTCGGTGTCTGACGATCCATATTTCCAGTCAGAATTCACAGGTGTACCTCATTTTTCGACTTTTGATTCACCGTCAGGTTACGAGGACGATCCCCTTATAGGTTGTTTGAGCAGAAGGGAAACATTTCGCATGCTAACCGGCAGAGTCATAGACGCTGTATCAACTGGAACATACTTCCACGGAAGTATGCGATGATGAGGACCACTCAACTTTGCCCTGCATTTCCGCGATTCACGTAAACATTCTGACAGATATGTTCGAATGTGATATTCTTAAGGTACGTCACGATATTATTGGAACAATGTATTGCACTGATGGGACACGCTTACTCATTCAGCCGAGCAAGTTCGTAGTCGTCCTTGCCTAGTTTCTCAATCCACTCTCTGCAGCACTGGGTTGATCGTACCTATACTACTCAGCTTCAACATTTTCATTCGGCGGCCATGTTCGCGGGCAGGAACGCCGCATATGGAATACTTTGTCCACTGACGACGCCTTTCGGCATTCTTAGGATTGTCTGTTTCAATGGATTGACGGACTGCGTAGGACTTGCTATCATTGGCAAATGCAAATCATGCTCCGTATAAGCACAATTTGTATCTCTCTAAACTTGATCCATCGGTTTCGCATCGCCAACACTACGATTATGGTCTTCCAAATACAACGTGCCGGTGCTTCGCTGGACTCCCCCATCTATTCAGCTCGCAGTATTTAAACCATCCATAGATGGCAAGAATATACCTCACTCCATTCAGCCAACTCAAACATCCCTAACAACCATGTCTATTCCTACTTCACAAAGGGCCCTTATCCTACCCCAGAAGCATGGTAAATTCATCGTCGAAACGTACCCTGTCGAAAAACCTGGCACTGGAGAATTACTCGTCCGCATTGAGTCAGTATCTTTAAATCCTATAGACTGGATAGTCCAAGCGTTGGGCGTCTTGATTACCGACTATCCCGCTATCCTTGGCCTTGACTCCGCTGGTGTTGTCGCTGCTGTCGGTGAAGGTGTCACCTCCTTCGCTGTTGGCGACAAAGTGTAAGGATTATATTATGTCGTATGCAATCACACTGATATTCATTATTTTGGCATTTCCAGCCTCAACCAAGGCTCCTTAGCACCTCGTCAGGGCACGTTCAAGCAATATACATATGTTACTGCGGATTCCGCTGCAAAGGTATAACCACATTGTACCCCAGCATCAATTCAACTGACCATAGCTTACCATATCTTTCTTAGATTCCTGCCAACTTGAACTTCGACCAGGCTGCCACAGTTCCGCTGTGTCTCGCCACTGCGGCTGTCGGGCTCTATGCGCAGCCTGGAGGCGGTGGCGGCGCCGGTTTGATTCCCGCATGGGAAACAGAGGGTCGCGGAAAATACGCTGGCCAGACTATCGTTATATTTGGAGGAGCTACGTCCGTGGGTCAATTCGGTTGGTCATGATGAACACAATATTTGAGTTGCTCTGACATCTCCTTGCAGTCATTCAGCTTGCAAAGCTGTCTGGATTTTCTACCATTGTCACCACTGTGTCTCCTCACAACAACACTCTCGTCAAATCCTTGGGAGCGACTCACATGTTTGATCGCCGTCTCTCGTCGCAGGAAATATTCAACGAAATTAGGAAGATAGCTTCTGACTCTGTCAAAATCGCCTACGCCATCGCAGGCGATCCCTTGATCCAGGATCTAGCCTACGATCTGGTGGCGTCGGGAGGAACAGTTGTCTCTGTGCTTCCGTCGCAAATTCCCCAGGAGAAGCTCACACCTGATAAGAAGTTTGTTACTGTTAATGGCAATTTTCGTACCCCTGAGAAAAGGGCCCTTGGAGTTAGCCTTTACAGTCGTCTTCCGGAACTACTCGCCTCGGGCGAGCTCAAGGTGCGCAGCGGTGCAAGGTAGCAGATATATTCGGGGTTTTCTCTAACGTGCCGTTCATTCGACAGCCCACTAGCGTTGAGGTACTTCCTGGAGGATTGTATGCCATTGCCGAGGGTTTGGAGAGAATGAAGAAGGGCGAAATAAGCGGTAAGAAACTTGTTTTCATCCCCAGGAGACTGCTTAGATTTTTGTAATAATAATCATGTGACCATTTTCAATTGTCTGATATGGATGTGCTAGCCGGTTTTAACACAGAATCAATCTGCATGACGTTGTGCGAAACAAGAACATGAGAATAATGCCAGCGCTTGTTGCAACTGCGATTCTTTCCTAGTTTCATCACCATCCATCGCTATGTTATGTAGAAGTATATCTACCTAGAACCATGGGCGGCCGGTCAGGCCTTTAGGCCTTCAGGACGCGCTGGTACCCAAGAAAAGGTTGTCTCTACATATTGTAAGCATCTTCCACGTCCATCTTCAGTCACCTTCTTTGTTTGAATCTGGTGGTCTCAAAGGTACGTCACAATAGAGTATTCCTACCCTTCGATTCCGAACACCATAGACGTTATTTATGAAGTACTTACAGCTATATTTATAGAACTTGAATAACTGAAGAAGGGGCGGAGTCACTGCGCAGAACTGATCAATGCATGCTCTTAAGACGATCCGAACGTTCGCCTCGGCGCTCCAATGTCAGTCAATTCATTGCAGAACGTTGAGATTGACTGCGTTTATGATATCTTTTCCACCGCTCTCATCATCTTCGGTCTAATTTGTGATCTTCATTTGGTCCCACCCTTTGTCCCGATAAGTTCTCCACGGACAGCACACATAATCCACTGACGACCCCTACTATCGGTGACCCAGTAATGCAATTGCCCCCAGAAGTGCAATTCTCGAGTGCATTCAGGCTCTTCTTCATCCTTCCTCCTGAAAATATTCAAACATACACTTCTGAGCAGTGTTTTTGGGTTCCCAAAACTTGGAGTTAATTGAGTAAGATGGGACAACATGAAAAATCGGAAGGTAGGGGATTTGCAGTGGCCTGTACTGGCGCCGGCAATGGCGTACTCGGCGCACGGATGATACAAAAATTCAAACATTTTGTGAATATCCTCAAGGATGCCATGTTCAATATATCCCGGCATGTCCGAAAGCAAGAGGAATGCATTTTGAGGTAGATGGGTGGGAAGTGCAATTGAATTGCATTACTGGGTCACCGATAGTATTGCCTCTCCTATCCGTTCTCAAGTATTGTTCACTTGACCAACTAGAACACGTAACATCGGTAAGGCACATTCGTGTTGTTTATAAGCGTTCCCCCTAAGCCTTTGGATCAACTGCCAGTGTCAATAAGCCAAGTAGATCGCCTCCGCCTAACCCACAGCGCTCCACCAGTTGCAGTCATTATAGACGGGAATTGAAACAAGTCAACGGACGGTTGTTACATATCAGAGAACATATATAAACGTCCTCAAGCTCTAGGAACTTACACTTATAGCTGCACCAACCTTCAGACAACATGTCCATTCCAAGTCACCAGAAAGCACTTCTCTTGCCTTCGAAGCATAGGAAGTTTATTGTCGACACCGTCGAAGTCTATAGGCCCGAGGCTGAAGAAGTCTTGGTTCGCATCGAAACAGCAACTTTGAGTCACCTCGATACAGGGAGGCAAGAGTCCGGAGCGTACATCTCCAGCTACCCTGCCATTGTCGGCTTGGATGCTGCTGGAGTTGTAGTAGCTCTTGGAGATAATGTGACGAACTTGTCTCTGGGCGACAGAGTGTACGTAACGTTCATCCTAATTACATACTCTGTCCTGAACTTTATGATAGGCTTTTCGTTGCCGATTTTACAAACCGTTTTGCCACCCATCAACAGTATGCTGTCATGAAGGCTAAGTTGACCTCTAAGGTTCGGTTTCGTGAACCTTTCAAACATCTGAGCGAAGGCATGCTGATACGTTTCGTGTTATTGCCAGATCCCACCAAATATTACTTTCGATGAAGCTGCGACTATTCCATGCAATCTTTTGACCGCAATCAATGGACTATATGCCGGTGCTGCCCCTAGTGTCGATAAAGCTGGTGCAGGCCTGACACCGTTCTGGAGAGAGGGAGGGCGTGGTAAGTATGCTGGCCAGCCAATCCTCATCTTCGCAGGGTCGTCATCTGTGGGTCAATATGGTGTGTTCACATTCTCGCTGCATATCCTCCAATCAAGCTCTTGACACTGCACTTCGCAAAACAGCGATCCAGAGTGCTCGGATTTCCGGTTTCTCTCCAATCATTACAACAGCGTCTCCTCGAAATGCCGAATTTGTGAAGTCCCTTGGAGCTACTCACGTCCTCGATCGCAATCTTTCTCACGACGATCTCATCGCTGAGGTCAGAAAGATCACTTCGGAACCATTCCGTGTAATCTACGACGCAGTTGCACTGCCTGAGACTCAGGATGTAGCATACGACATTCTTGCTCCAGGAGGGACTCTCGTCCTTGTTCTATATCCCGCCATTGACAAGGCAAAGTTGACTCCAGATAAACATGTGCGTATGACGTTCGGAATTCCGCACGTTCTTGAGTTTGCCGAGATCGACGCGGAATTCTTTCGCGTATTGCCTGAGCTATTGTCCTCGGGTGAAATAAAGGTACATATTTACAGATTGTAGCACATTTTGTGACTTTCTGACGATGCGTTCGTATAGCCCAATGTCCCGGAGGTTGTTCCCGGAGGCCTAGCTGGCATTCCAGGTGGGCTGGAGCGGATGAAAAGGAAGGAAGTTAGTGCGCGAAAGCTTGTGGTTCATCCTTCTGAGACGTTGTAGAGCGCATAGCTGCAGAAGGATTGACGAGAAGGCTCGGCTGAATTCACCGGGTCTCCATTTTTTGTTCATATCTGTGATGCCTCTACTGTCCACTTTAAGATTCTTTGTACAGCATAACATTCTCTTGCCTGGAGGAACTCCCCTGTTTATCCTAAATTTACTCATTGACGATGCGAAATTTAATGCAAATGAGATCGCCTTCCATAATTCCGAAAACTTGATTACACCATGTCCGCCATCAGCGCACCGTCACGAACGAACATGTACTTTAGAAAACCGCATAGACTGACGACAGTCAGATTTGAATGTTATGCCAGGAACTTGTTACGAAGCTTGAATAAACCCATAATCATATTAACACACGACGACGTAGCTGTATGTTTCGGAAGTCAAGTTATTGGATGAATGTAATACAAGGCTACTTACCACACACCTTTTCCAGCGATCTTGCTCCAATTAATCGTTTCATGTCGATATCTGTCACCTGGGAGTTGAATTTGACCTTGCTGCACTTACTTAAATCGATTGTATGCGGGATTACTGATGGGCAGGCTCAAGTGTTGATTGATGAGTAACAGAAGGACAACTGCAACTGTGCGAAAAGGTCTCAGCCGTCATTATGGAAAGAGATAGGCCTGAAGATGAGTTGACGTACTGTCCTATCGGTTGAGACATACTCATGCCCACAATAAGTAACCGGCGCCAGACGCGCGGCGCGTCGTGTCACGTGACTCGCATTGATTTGAGGAGGAGACAACCGACTGTCTATGGAACAGACAGCACTACAACTATATATACAATGTATTAGATATCTATTCTAGCTATCTATGTATTTAAAAACTCGTATGTCCACCATGAGCAGCCAAGACAGCCTCAACTCTGTCTGGCATCCAATTGATGTGCTTGTTCACATCTTCTATAGGTAATTCATCCCACACACAACGGACAGCAGCTTGAAGCTGTTCTTGGGTATTCAGAGGATGCCTGAGATTACGCAGAGCAGATTTGAGCTCATGCCAAACACGTTCAATGGGATTGAGATCTGGGGAATTGGGGGGATGGAAGAGAAGTGGTATCTCATGATCAGTGAACCATCGTTGGGTTGATTTGCTGGTGTGGCATGGAGCATTGTCCTGTTGGAAAGTAATGGGACCCCTCTGTAGCTTCATCTCTTTATACCAATCCAAAAAAACCCCATCCAACACCTGTTCCCGATATCTAGCAGTGTTCATACCCCCACCTCTTCCTCCTGGGTATTCCAACACAATTAACAGCCCCTTGTGCCCCTGAATAATGCAAGCCCAGACCATAACACGGATGGAGGACTGCTTGAAGGTTGGTACTAGGCATTCCTCTCGCAAGACTTCATCAGGACGGCGTGTAATGTAGATTCAGCCTCGATCATCTCCCAAGCAAATATAGCACTCATTGGAGAATGCAACTTCTTGCCAATCCTGGCTTGTAAAGCTCTTGTATTTCTGTGCCCAATGCATGCGAGCCTTCTTCTGCTTCTTAGTAAGGAATGGCACTTGACGAGCAATCTGATGACCATATCCTCGTTCCTTGAGAATGCTCCAAACAGTGCCCTCACTGATCTTCGGGTCTACCTGGTTTCCAATCTCTGCAAATGTCACCCTCCGCTCTTTCACTGCCCTCCTCACCACCAGAGCCTTCATGCGATCTGTGACTTTGTGTGGATGACCAGAACGGGGGCAATTGTGTGTGGTGCCAGTTTTGACGTACTTGTGCCAGATGTCTGATGCTGTCTGGCGTGGGATGCCTGTAAGCCGTGCCACTTCAGTGATGCTCATGCCGGCTTGGATGGCTCCAACTAGCCAGTTCTTCTTAGGAGAATCATGTTGAGAGCGAGAAGATTTAGTAATGAGCATAACAAGTGCATGTGTTATAGGTGGATGCTGGAGTACAGACTAAACAAAACTACATCCATATGCGACACGACGCGCTGGGCGTCTAAACGCCGGTTACTTATTATGGGTGCGAGTAGCTCAGACCTTAGTGAAAAAAGGACCAGTGACCTTGCTACCGAGTATACGCTGTCCAATCTCTATCGGTAAACCATTTCAAGGCTTCGAACGCCTTGCAGCCCTTCTTGTGAGCCTTCCAGTGTTTGACTTGATGTTCCTGAGGCAGGCGTTAGTTATCTTGGGTTCAAAACGATCAAGCTCATACTTTTCCACAGTAGCGTGCAACACGGCATTTGGAACATGTTGACAGACTATCTGTCACGTTACAGCTCGGCTGCCAACAATGGGTGGGTACGGGCGCATGCAGTTTGTCATTCGCGCGGAAGAGATCGCTCAGTGAGAGCGGGATAATCTATTGTTGAAAGGCCTTAGGTAGGCACGGATACAGACAATAATTTACGTACCGTAAAGTCAGACACGTCTTCCAAACGGAATCCCATTGATCCGTCAATGAAGTTATGCATAACCGGATACAGGTAGGCCACGGTGTACCCCACTTTGCACTTTCTCTTCTCGGTAACAATGTCCTTGTCTATAAACTGACGTCCTCTGAGCGGGTCCTCTTCATCGTAGAAGGCGATCCGAGTTATCCGTCCGTCGATATCACGCGCATGGACCACAAGTCTTCCAAGAAAGTCGGCATCCACAATCTCGCCGAGGAAGCACCAGTGTTTCAAAGGAAATCCTCCATCATCGCCGTAGTACCGTGTATCAAGTAACATTTCATGCGCGCAATCTCGGAAGGCAGGAAAGTGCAGTCTATTCCTTAAATTCGAACCAGGACTCGGCAGACATCGGTCGGAGGACGACATGATAGATATCTTTACAAACAATCAGCTGTAATGAGGCAATATAATTGGAGTAACATTTACCAGAGAGCCTTGGAATGAAGCGGCCACCGCGCAGACCGTAGGAGTAATCCTAAGTACGGCTCCAGTCAAAACTGAAACTATAGGTGAGCGGACGTTCTGTTTGGTTTTAGTCGTACATCTCACCCCCGCGTCCGAACAAATTCTCCTTTTGGAAGGTGAGTAGGTTACGATCCTCCCCTTCCCGTAGCACACTTAACACTTGCGCATCGGATGCCTGGCTATACTTTGTCAGCAAGTTCGATAACGTTATACGCGATCATTGTGATTATCATTCCAACTACATCGTTGTTTCTCTCATAGCGTTGATCTCGGTGTCTCACCAGTACTCACTCAGCGATGTTGCTTATTCATCGCCGAGGCTGTCACTTGAACTTCAGCGCCATATGTTCTCTGCGACACTGTAGTCTTTAGAGGATAATTATGCAGGTTACGACCAAAGTATATATAGGGTCCGGTCGCAACTCTTCATCTCCATCTTCATCGAGTTTGTAATTTACCTCCTTAACCATCTGGTTAACATGTCAATTTCCGCTCAGCAGAAAGCTCTAGTTCTCCCTGAGCCCCACGCACCATTCGCCCTTCGTACTGTCGATGTATACAAACCGGAGGCTGGAGAGGTGCTTGTCCGTATCGAAGCGATCGCACTCAACCCAGTCGATTGGAAAATACAGGCTTTTGATTTTCTCATAGACGAATACCCCGCTGTCATTGGTACTGATATCGCTGGAACCGTTGTCCACCTCGGTGAAGGAGTCACGAACGTTGCTGTTGGCGACAACATGTACGTTGATTTGAGTATCACGCATGCGTTGACTTGATATCGGTGTTAATGGATAACGCCTAGTGTTTGGCAAGGCTTGTTCACCAACCGCCTTGCTTCCTTCCAGCAATACGCCATTGCGAAGGTCGATAGATTGGCCAAGGTTCGTGTAGCGGACACCTACACCTCATCTAGCCATTCTGACCTTGACAACAGATTCCACCAAGCATTAGCTTTGAGCAAGCAGCAACTATCCCTGTTGGTGCGGCTGCCGCTTTCGTTGGGCTGTACGGCCCTAAGCAGGAGTCAGGTGGCGCAAACCTTACTCCTCCCTGGGTTGAGGGTGGTCGTGGCAAGTAAGCCGGCCGACCCATCGTCATTTTCGGTGGCTCGTCCTCTGTCGGCCAATATGGTGAATCACGACACTTTGCAACGTGAAACTTGGGTCTAATACTGAACGTCTCTCCTAGCTATTCAATTCGCCAAACTCTCCGGCTTCTCACCTATCATTACCACTGCGTCTCCACGCAACTACGACCTTGTCAAATCGCTCGGTGCCACGCATACCATCAACCGCACCCTCTCGCCTGACGACATTGTCGCAGAAGTCAAGAAGATCACGTCTGGACCCGTTGAAACCGTGTACGATGCCATCTCGGAAGAAGATACACAGAACACCGCCTATGATATCCTCTCGCCTGGCGGCACTGTCGTAATCACCCTCAAACAGACTATTGTGCAGGAGAACATTAGAAAGGACAAGAGCATAATACACACATTTGGCAATGTCCACCTTGAGCACAACCGTGCTCTCGGAGTTGGGTTCTTCAGTCATTTGACTGAGTATCTTGCTTTTGGGGATGTCAAGGTGCGTATACTTTGGTATGCCCACCTTGATACCGACTTCTGAAATTTGAAACAGCCCAATCCATTCGAGCTCATCCCCGGGGGTCTTGAGGCGATCCCCAAGGGCCTCGAAAGACTCAAGAACGGTGAAGTCAGCGCCAAGAAGCTGGTCGTCAGTCCAAATGGGGCTGTGTGATTAGTAGGGAATATTAGGGCTCCAATGTACTGTGTATTAGCAACGTAAACGAATATCAGACCTTTGGGCAAATCTGCAAATATGGATGGAAGACATGAAGCACCTCAGTTGGCCAGCGTGCTCCCAAATGTCGTGACAAGTGCTGACAACGCAGATATATGATGCTGAGTTCAAGGCGACTATGAGGAACCGAAGAGAGACTGTGAAGAAGTAGCGAGGAGCCGAGCTTTGACGTTCTAATATGGGGAAGTTTCAGGAAAGAAGAAACCACGCCTAACACCTAACGCAGGTGAGCAATGTACCTGTATAGGAAGAAGTAGTACAGTACGAGACAAAGGAAAAACAATTGACTCTATGATACGTCGTGTGCGCTTACGACAAATTCTCTGCCGTTCGCTCGTACTGACCGACGGTGAGGATCTCGTGAAAGTGGTTTTCTCATGTCTACACGGGTGTGAATCAGAGATAACAATACAACATGAAGCCTCGGGACTCACCAAATGCATCCTCTTCGTCCTTCGACGCTCTGCCCAGACCTAAGCTCCCATAATACTCCCTGACCCTCCTATATACGCTATACCCTAGACCCTCGTACATGCTTATCGCCACGCTGTTCGTACATCGAACATAGAGGTCGACGAAAAAGCCTTTGTAAGTCTCGTCTGAGACCATCTCGAGGAGACTCATCATTTTGCGAGCCAGCGAGAGGCGTCGATATTCGGGTGCAACTGTCAAGGCGGTGACGTGACCATGCCAATCTTGACCATGCCCCTCAGCCTTTCCAATAACTTTTCAATAACAAGTGAGTGATGGTGGTATATAAAGGAGTCAGTAAAACATACCGTAGCCCATCATATGCCCATTTGGTGCCTCCTGCACACAACAGAGGTCTGGCCACCTTGAAAGGTAGGTCAAATAGAAGCTAATTCCGTACTTCCAAAGTGTGTGAATGATCAGTCATCCGAGTACGAGGATATTTTGAATACAACTCACTGTCTCTGTCCAAATGTCCAAGTTGCTACTCGTATGAATAACGGCGATCCGTGTACAGTCGATTGCATGCTTACATGTTATTGAACTTGAACATGTCGGTCGCTCGAAACGGGCGTAGCACGCTCATACTTATATGATTAGCCTTCGAGAGCCAAGATTGCAGGACAATATAAAGAGGCTACGAGGTAAAGGACAAAATGATCGTGGACACCACTTCGATCGGAATGAAGCGGGCCAGTTGGCGGTAAATTCATCACGTAAGGGATCTTACACAGTTTAGCGCTTGCAGTTCATGAAAGAATACGATTTATTCTAGAACACAGAGGAATGGTGCAACAGCGACATGCGAGACAAAATGCTGCGTTCTAGCATAGGCCTCAATCATGATTCACTGAACTCTTCTCATCCTCATATTTATCAGCGGCAGCGGCATGTAAAGCAAACATCGAACGGCGAAGACTGAAAATAGAGGAGAGCAATTAACTTGATGCATGAAGAACAGAAGCAAACATGACCTACCTCAGCTGTTCCTCGTAATATCCACGTAGTTCGCTGTAATGGCGTAGTCGGATCCGCTTATGGATGACGACAAGCATCATGACTGTTGCGGTCATGGCTGAACGTGTCAATGGTGAGCAGTAGTACGCGATGCCGGATGCAAGAATCTCCTACCTGCGAGTACAAAGGCAATTACTGAGGCATATTGCCATGATGCAACCTTGATTGGCATTTCTGAGGGATTTGTGCATGTCCCAGACGGATCACAGCTGAACTGGAAAAGACTTAGCTGTCAGAGTCGAGCTCATGTCTTGAGCGATGGATTTACCGATCTGCATTCTTGATCCGCTATGCACGATAATCCCATAGATTTGGTAGGAAGACACTGAAGGTGATCAGTGTCGCAATAGAACTGAGGTGTGCGACAATTATGGCGAGTGATAGTGTTCGCGAATGTTTTGAAATCAGGTCCCAAATCGACATATGTGGTAGTATCCATCATGCATCTTTGACCCAAAGAGGCATTGGCATAGCTACAGTAGCATCAAATGAGCTTTCAACTTTGCATTAGAGTAACATATAACCCACTTACACGCAAGTAGACTGCAGGCAGAGTGACCCATTGAAGTTCTGATTGCTCGCTAAGTCCGCCCAATTATTCGGGGCCATACACTGATCATCACGACTAAATTGGCAGGATTGTCCTACTGGAGCGAGATTCTTGCACTCGCTACCTTCGTCCGGGCAGAACTGTCCTACGGAACAAAGAGGAGGCAAGGTCTCGCTTGACTGGAAGCCGAACGGGAACTCGTCGCGACGACATTGACGGAATTCACATGTGCCGTTCGCTACAGCGGTGCAGAATGTTTCGTCGTCACAGTCACTAAGAAACCTTCGGCTGGAAGAGTCCAAACGGTTGTTGTTTGTTGAACAGGATCCTCCTTGAACGACACTCCCGCAGAAGGCCAGAGGAAAGGCACCGAAAAAGACCGTGACTTCCAGAAAAAGAGGCCAATTCATCGCAGCAGATGGAGACAGTGATAATACAAAAGGAAACATGACTTTCAAGCTCATGGCCGCCCCGGATGTCAGCCGCGAAAATAGCAGTTTTCAACTTTAGACCAGCATGATGTCAGCCACGACTCTGCCGGTTAGCCTGGAGACGTTGCCCATCTGCCGAAACAACATATAAGGGGATAGATCTAATTGAAGCCTCGTAACCTGACTGTCAGTAGTTAGAAGTCAAAGAATTCGGTGCGACCTGTGAATTCTGACCGGAAATATGAATCATTTATACATCAGATTCTGGTATGTGAACAGACTCACTACAATAACCAATGGCATCGCTGAGGACTTCACGACAGACCTGAGATTCTTCGAAATTGGCACGGGGTAGATTTGTCATAGAGACATATATGAATGATAAGTGAAATCACCAATTAGCTCGACCCTTCGAGGTTATGAAAGATCTAGAAAACATGGGAATCGCGACCTGCAATGAGTATGGGAATACATTATATGGAAACAACTGTACAATGAGCACAGAGTATCTAGTTGAACATGGTTTTGAATTTCTTCGTGACTTTCCTCAAACTCAGGCGACTGCTGCGCTTCCGTCCACTTGCGTCTCGAATCAAGCCTCGTTCGCATTCTACATCGGCATCTTCCTGCGCCCCCGCGGCTTCATCTTCATCCTCAGATTCGACATCTTCTCTAGGCCTCTTTGTCCCGCGAGAACGACTTCGTGAACTTGAAGCCACAGCAACGACAGATGATGAAGGAGCTCTGCCAAGAGCTTTATCCTTTCCTTTCCCCTTCCCTTTCGCGTCGGCCGATTGTTTCGTCTTAGGTCGCGACTTGGTTTTCTGTTTGGCTTTCTTGGTCGGTAGGGCAGGTCCAGCACCACTCCAATCTCCTGCGCCGCTTTGTATCTCTTGGTTGAGAGCAATGGCTTGATCTAATTCTCTCTTGCCTTGAGGCGGATATATATCTTCGACGGCGAGTCCATGACTCCAGTCTGCAGATTCGTCGTTGAGTATGGTCTTGAAGCGAATCAAGAGTTGTTGCAAGTCATTCTTGAGCAAGGTTTCGTAATCCGCGAGTTGGCTACCCTCTGACTCCAATGCTTCCGTCGCGAGACCATGATAATGATTATGAAACTTTGCCAGATCTATGACAAATGAATGGAGTGCGCGACAATGGAACTTCACGTTTCTTTGGGATAAGAATGCGCGCTTCCTGTGACCTCCGATGGCCTTTTGGCCCGTCACGCCTTCAGAAAAGGTCTCAAACTGATTGAAAATCTCCAAGCTGAATTTGCCCTCGTGGGTGAAGTAATGAACAGCCACGAAGAGGATGACCCAAAGAATGGATTCGACATCATCAAAGATATTATGTCTTTTCTCCGTGTCTTGCAGCAGCAGAATTGACATAAACTGCCAAGTGCCCTGTAGTATACGATCTTAGCATACGATCTTAGCATACGTGTAACAGAGGTGAATATTTTAATCACCGTCCGATAATTATGTATCAGGGTCTCGGCATCGTCGTTCCGACTATGGTCCCAATCGTTAAGTATGCCCGATTCTTCTCGACCATCCGTAAAGTTTTCTTTCAGCATGATGTTCCCATTGCTCACGTCGCGATGAAGGCGGTTGCATTTTGTGTAAGCTTCGATAACACCTACAGAACGAATGAGTACAATGTTCTGACGAAAAGAATCAAATTGATCTACTCTCAAGTGCATCCTGAGAGGCCCGTATGAGTTCCCTAGCGCTCTTGACGGTGCTCAGCGGGTAAAGAAGTCCCTGCACGACTCTGTGATGAATGTGCGTTCGAATAACGCCTGTAGGGCGCCGCCATGGTCTTGCATCTTGATCCTCCAATAGGTCTTGATTTGTTGTCCTTTGGACATTACCGTCAACTATCACATCTCCTGCACATGAAATGGTTGGAAGATGAGAAACATGTCCGTTCCTGAGCTCAGCATAGATATCAGCCTCCGAATCGTAGCCATCTACTCGCCACGAGTCCTTCAGAAATTCCAAGTCGACTTGGAGTCCGTCCCATCCAGTAGCTGTGTCGGGCACTCGGATGGCAACGTAGCCACGAGTAGCACGCCCACAAGGCGTCGGGATGACAGGAGGAGTAAGAGGCTTGCGAATGATATAATACGATGTGGCACCATCGCGATTATTAACCTGAACTTTGGACGTCATGTAGTCCCCGTCAGTCATCTTCTCGAGTCCAGGTAGGGTGCGCAAGTTCTCCTCCTTGACACGACGAAGATATGCAGCGACCGCACGATCAAATAGAACACATTCTTCAGATGATGCAAGAGAGACAGATGGGTCATATCCACGCTCAGTGGGCGACAGCCGAGCAAATCTCCAGAAGAATTCAACAAGATGGAGCGGGTTCTCGAGGTAGTAGATCGGTTCGCTCACAACGACACTAGAACGGTCGAATCGGTAGAGTCGAGCAATAGATCCGTAGACACCGACAGCGAATCCGAACAGACGATGTTGGTGAGACATCAGAAGAGATGCATAGGAGTACAGCTGGCCTCTGGTGGCTTTCGCCTTCACGCTAGCACCATTTTCGATGTAAACTGTTGTATCCTTGAATTTTTTGTTGTAGCCATCAGCAACTTCTTCCAGTTTCCACTCGATGAAGAGCTCTAACGCGGCAAAGACAAGGGTTGGCGACGGTCTTTCTCCTTCGTAAAGGCCTACGTCAGGCCGAAATTTTGATGTTGAATTGGGATCCATCTTATCAGCTGTGTCGCAGAACGTGAATCCCGGACAAATCTTCGCCGTGGCATTCATGAGGTTAACCTATCGTGGAATGGGACGATGAGTACACTGCCGGAGGAGGAAAGGGAGAAAGAAAATTGGCATACAAATGGTTCATAGACCTCACTTTCACGAGAAGGAGTATCGGGTAAGGCGGTCTTGAAGAACTTCTTCGATAACGAGAGTTTAAATCGTTCATCGACCGGCAGGTACTTGTCCATGAATGTTTTCCGAGGCATTGGGCCAATGGCGGTACCGTGCATTTCGGTGGCGACAGCGTTGTGAAATTCTTTAGCCTGAAGAAGGATGCTAGAGTTTGGTAGAAATCCCCGCAGGCTCTTCTGGACGCGGGAGATGGGTGGTCTATTAGTTTCGGTCATTTTGGAGAGTATGAATGGAGAGAACGTACATAGAAGAGACAATTTATATCGTTTTATAGGTGTGGCAACGCTTGGCCCAGTGAGCAGGTGATCAGTTCAATGGCCTTTACTGTGGCCTGAATATGTCTTTGGCCTCTCGAGGTACGTGTATGGCAAAGGAACACCTCTTTCGTGGCCACCGCCTATAACGCAGATGAGTTGGATGCAAGGGTACTATTGATAGTATGGCTAGCCTACTTTAGAGGGGGGTTTTAAGGACAACCAGCTAACTTAGAATGGAGTGCTATCTCCTCACAAGTTTGCAGCGTGCGGTTCATGTTGATAACTTCTTCGCGCCGTCGAGTTTGACTCACGCTCACGTGCCTAATAATTACCACGTGTTTACGCGTACACGTACTCGAATGGGACGTTTCCGCCATCCCCAAAATTCTGAGTCTGGAGCTTGAATACCATGGTTTGTTGATAGATTCCGGGCGTTAACTGTCAACTTCTTCTAGTATGTTGACGCTGCTCTGCACGCAACAAGGTGTCCCACTGGAATTCATCTTACGCGCGCTGGTGCCTCGCTCTAGTAAACCTCAGTTTCGAGTAGTAATGAGGCAAAGGTTGTGAGATAATCGAGCCAGCGCGGAGCGCGAGTCGGGCAACGAATACAAAGTACGTTCGTATAGAGCGGGTTTGTCCCCTAGTGTACTTACGAAGGCGGACAAATGCGTGGGGAATTTACCTACAGTAGCATACTCTATATAGTGCTATGGGAGTCTGATACGTCCAAAGCTATGGATAGGAAGAAATATGCGACCATGCAAGTTCGCTTGGCGTCTAGATTTCCAACAAAGGTGTCCCTACAACTGCAATGAACTACGATGACAGCTGCGCCGCTTCTGGAACGTCGTCCACAACGAAATTGATTGTCCTGATCATTCTTACCACTGGGTGAGACCGCCTGGAAGTATATTGTACAATGGTTTCACCACGGTCGATCCCCTACCTTCGACCTGTCTTCTGGTGCACACCAACGATCTTAACTGAGAGCCAACCCTTGCTCTGAAACTCAGAGTCTGTTAGCTCCAGTGAGGACGTGTCTGTAACCAGAGCTTTAACAAAGTGTAGAAGATGTGTGCAGAAACGAGGCCTGAAGCACGATGTTTCGGCCTACGGTTATGAAGCTCTGTTGCTGACGTCTCTAGAGAGCGCACCATTGTCAAGTATACAGCCACTGCGTATTGAAGAACGCTCACCACTGTCCCGTATATTCGGAAACCGATTCATACATCAGAGGCAAACTAAGCATAAATTAAGACCTGACGCATAGCAGAGGAAAGACCCGGTCTACATGAGGCATGGTGTATTATTCACGGATAAAGGAGATGTCATTCAAAATGACATGCAGTACTGAATAGGCAAGTCTGTTGACGACCTTGTACAACAGGACCAAATAACGAAAGCGGAAAATTCGGGATTCGACTTGTAACTTCAAGGCCAAAAATAGAGCTCCATTCAACCGTCAAACGCATATCCTCATTGTATGCAGCATAGAAATTCACCGCTTTTGTGCCAAGTGAACAGGTTAGAATAACCCCTCCTCGCGTGTATGAACTGACAATTGAGTATCAGCCAGATACCGTTGAAACTTGGATCACCTTGACAACTTGTACGCACCCTCGCGTCGACCATCACTAAGCCGTCCGCTCTGTTTTTAGTGCGATTTGCGAAAGTTCATGTAGAACTTTGAAGCGGACGTATGCTACTGACCGGAGCACGTTCGACGACCAAGAGATCACGAACTTCATCTTGTATAGCCGGCGCAGCAACAACCACAGATACTACAACATGGAATATGAAGCATAATATAGTGATATTCAATGAGGCAACGTACCGACGAACACTAATATGACGAAGGCACGCAGCGTAAATCGCATGTTGAGAAAGCATCTTGCGGATGTTGAGCGAAGAGAAGAAGCTTTGGAGAGCTGCCGAGATTGCAGAGTGTTCAACTCACAGTTTATATCTATCGCCAAACTCTTGGCAAATACGTGAGGACAGCTGATCCCTGAGTAGTTAGATGGTCTAAATAGCGCAGAGACAACGGGCAATTCATCCAAACAAGGGGCGATATAATTCAGCGGGTGTCCCAATATCGTTAAGACACCCTTTACAATATAACGACAACACAGGGCGATAAGCATTGTCGCCATGTTACCCGTGCAGATAGAGCTAGCACGAAAGCAGAGCTTTCTCCAAATGGAGCACAGCCCGTTAGTAGTATGAGCCCATCAAAGTCACTGCGAAGTCATACGATGGTGGATCCCCTGGTATACCCAAGGTGCATTGTACGATACATACCTCAAGACTATGGTACAACCCTCGGCGCCATCGATGGATCTGTCACGGAATCTAACCGAGCCAACCTCAGTGAATGGATTTGCGTCCCAAATGAGTTGACAATTCAAGCAAGTCAATGCAATGAGGACGGGCGACATGCACGCCTGTACAGAGACCTGTTTGGGCGCAAGATGAGATGTCGTACCAGGATCGACTGGGGACGTGCATTGCTTGAGATGTTAATAAAGAATACGATAAAGAGTGTGGAGCAGATGCGTTACACACCACGGCTGGTCAGTGGTTTGCTACGAATTGACCAGCATTGCATATCTGACTAATAGTCAGGCTAGAGAACACTTGGGAACATCCTCGGGTACAACGTCGGACAAAATCCGGAAGCAATGAATTGACGTCAAAGGACTCATCTAGAGCATTAGTAGCTGATTAGATTTAGGAAGATGTAGATCGGGAAATTCTGCCGAAAGCGTGCTGTACAATGAAAAGTTCTTGATGGAAAGAAATACAGAGAGAGTACAATAAAAATCATGATGCTACAAACGTGATTAGTTATGCTTATATAGTCAAATGTAAGCAACTACTTACATCCATTCCGTGCAACGCCTTTGCCTTTGCCTGTGCCTTTGCCTGTGCCCTTGCCTTTGCCTTTGCCTTTCGGTCTTTTAGGTATCTTCTCGTACATGTTGGGCTCATCTGAGTCACTATGTAGCTCATGTACCACCGATTCCCCACCTTCTCTACTTTGCGTATTCCCACCATCCGGATTTGCATTTGTGTCAGGTTTCGGATGGCGATGTCTTTTCCGAGGTTCATGCGAGTGAGGAGCGCGATCACACGATGAATCGGAATCCGATCCAGAGGATTCGTCTGAAGACGACGATTCATCAAACCGCTTCGGTCTATGGTATACGCAGCAAACTATAACAAGCATCACGAAGCTTAGTATATTCAGATTCATCAATGAGGGAGATGACGACATACTCTTTGATGACTTCTTCCCAGCGCCCTCATTGTCAACTACATCTTCACTCCAGACGACTCTTGGTCTATCGCGACTTCGAGCACCCCGTAATCGCAGTGTCCCAACCTCCTCTGCAGAGGCAGTGCCGACCTCTTCTTCACGAGTTTGACTATCTAGTACTGTGACTGTTCTCGAGCTGTCAGCAGGAGCTGAAGTTGAACGTCCCCCTCGTGTGGCCAGCTGAGACATCTTGCAACAGTTCAAATAATGTCGTAGGGGTGAAATGTAGCAGGTATGCAGAAATATCAAATCAAAATGGGATAAATGCTGGAGAATGGGAGAACGTAAGATAAGAGGGGTCGACGATGAAGGTAAGGCCAGTTATGGGCGAGTAACTTCCAGAGCACGATTAAGCCTTACGTCAGCCAAATTTCATAACACGTGCATTTAGTCACGATATTGTCAAGGAATACAAGTCAGAATACAAATACATCCGTAAGTGCTAGCAGTACAATCGTAAGGAAATCATACACAGTATCGTAACCTATTTTTACAGCAGCTAAGCTGTTTAATCTATACATGCGAAAGGGACGAAAGAAACTCAACCTTCGCAAACTCTAAAGCGTAAATCCATAATTGAGTGTGATCCGAAGTTGCATAAGATGATAGGTTGAGATGGCCACAAACGTGTGTCGTGTGGTTAGAGGCGGAAGAATCGTGAAAAGACTCGCGGTTCGCGGGGTTCCTTGTGGAGAATTTCGTGAGGAGCCTTAACTGGCTCGGGCTCGGGAGTGGGGTCCTTCTGCTTCGGGGCTGTAGAATGAGAAGACGCAGGCGCGGCAACAGAGGAAGGCTTGTTTACGGAAGCCGAGGAATGCGTGGCGATAGCAGTAGAAGTAACCTCGCCGCCTTCTGAATGAGCCTGAGGGGCAAGCGCCTTAGCAGAGGCAGTCATGGCAGTCTTGATAGCCTTGTCAAAGCGGTTGTTGGCTATGTCTGAAGCATGAGTCTATCTGCAATGAGGGGATACAGATCGATATCACTTACAGAATGCGGAGTCAGCATCCCACAACATGACCCCTCCGAAAGAGGAGAATTGCTTTTGAGCGTTTTGGGCAAAGGTGGCTAGAGTACCGGCGTTGACATAACCTTGACCGGCAGCATCGGAAGCTCCAGGAGCACCTATGTAAACCTTTACGTTCTTGTTTGCAGACTGTGTCTTTGCCCAGTTGTCCCAAGTAGCAAGATTGTAGTCCTGGAAAAGAAAATATCAGTATCTCATGAGCGGTCAGAATGAGACTGATCACACACCGAAGGGTGGTTGAGACCGCAAAAGTTGTTATCTGTGAAGACAGTCAATACTTGACGTGTCATACGACTGAGTTTGAATACTCACAGAACTGGACGTAGACGGCGTCGAAACTTGCCTGGTTAAGAGCATCGCCAATGTTGGCATCAGGGAATGGGCACTGAGGAGCTGCCGTAATGTAAAACCTGCCGAAATACCACAAATTAGCATACCAATATCATTTCAAAGATTGGTCAGAAAGCGTACTTCTTGCTAGCACCAGACGAGTGAGAACGAATACGGTTGACGAAGGCGGCATAGTGCGCAGGAGTACCACTCTCGATATCAAGATCGACACTAAAGGGCAAGTACAAGGTTAGTCCAAAGTTAAACTTCGTCATTCCCAAGTTCAACATACCCATCGAGTACTGCATCACCAAACGGCCGAGTGGAACTGCTCCCGCCCAAGAACTCGTTCCAGATCTGATCGGCGAAAGTTTGTGCCTGCGAATCCGAGGAGAATCCGACTTGACCGGTGCCGCCACCCAAGCTCAGGGTGATGAGCTTGCCTTTAGCCTGGCAGGTCTTGATATCTGCAGCCAGAGTCGAGGGACATTGAACCAAGTCTGTACCGGGGAAGACTGGCGCGTTCCAATCCGAGCATTGCTACATGAATAAATAACGTTAGGTTTACGTTAGGTTTGTGGAGTAGATATTTGCATACACTGCCCAAGTCCACAACAGGTTGGCCACCTGTACCGCGGAAAATGTACAAGAAGGCGAGAGGGATCACATTGATGGTGTCATCAGCACAGTAGAAGGATAGCCGTTGCTGACTGCCGGCGCCATTTTGACCCCAATAACTGGAAAGTATGGCTTTCAATTAGTGTGAACCGATCAAATGAGCAATCAAACATACACGGCCAACTATAGAGAATGAGTTAGAAACCAATGGACTGGTAGGATCGCTAACTGTGTACTCACGTTATCTTTCCTGGTGTTGTCAAAGGCGAGAACACCGCCCAACAACCCGATAGAAAGCGTGAATGCAAGAAGTGTTCCGATTCCACGAGAAAACATGACCGAAGATACCCAACCGTGTTGCCAAAAGGACGAGGGAGGAAACTGCAGAGTCTCCTGGGGAACTCACATCCTCCGGAGGAAGACCTTTATACCAGAATACTCCTGGGTACCTTGTGCGAACATTTTAGTCCGACTTCTCGTCCGCGTTGTCATTCGGGCACATGCAAGAGAACATTGTGATGCTCTGGTAAATGACCAGTTTCTTTAGAAGAGGCAGAAAGTCACATTAGGTTGTACCTCGCCGAATCTCGAATAAGGTTCCGTGGACTTTGTGCAATTTTCCATACACGTCGATCCCATGGTGATGATGGGAGATAGCTCGACCTACTTGCTTCAAAGCGGGTCATACGTGGCTTTCTGTGCTTCTCGCCATTCCACATGCAACACACCATCTCAGTCGGTATCGCTCGGGACGTGGACCGGGCACGTATCAATGGGAAAAGTGTGGGAGTGGAGTGAGAACGTCGCAGTTCTTGGTGGGAAATGGTAGTTTGCACATTTTAGATGAATAACAGAGACGCAGCTCGAGTCGGTTGCAATGGGAACGCCTTGAAATGTTCCACACATCGAAATGTAGAGGTTCAAAAGGGTCCGTCAGGTGATGAATCTGACCAGAGTCACGCCAGTAGATTGTCCAAGGCATCTCCGTACGAGCCGATCTGGTTCTAACTTTGAGAGTCGAGTACGATCATGTGCACTGCGTACCTTCCATCTCGACTACATCCAGGTCTTCCAGCTGACAGACTCGAGCATTCGACACTATATAGGCCTCAAAAGAAGCAAGACACTTGAAAGACAGGGATATTTGTGAGCATACTAGTAAAGCGTCCACATGGACTGGTGTCCCACACGTGAGGACCGGCATATGGCCGCAAAGAATGACAGCATTCCAGCTGAAGCCTGAGAGTATGCCGATGATAGGGGCACAGCACAGTTCTTGTATTTCTCAGTGTCGCAGCACGCAATCGAATGTGTATGGGAAAGACAAACGATTCGGAATGAAGAGATGATCGACATGGAGACTATTTGGCTCGTATTGGGAATGGCAATTGCCGAATGCTCCTAATAGTGACTTCCTCCCACGATGCTTCGTTCAACAAAAGACTCGGAAGCTCTTCATTTGACTTTCTCTGTGACTCTACCGCAAATATTGTGCAGGGTGCTCTTCATTTTAGCACTCTGTTATAGCGGTAACCAGGCTTACAGAATTTCCACTGATATCCTTCTCAACTTCTCAGAGGTAATAACCATACGCGAAGCCCGAACCCCCTCGTAAGGTACGTGCTAACTCTATCCCAAGCAACCCATGACTCTCTCAGGCATTATGGTCTACCCATTCGCTTTCACTTTTTTTAGTCCTTTTTGCTGGATCAGGTTGAGGACGTCGACGATGTACACGTATGGCGCCGTCAATGTCACGGTACCCGGCTTACTCACTCGGCCATCCCAACTAACTCTTCCGTTGTTTCTTACGCACATGGTCTCGGAAGCTCACCCCTCTGACCTGGCCAGTTCATGTTCAAAATTGGAATGTCATTCGATGAGCGTGCCGTATCGTAGTGTCATTCTTGACATGACCGATACACCGTCAGCTACGTCTGATTCTTGACCGACCCCGTCTGGCTTGACCCTGGTCGGCCAACAGAGGTTAAGGCACTATTCGATCGCAACTAACCTATCAGGTGTGTCCTTCACTTATTCCATATTATTGTGACAGACCATCCATTGAAGTGCTGAAGCGATGCTTTGTACGTGGAAGTATAGAGCAATTGTCCGTCTGGCACAGCTAACATCTGTCGAATAAATGACTGTCAGCGCCCTCAAGAGCCTGCAACAATGACGTCGCATTCTTAAGCCTCCGTTGTTGACCGCCTAAATAAGTATTAAAACCGCTATATCGTCGCCCCATGGCTTTTGTCATCGCCTTTCAAGAGCTCCCTCTCTCAGAAGTCGAACGAAAATAATGGTCTTGAAGTTATCCAATATAGAGATCCGTCTCTTGAAAACTCCTACTCGTACGTGCTTCTGTGTACATTTCACGTGCATCCCATATAGACATACTCTGTTAGCCGGCGAACTTGACGAACTCGCAGAAATGCTCATGTTCAGATCAGGTAAGCAAGTCAAACCCCATGACTCCTGGAACTTAATCACTTCACGTTATGATAGACGCACTCACAGTAGCTACCTGTGCCGGAGACCGCTCGCTCATGCCCGAATACCACCGTGCTATCATGGCAGCTTGTGCAGTTGGCGGGGACTTGTTCGTCGCTATTCACCATCAAGATGGACACAAGAAGATAATTGGATGTGTTGCTTTCTTTGGGCCTGGTGCAGAGTTCATGTCATCGTAGGGCAACTCATTGCAGTCTATCTTCAGTACTCGAATACCTTCGCAGGAACGAACAGCGAGAACAAGGATTTGCCGATTTCTTGAAGAAACTTCCATCCAACTGGTTCTTGGAAAGCGTGGGTCAACACATTTAGCACTCACTTTTGAAAGTTAACACTCGTCCAGTTCCTTCCTCAGTACGCCGTTCTCAGCCATAGAGTTATGGACCCAAAGGTCAAACGGGACGCATGGAATGTAAATCAACTCGCGGTTCATCCAACTTATCAGCATATGGGTGTTGCCTCAGCACTGATGGCTGCTGGGGAAGTTCTGGTGAGCGCGGCATACCAATCTGACGTCTCAATGTCAAATGATGGTCTGGACAGGCCAGGACGGACGTGAGGTTGAGACCCATGATACTCGAATGTAGAGAGGAGACGGTGGGTCCTCCTGAATGTGATATATGAATCGTTAACCGTATTGATTTATGAGACTAGGTACCTATGTATGAACACCTGGGATATCGACTTTTAGGTGAAGAAGCCATGGAGTTTGCGCCTCCCGTTGGCGAGATCCAAGTGTGTATGATGCAAAAGGATTTGAACACACGTTAGAGTTCGGGAAAGTCCTTCCTATCTGGCCACGTAAAATTCAATACCAACTTTCTCATTGTGCCCAGAGAACATGTGCATATCACTCCAGCCTAGCTCGCACAGGCTCAACCTTAAACGTATCCCAAAACTCCCTGCTATCTAACGCTCTCCCAACCATCTGCTCCGGCGACCTAGGCAACGCACGTACACCAGTCTCTACCATTAACTCTCTAACCCATCTCGCTTGTGGGCCTCTCCCTTCATCCCCGTTCGAACCTGATTCCTCGCTCTGGCTCTTTTCTTTACTCTCAGTCTCACCCCATGCAGACGCCAAGTCCCACCAATCGTACACCCGCTGGTCTGTTAGGATCCAACGTTGACCAATAGCTGGTTCAAAATTTCCGTGGACAGCGAGTATAGCTCTCGAGACGTCTTCGCCATGGATCATATGTATACTTCCCTAGTTCCCAGCCGCGATCAATCCCTTCCGAAGTTCAGCCGGATTAATGATTGACTGACCTTATTCTTGAGAACCTCCTTAGTGGGAGCAACCTTGCCAACCCAATGTTTCAACGCTCTCTGCCCTCCCCAAAGTCCGGAAAGATTTAGGACGGTGGTATGTGACTCTGGGGATAAGTCCAATAACTTAGTTTCGGCGGCTGCTCGATCGTTTGAGGTATTGAAGGGGGAATGGCGATCGAACCACTTGCTTTGAGGCTTCCCGTCAAGTGTAGGTCCGCCCTAGCCAACATGCCACACAGGTGAAGCCATCTGTAAGGAGACGCGGTTTTGGCTGCTGACACTCACATCCCAAATCCCTGTCGATCCCAATTGAATGAACCCAGTTCGCGTCTCTGACGCGTGTGTCTGTTCATATAGTTTCACCAGCCTCCCCGATCCGCCTTTCACCTTGATCGGGAATGTAATGACTACAGTCTTCGCATGTGGCAAAACGTTGTAAGGGTTTGGATCGTCTGAAGTCGGATCGTACTCGAAGAGAATCGTGTCGGGTTTGGGTGAGCCGGGACGAGAGGTTGCTGCGTATGGGATGTTTCGGGATTTGCATAGGGGAATTAGGAAAGTTGAAGTCCATCCTGCACCTAGAATGAGAAGGTCGACTGTTTGAGGCGGGTTTGGCATGTTTGCAGTTGGGGAGAGGAAAGTGGGGAAGGAGAAGATGAAAGTACTAAGACAAGCTTAGTGATGCAATGCATTTGGGAAACGGCCGTGGGATTTGAACGATGAGTATGAATACAAATGTGGCGAGAATGACGACTATGATGATACTAATCTACGCGAGAACGGAAAGCGAATAACTTAAGAGAAACCAGGGCGCACTCGTGCTGATCATGAGACCTCCTCCATATCCTCATCCTCATCCTCCTCTTCGTCCTCCTCATATTCTCCTTCCATTTTGACTTCTCCAGGGTATCCGCCAGGAGGTGGAGGTGGTGCGACAACATGCTCTCCTTTAACCTAAAGACACGCATTTACATAAGCACGAGTGATAACTGAGAGGGTGAAAAGCCACGTACCACATCGCGCTTATAGTTCTCCGTAAGCTCCCAAGTGCCGTTATACTCTCCAGAACGATGAAGGGTTGCAATGTCACTGAGAGCCTCTTTGAGATAAGCTTCGGGTTGTTGCAATTTCTCTCGCAGAGCCTTGATAGACCAATGCTCCTTTTCGCGGAATGCATTGAACAGCGCATCGAAGAGTTGGTCGCGAGGCATACGGGCCATGCGCTCGAATTGGCCTTTGACAGGTTTCGGCTTCGTTCTCTGAAACAATATCATCGAGAATGAGACAATATATGGATAGTTAGAAGATGAATATACGCACGACAAGATCGACGAAGCCCTTAGTGTTCGAGATACCACTCGTAAGCATATTGATGCCACCTCTGCCACCAGGATGCTCGTCTTCGATCCGCTTGATCGTCCTTGTATGTGTATTGGCGGCTTTCGTCCTCTCCTTCATTCTTCGACGGTATCCTTCCGTCAAGGAAGGTCTTAGATTGCACTCATGCTTAACCCGTCCGGTCAAGATAGTAGTCCGTGCACGATTATTCATCCCAGGCTCCTTCTCACGTTCTGCGATGACAATCTGGTTCTCCACGGCATCGTTGACCATATCCAGCTCGTACTCGTCGCCATCAATGTCTGGAGTCTCGGGATTCGGGGGTAGTCTCATGATAATTCGAGGCTTCTTGCCAGTTACACTCTTTGCATGGTGATAGACACGGATTGTGGCAAGGTGGACACCTTCTTGGTCAATGCGTGACCAGCGTTCCATGAGGTACCGAGGAATCTGGGGGATGTTGACATGTCGTGTTCAAACAGCTAAGCATAAACCTACCTTGACAAGCCACACCCGTCCATTCCCTTGATCCATAATGAGCTGCTCTTCTGGATCTGGTTGAGTCTCTTCCTCGTTTTGCGCAGTCTCTGCGTCGAATGGCTTCTTCTCGTCCTCTATCATGATATCATCCATGTTGAATAGTCGAAGAGAGTCCTGGTAGTTCGTAGAGATGTGGGGAGATGAGAGACAAGCACAAGGAGGTCAAGGTTGAAGCCAAGGCTAAAGCGATCACTTAAGGCAACTCCCAAATCGAGGATGACAGATTACATAACACAACCCTAAATTAGTAAGCAATGTTCACAAGCTCTTAGACAACATGTACAAACAGTCTCAAAGAGCAGTGATGTCACTGCGACTGGAATGCGGAATCGGAGGTTTTCTCTTCGTCCGTTCAATGTTAAGGAATACGGGCGGAAAACACAAAGTATCAGATGACATAGATCCAAGAAAGCAAGAGTCCAGAACAAGCAAATGCGACGTAGATGATTCGCCCTCACACCATACACAAAGAAAGAGACTTACAAGTTACTCGCTGAAGTTTGCAAAACCCGAAATGATATGCAATTGAGTGGTGGGTTGCACAGGGATATGAGTGCGAGGAGGATGAGTAGTCATCTATCTGAACTACTCCTAAGCTAGCATTAGGGTAAAGTAGAATACAATGTCCCAGAGAAGAGGAGAGATAAGTTATGCAGTCTGATCAGACAACATCAGCATCAAATTCATGAAAACAGATTCATTCAACGTACCGCCTCCTTCAAGTATGTGACAAGGTCATTACGATCCTTGTCCTTCTTGAGACCAGCGAAGGCCATCTTAGTACCGGGGATGTACTGCGCATGCTCGATCAATGGTGGTTATCATTTATGACGTGGCAGAATGCGTCACGTACCTTTTTGGGGTTCTCGAGGTACTCGAAAAGAGTCTGCTCATCCCAAGTGATACCCTTGTTCACGTTGGCAGCAGTGTAGGCGTAGCCCTCTCCTTGACCAGTCTTACGACCGAACACACTAAAAGTCCAACATGTCAGGTGCCTATGATAATTCATAACATAGCATAATGTGCGCACCCGTGGAGGTTGGGGCCGACCTTATGGGGCTCACCAGCAGCGAGGGTGTGGCACTGAGCACAACGAGTCTTGAAAAGACCGGCACCCTTGGCGGCGTCACCTATTTAACCAGCCGGTCAGTTGCATGTTCGTTGGAATGAGCTTGAACGCGACCTGCCTGGAGCGAAAGGCATTTCTAAGATCTAATGTGGGGTCGTAAGAGAACGTCTAAAGTGGATATACAAGAAGGTCCTAAGACGATGTGGTTGCGCAAAAACAAGATGATGCGGTTCCAAAATTTGGGCTCAGGTTATAAGTCAAGGTGGTTGCCGGTTTACTCCGGATGCAGAGAGCCAATCACGGCGGTCCGATTTTGGCCGCCACATGTCAGCCAACGTGATCTAAACCCTTGGGGTTAGGGTTAGGGCTTTGCTGTTGATTGAAGTGGGCTGGCTGTGGGAGAATAATTGAAACTCCGCCTGTTCATCCCCTTCACCACTGTGCGCGACGTCGAGCGCATCGTTCGCGCTGTTCCCGACGTTCTGTTCATCGTTCCACGTGTGCTGAAGAGCGTTCGCTGTGGGTGGTATTGATGACGGCAAACAGACAGTCGTCTCAAACCTCCACAGTCGTTCTGGAGGCCATGCACCCTCACCCGTCAACATCGAAACGCAAGACTCCCGACGACGGAAATCCTCTGGATGTAATGGTCGCGAAGAAAGCCAGAAAAGAGGTGAATATTACATACTGAACCTATGCTTGTACAACTTTAAATTCAGCTTGTCTTAGAAACCGAAATCAGGCGCTACTTCCAAACGCAAATGTACGTGTTATCTCTGCAATATACGCGTCGTTTAAACTGAAGTTGTATGGTGAAGTGGTGGGAGAAGAACAGCCAGGTGGTTTAGTTATTGTTCGCGCTCCTTCGACGCGTCTTCCCGCATCTCAGGGTGGTAACCCACCGAATATCGACGCTCAACCTCATCAACGGCCTCCGTCACGATCTGCCTCCATACAACCTCCCCAACAACATCCGCCAAATGCTAATGCCTCAAAACCGCCGTCAAAGAAATTTAAAGCAGATACAGCCGACACTATCCGACGATCTGCGAAGGGGAAGGAAAGGGAGCTTCTACCTGGACCCCGATCTGAGCCTGAGATGGATGAGGATGTTCGACGAATGCAGTCGGAAGCTGACACCCTACGCCATAAACCACGCATCGGTAACGGTGTTGTTGACCCATCCTTTCAATTCCCTCCTAGTCGAATATCAAGGCCCACCACATCGAGCGATCGAATACGGGACATTTCACAACCTATAGCCGAACAAGAAACACCACAAATCATGAAGAACAAGATTATGCGAGGGGAAATGCCGCATCCACGTCGGAAGAGTTCGATAAGCAGAGGCAAACGAGCTAGTTCCAGCTTTGAGAATACAGGTGTGATCAGTGGGTGTCTTATATCGATATGGCGTGCCAGTTTGTACTGAGGTATTGTTTAGCCCAGCCACATACATCTGTAGCCGACTCGACTTTCTACAAACATATTGATGTTGACTTGCCCGAACCCCAACGCGCGCAACAACTGTTGATATGGTGCGCGAATCGTGCGATGCACGACTTTGCAGATAATCACGCGCCCTCGTCAAGCTCGAGACGAAATGTGGCCAGCGCAGGCAAAGATCCTCCATTATTGACGGAAGATATGCAGCTGTTGAAGTCGGTACAGGAGGAGGTTATTCGGATGCTTGCGGAGAAGAGGATCGATACGAGTGTGTTCAGCCAACCCGAATCAGCACCTCCACGAGAGAAGCTGAGAGAGAACGAGCAGAATGTGAGGAATAGGGCGAGGGAGAAGAAGTTCAACGACCACATCCAGAGGTACTTTTACGTTCGGCACCTCCCGTGTGACTCATTGTATTAATCTCGCCATTGTAGGTCTAAGATGGAGAAGGAGGCGTGGACAGAAGTGGACAGCTTCTACAAACAGCACCGTTTGGCCGTTCTAACTGATTTAGAAAAGCGGGAAAGGGAAATTTCACACAGCGCGAAGGTGAAGGGGAAACAACGAGCGACTCTCGAGGATATCGAGAAGTGGGAGGCTGATCTACCCGAACACTTCCGTCGTGTTGAGGGCCTTGCTCTTGCAAAGACGTTGGTAGGCGCGGAAACGGACAGGAAAACACCTGTGTCTGAGCGAATACAAGACCTCGAATTCTCAGTAAGTCATGTCACCTAGCCGACCTCGTTGCAAAGCTGACTACTGCATCCACATAGGCGGATCGTGTTCACGGTCTATCCCACTCGGCGCTAGAGACAACACATGTTGCCGAAGCCGATCTTGATCGGCGATTCGCTCGATTGAATATCTCCCTTGCCAATCGATCTCAAACACTTGCGTCAACGCTCAATCAATCCGCAACTGCCCTTTCTTCATATCTCCCAACCACATTATCTCGGCCTCCACCAACGACTGACCCACAAGGCCTTCTTCGTGCCCTGTCGCGCGTTGATGCTGAGCGTCCACAAAGTCAAGTTGGTGACGCTGCCAGACGCGCGGCTCGGGAGGTTCAACGTGCTCATGACGCTGGTGTCAGTATGGCCGAGAGGAAGCTGACAGGCGTCGCTCCTCCGACACCTCGAAAACCTCCAGGGACACCAAGAAGGGCCACGATTCCTGGCAAGGGGAGGTAGCACTACCTCTTCGTCCTGCTTCCTTATTACTTCTCTTTTTCTCGTAGGGGTTTCTTTTCTTTGCGGTTTTCTTCGTATTTCTTCCTTTGCTGGTTTTATTGCTTCCACATGACCAACATAGTCTTGCTTCTATCTTCATCGCCTAGGCGTATACTCAACTTTCTTTTTCCTCCTACTTTTGCAATGTTGTTATGAATGTCGTTCCTTGTAGTTTACACATGACGCTTTACCCCTGGCTGCACTCGTTAGGAGTGTTGGACACCCGCCCATAAGTACACATATGTATTAGATAACTGATAACTGTATACTCTCATGCATATTAGGTTCAAAGCTTGGCTGGTAAAATCCTCTTTTCATCATCTGTCGAGCCTTGATTAAACTCGGTAAGTACATGTGCACTTTTGCAAACCGTTTATATGCGACAGGCAGATATCTCGGTAAGTTTTAAGCTCTTCGTATCATTCATCATTGACTGATCTTATTCAGCTCAGAACATCTGGATTATGATCGTGACGACATAGAGGGGTATGCATTTGGTTTGTCCTCCGTTGGGATTACACCACTTCTAGACACAAATGCTTCGACCTCGATTTTCCAAGCTCTAATTCCGATGAAGACCCCTTTCCTCATCGCGTAGCCCTCCCACTCCCAGACTGCTCCTGCTGAGGCCCCTCGAAACGTTTCTTCCTTGCTTGGACTTCAATATGCAACCGATTGTATTCTTCCAAGCGTTGACGACGCATGCGATCCGCCTTCTCGTCTGACAGCTTGCCTTTCTCCTCTACCTCTCGTTTCTTCAGCTCCACCTTGTGCTGCGCATTCCCACTTTCACTCTGTGCGCGCCCTCCAGCTGTCAATGGTGATCTAGCACCAGCACGAGATGTTTGCGCAGTCGATCTCAGGTTGTGTGCAGATGAATCCATTGTAATATTGACGGGTGTTGGCTTCATGTCCATGTCGTCATCGATTCTTTCTCGGTTTCAGCATCAAACTCACCTGAAATCGTCGGGGTTTGGCTGTCGGTGGCGATAAGTGAAGTCGAGGAACTAACAAGACGGGTAGATGGGGGATGAGCTCGAGATCTCTAAAACACTGCAAGCCCTTGAAGTATTGACACTGAGTAAGCTCCCGGTATGTTTCCGAAATTCTTGCAGCGAGGACGATCTTGCCTATATGGTAATAACTAGACTCGTGTTTACGAATCTTGAGACTTGGTATACGTATAGGAATAGTGTGTTTGGCGTGATGTGGTTATCTCCTACTGAGCGGGGTATCATTAGAGACAATCGTCTCTCTGCTGTCTACGATTGCGGTGCTTTAGCCTAGTCAAAATGAGTTGATGTGATGAATACCCACCTCCAAGGGCACATCTCCGTATTATTGATGTTGAGGACCAGTTGGGTACATTGCAATATTGCCCAAGCTCTGACCATATCTTGCTCCGCTGCACGTCATGAACGTGCCCGAACAATGCGATACAACTGTAACAAAGCGGCGCACGAGATGCTATGTATAAGCACCAGTTTAGATCATTGACTAAAAGGCCGCGATTGGTGTTATACTTGCACCACTTTAGAATGTTGATGCAAAGTCGCATTGTATCGTTGCATACAGTAGGGTTGATACAGACCGTCTGCCAAGCGATGTTAGACCAGCTCTCTAGATATGATGCGAAAGACCGGTTTGCCGCAATTTCTGCTGTTCTCAGTTTCTTTCGTGCCTTCATGCATATTCGGAGATCATCGAAATTCCACCATCCTTTACGCGCGGCTTTCACCATGGTATCAAGGCCCATTCGGGTGCAAAGGTAATATGCAGGTGGCAAAATGAAGTCAAGGCCAAACCTGTGTGCAAGCCGAATAGCATCGAAAGGATGTGCATCGTAGATGGAGTCCCTCCGTGTCACTTCATTGTCGAAATGCGGCAAATGAGATGGATAACATCTCCAAAGGCGAGAGATGGCCTCCTCACGAACGTCCTCCATCTGGTATTTAGTCCCAAGATGAAGCATCATAGCCACTTGAGCGAAGCTAAGAGAATATGCAGCGCTGAAATAACTAGCTACAGAGTCAGAAATGATCGCTAAGTAAGATAAATCGTGCATACCTTCTCCCACCATCGTACATCATAAACAGCAAGAAGTCGATCTCCTTGGCAGAATCAGAAAGATGAACAACTGTACATCCGTCATAGGAATATTCATCGTCCTGGGGTTGGGGTATATCGAAAAGATCGCGGAATAGGTCAGACCGACGAGCAAGGATGAATGAATGGACTCGGAATGCGGAGGATCCTGCCAAAAGGACTATATTCCCGTCAGGAAAGTAGTACTCTGGGTGAGGTTTCAGACTCTCAGACGCGTTTAGAGTAGAGTGTATCGATTGAGGGTCCATTCCTTGGCTTAAAAGCTTCGATGGGTCTTTCCTATAAAAACCTGAGGCCTGCAGGCCTAGGCAAAATGTGGCGGAAGGTATTTAAGATGGGAGAGACGCCGATGGTGACTCGGAAGCAGATACAATACGCGTACGTGTCGTCATCCAGATTTATCTGTTGCAGATCTTCATGCTGTGGATATATCCGAAGAGACTGTAGGATCGACGTGTATCACAGTCATGGCTTGGCGCAACGACAGTCAAACGTACCGTACATCAATGGAAATTTGAAGGGAGTTGGAAATTCGCGATCGTGTGTGAAAACAAGATGCACCTCCACTCACAATGGTTTGTGATTGACTGCTTGCCAGATACATCGTGACCGCCGGACCAGATGGGTATCTGCATGCTATCAGCTGATACAGCTGGTATTCGCCATAGTCATACGTAAGTGTTGTTAGAAACGTAGAAATGCCAATGCAAAACCTTGCAAGCGAGATATGCCGCTAAGGTAGTCATTCATCCAGTAATGGATATCGCAGTATAAGTAGAGCGCGAGCCGGTCTTCAAAGTGACCTTATAATATTCTAGACCCTGCGAAACGCAAGCTGGACAGGTTTTGTGCCACTTCGTCATACCAGGAATGAAACTCTCCCCAGGATACGACGTGTTCCAAATGAGTCCCGCCCGGTGAAGCCCGGAAGTAATTTGTTGCCAATAGCTGGCATACGAAGGACACTTAAGGTCCAAACTAGTGTCGAAAAAGGTTTGTGAGTTCAAGATCTCCTTCGAAAGGTGCTCCTTCGCATTGTGTACAGCGGTACAGAGTGGTTGGAAGAAGATAGTCGAGGCCCTAGTCACGGCCGAGCTGCACGCTACGATAGGGATTCTGTCAGGTGTTCTTGCATGCTAACTGGAAAAATACAGGTGAAGCTTGTTATGGTAAAGTTTAAGAAGTATATGATCGACGCAGATCGACGCTTCTGAGTTCAACACTTTCGGTCATTGCCGCAAGGTGCATTATGACTTTGAGCAAGTTCGAGTCGTTCAACTTGTCTCTGTTCTACTTCAGTGAATGGTTTATCGTTGCTACCACTACAGCACTGTATTAGGTGCACAGAATGGAAAATTCAAGTTGAATCTCCCCGAGCAAACGAAAACTGTTAACCAACGGAGTTATATTCTGGAGCAGTGAGTAAGTAATCATTACTACTCGAGCTCGCATATACTGACAGATAGTCCCACGAAATACTACAGTTATGAACCTCCATAGTCTGATAATGGTCGCGTTGCGTTCACATAGCGATAATTATTCAAATGTGGTGAATTCAGCCGAAGATTCTCTTCAGGAATCCACGCTTCCCTACCTTCCTCTTTCCTTCGGTAGCCTCAGATGCATACAGCGACCCATCGGAGTCCGAGGCTTGCCATCCCACCCCCGAGTGAGCACGGTCTTGATATTCATCCCGATAGACTCGCTTTTCCATGCGCTGCTGCTGAGCCAAGAGCTGTTCGAATTTCAACCTATCATTCTCTTGTCGTATCCTCTCCAATTCCTGCTGATGAGCCCTTTCCCGCCTGTCCAGTTCCTGTTGGTGCTCTCGGTCTCTCTGCGCTTGCGCCGCCTGTTGTTCCAGCCGATCCTGCATAAGTCGGAGTGTGTTAAGCATCTGTTGATTCTCCCTCCTCCGCTCGGCATCAATCTCCTCGAATCGACTTTGGTTCTCAGCAGCTCGCTTGCGCTCATCTTGGATGGCTAACACCAGCTCCTGAATCTTTGCATCCGCCTTCTTCTTCTCCTCTCTGTATTCCTGAGAGAGCGCATCATGTTTCTTGTTCATCGCCACCACCTTGTTGACCATCTCCAAACGGACGCTGCGAAGTTCCTCCTGGGTTTCTGCGTCCTTGTTCTCCAGAGCTAGGTCCAGCTGGCGCTGCAGAGTTTGTAACTGTTCCTTGTGCTTCATCCGTAACCTTTCCATGTCTCGATCTAGCACGCCGAAGGCTTCCACGTCGATGATATCTTTTTTCTCCTCCACAAGCTCTTGTTGAATACGAAGGGCCTCTGGGTGATTCTTGATGATGCGTCGAATGATTCGATGAGCAGACTCGGCAGTATTGTCGTGGCGCATGAACCCAGCTCCCTTTTCGTAAGCAGCTTTGAACAGGAGGTCGTCTGTCATAAGTTCCAGTTCGCGAGCTTCTCCAACTGCTGGCGATACTTCTGCCCACATATTCGTCACAATCATGACGTTCTTGAGGTTCTGATCTCCGCACAACTTCCTAAACATGCTGAAGTTTCGGCGGGAAATGCCACCCATCTTGTAATCGGAGATGCGGTGCATATAGATAACACCACTAAGTTTGAACCCCTTTTCGAATCTGTCGTAATACATCAGAGAGATAATTCTTTCCATATGATCGAGTCTATGAACTCACGATGCAGCAAGATAAGACGCAATGGACTTCAGAATGTCACTATCCGAGACAACAGAGTCGTCGAATCCAGGCGTGTCTATCAGTGTGACGGGGACTCCGTCGAGGTAGAACGGCTTCGTGTGTTCGACCGTCGTCGTACACGACTTCAGATTGTCTGCAACTTGCAAGTCCCATGTTCCAGAGGCTAAATTGGCAAACTGAAGAAAACGTTAGTGGTATCCTTATTTCGTATGTCAGGTTGACTTACGGTGGATTTCCCAGTCCCGGTTGCACCCATCAATCTGCACTGAATACTTAGAGGTACTCGAATAACAAGTGAAACTTCACGTACGCAATGGTAATTCCATTTGGTGGGATGTAGTTCGTATCCGAAGATGCTTCCATGGCCACCTTTGCTGGCCTGTAGGACGAACGGGTTCGACTGGAACCGCTAGGAGTGTTGGGAAGTGGTTTCGACATGGTGTTCGGCTAGAAGGAGGGATGGCTTTGGGGACTGAGAACGAAAATGAATGAGACTCACAACTGTTGCGTTGTATTCTGGAATCCTCGTTGTGAAGGGCATGTCGACACATTGCCTCTATCTTTCGTGCTTCAGCTTGATCCTCGAAGAACATACTGAAGACACGAGACAGGTCACGCTGAACACCAGAGTCGTGCCCGTCGCGCACGTTTAAACATATTGGTACGAAGTGAGATCGTTATTAATAACGGCTACTTGCAGCTAGTGGATTCCTCCGGATCATCCTATCCCGAGTCATCGCCTGGCTGCAAGTAGGTATGGACTCGTCTTTGTCAAACGATGTCGTACCAGACAGACACCAACGGAGTGTTGAATCAAAGAACAATGTCGACGGTGACTTCAATGACAGTATTGACTGCTTCCGCACCAGAGAACGCGAAAGCCTCACGTCTAGAGACGCCGACGAACTTCTTAGACAACGTGAGACATGTCGAAGTTCTACATATGCCCTTCACAGTCAGCATCCACTTCTGGGAGAATATTGGTACAAGACATACACGGGGAGTCCTCATGGTTGCGAAGCCATGTCTGCAGGCGGCTGCCTGTAGAAAACGGCGTTGCAGTTCACATTGAGCGCTTCTCGTCCAACCATTGACAACGCTACTTACCATTTCGCCTTTCGACAGCGTCCACAATGTCTGCGAAAACCTGCCCTACGCGTCTAGTTGCGTAAGTTGTCATTTTTCTATGTCGTGATAAACCTACTCAGAAGCTTGAACGTCGCAGTGTGATGGGTGCCACAGGCACCGGGAAGTCGAAGGTCACGAATATGAAGGCACTGTTACAGAGTATTTTCTGATACAGTCCCCACAGTTCATCAACATCCTCGCCAATGCGCAGTTCATGGTTGGGACGGGGTTGAGATCTTGCACAGCAGACGTTGCAGAGTCTCCACCAATAGAAACGTGTCACGACCAAGTTGTCCTTGTAGACACGCCCGGATTCGACGATACAACGATATCGGATGAAATCATCCTCGCTAGGATTGCAGCCTTCTTGGGAACGAAGTCAGTATTGCACAAAATTCAATTTAATCTAATTGCTTGCCTACGAAATGATTATCAGGTATCGACAAGGACAGTTACTTAGCGGCGTCGTATACATGCATCGCATAACCGACCGCAAGATGGGCGGGAGCTCGCACAAGAACTTGAATGTATTCAGGAAGCTCTGTGGTGACGAGGCTTTAGTCAACGTCGCGATCGTCACCAATATGTGGGAGAACGTCGATCCAACATTGGGTGCTGCTCGTGAGGAAGAGTTGGCGAAGGATGACACGATGTTTGGGCCGTTGATCGCGAAAGGTGCTCACATGCATCGGCATGATGGTTCCAGAGCGTCAGCGTTGAAGATCTTGATTCAAGTCCTGGAATGCACGCCTAGGCCACTGCTTCTCCAGAGGGAGCTCGTAGACGAGGGCAAAGATATCGTCGATACGTCTGCCGCACAAGAGATAGACAGAGAGGTTGCAGCGGCGCGACGGAGATTTCAGAAGGATTTGGAGGATATTCGCGAACGCTTAGAGGAGGCGTTGAGGGAAAAGGATACCGAATCACAGTTGGAAAATGAGGAGGAATACGAGATCTTGAAGAAAAAGGTGGAAGAGGCAGAGACGACTCACATGAAGCTCGCAACGGCATTTGTGGAAGCGCAAGTGCTTGCCCAGAACCAGAGGTCGGGACCACAAGTTGGACAAACAGGTGAACTGCAAACGAAGAAACTTCTGGCACAAGAGGATCAGGGATCGGACGCCGCACCTCAGGATATTGAAAATATCAATAACGCGATGACAAATCCCTCAACGAGACTAGAGGGGGTCGAGACAGGCCTGCATGAAGTGAAAGAAAGGATACATGTGCTCGAAGAAAACGTCCAGAAGGTGACAAGGAATCATAGGCAAATATGCCTTCGGACAAAGCGAGCCCAGCTGCGAGAATCGAACGTAGATTCTAAAGTCGTAGCTGAAGGAGAGCTACCAATGGAGGCGCACGAAATTCAGATACGACCTGCCGACTGGTGCTATTGGAAGACAGGGAACATGTCGCTTCAAGGTACTCCTCGTGTCCAGATAGGCGAGCCAATTAACAAGCCGGGACATCTACACCCATCACGTCGTGGCGCCAGAGCCAGGCATCAAGAGGGTGAGACGTACTGTAGGCTCCTGGCAACATTCCTTCGGTATGTTTCCCAACCTTGGTCGCATCCTATAACACTTCTTCATGCACATATATTTATAGTTACCTTTCAAAGGAAGAAGCTGCTTCATCCGGTATCATAACCCTGCAAAGCATTCCCCGACCGAGGTCCTGTTAAAGATAAGCATCAGAACAAGCACGTAGCGTAAATTAAGTCAGATTCGCACTATTTAGGATAGGCTACAGAGACATTGCTGGACTAAAGATATCAGTTTGTATGACCATGACAGCAGTATGTCTGAAACTCGATACAGATGGGAATCAATCGTACGGCCTGCGTACACCGTCTTTACTAGAATAGGACCTTGACATTAGCGTTACCGGACCATGGGCCAACGCAAAGATCCTTGTCTGTCGACAGGCTCAGCTAATAAGATACCTCTGTCATTGGGGGACAATCTGTCTGAGACAGGTCGGACATGTTCTGTAAGAGTGAAAAGCGGAATTGAAATGGGAATTTCACTACAAGATGTGCGTTGAAGCAATGAGGCTAGGATCCTATTTCACCTGATAGAGACAGGACAAGATTAGCCGGACTCTGGAACGATATGAACAGGAACTATGAGGAAGGCGGCAGCTGTGACTTCGTTGACGCCTACCGGGGCAATACATAGGCCACGGTCGGGCTATTGGATATAGGGGGCTTCTGGTAAGAAGTGTTGGAGAAACTCGAGGTCAATTGGATAACCCGGTATCCTAACTACCACAATGAATCCGAAGCCGCCGTGTGGGACCCTTGGAGACTGACCAGTGAAAACAAAGTAAATTCAACAGTACCCGCCCATCGAAGACATGCTGAGATGCAGTACTTGAAGGATAGAGCGGCCTTGGATCGAGAGGTATCTCTTGGCCAAGTGCCGGAGCACTTGAGTGAGGACTCTTGGTACTTGAAAGGGGCTGTCGGAAGCAAACACGGTCAAAGAGAAATGGAGATCGATCGGAAACAATGCAATGGATACCCACTGAACGAACTTTAATTTCGGTGGAGGATCTGTTGAATTTTTCAAGGCAAATCCACTGAAGATTATTTGCCAGCATTCGCAGCACAAGGCTTCAAGCTTCAAGCCAACGTTCATGCAGACGATCTACGCACCTTTGCAACTGACGTCAAGCCCAGGCTGTCTGAGCACATTACGTATAAATAGGGCTGCGATTCCGATATAGATCAGCAAGAACTTCGGATTTCAAGCCTTCGCCGCTGTGAATTGCTTTACACCCTTCGGCCACCTCGTAAAGCAGCAGGAAGTATTTGGTCCACAGTCGCGGATAAGAACCTCAACAAGCTTCAAGGGTCATTGACATCCTGGTGGCAGTTGGTTCCTTGGCATTCGCCGCGCTGTCGCAAAGAGAAGTGAAATATTTAGAACGCCCACACAAAGTGCGATCGGGTGGCCTGGACGAGCGTCACTGAGAATAGTCCCCACGGGGTTGTACCTTTCCTTGTCCCCCACCGTGCCACGACCTGCTGGACGTCGTGCAACATTCATTGTTCACCGTCAGCGTCGATGCTGGCGTCCCCAAACTCGTTTTAGTCTTAGCATGCCCTTCCGCTCTCAAGTTTCCCTTGACTCTGAGACTGGTTCATCTACCAAGCCCGACTCTAACGAGAAACACCCTCGGGGTAGTAGAGACGAGGACATGGATGCGAAGAAGCTGAACTTGGGCACACCCACACCGCTCACACCCAGCGTATTTACGGAGGCCGTCCTTCCCCCGCCAGTGCAGTCGTCTCTTTCGTCAGGACGCAAGGGAAAGTCTAAAAAGAATGCACGTATCGGTGGAGGTCTTCGTATACGCTGGGACAAGCTACGGCGTAGAATAGGTACAGGGACCGCACCCTCGACTTCATCTGCCATTGAGGAAAGCGTCGCCGAGAGTTCTGGGTTCAACCGGTCTCGAGTCGCTTGCAACGTGATCACGACCGAAGATCCTGATGCACCCGTTGATGAAGTCGTTGTCGACAGGGAATGGTCGGATGAAATCAAGAGCTCGAGTGTTACTCATTCAGAACACGGTGGCAGCCCAGAGAAGTCCGGGGGAAGCAATCATTTGGCTGGAACAAATACTGATCATGACAGTCTCGCAATGCACGCCGACGGTTGGGCACCATGGGTGTATCTAAGGTGGCGGTTATGGCCTGCAATATATGCCTTCTTTTACACTCAGTTCCTGGACGAGAGGTCGGAGCAGCATTACCGCAAGGAGAACTGGTTCTTACGCAAGGTATGTTCTACGTCGCTCATACTGAAACACGTCTGAAGCTTGCGCACAGAACCTTGCAGTGTGGTCATCTGCCTTCTATATCGCAAACTGGGCGTTTGCAATCGGCTTTATTCCCAGACCAGTTGTCCTACCAGACAAGATATTCTATTATGGTGTTAGTACACATTCTCATTATGGCCCACTATTACTCTGACCATGAATGACCGAACAGTTGGCACCTGCACTGACGTTCCCGATCGTGCCCATGGTGCTTTGGGACTGGCCGCGAGATAGACCTACCATCTATCAGATATTCTTAGCTATCTCAACATGGCAGTGGGGGCTGTACAATATTATCTTCATGTCAGTTATTTCAGTACCTCAAGCAGGCTATTTTTCAACTGACACTCCCCGATACTAAGCTACGGGTGTGGCCACTATGGCAATCGCATCTTGTTCGATTGTGGTGGAAAGGATTTTCTCACAATATTCTAGTCAGTACTCAATCGCCCTTCATCCAGCCCCTCTACTATTCTTTCCTGTCTATCTTACTGACTTATTCCTTGGTTCCTCATTTTCCGCCGTCGTTCGTAACGTCTGACACTCGGTTCCTCACATCTGACATCTGACACCGGTTCATGCTTCTCCTTACGAACGAGCAGCTACACCTCAGCACTTCAAACTATAGCCATATTTGGACTCAAGCTACATCGGTTCCCTGCCATGATTGGGGCAGTTTGTTTCTTCGCTCTGTGCGTATAGATACTTGTGTTGCATTCTGCTGAAGAGGTCATAAATTACTGAATGTGCTTCTCGTTTGCAGTTCGTGTGGGCTGATCCTTCCTCTTCGCGCATTCTTCATCCGCAGTACGCATCTTCTTCTCTGAATTTTACGCATTCACCTCGCAAGATGTGGCTGACTGCTTTTTCGCTGGTTAGACATTATCAACTTCGTGTTCTTCCAAGGATTCCTACTTTACGTACATTATATGCGTGAACACGTACGTCCCCCTTCTCTCCAACACCTGGTTTCGCTTCTCGGGCTAGTTTTGACAAGTCGGCTGTCATTTCTTTGTTAGGCGGAACGCAGGATGTATACCTTGCGTGATCAACTCAAGGTTCAGTTTAGGGCTACACAGAAGGCTCAAGTGAACGAACGCAAAGCGGCTGATTCGAAACGACGGTTGACTTCGTACGTTCCTTTGTTCTCATTTTCATCTATGATGTTCGTGTTCTTACATTATGCATTTATTCTCAGATATGTCTTCCACGAGGTCCGCGTCCCGCTCAATACAGCTCGTAAGTCGTCATCTTTCGTCACTGCTTTGGAATGATGTCACTGACTGAAAACGTTGATTCTTGATCGATCGTGTTATCGCCATGTTTGCAGTGCTTGCGGTGCAGAATATGGAAGCTTCTGGGACGGTTGCTAAAGAGCAGGATATCGAGTTTAAGGCGCTGGAAGGTAGTTTGAGTATGATGTCAAAAGGTATGTTTCGACTTCGTGTTTTCTAGCTAATGTTACGAGTTTGCTTATTTATCATGTTCCAGTGCTCAATGATGTTCTGGACTTGTATGTGCTTGCTTTTGTGGACGCGTGTTTAATGGATATACTAACCAGAACTTTAGCAACCGGATGGACAGTGGTCGGTTCGAAAGCGTTCTCAAGGTAGGCTAAATTGTCTATGTGGTTAGCGATGGGGACCAATCTGAATCGATTTACAGCCCTACTCTTTTCATCAAGTTATGCGTTCACTGTTCGTACCTCTACAACTTGCAACAGATGCTCGAGGTCTGGAATTCGTCATCGATCTGGATCCGAACATCGACGATGCACGTCCCTTCTATTCTATATCTTTGTGCACATCTGAAGCTGAAGTTTCTTTTGTAGGTTGCGAGGATAGCGCTTTACGAAGCTCTTGGTATGAGCAAGGAAGCAATGCAGCAACGTATGGCCGAAAGGCCGGATGAAGACGGAATCGTTGTTGGAGATGAGACAAGGTTGAGACAGATCATTACGAATCTTGCGAGGTATGGTTCTTTCTAGTTCGCTTCGTATCTTGTCTTCTTACGTTTTCCGATACAGCAATGCGTGCAAGTTTACCCCCACAGGCGGCAAATTAGTCGTATCAACCCGTCTTCTCCTTCCCCATCTCCCACACCGGCATGAATCGACAAATGTAGCAGCAGAACTGCCGAAGGACTGTTCGGACTTGCTACCTTCAGGTGCTCCTGCGTCTGCTTCACCAGAACATGCCGACTGTGCGTATCCTTCACCATATTGCCGACTTTGTCTAATCTTCGTGCGTAGGTCCTGACACGACTTCATCTCCGAGGCATCAGCAATTATCCATCAACCATCTGACACAGCACAATTTCAATCATTCCAAGCCTTCACCGCTGGAATGGATCGTGGTAAGGATCGAGGTGACGGATACTGGGTGTGGTATTAGGCCGAGAGATATGAAAGAGAGTAAACTATTCTGTAAGCTCTGTGTCTGCGTAGTAAGATGGAAACGGCCGATTCTAACGACCTATCGATAGCGGCGTTCAACCAAACCGAGCAGGGCCGACAGCAAGGTAAGCATAAAATACTCCGTGCCTGTCTTTATCAGCACTGCCGTCTCATACATATGAAACTTAGGTGGAAAGGGAACTGGTCTTGGTCTTGCCCTTGTTCGGCAGATCGTCAAACTTAGTGGCGGAAGGCTCGGAGTCCAATCAAAAGTGAATGAAGGATCCACATTTTGGGTCGAACTTCCTCTTGGTGTTGGTGTCAAAGCTGTTCCTGGTTTCAACCTAGCCGGAACTTCACGGTCGTTGGACCGCGAATTGTTGACAAGATCGGGGAGTAGGTCGAGAAGGGCTGATGTGGACTCGTCGAGGAACAATGCCACAACTTCACCGCCAAATCATAGCAGAGGTTCTAGCTCGAGTGATACCCCTCAGGCGCAATCCCCGGCTTCGAGGTCATCTTCAGCCTTGCAGAGTATCATGGAGCAAGGTCAGTATATCTACTACCAGCCAGACAAACTGTATTTGACCGCATTTAAAATGAATTCTAGGTGGTTTGGTTGAGATGTCAACAAGACGTGGGGACTCCTCTGTACCTACGCGGACAATAGGCGATCCTTCCACAGGTACAGACCCAACACGTGCGCCGGCCAAAGAAGAATGTTCACCTTCGCCTTCGCTGGCCGAACGTCGCTCAGCTCCTTCTGAGCAATCAACAGAAACGATCAAACCTCCAAAACATCTCAAACTACCCAAACCGCAGCGGTTCTCCTTGGACGATCCAATACCTGACGTCTCACCCTCAGATTCCGATGCAACGAACACCAACAACGTAATCTCAAATGCCGCTTCAAATACATCCGCCCATTCCCCACATCCTTCTCTCGCTTTCGATCCTGGTCTGAGAGTGTTGGTCGTCGATGATGATCCCCTCACACGAAAACTCATGTCACGGATGCTCACGCGGTTACGCTGCAAAGTGTCTACAGCAGAAAACGGGGAGATTGCCTTGGAAATGATCTTGGGCATGGGCGCGAGGCCTACGCCGTCTTCTGAAGATACGGGAAGTGGAGGGTTCTCGCTCGATACCTCTGAAGAGTACCGATTCTCCATTATTTTCTTGGACAACCAGATGCCCGTGTTGTCGGGTTTGGAGGCAGTTGCGAAGTTGCGGGCGATGGGTAGACGGGATTTCGTTGTTGGCGTCACTGGTAGGTTTCGGTTGCAAATATATATTGGAATATTGCTGAAACTGCCTTGTGCAGGTAACGCTCTCCTGACCGACCAGCAGGAGTATCTTGAAGCTGGTGTCGACCAGTAAGTGCAGCCGTCCACTGCTAGCAGGTTATCTAGCTTACATTGTACTTTCAGTGTTCTTACAAAACCGGTATATGAAAAGAGTCTGAAGGGCATGCTTTCTATCGCGGATGACCGCCGAAAACGAGGAACTCCAGCCTCCGAACGTCCCGAACCATCAATGCCCTCTTCTCCAATGTCATTCTAAATGGACCCTGCACGATCTTCTTTGCTCATTTATGCATTGTCTTTCACGTTCTTTCAATGTATTCATGTCCTACTCACGCATTTGTCTTGGATGGAGAGGTTATTTTTTCTGGTTTAGATATGTTTTGTTTTGGATTTCGTTACCTGTATGTTCATATCCCTGTTTTGTCTCTCTGGTGCTTTCGTACGAGTTATGGACGTTTTCCGCATGCATTCACCTGGGTTCTGTCAGCATACCATTATACCTCTGCATGTAATACAGACATTGTACTTCTTCCATCCATCACTACTTGCAATACCAACCCAATACACGATACGATATTGCGGAGCTTTCACTCGAGACCACACTGCACAGTACAGGCCTGCAATTGAGCGTGCTGCATCACCGGACCGGGTGATTCCGGCCTGCAGCCTAAACAGTCCAACCAGGCTGAGAGGCACGCATTCAGTTGCAACTCGACTCTACGCTTTCACTTTCTATCTACTTATCAACTTCTGGTATACACAATCATATCGTATGTTATGGTAGAGTTTGCTAATTGCATATTGACTGAAAATGCTTTCTACTAGCCTTCGAGCGTGCTAGACCATGACGCGGCTCGCTGGGGTGTATCGAATATCCTTGGCATTACTCATTCTCTCCTGGATATCCTATGTTCAAGCCCGAAACACAACGACTAGAATTAGCTTGAGTTCATCAAGCTACGAGCTTACTGTACGTATCTTTTCTCAAGTAAAGTGATTTGTGGTTGATAATCGATTCCAATCCCCAGTCCTTGGGCATAGCTAACACAAGACCAGGCAAGCATAAGCTTTAATCGGGATACCTACCTCGCTTACACTCAGTGGTGCAGAGAAATGCCCCCCCTGTTTTAACTGTCAACTCGACGCATTCTCATGCGGACATTTCGGTGAATGTTCCAACTATGACGGCCAATGCAAGTGTCCTGCAGGATGGGCCGGTATTGATTGCTTGACACCGCGTATGTCATGGAACTCAATTTCTCTGATGTACACTCACACAATTCTCTATTCAACAGAATGTGATTCACTGGCGGATGGAGAGAAGCGAAGACAGAGAGAAGAAGGCAAAGAATGCGATTGCGAAGATGGTTGGGGTGGAGTCAACTGTAATGGTGCGTATACGTGCCATCCGTATTGATCCAGTTTGCTAAGGCCAAGTAGTTTGCAAGACGGATGCTGCTTGTGCCAATTTTCCTATACCTGGCGGTGACCATGACGGTATCCCCGCCGACGACGACCTTGGCGTTGCAAATATGACTTGTTTCAAGGGCGGAGTGTCTGTATACGAGAACCACCAGGCATGTGATGTTACCAGTTAGTCCCTTCTCTCTACTATACTTCCCCCTTTCCTGACGATCTTTTTGTAGACCGGAAGATTCTAGATCAACTAGACGGACGGAAACCTGAAGTGACTTTCAGCTGCAATAAGGACGCCGGAACATGTCAATTCCAATTCTGGGCTGCTCAGATAGAATCATTCTATTGTGGACTCGACACTTGCAAATCCGAGCTGCAGACAGGCTATGACACCAACGTCACTCTGTATAGCTGCGAGAACATGCAATGTCGGTGTGTTCCTGGTCGGTTCATATGTGGAGAGAATGGCAGCGTTGGTAAGGTTACTTTCAATCTCGTCAAAAACGGAACTGATGAGATTGGACATTTAGATATCCACGAGTACTTCGAGGAAGATATCAAGGGTCCGGCGAGTTTCCGGTGTGAAACTGGCCAAGGATGCACATTCTCAGAGCCGGCTATGGACGAACTCATCTTGACGTTCTTTGGAGATCCGCATATTACCTTGCGGTGCGAAAGCGGAGAGTGCCTGCATTATTCGCAAGTGCCCGGTTTTGTGGTACGCACTGTTTTAACTCTTGACGAAGGCATACGTTAAATGTTATTCGGTCATAGCGTCCGCCGAAACCTGACAACACGGCTTTCGTCGCAGCGACAGTTGCATTCGCAGGCCTTATCGTCATCGCAGCCTCTGCCAGTAAGTGTTTTGCTTCTCTAATATTTTCTGCTATATACTAAGTTGCTTCCAGTCCTCTGGTACCTCGGCCGAACTCGTTCAGGCGACTTTGGGAAGATTCGTCTGCCCGAAAGCGAGACTGCCAAACTAATGACGGACCATGTCCCCGCTTCCCTTCACTTCACCAATATTTCTTACTCTCTCTCTGATGGTCGAACACTCCTGGACAACATATCTGGTTCAGTCAAGCCTGGTCAAATCATGGCTATTATGGGAGCGTCTGGAGCCGGTAAATCCACATTCCTCGATATCCTGGCGCGAAAGCGCAAACGCGGTATCGTGAGCGGTACGACGTTGGTGAATGGACGTGAAGTCCCGGACGACGACTTCAAGAATGTCATGGGTTTCGTAGATCAGGAGGATACATTGATGAGTACTCTGACGGTGTATGAGACTGTGTTGTATTCGGCGCTTTTAAGGTTACCGAGGGAGATGAGTTTGGAAGCGAAGAAATTCAGGACGTTGGAGACCATGCATGAACTGGGTATTCTAGGGATCAAGGATTCCAGGATTGGTAACAAAGGTGCGTGTCTCTATAGTGTGAAGGTCTTCTTAATGCTCAATCTCCTTTCCAGGTCGACGTTCGATATCTGGCGGCGAGAAACGACGTGTGTCTATTGCTTGCGAACTCGTCACCAGTCCTTCCATCCTATTCCTTGACGAGCCTACTAGTGGCCTCGACGCGTACAACGCTCTTAGTGTCGTCGACAGCTTGGTCTCTCTCGCTCGAGACTACAATCGCACGGTCGTGTTTACAATCCACCAACCTCGCAGCAACATCGTTTCGTTATTCGACCAGCTGATACTACTCGCTCAGGGCAAGCTGATCTACTCTGGAGAAGCTGCAAAGGCGTACGAATACCTCGAGAAGATCGGCCATCCTTGTCCTCCTGGTTTCAACATTGCTGACTTCATGAGTACGTCTTAGAATTTGAACCATTACATTCATTCCGGCGCTCACTAATTATTCCTTTCATCCACAGTCGATTTGACGATGTTGGCTGGTTATGAGCCGCGTTCGCTGGATAGTCCAAGTTCAGAACCAACACGTTCAGATGACCAGAATGATTCTCTTCGTGACGAAGAGATCGGTATCAATGTCAACCGTGGTGCCCCTTCTCCGCGTCTTTCCACCATTTTACCAGTCGCAGACGAAGCTCAAACCCAGGCTCCCCAGACTGCAAGCCCTTCAGTCGTCACTTCCTCGACGAACTACGTCAAACGCAAGACATCACAGCTCATCAATGTAATGAATTCATCATCTCAACGGAGCATTACAGCTATTTCGCCTAAGCTCGCCGAACTCGTTGATGCATACCGGAATAGTGATATCGCTGCTCAGCTTCGCCGAGAGATTGAGGAGGCCGCAAGAGCCGCGCAACCCCAGTCGACTCAACCCCAGGGTCAAAATGGATCTTTGCCAGATGTTGCATTGGAGAACTCATTGACGAGAGGGAGGAAACGGGCGAGTTGGGGTACTCAATTCCAAATTCTGAGTGGAAGAGCTTTCAAGAATCTGTATCGAGATCCGGCATTGCTGGCGGCGCACTATGCATCTTCAGTCCTCGTTGCATGTAAGTGGTTTGCATAGGTCTTAGCGCAAATATGCTAATATCACACTCTTGTTAGTGATATGTGGCGTTTTCTTCCACAACCTTGGGTTTGTGTCTCGTTGTGATTCACTTGAGTGTTCCTGACGTCATTTTTTTTCAGCAATGATATCGCTGGATTCCAGAACCGATTGGGCATGTTCTTCTTTGCTCTGTCGCTCTTTGGCTTTTCGTGCTTGTCGAGTTTGAGCTTGTTTGCAAATGAACGTATACTCTTTATGCGTGAACGGTAAGCCCCCTCTCAAGATCAAGCTTTGCTCCTTGCGAACTGACTTTTGTGGTGTCGCAGCGCCAATGGATACTATTCCTCGTTCACCTACTTCGCTTCCAAGGTAAGTTAATGTCTCTAAAGATAAAAGATAAAAGCATTCAACGTCATGAATACAGATTCTTTTTGACATACTGCCACTTCGTGTTGTACCGCCATTCGTCTTCGGAGGCATTGTTTATGGCCTTATCGGCCTCGTCCCCACTGCCGCTGCATTCTGGAAGTTCATGCTTACCCTCGTGCTATTTAACCTCACCACGGCAAGCGTGATCCTACTATTGTCAATAGCGTTCGCAAGCATTGGAGTGGCAAGCTTGGTCGGCACTCTTATCATGCTTTTCAAGTACGTTCAGCTTGTGGCTCTTTTTTGAGATTTGAGGTTAATTAGCGTGTATAGTCTGCTATTCACCGGATTGCTGATCAACCGAGAAACCGTTCATCCGGCATTCCGATGGTTGCATACGGTGTCATTCTTCCATGCTGCCTTTGAAGCGCTCGCTGTCAACGAGCTTCGATATCTGCAACTTCGGCAAAACAAGGCAAGTCTTCACCACTATTCATTTGCTGCCTGTCCAAAATACTAACATTCGCTTTCTAGTTCGGAGTGGAGCTTGATGTCCCTGCTGCGACGATTCTTTCACTATTCGGTCTCCGAGCTGGCGTAAGTAGCTCAATTTCATTCTGTTTACTGTCTCCAATCTGATCTTGCTGTGCAATTAGTCCTTCTGGTGGCCGAATATCGCATTGTTAGGCATTTTCTTCGGCACTTTCACGATTCTGAGCTATCTCATCCTCCACTTCTACGTGAAGGAGAAGCGATAGCATGCCGCTTATGAACTGGATGATATACTTTGTATGTTTATTGGGGTATGATGTATGACTACCTGTGTATAGTTCGGCTCGATATTGCAGAAATTTCAATTAATCAGTTACACACCCTTTTCTTAAACCGTAGAATCTAACTTCCACTTGAGGCATCAACCTGCGAGCAAGGATGTCTGGTCTCTATTGAAAAAAACCAAGATGTCTGTTTGAAACACCGTCGATGAATGAGAAAGGTTATTTTTTGATTCTATCATGTAACCCATATAGCGACTTGCGACAGCAGTAGCCTTGAAGTGTCGTTGGTCTATCTACGCGCCAACGCCTCTTTCAATATTACCTCAATTCTCCGATCCCAATTGTTAGCATGTGTTTTGCAGCAAGCAGGGTGTACGTATGAAGCCAACCCTATACTTATTATCTCAGCAGTCGACAATTGTTGCACCCGATTATCTTCCCCCACTCCGTAAGGAGCTAAATAGACCGTAAAGAATGAAAGTAATAGGTAAAACAATAGGGTAACATGAAACGAACGTCATACAAAGCTTGGCTTGTGCAAAAAAAAAAGAAAGACTCTGTCATAGACCATAGACTGTATTGCTTGCTCCTGGTAACTTGAGACTGGCTTCTTCCGCTCGTGACGGGTTTGAGACATCCGACGGGTCAGCCTCACCGTCGTGCTGGATTGTTTTCTCAACATTGATTTGCACCTGGGGTTGGGAAACACTGTAAGGATGACGGCAATTTACAGGTGATGAAACTTGATCTCGCCTTGGTGGTAATTGGATCGATCTCAGCACGACGAGACTTGTGGCGAGGGAGTTAGTTGAGACAGAAACGTAAGATAGAGATGGATTGTCTTACATATACCTCTCGTCGACTGAATCGGCTACCGGTAAAGTTCTCTGGGAATAGAACTGGCAACTCGCGATCACTTGACGCTTGCGAGCGGCCACGAAGCACCTTGCGAGCGTTCAATCTGGGAGAACGTCAATATGAAACGAAGCAAGCAGTAAGCATTACTTCTAGACGTACGTAGCAAGAAACGCGTTAGAGTAGACTGCACAAGCGTGCCGAAACCAAATCAGAGCACCGCTTAACAAGATACGTTGGCAACCTACGTTTACTGATCGCGAAGTGAAGTCCAAGGAAGATGAGGTTGTGCGGCATTGTCAGCCACTACATTCTCAAAAGGTTATTCATGATGTAGACCCCTTTAGAGTGAGTGTGGACGTACGCAGATCAATGAGACGACCGTCGTGACACTGAGCCCCAGTGTCAGCCTACCGCGTGAAAGGAAACTAGCATATCACCCACCAAGTCAGAAGTCCGTTCTCAAGTGTATACAGCGTGATCGAATCAATGATGTTGTCCATGCTTTAGGAAGGTCAGAGGGTGACAGAAGTGTACGGCTACGCGTCAATAACTTACCTAGAGAACCCTGTTCGGCTCTTGTTCAGGTACCAGCAGAGAGCGGCTGCGATCATGATATCGACAGCAGTCGCAAGTGTAAGGCCAAGCGTGAATGACCACTGGCAGAAAATGAAATAAAATCGTGGCGGAGATCATAAAAGTACACACGCTAAATTTGACGATGAAAGCGGAGTAGGTTTTTATGGTGATCCTGTAGGTTTGGTCAGATCACGGTAGGAATGTGCGGCGAACTCCTCTTACATCTTCGTCGTCGTCACTGAAGTTTGTTGTTCATAATCTTGTTAGCGATGCGACATGACGTAAATCGTGCGGTACAGACCAAGAGCGAATGCTGCAGTCACGGGCTTGTGAGCACCAGGGGAATCAGTGGCAGAAGGAATGCTCACCTAGTCGTAGGATTGCCAAAACAACCTATAAACAATTCTAAAGTCTGATCTTCGACATATGGAGGAGACCAACTGACGATAGGTACGGTGATAAACCAGTTACGTTTGCTTACTACGTTAAAAACTTCAGTCCGCCATGGATAGTTAAGGCAACCCTGGAACTCACGGGCAAGAATTCGATGTGCGAAGAAACTAAACACGATCATGAGTAAGTATACCAACGCCAAGAACACGGGACACTCTCACCAATGGACGAAGAACGTAATGATTGCCTAATACAACGTTCTCAGTCAGACCTCACAATCAGCTCACATGACGTACTGTTAAGGCGATGGTAACGGCAACGGTCCTAGGCCGAATGTCAATGAAATGTTCCTCTCTCATGATTCTCCTAGTAGACTTACCAGACAATGGTGTCTGAGATATCATTGTTCCCGAAGTTGTCGATAAGGTACTGCCAATTTGCCATACTGATCATAATAGTGTGTAAGATATCCAGCACCCTGAAGCACGTTCAAACGTCACGTTAATTTCTCTGTGCTTCGATTTTCTCTACTCGAAACATACCATATCATTGCAACCTATATTCAACTCGTTCACAATCAATATCGATATGACGCGTTCGATTCGAAGGAAAAACATACCGTAAGCTTGAACCTGAAGTGATCCTTGCGGTATATTCGGTAATAGAGGGCGACCTGCATTGCAAGTGAGCCGGAAAGACTATGGAACGTGTCAAGCTAAGGAGTCTGTTCACTTAAGCGCACATAAAAACTTACAAGACACTGACAATACTTCCTATTAAAACGGCCCCCAGAGTTGGGCGCAACCCGCTGAGATCCCAAACCTGAGCCATGTTCGCAAAATCGGCCATGGTAGCCAGCAGATAGACCGAGAACAGGGAAGGATTAAAGGAGAGGAAAATACGGGGCCCGCTATTTTCGAAGACTTTATATGGCGGTTACGGTGGCGGCGATGGTTGGCATACGTTCTGCTCACCTGAGCAGGTTTCAAGCTTCGGCATGCGGTTTCGATCGATGTTCCAGCAATTTGTACGATGAAAAACATTTTGGCAGGACCATCAATCGATCATTGTCATATTGTTTGCACCAGGTGACCGGACCCGCTTGTTCGCTTTGGTCCAGATTGGTACTATAATATTACTAGTGTGCTCGAGTAGCACATAGTGCATCCTTCCAAGCTTGGCAGGTTTTTGACGTATGAAACGGACTGGAAGCATGTCAGCGGGATTCATGCATGAGCGCCGTACTTTCTGACCAATGTACATAGCTTGGCCCGATATAATTGCGGTTACGCCCTTGATAATATGGGACGGGTTGAGGGCGCGGCCCGAGGAGGCAACATGTGTCTCTAATTGCACCCCCACAAAGAATAAGCCGCAAAGGCCGTATGTCTAGACGCACCGCCCGCTGTTATTGGTCAGTTTCCCTGCGTGACGTACTTCGCAAAGATGTCTGTTACGAACTTCGGTCAAACATGTTGGTTGATATGAAGGAATGTTACTTCGCAGAGCGTTCCGAAAATACATAGGCCCAAATGCATAGTGTTTGAAGTGAACTTGTGAGTGAGTTTGGTGAAAGTCCACCTAACGGTGTGTTTTAACAGCTGGAATATAACATAACAGTCCAGACGCAAACGCGCTAGTCGGCAAAACGCATGGCCCACGTTTGCTTATACATGTTAGTCAAGAGCCCCTTCCTTGCTGCCTTTTCTGGCTGACATCTTCAGTCACTTTCTTGGAGTTCCCGATTTGTCTGCGCCCGAATCACTGTCACAACCGACACCGTACTAAGACTACTTCTTAAGCTAATAACAAACGCAGGCAAAACACATCTGAATACATCCTCAGGTACTCAAGGCTTTATGTCCGAACAAGGATCACCTCCCCCGCTCAAACGACGGCGTTCCGCTGGCAGGATTCCGAGTCCAGCGGTCGCGTCGAGTTCATTTCTTGCTACCATTCGAAGCCCATCATTCTGGCTGTCAGATGGGAACCTGATTGTGATTACTCGAGAAGTATCTTTTCGGGTGCATACCAGCGTTCTGTCGCGTAACTCGGAGGTATTCCGAGACATGTTAGCCATCCCTCAGCCTGACAACGCGGAACAGGTAGAAGGATGCAGTGTGGTACAACTGTCCGAAGATGGCTGCGACTTTGAGACTCTCCTACTTGCCTTGTATGATGGAGGTAAGATGTGAGTTGTTGGTGAATTATCATCTTGCAGTACTAACTGAACATCACAGCTTTGGTGACCATAATGTCCTTCGTTTCAGAACCGTTTCTGCTATGCTTCGTTTGGGAATGAAGTACCAGATAGACCTCGTGAGCCAAGAGGCTATTCGCCGTCTTCGCAAGTTTTATCCAAATTATCTCGAGGACTTTCCAATGGAGTACGTCATTAACGGCAGAAGACCATCTGTCCCGCCCTCCATCGAACTGGAACCCGAAGACTCCATCTCTGTTGTACGGATGGCGATTATGTTTGATCTGCAGGATATCCTTGTCGCCGCCTTGTATGCCTGCTGCCAATTGGAAGTTGATACCTGTTTCAATGCGGTGCGGTTGGGGAAATGAAGTTTAGATGATATGCACAAGTGTTTCAAAGGCAAAGAAGCTCTTCGGGGACTTGAATCCTTCTTCTATGAGATGCTGCACAGTTGGAAGGCTCCTCCCGCATGCAATTCAAAGAGTGAATGCACAGAAACCGTTAAAGCGTTTCTCAAAGCCCAGAAACGAACGAATGGATGGATATGGAGAACGTCAGGTAGCCACCGTTTGGCTTCTGTGCATGGTTCTTGCGGAAGATGGGCGAGAAGGGACCGTGCAGGCCCTGTTATCTATCTCTGAAGGCATCTCTGGATCATTCAAGTCGGATCGGCTGGTCGACGCTGGAGATACATTTTGATGTATCTATGCCTTCCCATCTGAACAGTTGAGTTGTCAATGTCCATGGTTGTATCGGAACCCGCGTCGGCTTACATTGATTGCAGATATATTCGAAGTTTTGCCGTCTTAGGACGACATTCGTGACAATGCATTGATGGCTGCTCTTTGTAGTGCGTAGGTCAATGACCCATATCTCTTGACATCCCATGCCATTCTCCCTTCCCTACTTTTTGTTAATGACACTCGATGCGACGACCCTCCAAAAGTGCTATGCATCCAGTTACTGAACCTCAGGAAATGCAGAGCTGATCTTTCTGGCTGAGAGTTGCATGGCCAAAGTTGACATTCACGTAGAGCGTACATTTGGCAGCATCCACTCGATAGCATGCAAGTAAGTTACTATGAACAGGAGATCCTATAACTTGTACGGTAAACACTGAATACAGGTACAGATATTTGCACAGAGGGAGACAGAATGATATACATATACATATACAGACACCATGGCAATGAGAAGAGCGATAGCAATAAACTAAATCATGAAGACGACCAAGCGAGCAGTGTCCGAGTACTCCGCAATCAGAGTACACAAGATGAGCGAGCTAAACGATGAAATGATAACAATTGCTACAGTCGTGAAGTGGGGCATGAGGAAGAAAACAAAGAAGAGGAATCAGCAACGGTCGTAATATGATAATGCAAAGGGAAATGACAATTAAGCCCAGGAAGAGTCGATCCACCAACTCTTCTCCGCTCCTCTAACTGTCCACTCGGAGATGCCCTTGGTAGCAGCAGCGTAGATATGTTGCCCAGTAGGATCGAAACAGATCCCTGCAATGTCCTGCTCAACGTCCGCAGGCTCGTTATTATTCGTACTTTCCGAAACATTCTGGTTGCGCCTATGAAGTCGACGAATATGAGATGACGGACGGCGAGGAATATATGGCCCAGACGATTCTCGCCTAGCAAGAGTACTCGGACGAGGAGAACGCAGATGTTCGAATGCTTGTGACATGCGTATTGCTGAAGTTGCTGGTGCCTGAAAGGGCGTGTAGGAAGAGGTTGAAGCACTTGCTGTGTTGGGAGGTGCTGGTGAAGGTGCACGGGAGGGTGTATGCGACGATAAGCAGGCTTCAAGTTCGTCAACATCCATGTCTTCATCCACTCGGTCTTCACCCTCCAGCTCCCGCTCGGAATCATCATGAGACCCTGAGCTTGAGCCTGGCAAGAGTGAAATACGAGAGCGAACAGGTCGACCTAATAATCGTCGTACGTCATTTTCGACGTCTCTATCGCCAAGCGGAGGAATCACAACGATACCATCCAAGTCGTCATCAGCCCCAGAACTATCGTCGCGTCGACGTCGAATCCGTCTTCTGGCGTTAGTGTTGCGTATACCTTCGACGTCCAACGGAATACGGAATGTATCCTCAACAGCTCCGCTGAAAAGGAGTATGCGAGCAGGTTGTGGAAGAGATTGTGGCTCGACGGTTGATGAGGAGAGTGAAGGTGAGGAACGAGCAGGTGGTGAAGATGAGCGTGGGCGAGCAGTTGGAGGTCGAGTGCTTTGCGGCGTGTCAAAGTTAGGAATACGAACAATTTCGTGCGTTTCGAATGTACGGGCATCCATCATATGCACCAATGACGTATGCTAAATACAACAACATCAGTGACTAGGACGTGATAGCTCAGAAAAGTGTCACGTACCTCTGTGAAGGTCATGATCTCTTGGCCAGTCCCAGCTGGACTAAACTTCACACTTCGCACGCCCCAACCGGGTGCATTATTACTATTCCTCGCCCAATCCCAAGGTGACTCAAACAACCACCCACTAGCCGTGTTACTCCCATTACCCCTCTGTCTCGTATTCGTCCTCGTCTTGTCAGTCTGGATAACTTTCAAAGGCTTAGTACTCCTGACATCCCACACTACAACCACTCCCTCCTGAGAAGCAACCGCAAATTTCGACCCATTGGCTGAAAAGGCGGTTGAGAAGGATGCAGGTACTGCAGATGAAGAGTAGGGTATATGGGGGTTGTAGCTGTAGGAGGACGTTGTGCCGATATAGGGAGAGAGTGACAGTTTGTTGATGGGTGAAAATGCTAGACGAGCACCACCGGATATGCGGTGGAGATAGACATCCGGAGAGTCGCCTACTGACAGAAGCGTACGTCCATCGGGCGATATTGAAGCTTAAAAAGACAACCATTATTAGCGATGTTTGCGTTTGAGGATGTATCATACTTACAGTGGTTTACAGGCACGTCAAGATGAAGTTCCCCCGCGCTAGATAGTCGTGACGACTTTCCGTCCATACTATGATTCTTCCCCCTTAGCGAGATGTCGAAGAACTTGACAGTACGGTCATTATTGCTGATCATGATCCTCGGTTCAAAGCTGCTCTCATTTGATCCACACAGATTGAGATTCGGCAGATAAACGGAGTTGTTAATCGAAGCTTGCTCTAGGACCGTATCCATCTTCCATCGCTGTCTTCCAAACCGCCGCGCTTCTCGAGGCTCATCTTCGCTTGGATACGATGGAGACGGAGGAGAATAGAGTGATAAGTGTAATTCGGCTTCTTGACCACCCGCTGCGAGTAGTGTCTCCTCTGATGACAAAGCGAGAGAGGACAGAGAGTTCGGGACGAAGGGTAAATCGACTATTTGCCTCGTCTGTGGCGAAGGTGCTGTCATGTCATGCTCCACGATAGACTGTTCCTGCGGGTAGTAAACGACACCGCGTTCATGCGGACAAATGAGCACATCCCGTAGTTGACTACAAGAAAATGTGGCGTTCAGTTCAATTTCAACTCTTTAAAGAGAGTACGCTTGAGATCCGAGAGATAGATATTGCGACGGAATGCCGGGGAAGACAGGTATATCATTCTTCGTATCGTGTGGCAGTCCCTGGACTCAAAATATGAAATGCACCGACGAAAGGAACCTGATTTCCCAAGCAGAAATCCATCACGTCGTCGCTGCGCTTGGGGCAGGCGTTCAGCCTACGATCTCCTCTAACGTTGCCCGGTCCTCTAACCCTTCAGGAAGAATCATAGCAGATCTCGCCGGCCCAAAAGTAGATGTTGGAATGGAGATTACGCAACAGTCCATAATCCCCTGTGGCCCGATCTCTTCTGCTTAGATCCGACCATACAGTGACAACATACCACCGACAGACTCACATAACGATGAATGGATACTCACATGTGTCCGATCGTAACCCGAGCTTTGCTGACTGTCGACGGATTCATCGAAGTCAGAAGCGTTGAAGGTCCTCCACGAGCCATCTCGGCTTCGTTAGTCGTTAGGTTAGAAGTGATTCCCGGTGATGTGTGGTTCGTAAGTCGTCAAGTTGTCCAGAGTTGTAGCCAAGGGTAAAGAACGACCTGAGAAGAGTTTGACAAAGAGCAATCTGGTGAGAAGCTGCAAGAGGGGTGAAGGTGGCAGTACGGAGGAGAACCGTGAAAGGGTAACCAGATACGGCAATTGTATTGGGTGGATCCGACGGCGAAAGGATAGACCTTGTGAAACACTGGTAATTTATGAGAAAATTCCAAACTAAAGATGCGACAGTAGCTGGAGAGTAACAGAGGTATGTCAAGGATTTAATCACATCAAGAGGTCGGGTCAATGCCGGGTCGTGGTCACGGTACATCCAATCGGTTGCCACTATCAAAAAAAGCAGTCGAGATATCATAAAACAAATCCCAGATGCAGCAAGCACATGTACAGAAAAGACAAATATGATGGCAGTGGAAGAGGAAGGGAAAGAGAGAATGAGTGGCAACGATCTCGGTCAAGTCTCGATCGCCGCGACCATAGCCCAACACAAACCAATAATAATTACATCCTCAATTCGTGCTAATCTGCTTTGTACGAGGAAGTATCCAAAGGACTGCACATATACAAGGGACAAGCTGTGAAAGATATAGGTATGGCCCTACATTGGTTTAGTTATAATCAGGTGGCACGAAACTGTGCCGGTAAGTTGGCATGCGCTTTGAACGTTAGCTCGACGGTTCAGAGGGAGATGTTAATCCGGACACAACAATACCATGTTGCGTCTACAAGGGAAATAAGGGTCGACATGTTGGAGAAATGGCCGTACATGAACTCTTCATGGTGACCGACGGCTACAGGCGAGCGTCAGGGAATATACTAATCCGAAAAGGTGAGGATCCTACCTAGACCACACACTTTATGGCTAGGGAATCCCTTTGAGGAAACGCCAAACGCAAGCATCGCACTCCGCCAGGAGACTTTTGAGCTTGGAAACACACAAGTCACAAAGGTCTTCCTTGAGCGCCATTGGCAAGAGTCTCCCCTTCAAAGATAATGGATGGCTCCCTACTCGGAATCTGATATCATGTTGCTTCATACGCCGTTGTAAGACCGCCTGCAGGTTGGCCCTGCAGCCAGACTTTGTGGGGCAACCCTTTGATACCTTGAGACCATAAAAATGCTCCAGGAATAAGGATTGCATGCACAGTAAAACTTCTTTCGTCTTGAGACATCTGCGGAGGTCCTCCATGTCCCATTTCCCGGATGACACAGCGTCGAGGCAGGTATCAATGTCAAGTTGGCAGCATGCATACATGGCACCAAAGAGTAAGGCATCTATGTCGAATGTTTTTGCCAATGTCAGCACATGCACCGAGTCCTCTGGCACCATCGTAACGGAAGGAGTGAAGTGGGGGGATTTTTTGCCTTCTATACTATATTCCATTTCATGATCGTCAAGCGAATACAGCCTTTCGAGACGGCGAATGCCTTCCTGACTGGCGACTTCAACTTGATACTTCATCCCCAAGCGAATCAAGGCTTCGACTGTGGGAAAAGGGAGAACATTGTGATCTCCGAAACTGAAAAATGAAGTTCGAGCGTTTCCATCGGGTGAGCAGCGAGCAACTCACATCGATGAACCCTCATACAAAGCTGACAACAGGATCGCAATATCCTTGTTCTCATCTGAAAGTTCTACCATTTTGCAACCGTCCACCTCGTCAATCTCGTCGGGTTGAGGGAAGCATGTCTCGAAACACCTCTGAGTTCCTGGACAGAAACCCACTGTGCACCCGGAATGCCACCCCTTCAGCAACCAAAACAATGTTTCCATCCGGAAACCAAAAGTTAGGACTCCGCGTTGGGGTATCTGATGAACTGGAGTTGTTTGTATCGAAGTCCGAGTCCGGGCCAGTGCCACGTTGCCGTTTACGCGGGGAAGGATCTAAGTTTCTCATACGAGCTGAGAGGAGGTGATCGGGGTTCTATAGAGGTGAGTTCAAATTATTGTTCGTTATCGAGTTCTCCAAATATAACGAGTCTCTACATGCCTGCGATTACAATGAACACTTGAGTGATGGCGCTTATATGTCTAAGAAAGGAACTTAAGAAAGGTATGAAGGAATAGGCATTTGCTAACAGAGACAAACAAAAGCGAGTCGAAAGTCTGAAGTTTGAACGAACATCAGACTCGGCATACTGAAAGTCTGGCAGTCGGCCCACCATCTTATAATTCGTGCCATAACATCCAAAGACCTTCACACTAGAGCATGATTCATTCATTCAAAGGATCAATGGTTAGGGGATACAACTTCGAACGTTACATTCTGGGTTGCTAGTAAATATCTAAAGCAATTGACCTATAGATGACGACATGGGTGGTGGGAAGGGAACGTCAGCGGTGATATAGTTGGCATGAGCGCATGGCCGTAACGATGAGCGGGATGGACGTAGTGGTGGAGGCTGAGATCGGAGTTGTGGGGTCATGGTAGTTGGGTTCTCAGGGAACATCGGCGACCAGCCTAATGATCATCACGACGAGTCAGCCGACGATACGACAATCTCACCCTTCATCGCAGTCCAATGTTTATTCGGGTCAGGCTTCGTCGTCGCATCTAACGTTGTATCGCCAGTCTGGCCGTTTGAAGTTCCGGAGGCGCCAGCTGCTGCGGAACCGTCATTTGCACCTTCAGTTCCAGACGATGATGCCGTCTTTTCCAAAATTGTCCTGCATTTGGCACCGCCCTCGGATCGTACTGGATACAAAGGGTAGCACATGTAAGCAAGTGTTCAAACGTTCAAAAGCAGAGACGAAACTGTACTCACAATGCCGGTTTAATGCGTCCTTCTTACGAAAGTTCCTTTTACACCCTTCGCAATAATTTAGTCGAGTCCTGATGAAATGAAACGATTCGTGTAGTTCACGATGATCTTCATTCGCAAATATCTTTCCGCATTCAGGCCAACCGCACTGATTTGGGTTCCCTTCTGTATGAGAACGTAGATGTTCTGTTGAAACATACAATTAGCACATGTCTCCAACAAGGGTCAGTTGGATGTAAAGGAGGAACTGACCCATGAAAGAGACACGTGTCAGAGAGGTATTCGTACACCCCGTAACACGGCAAGCATATTTATTCTCCCTTTTGACAGCTGCCGTGCGCACCACACCACCGGTGCTTTCAGAAGTACTCGTACCCGCGATACCACTCGTACCACCGAGACTGGTCATACATTCAGAAGAACTCCTGTCAGTTGATGGTTTAGGCTTGGATCTCCGAAATCCAGGTGGCCGATAGTAACTCTGCTTATGAGCTTTCAACTCATATAAGTTAGCCCTGATCGAGCTGGACGGGTGAAGCCCACGAATATCGGGGTCGAAGTCGGGGTCAAAGTCTTCACGATCTCTTTCAAATGGAAGGTCGCAACTGACAATTGTTTCAAAACATCATTTGGTGATTCCCCAAAGAGAGTCTCAACAGCTTACCACCCGAGGAGGTGACTATCGTATATGGTCGTTTCTTGTTTGTTTCAGCACTGCTCCATCCCTAAGTCTTTATATCAGTGATACAGTGGATTGAACTTCACAAGCAGTGACTTACTTGTAAGACATCGGATTTACTATATGTATATCACTTGCAATTGCAACATCCGCAGACGTGACCTGGACTCAAGTGAGCTAACGCGCAGCGAGCAGAAGATGATCCATACACATACGGCGAGTAGATAGTCAAGAAGCTTGTCGACGTGAGTTTGAGCCTAGAAGGATATTTTATAATCAAAGATAGAGGAGAAATACAAACTCAAAGCTGACCTTCTCTTCTTTGGGCCATACCTCGATTTCAACACTTGAGGCTGTGTCTGGAGCAGTCATTGTGGCCGTAGAATCGGAATTAGGACTGTTTTCCGGCCGCTTTGAATCTTCGGACGGTTCCGCAGCCGCGACAATCTTTGTAGGCAAAATCGACCGATACTTTATCTTATAGCATGAGAGAAAGACACAATGCGTCGGAGTCCGCTCCTGGACTAAGACAGTGCGATAAGTGGAAGCTATACGTCTCGATCTAGTAGTGTGTTCATTTGATTCGACATGGCCAGATCGACATTCGACGGATTGGGTAGTTCTGACAGAACCCACGACAGAGACGCCGAAGCTAGCGGAGAGTGTGGCATTGACCCCAAGGTTGAGTTCCAGCGCATGACCTTTCTCCATGAATGCGGCGGCCGTCCAACTCGACGCCTTCACCCATCCTCGTACGAGTATGATGTCCTCCCTATCAACGATGAATCCTTGCCGTCGTGCAAACTCGCACCAACTCGCATGGTTTCGACGCATGTATTCAACGAAATTTTGGTTGTGTACCACTTCTTCCGATACCGCGGGATCCTGTAAAGCAAGCAAAGCACCTGCACCACTGGAACACTCGTATCTGCAAGCCATGTCCATCGGTACCGCACCACTATAAAAAAGACATAAGATAATGACACATCGAGGTTCGATTAAAAGGAGTGATACATACGTTGAAGCATTGAACTTAGCACTTATCTGTTTGACAGAACTACTGTACAGTACACCCGGATTGAGGAAGCGATCCCACCGCTTAAATAATTTCAGCTTGAACCTCAAAGGTCGAAATCCATCCGGCACTCCATCCTCGTTAATATCACTATCTTCAGAATAAAGAACATTAAAGAGACGCAGCCAGGACCCATTAGCGAGGATATAACCGACGTCTCCGATTTGAACCTCTGGTGACGACTCAGGCATCCATAGAGGTGTACCATATCCTTTTAAGCTGAGTTCGTCAGAGTAAAACTTGGCAGCAAGGCCCATGTCTGAACACAAGGGAGTGCGGACAGTAGGCTTGGGTTGAGTTGGGTTGAGGGGTGTATGGTAAACAGAATGCTTACCAAGACCCTCTATATAATAATTCGAATGACAGGACCAGTGTAGACATGGATACAAGCGAGTCCACAAGTAGCAGCCTTGGAGCTGGTCATCATCTGCACATGAATACAAGCGTGTCCATAACTATCACTTCATGCTTACCTTCGATCCATAGTGGCTGGTCTAGAAAAGCGATGATATTGATATCCGACTCAAGCATAACCACATTCACGTATTATTAATTGCCTGTGTCGCGTGGTATAGCGGAAAGGTTCCATGAGACAAAACACAAAAGACAGGACGCCGTTTGATATAAACGACGCCCATAAGTGATATACATTGACAAACAACCCCAGTCGAATAAAAAGATTGAACTTAGGTGATCGTTGTCAATATTAAGCAGAGACGGATAATAGATCTACAGATAGTTAGTTAGGGATACAATTTCGTGGGCTAGTACCATCTATAGCAATTGACCGATGATGACATGGGCGATGGGAGGAGAACGTCGATGGTGATACAGCGGGCATGAGAGCATGATCCGTAACAACGAGTGGGCTGGACATAATGGTAGGGGCTGAGTTCTGCCAGTGAGTTCTGAGTTCATGAAAACTAGGTTCTCCGGCAACATCGACTGACAACCAGAGTCATCACCGCAGTGAGTAAGCCGACTACACGACAATCTTACCGTTCGCGTTCGTTCCGCGTCGGGCTTCGTCGACATCATCGATTCTCGACGCTATGGTTTAGCAACTCCTGTAAACCCAAGGCAGTGGGCCCATTCAAGGTCCGCTTAGTATCTAGATATCCCTCTAAATCTTACGGAAAGGCATCCATTGTCAATATGAAGCAGAGACAGATAGTAGATCTACAGATAGTTAGTTACTTGGACAAAAGAAACCTGGAGACTATGTGATACGTAGAAGAAAGACAACATAGTAATAACTGCGAGAGCGAACAAGCATGTAAAAGAGAGACAAGAGTGAGAAAGATACGGGGGAAAGGAAGAAAGCCGCGCACGGAGAGACATTGACAAATCAATCATATCATCATCGACTGTATGGATAGGGTAGTAAGGGACGGGTAGTGTATATTGTATGTCTGTCACACAAGAACCAGACCAAAAAGACCGAGAACCCGCTGAACGAGGGCAGCGTCCATAGTATCAAAAAGGATACGATAATATAACAGACGAAGTCAAAACAAGCAAAGTCGAATAACAACCCGTAACAGTAACGGAGCTAGAAGAAGAGATGAAAAGAGAAGGGAGAGAAAATCCGTGGGGAAGGTTTGGGTATGACCCGGTCATACACACAGACCAGCGATCCGCCATAGAATAAAAATCCAAGGGACATCAAGGACCGAGAGAGAGATACGGAGCTTCCGACAAGGTTCATTTCGATGATGGAAAAAGCGAGCACTTGAAACACTAGATTGAGGAAATGGTCAATGAGGGTCATGAAACGTGATGCATTGATGATGGGGTGATTGACTGATGACGATGAGACGTGGGCGGTGGGCGATGGGAGGGAGAGCGTCGGCGGTGACGTGGCTGACAATGATGAAAGCACGGTCGTAACGATGAACGTGATGAGCGTGAGGGTGGAGGGTGACTGAGATGAGGCGAGGTCAGCGTGGTCGTCGTAATTGAGGCATGCAAGGAACAGCGGATTCGACGAGGATGATCAACGCAGTCAGCAAGCCTACTACATGACAATGGCGCCGTTCATCGCAGCCCAGTTGCCATCCGGGTCAGGCTTCATCGTCGCATTCGACGCTGTATCGCCGTTCTGACCGTTCGAAGTTGCGGAAGCGCCAGGTGCTGCGGAAGCGTCGGTCGCACTTTCAGTGCCAGACGACGTCGTCATCTCTTCCTGAATCTTCCTGCATTCGGCACCGCCCTCGGATCGTACTGTAAACAATAGGGAACACATGTGAGCCTGTGTGCAAGAGGAGAGACGAAAGCGTACGCACAGTGCCTGTTCAATGCGTCCATCCTAGCGAAGTTCTTCTTACACCCTTCACAAGGGTACGGTCGGATATTGAGATGAAGCTGTTCGTGCCGTTTACAGTCGTGTTGTCTCGCAAAGCCCTTCCCGCATCCAGGCCACTTGCATTGGTACGGTTTCTCTTCCGCATGTGAACGTAGATGTCCTGTCAAAATAAAGAATAGGACATAAATGAGTAAAAACCTCCAACTGCTGATCGTTGAAACACTGACCCTTGAGATTGAAATGTCTGGTAAACGTACTCCCACACCCCGGAACCGGACAGGCAAAGTTCGCAGGTTGTTTCCTCCGCCTTTTGCTCGCATCCGCAGTACTCGGGGTGGTCACGTTCGCCTTGTTGACGATCATCGGAACCACAGCATCACCCGTACTCACAGGTACGCTCATTCCTCCCACCCCGCTCATCCCCGGTACATGCCCACCTGGCATACCGAATGAATTCATGCCATTCATACCCCCAACGCCACCCATACCGCCGCCATAACCTTGGTTCATGTTGTGTAGATTCATACCCATGTCCAGAGACATTCCAGTCATGTGTCGTCGAGCACTGGGACCAGTAATGCTGGGTACCATCTCTGGTAGAGGATGGTACCCTGGACGAGGTGATGCAGAAGGTGAAGGGTAAGGCGAAGGACGTGCGCTGGAAGCGTTACTACTCCATCCACCGACCAATCCTCGCTCTCTCGAGCCTGAGCTTGAACGTCGATGGTGACCACGAGAGGCTATTGAAGGCACACTCTCAGTCGGATGGAGGTATTGTCGTGAAGAGACTGAAATTGGAGGATAAAGCATAGCGTTGTCGGCACGAAGGAAGTTGTTAGAGTTAACACCTCCAAAGTCTTCAGAACGAGATAGTCGATGACCGCGTTGTTGAGAGTCTGACTTGGAACGTCTCAGTAGCGTTGCACCCGCAGCGTCGTGTGGGGAAAGGAAGTCAGAAGAGTTAGTGGCAGTGAGATGGGAGGACCCTGGTCCGAACGAATGATGCTGGAGAGTATGGGGAAGTTGCAGAGGATGACCGAAGGAGGATTGTAGTGGGCCAGCAGAAGAAGGATGGCGAGGCAAGCCGGCGGAAGGAGGACTATGAAGGGAGGTGGCGGTGGGGTTAGAATTTGAGGCAGTGGAGGAGGGACCTGGGAGGACATCGTTCATATTCACTGTACCAACCACGGAGGCGCCTCGTCCGCCGTCGTGGGAATGTGAGGCGATATTACCATCAAAATCGGCGCCGGATCCTTGATGCGGTGCTGTCGCGTTGGGCGGCATCATTCCAGTCGGCATCGTATCCCACACTGGCGGACGGGTGGATGTATCAGATAGGCTCCGCGACCGCTGTGACATCTGCGGAACAAGGTAGTGGTGTTGCTGCGACTGTGAGTGCTGTTGCTGGGGCATTGGAGACATGGAATGGTGCTGGCGACGAAACTCTTGGTGCATCTGTGATTCACTTGAAGCAAAGGCCATCCCCGAGGAACTTTGTTCGTTGTGATCAGATCCAGGAGGGAAATGGAACGCTCGTTGATCGGTGAACTGCGAGGATTGCAAACTTTGATTTTGAGCCTGCGCGGTGAGATGCTGCCGAGAGGGATCCCACTCGTTGCCAGATCCTCCTGTAAATCAAAAGACAAAGCAACAAGCGAGACATTAGTGAGTATTGGTAGATGAACAGGAATGGAGTGATATACACGAACCTTGTTGCAGATTTGCAAGCGTGGTCTGAAACGGGACGTTCGCGGCCGTTCCGCCCCCACCACTGACCGGAGTCGCAGGCACAATGTGCAATTGCGGACCCGAACCCATGCCATCCCCCTCTGGAGCATTTATTGTCGGTGGTGAATTATGCGCGGTCGAGGGACTAGCGGGTATGACTAATTGAGGAGGTGAAGGAGGCTTATGCTGCGGTGGTGAGGGTCGATCCGGTAACTGACCGGCCGGCCAGGCGGGGGAGTCGAAATGCAGGCTTGCGAGGTTCTGAGGGAGATCGAGGTGAGGTGAGGAGGGATGCATGTAGGAAGAAGTAGATGAAGCACGACTGCGACGACCGTCCTCTTGACCGTTGCTTGAGGCGGGAGAACTGTGATCAAAGGCGTTGGAGGAGTTGTTGTCGTAGACGGGAGGAGTCACAGATACGTGTGGATTAGTATTGTTGTCTAGGCTGGGCATAAACGAGTTATCAAAGGAAAGAATATTGTTCCCCGAGGAGGACGGAAGGTCGTATTCGGACGGATCGTACTCGTCGGGGATGGCAGGGGCAGAGAGCTCGTTTGGATAGAGACCTAAGGTGTCCCCGTCGAACACAGGCAGGTCCGAGAAGTTAGAAAAGGGTGTGTTCTGGTAAGAACCGTTGTAAGAGGGAGTGTGCGGAAAGTGTGAAGACTCCTGGGTGTAGTCAAAGGAGTCGTAGGGAGCGTCGCTGGGGGAAGTATCGAACTGATTCAACCGCGGCGACGAAGACTGGAAGTCAAGTGGGTCCTGGAGGTAAGGAGAAGCGACAAGGAGAGAATCCATGTCTGGATGCTTATGACAGATATACGGGTCGACTTTGAGCTTGGGAGATGATGTCGATTGTTTGTTGTTTGAGGCAGTGAGTGAACGGGAACGAAGACTCGCTAAGGGGACAGTTCAGACTGGTATGGCTGTGTCAAGAGGATGCAGACAGAGGAAAAGAAAGAAACTAGCCAGCGACGCCACTGGCAACAACGTTATGTACAAGCACTCTCGATTCCGTCTGCCTTCTTCTATCACCAATCTCTTTCAATCTCCGCTTTAGTCTCACCCATCCATCACACCCATCTTCACCGTCGCTTGCCACCCTCACTGTCCTCTCATCTCGCTTTCCAGACCACATTAACGGTATCTATTCGTCTCTCAGATGACCACTTGCTGTACGCAATGACCACTGCACATCGAACAGCCTCCACGTCCTCTCAAAGTGCGAGGCAATGCATCTCTCAATGAGCGTCTCGTCACTGAACGCCGAGGTAAATCCCGGGTGCCGCTAATGCCGTCGCTTTCCAAAGGGTTGCCGTCAGGCTCCGCTTCAACCTGATCCCAATCTGACCCGATTCGCGTTTGTCTTTCCTGTCGCGCAAACTCTCCTCCCTGACAGCTGAACGGAAGAGTCGTCGGTTCTGGCGGTAATATACAACGTCCAGCGCAACTTTGGTTACGGCGTGCTAAGGAATCCCAAGTCGTACCTCAACGACATCAATGCATCAACCTCCGTCTCGGTGTCTAAGCTCCCCCGAAACAACGGTCCCTTCGGAACTTCTTGACAGTCGATGTACTGCTGCATTCCCTTGGCCATTTTGCGTTCGATGGTTCTGCGAATCTCCATACGTCAAGGTGTTGGCCATTTCACGTCCTCAACGTTTCGCACTCTAACACCTCTTAGCCTTGTCTTTGATCAAATTGAAGGCCCATTCATCGCCGACGCACCATCGTGTTCAATGGCCCATCATGCATGACTGGTGAACTCTATCCAGCCGTTTGCACTGGCGCTGCTGGCTCTTACGTACTGGTCTATCTGTGGCGTATGCTTCTCCAAACATATCTTTTTTGGTCCGGAAGAAAGGTGTACTTCATCACTCTCAAGTTTTAAGACGATCTTGACAGTCAAGCATCATCGTGCACATCACCATCATTGCAATTTACCTTGAACTTTGGGGAAACGCATGCCTGCAACGAGACCCGGCAACTCAGCTAGTTACTTTGCTTCCGCTGGGTCCTTAGATTGACGGGTTTCTCGTCCCCTCGATGATCCGCATACCATTACAGGTACGCGCACTCACGATATCCTGCATAATGCATTCCTGATTTCTCTCAGGCCATGGCCATTGGATGGCCACTCATTGTTTTCCCATAGCGCTTAATCAAACCTTACTGGCGTCCTTTTCGCACAGCTTGCCGTCCATGACCATTCACTGGCCCATCACCTCTTCTCTAGCGCAGCCTCCAGCTTCGCTCTTCTCACTTTGTCATTGTACTTCCGCGCCATAACATCCTCGACGCTAGTTCAGGTTCCACACATATGCACCAACAGCCTGGTTTCAGGACGAATTGTCCCCAGTAACTTCTCATAGCCTCCTTGCTACGCACAGCTTCTCTAATCTTCTTCTTCCCATCTTGCATCTGACACGAACCAATCAGGTCGAATACCCAATTGAGAATGTCTCCCTTCTTCCTCAGAGTGCAACTGTACACGCAACTCTGCTTCCAAGCCGGCTTCTCTTTTCCCGCTCTGCATGCTTACGCCGCGTGGTGCAGGAACAACAGATGATCATTCAATCAAGAATCAAGATACGATGATCACCATCCACAGTCTGCTGCACCCATTTACATACACGTCTCTTTTATCACCTTATTCAGTACCAAATCTATTGGGATTCCCCGATTTAAGCGCAAGGAGCTCGGGTACCGATTTGCTCGAGATACACTCTATGCACGCTTGGATCCCCTTGATGCTTCGTGTCCTGAATCCTTTAGTTCCTTGATTCCCTTGCGGCGTTGCCAAAGGATCAGGACTCCCGACCCGGATGAGGCTTCGTAGGTGCCTTGCCGCCATCGTTCTTGTTCTTGCCTATACAGGACGCTGGATCAGTTGGGAGACCCCTGGTCTCAGGTCCGAATCGGAATCCGGTATCATGGAGCCACGGAAGGGTGCCTCAGACTCTCGATGCGGTCATTTCCTGGTTGTTCATCGATGTTTCTTCCGTCATTGGGCCTTGTATGTTTTTTCTTCATAAGTCCGCCTTCATTCGTTCGGCTGATGCTGGCGTTCGGCCCGTGGCTTTTACGACATGTTAGACTGCATCGGAGCTCTTCTGCGTGCCGTGTGGGCACCGTACCGTTGCATGGGTCGGGAAGACAGAAATGGCATTGTATTCGCTGTTTCATTTTCACGTTGCAGCTCCGATCCTCTGTCCCTCGATGCTTGGCTTGGCTACAATGTTGTCTATATGCTTTTTTCCGTTCCTTAAAATTCGATATATGCGATCGATATGAGGCCTCACGAGATCAAGAAGGCCGCGCGATGACCATCGTCCTCGGAACGCCTTTTTCATATCCACATGCCGGCGGAACTCAACGTCAATTGCAAACACCCCATATTCTTGGTTCTGTCTCAAGTTTTGGCCATCCTCGCGGGAGGGTGCCTCGGGCTGTCCGCCACTGGATACTGGTCGTCTCTGGTAAGTATGCCCGAACACAAGTACAAGGCCCTACAATTAGACATCGCGGTTTCTTCCGAAATTCGCAGGTACCAGGCGACAAATGAAATCGGCGGACGTGTCATGTAGGTTGACGATATCATCCTCTCATTCTTTTTTTGACTTACACTGCAGCCTGTCGCAGGTCGCCTATTACCTTATATTGACCAACTGTCAATACGGAGCCTAGTAACCAAGCATTTAGCTGCATCGTATGCATGTGGACGGAAGCGTTTAGCAGGAGCTGCGGGTTTTGCTTCCACGTTTCATCTCCACGCACGCACTTCCACCTGGCATTAAGTGCCTTGAGCTTGTTCACAAGATCTTGGTACTGACACCACCATGCGGAAGGAATGCTTGGGATAGAGAGACCCGCTACCAGATGGAGGATAACGAATTTGTCAAACCATAATAATGACAGCCGAACACGATTTAACCACATGTTCCACTACATTGTCCAAGCGTTCCCGTAGGCGTTCCTTTCTCTCGTTCATTTCCACTGTACCTGTGTCAAGTCTAAAGTTCTAATGGACGAAACGCACTTCTTGACACCTCTTCTCTCCCCCAACCACATACCTTTCGTACTACTAACTGCTTCGATAATCCAATAAACATAATCTGCCCTTTACAACACTCTGTGCGTCCCTGTCTCTTCGGAGCCGACGACCACGCACCGCCGCTTGGTCGTCTACAAATAACACAGCCTTCCCTTCTGTCAGGTTCCCATCTCCCCTCAAGCTGTTCGGACCTCCAATCCCAGTCTTACCCATTTTCGTCCACTCTTTCCTCGAACCCTGGGCCTCGAGCCGTTTTTGGAAGAAAGCTGCCGAATGCTGGAAGCCGGCGGTATCCCCACTTAGGGCCCGCTTCCCTCATTGCCTCCCGCCAAGTGAGGCTCAGCTGAGTTCCTTCCCCTTCAAAGAGACACCGATGACGATAGTGCCTCATTTCACATAGTCCACCTCACCCACTGCCCCCGCCGGTTATCATTAGATCTTTCCATTCATGCTCAGTCGTTCCCGTTCGGTGATCAAGCTGATACTGTAACTCGTCGATCGCTGTTTAACTGCGCCTTGCGCGTGACATTTTACACGTCGAACTGCGGCATGAGCTGCGCTTTCATTGAGCTCGATCCCGAGTCCGCCTGCATTTCGTACTTAGTCGCTGCATGCTACATACCCAGAGTATTCGAGCGAATAGCGAGGACTCCATTGGTGGCGACCGCTATTGTTCGGATTGTAGAATTTTTTTCTTTCTTTCGGGAGGTTTATGTTAACCCGGTGGTCCTTGTGCAATCGGACGTATCCGAGCAACCTTTGGCAGGTCAGGAACAAATGAAGCAAAGATCGAAATCCGATTTTCGCGGGAGAAGGGATTGACACTATCGATCATGCATTAACATTCTCTTGCATTTGGTATCGTGTGCATACTCGCGAGAGTACTAGCTGTATTGTTATGGCCGAATGAGACCCTACGGAGGATGAGTAATGCAAGCCTATCAATTATCGTTTACTAACTCACTTACATTCCAGTTTCGATTTCTTCCCGGGTCATTCTCCCGTTTCTCCATCTTAGCGTAACAGAAAACGGCAACACACGATGGTATCAGTGTTAACCTTTGACATATTCCCTGCGTTAATGGGCGCGAAGGGGAGAAACGACCACCTCTCGCCTCCACAGGAGAGCGTTACATTCTTGGACCTTCCTTCACACATCGATTTCACACACTACAGAACGCTCTCCATCTCAGCTATGTGTTCGTCTGACGGTCGTGTCCACATCCTGGTTCACATGGGGAGCGTGGCCATTCGTCTTCATGTTTGTGGTTGTAGAATTCAAATTCGTCTCAACGGCTCTGATTTGTTTCCAACTTTGTTCTCCTTCGCTGATTGGCTAGGATATCTAACTTGTCAATCCTCGGATTTATGCCATCATGACCGACTCACGACCGCCGGTTCTTCACAATGGAACGAAAGGGCTATCCATCCTACCTCATCTCGAGCTAGAGTAACCGTGGACAACCGCAAGTGCTTCTTCGTTACCGAGGACGAAAAGGCGATCATTCCGAGTTTTCTTTGATGTTTTTCCACACAAATGCTGACAAAAATTTGCAGTTGGCAGGCGTAACAAGGACGCTGAAGGGAATGAACTGTCAATCAGATGTTTGCGATGAAGAGTCTGTGATCTCTACATGAGGTCTGCCATATTCTCAATTCTCAGGTACATGGGTGAGCGCTGCAGATTCGTGATGCAGGAGATGCCACATTGATATTGTGTACCGTTTCTGTGTGGTGATTTAATTTTTTCGAACGGTCTTCCGTCTGGTTTCTCTACATAGCAGAGAAGGTATGCCGGCACTATGATTACTAGGTATTGCATTCTAATCTGATCCTCATTCGTTTTGGATTGGGTTTCGACGTGCTGTTTCGACGTGCTGTTTCGACGTGCTGTCAGGTGGCGTAGGCAGACTTTGCCCGAATGCAACAGCAACTTGTGACGGACCAACCAAAAATGCATGTCTATTGGGTTCTAGATTGACTTGCCATCGTGTTTTGCAATCTTAACCTTCGAACGGGGCCACGATAGCGGACCTACGTGGTCGCCGCTTGTCTCGCTAAACTTCGTCTCGATCATCAACGCCCACTACAATATTGGGCAGCCATCGAATACGAAAGATACTCCCTGGGTATTGATTGATTGTTCAAAGGTCAATGCGGCTATCTATCCTTTTCACGTCACATCTACGATTTCCTGACCCGGCATTGTATTCAGATGATCTGCATCCTAATCATGATGCCCCTCGGCCCTGCCAGCAGAATTGGTTTGTGTTATCAATGTGCTATCAGCGGTGAATTCTAGCCTTGAACGCTGAATAAATGATTTGGAACATTGGACATACGAGAAGTTCTACCCTGCAGATCTTTTGCTCACGCATGCCCATTTGGATGCCAATCAAGCGATGTGCAACAGGAGGCATGCTTCCGTCAGTCCTCGAATGGCGAGGCGAAGACCTTTAATGCGACGTATCCCCTTGAAACTTGTCCCCTCTTTTCAAAGGTCGTTGTTAATTATTTATTCCGGGGAATCCCTCCATGCATACATCGTCCTGCTCGTAGCCCGGACGACTTCAGCTGCTCCAGTCCCGTTCGGAAAGGTCCGAGAAGACGCTAGGTCTTCCTCACATCCATCTTTGCAGTAACTCCATGCACTCAAACTCTGATGCTTCAAGCTTCAAGCTCCGACGTATGCGTTGACAGTTTAAGTTGCCGTATGGGGAACAAGTTGCTTCTTGACGTGCTCTTCTTTCTGTCTTGCACCGGCCATTCCCTGTGGCCGGGCGAGGAGATGTAGCATATTACACCGATCGAAGGTTATGTTTGTCTTCTCGCTGCTCTAGTACTTTGGCGTTCACACAAATGACAAACGGAAGACGTCGCTCCCAGTTAGCCACCGACGCAGAAGCAATGATATAGCTACTTGATATATTCACCCACGACCGAGACTTTGCTCCTTCTGGAGAACGCTCTTAGTTGAATACGTCGACTCGTGACGTCGAATACTCATTGATGTTTCTTCCAGGCACCTGTTTGCTATCCACGAGGAAATGCTTTAAAGAGAGTGGATATTGACCCATCACCATCACTGAAATCATGCCCTTGCTTCGAATGCATGCAGGGTCTCACGTTCGCAAGTTCCGGACTGAACCTTGCCTTCTTTCATCCGAGTGCATGCAGGGTCATGTCACTGTCAGGATCTTTTCTAGCTGCCCACTCTATCTTTGTATCGATTGATGTATGTGTCCTCAGAGTTCTAGTTTGAAACTTCACATCTGTATCCTTTTCTTCTCATTCATCACGGCGTACAAACATTCAGCCGGAAGTCTCCCACCACATTCACCAAATCTTTGTACCAGGATTCATTGGACAATGAGGAGATCGGCTTGCCCGGTAAGGCGACGAACACGTAGTACAGCTAGTTGGCAAGGCAGAGTGGCCAGAGTGCATCAGGATATCTCTGTCTGACAGCGCAGCAACATCTGGGAGGCTGTTAAACCTTCCTTTCAGATCAATGTCTCCTTGCACCGTTTCAATGGTACAGAAGCCACGTCCCTGAACGGTCGTGGATGCAACGCACTCATTTGACGATGAACGAAACGGCTTCCGATGTATTTGTATTAGACAATCGCAATGTGACTTCGCTCAGTTATGTTGATGCAGGCGGCCGATGCATCGAGTTTAGGTTGTTGGATGAGCATGCGGAAGCTGATGATAGGCGTTTGAGACTCACAGCATAAGACAACATGCGTATTAACCACTTACTCTACAGAGGTAGTATTCATCAGTATATGATCAACTACAGCCGCCAATTTGGGAAGATCGACACAACCTGTAGAAAAGACTGCGAAGGAGATCCAACTTATATCGTCAGACGCACCGTGATACTTATTAGGGAAGGCATTAAAGGCGGTTACGCTTATTGCTTAGGATGGAAGACAGCACTGATAGCTTTCTGTATTTTTTGCGCTCCCATTGCGAGCCACAACATATTGGCACGGCATGACGAAGGATGAGATATCGAAGAGCAGGTTATTACAACAGGAACCCGAGGGTGCATGGGCGAGAGAGGTAAGGAACGATTCGATGCCGGATCACAACTAGCCTCCTTCCCCACCGAGGCCAACGGCAATGACAACCTTGCCAATCGTGTATGGACGGGTCCTATGAGGACACAGGAGGCCGATTGGCCGGCATTTATAATTATGAAGGCAATCAACTAATTCTTGAGGAAGAGGAAACTTGTTGGAATGTGTAGTCTATAAAATGAAGCAGTCAGATTCTCATGCGAGCATACGTTGTACCAAGAAAGTACTCACTTCGAGATCGACGTGGATTACGATAGAAAAAGGACCTACCACTCAACGTGCTGTCGCACTAGCCCGCATCACGTCTCTGGAGTCAAGTTCGAATGGATATGAGTGCAACCGTACTGAAAACAGTAAATGAAAAGACAGAATCCAAGTGATAATTCACGAGAAGCCAGGAAAAAGGCCACGTCACAGAGAATTGCGACAGCTTGTTTCGGTGGAACCAGCGACGATGGGCATAATCGCGAATCGGCCCACATTCTAATCCAGTAACACATTCGCGAGCGTATAGACAGGATGTGATTAGGCGGAAGGTAGCCATATTTTGAAATCTCCCGAATGCATCAGAAACTTGGGGAGGGAGACGGGCCGGGAGGAGTAAGTTACGAAGCGAGACGTGCTTCTGGAGCAACGCCTTGGCCATTCGTCTCAATAAAGGCCTGAAAATATATTCGTGTACAACAGATAAATCTCGATGAGGGCTGACCTTCAATTGGACAGGTTCGAGATTTCAACCTGCGCACCGCGCACATTCTTGGAACTATACTTTGGAGTGGTTACTAGGGATAGGAATGGAACAGTCTCAACACATAGATGGCGTCGGAGAGACAGTACATTTCCGACGCAAGCCTGAGCGTGGAACCGAGAAAGGATTGGGGATGAAAGGTGCACCGGAGTAGTCAACGGGACCGTCGATTAGAAGAGAGTGCTTTGAGATGGGTTGATTAAGAGATTGAGAATTGAGATTCAAGGTAGCTGAATATACACCTGTATGAGTCGTCGCGATGCTGTTAATCGGACGTCTGTCATCGTAAAAATACGTCCAATGTACAGACAACGCCGTATAATCATCAGAGGCACGGGCCATTGTGGTAGAGAAAGGTGAGCACTAGTCACAAGGACGAGAACACCTGATGTAGACGGTACCTCCGCTAGAAAGAACCACATGTCCACACAAAAACCGGCTTCATCGATCGGTCTATCGTCTGAGTTACCAATCCCCGTCGTCGTAAAAGTCGACTGTCAGCCTTAAGACATTTATCCGTGATGTTTGCTTGAACGAAATCCCGTTCCTAGACCGTTACGTGGAAAGTTGGCGAGTCATCGGGAGGTGGCCAGTAAAGGATCGTGGTTGGGGGATTTGTTGCTTACAAGGAGGTCGACGAAGGTGAGTAACCAAAGATATGATCGTCGAGATGAAAGCCTCGGGGATAGAACAGGTCTAAATATGAAGACGGCATTTCGCTTTGACAATAAAACGGTGAGGACTACGGGATATCGTGAAGCTGGACCCAAGAATATTCTCATTGCATCGGCATGACCAAAAACTAATCACCTTGTTGGAGACAGCGCAGGAGTGGTGCATGCCGGAAGGTGACTCGGAGACGACGGTCATGGAAAGAAGGAGGTTGAATATTCGAATTCTGAGCAAACGCCCACGCGAAGGTTGCATTCCTTTCATCGCCACGCCGCTTGGATCACTTTGCAGGCTTCATTCTTTTCCACTGCCCGGCTTGATTGCCTCTTCTTTTAAACTCGCGAGATATCGAGATACAACGCTACTGACGAATGGGACCTATAGCTTGGGTATACCGGACTTTCAAGGCATGAAGATCGATTCAAAGCTTCGAGCTCTCACTGAGATAATGTGCATCATTGAGCAACTCTGGATTGGCAAGATTCGCGAAGAGTGGAAAAGGTTTTCTCCGAAGAACTTCATGTCTGTATCATGCCGTCTGTCTGTCCCCAGTTTTATCCAACTGATCGGTATTCTTGGGGAGCCAACAGGTTATCTGTGATACAAGTCCTGGCACTGATGTCACTCAATTCATGCTATTTCCTGAAAGACAATCGAAACTTATCTTCAGTGTTGGGACGGTCTTGTCCTGCCGCCTTCGGAGCCCCTCATCCAGTACGCGAGTCGATTGAGAAGGTGGAACTAAGAACATAACACAAACAATGAATTGCAGTCTCTGCTTGCCTGGGGATAAGCTTCATGCAGATGATTCTTGGACTGTTTGACTCACTGCAGTGGGTCCTCTGGTAAGTCGCCTGTATTTTGCTCCAATGTGGAACCTGTGTTGGACATAATGCTATTCATTCTATGCATTAATATGACATTCTAGGATAGAATGTCAACATTCATACCACAGGATAGATGCCTCACTGGAATTATATATCTTCTTGCCCATTAGAGCAGAGAATACCTGATATTTACCAGGTATTCTGTGCTTAATGTGCAGAAGATTTGGGTTCTGGCGATGCAACACCCCCGGCATAATTAGATGACAATGACGTACCTTTGGTGTACACAAATTAGTGTGTACACTCCTCAGGTATAGCTGTTCATGATGCGTGTATTACTTCAGGTCCGACACCGACTTTTGCCTGCAAACCTTTGCCTGAACCTTGCACAGTAGGTGAACTGTTTGAGTGCCGTTCGTGTAGCAGAAACATGAACTAACACATACTCTAGTCTTTACAGACGCGATACGATGCAATCTAACACTATACGATGTGGTTCGAGCTCTAGGATCCCTATAGTCATCATTTACTCGATTTCTTCACAATTGGATGATACTCGCCTCGGATGTGGAATTGTAGCTCGCCCCGCCACTCGGTTTGTTGTAGGTCTTGAGCATGACAGCAAGCCTGAATGTAGCGGTGATCCATATGGGAAGAAGGTCCAAGTCCAATTTCAGATTATTGCTGCAAGGACCGAGCTGGACGACGCGACGTGTGCGACACACAGTCACGTGTAAGAACCCAATCATTCGAACTTTGCCTCCGCGCTCACTCCGAGTAAAAGTTCAGTGTTCGGAGTATCAAGTCTGATTACAATGGGGAAGTCGCAACGCCCCCCAACTGCAAAGTTCAACCACGACCGTTGTTGCCCAGGTCAGGGTAGGTTTCTACGCCACATCGTCCCACACGTCCATTGACATTCAGTTCCTACAGATTCACTCAAATTTCTCGACCATGGCAGCGGCTCCACACGGCTCTAACCAACTGGACACGCTCGAACAACATGCTTACGCCACTCGACAGGATGAAAATAATCAAGTCACGGTGGTTGAGGAGCTACGTGGTCGTAACTCTCAAACCTCTCTGTTACAATTGCCGGACAAAATTCTTCTATCGATTGTCGAGTACAACACCCATATATTTAGGTGGCTGGCCTGGCGCAGTATAACGAACATCCGCCTACATATGGTGAAATACAAGATCCTCGCCATGTCGCAAGTCTGTCACAAGTTGAGAAGCCTGTTGACATCCTCACCCGACCCTTGGACGGTGATAATTTCATTGCCGTACACAACTACGTCTTTCGTGCTTGAGCTCCTCCACCGAGCGACACCACGTCCTGTTGACTTTATAGCAGTGACCGATGCACCCTACAGAAGTCTACTTCCCCAACTGCAAGCTGCCCTCCCAGTCATGCGCTCAGTGGCAATAGAACTCTCTCCAGGCTTCGATGACGTGAGGCCAGATGACTTCCAACCCATCTCCGGTGTTGCCCCCCATCTGCGCTCGCTCATGCTGACGCACCCTGTTGTGTCTGAGACTCGAAGGATGTTAATTCCTAGCATCTTTGACGATGTCGATTGCCCCGAAATAGTCTCGTTGGAGGTCGTGAACATGACCTTTTCCCCTGCCCAGTTCGCATGGTCCGGGCAGTTGACTCGCCTCGTTCTGCTCGTTGACCCAGAACCCGTATCGGAGTTCTTGTCCCCGCTCATTCTAGAGTTGCACTTTCTACTCGTGAACGTCTTAAGCCACGTACCTCTCCTTGAGGACCTCGAGCTTGGCGGCGTGTTACGCCCGGAAAAGAACAATTACCAGTTACTGTCAGGAATCGAAGTTGACCTGTGCCAGCTTCAGCAACTGCGCGTCACCAACCATGGGCGATCGCCGTCACTCTTATTGAAACATATCAACATTCCGGTCAGTGCCAGAATACATCTCGACTTCAAATCGTGTATGCACCAGAGTTCCGTGCGGGAATTGGTAGAAATTGTGAGCCAAAAGCTTTGTGCCGGTGTCACATCGCTCAGTGGATTTGCTGTAAGACCTGTCACCGGTGGTGGACAAGGCGCCTTCATCGAGGGATACACGGAAGTCGATTCTATGACCGAAATCCTTTCGGAAGATAGGTATCTATTCCGAGTCTTCGTACCGTCGCCTTTCCAACAGCAACTATGGCCATCAACGTTTTTGGCCACACTTGCCCGACTACCATTGGGCAACGTCAAAATATTCCACATGGATATGTGGTCCTCCGGCTGCTCCATTAGCAATGTGGAGACGCTTCTTCGAGCGATGCCACTTATTCATACACTCTCCTGGTCAGAGCGTACTCTTAAACATCTGGCCTCGTTCCTTATGGCAGACTCCAAGGAAGTCGAGGAGGCGGAAGAGGTCAACCTGTCTAACAAGCACCTGCTCTTATCTTCTTTGAAAAGCTTGATCATCCGAGGCGTCGAATTGGGCGGTGATTCCGAAGCCATTCAGGCTTTCCAAAGTCTATGTCTGGCGTTGAAGGAACGTCAGATGCTGCAGATACCCATCCACTCACTCTTACTTTATGATTGCACCGAAGTATCCGAAGAAGACCTCCGGCTACTTGCTTCGTATGTTATTGAATGCTTTTACGATGACACCCTTATCTCTGTCTAGGCCTGCGATTCCTTCCTGACTCATTTGCTTTCTTGCAAGGTCTCTATGTTGTCCCACATGCTATGTACTGCGCCCGTTGAATGTCTTTGCTATGTTACAACCAAGTTGTTATGCTTTCACCTACGGCCTGCAGAATGCGTGTTCGAAAACGATTACTGGATTGCGGATTAGCGAATGAGTCTGTGGCTCATTGACGAAAGACTGTTAATCAGACTGTTCATGCGGATCTAGACGTCGATGAGGACATCACAATGTTTCGATTCCTGGGAAGAGTTACAGTAATTCTTTTCGTCCTCAGCTCCCTCAAGCTACGTAAGGCCTTCGGCGGAACCGAAGGAAAGTGGGATTGAGTGGCAAATTCTCATCGAGAGGAGGAAAAATAATATGTATCTTGAACATGCGACCCCATAGCTCAGCGGTAGAGCGTGAGATTCCAGTTCTGGTGGTTCCTCAAGGTCATCCGTTCAATCCGGGTTGGGGTCATATATATCCCTTCAGTTGTTTTTTCAACGCAAGTGAGAAAACTTTGGGTGAAGTCTTGCCATTCCTCTGCTCCAGATTCCGACCGACTGTCTAAGATCCCAAAATTGGTATCTGTTTTATGATTTCTTTTGGCATGCTACACAGTACAAACTGGTACAATGGTGCGTAGTACGTACATGCCTATCAATCTCCACCGGGGGATATGCAGGTCTGAACGATAGCCCTATGGTTGAACGTTGTCCACAGTTTCCTTCTAAAAGGAGTGGTCCTGTCGGTGCTGCTGAACCTTCCACAGGCCGTAACGTAACTCGAACCAGAAGGGCAGAAAACACAAGAATTGGATATCCAAAGCCGACTCTCCGTCTTGCACATATCTAGCTAGTGTTATGGATCCATAATCCATAATCTACTCCTCTTGCTCACATGCAACACCATGTCACTATCCGACCCTCGCAATCGTTACAAGCGGATCGTAGTGTACACGACAAAATCCTTGTGTCGTATTCGATGGAGAGGCGTATAGAACGTGTCTTGTGGAATGTTCGGTTGGCGTTCCCGCATTATGATTACGAGTTTTGGTGAGACATCCTCCTTCCAGTTCGGTATTCAATCGAGACAAAGTTCGATTGAATCCACAGATGTATGAGTTGAGTACCAAAGTAGACACAGATGGGTCGACACTAGTGAATGTCGAGATTAGACTAGTGAGGAATCCAATAAGACAGCGGTAGTGATGTCAGAGCTTTTTCATGGACGCCTCTGGACGTCGCCATACACTCTGAGCCCACGGTTCAGGACTAGGATCGAAAACAATATGCAGATCCTGCCAGACAAGCGTTCGCATATTATCGAACATGCTGCGTACGTCTTTAAGACACGCAGCGCACATATTGAGTTCTGCAGACTCGAACCATGTTGACGGACGTAAGGGATGACAATCCCAATTAAGTCGTTTCCTATGGGAGAATGGAGGATAGTAGGTGCAGTGACGACGAGGTATATTACTGAATAGCCAGCGCGTAGCAACTGCATTGATCTGCTGAAGTCGCTTCCTCCCAATGAGACAGATTCTGAGGTCTTTATTGGATAATAATGTGTTGGGATCACGAGAGCGACTAGAGGCGAGCAATATAGGATCGATCTGGCAGCAGAGATAGAATGCCATCGCAAGCAAGTGATCAAGGTCATATCTGCGCGCCAGGTTGACGAGACGAACTGGGTCGAACCTGTCTAGGCCAGATATCCTTCGACTCGAGTTTGAATCATAAACAAGGAGCAGATCGTCAAGCTCATTGAGGGACTTCGGCAGGTACATTTTCAAACGATAGAAAGCCTCTTCACGAAGGATATCGATGCCGTACTTCCGATAAATACGAAGCATTGTCTCTATGACGTCGACCGGTACCGGTTGGCCACGGTTGAAAATAGAACTGCAAGCAAAGAAATTTATTGAGTTGTGAAACACGGATGTTTCTTCTGAGGCGTACTTTTTCCAGCCCGGGTAGTATAATGAGGCAAGGAGGAAGACAACGTCGGCGGTAGAGTCATCCAGCAATATCACAGGAATACCTCCATTCACTTCTCGTAATCCCGAGTGAAGATATCTGAACCAGTCCATGAGGAAGGGAAACGAGTACCCGGTGAGATGTTCACGGTGCACTTTGAATGCTCTGCCTCCGGGTCTGCCATTTTCCGATATCAGTACGATGTCACCAGAGTCGTACCAAAATTCTTGATGGGCAGTAAGGTATTCTTGAATACTCTCCGTCTTTTCTGCCCCTCGATATATCGTCGAAAGGCTGCGCTTGGGTTGCGAGTAGATACGCATGACAATTGTGGCCAATTTGACTCGGAATGAGGTAACAGTTATGAGTGTTCAGTGCAGGACGCGTTGGACATTATTCGGTAGAGCCACATTTTTTGAGTCAGGGAACAGCAGAGCTGTATATAAGAAACCTAAGAACAACGGACCCTTCAAAGTCACCATGGCAAGGGGTCAGAAACAAAAGCCCACATTCGTATAACAGATACCCGAAATAGATGCTGAGATCGGCTTAGTCAGCAGTTATTGGCGAGGCACTCTTCAGCGGAACGTTCACATTCGCATTTCCATTCTACTCCTCTTCCTTTGCCATCACCCTTGAAATTTCCACCATGATCACAAATGTTACGGAAACGCAGACTGCAGTAACGAAGAAAGTGAGGAAACTTAAGCCAGCAAGGAAGCAGGTCAAACCTGGAGACGTCGAGAAGAAGGAAGCACCGCAAACAGGGAAGGAATACAGTGAGTAATGCCACGTCGGACTCCTATGATTGAATTCATACTGATCTGTTTCTGCAGATATATGGTATAACAAGTGGGCTGGAGGTGATCGCGAAGATAGTTACTCCAAGTACGTCAGACTTGTTCTTCATATTGAAACAACAACTCATATCGGACTTCGACAGCAAAACAAAGTCACAAACGCGCTGTAACATTAAACGAGATGCAGGGCTCACTCGCGCCAACACAACAGGAGTGAAATACTGTTGTCTCTTCTTCGCCCGAGGATGCTGTCCGTACGGCTGGGAATGCGAATACCTTCATATGCTCCCCGATGCGTCTACCGTACTTCCTGATACCTCCAAGGATTGTTTCGCAAGAGACAAATTCGCGGATTACAGAGACGATATGGGAGGCGTAGGTAGTTTTGCAAGACAGAATAGAACGTTATACATTGGGAGGATCAAAGAGACTGGTACGGGTGCGGAGACCGAGGAGGTTGTGAAGAGACATTTCAAGGAGTGGGGGGAGATTGAAAAGAGTGCGTCCTCCTTGCTATCATCGCGTCAATAAAACTACTAACTGGCCTCTACTCTCTACGTAGTCCGCGTATTGCAATACCGTAGTGTTGCCTTCGTCACTTATGTCTCGGAACAGAACGCCCAATTCGCAAAAGAATCTATGGCGTGTCAATCACTCGACAACGACGAGATTCTGAACGTCCGTTGGGCCACTGAAGACCCCAACCCCGAATCGAAAGTCGCTGAGAAGAGGAGGCTGGAGGATATGGGAAGGGAAGCTATCCAGTCAAAGATGGACCCCAGGATAGTGGAAGCTATGCGAGCGGTCAGGGCTTTGGAGGAGGGTGTAGAGTTCCAAGACCCGGAACTCGAAATCGAGGAGTTGGAAGATGAGGAGGATGCGAGGGGTGCGAAGAGGCCAAGGCTAGAGCTGGAAGCAGAGCCAGAGCCTCAGCCTGAAGAACAGAAGCCGACTGGTTTGCTTAGTGCGGATACGCTGGAGAGCTTGAGGTACTTCACAGAGATTCGAAAACGTGCTGCTGCGAACGGTGGTATTGCAGTGTCGTCAGCACCTGCGCCGAAGCCACCACCGACGGGACTTGGGCTTGCGGTTTATGGTAGTGATGAGGAGTAGATTTTCTTGTATTCGTGCTCAGAGTATTGCTTATGTATTCTTATTTTCAATCATACTGATACATGCGTGCATAGTAGAGATACGACGAAAGAGGTGATACAAGACTCGATGGTGCTTGGAAGCATGAGTGTACATGGTAAAAAGTGTTAGCAAGTTCAGTCGCCCCCACTACTGCTCCCACCATTGACAGATAGTGAGTTGTCGTCAAGTTGCAGGTCCGCGATTCGCCTCTCTTCTGCAGCGATAGCCTCCTCTTCTTGCTGTCGGTACTGTGCGAGGTCCCACTCTTCCTCTTCTTCCTCTTCGTCTTGGAACCACTCTGGGTTGTACGTGAACTAGGCACAAACACCATGGTTAGAATCCATTTCGAGAGAAGATAGATGAGAAGCCAACTTACGAGATCTCGTCCACTCATACCACTGTTCTTACCAGCAGCTGCTTGAGCATCCTTCGTTTTCCTCTGCAGCTCCTCCTCTGCCAACTTCTTGTCCATCCTCGTTCGCTTCCATTTGGCGAATGTGTCCGGTGTGACCGGAGTCAGGTGTGTTCCGAGTTTATGTCGCTGCGGATGTATGAGTTCCCTCAAGACTATGATTAAGCGATGAAAATGATCTACCTCTACTTCCAGGAACTCCTCCAAACTAATGATATTCGCCTTCTCAGCCTCTTCGGCAGCCTTCCGTTGTGACTTGAGCATGAATCCAGGCGGTAATGCGTGCCGGTATTGACATAATTCGCCGTTTGGACATTCCCAGAACCAACCGAACCTGAGACATAGTGATCAATTTTTGAGAGCATCTGCGAAAGACAGAAGGCATACTTCTCGGACTCGATTGCTTGGATGAAGAATTTGCAGACAATCTACGACATGCGAGCGTTAAAACGATGTTCAGTAGGACGAAATAGAGTGTACGCACATCGGTCGTTGTTCTTGGGTTGCCGGTCTTGGACAGAACGACATTCCGAAGCTTCTCCTCATCCCACTTATCCATGGTATCTGAAAGCAATCGGATCAGTTAATCACAGAGTGAATCAGGAGATCTAAAAGACGCACCTGCCAACTTGTCTTCTCGACCATCCTCATACAAATTCTTCTTCTCCACCTTTCGGCCAACGTTCATATCATGACTGAATTTACACTTGGCCCCCTTCTCACAATGGCCAGCCTTGTAGAACGCGCACAGCACGGTCTTGGGATCAACGCCGAGCGGAACCTTCTGTGTTTGAGCAGGTTTGAAGAGCGCTGCCTCCTCCTTTCGACGCTTCTCTTCCTCTAGTTTGGCTTTCTCTCGCATAGCCTTTTCCTTCTCCTTCTCAACGGTAGCACGAGACTTGCCTGCGGTCTGTTGCCCCTTCTCGATCGCGGCGATTTGTTTCTGGACCTTCGCAGATTTATTTTTCTACATCGATTGACTACTGAGCTACATCCAAACCAAAGAGAATGGATGACACACATTTTTCATCCCGAATGTCTATAGATTCCTCGTCAATGGCTTGCATCAGCTTCCCGCTAGGACGAATAACGTGTAAAGTATACCTTGTCATCCTTTGCCTTCGAACTCGAGCTCGAGCCTCCCGCCTGTTTCTTCGGTGGCATTTTGAGTTCTTCAAATTGTTCCAATAATTTGAGGAAAAAAAGGAGAGTGAGCAAGCTTGACCTAAGCAGTAGGCAGGTGAGAACCTCAATGCTGTAATGAAGGTGGCCGGCGCTACTTCCCGCCTGTACATTGGTTTGTCACAGCGTGACGCCGTGACAACGCAACAACTCTTATGGAAGGTGTTAGTGCCCGATCGTATTATGCACGATCGCAGAGAGATCCCCAAGACCACTGCAGTATCGAGTGGCTCATTGAGGCTATGGATAAATGAGAAGGTGGTCAAGCTTTGGATTCCGCGCAAAATGTTACCAATGACAGGTTATCTTTATCATATTGATAGCGGCCCTAGTGAATAAATTACAGTACATTTCATGAATCACAGTCGTTGTATATACAACAGAAGTCAAGTATTGAATAAGAATAAGGCGAAGGCGAGATGCACGAACATCAGGACGCAGCGAAATGAAAGAGAGGAAAAGGAGAGGCTGGGACGACTAGTTGCTACATTGTGAGTGAAACGGAATTGAAGGAGGAATATCATAAAATGAGTGTGTACTAAGTCCGATTGATATCTGTCATTGAATATTTTTCTTCGATGTCACTTCTTGCGAGACAGGAGGGATTGCTTGAATTGAGAGAAACTACGCTTCACGCCAGATACAACTACGCAGCACATTAGCCGTGGATGTATCAGGCACTTGCGAGAAATTCCACGTACATATGTGGGATGTGGGTTTGTGTGCAACCGATCGTACCGCCCAGCCACAATGTTCCTTGTGCTCAAGCATTTCGTCCTTGTGAAGAAAAACACGGTTGCAACCGCTTGTCAAGCACTTGAAGATACTGAATTATATATGCATTAGCTGCGCTTAAATTCCAGCGACAGAGCACACGTACACGCGTTCCTTGTGATAGCCGTCATCTTCGTCCATGTCGTGCATCACAAGATGCGCCGTGAGCGAACGATAATCAGCGAGCACGTGGTGGCATCCATCTCGAGGGCAATCGAGGTTTCGCGTGCGTCCGATCTCTCTCATCACACAACAAGCTTCCCATCGCTGCAGGTGAAGTCAGACCTCAGGAGTCGAATGAAGTACTGAAGAAAACTTACAGCAATACTCTTTCTCATTTCAATAATATCATCAGTGCGACCATTGGTGTCCGATTTGAAATCAGCATCGATCATGAGCCATTGCGCCTCATCATCCACGAGGGTGAGGGTCTCGGATTCTGGAGTACACAACAGCGTGTCTGGGCTACCGACGCGTTGAACAGTGTCGCCCTCCGATGAGTGACGAGGCGTGCGAAGAATAGCATGCGGCGAATGTACTTGGGAAACCGCTGTGGTCGTTGGCAAAAGAGAGGTGTTCAAACACTCCTCAACTGGCAAAGGTGGTAAAGGCTTCCTTGTCAGGCTCTTACGAGCTAGTGGAGCACTGGGCTCGACAACCTGCCCTTGGGCAGGAGTAGGGCGTGGTCCACTCTCGACATCGGAAGAGAAGAATGCTCTGACTTCCTCGTCGACATCCACTGAATACAGACCTAAATCCAGGCTGGTCAAGGGTGTCTCATGATCACCGATAATCACACCCCAACGTTTCTGGCGGTCAACACGACGAGAATCGTTGGTGGTCTGCATAAGGGTGTTCTGAGCGATCGAGGGGTCAGAAAAGCTGTCGGCCAGAGTTACGCCACGTCCGATAACCGGACGAGAGATGGAAAGGTCGAAGCGAAGAAAAGGGAATAAAGCGCGAGAGTGGTAAGTTAAGAGCAGTGACGAATGGTCAGAGAACAGAGATGCTTTCGAATGAGTTATGAGGGGGGATACCAAAGTCTTATATATCCTGCGCAGCCAAAAAGTTCATGGCGATGAAATCAAATTCCGCCCTTCCGTCGACAGCACGTTGAATGCTACCGTGTCGAAAGACGCCGCGGGACAGGAAGGAACTTCGCGTTTATCCATTGTTCTCGAGTCATAATTCACTGCATCAGGCGGAAAGGCTGAGCTATACGCTTGCTGCTGCAGGCTTGCCTATGCGCGAGGTAAGCCTTTCGGCCAGGTGAATTGATGGGAGCAGCCTGAAAAGCCATTGTGCCACTGAATCTGAACTCGTTTGAATCTCGCTTAATCGCCTATAGAGCCTCGTCGTAAGTAGAACGCCGTGAAGGGGCCCAATTCGTCGAATGCGGTTAAGGAATCTGAATGGATTGAGTAGTGATATGGGCGCTACCGGGAACGAGGATATTAGGGAAGAAGCGAGATTGCTGTGCCACTGAAGACATGCCGGAAATGCATGGATCGGATACCATCTCTCGGACTTTACAGAAACAACCCGAGCCTAGAAGCTGGAGATTGCCGTTATGAAGTCCAAGGATTATCGTATGAAGAGAGATCCAATGCATCTACTAACGTAAGAAATCTGTTGGACCACTCACCCACCGCATCGCCGCATATTGGCAGAAAAGTAGCTCATGTCTACAGCACGGGAAAATGGTCAGTTAATTTCTAAAGCTGATCGTCCCAAAAAAAATAGTCAATAAGTAGATGCTCCAACAACCGGACAATGACTTCAAAGCCAAAGCTCGGTTGATGAATATGGATTACTGTACCTTCTTCGGGCTATCAACGAACCTCCATGTCAATGCAACTCCATTTTTACACCATGTCTCGAAGATGAGTAAGATTGCACGGGAACCAAACCAACATCCATATGCGGAAGCTGAGCCTGAAACGTACTGACCCCCTCGTTCCCACGACTGTTACGGTACCTTCTTGACCACGAACCAAGTTGTGCAACATCTCACTGAGCAAGTAAAGCACTTGTGGTCTGTTTGTAATTGCGCGATTGACAGGGTATCTGCGCTGAATTCGTCAGATATGTCTGCAACAGGTGTACTGACCTAAAGCTTGCTGGTTTAGGTCATCACATCATGTCTGCTATACGTGCACTGCAAGCAAGTGCTCGTCAATCACGGCTTCTAGCTGAGACGTCCTCGAGACTTTCGGCTCACTATATACAGACACGCTCTGTTCAGACGCAACCTGCATATGAGGGTCATATTCCTTTGAATTGGTTTGAGACGGGACTTCTGACCATCGGCTCGGCATATAAAGCTTTAACGGACCCCAGACGCGGTGGTACCTGTCCAACCTGCATTTCTTCCATATTCTAATCGTGTTGACCATATCATTCATAGATATGGTCGCCGCTATTGGTGATCTTACCTCAGGCCTCGTTCTGCCCCGCCTACGGGACATCATGCTCGCCAGTACCGAAGGCAGGCAGATCTTGAAGGAAAGGCCGCGAATCAGTACACGGACGGTCGACCTTGAAAAGCTGGCACTCTTACCTGAGGGCACCGTTGGACATGCGTACATAAGTTGGCTAGAACGAACTGGCGTTACACCTGATACTCGAGAACCGGTACCTACCTGGCACTTTCTGCATTGACAGTTGATGTTTATCCATTCGTAGGTGCACTACATTGACGATCCCGAATTGGCATACGTGATGCAGCGATATCGTGAATGTCATGACCTCTATCATTGTATCTTCAACCTCCCGGTGAACTTTGAATCCGAGCTCGCGCTCAAGTACTTCGAGTTCGCCAATCTCGGTCTTCCAATGGCCGGCTTCGCAGCTGCGTTCGCTCCCTTGCGTCTAAACTCCGAGAAGAGAGCCAGGTTATTCAATGAAGCCGTTCCTTGGGCAATTAAATGTGGAACCAGCGCGAAGAGTCTCATCACCATATACTGGGAGAAGAGGTGGGAGCAGGATGTGAAGAAGGTGAAAGAGGAGTTTGGAATATGGGATCCTCCTGTTGTGAGGTGGCGAAAGCCTTTAAATGGGACGAAGTTAGCGACGGCTAAGGCACAAAGAGAATCGGGTGGCCAGTAGGTCATTGTAGTCCGGTGGTATGTTCTTTGTTTACGTGTCATGCCCTTGGCACGTTGCTATCTATCTCACGCCATTCCCTTCCTGGTTCTTCTCCGTTGGACTTCAGACTTTCCCCCCTCTTTGATCTTCATTACCATCGACCTAAGAGGCAGTTGCCTCTCAGAAATAGATAGCGCCAAATGTTCGCGGGCACTATATTCATTAACAATATCGTTGACAGGACAAGTTGCAATTTCAAACGATGCTCCCCCCTCATTCTCGTCTGTTACAGTATGTGTCATTAAGGACTAAGCAGGTAGTATCCATGGGTGAGTGCTTTTGGAGTGCTTAGATGTCAATTTACGATGTTTTTAATCTCAACAGATTGTCCATGTGGGAATATCGGCGGCTCCCGGCTACAACACATCGATCTAACGCATTGCTCTTGAACCCGTACGATTATCTTCTCATCCTCCTCCATAACTGATCTCAGTCGAACCCGACTAATCGCAAGATGCTGGCCGTGTTGAAACGCCTGCGTTTTCCTATCCCCATACCGACCTTGTTTCACACTTCAGTCGCCGTCAAACTTCCTCCCGAAGTGATCATTGAGATCCTTCATGCGTTCGAGGTCGCTGAACGCTTCATCTACAATCGCGTTAAGTATACGGAAAGCGGTATGAAGGCACGAGCTAACCCAGAACTGTTATGGGCACGGAGTGCCCTATACAATGCCAGCCTTGTATCACGCAGATGGCATCGAATCGTAACGCCATTATTATACATGCAGATTACGCTAGCTAATTCCAGAGAAGTGACGGCCTTCCTTCGGGTCGTTACTGAACGTCCGGAGTTGATTCGACTCGTGAAAGAGTTGATACTGGTAGATTGGAGGTACCCCCTCGCAACAGGTCTAGCGCGTATGTTCGGAGCCTATCGAGATCTAGAGCCAGATGCTCTTCTGCGTATGCGGGAGGATATTCCCTCGATCCTTAAATCCTGCGTGGATATCGAGGCCCTGACAATCAACATCAGCTCAAGCAGACACACAGTGAGCGACATGGCGCGTCAACGCGGCCTTATCAATTCCAATCTGCGACATCTCACGATATATGGCTTCAGTCAACATTTCAAAGGATACAATCTTTCCCAGCTTCGACATCTCGAGTCTATTTCTTTCTCCTCCTTCAGAATGTCCCATCCTCTGCGTGGTTTTTATGACTTTCCAAAGATGCACACTGTCCAGGTTGCTTACATTATATGCGATCTCTATCCTTCGGCATGGATGCAGTCTCTGGGTCAGCTACCATCGCTGCGCACGTTTGCGATGTACGAGAACTCCTTTCCTTGCAGTCTGTGGACAAATTCCCACCCATTCGTTCAGCCCACAGTCCCATGTCCTGAAGGACTCCAGCGTCTACATCTTGTTGGACGCGATGAATTGCGAATAATGAAGCTGTGGCTTCGAGAGGATCCGTTCATGAACTTGAAGGAGTTGACATTTGGTCCGTTGGAGTCCGAACATGATTTTTTCATGTCATATGACATTCCATGCCCACTGGAAAATCTTAACATCCTCATTGCTACTGCTCCAGTTGGTCATTCGAAGTATGCTGGCATGGTTGAAGTCGTGACTAATGTCGCTCGCTGGTTCGAATGGAATTGCCAGTCGGAATCCATCTATCGTGCTCTGAAGCATGTTCAGATCGCCCTGGTGACTAGGTATCCTGCCAAAGTTGACCAGACTTCAGCCGCGGATCGCGCTTTGCACCCCTCATTCCAAAAGATTCATTCTCGTTGCTCATGCCTTGGAGTGTCCTTACATATAACACCGATAACAACTAGTGAGTCTTAGTGGCTATTACCTCGCCTCTGACTGGACGGTCTCTCTGTCATTGTATTACAGGGATTAATGATTGGGTATTCAATGCTCTAAATCAACATAACCTGAAATGTTGCTTGACCATGTGATCGGTATTCTTCTCCCTCGATCATCCATCGTCGATCATGAAGCCAACGAAGCGGAACGACTGGCAACGCTTCTTGCGGAACTCGAAGCCTGAAGCCAATCATCCGGAACTTGTAACTCACCCGTGGCTTCGACAACCCATTGGATGCTTGGACGGTTTTCTGGAAGGTGCTCCCAACATTTTTCGGCAATTCTCCAAAGTTCTCCTGGTACTGTGCGCTCGATGTTATTAACGACATTGGTGCGTTGAGGCCTCCTGTTCTTCGGTACACCGTCGATGACTTGATAGTCAGAGAGCCCGATATATGGCTTCTGAGCTGTATAGAGCTACCAAATCATCTTCGCTTCAGGTTTAGCGTTACTGAATATGTAAATTGTATCGTACCTCAATGCACACACATCCAACAGAGAACACATCGCTTGCGGTCGTCGGACGATTAGAAGTAGTTCCAAATAACTCCGGATTCAGTTGCTCGGGTGCCATCCATCGTTCATTACCCCCTCTCGCTGAGTTATTTTCTCTGCTTTGAGCCTCGGACAACACCGAAAGGCCGAAATCTGCTAGACGAATGCTTCTGTTATCGTCTACAAGGATATTTGGCTAAAGATATGATGTGAGCATGTGAGTCGTATGAAAGTGTTGGTATCCAGCAACGTACGCCGCGCAAATCACCATGCACTATGCCTTCGCGATGAAGATAAGCTAGACCTTGAGCAATCTCATGCATCTACGGAGGTTAGATTAGCGTATGAGAAGAGCGAGTCTTGTAGTACGCAGAATTGCCTTACCCATTTGAACAGATAGTGAAGATAATATAAGTCATCAGGGCTATAACCCCGTTTAATGAGCCCCTCAGCCTTGTGCCGAACATTGCCATTACGCATATAAGGTGAGACCATACAAGGACTCCTGTGGAAGATGTGATTGTCGATGCCAAAGAAAGGGAGAACATGACGATGACTTAGGTTTCGCCAAAGTAATGCTTCGTATTGCAGTTTCTACAAGTGAACCAATACAGCGTAAGTTATCGAGATCAACGTTTCCATCGACAAAATGTTACGCTGACCTGCTTCAAATCGTTCCTAGTTGCTTCGTCCGTGTTGCTAAATATTCGTAGCACTTTCAGCGCGACATCCTGATGGTTATATCGACCTCGATGGACATCCGAGAAACCTCCAGCGACGAGCCTATCCCCGGACCCGGTAAGAAGCCTGACGCCTTTTAAGAAGAGTGACTGTGGAAGTTGATTGCAAGCAGTTGCCAAATTGATCAGCAGCCTGCGTAATGGCCGTTGGTGCTGCGAAGACTTGTCTGCTATCTGCACCAACCAAAGTTTAAGACGTGATATCGACTAAAGCAGGGCAACGTCGTACCTTCTGCATGATATTCAATGCCTTCTGTGCCAGGGTATCCCGGAGGTGAAGCATGATGACTTCATGTGCCTTGGATTGTAAGGCTCCATCCAACATGATACACATACAGACAGCCAATTCACGACATCCTTGGGTACAGAAAGGCGATGTGGAAGGACGAACATTCTGAGCTCCCCCGTCGTTGAGTTCTGGGAGTGCGGAGTAACATACCTGTAAGGGATTATAAGCAAACATCGGCAAGCAAACTGGCTATGCTTCAGTTGACAAAATGAGATAGTCTTACTGGACAATTGCCTGAATCATCTTCGCTGAGAACTTTGAAAAAAGCACCAACGGGGGTATCCGCGTGAGCATCGGCTAAAAGAGAGGCCATTTCGACAATCGCATGAGGGTCGTCTTGAATCGGGGCAGTAAGCTCCATATATTCGGTGCCCGCCTGGGGGGTCAGAGTCGGTGGATAGTGTATTCAGAGTCAGGGCTGACGAATCCTTGACTCAAGGTTGGTGAAGATAGTGGTCCGTGACACTTGCCGCTGACAGGAAAAGACATTTTATAAGTATCCTTGATGTACCGCCTTCTACTGAGCGCTCATCTATCAAATATGTCCACTGCTCATGCAGTGAGTACGATCCAATATGAGGCTATAGGGATTCGTGATGCCTCTAAATTAAGCAAACCTAAAGTGACAAGAGACTCCGCATTGGCACTGCGTACACACTATGTCCCATTACAACACAGATCTGACAGCTGAGATCGCGGGTTCTTAGGAATTTGTATGATATGATGAAGGAACCAAAAGCCTCCGGGTTTCAAGAGAAAGCGCGGCGAGGTACGTATTTGCAAACGGTGCCTTTATTCCAGAACAGAGGCGGTTGTGAACAGCCTTGTCATGGATAATGTAGGTACGAAGAGTTCCTGAGCCACCACAATGGACATGCTGAGCATGAATGATTCGTAGCCGTCGAGTTGGTGCGTGTGTGCGGCATATGGCCCTCTGCGTGTGTGCGTGTGCCCGTCGAATGTATTCAGATTGAAAGGATCTGAATCCTGCGAATCATCATATCTGACCAAACACCATCCACCAGAGATGGTGACCTGCTCGTCCAGTAGACGAGCGAGAAGAATATTTGGCGAGTTCTTGAGAGCCTGAATGGTGTAAATGAACTGTGGATGATAATTAGCACGACGATCTCCAGGACTTCTGAGAATAAGTTGAGAATGTCAGGCATACTCGCCCAAGTGAGAACAAATACACAACGACAGGTTGTTTTCAGATCCGAGTTATAGGTTTTTAAGTTCAACGTCCAGCTTCAGAATAAAGTCAATGGTCAGCGATAAAAATGAAGAAAAACTCGTGCGAAGATTGACGACCAGTTACTATAAAGCGGACAATCTTGAACTTTGGGAAGCATCATCACAGCAAACCAATGCAAGTACCGGTCTGCTGTTCAAAAAGTTCCAGAGCATAAAGATGAGTGAATACGGTTGCATGTCCGGGCAGGCAACCTGATTAGTTCCAGCCTCATAAGTTCTCGTTGATGCGATTCAAGTTAACGAACGATGACAGCGAGCGCCTATGAATATCAGCTTGCACTCACCCTATGACATACAGAGATACAACTCAAGAATCAGAGCCATCAACACCGATTGTAATGATTTCTGCTGAACATGAACGTTCTGACTGTCATTCGCATCTTTTAAACAGTACCAAATTTGTGATACGACTTTCAACGACGCGACGCGCACGTGGCATACACGGTCACGTGCATTAATAGTTGGAATTAATGGTTGCCGCGTGGCCTGCGCCTCCTTAGACCCGTTCTCCTACCTCTGAAGCTCGTTTACGCCATTTTACGATCTCATAATGCAGATGAACAGACCCAGAGAGAGCCTTCTGTCACTCTTTGACCCGCTTGCGAATCCCACAACGCCCGAACGCAATACTTCGTCGCCAGATTCATCCTCAGACAAGGAGAACGATGGACCGGGTCAAGTCACGGTGTTCTTCAATCGCATCTACACCAAACCACCGCAGGCATCTGTAAATACACCGAAGGGGAGGTTGATTGACTTTGGAGACGTGACTGCGTGCTACAGCGACGGAGAGGGCGACGTGTCGATGGACTGCGGAAACGAGAGTCTGCAGGAGAATAACACGATAACGGAAGATACGGAGATGAAGGACGTGTTTTCGCACCATAGGGACTCTCCTCTATTTGCAAATAGACAGCCTTTGGCAGACATCAAGCTTGACGGATTCAAGCGACGAACACCCACACCAGAAGGAGACACCGCCTGGTCTGAGGAGAATACACCTGTTCCCTCTGTAACGGCTGCTCCTCGAGGAGACCCTCTCGCCGACGTGATAAACTCGATTAACCTATCCGCCATGACAATCTCAGACGAAGAACCTTTCAGCGATGTTCCTTCGTCGCCAGTCCACGCGTACCCCGAGATTAATATCTCACCGCCGGAAGTCGAGATTGCGCCTCCTACTCCTACGGACTCACCGGAACCCTCTCCTGCTAAGTTCGCTTCACCAATGGCTAATTCTAATATTGCAACTCCTACCTCGACAACCCGGCGTACCCATCTCACCCCCGCAACGACATCCTCAAGTGACCCACGCAGAATCTCTGTAGATTTACAATCATCCTTCCGCCTTCAACTCGGCTCTCCAGAAATGTCATTCGATCTGCTCAACGACAAGATCTCTTTCTTGGGTCAGAGCCAAGACTCGTTCTGGACTGCGGGCGACGATGATACGATAGACTTTAAGAAGGAACAGGAAAAGATGCTTGCCCTTGCGGAGGAGTACGAGAAGCTGAGCGAGGAGACGATTCCTCCTCCCAACCCTGTCAGGCGTAGTAAGTGATGTACCTGCTATCCTAACGGAAAGCCGTGCTAAGCAAACTGCAGCTCCTCCCAAGTCCGGTTCACCACCTGCACTGCCGAGCAGTTCAAAGAAGTCTCCGCCAAGGGAGGAGCCACTTCGCAAACCCGTGTTTAGTTTGCCCGTGAAGGCTCCAGAAACAAAAATGGAGCTCTGTAAATTTTCCTCGCTTCCGTCGAGCCTTCCAGCTGAAGTGCCGCCTACGGAGACACCTTCGGTTCTGCAGCCTACTCCAGGTAAGCGGCATATGCCAAATCATTCTTAACGTCTCTAAATTGACAACTATTCCTTTTAGCAGCATATGTTGATACTTCTCCTGGCGTGTCTGCAGGAGAAACCACTGTCGAGGAAATCGCAGCGAAATCTACTGATAAACCTGCGTATACTACACTGTCGGCTGCCCCTGCCCCTTCAATCCCAGCCCTTCGAATCGTCAAGAAATCATTCAGGATTCATGACCGGAACGCCTCAGCGTCCTCCATGTCCAGCACCGGCACCGATGTCTCACGGCCCAGTTCGAGCGCGAGCAGTAGTCGCAGCGCCTCTCGGACTGGCATGACGTCTCCAGACCTCGTGCCTCAGGTTGCACAGGAACAGACAAAGAAAGTTACTGAAGTCGTAGCAGCCGCCAGACCGAAGCCCGTCGTACGAGGATTACAACGCCCGCCTCCTGGAGCGATGCTTCCCCCTTCTAATCCTCCAACGACCACTCTTAACAGGCTACGAGCCGGTATCACTATGATTAAGCCAACGCAAGCAGAGGTCAAACCAAAGTCAATGGGCGTAACTCGTTCCGCCTCGACGAACTCGACTATATCTAGGTTTACCGGGATCCAACGTCCGTCTGCGAGTTCGAGTGTTCCTAGGAGCACTTCGGGTGGTACTACAGGGTTGGCATCTCGGTTGCCCTCGAGTTCCTCGGGTACTACGGTTAGTGGAATCCGACCTCCCACTCGCATTGCAGCTCCTTCTACGATGCGGTCTAACCTCCCTCAGCCTCCTCGATTCTCCTCCACTTCTAGAATCGCCACTGCAGCTACCGGTTCCACTACATCCAGCTTGAAGAGTGGGAGTAGCAAGCTGCCTGGGGGTACTGTTCGGAAGGTCTTTTGAAGCATCGCGGAATGGGGGAAATGCAAGTGAAAGAATGTCTCACCGTTGTTCGTCGTTGTGATTTGATTGAGGTATTGCTATCGAGTTTAATTTCTTCCTAATCTTCCAACACTATTGTTACGCCACACCACGCATCCACTTTTCTGTGTTCATGGTCGTTGTCATATGACTTCATTACCACATTCGCCTTTCCAAGCTTCTTTTCTTCCGTTCACATGGGTCCATCTATACATGCACATAGCTATCGCCACATTCGCATTAACATCAAAGATATTGTTACCTCAGGCTATTCATCGCACGCTAACATGTCTTTTCTTTATTCAATCACTCTCGCAGTCCTTGCGCATTCATCTACAATCATGTTATTACGCTGTTCATAAATATTTCCATGTGACTCGTATGCAGTTTATTGTTCCACTCACCTGCGGGGCCACGAAGCACATCATGCGTGGTATTCACACCACACCCAGTCACTTGGCCCCGGAATTTAAGACTCATCGATTGGTAAGATGTGTTGACGGAACATGAGGTTCATCGTCATCTGCCATCAACACATCACACCAATCGTGGACAACCACCTTTGAAAACAGAGACGAAGTCAGCACTTGTTCATGACTCATAAATGCAAAGAGGATGAAAAGATTATCGAACGTGGACGCTCGAGCATTGCGGAGGCCTGATCAAACTTCTCTTGCAGTTCGGTGTTTCCGATAACCTTGGCTGCTTGACTCATTTGACGTATGAGCTCTTGTAAACGACGGAAAGCGCGAATGATATTGCCTTCGAACTGATCTGTGAGCTGTGTTTGAATCGTATGAGGTCATTTTCTCGGAAAAAAGGGGGAATGAATTTGACAAACCTTGCAAATCTCAGAAAAAGAGCGCCCTTGGCACCACTGGATGACAACGTCGACGAATTCGGTTTTGAAGGACTGCACATATTCGTTTTCGTCCATAGGCAGTTTTGACTCGGATGATACTCGAGCGATCCGCATGGCGATTTCTTGCATGACATGTAAAAGTGCTGCCATTTCTTCCTTAATCTTGACTGTTTTCTCGCTCTGAAATCCAGGCCATACGCAAATATGACCATAAGCAACACATGACGTACCTTGTCTTGGAATATGAAGCAACTAAGCAACCCAGCGCATTGCTCAGGTGAGAGGGAGTTGAACACGCCATTGAAGATCAGCTCAGTCAATAGGAGCTCGTCTCCGGTGCTGATCTCGCAAGCAACGCGACCCTTTATGTCGACAACATCGTCTGGAGTAATGAAACCAAGTCGGCGTAAAACACGCTTGCGACCCTTTAGCTCTTCCATTTGGAGTGCGTCGGTCGTAGTGCGGATTGTGTTTTTCAGCTCTCGAATGCGAGTTTGGCATGCCATCTTGCTGGCGTAGAGCGTGTATAATTCCGGGAGACGAGGATCGTTGTGCAGCGGGCTGGAAATCAACACGCCCTCAAGGAGCTCGATTTTCTAAATATGACATGTAGTCAGAAAAGCTCCAAATCGAGACGGTAAAAGTAGATTTCACCTCCACAAGGACACGAAAACTGTCCTCCGTGATCTTCATGTCCACGATTGGATCGAGCATGGGAATGCCGTCGGGCAGCCGTCGTTGGACTTCAACAATACTCTTTTGAACTGTTTCCCTTGCCTGTCGCGGACGCAAATCCTTGGGCATTTTGATCCGAAGCGCGCTAATAGCGTCAATGGCAGAGAACCCAATGGTCACAACCAATAGTTTGCCATTGTGACCTGATTCGCAAGGACGAATACCGGCAGGAAGTGCCAAAACATGATCACAATCTGGACGCGGAGACGATTCAGAGGAACACTTCAAAAGTACAGACACCACGTATTTTCCCTGGAAACCCGGAGTTATTGATTGGGGAAAGGCCTTGTGCTAATGTGATCGTCATTAGCAGTTTGCCGTGTCTGCCACAGACGGTGATACATACATTGAAAATAGCCAGCTCCTTCACCCCAATGACCACCGCCCAACCGAAGTCGTAGCTCTCGTGTTTAACTTTGATCATACGTCCTTGCTGAAGGAATGGAAGGCAATACTCCGGTCGGGTAATCATGGCTTTGAATTCGGCTGACAACTGATCCAGTTGTTCACGATATCCGTAGTACTCAGCAACCAGAGGTTCATCTGGCACCGTTATACGCGACATGTTGTCTTCTTCACACCGCAAGTCTGGCAGAAATGCACTTAGCTTAAACGATGAGCAAGAACGAATCAGCGAACTCACTTTCTTCAAGTGCGGGGATCGCGTCCTGACTTTGAAACTGGAAGAATGAGTGCTGGAGCATATAGTCCGGGCTCACTCCTTCCACCTTCATCAAATTGAGCACCATATTGTATCCCAAATGGAAAGCGGAGTCCAATCGATCTGCTTCACCCCTGATCATATTCTTCACGACAATCGGATCGAGTTTTCCGTCGCACATTGTAAACACCACACCTTTATCATCTAACCCTCTACGTCCCGCGCGACCAGACATCTGTATGTATTCTCCAGACGATAAGGTCCTGAACTCGCGTCCGTCGAACTTGCGTGGAGAGGTGAAGATGACAGTTTTTGCAGGCATGTTAAGACCGATAGAGAACGTCTCGGTCGCGAAGAGGACTTTGACTAAACCTTCTTGGAAGAGAAGCTCTGTCACTTCCTTCAAGATGGGGAGAAGGCCACCGTGATGGATGCCGATGCCGCGTCTGAGTAAAGGGAGGAGATTGTTGATTTGAGGTAACTGACGATCCTCGGGAGCGAGTGTGTCGACGGCGTTCTTGAATACACTGGTTACCAGGCCTTGCTCATCAGTAGAGTTGAACTCAAAAGCACTGATGCTGAGTGCCAATGTCTCGCATTCACGCTTACTGAATGCGAATGCTATCACTGGGGCGTAATTCTTCCTCATGATCGTCTCGATAATCTTCACTATGTCCGTTGTTCCTTTCGGCGAAGCGTCAGCAAATCCGACAAGTAACAGATCAAAAAAAAAAAGAGGGGGGTTGGTTTATACATACCTTTCTTCATACCTTTTCTAGACTTCCCTCCCTTTCCTTTCCCACTTATGACTGCTGCATCCTCGTCTTCAACCTTTTGCAACACACCCATAGCAGCATTGAAGTTGTCCTCAAGAAATTTCCCCTTGCTCACCACAAGATGCAAGCGATCCCCTCCAGAAGGGAACAAATAATGCTCTAAAGGCGTCGGCCGGAAATCGGTGTAAACAACATGACAAGGTTGTTGGTGGATTTTGCAGATCCATTCGGCGAATTGCATGGCATTGGGTATGGTGGCGGAAAGGAAGACGCAACGAACGGTGTGGGGAAGTAAAATGATTGTCTCTTCCCAGACTACGCCTCGTTCCTTGTCGCGCATGTAGTGAATCTCGTCAAAAATGACCCAGGCTACTTCACGCATAACTTCAGAGCCTCTATACAGCATCGAGCGCAGAATCTGAAAGGAGCAAAATTACAAAAAGATCGAAACACTGGGAGGGTTCCACGGAACATACTTCAGTGGTCATGACGAGACATGATGCAGAGGGATTGAGGGTAATGTCACCAGTCATCAAACCCACATCGCCAAAGATGGCGAGCAAGTCACGATACTTCTGATTGCTTAAAGCCTATTGATGATGTTACGATGTGGCAACATTTCGTAGATAAACCTTGGAGACTGACCTTGATTGGGCTGGTGTAGATGACCCTCTGCCTGTTACGCAAGCAATGGGCAACAGCATATTCGGCTACAACCGTCTTGCCCGAACTGGTATGGGCAGAGACCAATACGCTCTCGTTACGTTGGATGGCATAGATGGACAATTGTTGGAAATCATCCAAGGCGAAGGGATAATCCCGAGCTGGGGTAGCGGGAGGGACATGTTGGATAAGAGGCACATAGGGATAATCCGATGGAATAGCAACCCGATGGCGAACCTGAAACACCACATTCTCGATTTGAGCTGGAAAAACAGCGTAAAGAAAACATACGTACATGTTTATGCAAGTCCGCAGGGCTTTCGAATTTGTCGTCATCCATGCCGCTCAAGGAAGAACCATTCTGTGGTTTCATCTCCGCTCTGTCCGTGATCATAGGCGATGGAGGTCCTCTATACCGTTTCCCAGCTAGAGAACTCGAGCTCGTTGGCGGCGAGTCCTGGGTATCGCCCACTTGTATTACAGTAGAGTCGGATTTGCGTTTCCTGGAAGGGTTCCCGGTACAAGACAGGACCATGGCTGCAGGATTCAGTTTCTCGAAATATGTAACTGATGTGTACTGTAGAAAGTAACGGTGAAAGCCAAATTCCGACGCCTAGCGGCCTGACTATGGGGAGCGCTGGGACGACTTTAAGTTTGAACGAAGCTATGAAATGTTCGACGTAAGACGTGGCCAAAGTACTGTATGTATTAATTACAATGGTCTACTAATAATATTTGTTTGCTACTCCAGGTGTCGTAAACTCTTAAAGAAACCCGAGTTGGAAGCAGACAACAAACCGCGCCCCGAGACGTCAAACGATGACCCTTCTACGTTTATAGCGTCTCAGGTGGATGAACAACAAGCTTCCGTGCGCTGACTTCATTCCTTTTTAATCTCTCCAAACCACCTGGAATGCCGGAGAGACCTCCAGGTACAACTTCCGGAATGTTCGGCTGTACGAAATTTATCATTAGAAATTCGGAAACGTAGGCTGCATAATGCATATTCATACCTTGATTTCACCAGAAGACAGCAACTCGGGTAATATGCGATAGATTTCTGCGTCGAAATCTGCATACTCAGGAATATGTGGGCTTCCAAATACCACGTAGACGGATTTATCTACAGTCAACTTCGCTTGATCGATGGCGGGGCGCACAACAACGATCAGAGTTCCTCCAGGAGCGAGGATGTCGTAAGCCACGTTCTGAGTCTCGGGAAACGAAACTGCGTCATAAACTAGATGAACAGGCTGCGATGTAATCTCCCTGATCTTGGCAATGAGAACCTCGCGGGAAAGATTGCGGTCGAGGACATGCGTCGCTCCGAAGGACGTCACAAAGTCAGCATTCTTAGGAGATGCTGTAGTTATGATTGGAGAGAATCCGGATATTCGAGCGAGCTGAATCGCTATGTTGGAGTGTGTCAATAACTGGACTGAATAACACAGAAAAGGAATGAAATAGTACCATATTGACCCACAGATGACGATCCTCCGAGAATGACGATCGGCTGAGCGGCGTACTTGCCGCGCCCTCCCTCTTTCCAGAAAGGTGTCAGGTTTGCACCACCTCTCTGGATGCCACCAGCCACAAAAGCAACAGAACTATATAACCCATTGACGGCGGTTGTTAGGTTGCATGGTAAGGTCGCAGCTTCGTCAAACGTGATGTTCGGAGGAATCTGTCAAATACACATTCAATATAAGTACTTCAGCATCGGTGCAACAGCATGAACGAGGTAGAACCTTGGAAGTTAAATTGGCTTTCATAACGGCATACTGCTGTTGAGCAGCAAAGCGGTTTGCAAGATTGAAGTTGGCAACAAACAACCTAACATGGACTTCAACATAGTGGTTCGCAGAGCAGAGCGGATTGAGAATCACATACACTCTGTCGCCCAGTGATACATTCTCCACTTCATCCCCAACAGCTACAACGACTCCAGCAGCATCCAAGCCGAGAATGGCGGGATAGCTTGTGATGTATATTCCGGTCCGTTGCATCAGCAATTCAAGGTGACTCAACGACGCAGCTTCAATGCGAACTAAGACTTCTCCGGCGTCGGGATTGGGGACATCGACTGTATCGACGACAAATTCCCCTTGCTTTGAAGGCAGCAGAAGGGCTTTCTGGCCGGTCGGAATGGACATGTTTCCTGAAGCTTCAATACAGGAGTACGATCTGGTTTAACGGGTCACCCAAGAGCTTGAATATATATATCTGATGATTGCCCAGGCTAGGGGAGACCGTGCTGATTGATCAAAGGAGCAGTGATTAGCAAGAGAGCAATGCTTACAGAGAATCCTCTGAAATTGGAAAGAACGACTGTTATCGGAGCAAAGGTGAGGTTTTCCAGACGACAGCTAATTGATGCAGGTTTGTAATGCCGACAGGTGTCGTCAATGGATCGGGTACGCCATATCTGGGCCCTGCCCCGAGAGGGCACCGCCTGCATGGAGCATCGCAGGCAGCAGACTCGATATGTTATCAATATGTCAGGGAAGAGAAAAAGAAAGACAAAGATCGAAGTGATTTTGACTTCCCGGTCAATAATAAATCATAATGATCTGACGTCACCCATTCGTGATGGTACTTAGTGATTATAAGTAGTTAAAATGGCCAACTATGTAGCGGAATATAGCGCTGGTAGCTCTCGTAGCTCCATGGCTCACTCCCGACTTTATAGCACAACATAGCAGGTCAATTGCTACTGACGCTATGCTATGAGAGCTATGCGTGCTATGCAGTTTTCAAGATCGTTCGTGGTGGGGCGATCACTCTGTATGACGGTGCGACAGTTTAGGGACTCTCACTCCATTATACTCAGTATGTCTAGTTTAAACACTACCAAAAGCGGATTATGGTATTTTACAATCCCGACCACTGTTTTAGATATGAGAAAAAAAAAACATATCAGGCCTTTTTATGGCAGTAGGTAATGCATTCAGAAAGAATAAGGGTGAGGTATACAAGGCCATGTTGAGAAGAGTACGAATATATGAATGTTGAAAGTCAGGTCGTCCAATCCTCGAGGATTTACGAAAAAAGCATGCCACTGGGCATCACGGTATAGTAGGCAATATTGACAGGACCAGAAGCAATCTTGATCTCCCAAAATATTTCGCCTGACGAGAAGCGTCGGTGAATGATCTGAGTCGCTCCTCGACGATTTGACAAGGTCATTGTTATGCGGAGACACTGTGATGATAATGATTGAAAATCCTAACAGCCTGGATGGCTGAATCGTTAACGCACATGGATTCGTAAGTCGTCTGCTAAATGGCTCTAGTAACGCCCATTGAGTTACGTCGTGTTCGAAGGATGAACGCACACTCGCTTGTCAACGATACGCGGTAAGACTAGCTCGAGCTTAGCTAGAGCTGTGCATTCCCAACGATAAGTATGTGAAGGCCGCTGTATAGATCTCGCAGCCCGGAGAAATAGCTGCCGACTTAGGATCACTGAAATCAAACTGAAGATAGTTTCACCACAGAGGGTGCCATGAGATTCAATGATTTACAACGAGTTGACATACATCGGAGGACCACCGATAGCGGTGCGAAATGCTCAGATGGTCTCAGGAGGGTGTACAATCAATTTCCGTGCACTGACCTCGCCCTTCTTCAGTCGCTCAAGTGCGTCAGGAATGGCCGCGAGCCCGCCAGGAATGACCTCGACATTGTTTGGCTGAGTATGAAAGCAGATCTCATCAGTACATTACAATGTCTCCATAATGATGTAACATACCTTGAGAACTCCAGATTCAAACAAGTCTGTAAGACGACTGTACAGACCGGCACCGAGAAGTCGGTTAGGAGGAAAGTGGAAGTTGCCTCCGATGTACAGGACTTTCTTTTCTGAAACCAACTTGTCCTGGTCGAGCAACGAAGCGACGACTTGGATGAGCGTTCCGCCTGGGGCGAGGACTCCATATGAAGTCTCTTGAGTCGGCTTGGAGCCGATAGTGTTGAAGACATATTGAATAGGCTCTGCAGTAATCTTCTTCACTTCGCGGAGAAGCTCCTTCGTGCTGAGGTTGCGGTTCAGGACGTGAGTCGCACCTAGGGCCTTCGCTAGGCCGTAATTCTGGGGAGATACGGTCGTGATGACGGGAGAGAATCCAGACAACTTGGCGAGTTGCGATGCTAAAATATCGATATCGTGGTAATCAGCGACGGAGTCACCACGTACCATATTGCCCAACTGACGACGAGCCTCCGATAATAAGGATTGGTTGTCCAGCATACTTATCCTGACCTTCGGGATACCAGAATGGAGTCAAACCAGCTCCGCCTCGTTCCCAATCACTGCCATAGAGACCAACAGTAGCAGTCGCAAACACGAGAGGAATTGAAGCAGCTTGATCGAAACTCAGGTTCGAAGGAACCTGAATCAAAGCGATGAGCCCCAGGTCTGTTCAAAATTGTAAAACGCCCAGACCTTAGCCACCAAGTCTGCAGAAGCTACAGAGTACTGCTGGAATGCAGCCAAACGATTCTTGAAGAAGCCTTGATAGAAGCTACCGGACATGGTTAGGTCAAACATCTGTACAAGTGGTTGATATGTAAACGTACACCTTGTCGCCGATGCTGAACATATCAACATTTTCGCCGAGCTGAATTACGACGCCGGCTGCATCTTGGCCTAAGACTGCTGGGAAATCGTCGATGACAAAATCAGTAGTCTGGATCTTCCATTCCACTGAGTTGAGTGAGACCGCTTCGAGGCGTACAAGGATTTCACCAGGTCCCGGAGTGGGTACATCGATGGTCTCGACGGAGAAGCGACCCTTCTTCTCCAGGAGGAGGAGAGCTTTCTGTTGCATGGGGATAATCATGATAGTTGGACGAACCTCTTTCACAGAAGACGTTGCACACCTTTGATGAGAGGGGAAGGTTGGCTTTTATACCCACTCGATAAATCCGTTATGTCATTGACTTGACGTCAACTTTATGGGTTGTAGAAGTCTTTGAAAGCCAGTGCATCCATGGGACAAGTGATTATGGCGATGAAGGTGATCAAAACCAACATCATGGGCCTTGGCTGAACTCCATATCGTCTTCCGTCATATTGAAGAGGCTCGAACACAGAGACCTCATACCTAAGCTTAACTAATAGACGTTGAGTCTTCATGAACTCTCTAATATGCTGGGATATACCGCAACCTAAAGAACATGTGTCGTATGATACTGTGCGTGGATCTTCAGCACACCTAAAGCATGAAACACCTATGAATTCAGTGTACGCACTTAGTCATCCCAGATAATATTATCTTCGATTCCGAAGCGACCTACACTGGCTTGGATCACTAAGCTCGCGAGACTCGACTGGGTTGCTTGACGACACAAATCCCCATTTATTCCGCAACGTGTAGGTCGGTGATGTGTTGATGGTTGAGGACTATAGTCATATACGGTCACAAAAATAGTGGAAATGGTCAAGGTCGTAAACTTCCCCGTCAAGCACAGGCGCTCGCTGTCATCGTTCCGACCACATTCAAAACGAGAACTATGTAGTGAACCAATGTTTGATTAGGATTCCTGCCAGCGAAACGCGCAACCATGTCTACCCTGTCTTCTTCTTCTCCGAATCTAAATATTCCATAGACAACAAAGTTATAACTCAATTTTTGACAAAGTTCGAAAACGCTGTCCATGAGGCAATCGCATGTCGAGTGCGCAGCGTGGAATGCGCACCGGCATAGCTAACTTATTCAATGACCATACTTCCGTATTCACACCCACATACAGGGCCTCAGAGACCAACGAAATCGACGACGTCCATCCTATGTATTCAGACATCGAGCATCGTACTTTTGTGCGGTCTACCATGATAGGGTACGTACCCGTGGGCTCTTGGAGTGAACGGCACGGTTACTCAAGCTCATACCTGTAGAGTCATTGGGGTTCAAGCGAAGTCGGTGAGCACTCAGCACAATAATTGCTTTGTGATTGTGATTGAATATTGTTGGCTATCCTAGTTCTGCGACCTGCATGGTGGATCCAATTTTCGCATCCGCGTCCCAGGTTCAGTGGCTACCGCAACGAGGACATTCATAGTGGAAGATCGTAGCTTGGCGCTGATGGAAATACCTGCGCTCGACAACTGGGTGGTAACTCAGAGTCATATCGTTCAAGGAGTTACGAAGGTACTTAGCACGATGTAAGTAGATCTCTCATGTGCTTTGAGCCCGTTTGCTAAAGAGACTGCATTGAAAGCTGCCAAAATCGCTCCAGGCTGGATGGGATCATTGTTCTAGACAGTACAAACCCTGAGCAAGTAGAACAGGAATATTCGCACCTTGTTAAGGCGCTTTGTGGGGATATTGCGCCTGGCATTGTGGTCCTCGCGGGGAGGCAGCCGTGGAGCGTTAGTGCAGGTGGCCTCATGCCAATCATAGCCCGATACACAGGAACTCTTCAGTCCGGAAACCGCATTCTTGGTATGCTTCTGAATCGTATCCCTATGCGGTTCCATGAGCTGGAGCAGGTTGTGAGGATGTACGTTATGGAGAAATATCAGTTGAAAATGGAGAAGAAGGCTCATATCGAAAACGAGGAACAAAAGCAGAGAGATAGGATGAGAATGGGGGGTGGCAAAGACGAGAACTCTGGTGACGAAGAAGCACAATTTCACGAATGTCAACCTGCGGGTGTCGAACACTCCAAATTGGAGGATGAACTCCAAGACATGAAGGAACGCATGAGCCGCACCATTGCAGAGTTAGAGAAGTACCCAACAGAGGGAGAGTTGATTTCCAAGACGGTGTCGGAAATGGGACGAGAAGTGGCCGCCTTTCGTGCGAAGGTTGATCATCTTAGCGACACATTCACATCTCACGAAGAACAAAGCGAAGCACAAAATGAAGAAGTGAAGGCGCACCTCTGTGCCATGGAGCCTCGCATCAAGATCTGCACAGATGATGTCGAAGTACTTCGGGATGATGTGGATGACCTCCGCAAGCAATTGGAGCGTGAAGTCAGCACAAATCAAAGAATGGCGGAGGCGAATTCAGCACAGCGGGTGAGGCTGGAACGACAAGAGGACGAGATCAAGATGTTGCGTCAAGACAACAAAGACCTTCGCGCTCGAGAACAGGAGCGTGCCAATGTAGTAGATACTCTGAGGCGTGAGTTGCGTGCTTTGAAGGAGGATAACCGCAGATGGAGCAGGGTTCTCGCAGAAATGAATGAAAGGATGGCCAAGATGACAGGCCAGATCGAACACCTGCAGAATCGTGCAGCTCATGAGCATGAAGACGACGACGGCTGGTTCGTAGCATGAATGTTGACGACTAGTACTCACGACTTTTGTGGTTCTCCCATGGCTAGGACACTCACTTCTGTGAATATACGCCATTTATGTGATTTCTGGAAAATTTATGACCGCGAGAAGGCTGTAAAATTGAGATGGCTGCTACTGCAGTAGTTAGAAACTACGCATTTTTGTAACCCTAACATGAGGTTTATCCATGTTCTACATCTCTAACAGTGACATGCATGACATCTCGAACATACTGTACAACCAGGCACGGTCATTTAGCAACATCTGCTAAGTCAAGTTTTTATACGTGCCCCTCCCATAGACCTGGCCGGGTCTGCTCACCAGAGCCTAAATACTTCTAGACTTTACGAGGCATCACTCCAGGTATCCTTTTTTTGATCTGCTGGTATGCAGCCAGATCCATCCGTACTGAACCGGAAACACAGATACACGGGAATCGGTGCATTCAGAGTGCCATGACTAGCATTGTTGACTTGCCATCCGAGATTCTGGAGGCCATCATCGTGAATCTGAGTGGTAGTCCGCTTTCGATCGCGGCGCTTTCGAAAACCTGTCGAAGGTTCCTCTCCTTGATTTACGAGACACCAGATCATCATCTTTGGCGAACAGTTTTCCTATCGCGATACGATGATCCACGGCTCTCGGATCGCCTCAATCTCCATTCTTTCGATAAATCCCTCTGGCGTAACGAATATACAAGTCGTGCATGGGCGGCGGAGCAACTGCAGGCCACTGACATATCAGAAACTGATAAAAGTCTAGGGCTTCGTTTGGAACGTTTCTCGAGTGCACTCGATGCTATCTCGAGATTGTGCACTTCAGCCAACCCTCAGTCCCCCATTCTGACGCGGGATGGCACTTCGGACTCTTCTTCGTCCTCGCATGCGCTGGCACACGACAAGACAATCTATCACGCTTACAGGAATACGAGCCGTATTGTGCGACTTGCCGATACCGTAGAAACGCTGTCCCTAAATCTTCAGCAGCTCAAGTCATTGACGGATGGTGGCTGCTTCCACCTTCTTCTTCATTGGCTTTGCCCGCCCTACAGACAGACTGCCGAAGATGCGACTCAATCGGCGTGTAAGCTGTTGGCTTTCCTGGGTACAAGGCATACCTCAGCGTCCGGTCTTGAGGAAAATCCATTCAAAGATCCACTGTGCAAAGCTGCTCTCAAATATGCACGGCGGAGAGCGTATGACATGGACTATCCTGTGAAAGCACGGAAATATGGGCCTTTCGTCCGTCATCGGCGTCAGAGATTCACAGCTGATTGGATACAGCTTGCTGCCATTCGTTTGCTATGTGAAGAAGCCGCGTTGGAGGAACATAGCACGCTTTTTCTCGATTTGACAGAACTGGGGCGGTTGCGGCCTGGAGCTTGGGTTCCAGATCTCCGCGATACTCACCACGAAGTGGCCAATATAAATGAATCGCACGCAATGGAGCGTGATTGGGCCGGGGTAGAAGGGGTTTGGCGGTATGTACTCAACGTGTCAATCGTCACGCATAGTTCACTAATTGGCTTGTCTCTAGGAGGCTTGTTGTTTGGCTTGGATACGACAACCTAATCAGTGAGTGTGGAGGACACTTTCTGTACCGGTATTATTTATGCATAATTGCGATCTACAGATTTTAACGCTGATATGAAGAACGACGATATCATAGAGGACGCACAAGTATATCTAATTGTACCCCTACGCTTGCGTATCGTTTCGTACAAAGATGAGCCGGACGGGTCTCCGTTATTCCCAACAATTCAATGCGAAGGCGAGATGGGCGGACAAGGTTGGGACACATCTGATGAAGAACAGGCGGATGTGCATCATGTTGAAGGCAGTGTATCGATGCTAGCTGATGGAAGTGTAAGATGGAGTCTTGTAAGTCTTCTCCCTTCATTCCATTATCTCTTCGCACGTTTAACGTTCTTGTTCCCTTTTGCATTATACCAGACATCGTATATGGATTACACCAACGAGGAGAAACAGTGGGCTACAGAAGGCGTGCAAATCGGGGGCATTGGTTCAATGGCTGGAATTTTAGGCACTTGGACTGGTGCTTATCATGAGCCAGATGACCCCATCGGCGGTTGGTGGCAATGGAAAGTAGGATAATGTTTTCGAGACTATTGACTGCCTGTTGGTAAGTGCCAGCCACTCAGATCGCAATCCTTTCATATATTCGATATATTAACATGTATCAACTCAAACAGGGCGTACGAGTACCATAATTCAAGCGGATTGATGGAAGTCATTACACATAAGCCAGGATCAACAACAGAAACTAAGGAACATCCTTCGTCGTGGATATTGCAGTTAGTAGGATTTGTGATTCGCCTCCTCTCTGCAGAGCCTGCTGCAGAAATAGTCGGTACTGCTCTGTGGCATGGTCAAGCACATCACACAGGGCGAGACTAGTCCCGACTCTACCGCCTCCCTACAGAATACCGTAAGGATCAGAGATATTGTCGGCCAATGATACAATTGACACTCACTCGCGATGGCTCATGGAGCAGTACTCGCTAATTTGGACGCCGTTTGAATCGACGTGAACAGGTACTTCACACCCAGGAATTGCACAAACAACAGGAACTCCCTGAGGACCTGCGGGCTCTTTAGATGAACTATTGTTCGTCAGGATGCTCGGAATTTGAGCCGCCGCCTTCTTCACCCAGGAAGTGGAGGAGGGTCTCATCTGAGTCTGCACTTGCGGGACTTGTGGGACTTGTTGAGTTGCTAGACAATCCAACGTGTTCAGCAATGGTCTGCATCAGAATATTCCATCACCCACCGGCAGCAACAGGCGCGGTGCCTGCAACGACCCTAAGTGCGTGCGAATTCTTCTGTGGCTGGAGAACTCCTTTGTTTCTGATAGCATTGGTAGGGTTGGTGGGGGCCTGGACACGAAGCTGAGGGGCTTGAGCTTGCGGCTTCACTGTTTTCTGCGCCTGCCCGGCACAATGTTTGCCACAATACTCGAAGTTACCAAACTTCGGCTTCTGATGACATTGCTGGAATATCACTTGAGCATGGGTAGGTGGGTTTATGATGGAAGGATATGGTGCTCACGGCGCAAAGGGTGGCAGCCTGAGCCGCACAAGTCTTGCTACAGAAAGCATGTCCAGCATTCTTGGGTCGCTGGTGGCAGACCTAGGAGTGGAGTCAGTATTATCCGTGTTTATCGTTGAAAGTATGAAGCTTACATCGCAAAGGGAAGGGCGTATTGGGATAGTGGACATAGCTGACGATAGCGTTAGTGGTGGGAATATCGGTGTAAGAAGGACAAGGTGTGTACAAAGGATCTGGGGGCCGAGAACTACAACTCACCTGAATATATACAGGGCGGAATTTAGTCCACACCCAAATTACTCTTTGTTCGTGTCCAAAACACGGCCTTGAAGCAATCCTTTGACGATTGCCTCGCGATAGCCGCATTGTATAAGAATAATACACGTGTTCAACGGGACAAGAAATACAATGCGACAATACGAATAGATACACAATATGGCCCGGGTGTGGCGAGACGATCAAGGTAGCGTGTAACGGAAACAACTCCCAGCCTTCCCGATTCACTGGTCTCGCAAAAGCGTCCTCAATCTCACCAATGCCTTGCCGAGCTCGTTGCGTCCCTTACCATCGGCCCCGCAGCCCCAGAAAGCATCCTTGTCCGAGTTCTAAGAACGTCCATGTCAGCCTCCGACTCGCAATTAGAAAACTTACGAGATCTTACCTCAATGAGTTCGGCGTCGCCTGTCGACAAAAGCTCATCGTACAAGCTTCTATGTTGTGTAAACTTGTGATACAACGCCTCGTCCATCTAAATAAGCGCATCCACACGGATGTCAGATGTCCTCTCGTTCTGTAAAGGTTAAGGAGCATCACGGACCTTCCGAATGTTGACGTTCATCCAGTCACTTCGAACTTCCGGTTGAAATCGTCGGGCCTCCGAGAAAACCACACTTGGGTGATCAGAACATGTTCGAATGTGCTCCGCTAAGTTCGGTTTATGTTCAAACTGAAGATATGGTTAGAAACCAGTCTTGTCCGGACCTAAAAACAGAGCAACGTACCTTGAAGGACTGGAAGAGGTGCTCGCTGGTAGGATATCTTTTCCCATTGTAGATTACTTCATGGGGGGAGAAATTTGTGAAGCCATAATGTGGCTCATGCTTATGATAGAATAGGATGGGAGGTTGTTGGATCATTGTCCGAGGTCGAATGTCGTGAGAAGTGGGTGTGTTGGGAGGCGTGTTTCTGGTATACGAGTGTCTAGATGAAGAGCTTAGCTGTTTACGGTGACCATGGCCACTGCGACGATGAAGGCGTTTGGGGGATTCTGCTTTGTCTTCTTGACCACTGAGCACATGATCCAGGCTACGGAATTCGCGCTCCTCGAGCGACTTTGTCCGGCGGCGAGCATTCATGTCTTCAGAATCGTCTACCTCTCCCTCTGAAATTTCCGCGAGCTTAAACAGCTCGGTCACCGTATGAGGATCAGGAGGTGCGTTAGAGGTGACGTATATAGTCCTTCGTCTCTCTTCAACTCGGTATTGAATAGGATTCTCGTCTACCTGATCAATGGTGTAGACAGGCTGTGAGGTGTAGACCTCCTCTGAAGTGATGATAGGTATGGCTGTTTGCGGTGTGGTGGGAGTAGAGGTAGTAGTAGACATGTTTACTACGGGGCAGTATCCTGTCGACAAGATGCGATAGCGTGCAAGAGATTCAGGCTTACCTCTTCCGTCCATCCAGCTATTAGTATAGTGACGATCTTTGTTGTGCTCTGGCGTCATGTGGGACTAACTGTGGTCAAATCAGTTAGAAAAGCAGGGTCCTACGCCAGTTGCCATTCGGTAAGGGCGTGTAGCTGAAGGCAGTGTGCTATCCCAGTCAATACCCGAGCTGAATGCATCACACGTTTCGTAGTCTAGACAGACCAGTAATTTTGCAACGTACTGGATTCCTCGTTTCCGAGACTGAGATCTAACCACTTGTGATACGGAGAAATACCTAAAAAGGATGTATAAACCGTTGATAATCTTGCTGACTCATCTTCAGGAAGGGCAGTCTTGGGACGTTCACCTTCAAAGCTTCATTAACATTTCGACTATGACAATGACGCGGTCACTTTCTCTTCGCTATCGACTGTTCCGATTGCCATCATCTGGAAGCGCTATGAGATTGACTTTGAAAATATTATAGGGACTTGCAATGAACAGGCTTGCAATATACCGTCAAGTTCAGCATGTTGGCCTTAAGGTAAATATCGACAATTGACACTGCCTTCGCACGAGATGCATGGATACAACGGAATGTTCGTTCCCCTGTCTTTTCCCAATCTCATGCGGATATAAATTATGGACTGTGAATCGCCATGATACGCTTTAAATCAATCTATGGACGAATTCTGTCTTGAACATCCAACCAACGTCGATCGATGCTCGCGTCACGCTCGATTGGTTCTTGTGGATGAGGCCAGCCCTCGTTACGCACAGGGTAAGTCGTGTCAATCTTGTCTCTACAGCGGTACTTGGGAAGTGACCATTCTTTTTAGTCCGCGAGCTCTTTCAGAATGGCTGGCGACATCCTGAGAAACCTGTACCTTCTTTACGCGCTATCTATAAAGTTGTCGCTCCAGAGTCGAAGATCGCTCCTTTCCTTAAGTATCAGTAAGTCTTATATCAGAGAACCTCTGGTTACGGCTCATGATTTTGTCAGATCCTCCGTAATGACAACTTCCTGGTGGAGTCCATTTATACGGGCCGGCACTGAAGCATTACTTTTCCATGGTACCAATAGAGCATGCCTACTGGGCGAAACGCCTAACAATTTGAAGCCATGCAAGTTGCCGAAATGCTGTCTTTGCTCAATTATCCGCGAGTCCTTCGATGTTCAAAAGTGCGGTAATAAGCATAAGTTCAGTCGGTAAGAGTCATGTTCTCGCAGTCAGGCCGGTCTAACCTGCAATCAGCTTTGGAAAGGGTATCTACACTAGTTCATGCTCTTCGAGTACGTTAACTTGATATCTGGATACGCTGTTCCTGACCTCCCTTGCAGAAGCGGACGACTACGCTAAGAGCACCGCTCGGAAGGCGAAGTATCAAGTTCTACTCCTGAACCGCGTTGCTCTCGGCAAAACGTATAAACTGCAAAGAAACGCTGATCATCTTACGTCGCCTCCACCTGGCTATCATTCCGTGTTCGGAGTGCCCGGGGTCGAGCTAAACTACGAGGAGACTGTCGTATATTCAAACGACGCCATTCGCCCAGGATATCTCATTGTGTATGGTGATCCACCAGATGCACATGAAGACGGAGTAGCAGAATCTCTACGCAGATTCTTCAGGACTCTGTTGGTGTCCTAGTCTGCTGCTGCTATTACCCTTGTACAATGGACACTAATATATTCGATAAGTCATTGACAACAGCGGATGAGATGTTCTCATACTAGCTTAAATATGTCTGCTGCGAGACGGTTTCAAATAAAGGAGTGTCGGATACTAATAACTTCATTTGTAGAGGAGAACATATCTGGGAACGATAGCCTCCGCACTAGCCACAAACACCCTCTCGCCATCGTCAACTTGCTCTGGGCCATTCACCGACGGTATGGAAACGTCGCAAGCTATCATCGCTCGGTAGGGCGAAGTGGTTGTTGACGTCGCATGGATATCGGCTAGGGCAGGATCCAGGTATGAGTAAATTCCGTTGCCATACCTGTTTCTCACTCGTTAACATGTTCAAGGATGATGCAAGTATTTGTGACTTGCCTTCCGGTGTTGCACTGAACCCCAAATGCAAATTCGCGGAATGCTGACTTCAGCACTTTGCATGTCCCACATGATCCCCAGCTACAGAATGTCATATTATTGACGCCAAGGTCGCAGATACACTGAGCGGCATGATAGGTGCGGATATCCCGCAGGTACGCTGTCGTATCCAGTTTCATTCTATTCGAGAAGTGAGAAAGGAATATTTAACGGCTAGCTGAATGTGCGACGAACCGATATGCGTTGAAACGCGACGTCACAGACGAAGGAAGAGACACCTCCAGGATCTTCTCGATGACTGGAGCACGTTTGCTCCCCTTCCATTCATATCCGAACTGGGACACGACTGTAACATGAAGTTCATTCAGGTGAGTTTCAACGCCGATTTGATTCATATGCCCCACATACTACTCTTGAACGTAACGCCATTCGGGTCTAGTTCACGCAGTCGAGGTCCAGCCCGATTGCGCTTGTCGCATGTGGTACACAAGGGACCAACGGAGGCAGCTTGTGTCCTACACTGCGCACATCCTGCTATCTGCCCGCGTCGAACGGCATCACTAGAATGAATCTAAGTCAGCTTTCGTTCGTACCATCTGGAAATTAATGTTTCCTACTTGGCGTGCACTTCGGAGCAGAAACCTGCATATCCAACTTTGGCCGGAAGGCGACATCCCCTGGATGCACATTGTGATGTCGAGATAGGCTGAGGATTTCGGACACGAGCGCAGGTCTTGCTACAATACGGGTGTTGGAATCCGTTGTCAACGTATTTCTGCTTCTTCCCGCACACCTTCGACCATGAATATAAAGGTGAGCTTCCCAATCCTATTGCAAGCCATAGACGGTTTGAACATACCTCGCACATGTCGTTCTGGCCAGCAGTCGGACTTGTCTTCTGATTTCCCCAGTGAATAGCGGACTTGAGTGATGTGTACATTGTGGGCGTAAAGAGAGAGCAAAAACGTTGATCGGTTCCGCTCTTCATGTACTCTGCGATCCACGCCAAAGCCTCATTGTCAAATGTGGCGATACAAAACTGGCGAGTCCACAATTTTCTTTGATCTTATTGACAAAGCTTTGCCACAGTCGTGTTGTCATCGTGATGTCTATAAAGCCTGCCACATTCCTGCCACCCGCATTCCAAACACATTTCCTCATCAATCTGCAGTTCCCGGAGAGCCGTAGCTTCTAACTTCTTTCCTCTTCTTCTTAGTGACTTGATATCGAGGATCCATGAGTGCCTTGTCAAGCCTATCCTACCTTGCCGGTATGATTTCGCAGAATACTCCCCCTACCAAGGGCAAGAACCCACCCAAGAGGTCGGCCACTGTCAATGGAACCTCTAATGTGAACAAGTCGTTGCCTCAGCCTCAAAGTCAGGTGGTCCCTGTCGGCATTCCTGCGACCTCCGCTTCTCATACAACATCCGTCAACGCTACTCCATCGTCCAGTCCCCCTACCGGCAGTGTGAACAACCTCTGCGAGGTAATGTCTTTACGATTCGTTGTTGACGTGTATTCTGACGCGTTCCTTAGGTTTGCCACATCCGCCCGAAGTTTGTCGATGGTTCGAAGACACATCCGTACTGTGGTCGAACTTGTGCTTCAAAGGCTACCCCATCCCCCGGAAATTGCGAGGTGACTTATCTTCTCAATCTAAGCACTTTGAATGCGAACGTGGTTTAACGTTTTATGGTTAGTTTTGCCATGCACGCCCAAAGCGATTCGATGGAACTCGATTGCACCCGTACTGCAGCAAGTCATGCGCAATCAATGCAGAAGCTGCAACCAGGCAGGCATCTCTGCACATTCCACCGCATGGTACGTTTTTACGGCTCCTACGTCATATATTCGTTTTAACATGCCTGCATAGGAATTTGTCATATTCCTGGCTGTTCAAAGCCAGTCTATAGGTCCAATGGTCATGCCAGCAAGTACTGCAGTCTAGCTCACAAATCGTAAGTCGTTCGTTTGAGATGCCGTGGCTTATCCTAAACCTCGCTTCTTTGCAGCCTTGCCGAAAACTCGTGCATCTGGTGCCGCAAGGCTCCCAAACAAGGTGATAAGCACTTCTGTGGCCTGGCCTGCTCGGACGAAGCTCGAAAGAAAGGACCCATCATCGTCGAGATCCCCGACGACCACGTTACGTTCCAGGGTGGTAAGTATTCCTTTGTTTGTATGAAAGAAATACGGTCTAATCCAAATAAATCAGTTGAATCTCAGTTCAAGTCTTCATGGCGGCATGATGATAAAGTTTGCCCTACCGTTCGTCGTATATACAAGATCATCCCCGAGCAATCTTCCTTGGACAAGTATGACGCTTATCGGTATGTTTATTCACTTATGTAGTGTCGGGATCACCGAAACTTATTCTTCTGGCTTTACCAGTGATGCTGTTGAGGCTCGCGGCCAGTTCGTTCAGGACGGCCGCTCTGCTGGCAACGAAAATCGGCGATGGCATGGCACCACTCGGGATTGTCATCTGGGCGACAGAGGCCATACTCAATTTTGCTCATCGTCCAAGTGCTCGTTGTGCAGCATCATGAAGACATCGTACAAATTGAACCTGTGGGGTAAGAAGACTGGGTGGGGCAGGTATGGAATAACATAAGAATTTTCGTGAATACATTGCTGATTTACGTGGTAGGTTTGGAGCCGGAATCTATACCTCATCCACGTCATCGAAGTCGAATGATTACTCCTCAAACACGGACCCGAACGCACCACTCAAAGCCATCATCCTCAACAAGGTCGTTGTAGGCAAGGGCTACAAGATGACACGTGATAATACGAGTCTTACCGCGCCCCCCGCTGGTTTTGATTCGGTATGTGCTATTCTCTACAATGGACGGCGCTTTCTGAACTTTCTTGATTCGATAGGTTCTTGCTGAGAAAGGATCTCGTCTCAATCATGACGAGCTTGTGGTCTACACCAATGATGCTATTCGACCTTCGTATCTGGTCATGTACGACGCTCTATAAGTCCAAACTACTCGGTCTCAAGTTCCTTGCCCTCACTCTCGACCTCGTTCAAGTTATTCTTTTACTTATTCTATCACGCCCAACTCATCAACCCTCATTCATTCCTCCTATCACCCACATAATTTATTACTATGCATTACTTAGTTAATTTATGGCAAGGGGGCTCTTGTCATAGTCTGTTATACTTAGAAGTAGACGTCTGGTACTCAGTGATCAATGAGAATGTTATTCGAAGTGACATTATAAATCATCTTTCAATTTTGTATGCATGCGTGCGCTAACAAACGAATAAAAGGGTCAGACTCGGAATAGCGCCCAACACACCTTGATTCGGACATTATTCCTCTCGGACAGATTTAACTTTTGAAGGTTCCGCAGTGAATTGTTCTCAACTCTCACCGTCACAATTGTCAGCTTATTCAATGTCTTCAAGCTATATCCAACTCATACAAACAAGTATACCCAAGGAATATTCTAATCAATTGGGTTCTTTACCAAGTTCTACCTGCGGTCTCTTCGATCATGTCCTCCGGTTTGCGCTGGGCGGAGACTGTCCTGAGGACGCGTCTTCGGAAACTAGGACACAATGGAAGGAGCGACAATCTATGCTAGAGAAGTTAAAGAAGAAAAGACCACGAGAGGATGGGGAGGAGCGCGATGCAAAACGTGCGAGGACCGATGAGCCAGCATTGTATTCGTTACACAACATCCCCGTAACGTCCCCCATTCGAAAACGCGTCCATGTTTCTATTCACAAGTCTTCTTTGTCCTTCATCCATCCTACCAGTGGCAATGTAGAGTCCAGTATTTCGCTGTCCTCACTTAGTCGCGTCTTCCTACTGCCAACGCGCGGAAAGGCTAAGCCACACTGGACAGTAGTTCTTCTATCTCCAGATACTCAAGTCATCTTTGGGATTGACGCGACACCTCCGCCATTCGAAACAACTGATGAGAAGGGCACTACGACAAAACATCCCAAGAGCACACCGATCATCCCTCATCTACGCACCTTCCTCTCACACCTTCCTTTTCCAACTCTCGAACCTAACCTCAATGTTTTCAAAAGTGCTCTCGGAGCCACCTCTGGTACCGAAGGCTACCGTGGTGCGAAGCCAGGCACACTATGGTTCTTACAAGAAGGCGTCCTTTGGGATACTTCGAAGACATGCGAGTTCTGGGACATGCGTGACATTGCCTCAGATGGTGTACGCACTATCAGTGCTACGGGACGCAGTTGTTCGGTTATTCTCACAAGAAAAGATGCAGAACAGGCCGTAGACATCCAGATGGTCGACGGGAAGGAGCAAGAACCGATCGCACGATGGGTGAAGGCACATCAGCACCGGTTTGGAAAATCAGACGATCCTGGTGAAGCTCCGCCAGAAGATTCAGACGAGGAGGACGAAGACTTTGTGCTTCACAGTAGTGATGACGACGGGGGATCCGCGACAAGTGATAGTGACGAGAATGAGGACAACGGCAGAGCGAACGGCGATGAGGAAGAGGAGGCCGAGGAATCTGGTGAGGATGAGGATGAGGTAGAAGAGCTTGATCCTGCGAGACATCCTCTGCTCAGACCGGGTGCCATGCCTAAGATGTCCCGCGCCGCTCTAGAGGCAGCGATTGGGATTGTACAGGACGAGTTCATTGGTGGACCTGTAGATGGGAGCGATGGCGAGGAAGAGGGAGAAGAGGATGAGCTGGAGGATTGATTAATCCACCATACCACGTATGTGTTGTTATAGAACGCATTGAGGGTTGAGCCTGGCTGACCAATCTTCCTATCCTGCATTGTAGAGCGGTGTTCCTAGTTCCAGTGTAGATTACGTTGTTGGCATGAATGTCAAATGTCAGCTTGGCTGGTTCGTCCGTCGAATTGATGATCAGCATCTCTGGAAGCTGACAACTCACCTGAGGGCACTTGCATCTGTCAGATTTCATGCTTTGCGATAGGTGAATGCGAAATTTCGGCATCCTGGTTCTCTCTAAATTGGCACATCGCACTCGCGCTTCGGTCGACAACCAAGTTAGAACCTCCCCCTGCCCAGGTTTCTGCGCTTCTCAAATATGCATGCAGGGCATCGCTTCCCAATCGCCCGAACGTGCCTGCAGGCGACTGCAACCTTGAAGTATGTAAGTCACGTTGTTCGCTAAGCATTAATATTATTCTATTATCATCAGATCCTTATTCTTGCACCCGGGCGAATACCAACGCAAGTCCGTGAAACATGCAGGTAAAAGATTAGGATGCAGTTGAAGGGGTAAACGGTCTCTCTCAATTATCGCCGACTCCTTGAGTAGGCGAGATTAATACTGTCAGGCAGCCCCCGACACAAATCAAGTATATATGAAGGACATGCTGAAGCCGCACAGACCTTAGCTCGTACCCGTCCGCAACACGCCGCACCTGCACATTAATTTCAGCATTCGCTAGTGGGAAGGATCCGTTGAATGCGGACCCAGAAAGTCCACGTCCACTGCACTCGGAGGAACCTAAGCGCTTCGTCAGGAGAGTTGAAGGGATCGAGGTACTCGTTTTTACGAGATCAAACTGTTCAACGACACCGGAGGATACCTTATCGCTCGTCAGTCAAGTGGTGCAGGGTATAGATACCGTTTGTAAGATTTTTCACCTACATAATAAAAGTAGAGTAGGGCGCGTCGGTAGATTTTGGACAAGTACGATGCCTATTCGATATTCAGCATTCGTGCATTGATAAGTGGATGCAACTACGGAGGCTCGCAGACAACCTCTGTATAATATATTATTATCCGAAGCAAGGAGCGAAAACGCTTCATGCAAGAGTCCGTCATACGATACCCAATGCCCAAAATATCAATAGCAGGGTCCAATCGCTATCATCAAAACCTTCTCGTACTGGGCCTCCGGTAGTTCCGCCAAAGCAACCAAGTAAGCGCGAACATGCTTGCAGTGAGGACAAGCCTGTGATCATGAATAGTTAGCAAAGGTAATTTAAAACCGCGCGCGTTCATTGTCAACAACTCACATCTCGATTATCGCCACCCCTTGAACATTAAGCGTTAAAAAATGATGTCAGACCATGATAAAGACTAAAATGATAAAAACGAAGAACTAAGAACTCACCGAAATCAGCTCGTACCTGTCCACAGTACACTGCTCCAGCACAGGGATCATCGGCATCCGCAAGCGGGAGCGACTGGTTGAGCACTGCAACACAGGCCACCCAGAAACACCAGGTCGCTAGTGTCCAAAGAGCTTGAGAGCCTATGGATGCTACTGGGTGATTTGAAAGTGCTGGGTGAGCGAAGAGAACCAGATATGCAGTCGAGCAGAGAAGAGTCCAGATCGCCGTGAACCTAGAAGTAAATGTCAGGATACGGTCATTTGGAAATGGCGACAGTGTGTTACTGACAGGGACAGTCGAATACCGTCTCGCGTTCCAACGTTGGGAAATGAACGGGTATGTGCGTATTGTGCGAGTAGCCACATCGAGATCGAGGCCTATTCAAATTCAACTGTCATTCCACATAACGATTCAACCCACAAGAGCAACACCACACGTACCTCGACCAAGCAGCTTGAGATAAGGAAAACATAGACGACTGACAGAAAAGAACGCGCCACAAAATGAGATCATAAATGACCACTGCGGAGTTATAGCGGAGAAACTCACGAGGAATAAACTTCTGAAATTTCACACCGGGGACTTTATTCAGATCCTTAGGATGATGCTCTGAATAGCGATATAAAAAGTATAACGCGACGGAATATCCCATGGAAAGTGCCAGGATAGCGACTACGATCCCACCTGTGATCCCGGCACTGGTATCAGGACCGTCGGTCGCGTGGAAAGAGGAAGAAGTGGAATCATCAGTAGAGTTGAGAGGGGGTGAAACGACGACCATGCTGAACGATGTGTGCTAGCAAATGACCCTCGAGCGGAGGGGAGATACGCAGAAAGGGGTAGAGCCAGTCTTGAGTTGCTGAGGCAGACAAGTTTGGATGGCAGCCATGTTTTTGTACCTCGGTACCTATTTTGAAGAAGACATGAGGTCGAGGCATGTTGAGAGAGATCACCTTCAAATGGTGAGAAAGTAGACACTGGCCACGTTCTTCACGGCCCAAGGCGAATCAGAATGTATCAGTATGAATCCTGGTACTCAAAAGTTGAAGTTTCAGTCTAGGGCGTGTACTCCGCGGCGGACACTTCGTCATCCACGGTCAAAACACTGGAGAAGAGAGGAGAGATCCGACGAAAGGAAATATGCAGTGAGAGAGGAACCGATTTTCAGCATGGTTAGAGCCATAATCGACATGCGAGAATAAACCTGTAAGTGCGTAGAAAACATAATGATCGATCACTGCATAGCACCGCGTTTCTCCTCCCCACACCTCATCAGCATCAACGTCTATTCCTAAAGCACCGACAACGCAAAAAATAGCTCCTTTAGGGTGCGAAAAGAGTCTTCAGGAAGGCATCGCCAGCGGAGTGCTCCTTGGCCTTCTTGGCAGTCGCCTTCTTCGCCTTGATGCGCTCCTGCTTGACTGTAAAGCAAAGACACATGAGACGAGATAACGGGATAGAGAAAGAATCAAGCCGACGTACGGAGTTCCTGCCTGCGGGAGGTTTTGGCGTAAGGGTTCAAGCGGAAGAGAACGCCCTTGTTGCGGAGGGGATTCTTGTGTTGCGTCCAGGGGCGCTTTTGGATCTTACTGCCGGCGGGACGAACGACGGATTGAATCTCATCAGAGTTGATGAGCCGAGTGACGTCGGGGTTGCTGATCTTAGCAGTAGGAAGACTGGAAGGAAGACGCAATCAACGATCAGAATCCAACCCAAGTAAAGATATTTATGCGATATGAAATCAAGACATACACGTAGTTCTTCTTGTAGACAGCAGGCTTGTCGAAGGTGCCGAAGACCTCATCGAGCAAGCCGAAAGCACCCTCAGTCCAGATGACGAAACGGCCAAGGTGACCACCAGGCGCGAGCTGAAGAAGGTTGAGTCTTCGGACGTTGACGAGCTCAACACCAGGCAAGTTCCTGAACGCCTTCACGATACCATTGTCCTCATTGTACACAACGAGAGGACCACGGCGCTGACGGTGACGACGGTTGCGCAGTTTTCCCTTACCAGCGCGCAACTTGCGGCTGTTGGACACCTTCACGACGTCAGCGTATGCGTTGAGGGTCTTGAGAAGGGCGACGGCCTCCTTGGTCTTCTTGAAGGACTCAACAGAAGAGCCGACGACGAGGGGGACTTCCTCGATTTGCTCGATGCGGTGACCACGAGCGAGAACGAGAGAGGGCAGGGCGGAAGCGGCGAGGGCAGAAACGACGGCAAAACGGCGCTGGTTCTGGTTCACCTTGACATGCCACTTGCGCCAGACCTTGGTAGGGGCGAACATGCGACCACCACGGCACATGTTACCGAAAGCAGCCTGAAAGGATGCAACAATTTAGTCCACGTTGTTGCTTAACATCGTAAGACAAGTTTTGCGCACCTGTCCGGAACGGTGAGTTCCTCCACCACCGACACGGGGGATACGAGCAACGGCACGACCGGTACCCCAAGACTCTGCGCTAGTCTGGTGGCCGGCCTTGACATTGACGGCGTAAGCCTGTCGCTTGTTCTTCGCGATGCTCTCTAAAGCACAAATTCATTATTTCGTATTCCTATTCACAATGCAATTGACATCAGTACTCACTGTGAACTTGCTGGACCACATCCAACCTAATCGGAGCCGTCAACACGGCAGGCAGAGGCAAAGAGGTCGAAGCCTCTACAACACCCAAAAAAGAGAACCATCAGCATTCATTCAACTCGTTCTGTCTCCTAACGTCGTGTGCTTACCCCCTGAGGTCGAGCGAACGTTGACGGTGGGTCGGGAGGCCATGGTCTTGATAGTCTTGAGGTTGTCGGGTGCGATGCGCACTTTTGTGGATTCTACTACACACAATTAAAGTTTGCTAGCTTCGACAGGATTCAGACTCAGATTGATGCCAGCTCGGCTCCATCCGACCATGTGGCTGTCTCTTTTCTGAGCGTCTCCGTCGTCATGAGGTTCCTTGTGAATTCGATTTTGGTGACGCTGTAGTCCTATCATATGCTGCACATCCACTAAGGATATTCTACGCGTACCTGGTCTTCAAAGTGTCTTCGAATTCCGAATTCCTGCTGGACCTTTGTCATCGCTATCGCTACAAACTCTTAGAACGTGACGCACTTACGAAGCAAGCTTGCCTTACAGAGAAACCGTCGTGACCTGAATATTCGGAATACCCAATAATCCATAGGTTTCTACCCCAGCGCCTAGACCGTTATGATAGCAAGAACTCAAGTGACCATCGATTCCTTATGAGCTTGAGGGAGGCCCCTGACCAATGCCCATGCTCCTGTAGCCCTAGTGCCGGGCTTATCCCTGAATATTGCATCTGGGCCTCCCGTGTTGTTTTCCGAATGCCTGAATTCCGAATAGCCAGATAGGGATATAAGACGCATTGAGCGGGTTCGGGGCATCTCCCCCGGCTTTTCGTCCTTTTCCATTACAACCACCTACGTTCCTACACACTCAATAGTCACCACGCTCCTGAACTACTTGCAAGTTCTTCGATCGTAATCGTACCTCGTAAGCGGCGTTTGATCCCTTGTCTATCACCTGGAAGGTCCATCTGACCATATATATGCGCGAACATTTGAATGTCAACCTTTACGGTACTCCCTCGATACACCACACACGCCCTTACCCCTGACCGCCCTGCCCCTGCTGACGATTTGACCTGACGTCTACGCTTCGATCATCATACGCTTCACACTTCAAACTCTGGGATTTCCAAGAAAAGAGAAACCGACACTGCCATGGCTGCTTTTGAACAAGTTACTCCTGTCGATGCCTGCTTCCTCGTCAAGTGTGAGAAGTGCGGAAAGACAACCTGGAAGGTATGTCAGGGTCTTCAGTTTTATATTGTTGTTCGCTTCTTCCCATCCAGAATGCGGCTGGAAGCTTCACTTGCTCTGCTCTGCTCCGCCGACATTTCCTTTTTATACTCTACTCCCGCGATGATTGCATGCTCTGAGGATCTCACGCTGTATCGTCGATGCATCTCCGGAGTAATATTATCTACCGTCGGCGACGGATAACACGTTCATGTGAGGCAGGGACAAATGAAAAGGGGCTTGTTGTCGTTGTCGTCGTTGCTGTGCAGAGCAGGACACTATTTGCACCCTAGTCTCGAACTCAAGTTTTACGCTAACACGATCACATATGCGATTCATTTTCCCACTTCCCCTCCCTCGTGATTCTTTTTGCCATCTGCCATCTTTACGTGTGAACATGGGGTACTGACGATTACGTTTCTCTGTCTGCTTGTTTCTAGGGTTGTGGCATGCACGTCGATTCGGTGAGTAGAACAAGAATTTGAATCATGACCCCCCTTCCCTACCTCTTGCCAAGAACTTCGTTTCTATCCATATCCACCCCTTCGTTTTCCTTTCGCTGTCTTGGCTGTGAATGGGCTTCTCAGCCTTTCAGCCACAATCAGCCCCACATACTCACCTCTCATGCTCTTCGCATTGTTCTCTTCCCATGGTATCCTTGCTTCCAGCAACGAGAACCGGTTTAGAAGGAGCAGAAGAACAAAAATGAGGCTGACGATCTATCAAGGATCATTGAAACTCCTGCTGGAATCCATTGCCGTCGGGTTCAGTTCGTCTTATTCAGGTCGCGTTGCTTCTGATGGATGGATTCGATGGCTGGGGTAGGTCTATCGGTGCATCCGAGACATTGGGTCATTGAGTCCATTTGGAGACTTTCGTCCCTGTTTGTCTCGTTCCCGTAGTCACCAGCCCACGCAGAGAGTTGCCGCATGCTGGTTTATTGTGCAACCATGAATCCGGGGTTGGATGAAATGGCCTGAGGAAGAGTGCTAACTGCGGGGGTTGCTTTCTGATGCTGGCATGCGTTGTCGAGGGCCGCTTGGTGCCATCATTCGAGCGTGGGCTCATACGCTTGTATTGGATTTCGCACCACCATCTGAAGAGTCATTTTACTCATTCGGTTCGTTCGTCTATCATGTTGCAGGTGATGAAAGACGTCAAGGAAGAAGACAAGTGCACATGCCCGCGCTGAAGAGAGATGTTCGGTGTAGGAAGCTTGGCCGAGGTTGACGAAGTATAGCTTGTAATTATAACGAATACTGGCAGAGAAATGAATGTTATGCGGCGTTGGTCGTATGTTTGAATGGAGTGACACATGGAGTTGACTAGAAAGGGGTCAATTATGAGAGATCGACCACGCAAGATCTATCAGCAGGGGAATAGGCGCCCGGTGGACCCACTCCAAGAGAGGCAGGCGGGGCCCAGGAAAGACTCAGAGCCTGACTTCAGCCGCCCTCCTCATACTCTATCCTCTCTGCCCGCCCTTGCTTTCTACCTCCTTCTCCTTCTCCTCCCCCATCATACGCGTCGGCTGAGCTGGCTTGGTCCCACCCTATCCTCACCCCCTCCATTCCCCGCTTGCTAGTCACGCTTAGTTGGCGCGACGGCGACAGCGAAGACAGCAACGACCACAAGCCGGGGGCTATCACCACTAACTCTATATACATGTCAGCGAGTAACCACCCTCCACTGGCTGTTGGTTCCCACCGCCACAGTCAGATTCAAAGGCAGGGTGATGCCAGCGCGAGTACAAGCAATACTCTGTCCAGTGCTGCTGCTGCGGCACGACGCGAACGTGAACATGTCCTTGAGACCAGCACCATCAAGCATCGTTCCAAGACAGACGAGGGACGGTGGATCAATACGTACTTGATCAAGAAGCAGCTGGGAAAGGGTCAACATGGGGACGTTTACTTGGCGTATGACCATAGAGATCCAGAGCATCCTCAACCAGTGGTATGTCCTTTGCCATTCTCGGTGCATTGATTGCATTTCGTTGATGCTGGTGATGTGCGTCTTGTAGGCTGTCAAACAGATGCGGCGCAAAAACAAGCAGGACAAATACAACAACCTTAGGCGGTCTCCGCTTCCTTCGTCTCCTCATACAGGTCTTGCAGACCATGTCAGTGCTACAGAGTACAAGATACGCAAGGAGATTGCGATCATGAAGAAAATCAACCACCCTCATGTTGTCAGGCTCTTAGAAGTCATTGACGATAGGATGGACGAAAGAATCTACATGGGTGCGTTTAATTCGATGTGCATCTCACCTTCATGTTCTGTTCGGGGTGTATACTCGATGTCTGTGTACTTATGCTTCCCATAGTCATGGAATACCTTGGTGGCGGCGAGATCAAATGGCGGACTACAGACAATGAGCCCGCGCTGCGAGTAGACCAAGTACGGCGGATATGTCGAGATGTCATCCTCGGCCTAGAATATCGTAAGCATACACTATCCCTATTCTATCCATCTGTCTTCCCCTCCTAATGAAACACTCCCCACGCCTTCTGCAGTGCATAAACAAGGTATCATTCACCGCGACATCAAACCTGCCAACCTCCTCTGGACGGAAGACAGACGCATGGTGAAGATTGCCGACTTCGGCGTGTCACATTACTCTTACGCCCTACATTCATCTCATGATGGCACCATTCCACCCGAAGAAGATCCCCTGCTCAAGGATGACTCGGGCTTGACAAGGTTCGCAGGCACACCGATGTTCCTCGCTCCAGAGATCGTCGAAGGCAATATAGGTTCTACGGGTGATGGTGTAAATGGTGCCGACGGCGCCGAATCTAGCAGTACTCTGAACCAACAACCTCCGGCAACGACTTCTCTTCCTCAACTCCCTTCACCATCAGAGTCCGGGACGGTCACGCCGGCCCCTCCTCGCAAGTCCAATATCACAAAGGCAATTGATGTCTGGGCGTTTGGCGTGACACTGTATGGCTTGCTGTTTGGCAAGATGCCGTTCATGGTAGAGGGTGGAACTGAGTTCCAGATTTATCATGCCATTCGGAATCTGGATTGGAACGTGCCTGAGACCATGGGGTCTGACAGGATCCCAGTCGGTGGAAGGAGGCAGAGGAAACCTAGAAAGGGAGAAGAGACGGAGGGATATCTTGTTGTGGATTTGTTGGAGAAGCTGCTAGAGAAAGACGCTAATAAGCGGATTACATTGGAAGGGATCAAGGTCGGACCTTTTTTCTATTTCCCCCAAAAGGGTCGGAACTGTAAGCTAACATGAAACCCTTTTTTGTATTCGTGGTTTGTAGAAGCATCCTTGGATCCTACGAGACATGTCCGAAGCTGATGCCCAGAACTGGGTGTCTGGCACTCGTAAAGAGGAGCCTGGCGCGCGTACACCCACAGAAGACGAGACCAGGGGTGCTGTCACCAAGATCATCTTCTCTTACATCGAGAAGGGCAAACGTATATTTCGTCTCCTTCGTCCGCCGCGTCCGAACCCGTCAGCCGCGTCCCGTCGCATGAACTCTCCTCGGCGAAGTCGATCTCGCAAAGGCAAGGAAGTAGGGGTGCAAAGTGCCCCTTCCATGGGATTGCATCGACATCGCAGTAGTGCAGAGGTCATTGCGAGGGAACGACAAAAGAAGGATAGACTGCTGAGGGCGCAGGTTTCAAAGGCTCAGCTTAGGAAAGTTCAAACCCCACCGCCGATTGATATTGGGACGTCAAGTAGTCGGAGTATTGCCACCACGAAGTCGGCCAAGTCTTCAACAACTCAGGGCTCACAATTTGAAGCCTTTCCGATGTGGAACGATGGCGGTTCGCGGAAAAATCGACGTGGATCTGTGACGAGTCGAGGGACCTTGGATTCATTGCAAGTTCCTTCCTCTTCACTTTCGCGGTCTCGTTTGGCTTCGCCACAACCTCTAACGCCGAACAGTCTTACAGCAGGCTCAGCTTCATCAAGCCAAGTCCCTAGTCCAATAAGTTATGATGTGTCTCCTCAATCAACACCTATAGAGGAACGTCCCAGAAGTCGTGCGTCCATCTCGAGCATGTTTAGCTGGCTCCGACTCAATCGCTCATCCACATTTTTTGGTCCTTCCCCTCAAGGTGCCGAAAGCGAAGCTGAAGCCGAAGCCAGCTCGGCCACACTCCCCGTTCCGGTCTCCAATTCCTCTCCTTTTAGACACTCCCATGATGTCAGACATTCAATTTCACTGTCACAACGACGAAGCGCGGATGTGTTTGGTGGTGGGGGCGTTGGAAATGGGAGAGCTTATTCGAGACAGAGTAGTGGAAGTGACGGTCTAGCTCTAGCGGTACGTGCGTCCAGTTGGGGAGAGTTTGAGGAGTACGCGAGGCCGTCGGAAGATCATACAAGTCTGTACTCGGAAGGAGTGGATAACGAGACGTATCTCGTGGGTGCTGGTGGCGTCGCACGCTCGCCGGTTTCTTCGTTACCTACCAGCGGAGCCCTCAGCCGAGTGTCATCAAGCATCTCGTTAGGCCCTTCTGCTTTGTCGGCTGCACAGATGCTCCTTCATAGGAGTGACCGGGAAGGCGGCGACTTACCCTCTGCTCCTGATCCTGCGAGTCAAGATCCTAGCATTCTTCAACGACAAGGACAATATCGTTCTCCTGGGCATTCTTCAGTTACCAGCCCGTTGTCACGGCCTTTGTATTCTCGCGGCGATTCAGGTTATTCGGACCAGCAGTCTCTTGCTTACCCGTCGGTGTTCGATGAAGACGACGAAGGATCGAGTTTGAATCACTCTGGTCAGGAGACACCTTTGGAAACGGCGTTCCAACCGAGTACGAGTCAGTTGTACCAGGAGGAAGATGAGGAGAGCTCTGATGATAGTGAGGAGAACTTCCCGTTGGAGGTGAAGACACGAAGACCATCTGTGACTATGTCAGAAGCTTCATCCCCGCCACCTCGTCGTCGACGGTCCGAGTCGAGATCGACGATGGCGCCGCCAGCGCCGCCACCTAGGATGAGTAGTGAACGTTCGGAACGGAGCGAGCGGACAGTGGTTTGTTCATAGCGAGGCCTTGCGTTCGTCTATCTATCGCGGGCCAATCATTCGATCTGGAAAAAAGGACGGTCTCATGCGTTGATTTATTGTTTTTTCTTCTACTTCTACTTCCTTCTCCGTCCTTCAGCTTCATCGCGCCTCATGATGTCATGTTCTTTTTTCTTACATAGAGAACCTCCCGGACTGACTCCCCTCATCGCATCCCTTATCGCATTCCCTCTATCCCTCATCATCATCCTCATCCTCCTGCTTGCCTCCTTCACTCATAGAAGTTCCATTTCTCTTCACCATTTTGTTGTACAACAGCCACGTTCGGATTCCTTCGTTCACCTTCCCATCTTCCATCCATCCACCCACCGCACCATCAGGTTACCCTATATTCTATACTTCTACCTTGCCTTTTTCTCTCCCCTTACCGTATTTGCGCCTACTCATCTCACCACTCTACATCTTTTTTTCTTACATTCCCACTATTCTCATCAATCAGGCTCAGGCCGACCCTCACCCCCACCCCCACCCTGCTGTAGCAATGTCATCGTAGTCTGGAAATATAGAATTAGTTTTTGCACGGACAGCTGCCGTGCAAGAAAGAGTAAAGTGCTTATGCTGAGTGTTATAAGTTACATGTGTTTGTATTCTAGTAACCTTGATTTTCTACGAGCCCCTAACGACCCCAAGATAAGTACCCTTCAAAAAGGCAAATAATGCGACAAGAATGGCAGACAGCGGGTGTTGTGAACTTTGAATGTTTGGACATGAAAAGACCGTGAAGATAATAAGCATGGTTCACTGAGTAAGTGGAATGCAACGGGTATGTATGCGAGGGAATAAGTCATGGTGATCATTATATGGTAGCATGAAAGAAAATGCATGCAGGAAGATGATAAGAAATAGGCATAGAACGAGTGAAGAGCAGTGGGATCGGAAGGAGCGTGAGTGGCGGCGATAGCCCATAATGATATCCAGAATAAATACGAAGCATATATGCACATATTGTATGTCACATATGAACAGCGATGGATACCACCGCCAGCTCATCGTCATCGTCCTCCAGGTGTACGAACTTCCCAAGAACGTAGGTTTCGACTCTACGTCGGCCAGCCGCGCAACGACCTTGCGGCCTCTCCACCAAGTCGACCAAGGAATCCCCAGACTGCAGAAGTACTATCACCAGGGAACCCCTCACCAGCCGCTTGCAACGTGTTGTAACTCGCCCAAGCGGCACGATCATAGTACGTCACGCCTCCGGGAATGGAATATTGAGGTACAGCAGCTACTGTATGACCGACAATGAACGCAACAGCAGCGGAGGCGCCGAGCACGAAGAGGAACTGGCCGCTGGAAAGCACTGACGAAGGACCATCTTTCTCTCCACTACCATAGACGTAGGTGTTGTAGATATTGTAGAACTTGCTGCGACGATTGCGCGGACGGCCGTCCTTTGAGGGCCGAGGTAAACCTGTACGTGCGGATTCTTCGACGATCTTGTCGATAGCACCGCATTCAATGCCGAGCTCTTCCTTCAGGGCCTTCCACTCTTCAATCGCGTCTTCTGAGATACCACCAGCGACTGGCTCAATGGGCAGCTGCAAGCCTTTGTGCCATTTCTTGAGGGTCTCGTTGGCAACACGAACGGCGAGTTCGTCTTGATCCTGACCTGTGACTTGGTTATACGCGGGAGGGAGGTCATGGGGGTGGGGATGGTCGAGAGTGTGAGCCTTTGGAGTTGGCGGAAGTAATGTAGAAGAAGAGGAAGCAAGTGTTTCATCTTCAGTTTCAGTCTCAATTTGAGTAGAAGACGATTCAGCTTCAAGCTCAGGCTCCGGTTCAGGAGCGTCAGTCTGAATGTCCACATCGGTCCTGATAATCGGCTCGGGAACATGTTCCGGGTCCGTTTGGATAATTATGGAGGTAACAAGACGCTCCTCGGTTTGGACGCTGAACGATTTCGTGATAACTTTCGGCTCCGGGTCCGTTTGAATGTTCATCGAGTGGTTGAACTCAGATATGTCGTGTTGGGTAGTCGCATCCGAGTACTCCTTAACTTCTTCGATGTTGACAGTCTCTACACGTCTTCCCCTAGTGCCAACTCTCTATTAAGAGCATAATGCACCATTAGCCAAGTAAGGCCAAAAGAACGAAGAAAGACGTACCCTCTTGGTCCGAGTAATGATAGTCTGAACGACATCCTCGCTCTCGGTTTCATTTTCCTCACCCAAAATCTCCTCCACGTCATCCTCATCATCCTGATCGCCACCAGCAACTATGTCCTCCTCATCTTCAACCTCACTCGCAGCCCAATCTGGACGCTGCTCCGGTGGCCACTGCATACTTCCCATCAACTCTGCACCCAAGCTCTTACTTACACTACCTCTTATACTTGCCGAACCACTTCCCGGACCATGTCCAGTCGAGCTGTTCCGCATCTCGTCCATATCATATCTCATTCGATCAATGGTCTCCTTGAGCAGCAAGTTCTCTTGCTTCTGCTCGTCTAGTGCTGAGACCGCTTGTTGGGCGAGTTCGAGCTCCTGGTGGAGCGACTCAATCTGGGCTTCATACGTGGCAGCGACACTAGTGAGTTTCTGCACTTCGAGACCGTTGAAGTCTGACTGTTCGCGAACTGCCTTGATTTCTTCATCTCGCCTACGGAGAAGATCACGGTATCGTTCAGACTCGTCTACGAGAAAGTTAGATGGCATCGCGAGAGGAATGGTTGAACACATACGACATTGCTCCTGGTATTGCTTCTGCAGGCTCTGGTACGATGCCCGAGCGTTCTCCAAACTCTTCTGCAACTTCGCAATCTCCGACTCGAGCGCCGAAATTTGGGTCGAGTTGGTTCGCTAAAGAGAAGTCTCAGCGGTGACTCCGAATAGAAAAGGCGAGGAAACAGACCTCCTTTGCACGCAACTCCTTCTCTTCTCTCTTGGTGGCATTCAGTTCATGCTTTGCCGCTTCCAGCTTCGAATGCAGTTCTTCCAGTTCCATTTCGTGATCACTTAACCGCACTTGCAAGGTATTCTCCGCCTCCACTAACTTCTTACCCAAGTCCATGTTTGTCTTCTGCAGTGCATCCACTCTTTCCTGAAGATCGAGTGAGATGGTTGAACTTGCTGCACTTCGACTCATGACTAAACCCAACAGAGAGGACCGAATGGCGTCTTCTTCATCTTCATCTGAGTCAGATTCAGATTTCGTGGGCATGGGTAGTGAAGAAATCCGATCAGCAAAGTTCTCGTCGTCGCTCCCATCAAACGAATCGTCTTCCGGCGGTGGCGAGATCATACCGTTCTGACTATTACTCCTCCCGGTTGATGCCATGGATGAACTGGAGATCGTTTGGTCGTAATCGTAGTCGTAGTCGGGTTCAGGAGAGCTAAATGTCGCAAAGGGGTTATGTGGTTGAGATTGTGTTCGCGAATGTGGTCGGGAAGGTGGCCTGGATGGTGGAGAGAAACTGCTGAAGGAGGTGGAAGGACTAGTTGGATTCGAGGGCGCACGGACGCGGCCGCCTGCGAGTTTAAAGGCTACAGGCGGGGAGGATATGGACTGTGGAGACAACACAGACATTAGTTATTGTTTAAGACAGCACGGATAATTGACTGTGGCAAAGCCACAGATGAGCATATCCAGGGCCACACCGGAGTCATGATGCACATGCGCCATCAGCAAGCATTCTCGATGTCTCATACAGCGTATGTGGCTTTGTGGATGTTCCTGATGTTTCCTCACCACACTTCGAAGGAAACATCAGGAACAGACGCTCATGAGCAGCATAGCGCCCATAGTAGATCTCGCAGGCCAATATTAACATACCTCCGAGTCACTTAGGCCACTCCCAGCATCGCTCTTTCGACGCGCCGGACGTGGCCTAACCCAACTTGATGGTACAGCAGTTTTTAGAGGTGTTGTTCGCTGTCGACTCGAGACGTCGAATGGCGTGTCTGCGTTGGTGGGAGTCTTCGGAGGAACAGGGGGACCACGGGAGGAAGAACGACTAGGAGGTCGACTGCCAGGACGACTTCCAGGGTGCCAAACAGATGTCCCAGTTGAGTCCACACTAGATGAACGCGAATCACTGCGTTCCTCATAGGTACTCAGCTCCTGAGACCTGCCCCTTTGTTGCTCTTCAAATTCCGAGGACTCGTCAGGTGAGGGGGAGGCCGCCGGACTAGTTTTCGTGCCCTCGGCAGCTCGCATAGCTACAAACTGAAGAAGAATTTGGGGAGTAACATCGAGCCCAGGAGTTGTCTTGAGTAGATTGACGAGTTGTTCTTCCTCGTTTGGGGTCATAAGTTTTGCATCGTGATTGATAGAGAATGTGCGCAAAACATCAACGAGGGCGCCAGCAGGAATGATAGGCTCGTTTTCATCGTTGAATGTCGCGTCAGGATGGTCAGAGAACACGTCGTGAAGTTCCTGCTCGAGGTTGGCGATAGATTGCCGGCTTCGACCATAAGTTGGCTATAGACATCGATCAGTACTATTTCCCCTCCAAGTCAAAAACATACCATGCTCATGTTGGTATCATGCAAAAGGGTATCAAGGATAATATACGGAGGATATAGAGCAAGGTATTTGGGGTAAAGAAGGTCGCGGCCAAGGACTGAACACCGTCACTCCGGAATTGTCCTTTGACTATGGCCAAATACACCAAAACAAAAGGCCACATCCACAATCCAAATAACGTTTGTTTATATTTCCTTTGTGTAGTTCTCGGACTATTGTTCGTCGCAGTCCCTTCTACGAACCGGAAGATATGCTAAAGAGCTTTCGATAGTGCGTATTTTAAATATGAAGTGACTGCGATGGGGTCAATTCATCCTGAATCAATGTTGGCGTCCTAGATCTGCCAGTGTGTGGCAATCGTTATCCGTGACTTTCCTGAGGATGTATCATCATCAGGATTGCCTGTTGCATATCTGCAGTTCTTTACGGCTTGTTCGGAGCAAATTCGTCCAGAACAGCTTCGATGTAGTGATGCACCAGGTGTGGCTTATCATGGGTGCACATGAGAGGTTCAAGATGGAAGGGTCTCATAACAGGACTCATCGACGGCTCCTCAGAGTCTGGTCCAAATTTCGAGTTAGATTTGATTCTCCAGATGATCTCATGGCCAACGCCGGGCTATCTTCGCAGGTCACAACAAACCTTACAGATTGACGTATCCATCGTCTAACCAAAAGCAAATACTGCTGTTCATTACCTTCCGTCTGGTATGAACATGATTGCATCGGTTGCTAAGTCCTCAAATCAGTTCCTTGCTCAGGTTGTGTCTATCACCGAGTCTGTTTGTATGCAAGCCCCGTATATGCACACAGGCATTCGGATGACAGATGCTCTTCGATCCTTCGCTCCCTTGTCACCAAAACCTGATGCCATGGACTCTGTGTAGGAAAGGGAATCACTCGATCAGCAGGAATTGCTCCGCCCCAATCAGGAATGTTCCCTATGTTCGTCCTTCTCGCATAGCCCTAGTGAGCATTGGGAAAATCTGACTGCGCGAGACCTTAATTTCGTCTCTGTTCGCGTACAACTTAATCCCCACTCAGTCCAATATCTATGTCTTCAACTGCGAAGATTGACGATGAAAGCCAAGGTGGGGTGAGCTGGACGCGGACTGATATATCCCTTCCGGTCCGCAATGTCATTGCCCATGCATCGCTTCACGATCCCAACTTCGATGCAGATTCGTCTGTCTTCGGTAAGTCCTTTAAGAACTCATCTGGTGACTTTGTTCACTTTTGCCCTGGTTGTCACAGAGGATGACTCGGCATATCCTGAGGTACGATCCGCCGTAGCGAACATAGATGATCCTTCGGTCCCCGTCAACACCCTTCGTTCATGGCTTATTGGGATTATCTGGGCGATGCTTATCCTTGGGTTGAATCAATTTCTTTTCTTCAGATATCCGTCAATCATTGTGTCCGCAATAAGATTGTTTTGGTCGCTTTCTGTTTTCGAGTCTAACCTGAGGTCACGTTGTAGCTCAATTGACTTCGTTTCCAATCGGCCGTTTGTGGGATCGATTCATGCCCAATATCAAGGCTCCGGGCGTATCCCTGAACCCCGGAACTTTCGATGTGAAGGAGCATGTGCTTATTACGATGATGGCGACTGTAGGGTACCAATCAGCATACGCAGTCAGCTAACTTTTGTTTGCGAAAGGTTTTCTCCTCGCATGCTGATGTTCTCCTTATCGGTAACAGAGTCGGTTTATCACGGGAGCGGTTCTTCGTGTACGCGTTTCTCGCTTCCGGTCCGTGGTATGTATTCCCCGGATACCTCTTCCGGGCCCTGAGCTATTTCTCGTGGGTATGCTGGATCGCCCCGAAGAATATCATTGCCAATCAGCTGTTCGGATATATCTCTGGTTTGGGGACGTCTACCGTCACCTTCGATTGGTCACAAATCGCATACATTGGTTCTCCTCTGGCTACTCCTTGGTGGACGGCTGCGAACGCTGCTGCTGGTTTCTTTTTCTTTTTCTGTGAGTGTCTGTTTTCGGTTCGTTGTAACAGAAACGTTCGTCACGCCCATTCTCTACTAAACTAATACCTGGCATGCAATGCAAAGTACCTGCCCGTCTCCTCCATCTGCTCCTTCGATAATACGGGCAATGGATACGACGTGACCCAAACACTATTCTCGATATTGCCAAATACAAAGCGTATTCACCACTTTTCTTGTCTACAACCCTCGCCATGTCATACGGCTTATCCTTCGCAGCCATCACAGCAACTCTCGCACATACGATATTGTACCATCGTAGACAGATTTGGGCTCAAGCATGTCGTTCACTTCATGAACATGCTGATATCCATGCCCGATTCATGTCCGTTTACCCTCAGGTTCCAGATTGGTGGTACGGAATCATACTCGGTACGTTGAGATGTCAAGTTTTGTGGACTGCCGGTTCTGATTCCGATCATGCAGTGGTAATGTTGGTTTTTGGTGTCATCTCAATCGAAGTGTGGGATACCCAAACGCCCGTGTGGGCGTTCGTACTCGCTCATGTTCGTGCACTGATTGTAATTTCTCATCGTGCATTGACTAAAATGTTGGACATATAGACCCTTGGTTTCATTTACACCGTCCCCGTTGGTATTATACAAGCTGTCACTAACAAACAAGTCGGACTGAATGTCGTTACGGAGCTCATTATTGGATATGCACTTTCCGGAAAACCCATCGCCATGATGATGTTCAAAACGTAGGGGTACAGTTCCATGACCCAAGCACTGCAGTTCGCGAGCGGTTTCAAACTTGGTCACTACATAAAGATCCCGTGTGTATTTATTTCACTTTCTTTACATTATCCCTTACTGAACGACGCGGTCAGCTTAGACCACGCACTATGTTTTAGGCCCAGATCGTTGCTATTGTCGTCGCCGGTGCTGTACAGCTAGGAGTACAACTGTGGATGTTCGTACATATCGAAGATATATGCACTACCCGCCAGAAGGATGGCTTCATCTGTCTCGGAACGCAGGTGTTCGGCACTACTTCCACTGTATGAGGCGTCATTGGCCCAGCCAGGCAGTTATCTAATGGTGCAATTTACAAGCACGTTATTCTCTTTCGTTGCGTAGTTGGGCGCAGACTAAAAAGCGATTTCAGTGGCTTGCTATTCTTCCTCCTGGTCGGTGTAGCTGCTCCTTCAATTGGGGATTTGATCCAAAGGAAGTGGCCTGTAATTTTCAATGGTACCGGTGCTATCCCACCTGCAACTGCGGTGAATTACGTGCCTTGGACAACTGTTGACTTCATCTTCAACTATATCATACGGCGCCGCCGCTTCGCATGGTGGACAAAATACAACTGTGGGTTCGCGTTGCAGTACACCCATCACAATGCCTGGCTTCCTTGACACTGGTACTAAGACGTCCTATCAGCTGCACTGGACGCAGGTGCTGCTGTTTCCGGCGTATTGATCTTCTTGTGTCTTTGATATCCTCGCGATGGCACTGTTGGAGAAAGTTCAATTGAAAAATGGTGGGGTAATACAGTATTCCTGAAGACATTGGATGCTGTTTCTGCGCCATTCTACACCCTTGAACTTTGGGTACGTCCTCTACGATCGCATGCTTGATTTTTCACATTCCCTATACTCTCATTTCATCAGGCCCGAGACCCAGTGATTTGACCACACTACCACAATGTCCACCTATTACACACCCCAACCTCAGATACGAATATTTATGACGGAAAGTTCCAAAAGAGTGTATAAGTAATAATTATCGACTATTTCCTCAAGCGGTGCCATGCCATGCTAAGAAATGTTCCATTAAGACCACCATTCATATGTTTGCGGAACAGGTGTACTTCATACGACCCTCCATATCCACCAGCCACCAATGGGATCATCGGGTTCATGATCAGCACCAGTCCATGTGCCTAATGCCCCTGCTGCCGATCCAACCCCACCGATCTGTACACCCTCTAAGGCCCATTGCGTCTGAGCATTAGTGTGATCCGCAAATGACACCTTTGCAACGATACAAGATCATCCAGTGAATATAAACTCAGTCGGAGACAATAACTTACGATGCTCCACCTTACGCTGCCGTCAGACAACATTGAGACATTGCCTTCAACGCGATGCGCCTCCAACCCCTCTCCACCTGATTCCCCCTCAATTTTAATGACAGGAAAGAGTGGAGATCCTTCGGGGTCTGGTTCATATGAGACAACCCGTAGGCGAAGGGCCACGTTGACGTGCACTTGTCCGCTGTCAACTTCTTCGTCATTTGTCATGTTTCCGTTGAAAGCTACAATGGTAACGATGAGAATTATTGTCAAAGGATATGAAGACGACCCAAGGACAAACCGATCAGTGAATCGTATCCAAGCCACACGACGAATAACCTACAAGTCGATACAGGTAAAGTGGCATCTACATAATGATAACGGCATCAACGCACCGCCAAGCGCCTTCTACACCAGCCCAGTCGCGTTCAGTCTTGCACAAGTTATCAACGTTGTGAGCAGTAGGGCACAGACTGCGCTGTGCCGTCCAATTGCAAGGCCGCAGTCTATTAAGGTCACTCGCAGGCAGTTGAAGTTGAACACCTTCCGTCAAGGCTGCGTCCTCACAGACAAAACGTATTGCAGCAAGTTGGATCCAGTCAGGCGTGCATTCGTGATGGCTATGATGGATGAAGGGGCCGAACAGTCGTTCCCGCTCAGGGTAGTCCATATCATAAGTCCTTCTCCGCCCGTACTTGAGAGCAAGTGCGCACGATGAGTCTTCGAATGGATCGGATGTGGGCCAACGATCGCATTTCACCGTGCTTCGCGGGCCTAAGAATGCCAGTAACTTGCATGCCGCTTGTATTGCATCTTCGGCGCTCTTCCGGTACGGAGGCGAAAGCCAGGACAGGAGGGGATGAAAATGCCCACCCGTTGCCAACTTATTAATTTGTCGGATGTTCAGAGAAGCGTCCTTCTCATTCTCTGCCTGAATGGGGAAGGTCAACAGGCTCCCAGTAGATGTGTCAAAGACTCGTTACCTTCGAAACATTGTTTATAGATGAGGGGGAGTCTGATTCAGAGTTCGCAGCAGAAAGAGGAGATGCGGTAGTACACAGCCGCAGCATGGACTCGATTAGCGAAGGGAAATGTTCCCGTTTGATCCCAAGCCATTTCTCACTAGCTGGTGATTCGATAAGACTGGGACGCGCAATACAGTCTTCAGCGAAAGCCCGACTGGTGTACTCCTTTCTCCATCCGTGCTTGTCAAATGCGTTCACGTTAAGATAATCAGAATCTCGGGGATCATCATATCTAGCTAGAAATATTCTCCGCCAGAGATAGTCATCGTGTGTCTCGTATATCAGTGAGAAGAACCTTCCGCATGACTTCGATAGGGCGGATATTGAGAGAGGGGCGTCGCTAAGAGACACTATTATAGTCTCTAAGACTTCTGAAGGCAAATCAAGAACAGATATCATAACGCCAGCGGGCTATTAGTAAGTTGGTGAACTTCCTGTGAGCCAAGACAGCGAGACATGAAATACAACGTGCTCACCTTGGTAGCGGGAACCTAGTAGATCGTTCACCAGCTTACAGCCCCAATGCAATGACGGACAACTTGTTTTTCTAGGAATAATATGCGGAGTTGCACATGCCATGGGAACGATGCGCGGCAAGCTCCTGCGGCGTCCTGCCGAATTTGATGCAAGCACTGCCTCGAGACCATGTTGTTGTCTCTTAATTTGACAGAAGGTCGGTCCTACTAGTAGGCCCCAGGCTATGGCCATGTAGACGATGGTGCAAACATTTGTGTCTTAGAATATCGTGGTCTGAAGCTTTCACTAGGCCTCATACTGCGCGGACATCTGATGGACTAGGTATGGCACCATCAGTCATTGCTGCTGCTTGTCGATCCAACTTCAACTGTGACAGTGCTTGCCATGGCAGAACAGAAGAAGCACTATTTCTAGGTATTGGATAGGTGAGAAATGCTACATTAACTGCGTCTATTTGAATATTGACGATATAGTATCCGCTAGAATTTTAACGGGGTGATTCCTGTTCTTGCAACTTCTTGACCAAGAATGAAAACCCCCGAGACCAAATGCGATGTTTCATTCGGGCACACGTTGCGGATGACCCACTTCTCTGCCACGAACGCTGTGCTAGTTGTGCAGCACCCTTTCTATTCGTGGGGGTCGTGGACAGTTTCTCTTCTCTTTGATATGAGCAACTTCGTATGAAGAAGACAATCGGCCGAGTTACGGGTAAGTTCTGGAGTTTTCGACCTGGATGTGGCACTCAGTGAACCCTGTTCCTTGCAGATCAGGTCTAGAATGCCTCGCATCCACCTGCATTGACTACATCCATGTAGTATGACCCTGTATCAAATGTTAGCGTAACGGTCTTCTCCGCACCTCTGTGCGTACGTGATTGTCTAAGTCAACGCTCATCCTGCAGAACATGTGCGGTATTCACAAATGCCTGTCGCATGTGTTCAATGTCCACGCTGTTACCACTTGTACATGGTTACAACCCTGCTACTTCATTTCCTTTGGGTGCGCGGAGGTCACGCTTCCAATACCATAAAACATAGGGACGATTTTTATTTTATTTTACCAGAACTAGGTCTGTCCCAACCATTCTATTCGTCTACCGTTGCGTACCCTATTGTCCACCATGTCCAACTCCTACGACCCATCCGCGGTGACCATTGCGTACGTCATGTCTTCTTGAATGAGTAAGTTATTTACGGACGGCTGACTATTGTGTAGTGTTATGGGGGCGACTGGGTCGGGTAAATCTACCGTACGTATCCCTCTTCAGGTTTTTGCACCTTCCTGGCACTGACAAACCCGATAGTTCATTAATCTCGTTAGCGAGGAGTCCAATCTTGCTGTCGGGAAGGGTCTGGAGTCATGCACCTCTGAAGTGCAAGTCTCGCAGCCATTCGAGATCGAGGGAAGGATAGTCACCCTCATCGACACCCCTGGTTTCGACGATACGGTTAAGTCGGAGGCGGAGATTCTCAGGCTGATAACACGCTTCTTGGCTGAAACGTAAATAGCATTTCTTCGATAATGTTTCTATCCTGCTAAACAAGTTGTCTTCAGCTACAAGATCGGCCGCAAGCTCAATGGGGTCATTTTCCTGCATCGAATCACCGACGTGCGTATGGGTGGCGTCGCTCGTAAAAACTTCCACTTGTTCAAGAAGCTTTGTGGCGACGACGCTTTGAAAAGCGTTGTGATCGCCACCAACATGTGGGGCGGCGTTGAACCCGGGCTCGGCGAGCAGAGGGAGATCGAACTCGCCTCCAACGACAAGTTCTTCAAGCCCGCTCTCGAGAAGGGCTCTAAGCTTGTCCGCCATGATAACACCCGTATATCAGCCGAGAATATCATTCGTGAGATTATGGGTTACCCGCGGCTGGGTCTGTCGATTCAGATCGAGGTCGTCGACCAGCACAAGAGTATTGGCGACACGTCTGCTGGGCAGGACCTCAAAGCCGAACTTGAGGCTGAGATCGAGAAGCAGAAGGAAGAAAAGAAGAAGTTACAAGAGGAGATGGACGAAGTCTTGGCTCTCAACGACAAGAAGCATCAAGAAGAACTCGATGATCTCAAAACGTCGCTTCATGAGCTTAACAAAGAGCTGCAATTGCTGGAAAATACGCACAGACAGTTGCGCGAGGAAAACGACGCGCATCGAAAGGAGCACGAAGAGCAGACGAAGCAGTTGATGGCCGCCATGGAGGAGAGGGAGAACCAGCTGCGAGTTCTCCGAGGCCAATCAGCGAAACAGACGGAGACCGTACAGACACTTGAGGAGCGCTTAGTCTCCGCTGAAGAGCGGACGCGCTCACAGACCTCTGAGAAGGAGAAGGCTGACGCAGCCTTGAAAAAACTCGCTCAGAATCATCAGCAGGAGATCACGCAATTACAGAAGAAGTTGGAGGCTGAGCGGAAAGACAGGGAAAGGCAAGACAGGGAAAGGCAAGACAGGGAAAGGCAAGACAGGGAAAGGCAAGAGAAGGAGAAGAAGGAGAGAGAGAAACGGGAGAGAGAAAGGCGGGAGCGGGAAAGGGAGAAGGAGGAAAGAGAGAAGGAGGAAAGAGAGAGACAGGAAAGAGAGAAGCAGGAGAAGGAGAAGCGGGAGAGGGAGAGGCAGGTGAGGGAGAGGGAGAGGCAAGAGAGGGAGAGGCAGGAGAGAGAGAAGCAGGAGAAGGAGAGACGGGAAAGGGAGAAGCGGGAGAAGGAGAGGCAAGAGAAGGAGAGGAAGGAGAGGCAGGAGAGGGAGAAGCAAGAGCGGGAGAAGCAAGAGAGAGAGAAGCGGGAGAAAGAGCGGCGGGATAGAGAGGGGCGGGAGAGGGAAGCAATGCGACAATCTCAGCAGACTCAGCCAGATCCCGACCCACCCTCCGGCTTCATCATTTCGGTGCTGAGGGCGATAATCCGCATCATTTTTTGAGTACGTTGCATTGCCTGCGAATCCCCTTTGATTGATAGTACGGCTCGCTAATCCGCACCGCCGCGTTATGAACGGTTTATTTTTTCAGTCTGTATGTTCGCCTTCGACTGAGTGATCGTGTCGATAGTACATATATATATAGCAAACGTTCTTCAAGTCCCATTCTGGCATTTTACAAAGTGCAACATAACAGGCACATTAGCAAATTGATAGATCCCTGCAAAAGAGTTAGACTCAACTCGTTGGCTTGCAATAGTGATGACTTGAAGGCTACCGAACCCACAGAATCTCGAGGGAGAATCATTGCTAGTCAGCCATGCAGCCCTCGTCCACATTTGGGCCCTTCGTGAGCGAGGTAATTCCAATGGTACCGACCTGTGCGTGATTTCTGATTCTAATGCACAATGCTCCCTTGATCTTCGTGCACAGGTGTGCGTCCTGTATGAGTTAGACGCTCAATTTCCGAAGTACGAGGTCTCGGCGTGTACGTTCCTGTCCCAAGGTCTGAGGAGAATAAGATTCATGGAAGTCTTCTTGGGCCTGAACAACACATGCAGCCGCGTGGTCGAAGCCCACCGCTCCGCTTGCGGATACAATCTTGCTACTTTGTTGCGCTTTGTGCACGGAGGTCATGCTTTCAATATCCCGCCATGTTATAACGAAGCAGAAACTCATCGGTTGAGACCAACTCCTTCCTAAGCATTCTACTCAACTACCACATCCCGCCGTCTCATCCAACATGACTAGCTCTTCAGATTCATCTCCAGTAACCATCGCGTAAGCCGAGTCGCCTCGAGTGACTAAACTGAATACAGATGCTGACTTCTTCATAGTGTGATGGGTGCAACTGGGACCGGAAAATCTACAGTATGTATCGCATTTGAGTCCACACTACCTTGGTCCTGACTATCCTGGTAGTTCATAAACCTCCTTAGCGGGTCCAAGCTTTCCGTTGGTTTCGGTCTGGAGTCTTGCACCTCCGAAATCCAAATTTCGCTGCCGTTCACCATCGACGGACGGATAGTCACTCTCATCGACACCCCTGGTTTCGATGATACGGTCAAGACGGAGGCAGAAATTCTTAGGATTGTTGCGGATTTCCTGGCAGCGACGTGAGTCGGTATTCCATCCCAAGGATCTACGGCGTTTCTGATGAATTTTCAGATACGAAACTGGCCGCAAGCTGAACGGAATCATCTTTCTCCATCGAATTTCTGACTACCGTATGGGTGGTGTTGCTCGGAAGAATTTCCGTCTATTTAAGAAACTTTGCGGTGACGACGCTCTCAAGAGCGTTGTGATCGCTACGAATATGTGGGGCGACGTCAGCGCAGAGATTGGCGACAAGAGGGAGAAGGAGCTGGCCTCCAATGACCTCTTCTACAAGCCTGCCCTCGAGAGGGGTTCTAAACTGGTCCGACATAACAACACGTTTGAATCAGCACAAAACATCGTCCGCCAGATCATGGGCTACCCACCACAGGCTTTGTCGATTCAGCAAGAGGTTGTTGACCAGCACAAGAGTATCGGCGAGACATCCGCTGGACTGGACCTCAGAGCCGAACTCGATGCTCAGATCCAGAAGCAGAAGGAGGAGTTGAGAGGTGTCAAGGAGGAGATGAAAGAAGTCTTGGCGTTTAAGGACAAGAAGCATCAAGAAGAACTTGAGGACCTCAACACGTTGCTCTTTGACGTCCGAAAGCAGCTATCTGCATTCGAGAATGAACGCCGACAATTGCGCGAAGAGAACGATGGGTATCGGAAGAAGCATGAAGAACGTACAAAGCAGTTGATGGCCGCCATGGAGGAGAGGGAGAATCAGCTACGGGTTCTCCAAGGACATTCAGCGAAACAGATGGAGACTATTCAGGCATTGCAGGAGAGCTTGGTCTCCGTCGAAGAGAAGATGCGCTCGCAGGCTTCTGAGAAGGAGAAGGCTGATGCAGCACTGAAGAAGCTCGCCGAAGATCATCGGCAGGAGCTCGTGCAGGTACGAGAGGAGTTCAATAAAAAGCTGGAAGCTGAGAAGCAAGAGAGAGAAAGGCAAGAGAGGGAAAGGCAAGAGAAAGAAAAGGAGAACCGGGAGAGAGAGAAGCAGGAACAAGAGAGGCAAGAAGCCCGGGACTCTCGACCATTTTTGGCGCAATGGGTCAGTTCACAGCTGCAATCTCCTCCAGCTACAGGTCGGATACCGTTCACACAGATGGTGGCTACGGCAGTCAATCACTGGCTCAAGTCCTGAATACGGTTCGACATCACCTATGAATCAACGAAGTCAGTGTATTTATTCTTATTAGTGTACGCACATTATGCCGGTCTACCTTGTATTTTGCTACTGAGTTCCAACCTTTTGAATGTTATATCATCTTGCAGACCCATTGTTCACTACCGCTGTGGGATCTGAAGTTCGCATGTGGGTGTTAGAACGTCAGCGTCTGGATATATATAGCATTGCATGCTTCTCGAGCTCCAAGTTGCATCTTGACACCGTACTGTAACATGCAACCGTTGACCAAGGTACGTTCGTTCTGTCAATACGCCTCATGTCTTTCGTCTGACAATGACTAATAGCTTGAGTTATACAGTCGGAGCACACACCTGCAATCGCCAAACTGTTACAGTATTTCCGTCACAGGGTCAGATCCCTTCCTGGCTCTGCAGACATGCATATTAATGTATTTCAGTCTCTGATGGCATCGACAGCTTTGATGTGGTGGAAAACGTAACAGGGCCAGGATCCATTGAGTACGAACGAGTTCCGCCCGTACGTGCAATGATTCAGCAATTCCGTGACCAGCATAGGATGAAACTCGATCTGTACCGTGTCACGCCAGCTTTTAAGCTGCCGCTCTCCATTGTTGTGGCCCGCCTGCTGGACTTCAGTATCACCAGATGCGTACCGGCGTACCTGGGCGTGTCGCGACTGCACCTATCCGCGGCCAGGGTAGCAACTTGTTTCCTCCCTTTAACGCGTGTAGATTGTAGAATGACGAACGACTTGTTCAAGATCGGCTTGCTCAACATCCTAGCCGTAATTGTTGGATTATAAGCAATATAGTGTGTTGGAATGTCGATTACTAACCTCACCACTTCCCCACTAACTTAACAGACTAGGAGGAGACAGTCGGAGCACCAGCGGGAGTGGTCGGAATATGGCCCCAAAAGGCAGTTTGTCAGCCGGGCCGAGACCGAAGATTAGATTGGGCCTGATCTTGGGCGAGATTTCGCAGAATCTGACTGAGGCAAGTAGTGTTTCGCCTTTTCTGACCCCCCTCGCTAGAGTACAACCACCTGTCACTCATCCTACACCTTATTTATCTTCACCCACCATGGCATTCCAAGACTTGAATCCGCCCACAAATTTCATGCGATCTATTCCGCAAGACCATTTCCTTGCCTTGCCGCGTCCCGACATTCACATCGGGCCTCCAGCAGGGGCACCAGATACATCCACTCTGGCTGCACACGACTTCGATGTTGATACTCGTTCCGGTTTTATGCCCCCCGATCCACCAGTCCCTCGTCTGCCAGAAGAGTGGGAAGCTTGGGAGGCAACACTGGATGATGCTGTCCAGAGCAGGCTGCAGCTTGGAGACAAGCAAGGTCTGACCGAGCACGACAAACAACAGGCAGCTCGATGGCAAGCTCGTGTCCGCGAGGTACGTCTACGTTTCCCACCGCCCTTATCCGTTGTTATTGAGGGATTTCCTTAGCTTCCCATACTACCCGTGACAGATTTAAAGCGGTCGGAAGTACTCCTTCGTCGCGCACACCATGTCCTTGCATGGATCATGCACTTCTATGTCCGTACTCTACCTCCGACCACTCAGGAAATTCGTATACCCCCTCCCATCACGGTACCACTTTTGCAGGTTTCTTCACACCTGCAGCTTCCACCAGTTCTGACATATTCGGATGACGTCTTGTACAACTGGGCGTTCAAGAACGCCGTCCCATCTTACGAATCACCCGTTCCAGCGCTCGATAATCTCCGGTGCTTAACCTCATTCACTGGTACGAAGGATGAAGAGGAGTTTTACCTCTCCTCCGCACGTATCGAGCTCCAGGGGGTGCCGGCCTTGTCATTAATGCGTGCTACCATGGACGAAGCCTTCGTTGGTGACGACATTGCCACGCAACGTATCTCAACATATCTTCGTCACCTGGCAGATGTCATCGCAGAACTTACCAAGACGCTTCTCTCGGTCCGTGAAGGGTGCGACCCCGAAGTATTCTACAACGAGATTCGCCCCTGGTTCCGAGGGGCCGATTCCGATGTTGGAAAGAAATGGATTTTTGAGGGTCTAGAGCTTGACCCAGAATTAAAAGAGCCTACAGAGGTATCCGGCCCGAGTGCTGGACAAAGCTCGCTGGTTCATGCTTTGGATATATTCCTGGGCGTGGATAGGTACTCTCATGCCCCGCATGTTACCGGGCTTGAGAAAACGTCTGCAGCATCTTCCAGCTCACAAGCTTCATCAAAGTCGGAGTCTTCCGAGAAGACCTTACAAGCGTCGCAGTCGGCTTCGCAATCTTTCCTCACTCGCATGCAATCGTACATGCCTCGTCATCACCGTGCATTCCTCCGCCACCTCTCTTCTAACCCGAGACCACTCCGGGCTTTCGTAGAATCATCTTCCGATCCATCCCTAAAGGATGCTTACAATGACGCAGTTCAAGCGCTCAAGAACTTCAGAGATGCACATGTGCGGATCGTCGCGATTTATATTGTCGGTCCGTCAAAGAAGGGCAAGAGGCCCGCAGAAGAGTTAAAAGGCACTGGAGGCACCAACTCTATCATGTTCGTAAAGAGTGTTAGAGACCAGACGGCTGGTGCTGTCTTGAAGGCAGCCTAACGTCGTCGGTTGCAAAGCTTGTATACTTGAAATCGGTTCGATTTGAGTTATTCGCTTTCAGTTATTGAGTTTAGACTTGGACACATCAAAGAAACATGTAGAGCTGTTGTGCTACTATCATATGTTTGTACCCGTATATCACAGCGAGCGTTGTAACGAAATCAAGAAGTTTGGTACAAAAAATGACATGATCACGAATTCGTCATGCCTTGCATAAAATGCATAGCGTTAAGGGGTGACCCTGAAGGTTGGCATCAATGGCCAGTTTTGCTCCGTGGATGAAGCATTGATCCTCCAGTTCAAGGCCGGATGCTGAGGGGGAAAGACCCACATTGACCCGAGATATCGTCTAGATATTACACAATGCAGTCGGGAGCGGCATACGAGACCAAGAATGCATAATGTAGAGGAGTATGTTGTTGAGCCGCGTCTCAATAGGCGAGCCCTGTGCTATAAGGGAGAAGTTAATTTTCGATTTAGGGGTAAGCCATGGCAAAACTACCTGCCTTCAACGGAATGCACCAACAGCGCAGAACTCCTTTTTGAAAACCCTGGTGACTTCACCACAGTTCGTACAAGCCCTTGGTTCAGTTTCATATACCTCATCAGGGTATCTGGTGAGAAATGGCTCAGGGTGCCGATCGCTAGTGTACGAAGCACCAGTACGACCATCTGCATGGTACCAAGCGGGATCCATTTGACAATAGTGTCTACCGAAGTTCGTGTTCGGGCAATAGCAAGTTCCTACGCACGAGAAAAACCGAACCCGATGAAAAAGACGTGGTGTCGAACCAGAACGATAAGGCTTACCCCTAGAGTGATGGGAGACGCAACATTCGCAAGCTTGGTAGCCACAGTCAGGGCATTCTTCGCTGATGGAGTAGTCTTCAGAGAACTTCACGCCGCAACCTGTACATTTGCCTTTGGCAGGACGCTTAGGTGGCTCGGCCTTCTGCTTTGCCTCAAATTTGTTTATCTCTTGCTGTATCTTGCAGCCTTTCTTATGGATCTTCCAATTTTCCAGTTGACATTCGGGGCTGTTGATTAGGATAAAGGAAGTTGATGTTAGACGGATCCATTTAAGACCATTTGCCACTTACGAGCAATAGTAGGTATATTTGCAGGCCGAACAGGCTAGAGTCGCGTTGAATTCTTCGCAATTGGAGCAGAAGTGCGGCATGTTGGTTCTTGAAACCGGATTTTGTCCTCAGTTACGTGCAGGTAGAGTTGGAGGAAAAATCGCGCGTCCAGTCGAGCTGTCAAGGGCGTGACACTTAACACGCGCTCGTCACGATATGAAATATGTGACGCCTCGCGTATACACGTCGAGAGTCGCGTGGCTCTTGTCACTTGAATCTCAAGCTCTTCAGCAGCCCAGGTAATTACTTTGCACGACGAAATACTGTTGCCAGAATAGACTTTAGAATGAAAATGCAATTAGCCAGATAGTGATACACTTATGCTACAAATGCCAGTGCATAAGTTACGAACGAACTTGAAGATACAGAGATAGGGGCGATGCGATGCGAGACAACACGAAAAGGTGAAATGGAATGTAGACGCAAACAAGAAATGAACGGGAAAAATATAGAGCAAGGAGGAAGAGCAAACGAAGAGAAAAGTAACATCGTCCCGGAAGATCTCATGACAACGTGACACAATTGAAAGATGGAATGTACTGAGGAAACGCCGTCGATCCACAACAGCGCAGGGAGAACGAGAGGATGTCAAGTTCATCCATAAACGATTCTGTAAAATAAGGAATATGAGTATACTTCGCAAGTCAGGATCGACTGAACACTCACCCTCCACGAGTTGATGATATCGGCTTGAAGTCTGTCCGACCGGAGTCGACGAAGTGCTGAAGCACCTCAGCCCAGTCATCTCGCGAATCCCACGTGATTCTACTCGGAGAGTCGACCTCCACAGGCATGACTTGACTGATGTCACCGCATTGGATGAGAACAACAGCTGTACCAATACCACCTCGCTGACGACAACGTTCCTCTCGTCGGTGAATGTCCGCAGCAACGAGTTGATCGTTATCAGTGACATATGTACGAGGGACTATGTGAGTTCCCTTTACGGTGAACCTGGAAGAGGACAGCGAAGATCAGAACAAGTTCCGAGTGTTTCAGAATCAGTCAAAACTTACCGACGACTTGCATCTGACGATGGGCGATAGTTGAGCTCAATAAGGAGAGCGTTATGCCGGATGTTGGATGGCATGCGCTTGAGTTGAAGCGCTTGGAAGCCAGCCCAACCAAGCAACTCGGAGTGAGTTGATGTGAATTTACGGAGGTGCTTGAATAGGTTTTCATCTTGGCTCGGAGCGACGGGCTGCTTGACCTGAGATGAAGTGTGCTGGCAGATAGCTTTGTGTGATGCCCAGTGTGACTTCTGGCACTCCTGCGAGCAGTATTGAGTGATCATCTATATACCACGACGATAATGAATTAGTATTTGATTTTGGGCGCCAGTGAGCGATCGGACTTACACATCCGCCACACAGACGAAACCGGGAGATCGAGGGGTTCTCAACGGCGCCGCATTGGTCGCAGAGGCGGTAACCTCTTTGCTTGGGAGCATTATGAGGCCCGGGAGAGTAGTAGTTGGCAGCAGCAGGTTGTGCGTAGACAGTAGCCATTGGAAGAGGTTTTGACTCGTGTAGGGGCTTCGGAAGGGGCTCCGGTAGTGGGTTGGCCCAGCCATTCCTCACCCACTTTTATATGATCCATGCTTGCTGGCATTAGAATGGAGTTCTGTACATTGCCTGGCGCACTTCGTGGTCGTCCAAATCCCACCCAATTGTAAACGCAACTCGAGGTAAGCGCTTACCCTGCCTAATTGGGAGCCGCTGCCGACTGGTCTTTTTGTCTCTGCGCTCACGAGTCGAATTTGTCCCCGATCGCTATTGTTTCCTCCAAATTCTCCCAGTCATCTTCCAACGTGCTTAAGCAAACACAAAAAGCCCCTATCGGATTTCCACCTGTCTCAAAGGCTTGAGACAAAAGCGCAAGGCGCTCTGCTTTTGTCTTACTTTGATTCGTAGCAACAAATGAACTGTCGGTAAAGGCTTCTAGAAACCCTGTCATGTCACCCTCCGCGTCGAGGATGTAAGCTTGAATAGACTAAACAAAGGAGTTCCTCGAACAGGTTATCTGGCGTACCTTCTGCCGGCCCCTCCATTGGCAATGTATCATCTACACCCTTGAGCGCCCTTGCCTGCCGTAGCCTTCAAGCCTCCTTGATGAACTCAATTCATTCTGGGTCTCAGGGCTTGTTCAATTCAGTTCTACCGCCCCGATGTCTAACTTGAGTTCGACTTTGACTGCTCCACTAGCACGCAGCATACCCGTATCACCACGCTTTGATGCTCCTTGCCTCAAGGGTCGGATCTGCAGCATTCCAAAGCAAAATATTCCTCTGCCTCCTGTCAGTTGTAGCTTGAAACGAGCGATCGTTGGTCCTCATGTACGAACGAACGCCTTCTCCTGATCCTGCGTCACTGCCAAAGCATTCTAGCGTTGGATTCTCCGTCTAAACAGGCCTCGATGTCTTGAAATCTTCATGGCTGAAGTCTGGGCGAAGGGATTTTCACCCCAGAACATGTCCGACGCTTGAAGGACCCTGAGCATCGAGGCGGACTCATGACCAATCGCACGTTGAAACACATCAGAGTAGGGCCTGCGATATGATGGTTTTTAGCAAAAGTGTTGATGGGCGTCAACTAGGTTCTGAGCTTGCTCGTCTCGCTCTTCTTTGAACGGTTCAATATCGTGGGGTCTGCTTCGAATTCTCTTGTCTCAGGACAAGCCATATTGAATATCCCTTGAAGGGTTTTATGACCTTCTCAGGTTGTTTGGGATTGACCGATATCGTATTCTTTTGGTGATGGTTGATCAACGACGTCAGCATAGGCTGTGTCCGGGTTGGGTACCAGGGAAACGCTCCCATGTCATGCCTGTGGATGGACAAAGATTGCAAACTATCTCTGGGGAAGAATGGGGCTTTCTTTCAAACCTTCATCCACTCTTTTCTTCGTCGATCATTTTGCATCGCTCTAGTAGCGATCTATCGCGAGCTTGCCTCGTTCATTTGATTTGTGATATAGTGTTATTCTACGTGATCGTCTTTTCTCTTACCCAGGCTAGCACTGGATCCATTGATACCGCATATAACGTGATGTATATTCCAGTAAAGCGAAGTAAGTTCATTACTCAGTCTATATTCTGGCGTGTCCTGCTCATTGCTCCACCCGGACATCTCTTCAGCATTATCAGACCGTCACGATGACAATGTCATGCTTGACGTCTTCCTTGCCTTTCAATTCATAGGCGGAATTGGAAATATCGCCATGCTATTGACGGCCATATTCTCCCGAAGAGTCATCAGGCATAGTACCTGGCTGAATTTCTGCGTGACCTGGGTCATCTTCAGTATTTCATACACACTCCTGTAAGTCGAGTCCCTCTACTTATCTTTGGGCCGTTACCTTATTTATATGGATTAATAGCTTCTTCGCTGGGCAGCAGAGGAGTTCCTTGCAGACTGCGTATCCTTTGTGCCTTACGCAGGCATCCTTAATATATGGGGCTCCCGTTCTGTATGTGATTTGTACGATCGTCTGTCCCTGGAGTAAGTTTACCGGTTGTCATTTTAGTGTGGCGTACGCCAGCGTTTCACTAGTCGCTCAGGTTAGAATTTATCTTTCTGTTATCTTCCAACTCACATATCAATTGTATACTAGGTCGCTTTATCAGCGAGGGCTCTTATTCTTTTCAAAATACACAAACCTTCTCCATATCAGACGCTTCTTGTAAGTCGTTGCATCGCGTCTTTTCGCTTTCGTTATATCCAATTTGACGGCGCACACCCAGCTTTTGATTGTTCCGTATATCCTATGGTTCTCAGCGGTGATTGCGGCTCTTGTCGTACGTGCTGCCTTCTAAAGTTGCTTGGATCAATGATTGACGCAAGTCTACAGAGCGGGGTGAAATTCCCAGAGACAGTGTCGAGAAACTTCGATGATGGTGGCTTGTACTGCGAGATCACTACCGGTATACCGTGCGTCATGTCACATTTATTCATGTCCCGCGCTGTTCTAAACCGCTCTTAGTGGTCGCATTGTTGCTGTCCTCGTGGGGATAGCGCTGGTTCTGGCGTTCACGCTCGAGAGTAAGACTTGAGCTAGAAGTGAAATAAATGATAAGCCTTTCTGACACTATGCTTCGCAGTCATGTTGGGCGTGACGCTCCGCAAGAACTGGGCAGCATTCGAAGGCCATCATAGCAAGCTCCCTATGTCGATGATAATCCGGGTCGCAGTCTTCGTTGGTGTGAGCGTGCTTGCCTTCAGGTACGCATATTACCCTCGTCAATCTGTCTCATCTCACGAGAGCTGGTGTACGACAATCTGCAGCACCGTGTTCGTTTTCCTTTCTCGGCAGTTTTCCGTTTCCAATGTTGTATTATCTTTGTGTGCGTGCGTATCTCTTCATTGAGTACAACAACTGACGTGTTTTCGTCTAGTGCCGTTCTTCTCATTCGTAACGTTTGCTACCCAGAAGGTTAGTGTTTTGATTTTATTCTTAGTCAGATGGGAGTGTTTGAGTAATACTGCTTTATCCAGGATCTACTCAGTGTCTGGACCTTTCGGCCGCATCCATGACTTATTTTGCTTTATACTTCTCTTCGAACCAATGGTTCAACACCAGCTGTACTGTACAATGTGTTCAAACAGGAATATGGTTTCGCAAAAGCTTCCATGGTTGGGTTGGTTCGCCCGGATCATGAAGAATCGACCTGTGGTTGATAAGTGGGACTTAACTGCAAAGGTCACGCAATCAATGCCCCGACATTACACCAGGTAAATACCTTTAATGATGCGGCCTGTGTTATGCGGGTCCCGGTAAATTATGAACAATGCTACAACTTCTTCTCCGGAAGTCGCGAACCTCGATGGAGTTTTGGGTATGGTATAGACTGATATTTCGAGGGCAATGCTACAGGGGTGACCGTTGGGTATGTTTGGTATATGTTACCCGGGGAATACTCACATCCAACATAGATAGGCCTCATCTTGTGTTCTTTTTCGAAGAACGATGCAACGGACTTGGTGTACTCGCACCAAACCCGAAATCAGAAGACAGCGAACCAAACGCTGCTTCGTAGTCTTTTGTGCCCGATGACGAGGTTTGAGACACTGGTGGTGAGTTTGTGCGTGAAGCCTGCGTGCGAACTGATATCTTTTTGGTAGATGATGAGCGAGACGAGTTTCCAGGCGCTCTACCGCCAAGTCCGAATGATGACTGTAGGCTGCCGAAAGCGGCGAAGTAGTCTTTTGATAATGGACGATTCTTGAGAGGAGTGGAGGAATCGACGGAATTCAATGTGGTGGTAGATGGGTATGTACTCTGCATGACACTCGATGTGGAGATGACAGGTGAGTTGTGAAGAATGTTTCGTCTGCTTGCGAATGCGATTGACTATTTGGCATCCTACTACCCATGTCTTTATATGCTCGAAGACGTTGACTATACGTGATTGTCTTGGCTGTACAATCAGCTTCGTGCTGGGTTCAACACGCCGGTTCCGACTGCAACGGATGCCAGCGTTGGGAGATTCGACCCATCTCCTTCCAAATGATGCTCTGGCGACATCTATGCACTGGTACAACACTCGATCTGTCATCAATGTCAGGGATAGCAATGAATGGAATCGAGGGTTTGCTTGAAACCGATGCAAAAATCAGACCCATCAAGGACTCGGATTTACAGGAATTATGCAGGACTTAGATGATCATACATCATATTTAGAAGAAGCATCATAATTGCTATTCAGATGGGCAAGCGTCGAGTCAGCGCAGCGCATTTCTGGGGTTCTCGAGCTGCAACGCGGTATGTCTTCGTCTGAAGATCGTCGGTTTCAATGACTGACAACTGGCTAACATCGATGTTCACTTACCGGTCAACTATTGCATAACGAGCCAAAGTCTCACAGCGATATCGTCGACTTCAATGGAGTCGCAAGCTTAAGACCGGTTCCCAAAGCGTGAATTATGGAGAGCACCATAATGCATTATCAACCTTCGATTCTGAAAGACCAGTCACCCCGGGATATGGGGTGAGTTTCCTGAAGGCTGAGGGGATTCGTGGGTTCGATGAGTTTTTCCATCTCTTTAATTTTTAGGATGTTTATTCTTACGCCCGTTTAGCTCAGTGGTAGAGCGCGCCACTCGTAATGGTGAGGTCGGTTGTTCAATCCAGCCAATGGGCACGCTCACATGGTTACGTTACCTTCCCGCTGCCGGAAGGAATACTAACTTCACAGTTTTTTTACCTCACTATATAGCTATAGCTCATTTCCTAAATACTGTACTCATAACTATGCGAAACAGCAGTACTTAAGACTCAGTGTTCCCGTTCCTTACATTCCATCGGCCGAAGAGTCAAAACTGGACATATTGTACCGAAATCTTATCTGATAACAAAGATGATGCACTACTCATGCCCACAATAAGTAACCGGCGCTAGACGCCCAGCGTGTCATGTCGCGTCGATTTGCGGAGTGCGCAATATAATGTACACTCAATGGACGGTCCTACAAATGTATATACAGTATAATAGAGACCTACTCTACCTATATAAAATGTTAAAATTATCTGTGTCCACTGTCAACAGCCAGGACAGCCTGAACTATGTCTGGCATTCAGCTGATGTGCCTGTTCACATCTTGTATAAGTAATTCATTCCTCAATCCAATCAAATGTGTTTGGGATGGGCTCGATTCAGCCCTGCACAATCTAAAGCATCCTATAAATACCTTAAAACACTCCAAGCTGCTGTCCATTATGTATGGAATGAATTACCTATAAAAGAGTGAACAGGCACATCAGCTGGATGCCAGACATGGTTCAGGCTGTCCTGGCTGTTGACAGTGGACACAAATAATTTTAACATTTTATATAGGTAGAGTAGGTCTCTATTATACTGTATATACATTTGTAGGACTGTCCATTGAGTGTACATTATATTGCGCACTCCGCAAATCGACACGACATGACACGCTGGGCGTCTAGCGCCGGTTACTTATTGTGGGCATGAGTATAATGTCGCGATTTTGCTCATCGTATTGCCTACCAACACTTCGGGCTCATTTATGCCACACTATGTTCATACCTTCGTCTTGCACTCGTAGGTCATGAACACCCTATGTCGAAGACAGGCTTGTTTCCGAGCTGCGACCTCGCTACGGAGAGGAGCTAGCTCACCAAGGAGTCTGACGGCATTCATCTTCTCCGCTTGCCGACCACATCCTACATCCTCGGTGTGTACGCGGAAATACTTTCAACATTTGGCTCCTCAGTCGCAGAAATCTACGTCTCAAACAAAGGAAGCGGCACCCGTCAAGAAGCCCACTAAAGTATTGGCAGGGGATGGCGTGCATGTTCCTCGAGCGGAACAACGCCGGAACGACTGGAATATCATAAAGCGTTTGGCGAAGCACATCTGGCCTGAGAATGACTGGTCGACTAGAGGAAGGGTTCTTGCAGGTTTTGGACTACTTATCTCTGCTAAAGTATGGATTCAACATTGTGGCTTGTCAGATCTCGCTTCACATGACTTTGGTAGTTGTTGAATGTCCAAGTACCAATCCTATTCAAGTCGATCATTGACGCATTGAACGTTGAAATGACCGCGGAATCGACAGTTTTTGTCGTCGCCGGATCTTTGATTCTAGGATGTAAGCAGACGTACCACAGTGCATCCTTCTCCCAGCTAACCCGAGTCAACGAGACTACAGATGGTGCTGCTCGTATTGGTACTACGCTTTTTAGTGAGCTGCTGAATGCAGTCTTTGCGAGTGTTGGTCAGAGGGCTGTTCGACGCGTTGCAAAGGAAACCTTCGAGCATCTCCTGAATTTGGATCTGAAGTTCCACCTTGCGCGGCATACAGGCGGTTTGACCAGGGCAATCGACCGAGGTACAAAGTGAGGCAGTATATGCAGGCATTCCAACCATCGAGTTTTGACATTCTGTCCATGTCTCAGAGGTATTACGTTTATTCTGCAAGCCATTATCTTCCGGATCGTCCCCACGGCATTGGAAATCTCCCTCGTTTGTGGTATTCTGGTATGCATCCTTCCTGCCCTATGCTTCAGCACGTCCACTGACGTCCTCCAAAGACATACAAGTTTGGATGGGATTACGCCGCCATCACTGTTTTGACTATGGCCGCATATACTTGGTTTACTGTACGGACAACATCATGGAGGTGAGAATCCATACTAAACACCCTCGCATGGATAGTTGTACCAATAGCGTTGTGCAGAACTCGGTTCCGAAGAGAAGCTAATGCTGCGGACAACAAAGCTGCGACGGTTGCTGTAGACTCGTTGATCAACTTTGAAGCCGTCAAGGTACAGGTCCTCCAGTTATTTCACGTGTTGCTGTCTGACGTGTTGTTGTAGAACTTCAATAACGAGAAATACGAGATTCAGCAGTACGACAAACATCTTGCGGCGTATGAGAAAGCTTCAGTGAAGATTGCGACTTCGTTGGCATACTTGAATTCGGGACAGAACATCATCTTCTCATCGGCTTTGACTCTGATGATGTTCCTCGCTGCACAAGGCGTCGTCAAAGGTCTGGGCCATGATTATTTCGGACCAAGTCTCTTTTTTGACATGTATTTCAGGTACGATGACCGTTGGCGACCTCGTCATGGTGAATCAACTCGTCTTCCAACTCTCCCTTCCGCTCAACTTCCTCGGAACAATTTACCGGGAGATGCGTCAATCGCTTCTCGACATGGAAGTCCTTTTTAACCTGCAAAACCAGAACCAACCTCCTCAGGACAAGCCCGGCGCAAAGCCTGTTGAGCTTAAGGGCGGTTCTATCAAGTTCGAGCATGTCAATTTTGGATACCATGAGGATAGACCGATCTTCCGGGACTTGTCGTTCACGATCCCTGCGGGCAAGAAAGTCGCATTCGTTGGCCCTAGTGGGTGTGGTAAAAGCACTATTATCCGCCTACTTTATCGATTCTATGAGCCTGGATCAGGGAAGATCTCTATTGACGGCCAGGACATCACCGAGCTTCAACTCGAAAGTGTCCGCAGGGCGATTGGCGTTGTCCCCCAAGATACGCCTTTGTTCCATTCCGACGTGTTGCATAATATAAGGTATGGACGTCTGGACGCGAGTGACGAGGAGGTCATCGAAGCGGCGAAGAAGGCGAGAGTGCATGATTCTATATTGCGCTTGCAGGAGGGTTATAAGACGAAAGTGGGTGAGCGTGGGTTGATGATCTCGGGAGGTGAAAAGCAGCGGTTGGCGGTTGCTAGGGTTCTGTTGAAAGATCCTCCAATCTTGTTCTTTGACGAAGCTGTGAGTCCCTTTCAGTTAACGATCGTCTAATACCCCTAGGATACTGATTAGTATCCGATGGACGTTCTAGACTTCCGCTTTGGATGCTCATACCGAGTCTGAGCTCATGAAGAACATCAACTCGCTCTTGCAAGAGAAACAACGAACTAGCATCTTCATCGCTCACCGACTGCGCACCGTCGTTGAAGCAGGTAAGCATTCATTATTCTATTTTTTTACATCTTTTTTCACATACCCTTCGCAACGTATTTGCTGCTGCATTCACGTATCTTAGACCTCATCTTCGTGTTGAAAGAAGGACAAGTTGTCGAACAAGGTACACACGATGAACTCATGCGTCGTGGAGGTCTGTACTACAGTATGTGGGTTGAACAGGCTTCCGATGCGTTTAACGAGTATGATAAGCCTGAGGAGAATGTGACGGAGTTGGCGGAGATAAAGCCTTAACGATTTCGTTCACATTCGTTCCCTTGTTTTTCCTTGCGAGTCTCGATTGTTGTATGTAGCTATATTATAATATTTCTTTCTTCTCGTTCGATGCCTCAATACGAGTGCCCATAGATATAGGATGCTGCAGTTTCCGCAACCTAGAATAGACATGTAACACTATGCACGAACACCCTTCAACGCGGCGAATGAGTCAGTCGAAGTACTGTTAAAAGATTGCGTTGTACAGGGCTTGAGGTATTGAGAGAGCTGTTCGGCCCCGTGCTGGCAAAGTTCACAAGAAGCATTGAGATAAAGTTTCAACCTATTCTAAGGGAAGTACTGTGCCCTAAGCCAGTCATCCTTTCAAGACCAAGAGTCCTCACCTGCACACACCGACATCAAGCGGGACATGCCACATTGAGAGCTTCACTTCAGAGGTACAAGATGGAGAACGATGATAATGACCAACACAAGTCCCTACGTATATCGCAAGTGTTAACGCTATGTCCGTTCGTGGTCTGCTGAGTCCGAGGACGGTTGCGACCTGATTTGCTTTGCAGCAGCTCCAGCGTTGTTACCGCGAAAACGTTTCCTCATATCCAGCTGTTCGATACCACAAACATGTAAATACCTGCAAGCAGGGTTGAGAAGGAACTGAGACAAACCATTCCCCGTTTGCATTCGAACGTTGCCTTTCGTAATGATTGACATTGCTCTGGAAGCTCATCCAGATGGTGTTTGAGGCAGTCAGAGGGAAGACGGCCCTCCTTTCGGACACAGTCGGACTGAAGGAGACATTCCTTGAGGGCTGCCAGTAACGGTTCGCAAGTGTTGGACATGAGTGAAGGAGGAAACTTTAAACGAGACGTTTCGACACTTTCTCTTTATAAGGCGCTTATTTACTAGTAATTCTTTCTAGTGTGCATTGATCATTGATTAGGAGATTGTAAAGGCTGTCATAAATATTATAACATGGCGGACTATACACAGGGAGAGACTGTAGCGGGTCTCTTTGACCCTGGTTACATCTATGATTTTCTCAAGAGTCGACCCGTTGCAGACGTTCCAAAAGATCATTTACGCCGAAATCACCTGGCGCATTCCAAATTGTATCGAAGACGTTCGATCCTGTTTCCCTTTGTTGGAGTCCACAGAAAAACCTGTGCAAGTGAAGTAAGTTTAGTTTCTACCTCATAACGATTCAAACCAAACAACATACGTTATGTTGAGGAAAGAAGCGAGAGTGTCATGCAACAAAAATACATCTGGATGCCCGAAGCCTAGATACTGTGGAATAAAGTACCTCACTTCCGACCACAGCTCAGAGAGTAAGATCAACTCGAAGGGCCTGAAATAAAGGTGAGTAACATAGTGTGTTTGAGCATGGGAATGGACAAAACGCACGTAGTATTGAAGTTATGCGCATTCATCAAAAGTAATCCGTTCCAAACGCAGATATCCTCCAAAGCGCCCGGACCCATCATGGTCTCAATCCATACGACAAACTCCATAACATCTAACACCTGTTGTAAAGCCAATCCTCTGCTCGGTTCCGCAGCTGGGATGCGAATCGTCCTGCGGAATTATCGATGACGTTGTTCAGTTTACGAAACAAGGTAAATGTTCGACTGGTTAAACTCACTCCGTGGTTAACCATGCCTTCAGGTCTGCGAGTGTGGTCTTCCACAGATCTGAGAACTTGTGGAAATCGGGAAACAGTGAACCATAGCCTAAGTAAAGGTCATGAAATTCGGCAAGATTAGTGGGACGCCGGATCCTGTATGAAGTGCAGCGTCAGACGAAGGCTTATGAAGAACTGGGCGGTATTGCAATCGCACCGATCTTGTATATTGCATATAACATCCCACACGGTGACACCAGAGTCATTTTGGATTGTAATGGTCACCGTGTGGAAAAGAACGAGTTCAATTTCCTTCAGAGGAGGGTCAGTCGCAAACGTACATGCAACCGGAATGTGTTCGGACCAGTCCGACTCGAGTTTACCCGAGTCCATGTCATTCTGATTCAATCTATAAAACCGAAGCTTCGGACTGTTGATATCTCCTTCAAGGTCGAAGGTCATTGCCGTGCGGAAACCCTTGCCAATGAGATTTCTATGCTTGACTTCTTCTGCGGTCAGCGGTAGATTATCTCTCCATGTGCGTTCGTTGCGGAACGAGAGTTCCGCGGTGAACTGGCCGTTGAATGGGAAATGCATATCAAGAAGCTCCCGAGGGGCAGCTAAAAAAAACTCATCCGGTTAGAGGGTCTCAAATATGTGAATAAATAGGTAAGACGTACAGTTGTATGCAAGGAAATGAATGCAACCGTGTTCATTCGAACATATGTTTGCGTGTTGGGCCTGCGTGTACGCCAGTTCCTTCCAAGTTGTCACAAACGACATTGGGCATCCCGAATCATGATTACAGGTACCTAAACCGTACGCGCGACAGATGTTTTGCCAGGTTGTCTCATCGTAGAGATCCGAGAGACCACGGCATGTCAGGGAGAGAGCCAGATGAGTAAACACATGAGAGTCAGGTATGAAGTCGCGGATTATGTAGAGAAGCTCATAGGGAAGATCATAGATGTTGGCACGTCTCACTTGTAGAGGCGTTGGAGAGGCGACCCAGCTTTCATGGCGAGTTAGCTTCCTAGAAGCAGGTGCAGGAAGCGGGGCTGTTGTCCGGCGATGAATGAGCCTGGAAATGTAGGTTCCTAGCTGAACAACGGACATGGCATGAAAGGACGCGTTGGAGGAATGTTTAGTACAAAGGTGAAGAGACCAAGTCTATATAAACCAAAAACGGGTCAAAGATCGTTAAATTGATGCTTTGGCCTTTGTTGACTTCTTTGACCTGCCATGCAACGCCACTGCAGCCACTGCATAATACAAAGCGGCAAAGAAACGCCGTGGTTTGGTACAAAAGCAAACTATTAGTCTCCTGGACAGAAGTCGTTAAGAGCAACTTGAAGCGATGCGTGAATACTGAACAGAAGAGAGACGCCCAATTCAAGGGCCACGAAGCGCGCGACGTGCGCTCGTCCGAGATTCGCATTGTTATAACGTCGTCATCGCACTTGACATAACATCATACACATAAATAACTTAGATAACAACATGTACGAGATTAATCAACATGGTGAACTAAAGTTAAAAAGAACACATATAGAATGGATGTGAACTTGGAGAACTAGGGTCATACTTACTCACAACGATCGTAGTGGAAGCCTGAGTCAAAACTTGGTTATGACAGCAGGCGATGCAAAAGATCGTAACCATTGTGCTCATTTGGAAAATGCCAGATGGCTTCGAAGACGTTCGAACCATGCATCTTTTGCCTCAATCCTCCAAAGAACCTGTGTAGACAGACATTCGCGTAAGTCAAGAGCTCTGCGGCAGAACGATGGTACCTACGCGTTTTTGAGGAAAGGTGCGATATTCCAATACTTCATATATTCCTCTTCGCTGTCGAACCCTAGGAATGATTGAAAGACATATGAATAATCCTTGAGCACGCGTATGAGCGGAGGGGAAGGGGCGTCAATTGCTCTGGGGTGGTAGACACTGTGAACATGCTGCATATGAGTTCGCTTGGAAACTCGCTCACCCAAAATCGCTGTAGAAGAACATCAATCCATCTACGATAGAAGTTTGTTCGAGAACGGTGTCGATCCAGCCAAGACTCCTGATAAGCGCATCCATACGTTCCCATTTCGCGTCTCCATGCTCGCGAAGTTTGGCTGATCTGTATTGTGGCCAATGAGTGACTGTGAACGGCACAACAACAAGAACCAACAAAAGACACACTCAGCATGCAGCCAGCGTCCTAAATCTGCCAGAGATTTCGTACAAAGGCCTGACAACCTCTGCAATTCGGCTGGAAACCCGCCATAGCAGTCATACAGATAAACAAAATATTTGAGGTCAATTTGGTTTGCGATCCTATGAGGGCCCCATGTTAGTGAACAATACATCGACTCCGAGAAAATTGTACATGAGCGTACATCATCGTCTGAACCGCGTTGAGAACGTCACACACAAGTACGCCCCCTTCGTTGGTGACGGTATGGTACATCGAGAACGACTCGATTTTGATTTCGTTCATAGGAGGATCCGTGGCTAGCATGCGTGAAGCTGGAATGTGCTCTGCCAAACATGTCCCTAAGTTGGGCAAAAGTATACTTTCCGTGTTAGCATTATACAACGTAGGTCCGGAAAAATCGAATGCCACTATGGCTCGGAAAGCATGCGAAGGGACAGCGTATTCTTGGACCTGCTCCGCAGTGAGTGGAAGATTGTCTTCAGCTGTCCGGCTGTGGCACAGCGAAAGACCCCAGGTAAAAAGAAGTGGAGGCAAAAATGGGTTGTACAATTCAGCAGGAACGACTAAGAACAGGTCAGAAATCGTCATAAATAGGGAGACAGAGACGTACACTTGTAGCTCAGGAAGTGGATACAGTTACGTTCATTCGAGCAATTGGCGGCATGGTTAGCATGTTGTACTGCTAGCTCTCTCCACATCAGATGACCCAAAGGACAGGCGTTATTGATACCGAGGCCATATGCGCGACAGATACGGAACCAAAGTTTGTTATCATCATAGAGAGCTCGGATAGTTGCACAAGTAGCAGAGAAAGCCAGGTGAGTAAACAAGTGAGATTCAGGTATAGAGTCCCGGATCCTGGAGAGCAAATCACTTGAGAGGTCATAAATGTTCGCCCGTCGTCCAATCGTTGGTGGAGAGGTGGGAGCCCAGTTTAGATGAGAAGCCAGTTCGTGCAGAGGGACAGATGGTGCCATGAGGAGACGAGAGTGAGGAAGAGTAGAGGAGTAGAATTTCAGTTGGGGTGACGTCCGAATAGCACGTCGAGGAACGATAGAAGGATGCGAAGACAGGCACACAGAGGTAGGGCTTTATACTTTGTGGCCAACCACACTGAAAACCCATTAAGGCATGACCTTTTGTATTGCAACCGGCCACATGCATGGACAATGCTTTGCCTTTCTTTGACCTTCAAAATAAGCAAAATCAGGTCACTTTTCGACGGCATAACTCGAGGGCGCATTGCATGGAAGAAAGGATTAGATTACTTTCAGTCCGTATCGTGGTTGCGAGACTAGAATTGCACTCACGATTACATCGATGCTTTGCCACTGCCAGGTCTGTTGACCTCATTTCGTAAGCAAGATAGCCACGCATTCATGGTGCAAATTTTCCCCCAATAGTTACCCACGCGTCATAAACGTGGGCCAAGTTTGTGGGCCCTCAATGGTTACTTACAGCCTTGTCGCTTCCCAAGTTGATGCTTGAAAGCTTGACTTTTGCAAGAGACGGGTTGCGCCTTCTGTGTAATGCGCTACCGAACCAGAGGGGTAGCAAATGGTGAAGGACGGGACATCCGAGGCTATCTGACGATGGAAGCTGTGATACGAAGTCCCTACGCAGGCGGAGTGACCTCAAGATCTCTATAAACGTGCTGTATTTCGATTTTAATGCAGGAAGACAAGATAGATCATATCATAACCCGAACAGAGTGAGAATATTTGAATATCCTTGATGTTCGGAGTGGAGCATAGTGTAGTTAATGGTCTTCAGGTACCCGAGTCTCCGAGGATTTTAGGGGATCAGATACTGAAAACTAAGCTGTAGAACCTATACTTAACATCAGCAACCGTAAAGACGGTCGTAAACAATAAGACATACTCTTGACTTAAACATGTCAGAATGGAAACGGGTTTCCTTCCACAGGTAACAAGCCATCCTCTAGCTGTTTATTGTGACATTCGTCTAAATAGTCTAAGATGCCTTCGAATGCGCTCTTGGCTTTATACCTTGATGATAACAAAATCAAGTCAGCCAAACTGAATGTCTATCGGGAGGGGCACCTACACGGCAACATCCTCCGGCCAGCTTCGAATCGCACTAGCCATTCGTCCCGGCACTCCAGGTTCTTCCACAAGCTGAGTTACAGGCGTCTGATAGACCCTAATCGTGAAAACGATGGCTCCAGATATTGGAAGTCTTCGAAGTGTCTGCCTTTCGGTGCGGAGCCACACCATGGACGGGGTAACGGCCATCAGACTCTTATCTTCCACCTCTCGGAGTGAGCCGTTGATATCACGAAGCCATCGTTTTCCCTCGGACTGAAGTAGGTCTTCGTCACCTTTCATCGTAGAAGCCCACCCAAGCTCGCTATAGTCTAGTCCTGTAGGGTCAGAGTCTTCGCGGACGGCTTGGAAAGAGTAGTTGTTCCGAATGACAGGTTTATCTACGGGCATGCGCCGGAAGAATCTGCCCATGCTAAGCTCCAATTTACTCTTATCTGCTGATCGTGAGTTTGAGAGTACGACATGACTCGGTAACTGACTTACATCGAGGGACACCACCTCTGGTATGTATTTCTTCCAAGGGCAGCCCAATCTTGTCCTCGAGACGCCATGTACCTATGACACGCTCAATCTGTGTACGATACCATGGTACGTGGAAAACGCACCAGCGTTGCAGAGCGCACACGCCTGCAAATAATAACGTCCATCCTCGCCTACAACGATTAAGTTCGACGTGATAGTCACGTAGATGTCAAGTGCTCACCTTCAACCATGATGGCAAGATCATCCTGAGTGCTGCGTACAGTACAGTAAGCGACAGCTGCACTTCTGGGCAGAGCATGGCAGGACACTTACAGGAGCGCAGCCGTAAGCAACGGGTCACCATCGGCCAAGGTAAACGTCTTGTTTAAGGGCACAATAGTGATATCCTTGATGTCACCCAATCCATACCAACCATAGGTCGACTTCTCACGAGGATATCGTGATACGGTATACATCGATGGATAACGCCTGAAAAGGTATTCTGCTAGCTCGTGAAGAAGCTCGACAGCTGACCCTGGGATTAGTCTTCGTGAATGGTATTTCACACGTAACTGCATACCTGCCAATTGTGCAGATCCCACGCCCAGGCGAGCGGGCAGAGTTCGAATCACACGGTCGCCCCGTGCAGCTATGCGAGCTTCTCTGAGCTTGTAATAATGTTGGAATTGGCAGTCAAGCTGCGACATAATTAAACTCTTGTTGATAACATGAGAAGCTTTTACTGACTACATACCTCAATCCATTCATCCCAGGGCATAGAGCGGATACCCATCGTTACGCTATCAGAAGCATGACATGAGAAACAATGGCAGTCGAAGGGAAGGAGGGCAATGGCTCACTGGTACTCGCCCCATTTGAACGGACGATAAGGAATAGGTTTCAAGGTCAAGGGATCTTCTGCGCAGGGCTGCACCTGCGGATAGTCAAATTGTACAGGCAACCACTCTGTCGAGGAAGAGAATATATTAGTCTGGCTTGGAAATAAATATACAAGTAAACTGCACATACGTCCAGCGGGGCGTTCAGGCTTCGAGCTATCGGAAGAATTCGAATGTACCGTAACGTCGCCTTTTAAAGGCGAGTCTTTCTTTGTGAGTCGGACGTACACAAGTAGGGACGCAACTAGCGCAGCACAAGCTAGAAAAGATAGCTCGAACCAAGTCAAAGGTTGAAGCATCCTGTTGACACAAGTGAAGAGATATCGATTGACATTCCCATTCGCTCTCTATATATACTGTGGAGCCTGGAGTAGCTTTCTCGTAAACTTCTAACCCATGACTCAAGGTTCAGCTGCTATCCAAGTTTCCTTGGAATAGTGTCCGGAAGTCCGACCTCGTCCGTCAAGAGCGATAAGATACACATTCAATACTACCAAAAGAAGGAGAGGGTGACGAGCTAGCAGATAGCGAAAGTCCTTGACTAGTGACTTCCTGTCCTCGAGCATTTAAATACGCCTGAAATAGAGCAAGCAGCATGAGCATAGTGGAAGTCACCGGACGTTCGGTATCGAAATACTGAAACATACCTCGACATCAAGACAACTTGACAGCAGAAGCGCTGGAAAGTGAAACCCTGTGAAACCGCACGTGACGTTCGTCGCTTATCAGCAGAAACAGGGACCCCGGATACTGCTGGGGTAGCCCGGGTCCCTGCCGCATCCGTCCACAGAGATTTGCCGACGCAGCGCACGACGTTCAAGCTCGAATTCAAGACTCATTCGAAGGCCCCTCGTTGCCACTACACGCTAAGTGAGTGTTCTATGTCGAATCTACGTCTCCCCAGGATCCCAAGGGTATGACTTTGGAGCCGAATGGTGGAGGTTGAGGGGATGGATGGCCGGAGGAGTGGACGGATGATGTTATGCGTGGATCGGCGAGTAGTTGAACAAGGATGCTGATTTTATTGTCCTGTAGCAGTCGGACAAAGTGCGAGCAATTACTTCGCAGTGCGTATCCAGAACCTTCGTCAATTTATGAAGCGCACTGAGAACTTGATTCAACTTTGTAGCTTCTTCCGCTTCAAGAACCAAACTCGCCCAGCATGATCATTTCCAAGCAGAACAGGCGCACTATCTATGAGAACCTCTTCAAGGGTGTGTCCAATAGCAAGGATAAATCATAAGAACGCATAGCTGACTGGATCGTCAATTGCAGAGGGTGTCTTGGTCGCCAAGAAGGATTACAATGCGCCGAAGCATGAGGAGCTTGATGTCCCTAACCTCGAGGTTATCAAGGCCATGCAGAGCCTTACCTCCAAGGGTCTCGTCAAGACCCAATTCTCCTGGCAGTGGTACTACTACATCTTGACCCCTGAGGGTGTCGAGTACCTGCGTGAATGGTGCGTTTGATCACTTTTCTTTCAGCCAAATATACCTACATCGACTCGCGTCTGATTGTCAGGCTCCACCTTCCCGCTGAGATTGTCCCCGCAACGCACAAAAAGGCCGCCCGTCCTCCTCGTCCCGCAGGCGTACGTGGCGCTGGTGAGGGAGCTGGCGCATACCGTGCTCCCCGTGGCGACCGTGATGAGTACAGGAAGAAGGAGAGCGCGCCTGGCGAGTACAGGCCACAATTTGCTGGTGTCGGTCGGGGAGCTCCCAGGGATTAAAGTACTCTCTGTCTCGCATGTTGTGGGATCGCATCCTGTATCGCACTCCCAGCTTGGATGTGAGGGGCAGAAGAGTTACGGGGGTTTCGCTGGTCAGGCACACTTTTTATGGTACATGGCACATCATGATCACTTATGGCTACGACATCGCTCCTCGCATCCTCGTCGACTGTCATCGCAAAATTGTAGTATGAGCATTCACATTTTCTTCTCTTTCCCTTTCATTCGCTTATGCTATGCTGCATCACTACAACTGCTTTATGAGGGGATTACGGATATTGACCTGCACTACCCGAAGATATCTGCAATATTCCGAGGTGCGTTGTCTTTTTTCGACTTTGCCCCTCTGTGGTCCGTGATCTGTTTGGTGAAGGAACTACGATTCGACTCGTTAGCATTAGGATTGGACGAGCAAAGAGCACGCAACTGACCTGACTCTACCACAACGCTTCGCCCCACTGACGAATAGCGCGGCGTTCATAGCTGCCAATTTATCCAGGATGCCCAGCACCCCAGAGTCTTCCAACAGCACGCCTTCATCATCGTCCTCTTCCAATACGTAGCCCTTCCCTTCCCTTTCCATTTCTTTCCGAACCCGATCTAGCTCTTCCGAGACCCCGGTAAGCCTCCAGTCTGCCAAAGTGCCACCTTGCCTGAATGCAGCAGTGAAGATGCCAATAGCTTCGATATGTTCGTGAGAGACAGACCGAAAGGTATTCGAACGTCGAGCAGAACTGGCGATTTGCATCAAGTTCTGCTGTCGTCCTCCGTCAGAACTCGAGTTTAGTACATCATCAGAGACGGCGGCGGCAGCTCCAGAGGAGATAGGCCAAGGGAAGTCACTAGCAAACCAGACTGTTTTGATACCAGAAGCCAGATTTGGATCTGAAAGGAGAGCAACGACAGTATCGACCAGAGCTTCGGCACAGTCTGGCAAAAGCGCAGGTATTACTGTTTCCATCCGCCAGTGGATGGCAAGGTAGGGTATGCGTGGTTGGACAAGTTTGCGAGCGAGAGCGTGTACCTTGGAAGAGTAATCGAGTGACATAGATTCTAGCAAGTGAGGATACGGGAAGTGTCGAGTGTCCCAGTGAAGGATGAGAACTTCTGGTGTGGCTTCGACAGCAGCGGAAAATTGTCGACGAGCTGCGAGGAAGGTCTCATCCTGCGTGAAGGCGTCTGCCAAGAATTGACCACCGAAGGAATCCACAGGAGGAAGGTGCACGGTCATAGGAGAGGACGCATCCAATTGTAGTTGTCGATATTTTGTGGATAGACACCGTACTTTGCGCAAGCGAGGATCCTCGAGGTCCAGAATGTCCTTGTCGGCGTAGACACTAAGTGCTTCACTTCCGTTTACACGGACCTTCTCCCTTGAAGCATCCTCTTCCACATCTGTTTTCTCGTCCACGAAAAGTAGTTGTCCCTTAGGACCGGTGGGACGCATCTCTAACCACGTTCGGAAATCATCCATCAACATAACTTTGCGGACACGACCCAGATCTTCTTCTCGTTTAGGACCAACGAAGCTTCCAACGTCATAGTAGACCTCGAAGTCCCATCGTCCGCAGGCACCGATCCTACTTCGGCCTACGTTCGGCAAGACCAGGGTACGGTTTAATGCTCGAGCCAGTTGTAGCACTTGAACAAGGTGCATTCGAGATCGAGATTCTTGCTCGCCTATCCACAGTGGTAACAGAATACGACAGGGAGAGACACCGCAGAATTGGGAGTCTACAGAGGAGACAGTTAGACCAGAGTAGAGGGCCTCCGGATCCGGACGTGTTTCGGGAATCGCGGTAACCATTGGGGGCCAGGGAACTTTACGAGTATCAGTAATATGAGCTTCTTTGCGGTTGTCATTCAACGGAGGTTCATCAAGTGTAGTCGCAAAGGTGTCCTGAGTCAGGGCGACAGATGTAGGCTTCTCGACCGTGCCCTCGACCGTGCCCTCGACAGGCTCTACAGGCTCGATAGGTCGTAAGAGATGTAATGAAGCGCGAAGATTAGAGTACCGAGAAGCGAATAGCCAGAATAACAGAAAACAGCAGGTCACGATGCAGAGAATGTAAACAAGTCGTCTAGTTCTTCGCCACGAAGAAAATCGGAAATCCTCATGTGATCTGCGCATGATAAGTCGCTTGGGAGATTCCTCGAGTTCTTTCCATGATATATTCCTCTGGCTGGGAGTTGTTTCAGGAGAGAAGTCGTGCGGCCAGTTATATGCACCTGCTTGTCGCCCAGGCCGTGATCGTAGCATGTACGCAGATGTACGCTCCAGGATAGCTAGTCGTCTAGATTTCGAAATTTGAGCCTTCAATTAGTATACGTACTATAGTCGCTAAAGGTAGGAACTAAGAAATAATAAAGAGTCAATATAAGCGGTTTCGAATGGTTTCGAAGGGGTTCAAGTTCAAGTTGCATCCTCGAGCGCTTGGCGCTTCTTGGTTTCATACCATAACTTGGTAGTTCCTGTTTTCTTGAAGGCCCCTATAGCCGTTAGACAAAGATATCCTGAGGAACAAGGGTTATCTACACTACTTGTGGGAGATCACCCTAGCCTGACTGTACCATTTTGGCGTGCATGAAGTCCACACTACAGCGAGTGTAATGTCCATATCTTTTCGTAGCGAAGAATACACGTAAGTGAGTATGTCTTTCATTTGCTGCATTTCATGTTTGTGACATATTCTTGCCGTTGAGAGTATGCTCACTTGTTGCTAATTTAGTTTATTGTGTAGAGACTCTGCCTGGCCGACTAATCAATGTGTATATAGGTCATACTTTTCGGTGTCATTGATGGGCAGCAACTATAGCTCGTAGAAGAAACTATCCCAAACCCGGCCTAGTAAGTGCTGCCATTTGTATCACATTGAAGGTTTATGTATGAGGACAAGGGTGTTGGATAATTCTACGGCGTATTCCGTATACAAAACAAGCCTCAGATGGGTGAAGAGGGCTTTTAGTCCATTTCCACGCCGTCCCGACTAGACTAAGAACCTCCTTTGTTGTAATCAGACTTCGTAAACGGAAGGAGCCCGGGGCAGGGGTCGGTGTTAGATGTGAGATTACGTTTCATTATACTCTATTGACATCTCACCGCTGTTTGCAGTGCAGAAAATACTGTTCACGTCGTTCCATCATGATCAGCTATGCTTTTTGTTGAGAACCCACGTGGAAACGTACGGACATGTCATATGGGTGTCCTGCGAAATCGCATCGCCTCCCTTTGCCCATCCAGGGGGATCATCGACGATAGATTTAAGGAAGGTTAAGGCAATGCAGGCAGGGGGGCTGATAGGTAACTATTTCGGCGACACGGTAAGGAAAGTAAGAAAATTACTAAAGTGATGGCAACGAACAGAAAGAAAAAGAACATGTGAGCGACTGAGGCGTGTGGGGCAAAGAGGAAGACATAGACATACTGGCGAGAAGCTATCTGTGGTGTCCTTATAACGGCATGTGGCGGTGGCGAAGAGGGCGGTTCGCGCTCTGTCTGGCCATTAATTGAGCAGATCAATGTCTGTGACGAAGGTCCGACCTGGGAAGCACATCTTCAATGGGCGATGTTGTGCGGCATACGCTTGCAATTTGATGAGGTAGTGGGTGACAGTCTCCAGCTCAAGGCCGCAAGCGAGGTACAACGGTGATTCCATCTTTTCGATACTCTCGATATTTATCACTAACATTACACCGGTCACTTGACAGTCTAGCAACAGATCGACTCGACAGCTGACAGATCATCAAGCCAAATCCAACCAGGCTATATATCTCTCATAACTTCTTGGGACACTTTGCATCCCTTATAATGCCTTCGATAGACTAGTTCATGCCCCTTAGTGCCTCCCAGAATGTTCCGCTTCATTATCACGCTGCTTGTCTTGTGCGGACTTGTATCTGCACAAGACTTTTCTGTCCCATCTGGCTGGCGAGTTTAGTTCTCGCAGTTTCTTCTTTTCCTGAATTGTTAATTTACTTATTCGTTCTATCTGTTCACTAGCATCCCAGTTCATCTAGAAGTGGGAGTGATCGAGCTGGACTCGCACAGGCCTTGCTCAGCACTGTCACTCCTCAGTTCAACTCAACGAGCGGACAATTGGATTGTATGTGCATTTTCAACACAGTCTCATTTTATGCTCATTGTACTGGATAGCGTTATTCTTCAATCAGAATGCAAACCTTCTCTCCGCAATATCTATCCACGCTATGATAGTACCAAGTAATGAGACAAATCTCCCGGTCGTTCTTGCCGCTCTCAAAGGTGCCTCTCAGAGTCAACCTGGATTCCTCACTCCTTCGTGAGTCTCATTGGAATCACCTTGTCTCTATCCCGGCTGACATTTAATAATTTTCAGAGTATGTCGTCTGCCTACCAGCCTTCTCCCTGAGATCGCAGGTTTTACGCATCTCGAGTTGTTGACTGAACTCTGCTTTTAGCGTCTGGATTTCGACTTAGAATTCAATGTGGACCCTTTGTAAGTTCTCAACACGTATCGACCTCCACATGCGCTCATAGAGTCATTACAGAACATGGGGTCTTGCTGCGCTTCATGCATACTGTTCGTATGCTGATTCATATTTTCTTGACACGGCGACTTCCATATGGCAGAACATGAGTGATTATCTTGTCTCGACTACCGATGCCGATATTAGATCGCACCCTTTTCGAAATACGACCTTCCAACAGGAATGCAACGGTAGTGAGTCTCGATCTTGAGCAAGATACCGGTTTCGTACTGAAAGAAGATATATAGCCTCGACTGCTGGGGCAGTATTTGTCGTATGCATCCTTCCTTGCATTTCAAGGGTCGATTTTAATTTTATGAACTAGATTGCGAATGACCCTATAGATCTCACCACGAATGCGGCAACAACGGGGTATGAAGATTTTCCTTCGTTGCTTACGTTCGGAAGCTCATGATGCTATGTGCCTGTAGTTCATTTATGACGTGAGATGATATTCCCTCTCGGTGACATATTCCACTCACCCTGGCGGGTCCAGGCTATCGGCGCGACTGTTCGAAGCAACCGGGAATACAACCTACCAGCTCGCAGCTCAACTCTCCGCGTGGTTCATTCAGTCCCATTTGTATGACGGCACTGTCATCATTGATACTTTCGACTTGTCAAACTGCACGGCTAACCTGGCCCAGGAGACGTACAACTCAGGTCTAGTCATTGAGGGTCTCAGTGTGTACGTGAACCAAACTAACAATGCGACCATGCGATCCTTGTGGGTGCACATTCCCAGCAATCAGTGTACAATCCTGATGGAGGACATTGTCTCTCAGCTTGAATGATCTGATATCGACTTCTATCAAGAATTCTACCTGGACGGGACTGGACGGAATCATCATAGAAGGTGCTGAACGTCATTTTCTCTCCTTCTGAGTGTATCTCAAGAGGGGCATTTCAGGACCTTCGCAAGACACTGTTGCAACCAACTACGATGGTGTAGCGTTCAAGGGTCTGGCTTCATGCGGTTTTTTTTTTTGCCACGTTAGATTTAACGTTGTCTTGGTATCCTTTTAGGTATCTTCGTCCGTGGGCTCTACGAAGCATGGTCACGAAGCCCCCAAGATTCTGACGTCGCAAAGTTAATTCAGAGTTATATAACTGTTCAAGTACGTCATAAGATTCGCTAGGTGCTGGTTTTCCTCACCTCATCATCATGAAGTACAACGCGTTGGTAGACCTCGCAAAAGCTCCCAGCAACGACTACTACGCTCCTCGATGGCAGGGTCCTCCTGCTGAATCCTTTCTACCGTGGGGTCAACTTGCAGCTCTCGATGTTCTAAATTCCGCTGCAGGCATGTCACAAGAACCGTCACCAAGGTCAGGGAGAAAGAAGTGTAATACACATTGTATTAATTCTTAAACCATCCAGTGTAACACCACCCTCGATAGCTTCTGCTACAACTACTGCCACTTCAACATCGCACCACGGTCTGGCTGCGGGAGCCATTGCCGGCGTTACCATAGGTGTAGTAGTGGTCGTTACTCTTATCGCAGCCTCAGCGATTTATCTGTACCGACGATGCTCGCCAAAGGTGACCGATATTACGTACTCAACACAAACGTCGTGGAGCCTTCCCGATCACCAGTATACTACAAATGTTACGCCCTTTTCTCAAACCCTCCCGGTTTCAGGTAAGGTGACAACAGTGTTGTATATTTGGTTTTCAAATATTTCATTTGCCGCAGCCGCGCCCTCCAAACTACAGAGCGAGGGTAGTTCAAGTCATGGTCTGCTTTCCCCGCCAGTGACCTCCACATCCCGATCACAGGAACCCCATGAAGAAGTCAGTAATGTCGCACAGAATTCGATTCCGGAACTGGTACAGCGTTTGAACCAGGCTATTGCACGATTACCACCGACAGCTCAAGTAGACGATATGGATGGACCTCCTCAATACGAGAGTATACGATAAGTACTGCACTTTGTATCGTACTTAGACGGTATCATCACTTATGAATATGCAATATTTGACCTCAGTAATGAATTCACCCGTGCAAGTGTCATATTGTTTGTACAGAGACACCCTCGCTTCGCCGTTAGGGCCAAAACTCGTGGCAGTCATTGACAGACAATAAAACCCCACTTGATTGAGCCCAGGCCACTCAAGACCTCTTTGAACTTTCCCCTCACCTTTGTCTGTGCACTCCGGCGCGCTACTTGACCCAATGTCACTCTACCACCCTCAGCTTCTGTCTAATGAAGGCCGTCATAGACTGCTTCGCCATGGGAGCTGGACTCCTCATCCTCTGTCGCGGATGGTTAGGCGAACCACAATCTACGACCTGCCCTACGAGCTTCTCTTCATTATCCGTGACGCTATACCCGAGTCCCATCTATTCACGCATATAGCCTTTTCTTCCACTTGCGTTGGTGTCCATGCTCTCTATGAGGATGAAGACTTCTGGCGCTGCGCGTGTTTGGCTTATGGTCTTGGTGTTTCAAGTCGCCCCGGCTCTCCGATGGCTGGTATGTCGTGGAGGCAGCTTGCAGGTGCCCAAGTTATCCATGCCGCTCGTTGCACAAATGAACGCGACTGCATACATTTCCTCTCTTATGAATGTAGGTACTGTCACTCTGTGTCACGTCGATGTTGTCTTACGGTCATTCTGTCGTGCTAGCCGTTCCAAGAGAGCTATACGATTATATATATTCACCAGGTCGGTACACTTGTGGTCTCTCGCTCTGGCGCAATCGCACTTGGCAAGACAGCATACCACTCACCCCAGAGACACTTCGAGAACGACAACTGTCGTGTCATGGTTTCCGTACTGTTATGGTGTTTGATCTTGGCCGTGAAGGTGACAGCACACGCTGGAAGTTCTACAACGTCCACGCAGCGAGTGTGGTTTGGGGTAATCTAGAGACCACTTGGAATCAGCATTTAGCCATTGCCAGCATGTTCGCTACTAACCCTCCTTTGACGCAGCTCAAGCTTAGGTTGTTTGATTGCCTCATTTTCTACGTCGAGAACCAGAATGGGGTGACCGTTTGGGATGTCCTCTCTAAAATTCAGAGCATGTACGTTTTCATCGTTTCTCCCAGATAACCGGGGCCGTCGTTGATTAAATTCCTTGCAGTTTAAGCGGCACCATGACTATGGCGGAGTTCATGGGAATTATGCATAATTGTGAAAACCTGCTTCCGGAGTTGCAGAGTTTTTCTTCCTTTCGTAGCAAGAATATGGCAGATGTGAAGAGGTGGTTCGAATTCTTGTACGTTATCGGTTTATTCTCTGGTCTTCGTTTCCGTTCACTAGATTAATGCTTATGTTATTCGACAGACGATCCAGAACGCAAGAAATAGGCAGTGCGGATTTCGATGAAGATCTTGCGAAAATAGATGACCTTCTTGCTCGATTGCAGGCCGTTCCGCAGCAGGCTCTCGAACATGTGTCTATACTGGAATATCTGCAGCTCAACGTTGACGAATAGTGAGTATATGATGTCCAACGGCTCGAGATCGAAGCTGAAGTGATTTCACCTAGCGGCAGTGAACCATTCACAGATATCCTTCAATCGTACGTCATCTGGAACCTACTCCCACTAGTAGCAGGGCCTAGATACAGAGACTGCCTTCGATACGAGAGCATATCATCACTTCTCCCAAACGTGTAAGTCAAGAAAACACCTAAAACTCGATGCGACTGATGCAATGGTCCAACAGGTTCTTTGGAGGTCTAAGGCAGAAGGAGCCAGGATCCACGACGTTCAACGTTATATGGCATTTTCCATCTGATCACAACGTCCGAAGTCTGTTGCACCGCTTGCAGAGGTCAAACACTTAGGAGACGGGGTCGTAGTGTACCGTCCCATTCTTTTCATTTTGTTCGACGAATTCATGTGAACCTCTCTCTTGTCATGTCTCTTCCGTAGTATACGGTGTGCATCATTACGCCCTGAGAATAATACGCAGATGCACTTTATATACTCATGCCCACAATAAGTAACCGGCGCTAGACGCCCAGCGTGTCATGTCGTGTCGATTTGCGGAGTGCGCAATATAATGTACACTCAATGGACAGTCCTACAAATGTATATACAGTATAATAGAGACCTACTCTACCTATATAAAATGTTAAAATTATTTGTGTCCACTGTCAACAGCCAGGACAGCCTGAACCATGTCTGGCATCCAGCTGATGTGCCTGTTCACTCTTTTATAGGTAATTCATTCCATACATAATGGACAGCAGCTTGGAGTGTTTTAAGGTATTTATAGGATGCTTTAGATTGTGCAGGGCTGAATCGAGCCCATCCCAAACACATTTGATTGGATTGAGGAATGAATTACTTATACAAGATGTGAACAGGCACATCAGCTGAATGCCAGACATAGTTCAGGCTGTCCTGGCTGTTGACAGTGGACACAGATAATTTTAACATTTTATATAGGTAGAGTAGGTCTCTATTATACTGTATATACATTTGTAGGACCGTCCATTGAGTGTACATTATATTGCGCACTCCGCAAATCGACGCGACATGACACGCTGGGCGTCTAGCGCCGGTTACTTATTGTGGGCATGAGTATATGGTAGTATATCGATATAGCGAGGTATCTCTGCCTCTAATTTGGCGGCTTCAACACTCACAAATATTAGCTCTCGAACAAGGACTCATCCGAAGCGATCGTAGCTGATGCGGAAAATACAGGTCAAAGGAAGTCAGTTGCAAACCAAATATCACAAGGCGGGCTGGACCTGACAGGAGGCGGATGGGGGGCAGGATGTGTATGGATAGATCAGTCTCGGAACCAGGTCGTAGACCTTGAAGGATAAGTTGAGAGACATGGATTCTAAAGATAAGGAACGGAAGGTGGTGTATCCTAGTGAGAGAATACAAGTTTGGCCGCGGTAAGCTGTCATTCTGCAGTTTTAGGCATTACGCAACCGCAACCTGATCTGGGGAGACAATATGAAAGCAAGTCCCTGCACTGATGGAGAAAGGGGCCATCTTATTAATTTCTGTTAGAAATGGCATAGGTTTTGGTATGAGCAGCAACTTTGGTGACTCGGATCGCTTTTAGTGATTTGAACATCCCTGACTGGAGTCCTATTCGGAGAGTAGTCGACCCGTGTGTTTAGGTCACGTTCATGTCATGATCATAGCATTTATGGTCGAGAGTGAACATGCAGTTGGAATCCCTGATATAAGATATGGGAGTGAAGTCAAAAGCAGGCGATAGGCCTTATACACACGGAGATGTGAATGGTTCACATTCAAGAAACGTTCACTGGCGCTTAAGTTATAGTCTTGAGCTCTTTATTAACTGCATCCCTCTCGCTGAGTTCTACCTCCATCCTACACCTTATTCGGTGTCTGATATTGAGGACAAGACGTAGGTGGAACGCTTTATATAGTATTACCAAAGTACGTTCGCCTTCTCGTATTTCGTACGCCGCCACCGTCACGATATCTAGTCGTTCACACAACGTTGAATAAGAGGATTGTAATGTTATGATCTTCAGAATATGTTGTCTTCCAAATGTGAAACTGACAATTTTTTGAATAGATTGTTGTCTGCAACAATTACGTCTCTGTAGACAGTTATGATTCCTCCAATGGCTCGGGCACTTGTCCGGAATACCCCTACATTGGCACCAATACCACATAGAGGGATTATATCCGTGACGGGACCGCATGCACTGGACTTTCTCAACGGCATTGTCTCCTCGACCATTCCATCCGACTCAAATCGCCATTTCTTCTCCGCTTTTCTACATGCGCAGGCACGTTCTCTCGTACATTCCGGAGAATAGTACCCTGAGTTCTCACCCTAGGGTAGAGTCCTCTACGATGTGTTTGTATACGCCAACCCATCTCCGGATGGCCGAAGAGGGCACCTCATCGAATTCGACAGTCGATCGTCTGAAGCACCTCCCTTGCTCTCAATGTTGAAACGATACGTTCTTCGGTCCAAGGTCAAGATATCGGACGTCTCTGACCAATACGATGTCTGGGCTGCCTGGGGCTCTGATATAGAGAAGTCTTGGGAGAATGAGCGACATTGGACTGTCGCAAGAAGCGGTGCTGCAGAACCTGTCTGGGATGCTGATGCCAATTGGCCATGGGGTACAGATTCACTCAAAATTCGTGACCGGAGAGGGGTAGGGTTGGGCTACCGGTTGCTAGTTAGAAGGGGTGATAGACGTATGATTGCGTTGCATCCTGTCTTGTTAAGCCCTCACCGATGTTTCAGCGCAGGAATCATCAACTCATGACACACAATCATCAGAAGCATACACTTTGCATCGTTTCCTCCATGGTGTACCTGAGGGTGTAACGGATATTGTTCCGACACAAGCATTTCCGATGGACTCCAACTTAGATATCATGGGCGGTCGTGAGTTACCCGTCAATTTATTACCACTTGCACACGGTTTAATGTTCCTTGCAGTTGACTTCCGCAAGGGTTGTTATGTTGGACAAGAATTGACAGTGCGGACATATCATACGGGCGTAGTCCGGAAGCGCATCTTCCCTGTTGTTGTTCATCATCCAGATCATGGGTGAGCTATTTAGATATTTGAACCCCACTATGCGAACTCATCGGACATGACTACAAACAGGATAGACGATGTCAAAGCTTCAAGTCATCATTCGTTCCCTGCAGGTCTCGACATCCGCCCCAACGTTATTCACGCGCCTGGAGATAATACTGGCACTAGGGCAAGACCACGGGGTACCGGGAAATTGTTGACCACATTGCAGGGTGTTGGACTGGCTCTGCTGCGTTTGGAACATGTTGATGCTTTCGAACATGGAGAATTGAAGCTTACTTTCGAAAGTGAAGATGCGGACGCAAGCAAGACGTTGTGGGGAGTTACGCCTTGGAGACCATCTTGGTGGCCGAGACTTATAAACGAGGATGAAGATCACTAGAGCGAGCAACCTGAAAAGCAAATCAGTATCTACCTATCGTGATATATTCAATCATCATATGGCATATGTTTCAAAGGTTGTGGTCATGAGCTGCCAAACCTCGAGACCACGCGTACCAACCCCTTTGAGTGGTTGACGGTTTGGGTGCTGTAGTATCTTTACGTTTGTCATGGTGCGTCTTCACTCGCGTACATTGGTCTTTGCCCCGGTCTCTTGAATACTCGATCGCACCTGACACCGAATAGATCAAGGCTTTGACTACGTGGCGCTTGGAGTGCATGGTGGGTGGAAATGGCGGTGACAACTCGTAAGACCATAGTCAATGAGTTTCCTAGGATGCGGATGGGAGATCACAGAACGCCCGGTTACAGCCAACTTCGGGAGAGTTTCAACAACTCGCACACATCCTCTCGCATCGTGCTGTTCATTGGCAGTGCAAACCGACGGCACACACTTGGAAGGTGGATGGAACGCGTGTCACGCGTTTCCGGCCTCATCTCACTAGTCAGCCGCCGCCTTTTCTACCTTCGGTCGTTTTGTATCATTTTCTACAAGGGCTCCTCTACCTCCCAAATACAGCCTTACACTCCCTTCAATGTCTCGTTCGTCAGCCCCACCATCTACACTGAATCAGAGTGAGTCTGTTCACATCAACAAACCACAGGAAATTGTCAGGATGAGTTTCTTGATTCGAACAGCTCTCAGGATCTATAAGAATAGATGCACCCACAGCTACATGAAATGACATTGTATTAATGGTATCATAAGCTGTTACAACTCCGATATTACTATCACTCTATCCTTCCTCGCAGCCACCCAAGGAGACCCTTGGTGCCTTCTCGTTCCCAGACTCTTCTCGGTGGAACACGGAACCTAGAATCAGTTACAGTGAGAAGATATGTCGTGGATAAGTGAAACTAATCACTCACACATTGCCATCAACCAAGAGCACGTCCAACGGGAGTAACCCAAGCTCCGGGGGTAGCCTCCCGATCTCGTTGTCTCTCACATCTAACTCCTCCAGTTTCCAGCTCTCGACGTCCCGACCATCTTTGTGACCTTTGAACAGCCCTGAGACCGAGATGAATCCATCCAAATTCGAAAGCTTGTTCCCTCGTAATCGGAGATGTCGCAAGCCCTTTCGAGGTTGAGTTTCGATATTGTTGGTCGCGAGGATTAGGGATGATAAGACATCGCCGCCAAGCGCATCGGAGGTCAAATTATTATATGAGAGGTCCAACGTCCTCAAGTTAGGGAACAGCTTGACGAGAAGCGGCAGTAGAAGTTCATTTGTTCTCGCGGCATTGGCATCCTGCGACCTAGAGACGGATACCGTATTGCCCAGATTACAATCCTGCAGGCTAAGCTCCTCCAACTGAGGCAGGAACGGACTGCCGCTCTCGTCTAAAGGCAGATTGAAAGATGGGTCCATTCGGCGATTATTGAGAATCAGGCTTTTGAGAGTTGATGCGAACGATTGTATTGCGATAACTGCCAATGGAAGCGTTGGCGTCGGAATAGCGAGCGCAAGGTCCGATGAGGATGCAGGAACTCCGGAAGATGACGACTTGGCAGGTGCAAATGAGAATGATCGAGCATGCCCAAAGGCATTCTTCATAGTCAGCGCGACAGATGCCGGGAGTGTCAATGTTTGTGTAGCAACATTGTAATACTGTGGATTCGATAGGGCGGACCCGGAAGATGCTGTAGGCGAAGGCGTTGCGCTTGCTACAGGTGTGCTCGGATTCTCGGGGGAAGGGGACACGGAAAGACTGGCCGCCATCGCTGCTGCCCTGGCTCGTCGGCGTCCACCAGCGGTAAGGAGCCCCATCTCGGCTTCGATCTCCCAGGGTTCCTTTTGCACTTGAACTGGCTGCGGTTTGTTGGATGGCGGATTGGAAGTAGAAGGGGATGCAGCATGTGTGGCAGCAAGGGCCCTGGCCCGTCTCTTGGCACCCTCAGTCAAAAGACCCTGCTCAGCTTCGATTTCCCAAGCTTCTTTCGCCGCTTCTTGTTTTGCAGGTCGGATAGCGCTAGTCAAAGTCTTCGTGGGTGTACTAAAGTAGGTCTCTTCGCTCGTATCTAAGTTGACATTTCGTGCCCTGTTTAGTCTTGCTGCGACCCTACGCTCGGCCTCGATTTCCCAAGCTTCTTTGATTATCTTCTTCCCCACAATGACCCGCAGAACGCCTTCGGCTTTAGGAGGACCAGCTGTGATATCAAAATCCAAGGTCTTGCGCAAGACGTTCGGGAGTAGAGCGGCTTCAATGGCAGGTTTGGTAACATGTGTCTCTCCGATGTCGAGCACTGTGAGTCTGGCAAAAGGCGGCGGTGAAGAACTGGCAGAGAACAAATTTGCAGGGAAGGAATTGTTGCCAATATCGGCATGCTCAGCTTTGAGTTCCTGGAGGTTCTTCAGCAACGAGAGGGCTCGCAAAAGGGCAGTAGATTCGCCCAACGGATTGAAACTTAGATCCAATTTCATCAAGCCCTCCGGTAACCAAACACCATCACCTTGACCAGACTGAACGCTGCGACGATGGTCAACAGATTGTGCTGTGATGCAATTGTACGACACATCCAAGGTCGTCAACTTCGGTAACGGCTTTACGGCGCGAGTGATGTTCTGACCATACCAATCACCCCTAGGATCAACGGTTCGTGAGAGTGGGTTGGAATCCGAAGAAGTGAATGGACTGGAGAATGGAAGCGCAACGAGCACGTTGTGTGACAGGTTAAGGGTTGTCAGGTTTGGCAGAGCCCAGAGGTTCGTAGGTAATGACTGTAGTTGGTTGTGCGAAAGATCAAGAATAGTGAGAGCGGTCAGATCGGCAAACGTGTCGGGCAAGTATGTCAGTTTGTTGTTGTGCAGCTGATTAACGAGTATCGATGAGAATTATAGCCCGCATGCCGATGGCAACATAAAAAGCATACATCTATCGTCTTGAGCGACCCAAACATGTTGATCTCCGGTTGAACTTCAACTATTTCATTTGACCATGCCTTGATTATCTCTAAATCTTGGGCTTCGTACCACGATGGGCCTTGATGACTTGTACCTTTGCGACGCGAGGTAGTAGGCTCATCCGACGTGGCATTTGTAATTGGCGGCTCGACAGGAACCAGCTTCAGAGGTTCTGGCGTAATGCCGAGATGTATCTCGAAAAGAGCTGAAGGTAAACAGGGCAGACATCGGGACGCGAGATTCAGAGCACCTGAACGAATGTGTTGATCAATACAAGAGTAAAAATGGAAGCATATATGGAAAAGGTAAGAAGATACATTTCGCGTGATTAGCCCCCAGAATCACGTTAACGCGTCCGTGCACTGCAGCATGATAAATGTATCAAGAGTTGGATGGTAGCTCTCGATTCACGCACCAGCTTACAGCGGTCCTAGCAGCCGGTCAGACCAGCAATGAGCTGATGGCGCAGTTCGATAACAAGGTCATGACAGACTCTCTAGAATACTTGAATACTATAAACAAGAGCTCAGCGTACAAGATGAAGGAAGAACACGCGTGAACGATATGAGAAAATGAACAGTATGCAGAAGATAGCAGAAAGTTGGAGCCAAGGCACTTACCTGAGGAACGAGCGCGTTCAATCGTCTCCTTCACTGACCATCGGCCAAGATCAAACATATCCTCTTGAGGACTAACGGGCAAGGCGTCCTCCAGACCTTCCAAATCCAAACCACTCGTCTTTGCTGGAGATGCTTTGGCCTTCTGAGCTTCCGCCCTCTTGAGGGCTATCTGCTCCTTGATGCTAAGGGTCGGTACCTTTGGTACTGGCGGTACATCTTCTATAGGCGATGTGCGACGCGCGGTCTTGGATGGTGATTTGAGGCTCTTGGAACTTGCCTGCTTTCGCAGCGTGGGCGTTGGACTACTTGGTGGTCTAATGCGTGACGTTGTAGACGTGGTCGCTGTACGGGACGAGGGTCTCAGCGAGGATTTTGCAGGGGAGGACGGAGTAGACCGCGTAGAAGGATTGGGTATACGAGACATCAGGGTATAAAGTCAAGATGGCAAGACGACGAGGATTTCCCAAATTGGTATTCTTGCATGTGTTCGGACTTCGAGCGCCCTTCCCAATCTTTTCCTCTACAACACCACAAAGTCATTAGATTCTATATACAAGGATAACCATCATTTCAAGATATAAGTGTATCGTTACAATTCGTTATCGCTATTCGGGTTAATCAACGTCAATTTTATAATCTACCAACTTCCTCTTCGACGGCAGGAGGAGGCTTCTTTACTGCATCATCAAGACTTTCCACCGAAATCGAGCTATCTGGGGTCTCTGGTCTCAGAGCCCTTGCTTTACGTTCGTCGCGACGTTGAAGGACCAAGGTAGCGAGAGCTACGCAGACTAACAAAAGCGGAGTCTTCTCAGCTTATACGCTACAGAAGGCGCTAACATAGAACTCACCCATGGCAAACGAGAGGCACGCCGTTGTAATATTCCCTTTCAGAACCCTGCAATGCGTGCGTAAGGAGGCATTATATGGTTTGAATCTATACGGGAACTTACTTAGGTTGTTCTACTTGAGGGAATATAACGCTGTAATGACTTGTGTAAGTATAACTGGGTCCGGAGGCAGTTTGCGCAATACGTACATAGGCAGCCAGGCCTGGAATACGTACGCAAACGTATTACAGCAAGCTACGATAAACGAACGTTCTGTAGAAAGAATGCTCGTGAGGCAACGATCATGGGCGAAACGAAAGTTCAAACATACTTTCGTTGTCGTGGCTATTCAACTCATTTGCCCACGCGAGGATCAGACCGGATAAACCGCCTTGGACAGCAGTCTGTACAGGGAAATGAATATACAATGAAGAAGAAAGAAAAGATACACTTACAAAATAATAGAACGTCCAGCGTCGTGCAATATGCTCATACAAAGGACTCGCAGCGAGAACGATACAGTTTGTAGTTTGCCATAGCTAGAGTGACATGAGTATGTTGTGTGGAGCAAGAGCGGCACCACGCTTACGCCTGCGAGAACTATCGGAGGCCAGCGAGCACCGACTCCGTCGGACCACCACGCCCATATAAGAGCTACGAGGGAAGCGTTAAGATGATCGTCGGATTATGGGAGAACTCCATGTTACGTACTGGTCACGATCTGCATTCCTTGTATACCGAGAGGGTATGTGTTGATTTGTCCAACAGTGTAAACCTGGTTACCAGAAGTGTTGAAACTTTGGAGCCTGTTCCAAGTTTTCAAGTGTGAATCTATGGAAAACAGACATGTGAAACATACCAGAAAATCATAGATGTGGCTGGGCCGCCGGAGTTATTGAACTAACGAAAGAGAATAGTCAGAAGATATATAGCCGTGGATTCATATCAACCTACCAGAATGTATACTGCAGAGAGTGCGTTGAACACGACAATCATGAGCGATGATAAATCACTTACGTGGGACAAGGAGGTAGATGTGCCAGGTTTTGAAGAATCCGATAACCTTTTCTCTCGTGAACTTCGCTGGCGGTTTGCGACCGACCTCTGCCATTCGCCTATTCGCTATGTCGATCTGTCTCTGAGTGTAGAAGATTGACGGTTTAGTGGTTGATGGCAAATCTAGTGAGGAACATTAACGCTTTTCGTCTGCCTTTCTTTGCGCATAAACTTACCAGGCATGATGAAGAAACCCAAAAGTGCTATAGGCAGTGTGATAATCCCGTCGATGATGAAGAGCCCTGCGATGTCAACTGATTAAGCGAAAAGGCGCACGTGAAAGGAAAGAGTGACAAACATCTCCACCCGGATAGCCCATGTATGCCATTGAGGCCATTATAAGCCCCTGCCTGCAGAAATCCGCTGAACATGGGTCCAATAGCGCTAGCCGTCTGTGACCATGGGTTTAGCTCTGCCTCAGAAATCTCAAGCATCCGTAATGAAAATAGACGTACATGGAAGATACATGCTCGTTTCCCGAGTTCATCACCTTTATACCAACTTCCAATGACATACTGGATTGCGGGGTAGAAGGTTGACTCGGCCAAACCTGATTATTCCGGCAATGGTTAGAGAAACGCGAAGTGTAACGGGTGATGACTCACCAACGAAGAAGCGAACAGCAATAAGAGTCTCAAAGTTCTTCGCCGATGCCAAGACCATCGTAAGTGAGCTCCAGATTACTTCCATGAGAGGGATCTAAGTGGTCCATTAAGTCACAGAAGTTGAGGCATAGCGGATACCTTGCCTACCCATATCGACGGACGGATACGAGTGATCAGAAGACTGCGCAAGTGAGCCTCAGGAAACGTTGGATGCAAAGAGACCGCACGTACTTCGATGGAATCTGCCCGATAACATATCCACACGTCCAAGCAGTTGTGATATAGTTCAACTGGTTCCCATGCCTGTCACAAATAAATCACAACATAGTGAGGAGAGGCATTCGTGAGACATACAATCCGAGCCTGCAGTCAGGTGCGTAAGTACACAAATGGATCTATATGAAACAAGCTCACTCGTCTTTCATGCCAGACACATAGGCATTCTATTCGACGTTCGTCAGTGTGCAAGAATCTCAGTGGGCAGAATAGAGGTCGTACTGTGACGTTCTGTTGATCCAAATATGTATAATTCCAAGGAGGTTAGGCTCTGCACTTTAAGGATGACCAAGTAGATACTTATTTGCTGAAATACGAGAGTGCCGCGTATGTCAAAAGTAAAGCATCCAATTTGGCCAAGAACTGCCGCTCTTCTGGAGGCTTGTCCCAGGTATCCCTAACAACACATCAGCAACCTGCTTGTCTCTAAAATCATAAGTTTTTACCAGATGTAGCTTCGAAGGGGTCGGCGGCCCTGTATCTTGCTCTTCCCCATGATGCGACGAGAAGAAGGATCTGCAGAGTCAAAACCTGAAGTCGAATTCGACCTCAGAAGTGGATGTAATTCAGAACCTGTTGACTTATAGTGAGCAAATACTTAAAGCGTCAATACTGCAGCCATTGAGAAGGTGAATGGCATCATTACGGACGGGTTCGCTATCTTCGCGCCAAGGGAGAGGATTGGAGATAGAAACGTACCTGAGTCCACTGCATCTGGTGACCCATCACAAAAATAAGACCTAGGTTGAATGTATCCGACGGTCCGCACACGGTCGACGGCAATATGGAACATCGTTAGGCTCCACGAAACAATCTCTTTGGAAGCCAGCATGTTGCAAAAGCACGCAACGAATTATGTCTCATTGGCCTTCGATGTAAAGATACCAAAAAGCAGTGTTTATCAAAGGTCACTGGGTGGTATTGATGGGCGTTAGAACGAGGTTTGCACCATCGGACATGAGAATGAGGTGACACGAACCAGTATCCGCTTCATTACCCACATGAAGTGCTTCGAGAGCCATTCTTATCTCAGCGAAGCATGACAAAGGAATAAAAACCCAACACCACAGTAGAGCGAGATGTACAACCTCCTCTGCCCTTCTGCAACTTCGAGAGAGAGCTTTGCACGTACAATCTGAGTACTTGCCTAAATCGTCCACTTGACGCCCACAAACAATGCCAGTCCCAACACCCGAACTTGGCTCCTTCAACTTTGTCCCAGAGACGAAGGTAAGCAAATTCACATGGCTTGGCGAGACGAATACCGAGCACGAAAACTCGCAGGAAAACCTTGACTGGGCAGATCTGATCACTATTGACCTCAGTCTTTTCGGAACCCCGGAAGGCAAGAAGGAACTTGCCAAAACCCTCGTCAAAGGTGTTCGCGAAGATGGCTTCTTCTACGTGAAGAACTTCAATATCTCTCAAGAACGCGTGAACAGGCAATTCGCGCTTGGGAAACGTTTCTACGAGCTCCCTCTCGAGGAGAAGCTCAAGTATGTCCCAGAAGGCTTGGGTGAGCATTGATTCCGTGATGACCCAAGGTATTGACGTTGAATAAGCCTCCAATAGATAACGGTGCATTCAATGGATATGTTCCTGCTGGAAGACGCATGTAAGTACAACTATCATATAGAGAAAGCGTCGCTGACCTCTTTCAGCTTGGATGCTGCCTCCGGTTTGCGAGATCGCACTGAAGTCTATAACATCCCCAGTACGTGACGATACTGTTTTGAATAGATGATAGGATCCTGATCACTTTTAGAATTCAACGGGGACTTTGAGCACAAACATCCGAAGATAGTCCAGGACTTCCTTCCAGAGATTGAGGAGTTCGCCAGGGTAGGTTTCGTTTTCGACAGAGTTATGCCTGGATCCTTAAATCGTTTGTAGTCGTTGCATTCGGAAGTGTTGGATCCTCTGCACGTGCTGCTTGCTATTGCACTCGAGCTGCCGGAGGACTATTTCACGAACATCCACAAGTACGAAGTCAAGAGCGAGGTAAGTCATTTGCACTACATCTAGAGGAACGTAATGCTTACAGATCTCCGCCGGCGAATAGGATCACTTGCGTTACATGAAGTACAGTAAGTATACCCCAGAAGAGAACATTAAGCTCGGCCGTCTGTGGGGTCGAGGCCACACCGATCTCGGGACTTGGACACTTCTATTCCGTCAGCCTGTTGCGGCGCTGCAAATCCAGAACCATATAACTGGTGAATGGAAGTGGGTCAAACCGCAGGATGCCACCCTCACCGTCAATGCAAGCGATGCCCTCTCGCTCTTAACCGGCGGATATGTCAAGAGTACCATTCATCGGTGTGTTGCCTTACTGGTCCGGTTGTACGTAGCATCCTGAACCAACCCATCCAGTGTGGCTGCTCCACCCAAAGACCAGGAGCATGTTGACCGACTCGGATTGCTCTATTTCTCCCGGTGAGGCGCAGAGGTTCACCTGGTCATAACTGTGAGACTGACATGAACATCTCAGGCCTAACAACGATGTTCCTCTTGCTACCGTCAAGGAATCTCCCGTTCTTCAACGTGAGGGCTACACACAGAACAACTTCGAGAAGACTGGTAACCCTGTCCCGACCATGGAACGTAAGTGCATGCCGAACTGTACTTCAGGCAGCGTGCTCACTTGGCAATGTAGAATGGACGTTCGCCAAGCAGAAGTGGCAGCGCACAAAAGGTGCCGTTCGGGGGGACCCTAATTTCGAGACCGCCCAAATTCTCCCTGGCTGGAACGAAAAGGTATATGCTTGAGTACGAGAAAGCTTTGATCCATCTGCTCCAGAACTTTGAAGGAACAGTTATATCGATTTGTGGCGATGGCAGAATGTACCTGTATCTAATGGCACCAATTGACCTGAACAAATTGAAAGAAAAGAGTGAAAGCTGAATTGCCACTTGACTTCTTTGCGAAATACTGGTTTCATACGCTGTGCACAATGTAACATTAACGAATGAGCCGCATAAGATTAAATCGAATAACGTACAACGGTCAGTAACGTCGCAAATAGCAGATAGCAAATATTAACGGATATCAGGAGATTGGACAACATGTCTTAGACTGGCCTCTAAGAGCCCACCGACTATTGAGTTTGATCAGCAGCCTCTCCATCTCATCCACGGCATTCAACAGCGAGAAACGCGTGAATAAGACCGCATAACGCCAGTCGAGACGAGCTGCAAAGAAGTCCACATATCGTAGGGAATGGTAGGATGTCCGATATTCGGCGACTTATCGTATACACCGACGCGATGGAAACGTCTTCAACCTTGTAGAACACTCATGGGTTCATGGCGAAGAGGACTCTAGCATCGAAGATATCGTCATGTTGTATAGATTCGGCGTGATTGTACACATGTGACTCATATATGGCCAGAATGCGAATTGACAGAACATGATGGTAATCCGAGTGCTTTCGAATGTTGAATATGGATCCACCAGTATCAATATTCCATCAATCACTCCTTGGCTAAACAGACATCAGTAACGGCCTGACAGTGAGAGAGGATTTTGAAGATGAATTGAAAGAGTCAACCGCGTTGGACGTTTTCTGTCTCAGCTCGAGCGCCTAATACTGATCAAAATAATGTACTAGGCTAGGCAGCCATAAAAAGTAAGTCTAATAGTTGACAGGAAACCGTCCCGAGGTATACTTATGAGTCGTCATAAATATCTACTGGCCGTGGAGAATTTATGTCTTGACTGCGATACCGAGTCTCTCCGAGACCCAAGTCTCAAATGCTGCAGACAAAAGCATGTGAATAAATGCAACGCGCCGTACAGAGACCGCCTGCTTACAGTAGTCAGCAATGTCACAAATAATCCCATCAGCGTCGCGTAGTAACGACGAAGTCTCTTTCAAGAAACGGATTTTGGCCTGAGAGAATGAGTTCTTGGAGAAGAGAATAGTCACTGTCTTGACTCTACCACTTCTCACAATCGCAATCATATTACTTCGCAATTGTGGGTGTGCGTGGATCCCAGGCAATGTAATGCACAACGTAAGAGAATTAAGAGAGGGCGGAAGCCATATGTCTGCTGGCAAAACCCAGTCAGCATCGTGAATAAATGCCAAATGTCGTAGAGTATGACAGTGCGTCCAGCATTTGACATATTCAGGGTGCGAGCCGACATGATGAAATGTCTCCAGTTTCTGAAGGCATGCCTCTTCAATATGAACATAGGAGAAATTATCATAAAGTTCCAGGCACGTTAAAGCTGGCAACGATACAGAAGGTATCGTCAATGCCCGGCCATGTCCCAGGACCATACAATCGACAATTTGTAATGTCTTCAGTTGCGGGAGGGAGGGAAAGCTATACTCCGCAGTAAAAGACACGGTATGAAGAGACAGTGTGACGAGGTTGGGTAGCGTGAGCAAAGGGGAAGGGGGTGCATCATCCACAAGGAAAGGACCTCCGTCTATCACAAGGGTGCGGAGTGTTGAGGCAGACGTGCCTGTTAGAACGGTAGTGGCTTGTGTAGATCTATGGTAATTAAAGATGATGAGGGAGGAGAGTGGACTAATCGATGGGAGAAGAACGGAGAGTGAATCCAATGCTCGCTGGAACTCTTGCTTCGTTTTCAACGAGACTGAGGTACCAGAGTCGGAAGGAAGATAAACCATGATAACCACATGTTGGACGAGCGCACTCAAGTCGCGAGTCTTTGCGAGTGTTCTTGAGAACAGCTTGATGACACGTGAGCTGGACAAGACGGGATAAAGATACAAAACTGGAATCCCGCCTCTGTACCACGATCTACAACTCGAGAGAGCGCATGATAAGGCAAATTGCCCCGCCGTTGCATGGCGGAAACGCTGTAGAGCACATTCGTCCTTCGGAAAAGGAAACTGTTCGTTTAGGTATGACGACACCAAGAACCGACATATGTCTTCCACTAGCTCAGGTGGAAGACGCTGCGCGGCCGACCAACAGGTAGAATCCGCAGCAAGATCCCGGGAAGCTCTGGTTCTCGACCATTTCGTGTACAAAAGTGCGGAGACGAGGCGTCGCCAAGCTCTGAATCGATCGAACTTCATGGCTGTGAATGTGATAATAGGACCAATGGTCAATTCCAGTTAGGGCTTTCGTCTGTTCTTGTCCACCGATTCATGAGATCGATGGAGAAGTGTATCGAGCATTGTGCGACTGACCTCTTTCAATTCGCTGAGCGGATTAGATGATGTGGTGTGAGTCGCAATGGGATCTTCTCATGCACACACATGCCAATCGTTACCCGCTTGATCGTTTTTGGTACAATGGAGTTATTGGAGAAACACGAAAGTACCAGCGAAGGCAGCCAAAGCCGCGGCTTCTACAACATCTGAGGAGAACAATACGCAATCAGCGCCATGCTTATTCTTAGATCCTCCGCTCACCCAGGATCATGATAACAAACCCAGAAGGCTTCTTATACTTACTGCGTGTAGTGGTCATCTGTTATATCGGTATTTCAAGTCTCCCAGGCATGATCAAGGCTGTGGGCGACAATCTGCCATATACGACTTAAAAGGTTCTTCTTTGATCGTCATCTGCCTGCTCTGTGACATCCGGCCTTGTACGGAGCCTACGCAGATACTGCACTGTTGCTCGCAACCTCGTTGGACTCCTGGGACCCTCGTGTGGATTGAATGCCGGTGATTGGCAATGTTTCATGGTTAGAGCCGCTATAATGTGGAAGGTATCTTCGTGGTGAAGTGTCATTTTGATACGTTTCATTCTAAGTGTGCTACGTCAGCGATATTGTGGTTTACAATCTGGAGTCCTGCCTTCTTGCCGGTGGCTGCTGCATACGCTCGAGATGCACAGAAATTGATTGGACTCGGTGCCGTATGTGGAATGTTACTAAAAACGTCGGCAATTTTCCGTATAAGGGCTTTGGCAAAAAGAACATTCCGGACTCAATGACCGACCCCGATCTCAGATCCTTTCGATCGTCGAGGAAATTGATGCCTAAATGTTTCTTTTCTTTTCTTTTGCGCCCTTACCCCTAGCAGCCCGCTTTGTAGCTCCAACCTTTCTTTGCCTGCCCTATGGAGTTCTTTGCATTACCGCTAGATGATAGCCACTGCTATCATGCGCTTCGATTCAAGGTGTAACGCCGTCACTATTTCAATGTAAGCTACCAAACTTCCATCAGATGGCCTGGAGTACCTCGCACCAAGACGATAACTTTTCGCACGACGGCGAAAAGGCCAGCACCCTCGTCGCGTGAAGGCGATGGGGAGCTCGCGGAGTACAGGTCACGGAACAAATGGTTTTTTACCCTCTAGTCGCACCGCCGCGGGACGAGGACGCAAATTTGCATACGGCCAACGTACCCCAAGGGAGTCGGGTGTTACCCGGAATCCGGGGTTCGTGAACTTTTCCGGAAGATTTGATGTACATAAGGTGAACGACCTCAACATGGAGGATCAAAGCCACCTCAAATCGGTCTCATCCCTTCAACGGCGCCTGCATATCTTCGACTTCGACTCTGCTCTGGCAGTTGAGCTTCACGTCAACGTCTAAATTACACCAGTGCCAACTGTCGCTTCTCTCTTGCAAGTACTGTCTTCACGATTACTTCCAAGCAACTGGCCTTCTCCCATTAACGCTGTATATCACTCTAACGACCCACGCTTCATGGATTCTTACGCCCCTTCACCCGCCCACTTCACTTCTTCACGCGAGATCGAGCCAATCCCCGTGCAGACATTATCACAGGCTCAACTTCATTCACATCCGCTGTTCTCGAGCAACAACAGTGTTACGAATCGCATGAGTTGGTCTGAACAGTTCGAGTACGTCCCGTTCGCTTCGTGGATTTCTGTGACTGCGTACTCATGATCCCATAGTACCTTTACGGCTTCGCAGACATTTCCCATGAGCTCTTCCCTTCAGCTCTCAAGATCCCCTTCTCCCTGTCCGATCTCCCTGTCACCCGCTCCGTTCAGCCCTGGCGGCTACTTTAATCACGTCCATACACTCGAGCAGGACTTCGTAAGTACTCTTCTCCTTGACGTCGATATACATGATTTTTTCTGACATTGTGTTGGCGAACATAGTGTTCGAATTTCTCCTGCTGTGGCTTGTGTCTGGCAGGCATGCATCAACTTATCGATCATTTTGAAGAAAACCATGCCGTCGTTTTTGGCAAGGACGGACGGCCGATATATCCTGTCACCGAAGATACCACTACTCCCCAGACTAGTTCGGATTCTGACATGTCTCATGACACCCAAGACAGATGCTCCAGCATCATTGCTGATTACCCTCAAACTCATCCTCCACTCTCGCCAAGCTCCATGCTCTCGGAGGGTATAGGCACAGACGCTCGCCTTGCGTTTCAAACCGAACATCTGTCCAAGCCTAACCGTCTTTTCTCCGATATCATGGCTGATTTCGATCCTTTCGACTACGACCTTTCCTCATCGTCCTCCTCCGCCATGTCTTCGGCGTCGTCTTCAGCGAGGTCCTCTCCTATCCCGAGTCAGCCTATCTGTCTTCCGCCTTCACTTCTGACCATCCCGCCGCCGTCTGTAAACAATAATTCAGATCACGATCAAGATATGTTGATCGACGTGGTTGATATGCCTCCTCTCTCTGGAGCAAAAACACATGGTGGTACTCCAAAGGAGAAGAAGCAGGTGCACATCGGCCGACCTCCGAAGCCCCGAGTATTCGACGTTGGTGGTCGACGCGGCAAGAGTGTTGAAGGTCAATCTCCGCAGAAGAGACGTGATAGGGAGAAGGCATACAAATGTCCTCATTCAGGTTGCTCAAAGGTTCGTCGTCGTATACTCCCCTTTCCTGGATTGTATTTTTGACTTACTATTGCGTCTTATAGCAATATTTAAACCCAAATGGACTCAAGTATCACCTCGAAAAGGGGACTTGCTCTATCGATCCTTCGTATGTCCCTCCAGCTCAGTCTCCGGCCATCGCCACCCAGGCGTAATCTCAACTCCATCGCGTCATATCTCACCTTGCTCGCCTGCAGCAAGTTGCTCTCACGTCTTGTACCTCATATCTGCTATCACGCCCCCTGAAGTCATTCCCAGCTCTTGCGCTACCTTTCCCGACGCGGTTGACGTTCCTCCGCCTAAACTAGACGCTGAATTTCGAACCCCACCCGAGCTTCGCTATCCGTCACCGCTTTATCTCTGCACCACCTCGCCTCATGCCGTCTAATCTTCCATGCTTGCTGCGTCGTTCACTATCACGCGTCGTCGGAATTCGTCCTTATCCCGATAATTACCCCCAAGAAAATACTTCCTGCCCATTTCATGGGACATAACGGCAGCCAAAGATCCGAACCTTTACTTTATACAGTGTAGCAACTCCTCTCCGTCTCGTTCCTTCACTTTTCCCGGGCCTCAATTTGGCTAGGATACATAATCTGCGTACATGTATAATCTGTAGCTTTACTTTGCTGTTATCATGCCCCCCCTGTTCCGCTCTGGTCTAATTCGAACCCTGTATCTTAATTGTATCTACTCACTTGGGCCTAGAATGTCATGGTGATTTCCCTTTCGAACGTGGCCTTTGTCTGAGTTCAATATTCAACTTGCAGCAGTGTGCCTGACGCAATGCAACACGTTGAACATGACTAGGCTGTGCAACGTGAACCTGATACGCCGCCTATGGGATCTGCGCAATATGGTCATGAGGTCAATGTTGTAATTGCATTACCGCGTCCACTGATATTGGTTGAGAGCCAATGAGAGCTACCTTTCTCAGCCAATAAGATAAAGTGACGGTTGCGAACCGAGTGTCTGCGAGAGCACGGTCTTAAGAGATCTGCCATCTGGTTGCCACCAAGCTAATTCTGAAGGTAAAATGACAGGTTATTTCTAATAGAAAATACCATATGGATAGACGAATACAAACGATTCGCCAGAGGGTGAAACAGGATCAAGAATGCCTCTAAGATTGTGTGAGTCAGATTTTTACGAGACGTTCCGTTGTAGATAGAACCAATCGACGGTCTCGGTTGGATACAAACTCACCAATGAGGCTGCGCGAAGAGGTGTGGGATGATGAGAAATTGACAGGGAACATATCGATGGTACGTTTCGTATCCTTGCCAGGACGAATGGTCCCATGCAGGGAACTGCGCTCGCCGCTCGGGGAAAGTCCACTGTGGACCTGTGACCTCTCTGATACACGCTAGGAAGAAATATCGTATGTTTATTCTCGCCAGTGTCATATCGAAACAGAAGCATCAGTGGAGAGCGTCACAGACAAGCTTGGAACGTTTCGGCTGGATTCGGGGGTAAGAAGCGGTCTAAGAATCCTCCCTGACTTAGTGCGGCATAAGAATGAGAATGTTCACAGACTCTCTTTCCGCGTGACAGGTGCACGATGCTAACAATATTGAGCGATTCGTAAGGTAGTCTCGGAATGGAAGAAGAAGGCGTTCAGTATGCCGAAGACCACGTCGGAAGAAGTCCCTCCATTGGATATTCCTAACCTAATACCCCACAAAATTGTGGGGAAGGTGGTCCCAAGGTGCTGACATATTTGGCGCAAAGTGGAGGGGATTCACCTATTCAGTAGACACGTTGGGGACTGACAAAGAAGATTAAAGCTATCTGTAGCCGCTATTTAGGAGCGTGCACACTCACGTGTGTGGGGGTTGGCTCGATGGTCTTCCGACGAGGATCCTACGAATGGAGATGGAGATATGGCATCGAATCTGAGGCTGCAGGAATGGTGTGAACCCGAGCCACCTCCATAAAGATACTATATCCAGTCAAGTTTCAGTACGTCTCAATGCTGTCCATCGTGAATGGTCATGAGGGCAGAGGACTTGGAAACGACATCTTAGTGCCAACTTACGAGTTGGGAATGCATGGAGGTGCGACAGTATTCCGGCGCATTGCGGGGGAGCCCGGAGCGCCAAATAGAGTCGGATAATTTGTTGCACAGAATAGGAAAAATTGTCGGCCGCGGTTGCCTAAAAAAGGCACGTGGTCGGAGGATGCCGGAGGATAGGCGCATGATTTACGTTTCGGAGAGCGGGCCGTGGAATTGGAGGGTTATACAGCCAGAACCATTTGACCCAGAAGTGAAATCGCGGTTTCACACTTACGCTCTGGTTGCCTGTGCACCCTCCGCTCAACGCCCACTCTGGTCCTCGCCGTTCTCCTCGACGCCGACGCTAACTTGACTGGCGCACTCCCGTCAAATAGCCCCCGATCTTACGGGAGGCCTCGTCGATTCTCTCAAAGATTCACCCCTTGTACGTCTCAGAGACGTCTTGTACCAGACGTGTTCGCCTCTCTGACGTCTCGTGGTCAACGACTCCGAAAATTGATCACTCGTGTACGCTACTATATAAGATATTCTACGCCTCTTGGAGCCCCTCCGCGTACTTGCTACGATTATGATTGATTTCCCTCATCCGATTCTCTGTGTTGCTTCAGATGTGGTCAAAGAGCTTGATGGTGAAGATGCCGTGTTAGGGCTTTGGACCCGTATGTTCTTCAAACAAGCTTTCTTGCCGCCACTCATCTTTCATTTTTATACAGTCTTCACAAAGTGTAAGGCATCGCTGACTGATGGCCAACGTCTGGAAAATATCTCCTGGCGATTGTGGTATCGCGAGATGGCCTGTCACGGCGCTTCCCCGCATTCATCAGGGTCAGTGTCTCCAGCAGACTCTGAATTTCGCAGTTCGTCGCCTATTACGCCCGTGTCCGAAGACGGCCCCACCACGTCGTGTCGAGGTATGCTTCGATTCTGCCTCATCCCGTGTTTTTCTCTTATTTTGTGTATGTCACTAGGTGTTGCATCAAGGGAGTCGTCACTAATGGTCGACGATATCCCGACCGCTCGCTCGTGGCATGGCGAAAATCTTTCGCCTTCAGCGATGAACGTTACCCGACGACTAAGCACAGCCAGTATGCCAGCTCGTCCGAATACGAAACCTGGCGCGCCACCCCGTGCAGGGAAGTTGATTGTTGGCATACTTCCGGACAAGCTCATTATCCCTCATCGCATGCCTCCGTCATCCCAGCCTAAGTCGGAATCAGGCACGAACGTTCCTAATCCCACGGTCGTAAATACGCCTCAAGGCCCCATTGCTCAACCTCGACCTGTCTTACCAGCTGTGCAATTACCGGCTACAACTCCGCCTTCAGCATCCGGAAGTGCTGGTCTATTTCCTCGCGTTGTTGTAGTACATCCCACACCCCATCCGACGCCACCGGCTACCCCACAGCCCACACAGTCCGTCACGGCCATCCCCGTTGTTCCTGCGCCTACCCATCTTCTTCTGCCCCCCGTCCAACGTTCAGCGTTCACTGCTAATCAGCCCCCGGAGCAATCACCTTCGATACCTCCGGAGCCTAAGTCAAATGCCACTCCAACAACTTCTGACCGCCCAAAGCCGAAAGAAGATGTTTTTGCTACCATAAAGCCATCTGACCGACGGTTCTACCTCCAGCACTCTGAGTCGCCGGATAGGCAATCCACGGGATCTCATATTCCCGAGGGCAATGACGGTCACACAGATGCTGATGTACTCGAACCATCTCCCAGCAGCGGAACATCGAGCCACGTCAAGTCTGACGGGATCATGGCTGCCGGCGTGAAACGCGCTTTAGGAAAGGCACATGCGCGTAGGAGCAAAGAGGCTGTTCGGCATATCCCTGCTCGACCCATCGCTTCACGACTCCAGGCACAGCGGGCTCAAGCTGCACAACGGCGCACAAATGAAGTAAAACGAACGACCACATTCAATATTGGTTCAGCTTCTTCGAACGGGTCGAAGCATGCGAGTTCCCTTGGTGGAGGTCAGAAATCACATGCCGCACAGCCCGATCAAGACGTTCCTAGACCTCGTCCACCAAGCCCACTCAAGAATGGCAACGCACATATGGTTGGTCGTGCAGGTGGAAGCAATCCTATCGTTCCTCCAGCGCCGGCTCCGACCGCGGCGAATCGTCGGGGACTTGTCATGAACACGTCGTCCGAGTACGAAACGACGAGCGAGGACGAAGATGATTCAGAGTGGGCTTCGGATAACGATAGTCCGGACGAGCAGGAAATTGCACGAAAGCGTGAGGAGAGCCGGTTGCGAGAAGCAGCCGAGGAGGCCCAACGACAACGCGACATGTTTGCCAAGGTCCCCAAACGGTCGTATTCCAACCTGAACAGGACTCGTTCCGGTCTTCTTTCTCAGCTCCTCAATCCCGATCCTAACCTTTTCCCGCCCAATCATCCTTATCGCACCAGTTACTCATCGCAGGACGTAACCCAACTCGGAAAGTCGGGTCGACCTTCGGCCCCCGCTATCTCCACCAGCAAGAGCACCGTTGCGGTTCCTCTTGCCAACGTGGTCAATGCTCAAGTTCCACCTACGAGCGGCGGTGGTCCTCATGACACAAGAGGCTACAGGCCCAAGGGTCGTCCCGAAGAAGCGGAGTTAGAAGACGATAGTGATAGCGATGAGGAGAACCCGGAAAATGCTATACAGGTGTCGCGAAGTCTGGCGCAGCAGAAGTTAGCTGCATTGGCTGATCCCAATCGTCGACGAAATTCCGACCGTGGTCCCCCTCCTCCAGAGCCACCCGTCCGGCCAAACCTCACCACTGTACACACAGCGCCCATACCTCTAGGTCATCCTTACAACCTTCCTGCTCCTGCTCCTCCCATGACCCCCCGGACCACCCGACGACAAATGCTTTCGACTGAATTATCCGAGAGTTTGCGACGCAACTTACTCTGGGAGCGTCAGGTCAGCAAGATAAATATGACCGGTGGTGCTCGCAGGGGCGGGTTGCTCGGCAGTGGGTTGCGTCCACTTACTGCAGTCAATAATGCTCAGCCCACTGCGGGTGGGTCGGGAAATCCCAACGACAGGTCTTCGAGCAGAAACGAGGGAGAAGAACGCAGGCGGGCGGCTGCCATAGCACGTAACCACAGTTGGGGCGACGACTACCACTACGCCGGGTGGTGATAATAGTGGTCTCCAAATGGTGCTGACGTCCATGCTCTTACTCCGGTCCAACAAACAAATCATGTCGCTATCGATGCTTTCCATCGTTCTCATTTTTTTTCGTTTTCGTTTTCGTTATTTGCTGTACTATTTGGTATGTGCGTGCTGTCGTACAGACGTCTCCTTTCCGGATTTCGGTCTCTCACTCCTTTTTGCTACGGCCCCCCTCACACTCACTCGAACTGCTGTCTCCTTTCTCTCTATCCCTATCCTCGTGCATGATCACTCTCATCATAGTCAACCACCCTCACGGTCTCGAATCACATCCAAGGATTGTTCTCGCGGGTTTAATTGTTTTCCTTTTTTCTCTCATACTACCATGTCACTGCATATCCCCAGGTCGACATCATGCACGACGTCGACTTGTGGGTGTCATTCCCTATCGCTCACCAATCCTCATCTCGGTCAATTTTCTGTGTGTAAAATTTGTTGCCTTTCTTGTTGATGCTAAGCATCCTGTGCCATATAATGTGTAGTAGTATTCGTAGGTATAAGTTACTAGTGGGGATCGCAATTTATTTACGGTCTATCGTACTTTGTTGACATTGAACGAATCGGGCCATTCGCCTTTTTTCTTCTCAAGTCTTGATTACAAAGGGAAAACCCCTCAGTGATCTCCGTTCTACGCCGCAGTCGGGCGATCATCGGTCGTTGCTTACTTCCATGCCTTGAAACTCGAACGTGTCAATATCTTACACTGCGCACTTGCTGCGTAGTCAGAGAGCCTTGTTCGAAGATAATGTATCTCAATGGACTATAGCATTTACATGTTCCAGAGCGTGATCCAGATGCCACAACGACTTGTAGTCGTGATGCCGTCAATTGTAACCAGAGCCTTTGATTGTCGATTTTCCTCACCTGTGCCGAACCAGTACACGTCAATACATGCCGACAACCAATGAAATTAATTTGTCCTTGTGGAAAGGATGTTTAACACGCATTCATAAACAATACATCAGGTCAAGGAGACCCGTAAGAGTACCATAGAAGGGATCGCGGACCTCTTGGCTTCCAAAACGGATATGCTAGTTCAAGAGTTCGTAAGCGCATATGCCGCTGCGCTGCGTGCACAAGTCGGAAGTGCCGTACTGACTCGAGCGGTGATCAAGCCCCTCGGCAGCCTAGAGAGTGGAACGTGAGAGTGGAGAACTCCCCGAATATCTCGGTCATCGTCCTTGTCTTTTATACTTAATCACTTGGTCTGTCAGCTAGCTTACTCTTCCTCCATCCGCATCGGCCTCAAAGCACTTGGCCACCAAGAAACTCAGCTAGCTTACTCTTATACGGTCCTCGATCAGTGAATTGCCGAATGTCGTCACCGGAGGAAGATAACAATGAGAACTCGGTGCAGAATCTGAAGAAACGGCGTGTACAAAGGGCCTGCGACATCTGTAGGCGTAAGAAAGGTCAGTAGTATGTGATGCATCTATTTGAGGTGCATAGCTAACTTTGGAATCCAGTTCGATGTAGGTTTCAGACTGTTACAGTAGAACTCATGTGCGGAGAACAAGTATTCATAGCTCTCACTGTGTAGGCGATGGCGGACAAATGCCGGGACATCGCTGCTCGAACTGCGTGACATATAACTACGAATGCACGTATGTAGAAGCGGCAAAGGTGCGTGCTACCCCTGTTTTGCCATATTATTCGTTCAAGGCTGAAAGTATGCCGAAGAAACGTGGGCCACCTAAAGGGTTCGTGCATACAAGCACCTTCATACGGCCAGGCTGATAGGAATCTGGATAGGTATGTCGAGAGCCTAGAAAACCGACTACAAAAGATGGAGACCCTTCTACACAAGGTACGCCTTTAAAGCCTACTTGTTATGCCTTCCCTTGTTGACATATGCCAGCTCTGCCCCGATGCTGATTTTACACAAGAACTTGGAGGGAACCTGGACAAGGACAACTGGTATTCAGACCGCGAAAGGGCTGGCAGTAGTTCGTCCGCACTGCCTGGTGCAATCCCTCCCCCTGCACCTTCACCCGACGCCGATGGGCTAGAGCCTAGCGACGATGAAGTTATAGCTCAGCGAACTCTAACGAACAGTTTGAAACAAATGAAGCTTAATCCTGGGCATATCCGCTTTTTCGGAAAATCCAGCAGTGCTATGTTTATTCAGACCGCTATCGAGGCCAAGAACGAATATGCTGGGATCGAAACACCACCGAGGGACAGTGGTGAGAAACGCGTTATCCTACCAGCAAAGCGTCCTCATGTCTGGGGTATCCACCCGGTATGTTCTATGGCGTGTGCTTGTGTCCTCAGGTATTGCTGACTCAGTCTCCTGTCAGTGGATATTACCCACTCTACAGGCGGATAGACCGCATCAGGATTTCCCCGAGCCTGATTTGCTAGCTGACCTGACCGACCTCTTTTTCGAAAACATTAACAATTATTATCCTCTCATGCATCGACCCACCTTTGATCAGGATATTCAGAATGGCCTCCACTTTCGGGACGAAGGCTTCGGCTCAGTAGTCCTCCTCATGTGCGCCGTGGCATCCCGATTCTCTGATGATCCACGTGTGTTTCTCGCAGACAGCGATTCTTCACATTCTTGCGGCTGGAAATATTTCACCCAAGTGCAGATGGTGCGGAGATCGTTACTAGCGGCTCCTAGGCTATATGACTTGCAACTCTGCTTCGTGAGTATTGCGCGGGAATTGCCCTACGAGCTACGTAATTCATTTGGCTTTCACAGTTGACATCTATCTACCTACAAAGCACTTCGGCGCCCCAGGCATGCTGGACCGTCATTGGTGTCGGTATTCGATTAGCCCAAGATGTTGGTGCTCATCGAAGAAAAGTATACAGTAAAGCGCCTACTGTCGAGGACGAGCTCTGGAAACGAGCGTTTTGGTAAGTGTGGTACCTCGAAGTTGCGCTGTAGTCTGACGTCCCTCCAAAAGGTGCCTTGTCTCTCTGGATCGGATAATGAGCATCACGCTCGGTCGGCCGTGCGCCATACAGGACGAAGAGTACGTATGATCGAGATCCAACATTTTTCACATGTTCTAATGCCATGCTGCTAGCTTCGATCTCGAACTTCCCGTTGAATGCGACGACGAGTATTGGATAGTCACTGATACCGAGCTCAGGTTTCAACAACCTCCCAACAAGCCATCCAAAATCACATTCTTCAACTGTTTTCTGCGACTCAACCAGATCCTTGCATTCGCTCTTCGGACGATCGTGCGCATCAATTATTGTCCGCACGACTTGAGACATCACTGACAATCACATGTGTTGTTTGATTGCTCTTTTCTAGTATTCGATCAACAAATCCAAGACGCTACTCGGATTTGTTGGACAACAGTGGGAACAGCATATCGTCGCTGAATTAGACTCGGCGCTGAATAAATGGATCGACTCTGTACCCGAACATCGTACGTCTATTTTCATCCCGACTCTCTTGCTCTGCAGTTGTTGACAATGTCGCCATTCGTGTACAGTACGATGGGATCCCAATCGTGAGGATATGCTCTTCTTGAACCAATCCGCCTTCCTTTATTCCCACTACTATCAGCTCCAAATTGCTGTTCACCGTCCCTTTATACCTTCTCCTCGGAAACCTTCACCTTTATCCTTCCCATCGCTTGCTATCTGCACTAACGCTGCAAGATCCTGCACACATGTGCTAGACGTTCCCTTTCGCCGGTCTCATACGGTACTGTTCTATAATCAGGTTAGATTGATCTTTTTCTGACCTTAAACGTGGTTCCGTCTGCTAATCAAGGCGTGTTTTGCGTTGTCCGGAACGAAGATTGCGTTGTTTACATCTGCTATCGTTTTGTTGCTCAACATATGGGGTGGAAAGCGATCCGGTTTATCTACTGACCCGGCCAAAGAGATGGCAGACGTTCATAAGTGTATGAGGATGCTCAAGCATCTCGAGCCACGGTATGTTTATTTGGCTATCTGAGTCAATGATCAAGGTAACCTATTCTTCTGTAGATGGCATACTGCTGGTAGACTATGGTGAGTGCGGTCCGTTGTCTGGTCTTGTAGTATTCACGACTAAACCTCAGGCTACAGGGATGTATTGTATGAACTTGCGTCCGTCGGCGACCTACCCCTTCCCCAAGCCAGTCCTGCACCGAGTCAAAAACGTGAACGCGGTTCGGATAGCCCTCCCACAAGCAATGTACCCACACCTTCAAGTGCATATTCCCCAGCAGAAAGCTTTCGCAGTATCGCCGGCTCAAAAAGAGTTTCGTACAGTCAAGCGCAGCAACAGCAACAACCTATTTCATCCCTTCCCCAACAGCCACAACACCCTGCCTATCCACCTAACATGTCTGTACACAGTCCCGCGTCGTCGATATCGAGCGCAAATGCTGGCAATCACTTTGCTTTGCCTATATACACGGAAGAGTTAGGTCGGATACCGATCCACCCGGGAATTAATAATTCAGACCCTCTCGTGGCCAGCGGATGGCATACATCGTCCCCAATGTCCACTATGTCCATGTCCGCGTTGAACACCTCGGCTGCTATTGCGTCAAGCAGTAGTGGTCCGCATTCTGTCGACACCAACATGGACCCTGGTCTGTCATCGATATTCGATATGTCCCCTTCCATGTTCGATCAAATGATGACTAGTTTTGCTGGGCCTATCGCTTCATCTTCTGCGGTTCCTCATGGGTTTGGCGGTGCTGTTCCTCCCGGGTTGAGTGGCCTGATGGGAGGTGGTATGGCGGCTGCTCCGGGTGGGAGTGTGGCAACTTTCGGGGAGGGGATCCCTAATTGGCCCAACGGACCGCTAGAGTAAGCCTTCATCTTCCATTCTATGTACCTAGTTTGCTCACTACCTTACAGATGGGAAGATTGGGGTACATACATTACGAGCGTCACTGGTATGGGCAGCCAAACTGCTGACTCTGACCGATATCAAGGAGAACGATGAATTTTGGAAAGAATACATTACACAGGACGTTTGCTTCTCGTTGTCGGATCTCTTCGTCGCACTGCATTGCACCTTTCTTGTCTACAATGTGCTTGTTTCATCGCTTGCGCCTGCTTACTTATCAGCCACCACTCCTCGTCGTTTGTAGCATATGCCATACTCATACCTGCTTTCCTCATTGTGAGACACGACTCGATACAACTTCTGTCTATACCCATCGCTTTCTTTCTTCATCATAATTGCACCTTTTGAGGCAGTGAAACTACGGACGATACTGACTCGATGTATTACACTTTATGGTCAGCGTGGCGGTGTTGAAATGCTGTCCAGGACCGATCGGCACTAGCACCAAGCGCTCAATAACATTGTCCAGCCGCCATTTATAAAAAACCGGCGATGCCTCAAACTCGAATTCTTTCCCTTTTCTCCTACAAACGCGCATAACTCTCCAGGACTTGTTCATAACGTTTCTATCCCCTATAAATAGCTCATTGACATACCCCAAGCTGATGTCAAGTTCTAGTTTCAACGGAAACGCGAACTCCACACTACTTTCTGAACAATATGTTCAAGACTGTTTTCACAGTTATCTCAAGTCCTCGCTCACTCAGGCGAAGGCAGAGAGACTTCTCGATACAGAAATGCTCTCTAGCGCAGAAGGGGACCTCATGATTACGGGTGAGTTTCATCTTCATTCTAAGACACTCATGAATTCATAGACTTTTGCATAGGTCCCGCTTTATGTCTCTACTTTGCTGCACTTAGGTCAACCACGAATCCTCCTTCCGTACCTCTACCACGATTAAATAAGAACGGTGGACCACCAACAGACCTATCCCTGAACAATTGTCCAATGGCTTTCAGACCATTTCTTATCGTCTGGTCACACGCCGTGCCTGATATCCAAGCCCTAACACCCGAGCATCAGCATGATCTCGCACGAGTAATCTGCAACCTCCCACCTCTTTCTCAACCACTCAATATTCGACTCAACGGCATTGCGGCTGATCTCAGAGCAGTAGCCATCGAGATCAGTATGCGACGTACCTTCCAAGACCGTTATGCCACTGACCTTCAGGCGGCCATCGACGCTGGGGATCACAGCAATTTGGGGGTCAAGGCGTCGTTTGTTCCCCCTCCAAGTTATGATGAGCCCAGTTCTCCTCCGGCTACTGCATCTTCCTCTAGGATACCACATACTCCCCCAAGAGTATCCCGGCTGAGCCTGCAGATTCCCCCACCGAGTCCTTCGGGATCGTCGAGACGCTCACCTAGCCCTGCACCCACTATCCTCGCTGAAGATGCACCAGCAATAGACTTCATCCGTGAAACGCTATACGCAGCGCTCGCAAGCGTCTTCGAGCACATGTCGGGTCTACGCAGTCTTATACGGAGGGATCCGGCTCGAGCGTATTTCGCGGCAGTTGCATTTGCTATCCTCGACGTCGCTTCGTCTACGTCAATAAAGCATAGCGCGGATGGCGAGCCAGTAATCCATGGTGTCCTCGACAGATCGCTGTCCCTTTCAGAATGTCCAGCTGACCTTCGACCATTCATGCAGGAACTATGTGCAATAGGTCAGAAGATGAAAGAGATGCAAGAAGAAGACTCAGAGGCGACCGTTGACGCTTTACAACACGGCCAAGAACCGCCTCTCCCTCGGCTTGATCGTGTCAGAGGTATCATTGAAGGTGGAGTGGGGCATGTATACAATGAACCCCGATCTCGATCTCGGAGTCCTTGTATAAGTGGTGAAGAGAGACGCTCGCATGATGGTCAAAGACCAATGTCAACGGACCCCAGACGGAGGAAAACGAGTACGGAGAACAGGGCTGTGGCATTTGCGAATCGAATTAATGCACTTGCGTTGGCTATGACAAAGCTGAGGGCATTTAGGGAGAGGCAGGATATAGTGTTCAAGGTGCTATCTGGCACGTCGAAGAGGTAGTAGTTGGACTCTGTTTCAAGTTTATGTATCTTTATGCTATCTTACTGTATCTTGTATAACGTGTTAACAGTACTGAGAAATGGCATATTCAATTTCAGTGAAAGAAGTTGAGTGAAGGTTCTGGATCGATCAAGCAAGGGTTGAAGAAAGCGCTCGCCAGCTTTGTCTTCTAGCCATGATGGCGACCATCATTTACTACAGGCCTCCCATAATAGCTGCTCTTTTCACTGCAGGACAATAGTCATCTCGGCTTCCTTGACCTCGGCATTCCGCTTAACTTGTCCAAGTAACGCTGCAATTGTTGTTTTCATTTGAGGCGTTCATCGCAACAGTTGTGGCACCATGGCATCGCATGTTATAATGTCCCTGGTCAAGTTGAGGATGGATATAAGTCCTTGAACCCAAGTATTACTTGTCAAGAACTAAAGACCTTTTTCCCCATACTGACAAGTGAAGCATGCTGATAATGCAGGACATTTCCACGCATAAACTCTCGGTCAACGGTTCGTCATCTAAACCTTTGCAGTCCTGATTGTTTTCTTCGTAACGGCTGATGAGAAAACAGCGGTCACTTCTGCGCCACAGTTAAGCAGCCACACCTGCGACGCTTGCTGGATCTGCTCACTTCGCTCTATCTGTTCTATTTGCCCTATATGCCACCCTGGCGACCACATGCTCCCCAACGCCACATCTCAGAGCTCTTATTCAGGTCCTATCTATGCCTCAGTCCTGTGCGACAGCCCGGAGAATATGTCCAGAGGTATCTCTGACCGAGACGACTTTATGCTACCTTATCGGTATCGTCGCTATCACTACAATGGGAGGGCCTATGAATTTTGTCCTCGACAACAAGCTCATTCATGTACAACTTGCGGTGTCAAGTCAGTGTCACCCCGACAGACTTGCTCAGGTTGTTCGATTTGCCTTGCTGCCTACGCTGCCTCTACTGGGTCTACTCAGTCTGCGGACGCTACTGTCCCTATCACTACAGCTCCTGCACCCGTGACCCTTTCAAACCCGCTTGTCCCACCGAATACCCCTCGAGTTCTAAATCGAACCGAGGTCTATGGTTCGTTCTGCAGAAGAGGCACCGCACCTTGCGAATGTGCTATATGTATTCGATATCCTCAAGTTCAGAGGCGTAGAGGTCAAACTTCCCTGTACATCCATATGCCACCCGAGCCAGAGTCTAAGAGTCATCGCACTGTACCTTCAAAAGGGCGTTCTTCACGACGAGCTTACGATGATATACCATCGCTTGATCTGGAACATGACTTCGATGAGACGTACTGTCCCGATTGTCCTTTGGGAAAGGAAGGGGCGGTCTGTAATCGTTGTTGGTCTACATGCCGAGGGCCGAATGCGGAGCCAATGAAGGCTAGAGCTTCGCTCGTTGACGCTGTCCAGAAGGCGTTGATTTCACTGAAACCGGCATCCTTGACTAGGAAGGTACATTGGAATTGGAAGAGGTCGAGGAGCAGAAGAGAGGAGAAAAAACCTGTGCAACCGATCACCTGGTCGAGGAATAGTGGGACCAGTACTGTAACGGAAGTCTCGTGTTGGCATGAGTTTCTTAGATTTCTGAGGTGCGTACTTGGTCCAGGCTTTCTGTACTTTCTCCGTCTTGCATCCAGTTATTGACGTCCCCCTTTTCAGGACGTCCAAGATTCCTAAACACAACTAGAATGAACAGACGTCCCCTTTCTTTCATTGCCGGATGGTTACCTGTACGCTTTACTACTTGTGTCTCTTAATTTAATGACTGCAATGAAGGTTACCTTAATTTAATCTTCTTGGGGATGACTCATTCGCGATGTTACCTTTCTTCAAAGTTCCTAATACCGTTCCGTTCCGCCTTTGTATGGCCACTTTTTCGGGGCCAAGCAACAACGGTCATCAATGGACTCTTGGACAACAAAGAAACTGATTTTTCAGTCCAGCCTATATAAGAGTGATCCTTTACGAACCATTCGATCTAACATCATCTCATCTGCACGCCTCATTCTCACACACCATAACATACTGCACAATGTGAGTTACCTTTCCGTCATATTGTGACCGCACGCCTACTTGCTTTGTTTATATAGACCGACAATGGCACCCGTTGCTAACACTCCCCCAATTGACTATCCATCCAACCAGTCCAAAATTCCTCAAGCCGTCAATCCCGATCGCAAAACCATCTCTCCGGAGGAATATGACCAGAAATGTATTCAAAGGAAGATGGAGACGTTGCGACTTAACCCGCCCCGAGTCCCTACTGATGCTCTCATTCCTCAGTGGGTCTTGGATGGAACAACTTATCCTGACTTGAAGGAGGCCTTTGGTAAGGACAAAGTTAATCGAAGGACTGTCCGGGAGAAGCTTTTACAGGAGGTGAAAGCCGGGAAGCAGAAGGCAGTAGAAGAGCCGTCAAACGATTCTGCTGGACTGCCACCACCATCCGATGCAGCAGTCATGGCCTCTCCCAAGTTTTCACGCCGACCTGAGGAAACATCGCCTCCTGCTGGGGACATCGCCTTGCTGAAGTCGTTCAACGAGACCCCTAATGGAAGGAGAATCAAACGTCACCAGCGTAAGGATAGCGATAAATCTGCGCTTGAGGAGTACCTTCCTCGGGACAAGAGGGTCACGTTCATTCCATACGAGGAACCTCCTCCTGCCGCTTCTGGCTCGGACAAAAGAGTGCAGGATATCCCGGAATTATGGTCTAACTAGGCTCAACCTTGACATGCATGTGACAGTGCCATACGTAGTGTGTTCTGCGGTTGTATCCCTTGTGAATTACGGTCTATGTTTTATTTTTGAGACTAGTATACGTTTTCGATTCCTACTACAATGGTCGAAGCTGCTTCACCACTAGAATGACCTGAGGGAACGTGCCTGAGAAGCTCTGAGGCCATAGGACGTCTCAGATTGTGCGTAACTTATGAAAACGTCGCTCTTATGAGGGAAAGGGCGTAACGTCTGTGGACTGACTCGGATCAGCCAACAAAGTCCAAGGATGACCATCGTACCCAAAAAAACTGCTCTAGTGCTGTCACGCGACCAACGCTCTTACAACAGTCACGGTTACGAATACAGGCATTATAATCGTCGACTCTGCCTTGTTCAAACAGGAGTTCGAAGGACAGCGTTATCTGCTGCTAAAGGTGTATACAGCATCCTTGTTTCGTCTCCAGGGATCACCACATTCCCTTTTCTGTCCATATTGCCTGGTACACGCAAACAAGACAGCCTTGGAAGAAATCCCAGTAAGGCTGGCTTCCAAGGTAACAGTCCCGATCCAGAAATCACTTTCGCAACCCTTCGATGCTGCTCTATAAATGTCATCACTCTGTCAGGTAGACGAAATAATACAAGCTACGAAGTCTCTCTGTTATTCCTCAGCAACTTCTACTAGTTCTAGTGACCGATCGACACACCTACGGCATGAGTCAGTATACGTTTGACGAAGAGAAAATAACTCGCAGAACAACAGGTGCGCCACATGCGCCATATACACGTTCTCACCCGTTTCCTCCATTGACTAGGATTACGCCCCATCTGACAGAAGAACGCCGTGCTGCTTGTAGCATGCCGTCCATCGATTTCGACGGTGAACCTGGATTCGTCTATTTTGACTGCAGTGACGAATTTGCATCAAAATCCGATCTTTGTGATACCCCCGAAGTCCTGTCTACCTGTCCCTCTCGACAGAACAGCATCCCTTGTCTGGACCTTAATCCAAAGGAGGAACCTCGTACTCCAACTCAGGCATCGCAGGATGCTCAGCATGTCTCATCGACCTTGTCCTCAGACACAGAGGACGGCGGTTCTGATGACTCGAACCCACCTTTGGACATTAAGTTTGCCTTGATAAACTCTGCTCGAGCTACCATTTCTCCGCTGGCAAGTCTATGTGCTGCATTGTCGGGAGCGGCCACTAGGCCCAGCATTGGATTTCATACAGACCACGAACTGTACATGAGGGGAAACCAAACCGCGGTTCCAGAGGAAGCTGCGAGGCCTCAATCGCTCTGTAAGTGTTCATCCTCTGCTGTCTGAGGCATTCTGATTATTTGATATGAAGTGACACGTTGGAGAGCTACACTTGCGAGCAAGTCCTGATGGCAGTCGGTGTCAGAAATTGCCTTGTACATAGCGATATCACCTACATATCACTAGTTTTTTGGCTTGAAGTTACGATACCAACCTTCTTATAATAAAAGGAATCGTGAATCATGAAAAAGTAATCACTCCGGTGACTTGTTGAGTGAGAGCGCCACCAGAACTGTTGTGCACTTGTTAATCCATGCTGTTGTATTGCATGCTTTGAGTCGTCAAGAGAACACAGCGAATGCGTGGTCCTTGTTTCGGGCAACATATAAGAATCTGCGCGTAGAGGCAAAGAGTTAGAACCAAATCTGAAGAGAACCCACGGAGGACGAACGTAACGGTGAGTTACACCGCCCTTTCCTTCAAAGAAACACGAAGCTCATCAGGAGAGACCGCCAGCTATGATTGTCATCTACTATCCTTCCCGTAAACATGAGACTTCCAGGCGGGGTCGGACACCACCACGCTCACCAAGGGTCCTGGTCAAAGAGCGCAGCAGGAAACACTCTAGTGACTCGAGAAACCAGGTGACAGGTTCATCTCCAAAGAACCCTTTCCGGAGATCATCGCGATCATTAACGAGAGAACCGAAGAGCCCTCGACCACTATCAACAATGAACAGACAAGAGCATGCGAGCAGCTTTAATCGCCCAGACGGGTATTATTTGGATAGGAACCATGGGCGTAGGAGCAGTATATCCACATCGTATCATCCGCAGCCTCCTGCACCCCATTTTGAGGCACCGATGAGGAATGTACGAAGACGAAGCTCCAGCTGTGTTGACATAGTTCCACCGCTCGTTTCTTGCCTCAAGAAGAGAGATTCCTTCGACCCAAACAGTAATACCAGGGGACGGTCCTTACCGGGAAACCATCGAGTAAGGTTCAATCCCTTCGCCCAGTTGGTCACGATATCGCCAGCACCAACAGTAGCAAGCTGGACCTCGCGAGATGACCAAGGGTCATCTCCTTGGGCTTCAAGTTCAAGGAGTACTGCGCCACAAGGTGGTCAGCCTTCACAACGGGGGCAAGAGATGCGAGAATCATGGTATCCTGATGAACGTGCCCGACAGAAGGGAAGTGGTTACAGAGACAGTCACCCGAGGCGTAGTCACCGTTCCGAGAGACGATATGATAACAGATGGTAGGCTTTACAGATTGTCCTGCAAGTATGGCAGACAAGTAGTTTGCTAGAGTTGGCTTCTAGTTCATGCGATTGTGCATATGTCCGATAGCTTGAAACATGGAGCATAGATGGTTAGAAACATAAGAAATATGTATGGTTCGTGATAATATGGCTAGTTGTCAGCCTATTCAAGCGCGAAGACGCATATCACAAAGAGGACGTATCTCTTAGATATACACAGGATCCGGACCTCTAATACTGTATGTACAGCCCGATGGGTTGATACATATATGAGGCTGCAATTCAAGTTGTGATGCATCTTCAGTGGTGCTGTGGGCCGTTCGTGGCGTAACACTATTCAAATTCGGCGCCAAGTGTCATGATCACAGGCGCCTTCAGTTTCCCTCCTTCTGTCCCTGCTAACTTATCGTCGCTTTTCCTGTTGGAATATGGATGAAGCAGCGAGCGTCGCTATGCGCAAGGATGAGAGGAGCGGGACGGAGTCCCGCATGCTTGGCGGATTTTCTAGTATATAAGTAGTTAGTTATGCTTGTATGTACCTCATCCGTTTGCCTCAGAGCTCAACGAGGTCAAACGTTACCGACTCACCTTCCTCCCGCACGACGTGTATTTCAATATTTCCATCCTCAGTTGGCCATGGGGTGGAAATCAGTGACTCAATTTGACTGGAACTATGAGTCAACTTTGCTCTCCACGATATGATGAGCGAAGAATCTGTGGGGTTAGAGGTATGCTGCGCCTCACTTCTGTTGCCTTTAGGAAGTTCCATCTCCTCTTGAAACGGGCGATGTCTCTGATGATCGTATCCGCCCTGAAAGGTAGCCTTTAATCTTTGTCCCCAGAGAAAACAGCCATGATTTGGTCCCACTGGACCTCTGTTATTGACCTGAGTGCAGTTCGCACCCGCTTCGCACTGACGGCGTTGTCGACATTTGTGATGGATCACTACCTCGATGCGTTGGACGGCGGTGGCGCGAGTCTGCGAACCCTTGAATCTGGTTCTGCTGCAAGTAGATCAGACTCATGAGATAATGACATCACAAGGTGAGTTCAAGGCGTCACACGTAATGCTCATTATCTTTTTGCGTATCATGTATGTCATGAAGGACCGTCTCCAAAGTCGAAATGCTAATCATTTACGGAGGGATAATAACGAATTTTTCAATGCATCCGACTGAGATGAAGTGCATACGTGTCTGTGTTGCCTCAAGACTCGGCACGAAAAGGTGTGTTGCCTATACCAAACAAGGGACTTTACTTCAAAAGGAAACAAATGCTTTACCTCGTCTTTATTTCTGCAGCCAGATTCAGAAGTCAAGACGTCACAAACTGTACGTGAGTAGTCGTGATCTTCGGACCCGATTGCATTACCATTTTCGTTTCTCATAACATATGATCGCTCTTCAGATATTCAGGATAGACGTAATCTGTACCTGCCAAACCCTGAAAGGCAAGAGTAGCTGCTCTCGCGTTGCTATCGCGACCCCGAAGAACAAAAAGAAGCCCAATATGGCTGTTTCAAGCAGGGTGTAGCCAACGAGGCGCACCTAATGGGTATGTAGACAATTGTGGCTATTCGCTGCATCTCGTTTACGAAACCATCCACAGTCTTCCCGGCTCTTCGTTCCTCAATAGGAAGGGCTGTGGTTTTTCGTTGTGGCGTACAGAATATTTTCGATGGCTTCCGAAGGGCTGGAATTTGGGTATAAAAGTGGGCCAGCAGTAGTGTAATTCCATCCCATATCTGAAACTTGCCTTCCCTTCAGCAGCAGCATGTCTGACAACGGTGAGCCCAACAGCATTTAAAGTCACTTCTCACTAATGAATCTATCTCTCTCATTCACAGATAGAACTACAACTCATTGCCCTCCAGACCATGATAAATCTAAATCACTCGTACCAAAGGGGACCACGCAAACGCCTAAGTTAACACGTACGCACGATGTCTAATACTAAGTAATATCCTGCCATTGACGCCATATTATCAGGGCAATACGCTGTGACCAATGTCCTGGAGCAAAATGGTAAGTCTATGTTCATTGTTGCCGATGATCATACTGAATAAAGTCTCCAAAAGTCCTCGCCGCAGGAACCACAGGCCAAGGTACAACGCGTGGATTGAGCCGTAATGTTACCATTGTTTAATTTCTAGGTGTTGAACTAACTAGTCACGGTCAGGGGAAGATACCGTCATATCACCAACGTCTGATGCAGGACTCAAATCCGTACGTTTCTTCCTTCCTTCATCGTACCAGTTCTTAAAAAGTCTTGATAGACAACCAATATAAGCGCGACCGAATCATTGATGAATGTTGATGTCGATTCCTCTGAAGACAGAGAAGTTGTTACGTGCCAAGACAGCTCTAATGTGGACGTTGGAATGGACGAGGATCAAGACAAGATAGAAACTTGAAGGGGCTTGGTATGTTGAGTGCAGGCTGTAGTAAATAGTTTGTTGTTGTTCAATGTTGACGATTACCTCAATTCAAATCGATGGCGGCTCGGGATCTGGTGTGAATGGGCTGCACTTACCTTTATCTACTGGAAGATTAATGAAACAACACACAAATATCCTAGTCATTCTGCTACGCCACCGTGTGTTTTTTTGGAAAGTTTCCGATGCAACGGGCCGTGGTCAGCATTTGAATCAGTCAGAGTACTCAAGTTGAGACCCCCGCCGCTCCGTCTCATTTCTGTGAAGCAGAGACTAATCTGGAATGTGAACAACCTGCAGACGAAATTATTGTTCCCACAAAGCAGCGCCGCTGGAAGGGCCTCTGGCCAATTGTTCCGTAGCTTGAACCTAGTATGTTGCATCGTTGGCCATCATCATGGCTGGGCTACTAAAGCTTCTGAACAATTGGCTGAGATACTAGAATGATCTCGTCGTCACAACTTTGGATAATAAAGGTGCAACCACACCTGAAGACAATACTCACACTACTGTGTGCGCCACAGATATAAAGATAGAGATGTTCTCGGTGTCGCTACCTAACTCAACGCTACGCCCTCTAAATCGCCATAGCCAAACACTATCAACAAACACATCCTTTCAATGACTTGGTCTTCATTCAATGAAGCTACCGGTACGCTACATACTAAAATGTCCTCACCTAGTTTAACGCCTCATCCTTCAGAAGCACACAATTCGACGTGCGATTTTCCTTTCCTTGACACCGAGCCCACAATCTACTTTGGCAGCTCCAATTCGCAAGAATCCCTGTTGAACTCCGACAGATCCAGAAACTGGAGCTCTGAAGTAGTTGACAGTCCGGAGGTTCTTCCTTCTCTGATACCTTCCAATATGGATGATGACAATTACGATATCCCGCCTCCGGGGCTCGATGACGAGCGGCCACCCCACGTTCCGACGAAAGGGCCGCCTCGTTTACCGACCAAGGACTTTGGAGTATCTCGGCGACACATGTCTAAAGCACCCTCTCCTGAGAAATCCATTTCTTGTACCTCCAATTCTTCCCGTTCATCTCTTGATGTGAAACGTTTGCACACCTTCGCCAAATCTCTTCGCAACGCAGTGTCTCCTTGGACCGCAGTTGAACACGTCAATGTTTCAGGATACATTGAGATCCCTACACCTAAGAAGCGCAACACGGAACGGAAAGAGAGTGATATATCGCTTCCTGATGATCCCGCGACCATAGGATGGCAATGTGAGTCGCTTCTGTGCACATAGCGTACTTCATCATCTAACGCTCATGAGACAGCGGCGCGCATGGGAAGTAAACTGCGGAAGTTCTCTTGAGATATTATAACCAAGAGCGAGTAGAGAGATATCGTTGTTGTGCGTGTACCTTAGCGAAGATACAGTGGGCGCGAGATGAAGCAAACATGCCGCAGAAGATGGTCCTATAAGGAAAAAGAGCAGAACGGAGGGAGAGGCCGCCATAGGCGAAAGTTTTTACGGAAACCCATGACTCTAACAGCACAACACTTCTGGAGTCTTGCACCTTAAACGGAGCACCTATCAAATTCATATAGTCGTGTCAGTTTATGCAATGTGAAGGCTAAGATATACTCTTAGTCATTTTTCTGTCCATTCCAAATGCAATGACATGTGTCTTTGGACAACCGGTCTCGACAGGCAAGCCAAGTGTGTATTTCAACTTGACGGTACCGCACACACTCTGAGAAGACATAGCTACTCTCATTTGTCTGAATTGATGTTCGCAACTTCGTATAGATAGGTACCCAGCAACTTGGTCTGCGGGGCACGGTCATTCTGAGTAAAGGAGGAAAGGTTTGACAGTAGCGAGGAACATACCCCGTTGAGGAAGTTAGAGATATCTAGTTTCTCATTCGTAGAACTACGTGCATTGGTCAGTGACACGAAAGCTTCAAGCTTGATAGTAACTTACTGAGCACCATCATCCGCACGACCCATGGGTAGAAGCAAGACATTAACGCCGAGGTTGTCCGCAAATGTTAAGGTAACAGGAATAGAGCCTCCCTCACGCGTGTAGTTAGGAGTTTTCCCCCAGACCGTCTAATGTGCTGTCAATGACCTTTCACAACATATAGAACGAGGTTAAGATCTACCTCAGTTGCACGCTTGGCCGCCTCGTAGCTCCAATGATTTGTATCAGCTACCCAAGGCTTTCCACCGCCAACGAACTCGACTTTCATTTTCAATTTCGTCTTCAGTTTCGCAAATTCATCCTCAATGAAAGAGACCACTTTCTTAGTGATATCGTCCGGGGTTTGAGGGGGAACCAATCTAATGCCAAGGTGAGAGATAGGATAGTGGAAAACGCCCGTAACTCTACCTGAGGCTGAATTTGCCTGACACTGTGGCGGGAATCACAGTCTTGCCACCGGCGCCGGAGTAAGCGCCCTCGATTCCGTGAAGTGAGAGAGATGGTTCTCGAGTGCGACCCATGAGCACAGTTGCCTTGTCATCCGAGAGCGAGATGGGTCCTCCTGCTACTTTTTCCAAGTCAGCGACAGAGTAGTCAAGGTCCTGGTACTTTTGACTAACAGTGAGACAGGTAAGCTTCTGTTTGGGAGGGTGATATAAAAGGAACATACAGTTCTGAACTGTCTGCTACGGAGATACCGTCGTACACGCCAGGAATGAGAATCCGACCCTCGACCGACACGAGTTTGCCCATCAGAGAGATGAGAGTCGTCATAGGTTCATACACAGCGCCACCCATACCGGAGTGAAGATCGCTCCCTGGTCCGGAAACTATGATTTGATAGTATGCTATTCCTCGTAGGCCATACGTCAAACAAGGCGTGCGAGTGTTTAACCAGTAGTTATCAGACTACCAATGAATTCTAGTCAGAAAATGCACTCAATGGACTGCGAAGATTACATACGATGCAGACACAATCGACGCCATGGAACCAACCTTGAGGACCCTTGGAGGTTTCTGTCACAATCAAGTCGTCTAGCCCTTGGCTTCCATCTTCTTCCAGGCCCTCGAAACAGAAGCGCAAGTTAACAGGCAATTCAATCCTGAGAGCATGGTGCGCTTCAAGCACATTGAGCCAGCCGAGAACTGGGCCTTTATCATCAGTAGATCCACGCCCGAACATCTTTCCGCTTTCCCTGTCGACATGAAGTTCGAAGGGTTCTGTATCCCATCCGTCACTTTTCTCTGCCTGTAACGATCAGCGCGAGTTCATCCTTCAAGACAGCAATCTCTACAAAAGAGAGAATTCTGGGAGACAACATACTGGCTGTACATCGAAATGTCCATAAATCAGAATGGTCTTCTTTTTGGAATCGTCTCCGATTCGTCCCAGTATGGCCGGTGGGTATTCCAAAATCTTGCCTTCAACTTCCTGTTGACCAAGCGGAACCGCCCGTGTCTGAACGCCATATCTTTTGAGCTGGTTCTCGAGCCATAATGCCATACGATGAACATCGCCTCGTCTGGAGGGATCTGTACTAACACTGCGAAAGTGGTAAAAGATTATCAGATTATGACTTGCCTTAGTAGTTTATCTCGCGAGATGTATTCACCTTGGGATCGCGACGGCTTCACTTAAGCGTTGTATAAAATCATCTGCGTGTGAGTCGACATATCCATGAACATCCTTTAGGTTCGCCATCGATGTACTGGTTCAATTGCAAACTGGTGAGCCTTAGGTAGAATTCTATGGTGATACGTAAATAGACGCTACAACGGCGGCGTTCGCCAGCAGGCTCCGAGTCGACATCTGTTCTATTCTGACTTCCGCCTGCGTAGACTAGGCCGACTGCTTGCAATCGCTGGTACTGATGCTCATTTTGTGAGTCGGAATTCGATTGAAAACTTGGAGAACTAGGAAACTTATCAATCTTGATCCCAAGAACGCGTATATATTGACGTATCGACTGTGACACGTTTTGATCAGGCTCTAGTACGCTATGACTGCCGAAAATTGTTGTCTGGACTCCCATTATTCTCTTCCTGTTGGTTGTGTTTTGGCCAACGACGCGTTCTTTGTCTATTGATTACTATATATGTATTGACCACTTACGACCCTATACCCACAATCCAAACCCCCATTCCCCCTCGCCACGATCCATCTAGTCGAAGTGTTGTTCTTGCAATATTCATTACCACTGCTAAATTCATCGAGTTCACACGTTGCATTTCCATCATGCAGTCGTACAGCCGTGCAGACCAAACCAGTACGTGGGCTTCTGTGCCTCATGTCGATCTGAGCTGACCACGCGTTTACAGAATTAGCACCATGCATGACCCCCGTGGCGCTTGCTAGGTACCCACCACCTTCCATGGCTAGTAGAAGTTCATCTCCAAGGCCTGGAATGCAGAAACATTCCTCTCAGCCAGCCAAATTGAGGCGTAAAACCCCGAGCACGAACCATTCGCTCGATGTGCCAACTTGTATGTCCCGTGCATGTGATGTCCAGACCCCTTCTCACAGCGTGTTACTATAGCTCCAAAGCCCTCAGGTCCAAAGGCAAATTATTACAATGGCAGTCACAATTTGTTGGCCTCACGAGACTTGACCGCGTCTCCAACTTTCCCGTTCATGCAGGCCAAGCGCGCCCCATTTGCCGCGGAGAAGGCCACGGCTGATCGCCTCGGGCCCCCACCACATTTGACGTTAGTCCAATATGAGAGGACTCACTCACTTCCTTACAAACCTACCAGTCCGAAGCATGACTCCCGTAAGGCCAACCGATCTGATAGTCCTTCCGTCTTCGGCCGCGAACGTCAGGGCAGTACGCAGAAATCTTCTGTTCCCCCTCTCGGGGAATGCAGGGCTCCTGCCGGGAAGGTATCGCGCTTCGTAGAAATGCTCGATCTTGGACCTGTAGATCCCGCTGTCATTGAGAGTGAATGCCCTAGTCGTGGAAAGCTCAGGAAGCCCCGCAGGAGGAATGCGACCACCAATTATTAGAAGGATGGATATATACCTGAACTAAATGATGCCCCACGTTTCCTTATTGTTTATTCCACTTTACGAACCACAGAACTCATAATTTCTGTAACGTTTCGTACCTTACGAATGCCATAATTCTTTGTTCTGAATGGCAAAGTGACATCAGGGAGACGGATTGGCAAACCCGGAGAGCATTCAACACGGAGACCGAAGTAGGTACTCTCGTCTCCTCAAGCGGTCTGTCATATCTCAAGTGTGAGGGTATAACTAATGATCGCGGTATATAAGGGTCATTGACAGGGTATGCCTGTCAGATACTCAATGCATTCTTCCATTTGGTACCGCCTACGTCTCCCAAGACCCTGCCCACCTCTGTTTGCTCCAAGTTGAGCACAACTCTCTTATCGTCTTCGGGTTTCCTGGCAATTGTAGGTCCGTCCTCACACAACATCGCTCTTGATGCTAGCAAGGAATCTAAGACAAGTGACAGTTCTCCTGGTGATGGTCGTCGCGTGAGGTCTGCAGAGTCCACCAAGAGATTTAAGTATGCATAATGCTGTTGTTTGAGCTGCAGGGAAGAGATGTTAAACCTCGCATATGGATTTCACGAATTTTAACTCACATCACCCCAGCGGATCTCCTCCACACCTGCTCTCTTGATACACTTCAACATCGCAGCGAGCATTATCCGCTCATGCAAGCTCAAGTCACGAATGTAAGCAGCAGTGGGACTATTCTGCATGTCCTTGATGACCCGTTTGACGTCATCTATTCGTGCTGTCTTTGAGAAAGGCTGAACGAGCTCCACTGTTCGCCTGTGAGACCAAACAGATTGAGTACGCCTCTATCAATGATGAGAAGTGGTCGCACCGGCAAATATCGAGGACTCGTCTAGCGTCACCACTAATAGACGAGACTTTCATAGAAGCAAACTTGATTCCATCTGGTGCTATCACGTCAGACGAAACTGCTGGAAGGCCTTCCTTTGCGCTGGTCAATCTCGCTTTCACGATTTTCTCCAGCTGTGCCGTAGTATAGGGTTGGAAGTTAAATCGAGTCATACCTATGTTTATTGAGTTTCGCTGCAACTGCGTTCACGCTGAGGACTTACCCAGTCGACTCCGAACTCGTCCTGACATTACGCGTTCTGGAAGATCCATGGTGTTGGCTACGGCGAGGACGACTAGACGGGATCCTACTAAAGTAGGCCAATTGAAGAAATTGTACACGACATCCTGTTTGTTCGTCATAAGCTGATCAAGTTCGTCCATGAGAACAACACTGAGATGGGGGTTAGGCTGTTGGTGAGGCATATTGATTCAGTCTACGTACCAGGCATGTCCACCGGGTCCTGCACGATCACGCGAGCTGAAATAACTAGATAGGTTTTTCAAAGATTCCTTCGCGCTGATCTTCAGGTGGCCCTCTATTGCTACATTGTGGCCGGAGACAGCTTCCCAGAGAAGGCCGTAGGCAGCGGAGGGTTCAGGAATCCGAAGACCATTGATCTCCACATATGTGAAGGGATTAGCTTCCTGCATGATGTTCAGTCAGTGTTAAAGTATAATTGGAGTTAAAATACTTGCGTTTTGTTCGGCCATTCGTTTCAGTTCACGTACGACAGCATGAACAGTAGCAGTCTTGCCAGTTCCAGGAACACCTGAGATATCTGATCACGAAGTAAGTGTGAATAGCATGACCTGCAAGACGGGCCAAGCACTGACAGACGCATCCTCCGCTGCCCTCTTCTACCAATTCCTCGACGGCACGAAGAACTTTTCCGTACTCTTCTTCTCGACATGGCAATGCTTCTGGTCTAGAGGCGACATGTAATACATGCATCGCACGTAACCAAGGTTCTTCCGGGATATTCTCTAATGAGTACCATAGATTGTCGACACGATCTGCACCAGGGGGAGGTCGAACTGTGAGTTTCCGTCGGGCTCGGGCGCGGAGCGCTGCTTTCGAGTGAGGTGTGGGAGCTACCAGATCTTTGGTCTTACGTTTACGTCGGGGAGTGGACGGTAATGAGGTGGTTCGTTTGCGCTTTCGAGATGGGGTTCTTGAGGTTTCATCAAAATCGGATTCAGATTCAGAGACATCGGAGAGTTCAGAGAGGTCTGATGAATCCGAGTCGGAGGTATCCGACTGAATGAGGTGGCGCGTTTCTTCGTAGTCGTCATCGCCATTTGCAGACGAACTTGGTTCTTCAGAATCAGAATTCTGGTCTTCCTCTGGAACGATGCTGAGCTTTCGTCGTTTCTTCTTGGGGGTATGGGGAATATGTGGTTCTTTGCGAGAGACATCAGCAGGGCGCACATTCCAAGCGTCTGCTGATCCCCATTCTCCAGGATTGCCCAGAGCATTTCGCGATAGGTCTTCCCAGGAAAAAGAGTAATATATTCCACATCGTGAATCGATCGAGGTGTGACATAGGAACGTTGGAGTTGTTTGAGGTTTACGCGAAGAGGACTTGCGAGGAGGACTTGACCTATCGGACTCAGGAAGATCGCCAGAGGACGTCACGATGATACATTTTGATACAAGGGACGAGGCAGGTACGACTGCGGTGGAAGATACTGAGTAGTATATTTCGTTCTACAGGATGTACTTTAGCGATGGCACGGTTTGTGAAGATAGAAGGATTCTTCACCTCCTCATGCTTGCGCGCAGCACGAATTCCTGCCAATTCGGACGGTCTTAGAAACCAGTGCAAAAGTACACGTACACTCTGCTGAACTTCGGGTCCGACAATATTCCAAATCGCAACGACGACAGCCACACTTGGATCCCTGGCTGCAGATTTCACCAGAACAGCGTCGCCAATTTTATATATATCTTCAGCAGCGACATTCGAGCTACGGTCCCTTTGTGATTTTCCGTATGTTTTCAGCGTCCGCTTGACTCCATGCATCCTCATGGAGAGTCTATCGTAGAAGTGTGTCTCGAGATCCTCAATTGAGACATCCCGTCTATTGAGAGCTTCAATGTCTTCCTGATATAGATCCTCTGACCGTGTCGTTCGCTTGAACACAGGTTCTGGCAAGTTCAGAGGGGCATCTGAGTCTAAAGTGTCTGCGGAAACCGCGACAATTGGTTGGCCACGTTTTGAGCGGCGGAGAGGTGTGGAAACTGGTCCGATGGCCATGTCAAGGCAATTATAGTACGCCCGTTTACGCTAGAGACTGAATGGTTTTGACTTGGAGTTTCGAAGAGGAGCCGGATGCTGGTAAGAGGAAGAAAGCGGAGAGTATACTACGCGTAGCTTAACTTTGAGACGCGCCACGTCACGCCCACGTGAGAGATTGTCACACATTTTGTTTCGCAGGAATACGCCGGCCAAACCGGGTCAAGTCAAGGGCCAAGTGCCGCCATAATACATCGCCTAACGACACTCTCATCCGCGAATAGACTTGACTCTTACAGCTACTGATTCAACGTACGTCCCAAAACCTGGCTATAAACTCTCGAGATTCAATTGCATTGCAAAGGGCACCCAGGCACTTGACGGTGGGCATCTTTCATGTGGAGTATAGCGTGCAACAACACTAACATTCTCAGATTAGGACAGTATACTGACCCTTATCATCATCTCGAACTCACACCACAACCACAATCTTTTCTCGCAGGAATGGGGTTTACTCAACTACCCGTTGAACTGGTCTTCTACATCCTTGAACTCATCAACTCTGGTTACGGATGCTGCCATGACGAATTTAGCCCACACTCGAAGTACGAGGGACATGTGGGTACTTACAGAGATGTTGCCGCGTTTGCGCGGGTATCTTCCGCATACAAGGACGCCGCTTACAACGTCCTCTATCACACATTGCCTGCAATCGCTCCCGAATTCCTTGCATCTGCGACATCAGACACATTGAAATTCATTCGTTCAATCAACATGGACCTCAGGCTGGCCTCAGCATCGGATTTATACTTCACGGCGTCCACACGTCTCCAGAATGTGGTACACTACCACTTCATACTGACTTGCGACCATATCTCCAATGCCATTGATCTGATGCGTGGCATGAGTAGTGTTCGTCATCTCGAAATCACTTTCATTCCCTCCAATTCCCACCTGTCAAGGGAATGCGGTACTCTCCACTTTCCCTTCCTCGCTGAACTATCCTTTCATTCCTTTCCGGCGGCGGCCATACCTGAGGTTTTTCTCGATATACTCAAAGTACATGCTCCACAACTGCGTCGCCTTACTTTATCTTTGCACGGCGAAGTCGATCCGCAATTGTCCAATGTATTCAAAGGACTTTCGTGGCCTTTGTTGGAGCATCTGGAGGTGGATGCAATCACAGCGGTCATCATCGACGCGCTACGGATGGCTAAGAATATCCGATCCTTCAAGTGTAGTCAGGACACACCAGGTGTTGTATCCTTGCCAGACGACATATTACCTCGCTTAGAGATTGTGCAAACTCCCCCTAAACAAATTGCGTCGTTCTTCGCTACCCAGCGACAAATCCGTATCGTCATTCTCAACATTTCTCACTTCAATTTCAGCGGTACTCTTAACAACCTCATGCGCGTCCCTTCAGAAAGCGTCCGAACGCTTACCTTCGATTGCAGTCTATGTGAAAGGTTTATCGCGTGCAATATAACACCTATCTGGCACCACTCGATAATGCCTGGCGTGGAGATGCTGACATTCAATTTCCGCACAACATGGCCAGTCAAGGTGCGTGCGTTCTAATCGAAATTTCGCATAGGCTATTGTGCTCATAGCATATTCCACACTGACAGTACAAGCAACTGACGAAATTTGGAGATCTATACCTCTCACGATTTCCGTCTCTCCGTCAGCTGGTCATCTCACGTGGAATTGACTACGTGATATGTCGAAGAAGAACGGTGGCTCGTGCTCAATTCCAGCAAAGGGTACTGGAGAAATGGCTTCAGAACTGCCCTAATCTGCAGAAAGTTACGTTCTATGATGACCCTGAATGCGCGGAGTGGATTGTGAGAGATGGACAATGGGTGCTCCTCTGAACTACGCGCTGTCGTTGTGCATTGAATCAGTTTTTTTACTTCATCATATGCGCTCGCTCACACGCAATCATGTGGAAGTCTGGCTATTTTGTTAGGTCCCGTATCCTCGTGCCGAAACAAATGTATCATCATCTCTCAAGAGTTTAGACAGCAGTTGGATGTTCTTGTATCTAAAGCATTTCGAAGACTGATTCACTCTGGATTACTGCGCTGTGCAGACGTGTGCATCACTGGAAATCACCGCAGTAGAGACAGCTAAGGTCTCTGTCGCGATGGAACGGCTGACTGTGAGTCCAAAGGTGCACGAGTAACGCTCATCTCAGCTAACAAATGTGCGTAGTTTAAATTACATGGGATTCGTCGAAGGAGCCAACGCAATATCAACTTTTGAAGGTCACATCCCTTTAACAATACCAGAGCCGCCCTCTTTTGGATCCTTATTCACAGCAACTCCAATAGCGCACCTCAAAATAACACAGCGCTGGATTCCGTCATCCTGAAACGCCAGTTCAGCGATAACGCATCGTGATGCCGGGAATCCTATTGGGGCTCTCTTTGGGAACTACGATGTACGTTCACCGCTTTTGCCTCCCTACTTTATAGGCCTCTCAACAAGTCTCATAGTCTTGCATATCGTCGTGAATCGTCTAGCTGGATTACATTTGTGCCTAGACCCGATACATGGTGCGCAAAGCCTTTACTTGTTGGACCCATTCTATTTGTTGAAATGCCCTAGAGAACACGGGTTGAGCAAGCCACCAATTGATGCTCATCTTATTTGAATATGTCCCCCTTCATCTCCCTGTCGCATCTCGTACTCAGGAGGCGCATTTCCAAGCTGCAAGCACATCCCGATGATCCGGGTTTGAGAGATATGTCTCAAGCCATTCCCACGGAGATCATCCTGCATATTCTCGCGTATTTGAAGCCAATCGCATTTGAATCTCTCTCTCCAAATCGGGGGCCGGACTCGCTGGAGTTCTTGCAGAGGCCTTTGGACATCTACAATGCCTGCCTAGTCTGCCGGGCCTGGCACGCTTGCGCGATTGTCCAACTCTATTCGCGCGTATACTTGTATACACCGCATAGAATCCACCTCTTCTATCAAACGCTTCGTCGAAAACCGCTGCTAGGTTTGCTTGTCCGCGAGCTGATTATCTTTGATAATTATCGCCAGACGTTGCCGTCATATGACAACCAGTCGCGCAAAATCCACCAAAGGGCTTACTACCAACTCGTCACAAAGCGAGTTGACAATCATTTCGGAGAGCGTCTACAGCAGGAGGTTCTAACCATCGTATCGTCATGTTCGGCATCTCTATCGATTAACCTCCGATCATGCGCGGAACATGCCTCAGAAAACACCTTCATTCGCAACGTTGTTTTCTCAGAGTCTCCGACTCTCAATGGTACACCAGGAACCCATGCTTCGCCAAGTCTCACTCTAGCGAATCACCGACTCAATAAATCTACATCCCTCTCTTCCTCCTGGCGCAGTCTACAGCAGCTTGTCCTGCACGATGTGAACGTGACGCCGTCATTCATCGAGCACCTTCCCACCAGTACACCGCAACTTGACACCCTGAACTTTACGCACTCATGTTTTAGCCCCAATAGGTCTGCGACGACCGTAAGAATGTTCACCGCACTCAACCAAATTTTCACCCTTCGCGTTCTTGAGTTCGTCAGAACACCAATAATAATTGAACCGTGTTCATGCTTGCTGCCCAGTAGGCTGGAGCGTTTTTATCTAGTGGACGGCATTCAGCCTCCTCCGTCTGTTGTCATAGAGAAAGTTGTAAAGTCGTGGGTTGATCCACAAACTCTTCCAACAACTCTGAGGGAATTGGCCATCACTCCTACCGAGCAAGACTCTGAAGATTTCAATATGCCATTGGACATTCCATCCAATATTACTTCACTTATCCTCTTTGGACACACTGGTCTTCTTCCTTATGATCCTCACTATCATTATCTTTCAACATTCAACTATGCCTTTCACTGCCTAGAGCAGAATATGCCAACTCTAGCATTTGCATCCTTAACATCTTCTAGGCTAACACAGCTCAAGATAGTTCTTCTTCATTGTAGTTGTTTAATGTGTTTGAAGGCAGAGAAGGGAGAAGATCCTTTGAAGGAGTTAGATATATGTCAGGAATATGAGAAGGTTCAAAAATTATGCAATCTATATAGCATCAATCTAGAGGTGAAGGAAGTTGATGGCAAGCTCTATTTTTCATCTTAGCATTTTGTTATTATTTCTAATAGTGAACCTTTCTAGCTTGGATTTTATCACCATCACCTCAGCAACTTTCAAAGCCACAGTTTCAGACTCATATTATAGAAACTGCTGTACTTCTATAAATAATGTAATACTGTGATACTGTGAAAGATGCTATTTGAAAGTGAGATAGGTTTAATATATACAATGAGTGCCTTCCTGCTAGTAGTTTAGAATGTATTCTAAACAACAACAAAAAAAAACAGTATAAAATCTCCTCAGATGCTTGCTAGTTGAGGAGCTGTCAAGTCAGCTGTCAGAAATCAAGTTTCTGGCACTTGGAACTTTGGAAAGCTTATTTGTCTAGGTGTTTCACAGCCAGCCTATCACAATAGGCTTAAGATATTTATATACACACTATTATCTACTTAGAATAAGTATTCACAACTAATCTGCTAACTATTTGAGTGTACTGCATAATAATGATGCACTGGCCAAAATCATGATGTGAACACTGGGATGCTTAGAAGCTCAGAACTTGCCAGTTTTCCTGATGGGTGTTACTCTTTCAAAAGAAATCTTGACATCTGTTTATGGTCTGACTGCAGGAATAGATTCTCCACCTCAAGATATCATCTCAGATGCATATACTGATACAATATACATATAACATATATACATATACATATTTCAATAGTCATTTAGTTTGCTGACCCATTCAACTCTCCGACTCAATGTCTTTTCATTTTCCTTCACACCCTTCTCTTTGCAGGGTATACTTTGTCCATTTTCTCAATCTGTCAATTCAAATACTACAAAAAATGATGGCACATATCAGTAAAAATCTCTCCTCCGCAATCCAAGAAAGAATAGGCAAGAGGAAACCTACCAAAAGCACCAACACCAGGTTTAGTCGCGAATATCACCTCGTTCAACGCATCGCCTTCCAAGCCTCTAAATTTGGGATATCGAGACCGGACTTTGGCGATGAACGTATCCACTTGGGATTCGGGTACGAGTGAGACCGAACATCCGCCCCATCCTGCACCTGGAGATAATTGATATAACGCGAGTGGGTTAGATTTGATTGTGAAAGTCGAAAGTTGGAAGAGAAGGGAAGAGATGAGTAGGATGGGTTTGGAAGTCAACTCGGTGAGATGCATGCAAAGTGAGAGAAAGACAAAAAAAATGGAGAATAGTAGGAAACGGGACATAGAGAACGAGACACGAGACAAACAATGAACTTTACCTGTTAACCGACTGCCATAAGCCCCGCTCTCCCTCGCGATCTGAGTCAGCTCGTCCAATTCAGGACACGAACATTCGTATAATCGTGAACAAGAATCGTGCGAAGCGTTCATCAGGGCGCCTAGTGCCTTGAACGCCTCCGTCGATGTTGATGATGATGACGTCGAACTTGAAGGGGGTGATGAGGAACTAGTGGAGGTGGTGGTAGGAAGGATGGAAATGGAATGTGTGGTAGAAGCGAGACAGAGTTCACGGAATTGAAGGACGCGAAGGGCTTCGGTGAGTATGTGTTTCGTGCGTTTGTACAATTGGAAACGTGTCGCTTCGACTGTTGAATGAAATAAACAAATCAATATCCGGGCCTGGGGAGTAGGAAGAGGAATGAGAAATCAGGGGAAACGCACCGTCGACCCAGCTCAAGTAAATTCTTTTGAACTCGTCTTCGCCCAACCCACTCGCAGAAATCATCTCTTCCATCGTGACACCCTCATCCTCATCCTCATTACCTACGATTCCAATTTCACCTCGTAGAGCACTAGCTTTGAGGACATGTATCTCCGCAAGGATCCTCTCCAACCCTTCCTTCAACGCGTCCGCAGCGATCGGCTCTGGTCGTCCAATGTACGCGCTCAAGACTTCTCTCAGGGTCGGAGGTTTGTTGGAGGTGGAAGAAGGTGGAAGCGTGAGATTCAGTTTGCGTGAAAGAACGCGAGCTGCGACGAGTGTTTCTACGACTCGAAGGTTATATCGCGTTTTTGCACCTGGGAAATGAGCGAAGTCAGTACGTCGGGACAGCCGTGTGACTTCTTGTTCAAATGAGATCGCAAGGGAGACGTTTAGTGTTGGACATGCCCATCCCAAATGAAGGCTGAAATAACGAAAAAAACTCACCTACGACTTTATCGCTGACCACTAACGAATTCGCACACACCAGTACGACGCCTTCACCGGCTTTGGTCGCTTGAGGAAGTGAGACGAGTTCGGCAGAGAGGGAGGGATAGAAGGTGATGTAGAGTGCGGAGTTGGGGGTGGAGAGGATAGAGGCTGCTTGGTCCATTCTAACATTCAAGTGAGTTAACTAGAGGGATGGGAGAGGAAGGAAGAGCATTCGGACACTCACCCACCGCTATTCACACCGACTCGCTTCTCATTCTCGACGGCCATCTGGACTAAAGCGCCCTTCTTGACACCGTCGAGTTTGTGGTTGACTGCGAGGAAGGCGAGGGTGGAAGCGACGACCATGGCAGCGGAGCTGGAGAGACCGGAGCCGGCAGGAACGTTGCCAGAGACGAGGATGTTGACGGGCACGGGGTATTCATCGGAAGAGGTGAAGAAACGGTTGAGAACGCCCTAGGCGACGTCGGCATCGTTAAAGCAAAAAAGAAAAGAAAAGACACACATAGTAGCCAGCTTTGACATAACTCTCCCACCTCAACTGGCTCTTGTCAATGTCCAGATGCCAATCCTGGACTCTGACATCCTTGTCGAGCATCTCGTCTTGAGCTTGGTCCTGAGCCTGTGAGACCACGCGTAGCATGGGAGTAAATGTCTGCGGGGTGTATTTTGGAAAGGTGTTCTGTGCGGTGACGGTGCCAGGTGAAGACGGTTCAGGCGTAGTGGGAGAGGAGGAGCGGGGACCACACGCGATGAGGATGTCTTGCTCAATGGCAGCGGGGAAGACGCCAAAGAGGGCATAGTCGATGTGCTCGCCGATCAAGCTGGTGCAAGTGTGAGGAGAGATGTAGGGGTGAGAGAAAGAGCGTACTTGACACGACCGGGGGCACGGGCGATGTAGGCGGGCTGGGAGCCGAAACGCGACTCGAACTCTGACGCGAGGTCATTGAAGCGGGCACTATTAAAAGCGCGTCAAGGGGTTAGTGCATGTAGAGGGACGGAAGGCGTACCCATGCTTTGCGGCGAGGAGGAGGTCGGGGTAGACGTCGGAGAGAGAGGTGTATACTGGCACGGGGAGATCAGCGGCCATGATTTACACAGGACAGCTCCTGGTTAGCGACTTTAACGAGAACAGAACGGACATGAACGTCCCGGAGGTGATCGATAAGACCCCATGAGCATGATCGAGGTCGATCGAGTTGAATGCTCGCTAGTGACGTCGACGAGGACTGTGAAGGTGCTCGGAGGAACCCCGGGATGAGATAGGTGAGAGTGTCGGGCATCGGGCCGTGGCGTCATAGGTGATCGATGAGCAGTCTTGCGAGTGCAACAAGCGCTGCCTATAAACCTCCTCTTGTGCTATATCTTGTGCTATCGTTGTTGAGTGAACTCAAACTGAACTTGACTGCCACAATGACCGAGCCGGTGTTCCTCGCCCTCCCCTCGCTCACTCCCAGTCTCGCCCTCGAGGTCTGTCCACAAAACTTTCCCAACTGCCATATGTGTACTAACCAATAGCAGGTCCTTCCTCGTGGTCTTACCATCCACCGTCTCTATGTCCAAGCAGACGGCAGAGTACGTCCCATCCATCCCTCTCATCCCACTCATGCCTATATCTCTCTCCCGTAGACACACGACCTCGTCATCGGTCCCGAGGATCCCAAGGACCATTTAAATCAAAAGTACACAAACACCATCGTCGGCCGATACGCCAACCGTATCCCCACAGACTCCCAACCCTATATCATCAGCCGTAATAAGATTACCTCCGCCTTTACCCCTCAACCCAACGAGTCCCCGTCCGTATCCCTCCATGGCGGAAAGTCCGGCTTCGACTCGCGCGATTTCGAGCCTCTCCTCGACTTGGGTGCCGTACGACTCTTTACTAACAAGGAAAAGGCAAGTATTGCGGAAAAGTATGACAATGGCGCTGCGATGATATTCAGGCGAGTGAGTGAGGATGGCGAGGAGGGTTTCCCTGGCAAGTTGCTCCTGGAGGTCCTAGTTGCGCTTGTCGAGCCCCACGGCCCACAAATTGAAAAACTGGAACTCAGTCTTGGCAGTATCGTTATCGTCTACAGGGCAAAGCTCTTGGATGAAAATAAAGTTACACCTATCAACCTCACCCAGGTACGTTTAGCCCCTTAGTTCCCATATTTCATTTTTTAATCTTTGTTTACTGGACTATCTACAGCATTGGGGCTTCAACCTCGATGCCTCTCTCAAAGACGAAGTCCCTGATTCGCTCTCCGTCAAAGAACACAAGCTCTCCATCAAAGCAGATCACACCATCTCCCTCACTGAAACTGGCCTTTCTACCGGAGCGTTGAGTCCTGTCAAGGGCACTCACCATGCTCACGGCGAAAAGGAGACCGGCAAGATTGGAGAGAAATGGCCTGAAGGTGGTTACGGTATGTTGCTATTTCCACCCTTCTACTTGTATCTACCTTACCAATATCTCGCTATAGATCACTTCTATCTCTTCTCCCGTCCTTCCCCGCCCTCCACTCAACCCACTCGCATCCCCGCCTCCCAACTCACTCCTGATACCTCCTTTGTGGAAGAACTGTTCACAAAGGAACCCGAGTCCGTCGATCCTGTTGTAGAGTTGGCAAGCGATAGGAGTGGCATCAGGTTGAGTTTCGATACTAATCGTGAGTGCTTCTCCTTCCGGTTTCTTTGCCTTCGTATTCGGTTTCAGGTCGCTTGCTTTTGTTGGGCTGCCGGGTCTCCTAGCGGATCCTGCGATTTTGGAGATGGGATCGGTTCATGTTGACAACGTTGAGCACGGACGCCTTCGCGCGTTGATCCTTTCTGTTGTATTTCCGCGCATTCGTTATATCGCACCCCCGGTCGGCGATCATCCTTTCTGTCACTGCCGTTCTCGCTTTTCTTTTGACTATTTATTTGCACACCCTAAGGGTACCGCGTCCTTGGGCCTACGTTCCCATAGTTATTCCCATCTATTCATTGCCTTGCCTTGCATTATCCTGCCGCTCTAACAACCCCCAACCCCCCCACCCCCGGTGTTTGCTTCGTGTTTATAAAGTTCTTTCCCCACCCCTCTCCTCCCATCTCGCGTTTTTCATCCGAACTCCTGACTTCCTGGCTGACCCATCCCTTGGCTAAATCCTCTCAGAATCTGGCGTCCAATTCTACACCAACAACCTCACGAACCCCTCAAAAGGCGCGCGCAAGAAAATCCATGGCGGGTCGGGTATCAGTGGGAAGGGCGATAGTTATGATGTTGGAAGTGAGTGTTTTTTTATCTTTCTTTCTTTCACTCGTTCTCCTCTTCTCTGTTGCCGTTGCTGGGTTGATTGGGTGCGCCGTTTGCTTCATGATGGTGTCTTCCGTGATCTTTGTGTTTCGACGCAATTGCGCCTTACACTTGTCGTTTCCTTTTTGGATATTCCACTGCTTTGACGGGCGGTGTATCCTACGTTCTGCTCTGGATGTTTTCATCACATCTCTATCACATCTTGCCCACTTCGCGTGGATGAAGTGGAGACTCCGAGACAGCGCCGTTCCCAAGCCAATGACTTGCAGCAGACTGCTTCATTTTTCGTCTTGCGGGCACTTTTCTGTCATCGTTTCGCTAGCTGTACCAGCTTCTAATGCTTCCGTTTCTGTTCTTATTCCGTCACTGTTTGGGACGTCTATGTGTTTGGGACTGCGCTTGGGCGTACTCCGTTCATTGTTTCCCCCTCGCTGTCCGAGTGAAGACTTGGACGTCATTGGATTATTAGGAATCACCATTCCCTCCGCCCCGGGATATACGGGTCATTCACGTTCCCTATCCCTCATTTACTTTAAACCCTTGACCCGACGACGACGTTTCTCACAGCGTCTCTTCTCCTCTTTGTCTAAATCTCTTCCACCTTCTCTTTCACCTTCTCGTTTCCTCCTTTCCTACCGTTATCAAGATATGTGAACCATCGACTCACCACTACGTTCTTCATCCAGCCGCTGCTTTCCTTGAATTCCACGAACCCCTTGCGGCTTGGTTACATCCCGAGACTCAAGGTCCCGATAAGAACGATACCTTGCTCGCTTCGGGTGAAGTTTACAATAACTTCGTTAGGGTGGATGTTTGGTATACGTCGCCTCCTGTTTGAGGTATGTATTTGTAGGGATCAACAATCGATTAATGGTCGGCGAAGGGGGCCTCGTTCTTTCGGTTTTGTGGATTTCTTGAATTCGATTCGGTTTCGAGTTGGTTTGGAAGGCGAGCGGCTCGGGGGTTGGTGAATGGATCTGACGTTGATATTGCCCATCATTGGCGAATAGGATGGAAAAGTGACCAAGGGGAATCAAGTTTGTAATTTTATGCATGTACGTACTGTATGTACAATTATTACTGACAAACTTGCATTTCCGTTGTCTTGCATATTTGCTTTTAAACTTAAACGTTCAGATCATAGGTCATCATCTACCCTGTCTCCGCAACCCTCAGTTGTCGAGATGAACGGGTTTAACTACGAGATTGAACCAAGTTGTGATTCAGATATTTATAGCAAATACAGCGACGGACCTCAGTCGACTTTCCGGCTCCTTCTCCAACCGTTTACACGCTCCTTTCGTGCATCCTTCAGCCCAGGATCGCAAGTACTCATCCTCGTCGGGTACGGTCAGAATTGGGACGGACTATCTAGACATAGGGGTAACAAGGGTGTTGGCGTTACGTATTCCCTTCCTGCAAGCTGTCAGTGGAACGACACGTATCGCAGTATTTTCGATGGCCTTTCAAAGCATAATTCCACGCCTGTCTTTCTCGTAAGGCCATCTCTTGTTCTTTGTGCAGATTTGTCCTGGGCTCTCTCTGTTGTCGCTGTCTCGTTCGCGTCCATACGTGCAAGGCTCAAGGTCCCAAGATCCTTATCCCTTTTTTTCTTGCCTCGAATATTTGGTCCGTATTCAGTTTCCAATATATGCAAATGTATATCAACGTATAACACTAGCTCAGGCATTCCTATTTGACATCTTTTGACAATCCTGACTCCACAATTCACCTCTTCGCGTTTCCAAGGCTCTCTCTCCTAAAGGAAGGCAAGTCGACTAGTTTTTGATTTTGGCATCATTTCGACACCAAACGTCGGATTTCGCTAATGATCTGGACAATAAGGATTGGTGGGCCATGAACTGAACTGCACCACCAGACCGAACACAGAGGGGATTCGGTGATTACACACGTCTACAGATGTAAAGATGAAGAGAATATCACTGAGTTGGGGCGTTCCAACATCGCGGACGCTTTATCAAACTTCTCTGTCAGCTCCGCATTGCCAATGACCTTTGCCGCTTGACTCATTTGTCGAATCAACTCTTGAAGGCGACGGAAGACACGAATGAGATTGCCTTCGAATTGATCTGTAAGCTATACATAACGATGAGCAATCGACACTCATTGCATCAAAGCTATCTATGAGCAGACCTTGCAAATATCGGAGAAAGAGGCTCCTCGACACCACTGCACTACTACGTGCATCAGTTCTACTTTGAATGATTGAACGTATTCATCCTCATTGAGCGTCAGCTTGGATTCGGAAGAAACCTTGGCAATACGTCTAGCAATCTCCTGCATTGCCCGAAGTGGTGTTGCTAGTTCTTCCGTGAGTTTGGTGACTTGATCGCTCTGCAAATTCATCTGAGATATGCAACAAAGTATCTCACGTCTAATACAACATACTCACCTTCTCAGTAAAGACAAAACAGCTGAGCAACCCGGCGCACTGCTCCGGTGAGAGCTGATTGAATGTCCCGTTAAAGATGAGCTCGGTGAGCAATAACTCATCTCCCGTGCTGATCTCGCAGGCAACCCTGCCCTTCAAATCAACGATATCCTCCGAAGTCACAAAGCCCAGACGACGTAGAACACGCTTGCGGTTTTTCAGCTCTTCCATCTGGAGAATGTCGTTAGCCGCACGTATCGTTTTCCTAAGTTCCCTGACACGTGTTTGACATTGCATCTTGCGAGTATACTGAGAATACAGCTCCGGGAGGCGGGGGTCATGATGCAGGGGAGAGGCGAAGAGTTTGCTCTCCATGAGTTCGATCTTCTGCGGAGGGACAAAGAATGAACGGCAAATTCCAGGAGTATCAAGATATTAGCTTACTTGAACGAGAACCTTGAACTTATCGTCTGTAATGTTCATATTCGAGATTGGATCAAGCAGAGGGATCCCATCGGGCATTCGGCGATGTACCTCCAACACACTCTTCCAGACGGTGTCACGTGCTTGTCGCGGACGGAGATCCTTTGGAAGAACGACCCGAAGAGAACTGATAGCATCAATGGCGAGCAGTAAAACGGGTACTACCAAAGGTTCGCCATTCTGACCTGCGGGGCATGGTGAAACACCGCCCGGAGTGATAGATGGGGAGTTATGTTCCTTCGGTGGCATCGATCCTGAAGCACAATTCAAGAGAACGTCGATCACATACTGCTCTTGGGGCACCAAAACACCAGAGTTTTCCACCTCACCAGTTTGGATCTAAGTCAGAAGACAGATTGCCACAGAATACGCAACACACCTTATTAGTTGACAGCTTCCTGAAACTCAGCACGACACCCCATCCGAAATTCACAGCTCCGTGCTTGACCTTCACCAGCCGGCCAGGATTCAGGAAGGGAACACTGTACGTAGGATGTGTAATCACATCTTTGAAATCGGATGCCATTTGATCTAACTGTTGACGATAACCGTAATATTCGGCCACCAACGGCTCATCCAAGATAACGATGGAACGCGCCGTCTCCTCCTCTCGCCGAAGATCTGCAGCAAGATAGAATAAGAATCAACTTCGATGTATTCTCAAGGCGACTCACCCTCCATTAGCAAAGGGACGGATGCTGCGCTTTGAAATTGGTAGAAGGAATGTTCCAGGAGATACTCAGGACTGATACCCTCAACTTTCATGAGGTTCAGTATCATGTTGTATCCAAGGTGGAATGCGGAGTCCAGACGATCAGCTTGACCTTTGATCATATCCTTCAAAACAGACGGCTCCAATCTTTCGTCGCACATCATGACGACAACGCCCCGATCGTCAAGTCCCCTACGTCCAGCACGACCCGACATTTGAATATATTCACCGGATGAAAGAGGTCTGAACTGATGGCCATCGAACTTGCGCGAGGAAGTGAACACCACAGTCTTAGCTGGCATATTTAGACCAATGGAGAAAGTCTCGGTGGCAAAGAGAACTTTCACAAGTCCCTCCTGAAAAAGTAACTCCGTTACCTCCTTCAAAACAGGAAGAAGCCCTCCATGATGGATGCCAATGCCGCGTTTGAGCAGAGGAAGTAAATTGACTATCTGGGGTAATCGTCGATCCTCCTCGGACAGGGTATTAATGGCATTTGTGAACACCATTGTGACGTTGTCTTGTTCATCAGTTGAGTTGAACTCGAATTTAGCCGTGGAGATCGCATGTGCCTCGCATTCACGCTTGCTAAAGGAAAACACAATGACGGGCGAATAGTTTCGGGACATAATGGTCTGGACGATCTTTTCGACATCCGGAAGTTCTTCATTGCGTGGTTAAATTTATCTCGGTATCAAGACCAACCACTCACCATTCTTCTTGCCTCCTTTCTTGGATTTGCCTTGTTTTCCCTGTCTTCCACTCTTCGACGAGGATGGATCTTGACCTTGATGTTCCTGTAACACCCCCATAGCATTTGCGAAATTATCATGTCTGAACTCCCCCTTCTCGTTGACGACCAGGTAAATTCCTTTTCCACCGGCAGGGAATAAAAAATGTTGAAGAGGTGTTGGTCGAAAATCCGTGTAAACTACATGACACGGTTGCTCATGAGACTTGCAGATCCACTCGGCAAATTGCATGGCGTTGGGGACAGTAGCTGAGAGGAAGACATATCGGACAGCATGAGGCAAAAGGATGATGGTTTCTTCCCAGACCACGCCTCGTTCTTTGTCTCGCATGTAGTGTACCTCGTCAAAGATGACCCAGGCAACCTCCCGCATAATCTCAGAACCCCGGTATAACATAGAACGTAGGATCTTATCATGAAGTCATGAGAAAACGTGACAAGGCCAGATAATCTAGTGAAACCGTACCTCTGTGGTCATCACAAGGCAAGAGGAGGATGGGTTGATTGTGATATCTCCCGTCATCAACCCCACGTCTCCAAACAACGCAAGCAGGTCTCTATATTTTTGATTACTCAAAGCCTAAAAGACGTTAGCTGGAAGACAAATTTGGAATATTTGCGACTCACTTTGATCGGACTGGTATAAATTACACGCTGCTTATTCTGGAGGCATTGCGCGATTGCGTATTCCGCGACTACGGTCTTCCCAGCACTCGTATGTGCGGATACAAGCACACTTTCATTTCGTTGAATTGCATAAATCGACACCTGCTGGAATGGGTCCAACGGAAAGCTGTATTCCCGCGCGGGCTTTGGAGGAGGGATATGGTTGGCTATGGGAACATACGAATAGCCGGGTGGAATGGCAACTTGGTGGCGAACCTACGATAAGTGTTTGACCCATGATTTACGTGTCAGTGTATGAGATGTGTGAACGAACCTGATGACGCAGCTCTAAATGGGAGGTGGCTTCAGCGGTACCTAAGAGACCAACGCTTCCAGCGATTTGTCTCTTAGCTTCGATTCTAACTTCATCAAGAACAATAGGCTGCGGGTGCACTCTGAGACGTTTTATAGATATGGGATCTAAAGATTCACTCGGGGAGTGGCTTCCTTGAAGTAAGTGTTTCTCCTCAACTGCCGAAAGGGTTAGGTTTGCGACGCTATCGTCTGCCTTGCGTTTTTTCGAAGTTGTATCCTGATTTGGCCCTGTTGGCATCTCCACATCCATTTCGGCACCAGGGTCATTGTTCAGATCGGTGTTGTCGTTCAAGAATGAAAAAAGATCAGTCGCATCCATTTAGCACCGTAATGGTTCTGGATGTACTCAAGGGAAGGTTTCTGAGATGCAGAGAGAGGTAGCCAGGTTGAAAATACTAGTACTGTGGCGTAGTTGCAAGCGCCAGTCAAACATCAACTACATATACGGTCACGCGTTGACTGTGACCACCAACACCCATGCTGCACCCACGCCTCCTTTCTTTGGTTCTCGGCTCAGCCATCTTCGGGCCGTACTCAACTAAGACTATCGATATCTATTGCTAATACGACTGTGTCTCGGCGAAGCTTCCGGGATGGTTCTGGTGGTAAATCTCGTATTGATTGACTGTCACCATGCATTCAAAAATTCACAGGTGACCTCAAGGCGCACAGTTCATCATATTAGAATATCGCTCACTTAAGAAACCTCGTAGTGGCGGAAGTGATCGACGTGGTCGAAAAGCATAGAAGATTAAGTACGGTGCGGGTTGGCGGAACTCCACATAAACCCTAAGGAGCAACACCAAAATGTTATCTGCGATAGTTGCGAAGTACACTTGGAAGATGAATAGCGGGCTGCGGGAATACTCTGATAGACATTATTCGTTAACGAATTCGCGCCACAAACATTGATTCGTAATGTACAGGCTACACTGCGCCTCGCCAAAAATGTTCCGTCTGTTACCTTCGAAAAAGGCAGGCCACGGTGTGTTCTTTCCGTTGTTTTCTGTGATATGGGCTTCACCTTTTTTTCTGACCTCAACTCATGCCCCACCGAAAGCGTTTCGTAGATCCTGGAATGATGGTCGCAGAATGCATGTGTGCATCACGCTCATGGTCAGAAGTCGTTGGACCATGTCGTATCACCTTTTCGAGCCTTTGGAATGGTAAGGGACTTAAGCAGTGAACGACTGATATACCTGTGCTCACGGACTAACGGGGCGACATTCCATCACTAGTGCTCTCGCCTCTGACTGTAAAGATGGGGCGTTTGTTTATGCATCGATGAGAACTGACGCGGGACAGACGACGTTGTTCTTGCCTTGGCTGCCATGGATGCCACGGTGAGGTGTTTGTTCAGGTACTTATCGTAACCATCATGCTATCATCCTTGTTAAGTTTGGGATCCCCGATCGATCTATAGTATCTGCCGGAACATCGGATGGATCATCGTACATTATGCACGATAATCAAATAGACCCTGAGAAAAAATATTGGGCAGGGATACCAGGACGAGTTCGAGCTCAATGAGATTTTCGAACAAGGTAAAAGCTTTGTTCATATGCAATATTGTCTACTGAGTTTCTCTACAGTAGATATGGCTTCGTCGCCATCCTAGCAAACTACATACGTGCAATAGGTCGACCTACCTTCGGCGGTGGCAGGTCTCTCGTTCCCGCCGTAGAATAGGATGCGCCCCCAAGTATCCCACAGCGACCAGCCCTACACATGAACTCAGGGTCTTTTTCTCCGAGCTGACCAGACATCAAGTTACAGGGAAAATGTTGCACTTGGCAACTACATTATCGCCTGCGAGGGTTCCTCCGCGCGGACTCCTCGTCACCATAGCCGAATCATACTTAGGCCAATTTGAGAATGTTGTCGTTGTCTCCTTGAGTGAGCGCTGCAAGGACCCTTGATTATCATGATGGGTTGTGAGTGTATGCGGTTTTAATTCACTCATCTTGACTCGTTTTATTGTATTTCTACAGCATGCTACTACCAGAAGGTTCGTCATCCTAATACATGACTGTGAATTCGTGTTTCTCGGTGATCGCAGACCAGATGGTGCATGGCCTTGAGCGATTCGTTCTTCGTATAAATATCCCTCGCTATGTCTACTCATTTTCAACATTCGAAGTTGGAATCCTTCTCATCTTGTCTGCCACATCCCATCCCCACTCAATCCACACAACGAACGCGTTCAGTCATCATGTCCTTCGCCGAAGTACGTTCTATCTCAAGATTGCGGTTATGCTTGTACTCACTGATAACATGCAACCTGTCTACAGCAAGCCAGAGCCCTAGTAAAAGCCATGCGTGACCAGGCCGCGGCGGAAGCTGCGGCTGCCCCAGTGCAGCTGCCGACCTTGCAGAAGACACTTGCCAAGGTAAAGATATCCTGAATGATCCTCCGTATGTGTAGGTCACTTATTCTTTGTCGTCAGATGTTCAAAGACACCTTGCAAGGCAAGAAGATAGAGCTCAACGGCGTTGCTCACAATGTCAAGGTCTCGCGTGTGTCTGTCGTGGGGTAAGTGCGAGTCCCATGTCCTGCGTCATACATTCTAAACGACTTTTTGCCTCTTTGGTCGCCAGCTCTACTATGTATATAGACACGCTCCTCACCACTGAAGGTGAATCACTCATTACCTGGAAATATCTCCAGTTGAAAGACTACAACAAATTCAGTCTCTCTGGAGAACAATTTGCCAAGAATCTCGGGGTGATGAGTGAAGATGATTGGTATGCAGCGGGCATTGATCAGTTGACTAATCTCCTCGCTTGAAACAACGCAACCCGCTAACTTGCCGCCCCCATTGCTTCCGAGTCCTTTTGTAACAAGTATCAGAGTTACTGTATTACCCTCCACTCAGCCATTATCAGTATGACAATGTATACGCCTGTGTATTACTACTTGCAAATTCGTTTCAGCCGGGTATCATATTGCTGAGGTTACTGGGGTTCTAAGCCTTAGTGTCGCATTCATTATCAAGATGACGCCAGTTACTAAGTAAGTATGTGCTAGGATCATAGTCAAAGTATAATTACAGTGTAAGTTGATGATGAGTAAACAATCGGATGCCATTGGCATCTTGTCATGCGAGCCGTTTCGAACGTAATAGTATGGATGATGAATTCAATCTGTTGGTGGAGATACCACATGCACCAAACAGCCTGTTCGACACATCGATTGCCTGATGTTGCGTCACCCTCCACCAAGTTCTTTTCTTGTAAAGTGGTTGCGTTCGCGCTCCTGTCCTCCGCTCTAGTTCCTGCACCCTCTATTTACTCTTGGAATGTAGTCCTTCGACTGCCATATTTTTTATCCAATACAGATCAACTTGGATGGGCCGTACTTCGATCGATCGCGAAGCCACCGTCATGGCAAAGACTGCACCGAGAAGCGTGCGAGCTCGCAGGAGCCAGTGAATAGAAGTATGATAGAAGCCCCCCCTTCTCTTCGCCCCAAAGTTACCAATCGTTTCGGATATAGCTGTAATAAATGTTAGTAAGGCTACTCAACAGACTTTCGTTCGTTCTCTGCGGCCTGGTCTCACCCGAACCACGACAAATAGCGTTACACACCTCACCTTCCTGATATGGCAGTTCTCACTGGCATGTACCCTTCGCTCTTGAGTCTTACTTCATCAACTCTCCCTCTTTTACTGACTCTGTTCTCCTCTAGCTTTTGAACCTTCCGTTTCCCTTTATTCTACACGCTGTAATGTAACTTTCGTCGTATTCATAGGACTTTCCGCCCAAGAATGACCAGACTACTCATTTGAAGAGGCATTGGTGTATATAATCGGATCATTCAGACTTTTGTAAAGAGGATACTGATAAAGGGTATGAGAAAACTTCGAGGAGGGTCGAACGACTCAAAAAAAAACTAAACGAATGTTGAGATATGTACATGTATGTATCACTATCTATATATGCGGCGATGATAGCTGAAGGTGGAGAATTCATTCGTGAGTGCAGTCGAGTGGCTGGCGGACGTCGGAATTCCTTTTGAAAATGTGACACCAACAACCAGTCTCGATGTCAAACTAACGATTTACACGGGATTCATGATACTTACTGTTTTTACCATGACTTTGCTACGAGGAGGAGGGGTCAGCATGGTGTGTTAGCGACCTTGAATGGCTCTACCACTGCATTATTGAAGGACCTGGGTAGTCCATAACTTGATGGTTAAATATGAAGAACAAGATCCTGTGATTACGCATCAGTCAAAGCGATGCGCATTGCGCGCTGAACGAAACACCAACTCACCAGAGTTGGGTAGGATCAAAATTTATACCCAAGACCTATGGCGTATAAGTAGTTCCTCAGCCTGCGCTCAAAAGCGCCCTAGTCTTCCATTCCCTATCTAGAATCGTCGCCGTCGGAAACAAGAGGATTGGAAGCGACTCGCGTGACTGTCAGATCAGATTGAACATATATTAGACATAACTTAGACTGATTGTTCGTCTAGTAGCAAGTTGCCGTAATGGACGGTATATTACTGTACACCTGTACATCTCAGGACAAGTTTGCTTATCTGACCCATGCATCACGCAGTTGCAAGAAGGGGACATACTGTACATGAGATCCAATTGGGATTTGATTGCTCTATAGTAATATAGGGCCATGTTATGTACAGACGATTCGGGTTCGCCAGAATACGCTCATCTCTCCAGAGCCATAAACAGGGACGCTTAGAGATATCCCCCATTGTTTACTGCAATCTCGCGAAGATTGAACTTCTTCCCCATAGATTCATATCTCTTTTTCTCCTCGGCAGAGAACTCAGCGGAGTAAAGTGTGTCGATGAATTCCTTGATGGACATGATCCTATAAACACCATTGGCATCCTCCGTGAGATGGACAAAGATGACATATTCGTTGTTGTAGAGGGCACCAGTCGAAGATACTGCGCTAGATGTCGTCTGTCACATGTAGTAGTAAACCGTCAATTGCGCGAGAAAGACTAAAGTAAAGCTGGCTTACATGGAGTACAACCGTTCTACGACCTTCGACTATCTCCTTGACCTCCGTCTGCGTCAGGTTATGATCAGTTACCATGAGCCAAAGAAAAATTAGGACAGTCTGAATACGAACCGTGTAATCTTTGAAGAACGTCAAAGCAACCTTGTTGTACTCAAGCCATTGCTGTTTATTGCGAGATGGCAAGTTGAGCGTCGGTGGATACACAGAATGAACAAAATCATCTGTAAAGAGTGAAGCAAGCTTGTGTATATCGCCTAACGCAACTGCCGTCAACCAATCGAGAGCGACTTGAATCTTGGAAGAGGGGTTCTCCGGAATAGCACCTCTAATTGCTGATGACATATGAATAGTTTTAGCAAAGCTGATATCCGTCAGAACGGAGGGGAATAGTAAAACGAAGAAGCGACTCACTGATATATGTGCTGGATAACGCTGGAGTAGGCGGGCTCACGAAAAAGACCTATATATGATTCATAAGACGGGCAAAAGGTCCCATATGCGAGACTTACGTGAAGCGACTTGCCCAACTTTTCCAAGCTAAATATGAGACGCATCGGACCATCAAAGCAAAGGTGCCCCAACGCAGTCAGTCTAAGCATGCATATGCAGGAGAAAGATCACGAATTTGATCGAATGTGCCAATACGAGGTCACAAGCTCCTTTCGCGGTGATTAATATAAGAGACCTGAGCGCACAGTGCCTTAGGCTCGGATGCACGACTGTAGTCATTTTACTATAGGTTAGAGTAGATTGAGAGTTTCACGTAAGCAGAATGACCGACTTACTCAGGGTATAGCTAGCCTCGTGGTCCTCGTGTTGCGCAGGACCAGGCCGCCAGTCGTGCTTTTGAAGGTAGTCCAGCACGCGAACGTCGTCCGTGTGTTTCACCCAACATGAAGCATTGCAGCAATATACAATTCATGTCAATCAGTAGCGCCCAACTTGAAGAGTTCAGCCGCCAAACATTGTCAATGAAATAGGCTGATGACGCGCGTAAGCACTATGATGTTCCGTCGCCATTTGCATCCGAAGTGCATTAGAAAGATGATTACAAGGACCGCCAAAGAGTGGTCGGCAGGACGTACTATCACTAGGAGTACTAGTAACCTCAGGTCGTTGTCACTGTCCAGCAAACACCGTCTGTGGACCATGACACGCATGCTTTTGCTTCCCCAAGTACCACTACTGTAACAGTTGGTAGCGCAGGTTATATCAAATCGCCAAACGCTGCCAACTCGGGACCACCGGATTCCTAAAGAGAACACGTCAGAACCATTCGATATAGAACACTGGGGAATACATACCCTCATGCCAATCTCCCAGTCTACAAACGTGCCAAAAAGTCAATGAACGATTTGATGATACGAAGCGCAAGTGACTCACAAGAGTAGATGATAGTGACGGCCATGAGGATACCAGTTCCACTTCCAATAGCACCCATCAAATCGGCAGCGACGGATAGTAGACCAAGGATAGCGCCACCTAGTGCAGCGGCAGTGGGCACTACCCGTTTCAGTTCCTTGTACATGGATCCCTCACGATGACCGGCCATAACCTATAGGTTCCAGCCAGGTCAATTATAGCGCCCGCGTGACAGGATCGAAAGCATACCATCTGCTGATCCTTAAGTTGTTTGGCAATGTCACGAGGACCGCTACCAGAGACCTCAATCCACGTCTTCGAAAAGATAGCGCAGGCAGAAACCATGAAGGCAATATAGATGGTGGCATGAATGGGGTCGAGGAGAACCTCCTTGAAGGTATGAGGAGGAGACATATAGTAAGCAATACCAGAGATAGCGGCCAATTGAGGAGAATCCTCGAGAGGCTAACGGGACACATCCAGGTCAGCGGCTGTTGAAAATAAATAACACGCCCAACATACCTCCCAAACACCGAGAAGCTTGACAAGGATGTTGTTCGGGAAACGCGAGAAGAGCATTTGAGAGACAATGAAGACATTGGATGTCAAAGCGGATTGCAACATGATAGGCATGTTCGAAGTGTAGAACAGCTTGACAGGGTAAGCACCCCGCTGACCACGGAACCTGTTGGACTTGACGGGGATTTCGACACGGAATCCTTGGAGGTATATGACGACAGCGAAAACGACGATGGTAGCGATAAGGTTCATGACGTTGGGAAGACGGTCACGCCAGAATGCCTCACGCAACGCGCGACCTTTGTCATTCCAGGTGAAGAGGAGATGGAAGAGAGAAACAACGGCACCCTCGAACTCAGGGCCACGACCTGTGTTAATAGTAGTGGGGGAGAACGCCTTCCAGACGATCGATTCGCAGATGTTGGTGGCAATAAATAGGGAAATTCCCGAACCCAAACCATAGCCCTTTTGAAGCAGCTCGTCCAGGAGAATAACAATAAGGGAAGCCGAAACCAACTGGATGATTAGAAGGAGGCAAATACCAGCTCCGAGGTCGCTAGGTTGTCCGTACAAACCGGTAAGCACATAGACGGTGGCCTGACCGAGAGAGATGATCAAAGCAAACACTGCAAGCGTGGATGTCAATATTCTATAGCAATGATGGGCGCATTTGATAACGCACACTTCTGAGCACCACTGAACAGTGCACGATCCTCCTTCAACGAAAAGTCCACGTCAATAAGGTTGGCACCGGCGAGTAGTTGCATGATCATTCCCGACGTAACGATTGGGGTAATACCGAGTTCCATAAGGGTTCCACGATTCGACGCAAGGATAACACGCATCCAGTAGAGTGGATCGGCAGAGTCAGACGACATGATACCGTAAAGCGGTACTTGAGAGCAAACGAGGAAAATCAACAAGGTAACAGCCGTCCATAGCACCTTTTGGTTGAAGGGAATCTGCAAAGACACGAAGATTGTCAATGCCAGCATTTAACTTCGCGTATTAAGTAGAGACATGCCTTGCGGTCGGGCGAGGAGACTTCAGGAAGAATGGGAAGGAACGGTCGGACGAGGTTCAAGAACCGGACTGCGGGTGATATGTTAGATGTTTGGAAGGTTCAGAATAAAACATAGGTACTTACACCCGCTCATGATGAAAAGTGAGGGGCAAACCAAGGAACGGGAGGAAGAGAGTACTTGTAGATGCTAGATCTGACACGTCGCTCAACTTTCGTGAGGTGGCATCGCCAAAACACTTCAAAACATCATCTAATCTTATCTCCCTCCTTCCCATACTCTCTCATGTCCAGCGTTCTCATGGTAAAAAGGGTACATGCACTACCAATACATTGAATGCAATTCCGATCCTGGGGTATACTTATCAGTTCTACATGTCATTCTCTTCATCATCGATTTCCCAATCCACATTCTCTAGTGCCGCCTCCCCCTCTGCGTATAATTTGTCCAAACCTGTCAAAGACTCGAGGAATCCTGTCTCGTTGAACGCCTTCAGAAGGACCTCAAATCCCCGGGTCTCGTATGCATCAATGACCTATAGTACGAATTAGTATTCACATTCGAAATTCAACGTCGAAGGACGAACAGTGTCACTGCATCCAGTGCATCGGTTATAAGCAGCGCCAGTGATCGGCATGTTCCTAAATTCAGCCAGGAACCCTCGTAGTTGGTGAGGAACCAAACCGAGAACACTTCGGGAAGCAGAATCTTCATCGATGTCTTTTTCACGTTGTGGTGGGGGCGGAGGAGCATTAATTCTGTACGGAGTTAAGTACTGACCACCAATGCTGATGGAAAAGAATACATACCCGTCAGGGTGTTGCAGCAAGGACACGAGCAACTCCACAGTAGTGGATGCAGCAATTGAAGCAAGACCAGGTCTTGTTACAGTACACATTTGGTCAAGTGTTCTGTCAGTAAGAGACTGCACGGTGTGTTAGGCAGTGCGGATGGATAGTGAATATAAGGCCGTACATCAGCTGGAGCAACGATATCATTGCAATAATAACATCCTAGACGAGTTCCCTTCGACAGTGAAGCACGAGCGCCATGTCGCATAACGAGATAGGTGTCAAAGCCAAGGGCAGCGTTCATGACGATCTATCAAGTGTCATTAGTCATTGTTCTACTCTGAATCCGAAGATGCCAACCTTCCCCTTAGCGGCTCCTAACACAGTAGGTAACCACCGGCTCTCTCTTGAGTCCATAAGCAAGAAAACGACATCATGCTCATCAGTCAGTCGTTCTAGAGTAGCCACGTCCTGTTTCGCTTGGGCAACTGATGCTGGGGGTATCGGATGTCCGGGCATGGGTATACTGAGGTTGAATCCACTGGCATCCTGGCCAACCACCATCAGTGTTCGCTCGGCAGATATATTGATTGCAGACAGTGAACATACGACACCGGGGAATATCTTCTTGAGTCTCTCAGCAGCGCACGCTGCCTTAGGCTTCCCACCGTTTAGACAATCCTCGAACTCGAATAGTGGTTGTCGAACGGGGTTTGAAAACGAGACACGGGCAGAGTCAACAAACGTAATCTTTCGAACTCCCCATCCCTAGGAACCAAGGATGAATCAACAGAAATCAACGCCACCCTTGAAAGCAAGTATATGGGAGGCCCCGACATACCATCAGCGTTCGGGCTACATAGCACCCCAAGGTGCCGGCGCCAAGAAGAAGACACTTGGTCGAAGCGATCTTGTCAAGATCTAAAGCTGGTAGGATACGCCATCGCATGAGTTTGAGATTGAGGTCCACTGCTTGGTCGGCCAGTCTAAGATTAAAGTCACACTCTATCAACTATGTCCATTCACGATCTGGATAGCAGAAAAGCAAACCTCTTAGGGTCCATCATGGGCGCAAGGTCCGCAACCCTTGGTCCAAGTTTGCCCTGCACATTCTTTTCCCATCCAACAGCAGTCGGCCTGTCTATATTATCCGCTGTCAGACTGACCAGACAAACATTCACAAAAAGTAGAACAATTCCTACCTTTGCCCCCTTCACCCGAAGTTCTGACAATCCCAAACCGACTTTTCCAACGACCATCATGAGGGACATGTTCTGTATCACGCCAACATAGAACACGGAATCCTTCCGAAGCGGCCGACGGAAAGTGGTATCGGAGGTAAGTCAGAAGGTTTCGGAGTGGCCAACCTGGGTTAGAGGGTGCTGCAGATGGATCGAGGAAGGCTATTGTACGCTGGGGGAAAAATTACGAGGACATAGGTAAATGTATCCTTGCGACTCGTTGTACGACTCACTTCATTAGTTGGAACACCTTTGAAGAATGAATCGTATTCTTCTATGGGTCCAATTTCTGGTGCTTTGCCTGATGTTCTCACTAGGAAGAAAGGTTTTGGTGATAGGTGTACAGTGTTGAAGATAGTGTTCAGCTATCACACAGCCATCAACTTGGTTCAAAGATACCAGAGTCTCGCAGTACTTACCGCTTCGTTGCTAAATTGGTCCGATGCCCCTCTCCAGTCGCCGTCGACTTCCCAGGCAGGTTTCGTAACAAAGGCTGGGAAAGCAAACCAGTAATAGTACTTATACTTCTTCAGATCAGCGAAAGTGATCAGGAGGAAGTGAGTCAGCAGAGAGGTTGATCCTTTCTCGATACTGGCCCATATCTGAAGGGAAACGGTAGTAGCTGTTGAGCGCGTGAACTGACTAACAGGTTCATATCATTTTACATGCATACTTCATCTGCTGCTTGGTTGAATGAAGCAGTCTTATCGGCTGCCTTAAATTCCTCTATTGTGTTATAGTTCTTGAAGATACCTGTGGCCGTAATGGAATGCGGTGGTACCCTGCTTACACTTCAGTTTTGCAATAGCCACCAGTTCTTATTACGCACTGAACGTCTTTACTGAACGCCTCTCCGCCAATGTCCACCGTACATCCCAATGCGATCTCCTTGCCTGTCTCGCGATCGACAAACGAGCGGCCCGAAGCGTACGAGCCAGTGATCGAAACAGAATCCTCTGACAATCGGAGAACGTCAATCTTCAGGTCGGTAAGGGCATGCCAGAAGTTGGGCTCAACAAGCGAAGAAAAGGGCGTAAACTGCACAATAGGCATCGATATCGTGGTTTGCAGTCAAGGTTGCCCTACTTTCAGAGCCATCACTGCCCTCGTTCAGCAGAATCTAGATACAAGTCCAGAAATGGAAGGTGTATTAGAAAGGCCACGCGCGAGCCTCATTGAGGTTGTAATGGGCGAGTGGCAGGTCATTGCGGCACCTCAGTCTTGCTTCCAAACCACCACACTCCCGAAAAGTGCACACTCTGTCTACCCCAAACTATGAATTCTCGCCGAGTCGTTCGCCTTGTTCCCAGAGAACTCCCTACGTACAAGCACTCGAGAGAACTCATCGTTATTATGAGGGACGCCCTAGAGGGTATGTTCTCCATGTTGTGTACTTCTAACGAATTGTTACATATCCCGTTGGTTGCCTTTCAGCTCACCGTTCATACTACCAAGCCGGGGTATTGCATGGCAATATCAATCCGGCCAATATTATGATAGTCGACCTTGATATCCCATCGTTGATGGGAGAGGACGAAAAGGGCATACTGATAGATCTTGACCCTTGTATCGCATGTCGAACGACTCACTCGGGGAAGAAGGACGCCCCTCGAGAAGATAGCTCAAAAGGCAAAGCGAAAGTGCCTGACGACGAATAGAGGCGTCAATCTGAATATTTGTGACCGATGTAAGCATTTCTAGCAAGGCGCAGAGCAGTATATATTCGGACAATTGTTAGATAGAATTTGAACCAATTAGCTTGTTTGAAAGTACGGAGACCACACTAGACCACAGCACCGGCCAATTGTCGACGCGTCGGGGCCACGTGCGTGTATTGACCACGTGCCATCGCGCGCTTGCGAAAATCTCGCTGCCCATCCTACCGCAAGCCAGAGCTGATCGACAAGCAACAAACGACCGCCGTCCCTCTTTCTCGACATTCCAAATGGTGAGACCGTCAGTTTAGCTCTCTGAGGTACTCTGGGGGGTGTTCTGGATGTTGGATTTGCTCATTAGAATGTTGGATGCCACCCATGTTCATCGGATGTACCTTAGAGAGCGAAGACAATCCTAGGGGCTCATGCTTACATTGGATTATTCAGGCCTCCGCAGAACTCGCCGCTTCCTACGCCGCACTCATCCTCGCCGATGACGGTATTGAAATCACTGTATGTTCTCTAACCGATCTATGATTGGTGCAAGCGACCTCATAACCGTTTCTTTCCATGTATGAATCGCAGGCCGACAAGATTGTCGCACTCACCTCCGCCGCTTCCGTCGAACTCGAGCCAATTTGGGCTTCTCTCCTCGCAAAAGCTCTCGAGGGCAAGAACGTTAAAGAGCTTCTTTCAAATGTTGGTGCTGGTGGAGGTGCTCCAGTAGCCGGTGGTGCTCCTGCTGGTGCTGCTGGTGCTGCCGCAGAGGCGCCAAAAGAGGAGGAGAAGAAGGAAGAGGAGAAGGAGGAGTCAGACGAGGACATGGTGCGTTTTGTCATTCATTATCTTGCCGTCTTCGAATTCTAAGTGTCACTTTCGTCTTTTAACAGGGCTTCGGTCTCTTCGACTAACTTTGTATCGTGTCATTATGTCGCTTTCATCTCATCCTCTTTTCACGTCATGCACTTGGGTTCACTTCTGTACTCTGCCGCGCTGTATTCACCCCGCATCCTGCATACTCCGCATCTCAAAAAGATTATGAAAACAGCAATGTGTTGTCGTACGTTCGGATACTTTGGTACCATCTGGATCATCAGGTTTTGTACCATATGTTCAATTTGGACTGGTCGGAACGACTGGCGTTCCTCGCGTCGTCTCGCTGCACATCTTGGTTTCCTCTCGCTCCCTTGAGACCCTCTCTTTTAAGCTTTCCGCTGACTGATGGAGTTTCTGAAAATGACAACTAAAGAAACAGGGCCACTGTTGCTACATCATGGTCCTCTTTTGGACCCTTACTTGGGATTCCGCCAATATTGCAATTGATTTAGCATACGCGAACAAGCTTTACATATCTCGCTCCCGCGCAATTTTTTGCGGATCCGGTTCTAGGACTTAATGATACCGAGTTGCATTATTCCGCTTGACGGCATTTACGAGCTGTGGTCCTCGTGAGCTTGCATTACGGGAAATAGCTTACAAGACGTGGATGCGAGGACTGGAATGCCCGAGCAGGTGAAATCCAAGGGTGAGTTCTGAAACCAATCTCATCGGTCATTGGTCGTGGACATCCCTTACTAGTGCAGCTGTACATTCGAGAATGGGTCGTGCAAGATCTTGCAATTCACGACGTTTACGATTAGGCACACCCTAATCATCTGAGTGTTAAACCCCGAGTCGATATGGTAAGGTCACTGAACCTATGAGGCATTGTGCCGAACATGTCGCATTTCTAATGCTTCACAGATTCCATTGGACATCTCCATTACATCTCAACTAGTTGAAGCCGCCATTCCGATATCAACGGCGAATGGTGTGAGCGAATAGCTGGTGATACTGTGCTAGTTCTGGAGCATGCTATCGACTGCTACTGAACGTATGCAGGACATATATACCGACACTACCGGGATGCCGAGGGTGCGACGGCGTCCGATGGTCGATAGCCCGAGGCGGGAGTCCTCCCGCTTGTCAATTTCGGTCGATTAATCGCCGTTTGACTTTTCAGTGACACGACGAACACGACAAATACGGTATATTGACTCACCTCCGCGGGAATCACGTTGAAGTAGAACTACTGGCAGAGAGCAGTATCGGTCGATATTTGATGGACATTCATTTGTAAGTCTTATACCCCGATGGGTGCCAGTTCAGCTATAGCTCACAGCGGCAAGAACAACACGTATGACAGACGGCTCAGCTAGGTGGCGCTTTAAAGCTTGATATAAAGAGTGAAGTGACGAACAAACCCCCCATAATATCCATCAGGTTTGAGTCGTCTTCACAACAATTCTCCGTAGGCGAGTTGTTCTCACAGGTTCTGTCGTGCATTCTCATTACTGATATTTCTCTTAGACCATCTTCACATTCGCTATGTCGAGCCCGGTAACAGGAGCCATTCCCGCTAACCCCTCTCCTGAAGTCAAGCTGATCATCGCCTGGATGACCGCACTCTGCGATGGCGATTTTGACAAACTTGCGACCCTTGTAACCGAGGATTTTGTTCATTATGTTCATCCAAGTTCACTCGGTTTCCCAAAACGTAACAAGACGGAGTGGCTCCAATTCAACAAAGATGGCTTTGATATCTTCAAGAACTTCAAGGTGGGACGTGATATGAACTGATTTCAGCTTGTTCTCTTGACTCAGTTTCAACTAGATTACCGTTCACGAAATCGTTGAGGGTCAGAGCGCTGTCGTTGTTCATGTATGTGTCGTTGTCGTAGTATGCGGTTCGGCTGACACATTGCCGTATAGGCCTCGTCAAACGCAACTACATCAACTGGATATCCATACGCGAATGAATATTCGCTCTTTTTTCACCTTACCGCAGAAACCGACGGAAGTTACACAATCGATCAACTCAAGGAATTCATGGACTCTCAGTATGCTGTCGAATTCTTTCTTGCGGAGAAAAAGAGGCAAGAAGCAGCTGGAAACAAAGTAGTCTGGTGAAGAGCAATGATGCGGTCTGTGAACGAAACAGGCAACGAAATAGAGTGTCAATGTATCTCCTGGAGGACTTCTGTCGAAGGCCTCGCCGACTTGAATTGCCACTTCAATGGATCAAGAATCACTTCCACCCGAGGCAATATAATACAAGATATGAGCAGTCAGAATAAAAATATCATGACCGAATATCACCGCGATAATGAAAACCGAAGTGACATCGTTCAACGCTACAAAGTTGCTATAAAGCCTCACCTCTGGTGAAAAAAGGTGTCTTCAGGGAGAGCTTTCGAATCGGATCGTACAATCCTGGCAGATACACGAAGAGGTTCAGATGCCTAACTGTAGCCTGAGTCGATTCTTCACACCATCCATCGGTTCAGAGTATCGCCGATCCAATTATCGATACCTACAGTGAAAGATAGGTGAATATAACAACATCTTGGCTTCGAACTCTGCGTCGACATGTACTTACCAACTGTAGTAGGGCGAAGTTCTAGGAAAACGTTAAGGATGGAGCAATGTTTACGAATCTCATTGATTATTGGACGGAGACCCTGGTCCATGATAGTGGCCGTATCAACCGGCACATGATACCCAGGGTCATCCACCAACACGATTTCAATATGCTTCAAGTTGTCGTGTGCTGACCCAGACCGGCAATTCCATTTGAACCAGCGTGAGATGACCGCAGCAGAACTGCAAGTGGTGGCAGAGTGCGGGCCAACGGCGGCTGCACAAGGGATGAGGATGGTCAAACTAGTCAGATGCTCTGGGAAGTCCCAGGTCAACAGGAAGTCGTGACCGGGATCTACAGGGCCAAGGACCAACGTCTGGATGCCTTTCAAATGTCCCGCCCTAATCCAGGATTCCATGATCCGCATTCCATGCTCTCCAACCACATGAATGCATTGAAGATCTTGCGGATATGAGAGCGCAGTTGTCAGGTCCAAATACCAGCTGTTAGGTCCGAATGTGACATCATACAGTGCCAATGTGCGCAATGCCTGCAACTCTGCCAGAGACTTTGTCAGATCGACCGGATCCATTTTGCAATGGCTGTGAGCGAACTGGAAACTTCTGAGTGCAGGGAATTTGTTTAGGTATTGGCCATCAAGACAAGGAAAGTAATGATAGCAAATGGACTCAAGATGACAAAGATGGGGGACAAGAGGACTCTTATCATAGGAATCGATATTCGAATGGTCGATGACCATGTATCGAAGGTTCGGGTTAATAGGGCAATTATTCACGATGGCATCCCTGACAGATACGAACGCGGATAGGCGGTTGTAATTGAAGGTGAAGCCCTGAATGCCACGGCAGATAGAGAGGATGGAGCGAACGTCCTTGCGCATCTGAACCAAGATACGGCGATTACAAGTGTCTGTGTATTGAAATAGTCCCTTCCTCCATAACCTTCTGTGATCCACCAAAATTATCTCCTCCACGAGCTCAATTGAGCATTGACGTTTCCTCAGAGTCCTGAAAAAGAGGCGAACTTGCTCGGGAGTAGCCAACGTGGCGTGCTTGTACAGCAGCGGTGTTACGACTTTGTTCCAACTGCGCGACACTCGGCATGCAGCCTGTAATGTTGTTCGCGCCCATAACAACTCTGCATCCGTTCGCCTTCGAGTCCCATGTTGAGTATACTCCAATCTTTTGTAGATGAAGCGTTCGATGCTAGTGAAAGGTTTGATGATTTCCAAAATGAGCTCTGGAGGAAGGTTAGAAGTAACAGAGGAGCCTGAGGCCCTTGTTCGAGGAGAACTCGGAGTAATGGAAACTTGAAGCAGTTGCGACAGTATGGCTAACATGGCGAGAAGGGCTCTATGGAACGGACCACACGTTCAGGAGTTGGTCTCTCCAGAAAATCTGAGTTAGCTATTGTATGTTGACAAAGGCGCAATCTGGTTGGGTTCGAATTCTTCGTCCCTCAGCAGGATACTATGGCTCGACTGGCCTTTTGCAAATGTTCTCAATATCTGGCCTGCCAAAAGCTCAGTTCTTGATTAAATGCTTCCGGGAAAGACACAATCGACGCGATATATCTTTTCCGTAAGGTCCCAAACACAGCAAGTGAATGCGATGAGCGAGAGAACAAGTGTAAGGTTGCCGGATGGACGACTCTAAGGCGAATTCGCACACGATGGGACACCAGCTGAGCTAGCGACGATGATGGCTAGATATGGTAGGATATGATGCTGCAAAGCAAGGAACGCTGGCAGGTGTGGTACTTAGACAGGCTGTAGCTGTATACTTACTTGTGCGGTTACTTATATTGTTACAAGCGTCGAGAACGCGATAAATTACAGATTATGTGGATATCGGTACTAGCTTCAGTGAATGAATAGCTGCGTCAAAGGATGAAACGAGGTGCAAAGCAAATGCAAGACGTGTACAGAGTGGTATTGAGAAATGCGACCGAACTTTTGTCTTTGGTGATGAAACCCAAACGCCCTAAACTGTGTAATCCAAAATTGTTGAAAACCGTCCGTCTATATATTGTGAAACAAAACTATGCTTGAGGTGCGCGCCGACTGCGTCCAAGGCCCATCCCAACGCGGACAAGGGTTTCAAGACACGCTTGGCCATTGACGATAAGGTCTTCATCCCATTCGACGACGCCCTTTTCGAAAAGAATGACGATCGTAGAGCCACCTGAGCGACACTTTAAGCGAAAAGTCAACAAATATGATGAGTTTGACCTTACCGAAAGCGAAGTATCCAAATTCGTCTCCTCGTTTTACGTGTTGTCCTTCCTCTACAGTCGTTTTGATACTTCCAACCATCATGGCACCAACACACACGGCCATAACGCGGCCGAACTGTGGGCTGTCGATAGGCACGATCTTGCGAACGTTCTCGCCATAGACGTCTAACGCGGTTCGGATAGCTTGAGGCTGAAGTATCGCATGATTCATATCAGTACCAAAAAATGTAGCCATGAACAATGTAGCCAGCGTACGTTCACCGTATAGTATTCACCAGGAATGAAGCTCATTGGTCCGATGACACCATCCACGGGTGAATGGAATCGGTGGTAATCTTGAGGTGCAAGGCGGAAGATGCACAGCGCTCCGCCATTGTAACGTTCAGTTTCGGATTTGTAGGCGTCACCTAGTAATCGAGCAACCGAGAACTCTCGTCCTTTGATCCAGAGTTTTGTAGCTTCGTTGACAGTCTCGAATGCCATGAGACGACAGTCGGCACCGCTGACGAGACGGTAAGGATTATCAGGTTGGTCAACAGGCCTCGCATCTGGTTTGAGTTTCCGGTAGAAGAACTCGTTGAAAGTTTCTGTGAATGATGAACTAGATCAATATCAATTCATATATAGAGTAATGAGAACGTACTGAAGGAAGGCAAGGGTTCAAGAATCTCATCGATGTTCAACCTGTGGAATTCTATGAAGGCGGGAATATCACGAGCAGACTCAGGAGCATCATATTTAAGGCCTTGTTTGATAGACAATGACTTGAGAAGCCTACGCGCTGAACAATGTTGCAAGATGAAGTTAGCGGTCAAATAGGAGCATTTTAAATTTCAGCGGCTGACCTCGGGCTCCCTCCATTCTGCTCTTCCAGCCCTTATACAGAAGACGAATACCCAATCGGACATACACTTGCATCTTCTCTTCCTCGAGCTGACCAGTCATCCTGTTCTGAACAATAATATTCGCCGAGTTCTACGAATAACGAAAGTGAGTTCTGGCCAAGTGAGTCAAGCACAATAGACCTACCGCGCCGAGCTTGTAATCTCCACTGGACACCTTTGAGATCACCTTGGTATACCATTTCCTCTGCGCCTGACTTGCCGTGACAAAGTTGCCTACGACAATCTTGTCCACTCTTGCCCAATCCTGGCTCGCACAGATAGCCAAATGTGTGACAATGTCTACCTCCGCTTTCGAGTTCAACCTTGGTCGGTGGCACAAGGGGCAATTCTTGATATTGATCACACGTTCGAAGGCATCATCCGGCGAAGAAGATCCTGAACCAGACGAATCCTCCGCATCCGAAGAAGACCCCGAGAGCTGTCGATCGAACTGGACTGCGCGTGGGGATCGCTTGACGGTTAGGGCAGGAGCGGCGGTATCTGGAAGTGGCTGCTGGATAGGCTCAGTAGCATGAGGCACTGGTTGGGCAAACTGTTGGGAATGCTCGGTATCTGATGCAGGTTGATTATTGATAGGCCCGCTAAAGTCCAACTTATCGAGGTTCAAGTCGAGTGGTGGTTCACCACCGTTAGCTGGGGTAATCGGGACGCTGCTGTCTGCCGAAACGTCGTCATAGTTAATTCGCTTCTTCTCGCTCGCGGGTCTGCACAGTTCCGTTTCCAAACACTGAATGGCCTCATTGTAAGTAAGGGTATCAAGATGCGGTTGCTTGTTGAATCGTTGGAAGAAAGCGTCAATAGTCGAATGGGAAAGCGTAGAACCGAGGGAATCGAGCATGGAGGTAAGTTCAACTCTAGACATGGTGCCACTGTCGTCGCTATCGTACTGACGAAGAACTTGGCGCCAGAATCGTTGACGAAGGGCGTCATATGGCTGGTATTTGGCGCTACAGAGGCAACATCAGATCGAATTGGAAGTGCAGACTAGACGAAAGACAAACCGAACAGTGAGAACAGGGTTATGCTTCGTTTCCCAAGGCATCTCTTTCGCTGTGGACAACGGCAACTGGAATTCTTTCATTCCATTCTGCGTTGCATCATCCTCATCGGGGTATAATCCGGTTTGCGGGTCTTTCTGTGGCGCGTTGGCGTACAACTGTGCAATATCAAAGCTGGAGTCACCAACGTGATCGTTGGAGGATAACTTGTCCCAGTCAAGCACAGTAAACTGGATCTTGAATGCAGCCTCATATCGACGGACGTGAAAGAGCAGCTTCTCATCCCAATTCGGATTAAGCGAGTGACGAATGACGCGTGTACGGAATACCTTCTTGCCGAACGAGATGACTACAAACGGATCCATGTCCCACCCAAGACGTGTCACTACAAAATTAACAGTTCAGAATGACACATCTTGACGCGACAATGGCACTTACTGTTGCGTAACTTGGGTAAATCAGTTGCACCTTTGATCTCCAACATCACGATGCCCATAATATCATGAGCAGCGTTGAAATGATATCCTGCGGAGGGATGTTTTGCGGCCCAGCTCTTCCTAAACCTCTTCTGCTTCTCACCGGCGGGTGTTGCGGGAGGCCTTGGAGTTGGCGTGGACACCGAAGGAATGAGCGAAGTAGGCTGGGTGGATGTCCCGCCGACGGACGCAGCCATCATAGTGGAGTCAATCGACGACGAACGTGTGCTTGTCGGTCGCCGGGGGAATATCCTGGGTATACTAAACCCTGGCGAGGGTGGCTTAACTGCAGTCGGTGTCTTGAGAATGGCACCCTGAGTTGGCGTAATGGGTGGCGTTGACTCTGACGCGGACAACGGCTTAGGTTGCTGGATTTCTGGGGTCTGTCGAGAGATCGTAGGTGCGGAGGCACTTGGTGTGATTGTGACTTCCCGTGAAGGTGCAGGAGGTTCGACGTAGAGGTGTGCTAGAGTTGACCGACTGGGCGTAGCCACCTCCTCATCTTCATCTTCTGTGTCTGTGTCGCCTTCGTCTGAGCTTAGGCCATCATCCTCGAAGCGAGGTCCGGACTCGTTGGAGCGGATGGTGCCGATACCCTCAGTCGGAGGAGCAGAGACAAGGCTGGGTCTGGAGAGCTTCACGAGCTCAGTGTAGACTTCCGAAAACTCCATCAGATTCGCAACGCCCGGAGGTCGCTCGAAGCCAAGCTTGATTTGTATCGAGCCTGAGGCCTGAGTAGATGTCCTCGTAGACAGGATATTGAGACTGATCGCCTAGAAAACCGGTCAGCACGGTCAACATAATCAATATTTGGAAGAAAGTACTTTGTTATTGACGTCACTGAAGCTCAATGCATTGTCGTCCCTAAACCAATCCTCCAGAGGTAGCGAGACCTCGCCCAAGTAGTCCTTCTTAATCATATCCTTGTCCCACAACACCAGTTCAACCACACCGAGCTTGTCCGCTAATGAAAGGTAGATGGGGAATTCAAAGGTGGCATCCTTTGGGTTGAAATTCGGATTGAGCGTGCGCTTTGCAACTGGAGTGGTATACCGACGTCCAAGTACGGAGACAACAACGAATCTACATTGTACATCGACTTGAGCACTGCGGGGTAAGGGGTACATGAAACAAGACGCACGGATCGCTGGTGCCATTTCTATCCTTCGCCAGCAGATCCTTGCACGACAACACCTGTACCCTCAGGATCACGATAGGATGCTCCCCAGGCAAAGGTGAAAAGTTGTTGCGTCCATTGCTGCCGCCAGCGACCTTTGCTGGCAGACGAGCAGCGGTCTTGAGCGCACGACCTAACTTTAAAGCCTTGCGAGGGGCTCTAACCATGACGATGCCAGCTTGTCTGCTTTTCCTGAAAGATAGAAAGAAAAAGAAACGAGAGAACGAAAGGGTGAAAAGGAACTGGGGAATAAGTTGGAAGAGAGTGGCTTTAGCGAGATTTACGTAGTCGCGCGGCTGGACACCATGCACAGCAGTGTTTGACCAGCATCCACCATCTCTTTAAGATGTAATCATTTCTTTGCCTCCCTCATCGCCATACACAGATCAATATCTTGACTTTTGAAACATCATCCAAACTCTGTCACCGCCGATCCTATGATTTTACATTGCCTTTCAACCGTACTCTGGGGATTCTCGCGTTAACTAGTAAATCGCCTTCAAGACCTCCACAAGTACTGCTCCAAATTGCCAAGTGGCGAACCCGGTCTTAGGTTTGACCGGGGGAACATGTGTTGAGATGTATCATCCAGCATGACGAAATTCAATGCCGGCGCAGCAGCCATGGACGCCATGACTATCTTCCATTCCGCGCCTACAAGACGGGCACTTTCAGATTGTGCCGAGGAACTGGTATCCGTGCTTCACCCTGATCCTTTCTGTCAATTGGCAGCTTGAGTACAATTGTTAGTGCAGCCCAATCACCTAGCCTACAACGAATACAGGGTCATCCCGAGGTGCGTTCTAAGTCTTCTACGACACAAGCAACAAGCTCAACTAGCTCAGTCTTGTTAGAAACGCGTACCGCTTGATTATAGTACAACTGTCATGCGTCATATGCGAGAGTAAGTCGTTTGGAGACTTCATCTCGTGGGACCTTCCGTAGCGGAGGTATGTCAGTCCAAATTGAGAACTTTGCACCAACTCTCGAAAATGTAGTTATCGAGCACACTTCCAGCCATTTCCATAACCCTGCATTCACATCGTAGCACCCATTTGCTGTCCGACCTGAACCACACGGCTTCATACGCGATATTCGCCATAACTAATTCTGGGAAGTTCGGCTGCTCCAGTTCCATATTACCGATGATTTGACTTGCTTTCGCCGCGATTCTTCAGCGAATGCCGTATCAGGTACGCTTGTGTCATATGGTAGTGTCGTTTCACTGAACGAGTTCATGCAGGACAGGCCGTTGCTTCCGAAATTCAGCAGAGCGCCAACCAAGGACGAATGGAAGTCAATGAGAGTTAGCAGTTATAGATCGAAAGGCTTTAAGAGATTAGTGACTCTAGCGGCTTACGTTTTCAACAGATTCGTCCACCCGCTCCGCCCGAAAGACGTCGATTGACTGTGCCGCCCTGCGCAGGTACTGTACGTACATATGTCAGCCGAAGTGAGTTTCGACCAATATCTGAGATCCATGGTGAGTCTTGAACCTTATATACCAAACTGTGGCAATACTCGCAAGGTTGCATGTACAGTATCAATATATACAGAGTATGGTGGCATGTTGCGTAACGGCATGAATAGGCCGTGGCATGCTAAAGATCGACGGAAGAGTGTGGATGGGCGTCGTGATATCCTCGTTCTTCGAAGGAAGGCGGCCTCAGCCATTTGATTGCTTTCAAATAATCCGAACAAGCGTACATTGGGTGCATTGTACATATCGATGGAAACAATCAAAAAACTGTCATAGGTCAAGATGCCCAAGAGCCGCAAAACGACATTGCAGCAATACCTACGGAAGGACAGATGCCAGGTCAGTCCTTCACTGCCGTATCCATGTATGGCAAGGTTACTGGTGAAACAGCGCGGGAAACAGCCTAGCCAGCGGGTCTTGGAATTGGTAGGTTAGAAGAGGTTGAAGAAGTCATAGTTGACCCCCCTGTTTTATAGTTTCCGGTGCAAATCGTAAGAAGGACTAATTGTTGAAGGCCGCTCAACTCTGGGTCTTGGTGACCAGGCGGTCGACCAACCTGTGATCCATATATATTGAGGGATCGTACAAGCCCCTCCATGTCGCGTTCTGAGGCTCCAGGCGTTGTCAAACGTTTCAATCTTGCCACGAGCTGTCACAGACGGAAGATAAAAGAGTATAGGACGGTTTCAGCGGGGGCACTGAACGTAATTTTCCACTCATGCTAATGAAGATAAAGTGGCGATCAAATAAACACTGGTGGTCGATATTGAGCTTGCAATCAGTACTGGAAGCTCCCGACTCATCCTCTGGACCTGGAGGCATTCTTATGCGCCGAGCCTTGTATGGTTCTCGACGTAGCTTACAACTACGGGCGCCACGCTACCCCAAACGCTTCCCAAATTCACGCCTGTTTGTCACATTGGTCCAAACTCGAGGCATGAGGTCTGATGATTTGGACGATAACATTATGCGCGCGCTCGGTACTGACGAATACAAGATTTCCGAACGGTGTTTCCTGGTAACACAGCTGTATCCTCAAGGTGACCACGGCCTTACTTCTCGGACACGTTGACTTTTATCTTGCATCTTGCATCAACGGCTCTAGTCTTCTTCTACACAGCCAATCCTCATGTTCAACACTTTGGTTCATATGACAGCCAACAGATCAATCCATCGATCCTGCAGGGAACGGAGTATTTAATGACATATTCTCGGTTGCGTCTCGAGTAAGCACTCGACGTTTTGTTAGTATCATGTCTGACATTACCTCCGCTAAACTTTTACTTGCCAAGATTTGTTCCGCTCTCAAACAGCATGACCCGGCTGTTGATTGTGATGGTATTGATCTTACGGCCTCTACACCTTCCAAACCCAGGGCCCACAGATATCATTTCCAGGTTTTTCCAATCCAATGCCTCCGGTAAATGTTCATGCCTCACTATGCATACGAAGATGTCTCTGTCTAAATTCACTTTTGCTTAGCCTTCTGTTCCCTATGCCTCGTTGCGCATCCTGGACAGCTGGGACAGTTCCAAGGAGCCTTGCCGCACAGCTGCGGATGACCTTGAGTCCATGACCTAGGTGGTTCTGCATGCCATTCTTAGCTGCCTTATTGCGAAAAAGCAGAATGACGCTCTCGGTGTGAGTTGGCTTAATACATACTCGTCCTTGGCCCGTCGCATCATTGGGAGCTTTACGAGTTCAAGAGTAGCCGACAGGGTGTATTAAAAGCATTGACGTGGAAGGCCCCAGGCATTTGTTACTGCACGGTACCGAGAAGCATCGAGCCATATAAAGAGAGACTTGGCGAGCTGCTGGAAATCACTTCAATGAACTTCGCCGCTGTGGAAAAACTTATCAGGGCAGGAAAGCTTTTTGAGAAGGACATAGGGGACATGCTGTGCGATTGTGGACCCTGCCGTCGCCAATGGGTGGAATACACTCAACCGAAGGACGAGGAAGAGATATACCTCAGAAGACTGTTATGAAACGACCTACTTGGAATGCGCATGCTGATACCTACCGCCTACCTACTTCTCATGCAGGATCCGAATCGCATTGACTGTATCTGTTTATACTATTCTAATTATCATATGTTAGTTAATCTATAGTTACCACTATCGTGTACATAGCTATACCTGGCTCCGTCGAACTTCATCGAAAGCCATGTAAACGAGACGTTTGTGGATATGGATAACAAACCTGAAGACCGCATACTGCGAGGCTATGCATCGGGCACTGCCGAGCCTGAGGATGATCAGACGCGTAGTTGTCGTTCAGGAATGTTGTTCGAAATGCACCCTTGTCTCAGGCCTGATATCAGGTTTGGAGCGAACCGACGATAGTTTTGCAAGCCCAACAGGACGTTCCCGTATACTCAGCAGACAAGGTGACTTTCATGTTCTAGTCTTTGAATCGCTATTTCCTGTGCAAGACTTACATAGGGCTCATTAATCATTTCTCGATAGGATGTGGCATCTGAGGCAGCTCATCTCTAGTCTCGCTCTTCCAGGAACGCTTCAGTTGAAGAGGCAACCGAGTATTATCCCGGATCGAAAACACTCTCTTCCTCCGGAGATCATATTGGAGATATTTCGTCATATCTCTGAATTTTTCACACCATTCGATTTTGGTCTGAACTACATAATACCTGTACCAGCCTCGTTCAAGTTGCGGGCGAAGACAAACTTCGATACGCTCTCTCATTTGTGTTTAATTTGTCGTCTGTGGTATCCAATAGCCAAGGCCATCCTATACTCACACCCTCTCTTACTTTCCTCTCGTCAACTTCGCCTATTCAGACGATCCCTGGATTCAAATCCTACACTTTCTAATCTAGTGAAGGGTATATCCATCGCAGACAATAATCGTGCGTACAATTTTGGATTCAAGATGTTCTCTGGTCGTCATACTAGACATGCAGAGCGAATGCGAAAAAACATTCGCTCTGTTCTGATGGCTTGCACCGCGGTGAACGCGATGTCCCTGCACATATCCGCCTGTCCATATAGGAACTCTATTGGCAATGTGCTACAAGGCGACTTCCAGCTCACGGAAGCGCACCACCTCCAAACGCTCACAATTTCAGGGACTGGTTATTACCGGAGCGATTTTTCAGCTCCTGGTGTCAGGCAACTACGTCAATTGTGTCTTCACAATGCCGAATTTCATTCACAATCCTTCAGCATTCAACCGTTCAATCGTCTACAGTCATTGCAGCTTATACGCTCCTTCTGCTTCGAGTCACGTCCCGACGTAATTCGAGCTTTGCAAAACGCGCCAAATCTACGACAACTCGATTTGGTTCACAACTTCTTCTTTGTCACCTCCGACGACTTTCTCCCATGCCCGTCCAGTTTGGATCGTCTCACTCTGATTGGGACGGCCGAGCTGGAAATCCTGCAGTTCTGGTCACATCTTCAGGTCGAGGCGTTATCCAGCGTCCGTGAGCTCACCATTGGTATCATTGATGATGGGGATGAGTTCCTTGCCTGGACAGTCCCACCGCAACTCGAAAGCCTGACAGTCTTAGTGTATGACTGGGCTTGGCTTGCATATACCGATCATCTAGGGTCCCTTCTTCCTCTTGTGAAGAAGAACCGAGAAAGTTCATCTTCGGAGCCGTTCAAGAAAGTTAAGATCTATATCGTTGTAGGCGGCGGGAAGGCTGAGGGAAAGCAGTTCATCACGAAATGTGCTGAAGCGGCTGTGCATTCCCGTACGCTCCATACCCTTTGCAAGTCCCTCGACATTGGGATGGAAGTGAATTACATCACGAGTACGTACTATTTAGTCCCGAATGGTTTTCTTGAAAAGTTGATAATGCCATCAGCTGTCGATGAATGGGTCAAACAAAATCTGTCGTAAATGTCAATCCCGAGCTCCGCGCCCATTCCTTGCTTCCTGCTTCTTACCTGTTCAGGTCTGGAACCGAACATGTCTTCTTTCTGTCTCGTTCGGTCATTCGCGTGCGCTCTTGTATGCTTCTTGTTTCCTATTAATATTCTCAGCCGTTTCTGCCCTCGTGCCCTCATTTACCCTAGTATTTATTCATACCCGTTTCCGTACTGGGTTCGTAACTAGATAAGTAGCTGTATCTTTTATACGGATAGAACAGAATGCTCACTTGTGTTTAACCTTTCCTTTTCGATTGGCCTTATGGGGGAACATGTTGAAATGAATGACCATTTCAGTTGCCCATGATTAACAAAAGCTGAAGGTATCATCAATCTTAATAGGTGTCCCGCTTCCCCTCCATAACTTCATAATATTCATAGAGTCTGCCTGAGAAGGACTATCTCGAGTGGTCCTAGCAGACTTCAATTGGGAAATGCGGCATCAGACAGAGATATCCTGAGGTACGAAGGTTGCGCCTCTGTCTACACTGCCTATGGGAGACTAGGCTCGCGGTGATATATCGAGAGATCAATAGAATATCCAGGGCTGAGGCACAAACATTGAAGGTAACCATATCGCATCTCTGTCAACACAGCTAACTCAGAAACTCTGAACAGACCAGTTCCTGAACGTCGAACATGTGATTCGACTCATACTTGACCCATACCCTTCTTACCATGTTAACCATACTGTCGCAGCCGCCTCAAGTTTCCTCCGGTACCCCCGAGTTCTCCTGGAATCTCAGGCTGTGTTGCTTCTGACCTTTCCCCGGAGCTCATTTTGGAAATCATCAAACCTTTCACTAGTATCGAACGCTCCATCTACGAAGATTGGAGTATACTAAATATGGGCCCCGAAGGCGAACGGATGCAGAGTTGTTATGGGCGCGAACGACGTTGCAGGTGCATGCCGAGTATCGCGCAGCTGGAGCAAAGGCATAACCTCATTGCTATACAAGCACGTCACGTTGGCTACTCCCGAGCAAGTTCGCCTCTTTCTCAGGATTCTGAGGACAAGTCAATGCCCAATTGAGCTCGTGGAGAAGATAATTCCGGTAGATCACAGAAAGATCTCGATGGATCAGAACGTAGACACCTACAATCGCCGTGTTTTGGTTCAAATGCGCGAGGACGTTCGTTCCGTCTTCTCTATCCGCAAAGGCGTTCAGGGCTTCACCGTCAATTTCAACCGCACGTCTGACCCTATCGGTGACGTGGTCGCGAAGGATTGATTGCTCTTATAAACCTGGACCTTCGATACATGGTCATCGACGGTTCGAACACTCACTTCTTGTATAGCAATCCTCTTGCCCCTCGCTTCCTTTGTCGTCTCGAGTCGATTTGCTATCATTACCTTTATCATCCCGTTGGCCAACGCCTAAGCGACTTCCCTGCCCTTAAAAGTCTCCAGTTCGCTCACGGCTATTGCGAAATCAATCCGGTTAAGCTGACGACGTCTCTGGCAGAGTTGCAATCGTTGCGCACATTGGCGCTGTATAACATTGTGTTTGGACCTCATAGTACTACACCGCTGATGGCTGAGCCCGACAACTGCGCTCTCGTATCCGCGAGGTCTCCAATGCATCCATCTGGTTGGAGAGCATGTAATGCAGATCATAGAGTTCTGGGTTTGAGCGGGACATACGAAAAGCATCCAGACGTTGGTCCTTAAACCTATGGAACCCGAACACGACTTCCTGTTGATCTGGGACTTCCCGGAGCATCTGGCTAGTTTGACCATCCTCATCCCTTGTGCAGCCGCGGTTGGCGCGCACTCTGCCACCACTTTCAGTTCTGCAGCTGTCATCTCACGCTGGTTGGAATGGGATTGCCGGTCCTAATCAGCACACGATGCTTTGAAGCGCATTGGCACTGTGCTGGTGGATTGTGCTTTGCATAATAAGTTGAAGCGTGGGCTGGTCGATATGACCGTTAACATGGACCGGAGAATATGTCCAATAATGGACGAGATTCGTAACCATCGCTCCGTCCTCGGTGTCCTCCTACAAATTGGCCCAACTATAATCAGTAAGTACACGTCGGCGTATAGTCTCAAAGTGAGATATTCTCAGACTCGCCTCTTGTTCACTGTAGACATCGATAATTGGTTGTGTCGTACTCTGAACCTACATCAGATACAAAGTGTTGATGGCAGACGTAAAACGAGCTTTTATGTCAGGGTGTGAATTTGATGGTCGAGCCCACAATGGACAGTCCAGAAGGAAACGCAGTAGAAGCTAGGAAAGCTGCAAATGCTCTTTGATGCCTCTTGGACCAGGACCTTTAACCCATCCGCCTCCGATTCTGTTCCATACAAATGCAGCAGTGAAAGACACGCTAGTCAGCGTAGGACATTCTTTCTCCCACTGCGTTAAGACGATCTTCTGAGAGAGCTCGTCGAACGCATAGGTGAATCGTTTACCGCGAAATGCGTAGTAAGGCTCATCACTGAGTAGGAGTGTATGCAACTTGGGCATCTCCTTCAGCAGCTTTCGCCCGAGAGTTTTCAACTTTTGTAACTGATATCCTGTTAGCCAAGGACGACATGTAAATTATCACAGAACGTACATCTTTGATGTTGTTTCTGATGCAGATGGTCAAAGTCTCGAGGGACGTAATATACGGTCTCGCCTTCGTTAGGAATGAGATATGTAGGAAACAAATATAGAAACGCAGGTGCCTGACAGGACCTGTTGAACGAGGGAACCGTTTCAACGCAGCTAGAACTTCACTCCATTGAGGTGGATCACCCTGAGTGAAGATATCCGTATCCGCCATATCGAAGACGGCGCCGTCGAAGTGGACATAGCGCAGAGGTCGTTCGGTATTCAGTACATCCTTGAAACAACGACATGAGCCGGAGAAATGAGTCAGGAGTGGGAATGCATCGCGAGGTACCGCATGAGAGGAGTCGGGTTCATATTTTGGGAATGTCAAGGAACGGACAGCGGGCATACGCTCAGTTACTGCAGGATTGAGTGCGGAGGACAGGATAGTGAGAGAAGTCAAAGCGGTGAGGTTTATGTCGGGCGGCAGCACTTGAAGTATGGTGTCGAAGGAAAGCCAGTCGGGTAAATGGAGACAGCGCAGATGTCCAGCGTGTGCTCGAAGGATATGCAAGATGAATCCTAGATACATTGCACAGATAGGCCCTTGAGGGACAGAGTAAGTGAACGCGAAGCTTTCGAGCTCTGGAAACAGCGGTTTTAGAGCACTTTCTGGCCACGGAGGACGATAATGGTCGCTCCATGGATCGAAATGAGGCAGGGAGACGGCCAGAGAACGCAAGGACGTATGACCTGATAGAGCTATGCTCATATCTTGGGCAAACGATCCAACGAGAAAGCATTTGAAATGTAACAGGTTACTCATACGTCGAATGCTGGTTACCAACCATTCCCTAAATTGGCGACGATGCCAATCCGTAAAGTTCCAAGGAGGGAAATCGTCCACAGAGAAAGTGCGAACGCAACCTGCAAGATCCCTAGGGGATGTAGCGAGAGTCTTGCAACATGCGAACGCTTTGTCGCTGTTGGTGAGAGTAATGGAGGTATAGATGAGAGAGTTGGAAAGAGCATTGAAACGTCGAGATACTCTGGAAATGGCTGGAAGATCTCTGCGGTTGACCAGTTCGCAGATACGGCGGATTAGCTCTGCGGGAAGAGCATTGATGCTCATACTTTCGCCCACGTAAAGGATCCTAATTTATATGATTCTTGTTAGCCTGAGAGGATATCACAACAAATCCGACCTACTTCAAGCTATGCCACAACAGTGGTGGACGTTCCGGACAACAAGCATAAACGCTGAAGCCGTCACAAGCTCACATATAGCCGAGTATGGGAATGCAGGTAGAATAAGACTGAGACTCTACGTTGAGAGCTATAATACATGAATATGTAAAGTAAATGTGAAGTATCAGTTCCTTTTCCGTCATACCCCCAATACCCTCTTTCCCCACTGCCATACCATGAAGCTCACCGCAGTCATAGGCACCACCTTCAGATAGCCAATACTCAATCCAACATAGAACCCTCTCCATCCCTTCCCGCTATATATAGTCCTTATGGTCTCTCCCCAACCTAACCACCGATCGGGGTGTGTAAGTCCGCCCACTTGCATTCGCCTCCTTACGACTTCGAAAGGATACGAAGCCGTTTGCGCCAGAGCACCTGCTAGAGCACCGAAAGCTAGATCGGCCACAGGGCTTACATGTGTGCTCTTGCCCAATGACGAAGAGGAATTTTTCGAAGGAGGGGGGAGGAAGTATGAACGCATGTAACCCCATGCGAGGAAAGATGTCCCGGCGTAGGGTATCATACCAACCATGGATACAGAGAACCCTCGATAGAATTTGAAGACGGGGAATCGTGTGAATAATGTTGATGAGGCGGGAGAATTAGCAGACGAGGGAAGGGTGGATTCGTGGTAGATTTTAGACATTGCAGAGAGGAATGTAGGGCGTGTTGATGGACCATTCCGTGTATCGTAAGCCATACGGACACGTATGAGCTCCAGTGGGTATGTAAAGAACACAGACGTCATTCCTATATAACGCTTAGCAAAAACTTAGACACGAGACTGAAAGTGTGGTACCTGAAAGCGCGCCAGCAGTGAAACGGCGTAGGTTGGTCTGTTTCGCTCTAGTAGGCATCAAGATCTGGGAATATATACATCACCATCTGGCTCAACCATGATGATTCACTAATAACACGCACGTATTCTAGCTGGTCATATGCCATGAACTTTATGGCCGCGTACGGAAATATGCGGAGTAGGGTCGCAGAGTGACCTTGGAACAAACCAAGGACGCCTCTCTGCCTGTATATCCGACTTGCCGCCTTAAAGGCACCACTCCACGTTCCTATAGACATGAAGTTAATAAGTACGATCGCATATGTCTTCATAACTGATCGGCACGCGACGTACCCGCATATTTATCGAAGTCTGGATTGTTGGCTTGGAATAAGATCTTGACTCTGTCAAGTGGTGCAACCACGGATTTTGCCTACCATAAAATACTACCCAGGTCAATGATACACCCTTCACATAACAGAGCAGCAATGGACGTACGACGCAACCTGCAACACCTCCTGCGATCCCTGACCGAACGATGAAGTGCAGACTTTGCTTGTCTCTCCTCCTCAACGCATGGGTACTCATTCGACGCTATAGTAATGGAAAATCGAGGGACATGTACGTTTTTAAAAGTCTTCAAGACTTGAAAGTTTGAGCCTTGAGGCAGGGAAGGTGGGGTAGACAGTGAAGAATGCGGGGAAAGGGTTTACTGTCCCGCTGATACACCCGGACCTCATACGGATCATAACCTTACCCACCTCTAGGGTTAGGTTTTCCCATTTCATAGCGTCTGTAGGGGTTCTCCCTTTTCCACCACCAACCACAAAGCTCGAATTTGGCCTTTGATAAGCTCATCATCACCGACCTTATATCGACGAACCATGGCGACAAAAGCAAAGACCGGGGAAGCGAAAGTTGCAGTGCTAAAAGGACAGGAAGGTAAAGGATCACTGTTCGAGGATCGGGAATATATAGCTGCTTATATCACACGACAGCGGAGGACATGGTCCTTAAATACGTGAAAAAGGTATGGCGACCACGTTTCTTTGAAGAATGTTCCACGGACACTACTTATGCCTTTAGATGAATCGCCCCTATGGCGCGGTGGATGTCGCCGCAAACCTGAAGGGTGCAGTTCCTAAGACAGCGACCCAAAAGATCCTTGTGAGCCTAGCAGAGAAAGGTGAACTGGTACAAAAGACATACGGTGCGCTGCTATTCTTCATCGTAATACAGTGCTTCACCTCCAATCACTGGCGACCGAAGGATACTGAATTGGAGGCGCATATATACAGGGAAGACTACCTTCTTTGTAGCAAACCAAGCTAACCTCGAAGACATGCCTGCTGAGAAACTCGCTGCTCTCGAAACGGAACACAAGATGCTTGAGGAAACAAATAAGGTCCTCTTGGCTGACGTGAAAGGGGTCACTGCAGGTGGGTATATGCGGCCGTCTCTATTTCGCCAAGCTTTGTTCCGCAGCGTAGCGGAGTCTCGAGCTGCATTCTCTCGAAATGGATGCTCGTTTTATATACTTATTATTTTCGTGTCACGCATAGAGCTTTCGAAGATCAAATCCTCACCTACAGATTCCGAGCTTGCGGCGCAATTGGAAGATACAGCTAAAGCGGTATGTCCCTTCACATCCAGGCTTGCACCACGCCTTATGCTAGTGGGCGGTTCCCATGCTAATGACCTATAGGTGTCTAAAGCGATCGCACGCCTAGAGCCACTTCGCTCCGGAACGACCCTGGTCTCAACCGAAGATCTCGCGCTTTTGGATGCCGAGTGGACGAAATGGCGTGCGGAATGGGTACGCAGAAGGAAGATATTCAATACGTACGTTTCCGCCCGTGTGAAATGTCGCTCACCATGTGCCAGGTTTACTTGCTAACTTCTCGCATTGGATTTATTCTTCACGTCCACGTCGTGCCTACCTCGAATAGTTTCTGGGCACTAGCCACAGATGCGCTTCCACCTCAAGAATCCGCCGCGCTCGCTGAAGACCTTGGAATCGAATTTGATACACCGGAACATTCTACTGTCGAGAAAGGTCCTCTTTGCGCTCCACGAGGCTCGGTCCTAGGCAAGAGACGAAGATGAACTGCTGGATTTCCGTGCTTCTCTGCTCTGCTCGCGTGCTATGTTCTATTTTCCTCAACGATTCTGGGACTGCCTGTCTTATTCTTGGCTTGGCTTCGGTACTGTCGTTTTGTGCTTGTCCTATAGGCTCGCGCTTTACTCGTTGTAGCATGCAGTCTCCTCAAGAATACTTACTCGTATCTCAGCAGTGACTGCGTGTCAGCGATTCAAGTGTGAACCTCAGTCGTGAATTCCGTATTTATCTGATCAAGAGGTGGTTATCGTCAATTAGAAGGTAATACGTATTCGGATCAATGGAAAAATATGGGTACAGAACAAGAGTTCGCTAAAGTTACAGGCTGAAGGTACACTATTTATACACATGCGTTGTCAAAGCAAGGAGGTATATATAGAGCAAGGCGAATGGACGATATTATCGTAAGCGTGCGATAGGACACTGATATGAATGCACAAGGAGTCAGACAGGAGCGACTACATGCAGCAAACTGAACAGCGTACCAGTAACCACAGAGACAGTTAATCACTTCCCTCAACGACTTCTTCACTCTCATCGGCGACAGGTGCTTTCCTAGTAGCACGGGGAGCAGCCGCAGGCTTCTCTGTGGGAGCCTTCTTAGTTCTCCTCTTGGGCTCCTGGCCGCGATTCGGATTCTCGGGAGCGTCATGCCATTGAGCAGCGACCTACTCAGTCGTGAGCAAATAAAAGCACTGGATTGGACGTAGAAGACATACAGCACTCATGGCTTCCTTGACAGGACGGTCGGGGTGCTCGTCGCGCCATTGCTTGAGGTGATCGGAGACATACTTGTTATATGCGCTCGGGGCACGCTTTCCGCCTCCAGCTAAATTAAGAAAGACATGAGGTCTGGATCAATATCCAGCGAACGGAGTGTGCGGACCCCTTGGCTTGACATTCGCCGACTTTGTGGCGGTCTTAGTCTGGGTCTCTAGAAGCGCGTTTTGCGTGGTAAGGGACGCGTCCTAATCCAAGTGACCGTAATTGAATGCGTACCGGAAACAGCCTTGACCATAGCTGAGCGATTTGGAATGGAAATAAACAGGGGGATGGTGGTGGAAGGGAGGAGAGAGGGGTTAGACCCAAACAGCCCCTTCACCGGCTTATGAGGTCCACCTTCAGACTCCTCTTCCCTGCGGGGTTTCAACCACAAACACCTCGATCGACCCGATCGCGTTGGTCCGTGCATTGTCGCGACGCGTGGAGCCGGTCACGTTGTCTGTGTGACTTCGTGACGACCGCTTCGTTACACCGCTTGCGAAAAATAGAATTCCCTGGGCCAAGAATAGCACTTGGCGCTGGAGAATGAGGCTGGGTTTGAACTGAGTTTGAAGGCTGGTTATATGAAGCACGAACGAGCACAGTCGTCGTCAAGCTCAACCACCACCGCCTTTCTTCCTCTCCCCCTACCCGTCGTGGTCCTTCGTGGCCCGCCCTTGCTGCTTCTTTTATACTTAACCTACGTTTGAATTTAGACTCAATGTCTTCCGTCGCTCTTTCCCGCCTCTTGGCTTTCGTAGCCGCCTCCGCTTCTCTTGCACTCGCGCAGGACCCTACCTCCACCCCCACTCCTCTCGCTGACAAGCACTTCAACTACCCTGATCAAGTGGTTGGTTCCCTCTATACGCACTGGTCTTGTAGAAGTCATGCGCTAATACCCTTTTCCCTAGCCCTACCAAGCCGACCCTGACAATGGTGTCCGTGGTACCCAGAGTGGTTTCAACATCTGTAATTCCACGACGCAGAACCAGGACTCTCTGTGCCAGACTGCTTTCCTCGACTTCCTTGATGGTGCGTACTTCACTTGTATCAACGTGGTTGCCTCGTTGACATTTGACGTGGCATGAAGATTTCTGCTTGTGGTCGGCACCCAAGCCCGATTCAACCATCGGTGAAACTGAGCATGAGGAAGTTGCTTGGTGTACTCAACCCAAGCATGGTACTCGTCTTATCCCCGCCGGTGCATTGCAGGGTGTGCAGTTCATCAAGACACCCGGCTACCTCCAGGTGACTGGTTTCATTGACCAGACGAAGATCAATCTTCAAGCCGATGATTTCGGTGGTGAACTTGACCCCCACGGTGCCGATTTGGTAAGTGTTTTACATTGCACTATTTTCGTCTGGATCCTGACAGTTGGTTTCATAGCGTGGTAACCCTCTCGGTGGATTGGTGTACTCCAACAATTTGCCCAGCAAGAGCGGTGACAACAACACGTACACTCAGGTGATTGAGTGGCACAAGTTAGTCGCACTGTTCTAGCATGAGTATATTGTGTACTGACACGCGGATAGCTTCATGGGTTCCAACCAGTTCTGCATGAAGGTGTGCGACCCTGCTGATCCCCAGGCACCTCAGTTGTGCCAGCACATCTACGATCGTATCGGTGTCCAATACAACTGTCCATCTCAACCCACCAACGGCACGTTCGAGGTTTGTGAGGGCGAGAACCAGGACCCGCCTGGTATCTTCACCTCTAATGGCCAAGTCATGACCTATACCCAGCCCCCAGAGTCGCTTGGCGCCATCACCATTCAACCATACACCGTCCGCATGCCCGCATCTTCCAACTGTGTGACCTTCCAGTCCAGTGATTTGTACAAGGCGCTCCCCACACCGTCTGGTGCTTCGTCGGCCAGTGGTGCGTCAGCTATTGGCACAGGTGCTTCCGGCCGCCCTGTGAGCGGTTCTGCTACGCGTACTGGCTCTGGCGCCGGGCCAACCGCGACTGGCGCTGCAGACACCAATGCCGCTAACACGCTGAAGATCTCTGCCTTTGCAACAGTCTTCGGTGCTCTGTTCGCCGCTGCTTTCCTTTCATGAGGACGTCACGACTCTCATGGATAGATTGGGGGGTGATAATCGGGTGTGGGTGACATACGGACTATAAAACATACCTCTAGTTACCTTCTCCACCTACCGGCGTAGTGCTGTGGATTACGAACGGTTTATTAATAATTCTCGGAAGCTCGTCCACTGTCCTTTTCCTTAGGAATATAGCATCGTTATGATTCGTTTGGACTAGACATCACGGACTGATACTTTCCCTTGCAATTGACTTTCTACTTTGCTTCAGTCCTTTGTGTCTGCATCATTTGCATGTTTTGCATTTTCCTGTACGTCGTCGATTGCGCACTTGAGACGTATACCCTCACTTTAGAGCATACCATCCTTTCTTCTGACTCATCTTCCTGCTTGAATTGTTTTGGTTGCGCGAGTTCTACATTTGATCACCCTTGCGTATCAATTTGGGGCGGTGTGCAATGGGTGGTTGCCTGATGCTGCTGCTCAACGCCGTTCGGAGGATTGTGTTATGCAAACCCTAAGCTACCACTCATTGTGTCGGTTCTTGCCCCATTATATTGTGCAAGTCGGAAATAATATCAACAATTTACCATCAGTGGGTCCACTGGTACGTTGTGCCTATAACGGCATTGATAGTTCCATAAAGTCTCTTTCGTTTGTTCACCGCTTTGACAAGCATCTTATAACATCCTCCTAGAATGGTTGTCCTTGTAACGTTGGGATCTTATCAAACACGACCGTTATTGATCCCGCTTCTCACCGGTACTCGTTAGTCAAAGTCCGAAGGCTCTCGAGCCGGTTGTTGCAACAATTTTGCAACACAACTTCAATTGACGTGTCGCGCAGCGTCCCAATCGAGTAACTGACGTTTGGACGATCAACTGGCGGGTGCTGCCATGAGATCTCCCAGTTGACCGCTCACCCAAATTCAGATCTAGATATGCGTAAGGAACGAATATCTTATGCCCCTTTCAATCGCATTCCATTCGTTAGGGTATGGTGATTCTTGTACGAGGTTAAATCAAGTCAATGAATTGCAGCACAGCTCATATTAAAGATGTACACCACCACAAAGGTGAAAAGGTGTATTGAACGACGGTGAAAACAATAAAGATATCAAATGATTAAGGAGATCTATAGCCAAGATGATAGCAGTCAGCAGACCAGGGCATTGAGAATTCTACGATAGAAAGCTGATCGAGTGTCAAGAGATAGGGATGATTACCGAGGGGAGATGCTGGAGGCAAAGAGAAGGGGTATCAGAAAGAAAACGGCGTGTCAAGTGACCAGAAAACATTTGATTGAGAGAATAGTGAATACGAGCTGTTTTCTCCTAAAGACGAGTGGAAGTACGTCGATAGCGTTGAAGCAGCTGTGGGGATCAGTCCAGAGCAGGGGACGGTTGGATATCCTAACATCGAGAAGGCATCCCACTCGTTCGGGGTAGGCATAGAACCTGGCACCAGTAAGAACATATTGTTGAAGGAGGTGCGCTCAACAGGGGACAGGACCTTGTTAGTACGCATGTTCTTCGCCGGAGATGGCACAAATGAGACGTTCGATGGGGGATGAAGTGAGGAGATTGCGAACATATTAGCCATCGACGATCTGCTGAAGAGTCCACTGGCTCCGGAATTGTTGTACAGGCGGCCGAAGCTGGGGGTAGAGTCCATGAGAGGGAATGGCAAGACCTCAGCCCTAGACGATGTTGAGGCGAAAGCATGCGGAAGCCCCTCGAAACTGAATGAAGAAAGCGCAGGAGAACCAGGAATAGATGAATACTCCGGGGGAGGTGTATGGCAAGGATGTGAGTAAACAGTCTCAGGGTGTGAAGACTCAGCAAAAGAGGCTTGCGTATCAGACAATTCGGAACAGTTGAATGTCTCAGAGACACAATCTCTGGACAACTCATGCACGAGCGTCATGTCTAGGTCAAGACTAACGTCAGGATCGAACCTCTTATCGGCAACCTTTTCTTGGCCGGGGTGAATTCTGTTTCCGTGGCGTATGTAGGATGCAAGGTCCCCCGTTCTGAAGTTACATCGTACGATTGGCGCGACGATGCAGCCATCCTTTGTTGTGAAAGCGTGTTCGCATCGAATGTCCTTCAGTCCAAAGCTGAGAGAAATTATGAGGTTATCGAAAAACATGTCACGGAGATGATGAATTATCGTACTGGATTTTGGTGTGAGTTTTGAGGTTTCCTCTTTGTGTGCTCTTATAAGTACAGCCCGTGTATCGGCAACCAAAAAGCTGTGGCGATGCTGGTAAGTAAAGAAACTGGTCATAGTGCTCAAATTTAAAACATACGTGTCCTTTGGATGGACCACGAGGTGAGATTAACTTCTTGAAAATTCGGTCATAGTAAGAACCGGAAGTGCGGCGAATGGCAGGCATTTTGATCGAAGATGACTCGTAGCGGTAGTCCACAAGATAAAACGTTGAGAGATGCAAGGGACTTTGGTTAATCTTGAGGCGTTAGAGGGGAAGTGTGAAATTTTGTTGTCAAATACGCCACCCTTATATATGTGAGGGGCATGTTGGCTCCGAGCTTGGAAATTTGATGCTGTGCCGATTGTCGTTAAATTTTGACCAAAGGAGGCCAAACGCACCATCGCGATATGCGTTTGACATTAGGACAAAGCCGGCATCCAAAGCCACAGAGATCCAGATCTGCATTGTGCCTGGTTACCGGAACCGTACGACATCCTTCGGCAAGAAGTACAGTATTGATCCAGATTGTCCAGCGTCCAGTGGTTGTGAGGCGCAGAAGTTGCGGTTAGATCTCGTACAAGCCTCGGCGGACTAGATGGTGCAGCTTGGCTTCAAGGAAGACGAGATGGAGAATGCTTTCGAAGGCGGATGCTTCTTAAAACTATAGACCTCAAGAGTAGATCAATACGAAGCGTACCTGAAATCTGGTGCGGAACTTTCAGTTGTCAGCGACTCAACATACCGGTCAGGTCTCAGGATGAGTGGCTTAAACAGGAAGGATGTACGAAGTCCCTACCAAATACGCATAAACAAACCTGTTGGCCCTGATGCGATGGTCGCGAGTGGCCTGTTTCAACTGTTACGCTAAGTATTCCCTTTGCTGTTCCCCCTCTGATCATCATCTATGACTAATCGCATTCCAGTGTTTAACGTTTAATTCTATCTGCATACCGTACTATGCACTCGGCGTCACTGGTCTTTAATGATACTGAGAAGGAGGCGGACTCAAACTTCAGATACACGTTCGTGTCATATGATCACATAGTTTCCTTCTATTCTGTGAGAATCATTGACCGTAGGGTGAAATAACTTCGTATATGATCGCCTCTAAGGGGTCATTCCGAATATTGACAAGGCCGTAACACAACTTACGGACAATGTACTGTCATGGTGAGGGCCAGCTTTAATTTAGAAAGTTCTACTGCACCGGCCTCGTACTTGCTACAATATCAGAGGTAAATAAAACGGGGAAAAACGTACTCCACTTATGCATCTACGTGAAAGAAACGCAACACTCTACAGACAAGTCCTGACGCGGTGTCTTCGACGGACCGTTTGTAGTATGAGGTTCTCTGTTTTCCACCCCGCGAATGGTACTGATGATGTTTTAACGTCCAGTGAATCTATCGATATGTTCCATCCCGTCGAGTCCTCTTCAATTGGGACAAAAGGGACAAAAGGGGAAGGCTGATCCATTTTCGCAAGATTACATTGAATGTTCAGGGCCACTTATGGAATACCTCATTTCGTGGTCAATATTGATGGACCAGCTTGACTGCCTCAACGACCACTGTCTCACGTATCAAAGGGGAAGTTGGTGGGTCTAGAGCGACCAACGTTGACGAAGTCATCCCCCAGTTCGTCTTATTTCATCCGGGGCTTCATAACTAATGATGTTCTCTGTGCCATACCACCTGACAAAATGGACCTTACAAGGCTAATGGGAGCATCGCCGTCAGCAATTGATGACAAACTGTTCCGGGAACGACAGTCGCTCACAGTGCTCAATCTTATTCACTAACGGCTCCATTGGTCAGCAAATCTGGTCTAGTCTTACTATCGCTGAATAATCGCTCGATGTTGTCGCTGCAAGCATCTATAAAATACCTCCGGCATACACCTAATGGTCTTGAATATCGTTTGAAAGGATCGCGTCGTTTCATTCATTAGCTGGCCAGTTGGTCAGTACTATAGACCCGCCTTGAGGCTTTATTGGATTCGCTCAATAGTGTTTTGTCTCGTTAGCGAAATTTGTCTTCAGTCATTACAGGTGCTATTCCGACACAACCCTCACCTCAAGTATAAACTATTCTCATATGGCTCGAGGCGTTCTGCACTGCTGACATTGACAAACTCGGCTCATTATTGACTGAGGACTTCAAGCATCATATACATCCTCGTTCTGTAAACCTGCCTTCTGGGCAGAAGAAAACATGGCCGGGGAACACGCGTGTCGCTGTAGAGTTTTTCAAGCGTTTTCGAGTACGTTTTTCAAAAAAAGGCTCGACAAATCTTGGACTGGTACCCTCGTGATCCTAGTTTGATGTGTTAGAGTCGGTGGAGGGGAACGAGACAGTCGTCATCCACGTACGCTTTTTTTCCCCTTTTATGTGTTACCCCATCTCACGGCGTGTCTTCCAGACCCGCTCTAGTGCAACTATGACATCCGGATGTTCGTCTCGTAACGAATATGTGCTCTTCTTCCATCTGGCCAAGCAAGACAAAGGCGAGTACAAGATTTCCTCCAGCAAGGAATTTGCGGACTCCCTGTACTCTTTACGGTTCTTTGCTGAAGAAAGAAAGAGGCAGCAAGCATTGGGAAGAGGTTTCGCCATAGGAATTATCTGATACTGAAATCTTCCGCTTTCTGCCAGCTAATATGATGATCCATGTTCTTGGGTTTTCGCGACTCGCCATTTAACTACAGAAGAACCTTTCATCGCATTGGTATTACAGAGCTCGACGAATGCCCCACTGAATGCCTACATGCTAATATGTACGATCAATCGAAGGCGTCTCCTTCAAATGCTTGTCGAATACTTAGAAACGTGCCTTGCAATCTCTCCTGAATGCACATGACCATGTATGCCATCATCTATCCCCATTTCTCCTCTGATAACAACAGTCTTTTACAGAACCCTTGATTGGTGGAACTGAAAATATGACAAGAGCTATGGTTTGTCTGATAGAAAGGCACATGTCCAGCGGGTTCTGCTATTGTACTTGTCTCTGACCATGACCACCGGACATGTCTCAGCTATGCCAGTAGCGAACAATTGTGAGTGTTGCTCTTTTGATCCTTGCGATTGCGGTACGATGATTTAAGAACCCTATCTTGAAGATGATATCATCATAAGGCTGCCCAGCCTCTTTAGTGGACAGTTCCCGCTCATTCTACTGTGCTTACGATGAGCGCAGCACATGCCTCCCTCCCCTACTACCCCGCCCCCAGCTGCTGTGCACTCTGAGTTCATTTACGGTGCCAACGCAAGCTTCATCGTCTTGCGTTGGGCGCATCTTCGCTCACCTAGTCCCAGTGCGTACGTATATCCATTGCCTGCATACTCGATTCTCAGGTTTCAGAGTTGCTTCTTACCTCAGTCGCTGGCAACCTTCCAAAACGAAATAGCGCTGGATGTGGCATTAATATGGATCTAGAGTAACTACTTCGTCATTTTCGTCCTGGAGACTCTGTTCTCCTTATCCTAACCAAACATCTAAAAGTTATCGGTGTGAATTCCGCTACTCAAAGCAGCTATTTCTTCCCACCTATTGTGCTAACCCCGACCAGGGTTCACTTTATCGACGAACATACTGCGGCAGAAACAGACCATATGCCGAGCCTGTCCGGAGTACAGAAGTGTTTTTACGTTTGGTGTACGGTCAGTGACGAGAACATACATCATTACACTGTCGGAATAAGATAACAGTGAGTATGTGACTCATTGTTGCTCCTTTTTAGGACTAAAATTCATAATGGTATACTTCCTCATCGTCACGACTCGACCGTCGCCGAGCAAATACAAGTGATATGTTCGTGATTCAACACGCCTCATGTTGGGTATGTAAGGTCATGACGATACCGGCCTCTAAACAGCTTCGTCTGCGATAGCATCCGTAATCAACGTATGTATTTTTGAGTCCGTCTACTCTCAATAGGACCGTACTCGTAGCTTACTAGTATCCCTTTCTAAGCACAAGCAGACGACATGGCTTCTCGAATTACCGGAGCTCTCCCCTCCAACCCGTCTGCTCAGGTACAAGCCGTGATTGATTGGATGTTCGCTATGTGTGAAGGCGATTGGGACAAGCTGGAATCCGTGCTGACGGAGGATTTCGAGGCTACAATTTTACCGAAGTCTCTCAATTTCCCGGTCCGTAACAAGGCGGCATGGATTCAATACAACAAGGATGCTTTCCCTATCTTCACGGATTTTAAGGTGTGTTTTTTCTGTCATGATACTGTATCAAATTGGCCGCTCTTATAAACGTCGGGATCTTCGCATTTGAGTTTCATATCGTTGAGATTGTCGAGGGTGTGAACGCAGTTGCGGTTCATGTAAGCTGTCCACTTTCCTGGTGTTTGCACCCCCTCATCAATCCGACGAATAAAACTCTACAGGGCTGCTCCAACGCTACGACCTCGACGGGGCATCCATATCGGAACGAATACTCGTTGTTTCTACACTTGACTCGCCAGTCTGATGGACGATACAGGCTTAAACAAGAGAAAGAGTTTATCGACTCTCAGTACATTGTCGAGTTCTTCTCTGCAGAGAAGAAGAGGCAGGAGGCTGCTGGAAACACGGTGTACTGGTGATTGCATACTGCGACTAGCCATCTACACAGAATAGCATATACAAAGCTATATATCGAGTGTAGATCATTCACTCAGCTCTTCTGCACCGTAAGCAAGATAATTACTGGACGTCAGGTGAAACTATCACGAACCCAAGTCTAAATAGACATCTAAAGATAAGGTACATAAGCATGAAGCACCGTGGAAGACGTATGAATACGAGACCTACAGGTCCAACAACAATGGGAGACGAGTAAGGACGGGAAAGAGAAGCAGCAAGCTGAAATGTCTCAATATATTAACCAGGTAAACAGTAGGACTAAGTAGCGGAGCCTTGAAAAGAGCGACAGGATATGAAACCGTAAGGAAGGTGAGGCGTAAAAGAATCTCAATCCCAGTCCTACAAAGCGAAACCGTTGACTGTAGAGGTTTGAAGAATCAGTGCAGGAGTTCCTGCAGTCGAGGCTTGGACTGCATGATGCGCTTTTCGGCCCATGAACTTGCAGCTGACGCGCGCAATCAGCGTTGATGAATGGAATAGAGGAAAAATATCTCACAATCAATGTGACTCAGCTTGAAAGATACCCCGTAATCACGACAGAACTCTCGAATTTTGCTAGACGGCAGGGTATCGCCCGTTCGAGTTTCTCCAAAAGCGACCGTTACCAGTAGCTCCAGACGCTTGAAACGTCCAGATTTTAGACGGCTCTTGTTCTGCTCGAGACATTCCATAATACTCTCCTGTGCGGCGGAAGATGCACTTTCGATTAGTCTGCCTCCAAAATAGTATATTTGGACCACTATAGTGAGCGACACGAGATTAGAAGGGAATATAAACCATGGTGCGAGGGCATCCCGTCCATCAAATACACCTATGGTTATTTCCTTCACGTTGGGTATCGCCCCATTATCGATCCATCGTCGGAATGTCTCTAGCTCGCCGCTACGAGAGGGTATGCCTACCCAAGGTGAGGTTGGTTGACTGATCATGGTGAGTTTCTCCAGGTTATGCAGAGGCGGTGATCGAGTAGTCGAAGGCCGAAACGCAGTTTCGATCAGCTCCAATGAGCGAAGTAAAGGCAATCGTTCGATGCACTCTATGACGGGAGAGTCTCGTTCGCTTGGATGAACGCGAAGCATTATGACACTCTCCAATCTGCGAAGGTGATTTGGGTCGAAAGACGGGACATCCAGTTTCGTTCGATGAAGCAAGAGACGTTTGATGCCGGGAAAAACGACAGGAATGGTGTAACGGCAGCCACCAACCAGGTTGAGATTGCGCAGGTGAATGAGGGAAGGAAAAGGGTCGCTCTGTTGAAAGATGGTTGCAATGCTGTTCTCCCCCGGCTTATACGAAAGGTATAAGGAAAGAGATGAGAGGTTAGTACATGCCGTAATTACGGCGAAGACGTTCGCCTTCATTTTGGCTGCATGCTTCAATCGACGGGATTTGACTATTTTAAAGTGAGCTGTGTCAGCCTGGTCGTTATCGCGGATGGAAAGCTGCCGGACGAAAGGGATGAGATCGGGACGATGTTGCAGGGTCAAATGAAATAGACGAAGACGCCGAGCGGAAGGGAGAAACACGCGTGTATACAGCAATGCCGTTGCAGGTGGATACCATGCTCGACAAACAAAACATGCGTTGTAGAGGTGTCTTGGGAGAACTTGTCGAACCGGGTCCACGTCGATAAGGACATACAAGTCTTCGTGGGCAGGGAGAAACTCGGAGGGCTGCAAGTACTGAAATATTTCGAGAAGTACTTCAGGGGGAAACGTACGATACGGTTTGACCTGCTGCTTGATGCCGACACTTTCTCCTAGCTCCTTGATGCTACGGAGCACGCGTCGAAAGACAACGTCAAACACGTTCGCGACGCGAGACATGATTCGGCACAGTTCAGTCCAACTGGCAGCTCATCTGGAGAAGCTATATTCAAGGAACCCGATGGTGACAACTGGACAAGTTTGCCTAGGTCTACGCAAACGAGCTAGAAAACGAACAAGTTCAATCCCGTCTCAGTCGCATTCATGTATTATCTAACTCAAGTATACAATAACTCACTTGCGATTCGGGCACCAATGGGACTGACAGCAAAGGTGTTGGTCATTAAACGGTTGGTTCCCCACATTAGCGCTGGTAGGTTGAGGCTTTCCGGCACCGGCACCAAACAATACGCATGAACAGCGAGGAACTTCAAAGCTTCATTCTTCACTTTTTTCGCAACTACGTCTACGTTGTCGCTATTTCCATGTCATAGCACGTATGCTACATACCTCTCCGTAGTGCAATCATGGACTCCCGAACCTCAGATAATTCTGCCGACGAGTCTCGGGCGCCATCATTCATTCAATTTACCCCCAAACGCGCTATGGCCTCTTTTGAGAACCTTGTTGCTTTGGCCAACTATGAAGAACATTTGAAGGAAGCACGCAAGATTGTATGGAGGGATAGAGGAGAGAGACCAGTGGAACTGGAAGATTTGTGGGAGTGTGCCGAACATGCAGGTAGAGGCGGCTGGAGTAAGTTTGTGATTCAGTTGTACATGTCGGATCTCTCATGCCCATCTTTATTCTGTTCTCCAGGAGCCGGTGGTTTGGCATTTGCCATTCGATCTGGAATTAATCTCATATTGTTGATCGCTCGAATGGATCGAATACCTAGGTGCATACTATATCATTGCTATACCATCGTCCTACTCTCTGACTACTGTTGATTTTATCATCAGGAGGCTCCGCTTTACGCTAATTCGACAAGCATTATTTGGACAGGAGTCCTTACGTTTTGCAGCCATGTTAGGTATATTTCCTTCGGATTGTCTGCCGGTAATTCAATGACGTTCATGTTTACTTAGGCTCCTTCGTTGCACTGTACAAATTCATTCTTAATGCCTTACCCATTGTACTCCCTCCCCCTAATTCCACGACGATCACGCATGCGCACTTACGTTCACAATTCCGAGCGCAGCTGTCCGACGCAGAGACAGCATCCCCCTTTGACGATAACGACGATGATTTGGACGACGTTCGTCTCCCAGTAAACGCACAGTTCCTTTCAGAACGCCAAGCACGACTCTCATCAAGTGCTCAAGCACACCAAGTGTGGGTGCGCAAGAGGACGCGTCGATGGTATTCAGTATTCGCTGGTGCTATGGCTGGCGGCATCTCCATCCTGTTCGAGAAACGCAGTAATAGGCTTGGGATTGCCCAACAGATGTTTGTACGGTGCGTTATATAGTTCCTTCTATTCCCTCGTTTCTTGAATGACTCTTATCCAGAGGTCTGCAAGGCTCGTATAACGCGTTCTCAACTAAACGCGGTATCAAGATACCCCATGGAGACGTAATCGTCTTCTCACTTTGGTATGCTCATCTCCTACTTAGACTAAGCATCTCTATTAAAACCCGTGATAATTTTAGTTCTGCTCAAATCATGTATGCATTCCTGCTTCGTCAAGATACCCTTCCCCGTTCGTACCTTAACTGGTGAGTCTTTTCAGTCGGTGAACGTAAATGCATATTTGGACCTTTAATTCAAGGATTTATTCCGCCTCGAGAGTACCACGAGAGGCAGTCATGATTAATAAAGGCCTGGTGCGAGAAGGCGTGTTTGACGTTTCATACCTTGATAGCATCCTCAGCCACTTCGTCAGTATCTAAGTTGTCTCGCAGTGTTCCATTATGCTGAATACTTGGCTTGAAATAGAATGTCACGCCTCAAAACCAAACTGAATTAATATCTCGACGTGCCATGGCAGTTGCGACAAATCCAACACCGGATTTTGGATTTCGATATGCGCCCTGTTCTGCTGTTCATCCGTGGCAGGATTCTTGCAGACTGGAGCAGATCGGTCGTTTCTTCTCCGTTTTCCGATGGATGCTCCCCCTCTATGGGGCATTGCATTTCATCCCGATGCTTCTATTCAAAAGAAACGTCGTGTTCAAGACACCAATGAAAATGCTCCTCAGGGCTGCGATAGGAACTGCCCGTAGTTCGGCATTTCTAGGCGTCTTCGTCATGATATACCAATGTATGTCCTTTGGATCGCCATTCTCTGCTTGCAGATACTGACACTTGTCGATAGCTTTGTTTTGTTCCAAGCACAATATGTATTCCTATCTTACTTCCCTTCGCACATCTGTTGACGCTGCACGTTCGCGCTTGTCATATCTTCTGTCCATCATCGCGAGGCGTCTTCCGCAACCCGTGGTCGACGTTTTCATTAGCAAATTTTCTTTCTGGCTTGTCGGCCTCGTTACTGGTCTATCGCTATTTGTCGAGGAAAAGAGGCGGAGAGAAGAGCTGGCAATGTACGTCCTCCCCAAGGCATTGGAAAGTGCATGGGTCATGGCGCGAAGGAAGGGCTTGGTATTCAAGACGGGGGAGTTTGGTGAAGTCTTGGTAAGGAGCTCAGTCACGCTGTCGAATCAAACTCATCAGTGATTTTCAGCTGACCTCGATTGGTATGGGAATGGTGATGGTATGTTGCTTCCGCTCAGAAGTCTTCATTTACTGACACTCTGTAATCACCTCGCAGAGCATATATCAGGTGCGTCTCTCTTAAAACAAGCGGGGGTCATGAATCTGACTTTCGCTGCAGAACGACCCTCAACACCTTTCTGGTCTAGTGCGACGTATTCTGTACCAGTTCATTGGACCGAATTGATAATCGGTGTAACATATCTCCAATGTGATACAGGATGACAGCAGGTTGCTCTGTCGCATTGAGTTGGGTATTTCTTGAAGTACTAGCTGTGCTGTCTCATTGGTTCCGATGGAAATGAAATAAATTTCCTCATAATGTTCGTAGCGGCTAAGATAAGGCTAATCAGTTGCGATAGAAATAATCCCATATCGCTAATCTGACTTACTGCGGGATGTTAACAACCCTTGCAATCAGCATTTATACAGAAAAATGTATTAGAATCAGGGTTAGGAAGCCGTCAGGGATTAGGGCGAAGTGGACGAGCATCTGTGGAGGGAAAGCCTAACCTGGTTGATATAGAGGATAAAGGAGTTGAGTAGTTACAAAGTACGCATGCGGATTTTGTTGAAGTGGGGAGATGATGATGAGATATATGGTAAGATGAAGCAGAGATACGAAATTGGACAAGTATGCAGGATGGGAGAAGAGGTTGATGTGAAGTACGCATGCGGATTTTGTTGAGTGTATGGGTCAAAGTACAGATAAGATATGAGTATGGACTCTGGTAAGAGCAATGTCGATGGAGTGATTGAATTGATGGAAGCCATGCATTAAATTGAGAATGTCAATTGGTGAAAATTGAAATGATGCATGTACGAGGTGTTGACACAATCCGTGTGCGGATTATGTTGATGCGGATACAAGTAATATTATTATAGACGCAATCCGTGCGCGGAATTCATCTCTCCATACCAAATCCGCATGCGGAATTCATCTCTCCATACCAAATCCGCATGCGGAATTCATCTCTCAAGGCCAAATCTGCACACGGATTTTATTGAATTGATAAGTGATGATGGAACGAACATTGGAGGTTGTCAGATGTGGTAGTTGATTGGTGGCAGTCTTGACATAATTGTGAATATCTGTGTCTCACCAGCAGTAGATAGCGTGGGTCACCGAGAGATGGTTAAAGAGTGTTATATTTGCTCATATATACTGTATTATGTATAGGACAGAATGGATAGAGATATATATATATTCTTTGGTATTGCATTATACCCGTAGAGGCCGAATGTGGTTAGGGTTACATTGATGGCGATGTGGGCGAAGGATGGAGATGGTGAAGTTGGACGTGGTGAGGAACTGTTGAACTGACCTTCACTGATCTTGACCGATAGGAGATGTCAGGCAAACGAAACACAGGCAAAGCGAAGAGCAGGAGGCGGAGTAGTAAAGGGAAGATGAAAGCGAGGAGAGGCCGAAAAGAGGTATGTCGGATAGAGATTTCAGTGGATAGAATGAGTACTGATAGGAACGGTGAGGACAGATGGAAGAGATTAGAGAAGAGATAGTGGAGAGTGTGAGCAGAGAGATGATGGAGTCAGGAGAGGTAAGTAGATGAGGATTTGTGTGATTGATTGGAGAGCTGGGGCTGATTGATGAGAATGGATGCAGGCAGAGATAGACGGCGGACAGATAGCAGGGACGCCAGAAGTGGTTGATGCTCGAAAGATGGTGGAGAAGATAAGGAAGAGACGGCAGAGAGGAGTGAAGAGTACAGGAGAGGTGCGTAAAGAAAGCAGTGGGTGAGAGGAGACTGATTGTGATAATGCTGCAGGGGGTTGAGTACGGGAGAGTGAGTGAGGAGATGATGAAAGCGGTAGTGATGCACAGTGCGGCAGTGGAGGGATTCCTGGGATACGGATTGGCAGTTGTTGTGAGATCGGGGGATCAGATGGTGTCTCGGCGGGGAGTTTCATCAGAGGTCCAGAAGAAGAGGGTATATTTTGAGGTTGAGGGGATTGGTGAGGGGCGAGTTGATTCAGAGCGGGTTGAGAAGTTGGTGAGAAGCTTGCGAGAAGGAATGGGGGCGGAGTACGTGAAGAACTGAATTGCGATTGGGGTGTATGCGGAGGAGTTGAAGGAGGGATGTCTGAGGAATGAAGTTGTGGATGTTGGAAAGCTGAAGTATGTGGAAGGGAAGGGTGGGGAGGGGAGGATTGGGGGAAAGATGTGGGTAGTGAATGGAAAAGAATACGGAATGGCTTGGGCGAAGTGGGACGATGAACTGTGTGGTGAAGCGGAACGGCTGGAAGAGGTGATGGGTGAGTATGGAGAGGGAAAGCGAGAGTATGACGAGGAGTACGATAGGGCAGAGAAGAGAGTGAGGGAGATTGAGATGACGGTTGGGAAGTACGGGACATGGGTGGTGGAGGTGTTTGACGAAAGTGAGTATTCGGGGAGTTCTGTGGAGGGAGAGAGAGCTAACGAAAATGGGATTTGATTCTGCAGGGAAGGTTGAAGGGCGGGTGGGGCTTGGAGAGTATTTGGGACGGAAAGATCGGAGGGAGAGGGTGGAGGAAATGAGTGGGGAGCGAATGACGCGTGCATTCAGGAAGGTGATTGAGAAGTCGAAGGAGTTGAAAGATTTGGGAGTTGAGGCAGGAAGCTCGAAATGGAATGAGGGCATAAAGAAGGTGGCATGGGTGAAGGAGAAGAAGTGGAGGGAGGTGTTGAAGGATGAGGAATGGATAGAGGTGATGTCGCGATTGTTGGAGTTTGAGTATTTCTGGAGTGGAGGAATATGGATGGGAGGGATGGAGGAGTACGATGTGAAGACGATGTGGGGTGGGGTAAGTGATTGCGATAGGAAAAAGAAAAGAGAGAGTGCTGACCAGGCATGACATTGTTGCAGGTGATACTGCATATGGTGAGAACGGCAGTGAAGGAGCTGGAGGACCTGTGTCGAGTGGGATTTATGGGTAGAGAGGAAAGGGTTCGGGATGTGTTGAGGGAATGGGAGGAGATCTCAAGGCGAAAGAAAGGGCTGTTGGAAGGAGAAGAGTTGGATCTGGAGACCCGTATGCGGGTGATTGATATTGGGGAGGTGGGAGAAGAGATCCGGAGGGATTGGGGCACGACGAAGATTGATGCGTCAAGATACGATGGGTTGGCTCTGGAAGAGATTGACAAGACGTGGTGGGAGATCTTCGAGTTGAGGAAGGAGGGAGGGCTTGCGAGGTATGAGAGCTGGATGGAGGCTCGGAAAGAGTATTGGGATGAGGTTCGGGGGATTATGAGGAAGAGGTGGGTAGAAGGAGGGGGGGTTGATGAGGCGAAGTGTTCGAGCAGGCTTGCACGGCTTCAGTGGCATGAAGGGCAAGTGTATCCGGCGACGGAGCTGCTGACGACGGGGTACATGATGCGATCTGTGGAAGAGTTCTCAGAAGCGAGTGAAGCGATTCAATTGGTGAGTGCTATGATGCATTGAAAGGGTTCGAAGTGAAATCCGCATGCGGATTTTGAAGTGTATGGATGAGGCAAAATCCGCATGCGGACTTTGTCGACGACTGCGCGATGAGCCACATGTAAGAGGAGATGAACAAAATCCGCATGCGGAGTTTGTCAGCACTTGGGATCATGAGACAGGATGTAGGGAAGTGAGAGACGAACTCCGCGCACGGATTTGGTTGCGAGATGACATATGTGATTGTGCTTGGTGGAGTTGATCGCTAATGAGGGGATGATTGGTTACAGGTTGGGCTGATGATTGAACCGATGCTGCCTTACATTCAAGGGCAGCAGAAGCATGGATATGATACAGCTTGGCACTCACTGAGAACGGTGCTTGGAAACTCGAAGAATTGGGTATCAGATACATGGGAGAAAGTGAGTATGAGCGGAAGTCTGAAGCTGCATTTGAATGTGATTCTGATGCATGGACATACAGGTGATGGCATTCATGCTGACAAATAGCAGATTTCTTGAGGGCGTGCAGGAGTTACTGAGGTGGAACGTTCCTCGGGCATTGGCGAGGCTGATTCATGTCACACGAGCTGAGGCGAAGGCATTTCTGGCATGGGACGACGAGTCGCTGATGAAGGATGGCCTATTTGGCATGTTTCTGGACCCTGAGGGGAATATACGCACGATGGCCGGGATGAGGGAGCAGGTGAAGAGGGTGCAGGGGTATTTAGATTCGGAGATGAGAAGAGGGGGAGCGCCATTCATGAACATGACGGCGGAGGATCAGCACTGGATTCCCGAGGTTATATTGGCTAAAGGAACGAATGAGCCATTCTGGGTCAGCGCGGGGGGGACGACATACCAGAAGAACAACAAGGCGGCAGCGCCAGTAATGGTGGTGACATTTGCGATGATGGCGGCAGTATTGGGAGAGATTGGTGGAGAAGAGACATTTATGGAGATGTTGGAGATGCTTCATGATGTTCTGAGGCAATGTTGGAAGGACGGCAGAGAGGAATATGTATTCTGGTTCGAGGGAGAACTTCCGAAGATATTGAAGGAGTATTCGAAAGGGGTGGAAGGGAGGAAAATCGTGATGGGGTTGTTGGATGAGGCATACAGGGGAACAAATAAGAGGTGGAATGCGGAGACGCTTGAGTTGAAGATGGAAGAGTATAGTCAGTGTATGGGAGGATTGGCGAAGATGAGGGAAGCGTTTGTGGAGAGTGGTGCAGGGGACTTCAGGTGGAAGGGTGGGTCGATTGAGTATGAGGTGGAGTTTCACTGGAATGAGCTGTGTCGGGTGAGGGTGCATGCTGGATTGATGGTGATTGAAAAGTGCTAACTTGGATAATGTGATGAACAGGGGGCCATTGGGAACTTGGGACGGCGATGGTTTAGGGAGGTGCAGGAAGGCAATGTTGCGCATCTGCGGGTGCGACCGTACAAGGTGCCTGTGCCATTGTCAAGAAAAGTTGAAGAGGACCGGATGTCGACGTCGAATGTGAATATGTATGAGATGGTTGTGAGGGCAGTGCGAGGTACGTGTATTTGGTATTGAATTGATAGAGAGTATTAAAGTGATTTGTATAATACAGGGCATGAGGAGGTGCCAGTTGGAGTTGGAAAGGACTGTACGGATCCATGGCTGGACCCGTCGTACCGTGAAGAGTACATGGTGGGGGCAAGAGGAGAGCTATGGTTGGAACAATGTAAAGTGGATAAGGAGAAGAGTGTGCAGGAGAGAGAAGAAGGAGGTAGAAGTGGAAGAGAATTGATTGTGGAGGAAGGGGAGAGAGAGGAGAATGTAGAGGATGAGGAGAGGAAGAGATTGGGGAAGGGCATGGAGAGGGGGGATTCAGATGAGGTGTCGAATACAGGCAGCGAAGGGTTGCAGGAGAGTGAGAGTGTTGCGGAGGTGATGGGAGGGTCAGATGGAGGGGCAGAGGAGGAGAACATTATAGAGGAGGGTTTGGAGCCTCGACCTCCATCTCCACCTGGAACTCCATCTCCATCTCCATCTCCATCTCCATCTCTGTCGCTGTCAGTGTCAGCCTCTCACACTGTGCATGGAGAGGAGGTGACTGAGTTATCTGAGGAGAAGGGAGTGGTGGCGGGCATGTCATCAGATTGGAGCTCATTGACGGAGATGTCAAATGAGGAGGACAGTGAGGGAGAGTCAAGGGGAACACGGAGGAGAGGAAAGGAAGGTGAAGCAGGGATGATGAGACGACGATCATTCCGGAAGAGGAAACGTAAGTTCAGTTGCGATGTCAGCGATGTGAGGGGGTGAAGGGCAAATGCGGGTATCTGTGAGATGCATT